AATGAATTTTTTTATTTTTTATTTTTATTTTTTTAAACGCTAACCCCATTCGTATTTTTTTTCTCAGTACGTACCTCTGCACTATCCCAATCCGTATTTTTTTTCTCAGTACGTACCCTCTCGCTTCTCTCTAGCGCCAAAATCCCCAAACCCCACGATATCTCCCCCAGAATCCCAACTTTGGAGCGACGTAGATCAGGATCCAGCGGTCGCAATCCATTTTTAAATGCATGGCGATGCTCAGGGAGCGTGGGATTAGACTTGGTGCAATTTTCAGCCAATTCCACCTCCGAAGGTTGTTGTTGAACGACTGGCCTTTTGGCAAACCTGAACCGGAATTTTCGACTTGGGACTAGTGCTCGTGCTCGTGCTCGTGGAGGTGCCTGGGGCCCCGCGTGGTGGTGGGGTGAGTTCCCTGGTGGTTGACAGTTGTACAAGATGCCAAAAAGAGATCGGGGTTGGATTGATTTAGCTTGTTTCTTTTTTATTAAAGTTATTATTTTATTATAGATTTTCAACACTATAATTTTTAAGCTATTGTTTTTATCTAAAACTCAGTTTAATTTTTAAGCTCCCAGTATCCAGCGCCCAGAAATCGTACGTTCAACTTGATTTTATTGTTAATATACTTTTCTTTGGAAGGTAACAACGTAGCGTTAAATTGGAAGAGACTCGACGTAAACCCCTTCGCGCATACAGAAGGTATACGTTATGTCTAATCTGGGCACAGAATCTCCACTGGTGACACGATGCCAGGATAATGCCTCGATCCTCTGCCACGCAGGAATCTGTGTTACTGCCCCCGCTGGAGTACCGCCGCTCTCTTCAATCTCGATGACTCGTTCAAGCAGTACGGCAGTATGGATACTATCCCAGACTGCTTCCTGGATCCGTTGTCTTCGCAAGATACCCAGAACCTCACGTCGGACCTGGGGGTGTCGGCATTTCGACCCAATTATATACAGCGCCGGGAGGATGCCGATCTCCGGGGTAAATGTTGGCTCCAACGAGCCGACATATTGCTCATGAGCTGCTGCCACGGCACCCGCCCAGGCCACGCATTGTTGGAACTGAATCAGGAAAGCGTCGTATTCCATTTCCCTTCCAGGTCCGTAACCATTCAGGAAGATCCACGCGATGGTATGTTGTAACCGTAGCAGGGTTATACAAGGGTCTGTATCATTGTAGCTGCAAGGTCCATATTGTTGCTGCAACATCGCCTCGAATAAACTGCACCATGTTTTCAATTGCCCGAGAAGCATAGTCCTCTGCGACCACAATGAAGGTGGCGGCGGTGTTTCATGCGTGGGGTACATTTGCTGCTCCGTATGGCGTAGTCTGATTACCTTAGAGATGACCGTTTGCAGGTAGATAGTGGCTTGATCAAGGGATTGAAATGCAGTGTCGCAGGGCCGGAGCTGGTATCCCGGCATCGTGTCAATGTCCATGGGAGTCCAGTCAAGTAGAAACATTACCGTTTGCGTATCAAGACGATGGATCTGGCTTGTGACCTGGTAGATGAGCTTGCGAATTTCCGATATATTGGGAGTGCCTTCTCGACTGCTATCATCATTGTTATTGATGTTGCTATTGTCCTGAAAAGTCTTGTCAATGTTGCGCGAAATCTCCACGCCTCCACGCAAATGCTTCATCGCTTGTAAATCGTTGCCTACCAGATGGTCGAAGCAGGTAAACAGATAGCAAACCAAAAGGGTAATGGCTGTACGTTTGGGATCGTCGTTACCATGCAAATCCTGATTCAGAAGAAGTTGAATTGCCCGAGTATAGTAGAATAAAGGAGCCTGCCTGGCCATTTTACTGGTAGCAGACTTGCCGTCGAAGCGTTCCCGATGAAGCAGAGCCAAGGCAATGGCGGCTGACCGCACCGATGGTACTGTTTGGCAGAAAAACATGAGCGTTTTCTGCCATGACCTGTTCCAGGGCTGATATGTGTTCAGGTGTTTGAGCGAACAATATTCAAAGAAGTGTATAGGCTCTGCGTGCTCTGAATCAATCATAATGGGCCTCAGTCTGTGTAAATCGAGAAAATGGTAGCTTCGAGTGCGCCATTGTCGTGCTCCTGGATGACTTGCGATCATTGCAGTACAAGCTTGGTAGCTGACACGATCTTCTGCTGTAAGAGCGTCGATATTGACCTTGCAAGGATGGCTTGATTCAATCACTGTTTCTCCACCATGAAGCGATTCTGTATAGCCATCACAGGTGCGGCCTGTAGACTTGCATTTCAAGCACGACGGCCTAGTTAGGTCACATTTGACCCTTCTTATCCTAAGAGATGCAGCGAAGTTGATGATCAGTTATTGAGTTCGTACACTAGAGGCATGATGAATGGAGCAAACAAGCAATTATCTGAGCTGCACTCGGGACTCACTTGCATGTCTTACACCCTAGCCTCGACTTTGGAGCAAACCGGCGGGGCCTTTTTCTCCAATCTTGGTTGGTCGCCTTGGCCTTCTTCTCGTTCTGCACACAGTCCATAGCAATCTGTTGATTGACATCAGTAATCAACGGGTTCAATTTCTGCAGAAAGCAGCAGAGCAGAAGATCTTGGGCTCATTACATTGATCCAAACGGATCGTGTGCACCAAGCATACAATGGAGGTACTTTGTAATGGAGGTTCTGATGAGGTAATCAAGTCCCCTTGCTGCGCCTCCAAACTGCACAGACATCACGGATCAACGGGGACTAAATTTTTATCGAGAGACTAATGCATATTGAATGCTTCTTGATTGGCTCCCTCGTACAGGTGGGGCTGGAGCGTGAGCTTTACTGCCTCCTGTTACGGATTACGAAGTTAAAGAGAAACGAATGCGTCTGATTCAAGCAAATCATAACACGGCCACGCCAAGTGACTGGCATTTCACACACAGCTGACTTTGACTGCGTAGTCAGTTCGCCTATCTTATTAAGGACCTAGTGAGCAGTGCCACTTTAGTAGGTGACATTGCCGGAGCAGTTGAGGCGAGGATGAGACCGACAGTGAAGTTTGGTTATGTTAAAATAGAGATTGATTGGCGAGTTCGTACAAGTGGAGTTGGACGGCAACAAAACGGCTCTAGAGGAAGGGGGCAAGTCAAGCTGTCGAGCTCGCTGCATCAATTGTGTCTGGAGGCTCGCAACGCGTATAAATTAGTCTCTGATATCACGATGAATCTGGCTACAATACACAGTCCTGACTCTGTTCTTTATTCTACAAGCAACAACTAAGGAATTACGATGATAAACATTGCGAAGATGACAATGCGCCGGTTTGTAACTGCGTTGATTCTGTTCAGAAATTTGAGTCTGGGATGCACAGACACGGGTTGCCATGATCGACGCATGGTCTACGGGTTTGACAATGTAAGTCTTCGTCCGTCAGAGATTTTGTCGAGACATTATCCGCCCAATCTTAGAAGACAGACAAGTTTCTCCTGACTAGTCACATTTAGATTGAACCGTCTGCCGACCTCACGTGGGAACCGTGTTTCGACGGCTTCAAATGCTCCAGACTGCAAGTTCCTCTGGATTATTCAAACAAGAGCCTCGGCAACGCTTCAATTGCATTCATCAAACTCGAGGGCAAGAATGCCACCTCCAAGTCCCCAAGCATTCTTCTCCTGCCCGGTAAAGCTCAAAAGAAGACACGCGAGAATTTATACACCGCAGTCCTCTTACTGACTCTCTGCTAGGCGGTCCTGGCGGTTCTGGTGTCGACCTCCTTCTTACAGAAGCTACCGTCGCAGCGGAAATGTTTGGAGGCCATTACAGCATAGTCTCCTTTGATCCCCGTGGTGTGAACAATAGCGGTCCAAGTCTCAACTGCTTCTCGGGGAATCCAGAGGCAAGGCAGGAATTTTACCGGCTGCATAATACGGGTATTGCCAACATCTCATCTACATCGCTCGAGGACCAGTACTATTCAAGCTCAGTATACGGGGAATGGTGCAACCATGTTGTCCAGACCGAGTCGCCCTTCGGATATTATGTGACTACACCGGCAGTTGCCAGAGATTTACTTACCTTTATTGAAGCCGAGGCCGTGATGACCGGTCGGAAAGCAGCAGAAGCCAAACTGTGGGCTTACGGTATTAGCTATGGGACCGTCACCGGCGCCACTTTCGCGTCCATGTTTCCCGACCGCGTGGAGCGCATGATTCTCGATGGTGTCGTGAACGCAGAACTATACTATCACAATGATTATACCGCCAACCTCGATCAAATGGACGAAGCTATAGGGAAATTCGTCAGCTTATGCCACTCTGCTGGCCCTGAGAGATGCTCCTTTTGGGGACCTACCCCCGAGAACATCACGGGCAGATTGGACAACATCATTCAACAATTTCATAACCGTCCGGTCCCAATAAGCGGAGCGCAGACTCAGCAGGTACCGACCATGGTGACCTATGCAGATCTCAAGACCCTTTTTCTCAACACCATATACCTCCCAATCGCCGAGTTCCCAGTCATGGCTGACATCCTACATCAAGTCGAGCAAGGAAATGTGTCTGCTCTCGCCCAGACCTTCCAAAATGCCATCATCACCGACGATGCTAATCACATTATCCAATGCGCAGATGCATACCGTACAAACAGCTTAACCTCTATCGAAGACTTCAAGGATTATGTCGAGTACGCAACTCATACGAGCAAATACATTGGTGATCTCTATCCCATCTATGTGGACACTATTGTCTGCAGGTCATTTCGACCGCATTTGCCTGATAGCATGGTTGTGCGGGGTAAGTAGCTGTCTTTTCAATCTTACCTCGGCATCACTGAAACTGTCCCTCACAAAGGTCTACGACCATTCGCGTAAGTGCAGCAGCTGACCATGTCTTCGTTCTGCGCAGACCCGATGATTGGACTCAACAAAACTACGTTTTTCCCGATCGTGTTTGCCAGCAACACCATCGATCCAATAACGCCCTTGATATCGTAAGTCCCGCCTACAATACCTATTCGCACACATCGCGGCTAAGTAGTTTTGTTATCGCAGGGCACAGAAGAGCTCTTCTCGATTTCCGGGTTCGGTCCTTTTGTTGCAGGAGGCTATTGGTGTAAGTTGCTTCCAAGCCCCGAACAAAACACCTGGCTGACTCGTGGGTAACTCTTCCGGAATGCAGCATACAGTTGTGAATCAGGGAGCGTCAGACTGTTATATCGAACATGTTCAGGCATACTTTCGAGGCACAGTCCCGACATCTAACACGACATGTGCCGAGCAGTACATACCTTTCATCGACAACCTCCTTTAGGAACCAACACCCTGGTGTCACAGATTTCCAGGTCATTTCTGGTTCACCCATGATAGACTAGCTACTCTACCAACCTTCTAGGACACGCAGAGGCACAGCACGCGGTACCGCTAGATATTACTGTACGGATTACTTCTTGGGAATGAAGGGGCAGCTCTTTAATATAGTCAAAATGTGAATAACACCAGTGGAGTTTTGCATTCTCGCTCTGTGTTTGGATGAAATATTCTGCATATTTCTAATAATGGTATCATGAGTTAGTCTCCATTGCTTTTGCGGTACACTTGTTCTTATGATTGATATTGATGTCATAGAAAGAGAAAGAACTATTTCCCTTGTGTAAATTAACAGCATTTATTGATATCTTCTCATGTCTCTCTTCCCATCCCTGGCATTTCGATGCATTCAAACAGTAAACAAACAGTAGTATAAGTCGATGATAGATGAGTGAGCAACAACTAAATATTGAAGAATGAACATTGCCTAGTATTTACACATGGATAGCAGTCTCTTCTTGATCGTGTTCATGTTTTTGACATGCTTTCTAGTCCTCTACTTGCCTGTCTATTGCATGTCGAGCACACATACGCCCGTGCAACAAGCCCCCCTACTGTTTCTTTCTTTATTCTTGGCGTTCCTCATCCGGCAAGCGTGCTCAAGAAACCCGCTGCTGTTCCCCCTTTTACAGCCTTTTTCTTCTTGGAGTTTGGCTGTTGGTAAGGTTGTGGTGGCGCTCCGCGGCCATCTTGCAAAACTGGGCCGTTGGCTACTGGCCGCGAAGGGTAGCTCGCTGCATCCTCATATGCCGGCTTCGAACTTCCGCAACCCATTGTGAAATATTTGTTTCGCGGGCAAAGATTCTTGAAGTGTAAGTAGAGCGTTCATTGCGGGCTTTTCACAATACTTACTCGCATGCACAAGGATATCGTGCTCGTACGTAACCAATACCATCCAGATCCAAAAGTAGGCCGTCAAGCTTATATGCTAATTTTCCAGCAAGATGTCAGCAACGCACGCTGAAGTCATTGCTGCGGTCACGTACCAAAGATCGATTAATCCGATTCAAAGCTTCGCAAAGCCAACTCAGTTGATGATCGACGTATGCGGCAACGATGCTGGTCTGTACATCTACGTAGTACAGCCTTGATTCGCATCTGTTTGGCTGATTACATCGAGAATACGAACATGTCAGCAATAATGCCCTGTTTGGTCACATGACCGGCCGCCTGCCGACCTCGTGGCGACCTCGTGGCTGATCCAGGCAGTCATAATCGCTAGCGACGGAAGAGTTAACGATTCCCCCGCCTCCAGACGCGATTGAGTCATGGAATGTGTCGGGATCCTAAGCTTGTGGATGGTTGAATCACGATAGGTGGGTCTTGCAGATCGGGTGGAACGAGAGTTCCTTGCATACCTCGGGTTCAGGAGGCATCGTCCAGGTCATACATAGATGCTGACCTAATCCCGGAGGATTTCCCGACAATTCTCCAGCCCGCACACACTCGGGTTTCTTGCAAATATCCACCTCTCGCATTTTCTCCTCAGGATATCTACGTGATGATTGTCCGGGAGTGCGAATGAATGGAAGAGGGGCAGCCTGTACGAAATGAAGCCTCGCGCCTGGGGCGGCGCCGTCCCAAAACGAGGATTGGGTGTAAAGCTTGCAAGCAGCGCAAGGTCAAGGTCCGTTGAAGAACGTGGCAGATATGCCCGGGTCCAGACTTTGCAATGCTTCGAATGACACTGGATATTCCAATGGTCAGAGTGTGACGAACATAAGCCTTCTTGTCGGAACTGTGTCAAACATGGGACTCCTTGTCTGTTCCTCGAAGAAGCGAATGTGCATGAGACAGACTCTCCCCTCGACCATCAACCAGGCCCATTCCAGCTAAATATCAATCTATTCGAGCTGGAGCTGCTTCACAACTTCTCCACGATGACGTACATGACAATTTCTGACAACGAGTCCCAGCGAAGTTCTTGGAAGTTTACGGCCGTCCGGCTTGGTGCCTAGTGCGACTACGTCATGGGCTCCATCCTCGCCTTGTCAGCTTTGCACATGACTCAACAGCATATGGAGAGAAAAGACTAGTTGATCAGCCGCGCACTGACACTCCACGGTGCAGCAAGCCGCATTGCCATTAGCCTGATGAGAGAAGGCAGCGAAGCACATCGCGAGAATCTTTGGCTCTTCAGTATTCTCACTGTATACTTTGGTGAGTCCATCCCACGGACTGCACTGCAAATGAAGCACGGAGCGATTTTAGTCTTTTTTCAATTGCAACTCTCACACATCCTTGCAGCTCTTGGTAGTCCGAGAAATGAATCTCTGTCTCTGCTCATTGGCGAGTGGGGGATGCCCGGCTAGGTTTTTCTCATACGTGGCATGCACCAGCTCCAGCAAGAGCTTCTAGCCACGTGCTATACCGGTCCCTAACCCCGTTGCTGGCTCACGGACGTACTCGATGGGCTGCATCGCATCGCCCAGAACACATACATTCGCCTCTGCTCCGGGACCTTCGATACAACATACACGCTTCCACATCTTCCTCGGACGACCATGCGGTAGCGTCCATGTACGACGATGCTATTAACGCGCTTCGCGCACAGCTGAGCTTCTGTCTGTCCGAGAGCAGGCAACGCTCAGACATAGTGGACGCATTTATCTGGCAGGTCGTCCAACCGGAGAGCTTCGTCCAGCACTTGCAGAAACCGACCCAGGAGCCCCTGGCCGTCTTTGTCCACTTCTGCGTAGTTCTCGACAGGTTCCAAAGTAACATCTGGGTAAGGGGATGGCCGTCATTGCTCATGTCCAGTATTTGGGGCATGCTTGATGCTGAGCACAGGCCGTGGGTCCATTGGGCCGTTGAGGAGATCGGATGGGTGCCACCGCAATAACTCAGTCGCATCAACGCCATCGGCTGTGCCTGCTGTCATTCAAGCCTGAGCAGCCAGCTTATCATAGGGCATGCGATCATAGAGACAAAGAAGTAAAGGGAACTCCGCAAGAATAAGCCTACGACCAGAGCGAAGACGGCTTTCAAGAAGCAAGTGATTTGGGTGGTAGGGTCACCGCGGTAGGTTACACAGCATGGCAGGCTTTTCAAGTAACTTGGCATATCTGATTATATTATGAATACCACGTATCGATGCAGCTAGTTTATGATGCATAATCATTATTCGCCCGATCTCCTAGTTTTGTCTTACTTTTCAATACAAACGCGACCAGCAACTTTGACCGATGAAAGCGGGCGAGGCCCGCGATTATCCTATAGCATCCCCTAGGCGCCGTTCTAGTGAGAGCCTAAGATTGAGTAGGAATACAAAGTCAAGTCAAGTCAAGTTAGCAGTGGCCTGAAAAAGAAACCGCCAGATTAGGCGGCTTCAGCAGCGCTTCTTGCATTTTATGAGTAAAAATTTTCTTTATAATTAACTAACTACTATATTTTACCTAGTAATAACTTAATAGTTGTATTTATTATTATTTATATATGTTTTTGAGACTAAATTTTTTTTAGGTATTATTTTAAACTAAAATGCGTTTTCCAATGTATTACTAAAAATAAACTATCTTATTTAATATTTAAACATATAAAATCCTTAGCTAATATACCAGTTATAAAAGTATATTATTATAAAATATTGTACTGTTATAGAATTGATATTAATTAATTTTCTTGAGTAATTGAGTTACTTCAGAAATACATTATTGTAAGGACCGAGCCTTTGGATTATGTAGTGATACCGGTTGTATGCAGGGTAGTAGCAAGCTGAGATAAAGCAGAGAGAGAGAGATAGCTAGGTTCCATGTAACAAGAGTAGAACACTTGCCCTTTGGCAGAGTGTTCTATCCCATAATATATATGCAGCATATAGCCACAGGACTACCCTGTGGTTGTTATGTGTATAACATGCTAAGAGCTTATAAGGGTCTGGAGCAATGTCATTGTTGGTCAGTCTGGTTCTGGAACCAGTCGCCGTGACATTTATATTTTATCATCTTAAGATTCCCTGACTCTAACCCTTTGTAAAAGGTGAAAAAATTCTCTATAATTCCTAGTTAGATCAATAAGCAATTTCTCTATGATCAACTGACCGCTGCATTTTGCCCAGTGATAGCTTCAATAATATTTATTAAGTTTGAACAGTATATTGTAAGAACCTATGAATCTAGAGTAACAACAATTCTCTTCCCGGACGCATGTCCAGAACGCAGCTGGTCCAATGCATCATTAATTCCAGAAAGACCACCAGGAGCACTGATAGTCTCCGGTAGCTTAAGTGCACCACTTGATAGTAGCTTCTCTAACCACAGTACAAGCTCGTTTCCAATCGATGCAACTTCGTGAAAGAGCTTGATAGGAACGCTGTGATATCGTACGTTGGAATCTCGTGATTTCGGCAGACCGGTCAAACCAAGAAGATGGGATGGAAGATTGCTGCTGTCTTTTGAAAGAGCTTGTTGAAGAAGTTCTGCCGTTTCCTTGCCAACAATATCCACTCCAAAACGTAGTTTGCCGTCTGTAGTAGATACTATCGAGCGCACTGCTTCGTCTTGATCATGTCGATCAATGACAATATCCGCTCCCAATTGTTTTAATCGACGTCCATGCCGAGCGAGGTCGGCAATACCAATCACTCGTAATCCATATAGCTTTGCAAGTTGAAGAGTCGCCAATCCCGTAGTGGTCGAAGCTAGATCATATCAGCAAGTTATTAGGGGCTACGGGTAAGCTGTACGCACCACCCCAGATCACAAGCCAGTCACCCGTGGCCGGCCGTGCCGGCTCTTTAATACTGGCCAGACACTGCTCTCGGATATCGCTGGGAATTTCTTCAGGGTCGACAGTTTCAAGTAGGTTAAGCAGATTGGGGCCTCGAATGCTGCTTGGGAGTTGTGAAAAATCCAACCCGAGAGAGAGTCCCAGGCCCAAGGCAGAAGCTACAAATGCAACCCCGATAGATGCTGCATCATGTATGGGTACACTCTTGGGCACTCGAGCGGCATTATATGTCGTGGTTACCGCAAACTCCTGGAATGCAGCCTTTCGTATGTCCCGGTAATCGGTTGAGGGGGCCAAAATAATGTCACCGACACGGAGCCGCGGGTGTGTTTCAGACACCCTTGTTATGACACCAACAAGGTCGCGACCATTGACCCATGGCAGGCTTGGGATCCCGAAATTATAAGCCCTGAAGGGTATCAGATTGTATACAACGGTAATATATCGAAAAGACTTACGGTCCTTTCCAATCGATTGGATTTAACCCAACAGCAATGACCTGGAACGTGTTATAGATGGGCGCGGAAGGAAACTTGAGTTACCTGGGCACTTTACTTACCTTGACGAGGATCTCATCTTTTGTCTTCGTAATTGGAACTATATGCTGCTGCTCCAGCAGATATTCTTGAAATGGGGCGTGAAGGAGCAATGCTTTTTGTGTCGTTGCTGTCAGGTCTGCTGTGGAATCTGCATCGAGCAGCCACTTGTAATAGTGACTTGTCGTTTTTTGATGCACTGCAGAATCGACGAGGTTTGTAGTAGAAGTTTCTTGGTAAGAAAGGTCTTTGCCGTATATATGAATCTCAGACGTTGTCAAGGTCTCGACCGACATTTTTGCTTTTGGGTAAGAATGAAGTTCCTGTAGTGCAAGGGTCTGCCCTTCTGTAGATTGAAATTGAAAGGTTAAGAGACGCTCCCTAAAAGTCCGAGAGCATATCAACAACGGCCGTAGCCAAACCGGTTGTACATTGGACCAAGGCCGATATTTTCAGCGTCTGGCATTCCCACTATGGACCTCGTAACCATGAAGCGGATATATTCCGCCATTGCAATTGATAACATTTTTTCGCATTGCCCCTCTGCAGATTGAAAATTCGTCAGGTTCTCTAGTGGATGATCAGATTGGTCTGCAATGGCGTGATTGGTATCTGCATGCACGCACTTTGAAGTAGCACAGAGCGCCTCTGCACACTCTATTCTTACACGTGCTTTTACGCTGGCTTGGCCTTATCTCCAGGCAATGATCAACATCTGTACATCTTAATGTGTCGTTAATGGTTATGTTTTGGTAGTATTCAAATATGACAGGTAAATTTGGTAGTCGGGTCTTTAGCTAAACCACATATATTAGTTATATCAAGACACCTTTTCTTAAGAAAAATAGTTCTTTTCTTTTAATTCTTTTGCTTACCACAGTCACAGATATACTAAAAACATCAATCATCCTGGCAACCGGAAGTCTTGGCCAAAAGTTCCCGTCATGACGAATATCCAAAAGCACGTAGATGCGAGGCCACAAGCGGGGAAATGATAAGCTCGGCATGGATCCCATATCGCCGGTGAGATAGCCCGACAGCTTCCTTGGCGGGACCCACAAAGACTGAGGCATCCAGGGGAAATGGTGAAATGGTGTATCAGGATATATAGTTGGGGTGGGGAGTGTGGAGGTTAGAGCGAGTCAGGGGAGGTTGATGTGCTCGCTAAACGCCAACTGGTCGTCTCGGTCCGCAGTTGGTTATCGCCATCGCCATTCGTCAGCCATGTCGTGCTCATGTCCATGGTCTTTGTAGTAATCGATGCTGGCAATGTCGCAATTATCCCAGTTCCAGCGATATCGGTGCTTGGAGGGGTGTTTTCCCCGGATAGAATCACAAGCTTATCTGTGACTCCTCTTTCTCTCACTACACGGTGGAGAGGATTACACACGTAATCCAGCAAAGGTATTTGCAATTTGAAGAGATGTGAAATGCTAGAGTATACTGGTAGAGGTAACGGCAACCTTGCTGCTCTCCATGGTATTTAATATCTTCAATGGGGAAGCATTGAAGAGGCGTTCTGTAATTTGTATCTCACTTTGCTATCCGTTGGTCTTTCTGTAGAATAGCAGGCAATTGGCTGTGGTGATACAATCCGAGCACAAACAATGGCGTCCAGCGAAAATGTCAATTCCCAGATCCCAAAGAAGCGCATTTTTCTCAATGCGTTTGATATGAGTACCGTCGGCCATTTGTCGCCTGGTCAGTGGAAGGTTCGTTCTTACTTTCTCCATCCACGAATCGCATGACGGTTTCTGACCATCGGTAGGATCCTGAAGACAGGTCTGCCACGAAACGAAGACTCGACTATTGGATCAACCTGGCCAAGATACTGGAGCGTGGAGACATTAACGCACTCTTCCTTGCGGATACTTATGGCGGATATGACACCTATCAGGACTCACTTGATCCTTGTATCAGAACAGCTGCGCAATGGCCTGTTACGGACCCTACCATTGTATGTGTTTACCCATTCTCATTGCTTGAAAGACCCAAGTTTAAAATGGAAAAGAAATGCTAACGAGTCTTTTAAAAAGCCCATTTCGGCCATGGCAGCCGTCACCAAGAACCTTGCTTTCGGAATCACAGCATCAACTTCCTTTGAGCCCCCTTTTCTGCTTGCCAAACGATTTTCAACGCTCGACCACTTGACAAATGGAAGGGTGGGCTGGAACATTGTTACATCTTGGAAAAAGGCCGCTTTCAAGGCTATTGGTCTTGATGAACCAATTGAACATGATCAGCGTTATGCACAAGCAGATGAATACCTGCGAGTTGTTTACAAGTGCGTACCTAATCACCGCGGAAAGAAGCAAAAGCGAAACTGACATCGATTTAGATTATGGCAAGGATCATGGGCCGACGATGCAGTTGTTGCTGATGAGTCGTCGGATACCTACACAGACCCTGAGAAAGTTCGAACGATCAAGCATGATGGCCAATTCTACCATCTAGAGTCGCGCCACATCGTTGATCCCAGCCCGCAGCGAACACCGTTTCTCTTCCAAGCTGGCACATCTCCGTAAGGACAACTCCACAGACAGTTCAGAATGATGATTCTAACATTTGCACAGAGCCGGCTCGCAGTTTGGTGCTACGCATGCAGAGGCCATCTTTGTTACAGGCCACAGCCCTTCTGTACTTGCGCCAAGAGTTGCCAGAATTCGCCAATTAGCATCTGAGGTAGGCCGGGATCCCAGTTCAATCAAGTTCTTCGCAACCTTTACTCCAATCCTTGGTCGGACCGAAGAGGAGGCCCAAGAACGTTTTGAGCGGGCAAAGAAATATGCCTCTATCACGGGCGGACTGGTCCTGTTCTCCGGATGGACCGGTATCGATATTTCTAAAGTCCCTCTGGATGAAGAGATTGACCCAGTCAAACACTCGCTCGAAGTCCACAAAGTTCGCTCCACTGTTGAGACCCTCACGGCGCGGACCGTAGAGGTCCCAAGTCTAACGCCTCGAACCATTGCAAGTATCGCGGCGATAGGAGGTCTCGGCCCTGTCGCAGTGGGCACACCAGAGAAGGTTTCCGATCAATTGGAGCGCTGGGTCAACGAAGCGGGCATTGATGGTTTCAATCTGGGTTATGTTACGACACCCGGCACCTTTGAACAGGTTGTAGATCTGCTTATCCCTGAGCTCCGGAGGAGGGGACTGTACCCGGAGAAATCATCAGAAGGTGCTGCTCCCTTAACTGCTCGAGAAAAAATCTACGGAGAAGGTCAAAACCAACTCCGAGACGATCATCCTGGAAGCAAGTACAAGTACGATGTTTATCAGGAGGAAGCTTCAGCCAATTAGATAGAAAAATAAATGTTAAAGTTTTTCACAACCTCAGCTTGGCAGTCGAATTCAGATTCTATAATTGAGACGTTCAGTTTCCCATGGCTATTAGTCATGTGAACATCATGTGCTTCCACCGTATCATACTACCACGCTCTCCAGCACAAGCTACTTTACAGGTGGACAGTATAACTTTACTCTTATGTATTGCTGGCTTCCATGAGAATTCAGGGTAGATGAATATTATAGTATCGCTTAGACGTAAATCCTTTTTGTAATATCCTATCTGCACGCTAAGTAACCATTGGGCCAGCTCATTTAGAGACTCAGCAAATATATACATTATTTTCACCTCTTATTGTAAACGGAAGAAAATCATTGCATGACATGCATAACTCGTTTGCCAGACCTGAATTTTAACTAGGTTTTGCTTTCTATTATTTTTTCTTATAGATCCCACCACCCCTCATGATACGAGCGAAGATCGATTTCAGAGGGAAGTCTCAGGTATGGTGTCAAGTCTGCGTCCTCCTGCAACTCCTTTGATGTCCATCCATTTCCGAAATAGGCAAACCGATTACCACTGGGATTAACATGTGTATACTCAAAATCCTCCCATCGAGGCTCTCGTCGAACAAAGTTTGCGTGACTTGCGCTACCCGGGAAAATACCGTGAGGTCTGCCACCAGGGACTCCGCCGTTATACCACGATCTGCAATTTTTGTTGTACTCTGACGAGTCATCGTTGGCTGTCCAAACAGTGCGCTCGAAGAAAGCGTCACTATACGAGATAAAGTCGTCGGCAGCAGCCTTTGAAGGGACTATCGTCTTAATGCCTTGGCTCCGTACCTTTCGAATCACCTTGGCAATATACGTTATCTGATTTTCGACGTTGTTAGGAACTGTTCCACTCTGTCCCGTCGACATTGGACCTCCAATCCAAAAGGCGTTGGGTATTTGAGGCGTGGCTACTCCCAGGTAAGTGTACGGGAACCCAAAGTGGCCGCCAGGCTTCCAAGCTTGGGAGAGATCAATTCCATTTGCTATGACAGGAAATGGTGGGGCCAGATCGATATTGGCCCCGGTGGCGCAGATGACTGCATCAACCTTTCGCTCAAACCCATCCTTGGTAACGATTCCCGACTCGGTGAAGCGCTGAATTGGTGTCTGAATGTAGTCCACATTTTCCTTGGCAAGCGCTTCCAAGTATCCCGGCCCTGGCGTCGGCCTGCGGCAGTTTGGCGGAAAATTTGGAATGATCTTGTCAGCAAGCTCTGGTTTATCGCCCACCCGCTTCAGCATCAGTGCTGTCCATGTCTCTCGGAGCTGCTTGTTTTCAGGAGTGTCCTTGAATATGGCAGCAAATCTTCTGTAGTATCTGCCTTCTTCTTTTCGCCTATATTCTAGATACTTCTCTGGATCTGCAAATTCCTTCAACTGTTCTGCGGAAAACGGCTTTGGCTCTATCGTTCTGACCGCAGCAGATGCAAATGCGTCAACAATCCACGTGGTGTTGCGTGCATAGTGATCCACATGATCGGCTACTCTCTGCAGCTCCGGTAGAAGCTGAAGTCCAGAGGCGCCATTTCCAATCAACGCGACACGCTTGTTTGCGGCAGAAAAGTTTTTATCCCAGTGAGACGAGTGAAAAAGCTCTCCTTTGAAGTCCTGTATTCCATCGTATTCAGGTAGCTTCCAAGCATTGAAGCGGCCGATCGCAGTGACCAGGATATCGAACTCGTTCTCATGTATCTAGAAGAGTCCATTATTATTTGTGTCACTTGCCTTTGATGTGGTGAAACTTACCTCTCCTGGTTGCGCAAGATTTTCGACGGTCACTTTCCACTTGGAGCTATCGGGCAACCACTCCGCCTTTTGTACCTTATGCTTGAGCTTTAGATGTTTATAAACATTGTGCTTTTTCGCAACGCTCTGCCAATAATCCCTGATCTCGCCGCCTGGCGCAAACTCTTCTGACCAATTCGTCTTTGGCGAGAAGGTTGACTGGTATACATTTGCCGGAATATCGCATTTCACACCGGGGTAGACGTTCTCATACCTGTTCACGGGTTAGAAAATTGGAAGGAACACATTCAGCAGAACTGTCTAGAACCTACCATGTCCCGCCCTGCGAAAAGGAACAATTAGCAAAATGCTCATGATAATACAGGGAGACTCAGTACTCACAACATCGGCATTCTTCTCAAAAATTGTCAAGTTCAGTCCAGGTACCTTTGCAGGTATTAATGAACCAGCTAATACACCTGACAATCCTGCACCAATAACAGCTACTTTTAAATCGCGGGGTTGATCTATTGGATGATCTTCTAGCTCGAAGGACGTGGAAGAAGCATTGGCGCCCCCAGTTTCATGCGCATTAATCTCCTTCTCGACCACAATTGCTTCTGTCTTAGTCGCCGCGGTCGGTAGCTTTTCGTGCAAGAGATGAGGTGGCACGTCGGCTCGCCGCTGACCTAGTTCAGTCATATTTTCCCTTTTTACCACTTGGATCTTCAACAGAGCTTGGGTTTTTCTGTGTTCGTTGGCAGTGTATTGTTTGCCTTGAAGAACCAGGTCATTTAAGAGCAAAAGCGCAAGGCTAGGCTTTCAACGTCCTGCAGAACAACGCACGAACACCACCCAGGGCAGAAAGCACATGATACGGCATTGATAACGAGGCCGTATGCTACGGAAAGCACGCAATTGTAGTGGAGTGTCAGAGAATCTGCCTGCGGCATCCTTTCAATTCTTGCCGGTAAGTGCAAGGAACCTAAAGACCCTGTCATTGTTGACCTCTCAGGCACACATAAGCCTGCGGATCCATTCCGCATCAGAGATAAGAACTTGCCATTAAACCGACAATTGTCGGAAAGTCCGATCTCGCTCTCATCAACATGGACAGGCATGTCAGCGCCCAGACCGATATTAATCACTGTCGCGATATTGATTGTTTGATCGTCATATGGCGCGAGAGCTTTAGCGGATGGTGCAAATCGGTAAACTGGGGTCGGACCGAAACGTGCAGAGTCAGGGAACGGGAAGTTTGGCGACCTCATGGTTCACCGTCCGCCACACGCTACACTGGACTAAACGTTATCACGAAATTTTGTTGCGCCTTGAGAGCAAAGGTCGTGTTTTATCCACTTTTGATAGAATTGCAATTGATAAATTCTCCAGCTTTCACCATGTGTTTTAGAGAAAGCGTCTTTGTGCATTTGCGACCGTTACCTCTCTGTCTGGCAGAATGTCTACTGCTGAAACGTCCCCGGCTCGACCTCGAAAATGGTACCATTGGTATGCGGAAACCGACACACCGGAGGAGAGGAAGTTGATCTTCAAACTGGATATGCTCATCGTCCCTTATGCCATTCTGGTGAGTCGAAATACATTTTAATAGTCGAATCACGTGGAGAATGCTCATAGGTGCTCGTAGGTATATTGGGTTAAGTATATGGACCAAACCAATATTAGTAAGTCCATCTTCTGAGTATTTTGAAAATGAATTTTTAACAAAGTCTCCCAGATAATGCATACGTTGCTGGACTGAAGGAGGAGCTGGGATTTGCTGGTAACCAGCTTGTTCATCTCCAGACTATCTATGTCGTCGGTGCTGTTATAGGGCAGCTCCCGTTCGGTTTCATCTTCCCATATGTCCCCATGAGCTGGCTACTGCCCGCACTTGATATTGGCTGGGGTGTTTTCAATCTTGCCCAGTTTAAAGCGCGCGGCTATTCAGACCTGATGGCATTCAGGTTCATGATTGGATTTTTTGAGGTAAACATCAGCCCTTCGAAATTTTGTCACGAGGAAGAGTCAATTTCTAACCAAAACCAAAATTGCCTTCGACTAGTCTGCATTTTTTCCCGGCGTGCATTACGTCCTCGGCTCCTGGTATAGAGGCGATGAAGTGGGCAGGCGAGGTGGATTGTTTTATATCGGGCTTACACTAGGAACCCTGACTTCAGGTCTGATTCAAAGCGGTGCGAGCAGTCAGCTTGACGGCAAGGGCGGTATGGAGGGCTGGAGGTGGATGTTTGTCATTACGTCTGTCATCACGCTCGTTGTGGGGGTATTCGGAATCGTGACATGGCCAGGCACGCCTGACCGATGCACTTCTCTTTTCCTCTCCGCCGAGGAGATTCAGCTCAGCAAGGATCGGCTGAGTCGACACGGTCATCAAATCCCGAGCACCCGCTTTACGTGGAAGACGCTCATAAACATCTTCACAAGATGGAGATTCTGGGTATTGACGTTCTGGGACATTCTTTTCTGGAATGCCTGCAATAACACGAGCACTGGTGGATTCCTGTTGTTCTTAAAGTCCCTGGGCCGGTATTCGGATTCCAAGGTCAATGCTCTTGGTTCCATCCCCCCCGCTTTGGGCGTCATTTATATTATTTTAATCTGCTTCGGCGCAGATCTGTTTCGCAACCGCGCGGGTGCTATTACCGTGTCTCACCTATGGAACGCTATAGGTTTGATAATTCTGACAGTCTGGAATGTGCCCGAATCTGCCAAATGGTTCGCATTCATGACAACCTACAGCTCGGTGGCGATGAGCAGTGTCTTATATGGATGGGCCAATGACATTCTAAAGCACGATGTTGCGGAGAGAAGCTTAACCCTTACGCTTATGAACGCGATCGCACAGTCTACAACAGCGTGGACACCTTTGTTGGTATTCAAAACGGTGGAAGCGCCTCGGTTCCCCAAAGGTTATCCATTTACCCTTGGTAGTGCTATTGCATTGATTGCTATGAGTTGGGGGGTCAAATATTTCCATGATCGCCAAGAGTAAGTTCACTGCCCACCGCCTTGAGTACTTTGCTTTTCTGTATTAATACTTGCTCCAGGAAAAAGTACGCTCAGAGTTTACCGGATGATGTTGAAACAATTGGTGTCAGCGATAAAGCGGCACAGGAGGCCGATATCGAGAAGCTTTGAAAGGCAAGGAGAATCCAGATGGGCACGTATCTTTTTTTTTTTTTTTTTTCACTAAAGCGATGACACCTATTGAAAACTGAGCACACAGTCGGTAAAATTCAACCAGCAATTATTTAGATTAGAAGCATGTAGACTGTAATAAAGAGTTTTTTGGTTGATAACGGAAATATGCATAGAAATTTCACGTTCCGCCGCTGATCTTTTTTTTCCCAATAATAAGCTTAAATTTAACAGTGCGCTGAAAATCCCACAGATCAACATATCGATTTGTACATTATTACTCCAACGGAGTTTAGAGTGCAACTACTATGATAGCTTTCACCAAGAAGCAAGGATCTGGTCGATGTCCATGAAATGAAAATTAGGGTGTCCGTTGGTCTGGTCTGGGTCGGTCTTTGCTCAAAATTTCCACACCAAGGTGGTCTTTGGTCTGGGTTGGTCTTTAAGGCAAAGACCAACCTCCAGACCGGGCGTGGGCGGTTTTTTTAACTAAACCCATCTATGCATAAATCTGGTATAAATGTGCATATTTGGGCAAATCACCAGCATTCTCGGCATAATTTTGCTGACTGATTGTTGATATACTTCCTAAAAAGGTAATGTTGGTGGTGATCACGGACCGGTGGAGGCATGTTCAAAAGACCGACCCAAGGTGGTCTGGTCCTACTCGCAAATTTCCCAACTTGGTCCGGGTTGACAGTGTAAAAGACCAAAGACCACCGGTTTCCACCGGCCCCAACGGACACCCTAATGAAAATGCATTGTGCCACCTACCCCTGCTGTCACGACATGGCTCCACATTGCAGCTGGTAAGATGGCAAGGATGAGCCTAAACATTCAAGGCCGATAAGCATAAATTGTTTCCTTGGATAGGCAATTCAAGTTCTATTTAATTAACAAATGCTTCCAGTACTTTAATGATCATGAGTGCTAAGCACATATGAGAATCGATCTCCAAAGAAAGTCTTAGGCCCGATAGTTGGCTTGCAATAGAGGAAAATGAGCGAAAATGCGGTTTTTGAGCCAACGGTTATACATCGTGGGGGTGTTTTACAGAGGTTTCATCTCTTTTACAGAAGCACACTCTATCAAGCCATTGTTCTGGGCTTTATCAGTTTCACGCAACCAGGAATATGGACAGCACTCAATTGTGAGTATCCTTTCGAGTCCGGCTTGCTGGTTTGCATTACATTGACAGTTTTTATAGATCTGGGAGCCGGTGGATTAGCCTCACCGTTCTTTGTCAATGCCGCCAATGTCATTACATTTGCAATCATGGTCTTCTTCAGTCCAATTTCTGCTATCCTGGGCAATCGCTTAAACATAAAATGGATTCTTGTGTTTGGGACTCTAGGATTCGCGCCGTATTCTGCAGCGTTATATTGTAACAGTGTCTATGGGACTGAATGGTTTCTGCTCTTCGGAGCGGTGACATGTGGATTCTCGGTTTGTATACATCAAATCCATCGCTGCTGAATTTCACGCCCCTAACCAACATACCCACCTTAGGCTGCTGCGCTCTGGACATCCGAGGCAGCCATTGGAGTAGGATATCCCGAACTGAAAAATCGCGGCTTTTACAGTACGTATTTTACCTAAGATTTGAAGAGCCATGAACGTGAGCTAATTTTCCCAGTCGCTATATGGCTGTCTCTCAATAAAATCGGTCAGATTATCGCAAATTCGATCCAATTAGGTCTAAATGCCCAAGCCGACCAGCAGGGCAGCATCAGTCCGAACACCTATCTCGTGCTCATTGCCCTGCAATGTCTCGGTCTTCCACTTTCACTGACTATCGCAGAGCCAAAGAAATTGATTCGCTCTGATGGCACAAAACCATTAATTGGAAGTCGCAGGACACCCATCAAGCAAGGCTTTAAGGATTTCTGGTCCGTTATCAAGCGCAAGGAGATTTTCATGCTGGTTCCCATATTCATTACCGCCCAATGGGCTCAAACCTATGAAGGCAATTATCTGGTCACCTACTTCAGTGTTCGAGGTAGAGCTCTCGCTGGATTTATTGCCTCTATAGTCTCTTTCGTCGTGGACATTTTGTTGGGAATCCTTCTCGATAACAAATACCTCCGTCGTTCGGTCACTGCAAAAGCGAGCTGGATCTTTATTTTCGTGGCTTACACTGCCACCTGGATTTACCACTTTATATTACAAGCCGATCTCTCCCGCACAACCCCGTCTTTGGATATCAATAGTCACGGGTTTGGCAGGGCTGCAGGTGTTTACATCCTATATAGGTACGTGGGGATACTGATCAGCCATCGCATAGTCTGGCGCAACCGACCGTGGCACTAATCCACTGAATTTCGATAGGGTCGGATACGAATCCACAAATGTTTGGATGTACTGGGTACTGGGGACGTTGGACGCAGACATCAAGACGCTGGCTCTATCCACTTCGCTACTACGTGCCGGCGAGAGCTTCGGAAGTGCTTTCTCATACGGAGTAGGAGCCAGTAAGAGCGCAACTCTCATGACGAACTTGATCGTCGCTGCTGTGGTGTTTTGGGCCAGTGTCCCGAGCACAACTTTTTCGGCCTGGAAGGTAGAGGATGTTGATCATGATGCGAGAGACGCAGAGGGAGAGGCATCTCCTACGGGACCGTCTGTTGAATCGGTCAAAATTGGAGTAGATGCCGATACCAAAGAATGCATAATACGATAGAGGATCAATGAACTCCGTAGTCTTGCTCGCGACAGCGATGCCTGGATGGTAAATTATTGCAGGGGTGTTTGTTGGCACATTCGCTGGTTGAACTCTCCACCTTACTAAGTGGGGTCTCCGAGGCCGCTAAACAGAGGGTCCCCCGTCGTCTGTGGACCCCTGACGCCAGGCAACGCAGCACGGAATAATAAGGCATCTGTTCCACACCTCTCCCATCATGCGGGGTATACAATTGTGCAATCGTCGCTGCGTCTGACACCACAGAGATACGCGTTCCAGCTTTCTCGTCCTGCGATGGCGCAAGTGTCTCCCTTGACGCATGAGAAGCCTTCTGGATGCTTATCTCTTGCAGACAAGATTCGAAATTGCTTTATCCACAATGATTACGGAACGACATAAAATGCCCAGGTTGTGCCGACCGAAGAGCCCTGATTCCTAACGTAAACGTGCGAAAGCCCATCGTTGAGGCCGTTGACCTATTCATCCAATCACCGTCGCTATGACCAATCCGAAAAAGCAACTCATCATCAACGCCTTCGCCATGCAGGCGCCAGGACACCTGAATCCTGGTCTGTTTCGGTTCCCGGGAGACCAGGGATCAGAGTATGCGTCCATCAAGCACTGGATAAGTTTGGCGAAGAAGCTTGAGGCTGCCAAATTTCATGCCATCTTCTTTGCAGACGTGCTAGGCGGCTACGATGTGTACAAGGGGCCTGCCAATCTTGATCCTACGATCCCTGCGGCGGCGCAATTTCCCATCAATGACCCCTTGTACAGCATTTCAGCCCTTGCCGCAGCGACAGAGAGCATCTCCTTTGGAGTCACAGCCTCAACCACATATGATTCGCCTTATGCGCTTGCGCGTCGGTTCGGAACCGTCGATCACCTCTCCGGCGGTCGAGTCGGGTGGAATATCGTCACGTCCTATCTTGACTCAGCCGCGCGAAACTTTGGACTGGACACGCAAATCGAGCATGACGAGCGATATGCAATTGCGCACGAGTACCTCGACGTGGTATACAAGTTATGGGAGGGATCTTGGAGGGACGACGCCGTTAGGCCACCTGGCGAAAAGGATTCTGGATACGCAGACCCCAAGGCCGTCCGCCAGATAAATCATGTGGGGAAACACTTCCGTGTACCTGGCCCTGCGATAATCGCTCCATCGCCGCAGCGGACGCCGTTCTTACTGCAAGCGGGTACATCAACGGCTGGCAAAGCTTTCGCAGCTAAGCATGCCGAAGCGGTCTTTCTCAATGGACACAGCCCTGACCTCATCCGTCCGTCGGTCGACAGTATTCGCGCACAAGCAGCAGAGCTAGGCCGCGATCCGCGAGACATCAAAATTATTGGCGGAGCCCTAGTGATCGTGGCAGATACAGACGAAAAGGCTCAGGCTAAGTTTGACGAGCTAAGAAGCTATGGCGACCGGGAAGGCGCATTGGCTCTGTTTGGTGGATGGAGTGGGTACGACCTCAGCAAATATGCCGATGACCAAGACTTCCGGTTTGTCGAACAGCCCGCCATTCGGAGCATGGTGAACCACTGGGCGAGTACCGTTCCAGGTTCTGACGGGCAGAAGAAATGGGACAAACGTGCAATCGCAGAATATCTGATCCTGGGAGGCAACGGACCGAAGATTATTGGAAGCGTCGAGACCGTGGCAAACGAGCTGGAGAGATGGGTGGAAGTTGCCGATATTGACGGGTTTAACTTTAGTTACGCCACTCTTCCGGGAACATTCGACGACATTATTGAACTTTTGCTGCCAGAGTTGAAGCAACGAGGCTTAGTCTGGGATGATTATGCTGTGCCCGGTGGTACATTCAGAGAAAATGTCTATGGGCAAAAGGGACGAAACAGATTGCCAGATTCCCATCCTGGTGCCCAATATTTCTGGCGGAAAGGAGAAGAGGTTCCCCCCTATGCCACTACCCAAGGATAACATAATGGAGCTATCTCTACAATTAATATTTTCTGTCCTGTCTAGCTGAGAACATTAAGTCTAGACTGTGTTGGGTTTTTTAAACCTTAGGGGGAATTTACAATACAATGTTACTAATAAAGATAATGATTATTATCCAAAAGTTATAAGAAGTACATTAGAGTGAAAATCCTACATATTGTAGTTGAAAACCTTTACAAATGACATGAAGTTAGAATTTTGTATAAGAACCATAGCATAAAGGAAAAGAAGCTTGATTGTCTCAGTGAGCTCTCGCTCTAACAGCATAGCTAATAAAAAAGAACATGCAGTTAAGCCACCTCAGTACAATCTATACTAGCAGGATATCATCTCAAGCCGTGTAATCAATACTGTTTAGCTTATATTTAGGCGCGGATGATTCCCAAAAATGTAAGAAGGCGTCGACGTCTATCATCTAGAGTGCCAGTTGTTTCAAGCTCATATTGACCTAACAGGGTACGGACTCCAGCAGCTATAACATTGTTAGTTACAATTTTAACCATAACCTAAATGATAGCATGGTACTGATAATAGAATATTTTAACAAACTTGTCATCCAATAAAATTCGACGAAAAAATATCATTAATAAGATTTCAAATCTCTAAAACCAAAAAGAAAACACTTACTAGTCATAGCATTGAGGTCTCTTAGGGTAGTCGGAAAGTTTGACGGAACGGAGTTCATGCGTGTTCGTAGTGGCTCGATTGCAATATGATCAAATGCAATTGCAGAGTTATATACACGAGCACGCGAATTCAGGTCGCTGGTATACACAAAGTTAGTTAGACTGAAAAGTCAAAAAGGTGCATTCAGTACATACGCAGCAACGATTGAGGTCTCTAGTCGATCCATGCGTGTCTCCATGCGGTCCATTCTACTTTCAATGGCGTCGATTCTATTTTCGATACGATTGAGCCGTTGGTTGACTTCGGAGAGTGTACTCTGAACATTTTGCATCATAGTCACGAGCTGCTGAATCGATGACGCTTCTTGCAACGCGGGAAGGTTTTCGAACAGCGCGATTTCATCAGCTGCTGCACGCAGCTTACTCGCTGCACGCTGGGGACTGGCGTCTGACATGGTATGTATTATGACTTTGCTATTGATGGTAGAGAAAGGGACGCTTGACATGACCTTTGTCAGTGCTGAAAATCTGTGACTTAGATTTGACTTACTGCAGACCTGCCCTTCTGATGCTAGGGTGAAGAGGCCTCGCGATGATGCTAAAACTGGGTTCAGGCGTGAACTCGTCACTATATAAACAGCGACAGATGGAGGACTTGACGTGAGAAGAAGCTCAACACGTCGAAGACATTTGCAATGGTTGTCTGTATTGTTCTGTTGTTGTCAGTGGAAGCCATCTCAATTTGGTAAGCGCCAGGGTGGTGCCGTCGATCAGTCAGAGAAGGTACTTCCATATGACCGTCGTTTCCCATATTGAATATGTATTCTTAATCTGTCGGAAAGCACCCCCCACACCTTTTGTCGACGTCATCGTATATAACCACCCAATTCCCATTATGACCGATAAGCCATATGATCTTTTATTGACGGGATACAGGTACTTAGTGTATCATGCTATAATGTGCTGAAATGTGTGGTCGTTATGCTCTCTCACTGGTGTGTATCCATTTCAACCTTCTGCTATATCACACATTCTCATCTCAATCAATGCTGGTAGCGACCTAGGGAGGTGCGTCACCGTCTGGCGGAGTCAAATATGCCCGCAGAAGATGCTCCCGAAGACGATGCCACACGCCAATCTTACAATGTCGCTCCTGGATATTACGAGCTGGTCTATCGCGCAGATGTCCCAGACTATGGTGCGGGCGAAGACGCTCACAGCAACCCTTCGGATGACGTATCCAAAGACAACCATGCCATAGCCCCGACGGCGGAAGCCACCAAGTATAAGCTGCAGGCTATGAAATGGGGTATGAACTTCTTGTATGTTCTCGAAATTTCGCAGCGATGCTGACGTATCCGCAAAGGCTTGATCCCGTTTTGGACTAAACGGAATCCCGACTATGGCTCGATGATGAGGACGATAAACTGTCGCGATGATTCACTTATTGAAAACCGGGGAATGTGGACACATATGAAGCAGAAGAAAAGATGCATCGTCGTGTGCGAGGGATTTTACGAATGGCTCAAGAAAGCTGGCGGGAAGGAGAAAATTCCGCACTTTGTCAAGCGTGCCGACGGGCAGCTAATGTGTTTCGCTGGACTATGGGACAGTGTTAAGTTTGAGGGTGAGATTGTTCCTTCCGTTAAGTTGGACGCATATCTAATTGTGTCTTTAAAAGATTCGGATGAGAAGATCTACTCGTACACCATCATCACCACAGATTCCAATTCTCAACTCAAATTCCTGCATGATCGCATGCCTGTAATCCTTGACAACGGCAGCGAAGCTCTTCGCACATGGCTTGATCCCAAAAGAAGCACATGGTCGAAAGAATTGCAGTCATTGCTTAGGCCATACGATGGCAAGTTGGAATGTTATGCGGTGCCGAAAGAGGTGGGAAAAGTCGGGAACAACTCGCCTTCATTTGTAATCCCTATAGCAAGCACTGAGAACAAGTCCAATATCGCCAATTTTTTCGCAAATGCGAACAAGGCTGAAAAGAAAAAGGGCCAAATTGGCAAGGTCAAGGCAGAAAAGGATGTGGTCAAGCGTGACCCGGATGAAACGCGGGAGACAGTCAATGTTGATTCCAGCGAAGATCATGCGCCCGTTCCAACCCCTGCCGACGATGAATCAAAGCTCTCAGTTAAACGAGAACTCGAAAGCGACATCGAGAGCGAAAGAAAGGATGTAAAGCGCATGAAACCTGGAAAGGTAGAAAGCGCTACCGAACCAAAGCAGGCTGCCCCAAAAGCGAATGTCCAAACTAGGAAGACTCGAAGTGCCACTAGCAATAACAGTGGTGAAAAGAGCCCTACAAAGCAGAAGAATCCCGATCAAAAGATAACGAGTTTCTTTAAGAAGTAGACGTTTGCTTGCTGGTAGGTGGATGGATTGACATTGAGTGGGAGCTGCAGTTGGTGAGATTACTAGGTATGTTGGTGTCCTTTTCATTCGGCTTGTATCCAGTTCGTACATGCTAATGCTCTCTGCACAGAGCTGTGATCCTGGCTGCTCCTCGTATTTTGGGAGATGCTCGTGAACGCTGCAGTAATCATCATATGGACTGCCTTTACCAGAGCATTTCCTCTAAAAGCTGCCCGTGCGCAAGCCCGAGTCTGAAGAATCCACTATTTTTCTCTTGCTCTGCTGCCATCCACAGCCGCGCCAAGAAGCAAAATCTCGGTTTCGCTGCGGCACTTTAACACCCTAATGCTTTCCTACAAATATATCGTCATCTGGATTGCAATCTAGGTCTCAGTCGCGGAGAACCAACCAGGGAATTACCTCCGTTGATCTCACCTATGGAAAGAAGCCCCGACCACGTCTTTGTATGGGCGCGATTAAAAATTGGGTTGAAAAGACAGCATCACACAGGGGGCTAAAAGCACCTTTCACAGGTAATTTGTCATGGAGAAATTACAACTTAGTATCTGAGCAGTTTCTCCCTTGCTACGCATTATCAAACTTCTACGTCGTAGCTGCAGTCACTTTTTGAAAGCAATAAGATCATGACTGAATCAGTCGCATTTTTCAAAGAAAGAAAGGTATTAAAAATTAACATTAGTAGAATCTATTCTTCTTTCTCGTAATGGAAAATATGATCCCTCTAGAATCCAGGATTCTATTTACAGTAATTATGCGCGGGGATGGAGGCAAGATGCCAGCATAAGACGGTCGGTGCGTAGGTCATAGTTGATTGTGACTTTTGACCTCAAACAGGAACACTGTATGATTGTGAAACCTTGACGGAATTGCTTCTTATGGCAATATGGTACTACCGAAATTGAAATGGAAGTAATTAGCCAGCCGGATTCTTTCTCGTCTCCCCATCGCCGAGGCCCGTCGATTGTAGCCGGGGCACTGAGTCGCGCTATTGTCTAGCGGGCTTGTTGGAAAAGCTTGGCGCGGAGAGGATGGGACCACCCAAGGGCCCTAGGTCTCTCGGATGATGGGCAATCGACGTTAAGACCATTAAACCGAGATGATATATTCCGATAGCAGGCTTGGAGGGCAGTCATGTAGATTGATCGCGTGATTTAATGAACTGTATCGCAACCACAACAGCCAGAATCTCAAGCGCGCTGTAGGGGAAGCAGAAGCATCACCTCATCGTCATGCCCGACACTCCCACGCCAGTTTGAGTGCCAAATTTCCAAAGGGCTCGGCAAAACTGGGCCGGCGATTTGCATCTGCTGAGATTGCAAATCCTCTGAACCAAAACAATGGATTTGGATGGCCGTAGAGCGGTCGATCGAAAACCACCACAAAAGTTGTATGTGATCCTTTAATGGATGTCGGCGTGGGGGTGATTTTCGTTGTTTGAAGTCATGGCTCGCGGTGGAGGCTCTAAGCCGGCTGCACTCTCTACATCTGGGCGCGAATCGGCCGTGGTCGCTCGTGGTCCAGAACCCGTATTTTCAAGCGCTTCTTCATAGTCGGGAGGTCTCCTTTCCAGCCCATCGCGAGAGAGCGTCCTCAAGGGGATAGATACCGTCGAAGCAGAGGGTCGTCGGTCAGTTGTACTACCATCGTGATGGAAGGATTCATGGTCTCGAGGATTTTGGTAGATGCATTCAGCTGATTCGCCATGAGTTGTTGAAGAATGCGTGCCACGAGGCTGGTAAGGGGGTGGTGCCTCTCCATGCTCATCTAAACCTTCTTCGTGTCTTGCATTTCCTCCCATGACTCCTCTCCATCCGCCATAGATCCACCGAGATCGTGGCGCCCAACCGTCGAGGTCCCTTGCCAGCGCATTTTGACCACTGTTTCGTACTCGAGCAACCTTATTCTTCCTTCTTCGATGAAAGACCCAGTAGGCTACGCCTATTATGATTATGAGTATGGCAAGCAATAAGAAATAGTAGTTGAGCAGGCCGTCGCGTTGGCCTTGGGCGCCGGATTGCCCATCAGGATTTTCGTCGCGGGGACTGAGAGCGGACTGGGCAGCGGCACCGGTTGTTGAAAATTGACCCAAGGCCGATGGAGTATGGGCGGAGAACGAAATGCTCGACAGAGCTGGTGAGGAGCGTTTTCCGGCTACCGACGGAGAAGAGGGTTGAGCATTGGAAGAGGTAAGAAACAAAGCGGAGAGCAAAAGAAACGTAGATGACGGCGATAAGACTGATCTCTCACACCGGCAGCGAACTCTTCCAGTTCTCAACATTTCGCTCTTGGTAGCGCAGCAGCTGGTCTTGCGAAGGACATGCGGTTGTTTGGCCGTTGGATAAACCGTAGGTTGGTAGATCGGATGATGCGGCAAGGCGGCAAGGCGGTAATGCCTTTCTATCGAGTATCGCGGTAACGTGTTCATGTGGCTTGTCGATTCGGCAGTGGCTAGTGACCTCCCACCGTAAAGCGCCTGAGAGTCACTGTCAAAGAACACCAGTCCAGGGCGATTTTGATGACTCTGCCATTAATTGACTGTACGAATACTTCATCATTTCACAATAAAATAATGTCTTTTTTGAAGAGGGTATGATACCCGGATCCTCATCTTGCAAGTCTTCCTGCAGCTTTTCAGTGTATGACGGGGATAGACATCGCTATAATCTTTCCCTTTTAGGAAATGCTGCTTTTGTAACTATGGGAGTGCGCTGCACCAATAACAATCGACGGCAACCGTGATTGTCAGCAAATCGAATAAAAGCAACCATTATCACCAGAGGGTTCATCAAGTCGAGGGCCATCACCTCAATTACATGCAAGTCATCTATGGCAAGATATATGAGCGCTCTGATGCAATCGGGATACAACGATAACAGATAAGATAGTTAATCCATTATACGGAACCCAATCAGATTGAATGGAAACAGCATTACATGTCGTGCTGTCCCGTTACCACGAAACTGGGTTACCAACGTCAAAACGTTCCTTGTTTGTTTCCATAAATTCCAAGTTTCGGGGTTTTTAAATCTGTCGATCTCAATCTTATTTATGAGATCTTGTAGATCTCATCGAACAGACGGTGTTCTTTTTCCGAATGGGGCCCTAGGATGTTATGGTGTGCGAGGATCTCGTTGATCACGCAAGAGCATATGTGCTACTGTGCAGCTTCAATGACCGCAGAATGACAACAGCGAATGCAATTCAAACGTTCGAAACCCGAGGAGATGGGAGACGCTTAAGTTTTGGAATTATGAGTATAAAGGCAAGCATCGACACAGCATTGAAATGTTCCTGTTTCCCTTTTATAATTCCACTTTTATTATTGGCCAGCTCTAACGATGAGGGCAGGAATTCTTTTGTCGGTGGTTGGTTTGATGACATGCGCCTATGGTGCTGCTTGCCCGTACGAGATCATGAGACGGGCAGGTCTCTTGAGCGAAGAAGATGCCGCCAAATTTGATGCTGTCAAGCGCGACCCTGCGGCAGCCGATGCACTGTTTGAAGCCCATCGTCGTGACGCTGCCGAGTCTGACCCCACAGCTGAGCCTGAACTCGTTGGTATCCGCAAGCGTGATGGTCTGCTCGATTTGCCCCTTGGTGGTGGTCTCTGTAAGTGAACCTTTCGTAAATGTCTGGACGTAAAACCAAGCTGACTGAAGGACCTCAGTGAACGGTGTTCTTCAGCCCCTTTCAGGTGCCCTTGCAGGCGTTGATATCCCCACCCCACAGCCGCAGGGGCTGGTTTTGATTCCAGGAGATGATCCCAATCATCAATTCCAAGCTCCTGGTCCTACCGATGTGCGAGGCATTTGCCCGACCTTGAATGCTTTGGCCAACCATGGTTACCTCTCTCGTGATGGTGTATGTGCTCTTCACTTGAAACATGCAACGCCTTGCTCACCTTATACTTGCAGATCACATCCTTTGCTGAAGCCGCCAACGCTGTGCAAACGGGCTATGGCTTCACATATGAACTGTCGGTCTTCCTATCTGCTCTTGGTCTCCTAGCTGGTGGAGATTTAGCAAGTGGCAAATATAGCATTGGCGGCGCAGATGCTCGCGTTCCTAATACGCTTGGCCCTGCTTTGGGTCTCGACAAGCACGGCGTTTTCGAGATTGACGGCAGCATTACCCGTCAAGATATCCATTTTGGAAACAATGCAAACTTTCTGCTGCAGCGCTGGGAGGAGTATGTCAACACAAGCAACATCTACGGCAATTTCAACAAGGAAACTCAAGCGCTTGACAACGTAAGTCAGATCTTCATTTCTTTTTCTAAGTTGATGAGATACCCGCTTTCTGCTCGACTCTACGCTTCTCTGCTCTCGCCATGACTCTAAAGGAATGACTCGTGACTCATGACTTGCAGGGCAATCGCTACGACTATTCGCGCGAAACGAACCCAGATTTCTTTGCCGGTGGCATTTGGTTTGCCGTTTCTCACGCCGAGCGAGTTTTCGTTTATGAAGGCCTCGCCAATGGCACCACGCAGTCTGATGCCAACTATGCCAATGTTGCACCCTTTTTCCTCAATGACACATTCCCAGAATACTGGTACCGCCGGGGCGAGCCTTTCAGCCTCCCAGCTGCCTTCGCCGAGGCTGCTGCACTATTCCTTGCCAACCCACGCCAGCCTGGTGGTAACCAGGGCCTGGGTAATTTTGTTCCTCTCGATGGACAAAACATTAGTGCTTTGAGCCCGCCCGAGCTGGGTTGCTTCATTCTGGAAAACGTCTTGGATATTATCCCCAACCAACTTGATTCTGAGGCTAGCGCTTTGGGACAGGCTGTGCTTGGCTTCACCAAGGGTGCTATTGCACCATTCTTTGTTAATGACGGCTACTTCAACTGCGACTTGAGCAGCTTCGCAGCGCCTGGTCAAAACGCTGGTGTGACAGGAAATACTGATGGCACTCCAAGTGAAGCTAGCTCCGGTTCACCTGTGAATGGAGCATATCCCGGTATTGGTGTTATTGCACCTGACTCTGAGCCTTCCTAAAATTATGATCCTGCTGAGATTGTAGTTTGAGTGGTTCAGGGATGGACTTTTTTGTCAAGGGACAGATGAAGAGGAATACCCCAAGTTACATGGATAGCAAGAAATACCAAGTCCTCTAATCAAACTAGACTGTTCCTTAGGGTCAATTTTTTTCTTAACCGGAGTGGAACAACTCTGGAAATTATTTGATTTTAACTATATTAGAAGCAGAAATAAGAATAGTATAATATAAGTCCAGATTATACGTTAGACGTACCTTCTTGTCCGTGGTTATGGTGAAAGAGAGGAGATTAATCTGTTGACTAATAGTTTGCTCAAAGTTCTTTAGCTAGCGAGATTAAACTTGGGCTTCGGCCACACCTCTCTTAGACTTGAGCTTAATGGACAATCTCCCCACACCCCCTTCTCTTATACTTAAACTATGGGGAATTATCTCTCCCGCATCTCTCTTCCGCTTAACTTTAATGGAAAATCCAAACAAGTTCACAGTGATGGAGATGCTTCAGAGATATCGTGTCTATTAAAGTTATGTATAGCCGGCTCAACAAAACATTTCGCAAAGACAACCCACCAAGAGAGGGAAAATTCATATTATTTTTATCAGAGAGTCAGCATGAATATACCACCGCAACTGGACGATGGAGAATTTAAATTGAGACAACCTGCTGGTTGGAGCATCTGTGGTCACCATGTTTTCAAAGTTGAAGCAATTCTTTGTCCGGCGCGCCAGACTACGTTACCTTTACTTTCTGAAAAACAGCGTTCATACGTTAGCTCATCAATTTCTTCAAAAGCAAATATTTCTTGTGCATCTTTCAACTTCTCAATGGCTCTTCCTGCAAATAACCATCCAAATTTCATCGCAAAGCACGATGATATAGGCATAGTTGCAGCAGGCTTTTCAGGCGGACAAGTGAGCGACCTAATTACACCCAGTTCTGAATTGCCCTCTGAATCTCTGATATATTCTTTATAGCGAAGACTCGGTGTCAGCGCGGCGCCGTCTGCAATGATTGAGGCCGGACTCCTCGAAGAAGTTCACAATGACTTAGGATACAATATCCACCATGATCATACAGTACATTCGTATACGGATCTGTATCCTACATCAGACCCAGATCACCGAGGCATGAAAAAGCCTCGAGCGGTCAGTGCAGCGATGGAGAAGCTTAGCCAACAAGTGTAGGGTCATGCTAAGGAGGGTAGGTGTGTATTGACTCTGGGTGGCGATCACTCTGTTGCCATTGGCACTCTATCCGGTACAGCCAGGGCCATCCGCAAGCGTCATGGACGTGAAATGGCTGTCATATATGTGGACGCACATGGCGACATCAATACCCCTGAGACAAGTGGCAGCGGTAACATTCACGGTATGCCGGTTGCCTTTGTCTCTGGTTTGGCCAAGGGAGACAGCAAGGACATATTTGGCTGGATAAAGGATGAGCATCTGATCAATGTGGATAAACTCGTCTACATTGGTCTGCGTGATGTCGGTGCCAGTGAGAAGAAAACGTTTCAGGAAAACGAAATTAAAGTTTTTAGCATGCACGATGTCAATCGGTGAGTGATGTTTGAAAAGTTTGAAGTCTGCAAAGACTTTTTCGCTGATTGTGATCAATTCAGTCTCGGCATTGGCCGCGTCATGGAACTCGCGCTCGCATATATTGGCAATACTCCAATTCACCTTTCGTACGACATAGATGCGCTGGACCCTGAGTGGGCTCCAAGCACAGGCTTTCCAGTACCGGGAGGACTGTCATTGTGCGAGGGCGTCTTTATTGCTGAGTGCATCCGCGACACCGGGAATCTAATCGCCATGGATTTGGTAGAAGTAAACCCTCAGCTGGAAGTCCGTGGAGCAGAAAGGACTATCCAAAGTGGATTTGCATTAATTCGCAGTGCTTTGGGAAATAGATCAATTTAGATGTCTTTTATAGAATGATTTGATATTTTAAACATTCAAATAGTCGTCTAGAAAGTTCAATTGGAAATGTATAGATGATGCGATACTTCTACACAGTGATAAACTCAAATAATACCCGAAACTATCACTAGCAATACATTACCGTATACTATTTGCCAAAATCGATCAATTGAATCTTGTCGTTGTTTAAATTTACTGGCAAGAGATCATGTGAAGCGTTCAACGCTTCACCATCTTCGTGTGTAAGTAGTCTATATTGGGAGTTATAGTCGTATTGGCATATCCTGGTTCAGGGAAAATTGCTTATCTCCTACGCTACTACTACAGTAAGACTACTTTGATTCCGAGCCTATCAGAAATGAACCCTGTTATCTCGGAAATACAAGGAATGAAAATGAGCCCCGCACTTGTTTGCCTGTGGTATATATACAGTATGGCCTTCCTCCGTGGCGGAATTTTTACGATACAACTATAACATTGGACGTTCTCTTTTCGGGCTCTTTACTTTGAATCATTAATTCTTATCTTACACTCTAAATAAGACATGGCATGGGAAAGTATTGCTGCAGACAAGCGGAGCCGTATTCTTCAATCTATTCCCCAAGAATGGCTCATTGGCTCAAAGCCTCAAGACATTTCCGTAATGAATTATCCTGAGAAAAGTGGCATCATGTCAAAAGATGAGCTTGCAATTACCAATTCCTCTGCAACAGAGCTGGTAGCCCAGCTTTCCAGCGGACAACAAAGGGCTTTTGACGTCACCCTGGCTTTCTGCAAACAGGCAGCTCTAGCACACCAATTGGTATGATTCTATATATGCTCCAATCTCTTTCCGTTTTTAATAATATCCATGTACTGATATTTGTAGCTAAATTGTTGTCTTGAAATCTTCCCGGAAATGGCATTAGCCCAAGCAAAAGAACTTGATGCTTATTTCGAAAAGTATCAAAAACCCGTCGGTCCGCTGCATGGGCTCCCAATCTCGCTCAAGGATCAGTTGCGGGTCAAAGGTTTGGAGACATCCATGGGATATGTTGCTTGGATTGGGAAATATGACGAGGAGGATTCAGTGTTAACAAAACTACTTCGAAAGGCCGGAGCAGTGTTCTATGTAAAAACAAGCGTTCCTCAAAGTCTCATGGTTTGCGAAACGGTCAACAATGTTATCGGCCGAACAGTAAATCCGTGGAATAGAAACTGGTCATGTGGAGGAAGCTCTGGTGGAGAGGGAGCATTAGTTGGTTTTCGCGGCAGTATCATTGGAGTTGGGACTGATATCGGTAATTTAATAATTGTTGTGTCGTTGAGCATGCCTTTTGAGCTAATTGAAAAACATAGGCGGTTCAATCAGAGTACCAGCAGCATTCAATTTCTTATACGGATTGAAACCGAGCCACGGCCGACTGCCGTATGCTAAGATGGCCAACAGTATGGGAGGACAAGAAACTGTTCATAGCGTGTGTGGCCCAATTTGTCACTCTGTCCAAGGTATGCGTACTTGAAATTAGTGGCAAATGGAATATAATAACATTTTATAGACATGAAGCTATTCGTAACTTCTGTCCTCAGCAACGAGCCATGGAAATATGATTCCAAAGTCGTTCCCCTACCCTGGAGACAATCCGAGGAAGACACGATAAAAGCAAAAATAAATTCTAGCGGTCTGCGCATTGGATATTACAACTTTGATGGCAACGTAAGTTCGCCATTAAACTCAAAAAGGTGTATCAAAATATACTCAACTCACATGCACCGTTTGCAGGTTCTCCCTCATCCACCAATCCTCCGTGGCATTCAGACCGTGGTCTCAGCTCTTCGCGAGCACGGCCATACAGTTATTGACTGGACACCTTACAAGCACGACCATGCAGTCAATTTAATCGACAGAATCTTTGCATCTGACGGTGGTCAAGTACGTTTCCCGGTTTCTATCCTTACCAGCCTGAGCTCCTAGAACACGAATTGCAGCATTGCTGATATATGCAGGACATTTTCTCTGTCCTCCAAGAGTCCGGCGAGCCAGCTATTGCCAATATCCAAGACTTAGTCAACCCGTCTCTATCCAAAGTTGACATGAACGAGCTATGGGACGTGCAACTCCAAAAATGGAAATGGCAGTGCGAATACCTCGAGCAGTGGAACCAGCGCGAGGAAGAAGCAGGAGGGGAAATTGATGCCTTTATTGCGCCAATCAGCCCAACAGCAGCGATTCGTCATAACCAGTTCAAGTACTATGGATACGCATCTGCAATCAATCTTCTGGATTGGACAAGTGTGGTTGTCCCAGTGACTTTTGCTGACCGGAATATCGATCCGAAGGTGGTGGATTATCAGCCGGTAAATGCACTGGATGGGATTGTGCAGGCAGAATGTAGGTTCACAGTTAGCAAGTCTTCAAACTCCTATAGTGTTTTCAAGCACCGTCGAAAAGTTGTTTTCGTTTTACAATTCAGTATACATGACGTTATGAACAAAGCTGATGATACTGTGTAGATGACCCGGAAGCATACCACGGTGCACCTGTTGCTATTCAAGTTGTCGGTAGACGATTAATTGAAGAAAGAATTATGACTATTGCCCAAGAAATTGGGCGTCTTTTAGGCCATTAATCCAGGCCAAGGGATGGGCTTGGGTCAATTTCATTAGGTCTGTCTTATTTGACCAAGACATTTGGAGAACTTTCATGGATATATAACATTCTGTGGTATAAACAGAAAGCGTTTCGTATCTACATGTTCATTTCGTGACAGTAAACGCTAGACAAAGAAAGTTTAGAGTACACAAGGAATATACAGTCGCTGTATTTACGCATCAATGCATTTATGAATCAAGGGGGAAACGATCCAAGTACTTGAACTGCTTCAGGCCGCCCTCAAAGTCATTGACAAAGTCCTTGCTCGTGCTGTTAGCGGTAAAGACACCCTTCTGGATGGGCACAGAAGCCTGCGAAAGGCCGTCCTTGGCGGCGCCAACCGCGCCAATCGGCTTTCCGTAGTAGAAAGCATCCCGGACAATCTGTGCCGGGCGGCCAATTGGGTAAAGAGTCGAGGCGCCAGCAGTGAACAGGGACTGGGTACCGTCCACCACGATGACACCATCAAAGAGAACAGCATCAGAGGCGATATAGGTGGCGTCAGCCCCATGAGCCAACGTCTCAGAAATGATGACAGGGACCGCGCCCATCTGCTTGAAAGACTTGGCCAAGGCGGATGCCTGGCTCAGTGAAGAGTTCGATGAGTCGGTAGCCAAAATGCCAACTTGCAGACCGGCAACCGACGGAAGGGGCTCGGCAAAGACGGAGACACCGGCGGTCTTGTTGTTGTGATAGTATTGAGGGTCGGCAGCGGGCGCCTCCATGCCAAGCGCAACAGCAACACGCTCAGCAAGATCATGGTCAATCTTGTTGAACTGAGCAATGGCGTTTTGCTTGACGACGGGAGAAGCAACCTTGGACAGCTCAAATCGAGCAGCGTTGACCACCATCTGCTGCTCAGCCGGGAGAAGCGAGTTGTAGAAGAGTCTTGGCTGAGTCCAGTAGTCGGAGAAGGTGGGCGAGGTCTCGCGAACATAGGCGGCGTCAACAATCCGGCGAGCCGGAGCAGTGAAGAAGCCATTGCCCTGGGTCTGGTTGGCCGGCTTAGGCCAGTTGTTGTTCAAGGTGTTGACGTAGTAGGGAGCATTGTTCAAGGGGATCATCTGCTGGCCAGCACCGTCCCGGTTGTTGTTGTGGACAGGGACACGAGGTCTGTTAATTGGGATCTGTTCAAAGTTGGGAGAGCCCATATTACGGCTGAGCTGGGTGTCAACATAGGAGAACAAGCGGCCCTGGAGCAAGGGGTCATCGGAAAAGTCAATTCCGCGCACAACGTGGCCGGGACAGAACTATCCGAAAGGAGGACAAGTTAGCAAGACCTTTGAAAACAGTCGGATCCCTATATTCGCTAGCAAATCTTACCATGGCTTGCTCAGTCTCAGCAAAGTAATTGCGGGGGTTCTCGGTCAAGACGAACTTGCCGAGCGGGGTCAGAGGGACGTATTCGACAGGGACAATCTTGGTCGGGTCGAGGAGGTCAACGCCATACTTCAAGACGTCCTCCTCCTCCATAATCTGCACGGACACCTCCCACTCGGGGTAGGCGCCAGAGTCAATGGATTCGAAGAGGTCTTGGCGATGCCAGTCGGGATTTTGACCACCGAGACCCTGCGCCTCGGGCCAGGTCAAGGAGGCCAACCCCTGCTGGGTCTTGAAGTGGAACTTGACCAGCTTCGACTTGCCCTCGTCGTTGACAAAGCGGAAAGTGTGAATACCGAAGCCGTCCATGTGTCGGAAGCTACGGGGGATACCGTGACCGGAAAGAGCCCTTGAACTTCTGTCAGACATCTTCGTCTGCTGTGGACAAGTTGATAGAATCAGACATACCAAAAGAGAGTGTGCAAAGTAGACGGGTTCGAGCCAAAGTAATCCCAAGCCGAGTCGTGAGCAGTCTGGGCCTGGGGGATCTCGTTTTGAGGGTTGGGCTTGACGGCGTGAATCAAGTCGGGAAAGTTCATGGCATCCTGGATAAAGAAAATGGGAATGTTGTTTCCGACAATGTCTGGGGGTGAAAAAAAAATGAGCATCTGCACCCCAAAAGAAGATTGAGAATACCCTTACCATAGTTGCCCTCGTCGGTGTAGAAACGGAGAGAGAAACCGTGAACATCTCGTGCCGAGTCAATGCTACCACGGGAACCTGCAACAGTGGAAAAACGGAGGAAGATGGGAGTCTGCTTTCCGGCAGCACCAAGGAAAGAGGCGGCGGTAATATTTGACCAGTCGGCGTAGGACTCGAAGTATCCATGTGCAGCAGCGCCACGGGCATGGACTGAAGAGAGTGTCAGAGATGTTGCCTATTTTGCACGTCGAGGTCATAATTCGCATCTTAGGTACTTACCAACACGTTCGGGGATGCGCTCATGGTCGAAACGGGTGATTCTGGTTCGAAGAACAAAGTCCTCCAAGAGGGTCGGGCCGCGGTCGCCGGCCTTGAGCGAGGTATGGTCATCGACCGGAGTGCCAAAGTCAGTGGTCGAGTAGCTGTCGGTGTCGTTGACGGTAAATTGGTCAAGGAATTTTGTGCCAGCAGCCTTTTCCGTGTGGTTTACTGGGAAAGTACCGCGACGCTCGAGCCTGTCGGCCGCCTCGGCGTCCATAAAAGGGCATCCTGCCGTAGCAAGGAGCGCATTGAGCACGACACCACCAATAACAGAGGTCTTCATGTTCGAGTCGGTGGAAGTCCACTATGCTGCAATTTGTCCCAACGTCGACGAGCGACGAGAGAAGGGAGAAGACGGGGGCATTATGTAGGTAGGATCAGGGACGAAGCTGACCATGTAGTAAGCAAACAGTTCGAGACCAAAATGCAAGAGCATGGGCCAAGAAGATTTGGTTTACTGTGCCCCCCGAGATTTATTGCCGATCTCAAAAGGTTAATCGGACTATTTCCAATTGCACTCATCTCGTTGGCAGTGATACGAGAGAGAGGACCCAGCGAGATGGGTCAACAGGCATCAGCCATGCCGACTCGCATGCGTTCAGGGCCTCAACTGTCCATATTGAGCCCACAGAGTCCACATGTGGTGGAGCCAATGAGCTTGGCAGACGCAATGGAAATAGTAATGGAGTTTCAGGCACATGGACATTCGGTGAGCAGCACGTTTGTCGTGAGGCCCTAGTCCCTCTCTCTCTCTCTCTCTCTCTTTCTCTCAGAGAAAAATTCCGTTGGACAGGAACTAGCAGCACGTCATCGACAGATGTCAAAAAAGAATCTGATGAGAATTTGATGATTAAAACCGAACCACTTCTTGGCTGACACTGCATGATGAGAGATTAGTGAGGTCAAGTCCTACAAATGCGTCACCCTTGTGGCTTGTACGTACTCAACTTGTCCCCACATACCGCCGTGTGCCGAGACCACGACTGAACGATGCAAGAGCAGGTGTGAAGTAAGTTGCAGTAGTCCACCAGTTTACAGCAGGGCGCCGAGGCGCCAAGAGAGTCCAAGGGGCCACGAACAGCTTAGTCCCTGCGAGAAGACCTGGGTGTTTTGGCATGGGTAACGGCGTCTGAACGAATCAATTCCAAAGGAAAATGAAATCACCATTGTTGCTAATCACAACGGGTCTCGAACTTTTGGCCGGGTCGTTGGAACGGGCAGTGAAGCCAACCAGTTGTGCATTGGAGAAGTTTCCTCCCTCGCTCGTTCCAAGGATTTCATGGTGTGATTACGGTAATTACCCCTCAGCCAGGGACCTTCGGAGTCCCAAAACCGCAGGAACGAGACGGAAAAGGCAACGGCAGGTACGGGAGGTTCCTTCCCTCGGTCCTTCCCGTCGGTGGAGCTCCCTCATTGGTCCCATCGCCATGTCACCCAAACAAAGAGTCGCTACATCTCGGCGACGTCTGATTAATGAACGATTGATATACGACTAATATGAGTGTACAGAGCGTAACTTAACTCAAATCTTCTCGGAGTCTCGAACGGTGGCCTGGGGTACCCTGTTCCTTCCATTGCCCCATGGCCCAATGATGCTTTCTAATCACTAATCGATCACACTTCAATTGTGCGATCGGCAGGCACAAGACATTACCATCTACTAGCATCAAACTTGGAGCTTCACTACGCCTCTTATTCGCTGCACCGATGCCTCCACTCGGCCCGGCGAAAAGTTTATCAAAGCGACATGCACAACGAGAAGATTTCGTTGAGCACGCGTCAATAGTGTCGAGACTTTTTTTCCTTTTGTCAGCACTGGCTTGGAACATGGTGCTCCCCAACTAAAGAATTTGTATTTCATATCTCAAATTTTGTATTCCAAATCGCTTTAGACCCTTTCAGAGTCTTGATCGGCAGGTTTTGTTCCTCTCTTAGGCAGGCACGAGATGAAAGCACGGTCTTGTATTTCTAAAAGCTCTTTTCATAAACACTATGCAGAATAAACGACGTCATAGCTGCCGAGATCGCTAAAAATTGCAAACCGTCTAGTAGAAGGCGTCGGCCAAGAATGAACAGACTTTGGTGCAAAGCCCCCGTCCTCTACTCCGTAATAAATGCGCCAAATCTTGGGGCCGCTTGCGCCGCATAAAATGAAGTTTGAATTGGTTCAAAATCAATCGAGCTCATTCCGGTTCTGCGCTTCACTTACCGCTACGTCCCAATCAGTCCGGAAGAGAAAGATACCTTCCAAAGCAGCCACACTATTGCGGTTTCAGCGTCTCTTGTGCTCAATCCATCATGTCCATGGGTGACTTACAGTGCAAGAGCGATAGCTGGACCCGCCCAAAAGCCGTAAAGGAACCAGTGTAGACCGAACCCAGTACCGAACGAGATGGGTATTCCAATCTGTCTGTTATATGAATATCACGACTTCTTGAATACAGATCGAGGAAAAAGGAAGAAATAGCCTTACCACATAGTAGCAGAAAAGGCAGACCCAGCCGCCAATCTTCTGCTTGCCTAGCCCACGCAGAATCCCATTGCAACTTGCCGTCAGGGCATCAAAAATTTGATACGCGGCGCAAACGGGCAAGACCTTTGTCACCAGCAGGGCGACATCTGGATCAGCAGTGAACAACCAAGGAATGTAATGCGACAACGTGCCCAGAAGGATGGAATTCAGCCCTCCCACTAGCAAAGCCGCCGAGAGTGCTACTCTCCGGGTCACCTTGGCGGCGTCAGGAAGCGCAGCTCCAATAAGATTGGCAATCCTCGTTGATACAACAACTGAGATGGGAAATGGTATTTGCCAAGTAATGGTGACGACGGTGTTCAAGATGGACTGCGCGGCTAAATGAGTGGCTGAGATCCAGCTTGAAGAAAGCGTGAGAAGTCCGAATGCCAAGAACTCGGCGAGAACCATAGCGAGGCCTGGGATGGCTAGCTTTATCATTGGACGCCAATTCTGCCATGCTCTTCTGTCCCACCCACCCCAGCACTCCATCCCGCGCACAAATCTCACATAGAGAAAAAGCCCAATGGGTAGTAAACATTGCGTCACGGCGACAGCTATCGGTGAACCAACAAAACCTAAACCGAGTTCCTATTCTCAAGATTAATTTCAAGATCCAAGACCTTTAGTAACGCGCATGATCAGACTTACCCATACAAGCAGCCAGCTCAGAAGGATATTGAGCGGTGCCCCGATCAGGAGGACGTAAAATGTGGCAGAGAAGAGTCCTTGAGCTTGCATGAATCTTTTCCCCGCTTCAAAAGCTGCATACCCCGGAGCGCCGGCAAGAACAACCTTCAAATAATATCCAGCAAGTCGTGCGACTTCCTTATCCGGAATGATAGCCTGCAAAATAAAAGTTCCGCAGAGCCACACAACGGCAATAGGAATAGTCAAAGCCCAGAGAAAAAGAAGCATTCGCTGCAACTGCAGGCCGACCAAGGTGCGCTTACCAGATCCATAAGCTTGTGCGCACAAAGTATCCAAAGAAGTCGAAAGGCCCTGGTAAATAGCATATCCTGTCACATTGGTGACCGTGATGGCCAAGCTTGCCGCGCCCAGCTCATTTTTGCCCAAATGTCCGACTACCAAAATGCTAGCAGCAGTGAGCGAATATTGCAGCACGAATGTTGCGATCAATGAGCGCGAATATTTTACGATGACTTTTGTCTCTCGTTGCCAGGTGGTCTGGATTAGACCCGCTGAGACGGCCTCCTCCCATTTTCGGCTGATATGCTCTGGAGAATCCTTTGTGTATTGTTGCTGCTCAGAGGTACCTAGCAACCGACTCCTTTCAGTTATCCGGCCCGCGTGCTCCTCGTGAACTGCTGGAGCAACCCCCTTCTTAAGATAATCGAGCGGTCGTGTGAAGAGGGAAAGTGCTTTGCCTGCAGCTCCCTCTTCCTCGGCCGGGCGTTTTCCTGGGATGATATTATTATCTCGGAGCAAGACTCGCTCCTCATTCGTAATGTCCTCCTGCTCTGATGCTGTTAAGGCACTTGAAAGCGCAGGCAATGATCCTGTGGGAATGAAGAGAGCGCGGGGCCCCCCAGAGACTAGACTTGGGGGATGATACGCCCCAGCGGTTAATGCATGCTCAGAATCCAAATAGCTCGATGACGGCTCCAGGTCATCATTCACCGCAGAGTCGTTGATTGTTTCTTCTTCTTCCTCTTCATCGCGAACTTCATTCTCATGATCGAGAATGGATTCACGCTCCAAATCCTTTCGGATTAACTCTGCGGCCTCCGCGGCAAGGGCGCTGAACTTCCATGAGCCTACCGCCGACTGGAATGACGATGATATGCTTTGCGATCGGGCTTTCCATTGGTTTTGCTTGGATTGTGGCACCGATGTCATTACGCAGGGACTAAAGAGAGCAAGGCAATCCCCATCAAAACACTCGCGATATGCAAAATTCTGGATGCCGAATGATGTGGAGTGATAATGTTTTGATAAGAGATTTAACTTCGGCCCGTTTGGACTTAAGAGGGTGGGATTAGAGACTGGACTACCGACGTCATCTGTTGTGACTGTGCACAGACAAGATCGACAGTTAAGTCGCACACCATCGGCTCGCTATTGACAGCGTCCGTTAAATGCCAGGGCTCTATCTTTTCCCTTAAAGATATAACTAGCTCCATTATCGCTGGATACACGTGTTGAAATCTCAAACAATGCGAGCGTGTCTCAACTGATGGAGGATACATCAACTACATCGAGCACGTTGAAGCCTTTTCCATAATTCTGATCCCAATCGAACTCGCTTTGGTGGTTCTCCTTTCCAAAAGCGATAATCATTTCTTCCGCTTCCGTCGTTCCTCCCACGCTGACCGGCTCTGCCTCCTCCTTTGTTTTACCACGCGCGCCTTGTCCCCATATTACTTGCAGATTTGTATCAGTAAACGTGCTTATCTTTCGAAATGTCAACGATATCCTTTCGCCCCCAAATGCTTTTTCTGCATCAGACTTGAGAAACGTCTCCCGTTTGTCCGGGCGGATACCATGCAACCATCGCATATTCGTCATTGCCCCTAGAACAAACATCGAGTTGTGAGGGAGAATGACTCTTTGAATCTTTCGAGAAGGAGGGTTCTGATCTGGTGGCGTTTGGCGGAATTGGCCATCCGTTGTGCCCTTTTTGGTCCGCAACACCATTGTCCGCTGAGCTCCGAGACTTACATTCACAATTTTCGATTCTCGAGCTATGTCCATGGTTTTGTCTGAATGCTCAGAAATATTGTCTTGTCCACGACGGTAAAGTTGGATAAGCACATGGTTCACCTCATGTCCAATTTTTCCCTCCACCTCATCTTTTATGCGGGCAATTGTCGGAGAAAATGGTGAAAGACCAGGTTGAGTGTCCGCAGGATGGCGGTAAATGGGAACAAACCCATCATCCCGCACCATTCCCTGGACCGCAACAAGACGGGGTACTTCGCCACCACGGTGCTGCATTGTCTGCCATTTGACTTCGGATTTGATGCTATCAAACGCACCATCTAATACCTCCGCAGGCAAAAAGTCTCGCAATATTTCAGAATCGCCTTCACCAATGCAATTCTCTTCTTCAGTCCCAGAGCGATCCTGTCTAGTACTCTGAGGTGTTTTAAATGGCCTTTGAAGTTGCTGAAGGGTATCATTCAACTTCTCATCGGATCTCGGGCGCTGGACAGTCAAAGGCAGCGTCAATTTCCTCGAGACATTCGATATGGAAGCTTTTCCGTTGCTTGGACCGCCACCAGTATGAGGGGTCCGCGGAACTGGTATCCTGCCTCTTCCCTTAGGCTGCTGATCATCCTGTTTTTCTTTGACACTTTTTGATGCATCCAGTGTTCGAGCATTCTTGCTATTGGTAGGGTTGCGAAGGTTCTCGGAGGTCTTAGAGGTCTCAGCAGTTTGATCCTCCAACGTGGTCTCCTCGAAAGCACGTGCCAATTCCAATTCTTCTGAGTTGCGTGGCCTTGGGACCTCAGAACGTGCTCCTCTCCCATCATTGGGGTTCTGGCTCCTGAACTGACGGAGAAATTCAGCCGAGGTCAGATATTCCACGCCACATATCTCCTCTAACTGATGCAAGGCCATTTTATGACGATGTTGACAACGGTATCCCAGACAGTCTTCAATCAGTGTAATGGAAAAGCCATGCCGAGCCGCGTCCAAGGCGGTTGCGTACACGGAGATATTTGACAGGGAGCCGCAAATAAAGAGATCATTAATGAGTTTGCTTCTGAGATGGAACAATAGTGGAGAACTCTCAAAAGCAGAGTAGTGCGACTTTTTCATCAGAGTATCACTGGCACTGTCAATATGTGGAAGCAGAGAAGGGTGGAACTCTGCTCCCGCGGTACCGGGGAGACAGCAGTCTTGTATTCGTCCCTTGGAAAGGAATGCATCATTGCTATCGTGATTCGTACATGAAGTGATGTCTTCAGCCGAAGAGACACTAGAAGCACTATCGCTGTCATATGGATCTATTTGGGTATGCTCGTAGATATCTGATATGATTCCCAGTGGTCGTTCATGTTCGAATTCTGTCCGCGTCCAGACGAGATGCCCCGCATTGCGGAAGGTGCGGACCAATTCTACAAGGCGGGGCAACAAGCCGAGCGGAGCTTTGACTGCCATAGCACCATTCGGTGAGAGAAAATCATTTTGTAAATCCAAGAGCAACAGAGCCTGTTTAGGTCTCAATTGTGGTAGATCTTGAAGTGGGGGAATTGGGAACATTGTGCGGCGACCTTTTTCGCGAAACGCATTTGGGGTCCGCGGAAGGTTTTATGCGTATGAGTGTCTCTGGAGGCCCCAACGCCCCTGAGTAATATTCTCTCGCCAAGCAAAGTCCAACTCGATCCGATGACAAAATTGCCGAAACTGAGATGTATAATGATGATGCCGGATTTCTTGGCTGAACGATTGAAGAGCCCACAATGCTAGTAATCCGCACGAGGCGTAAGGCTGAAAATGACCCCTGGACAAAATCGTTCGAGGCAAGCAAGCGCAGAGGTGAGTGTCGCCCTTCTTATATTGACATATATATAGATTTGGAAGTTCAATAAATAAATAAACGGATGGTCATTAAACTTTTCATATACTAATTTTAGATTGGTAGATCGATTAAATTTTTTTTTTTTTTTTTTTCAACTCAATTTGTGCCTTCATTATTCTACCCAGGTAAGTAGATCTGTTGGCAATAAATCTTGGAGATGTTACTTGGAGCTAGTTTATACCCCCGCATTGTGCTTCTGACTATAGTGTGCCGACCGATCAAATAGGCAACTGTACAAAGTACAGTCAGGCAATATTGTCATCTCCACATCCATTTATACATTCACAAATTGTTTGATTACCCACAATTGATTTCCTTGGAATATATTTATTCATAGGCAAGTGGACAAATAGTGCTAGAAATATTGAAAGCGATCACATGACCAAACAAGATGCTAGTATCTCTACAGAAAGAGATGATCCGGTCACCATAAGATTAGTTGAAAAGAGTGTTCCTCAGCTTAATATGACAATGACATAAACATGACTCTGGTATTTGAATTTCACTTTTTCTAGAAACACAGATTGTTCGAGAATGGCCAGGAACGCGTTTATATAGCACACTCTGTTGAGATTTTGCTCGAGTACACTACCTACTAAAAGGGTGAAATTATCTGAAGAAAAAGCAAAATAATACAAACAACCTACTTGAATCGACTACTATAAAGTCATTGTACTGTACATTGACACCATTTTGGCGTTGTATTAGCCTTCTCGCCCCCTGTTTAATACTCTAGTTCTTCAATTTTAGAACCATTGCCCATTCACTACTAATTTACGCTCTTCCTCGACATTACCTCCCTGCCGTCCACAGTGTGATGGTGATTATTCCCTCCGTGGGAAAACCACCAATGGTTTCCCGGTTTCGCTTAGCTTAGTATATAACCGTTTCGTAGCTACCCGTTAGCTTTGAATCCAATCTGTCTTCCCTAACTATTTTGTGGGCTTTACTGTGGGACCGCCTTTATGGCGTTGTGGACAAGATCTTCGTGACTTCAACCGTAAGATCCCATTTCCTGTGTCTCAAAAGTTCGTTCTCATTATCGCGCGGCCCCCTGTGTCTTCTCCTCTGCTTAGTGTTGTGTTGTACGGGTGATTTCAGTCGTCTTATTCGTGGATATTTCCCCATTGCTGTGCAAGACAGGTCGCTTCCCATAGCGTTGTCTTTTTAGTCTTTTCTGCCATTCCACTGTTTTCCTGCCGGCCTCCTGCTACATGTGATACTAACTTAAATACTGTTCACGATGGGCAGCAGAAAGGGATTTCGAATCCCTCCAGGCAATTCAACCAATGCTACTGTTAGAGACTTCCTCTGCCTCTTTGCACTTGAGGAATGTCAATGGACGGAAGATAGAGCAACAGCCTTTGCAGGTAAATTGGTCATACGAGGTCATGGGCTCCGCAAGTGTATCCGAGAAAAAAACGAATTCCTGGCTTCGTTTGGTCGCGACAGAGACACCACGCAGCTTTCGTCCGGCTTTTTAGAGATACTTTAGCAGAAGGACGCCCCGGTTCAGAGGGGCAGAGCATTAACACAGGCACAATGGAGCACACTTCCAACAACAGACAATGAAACAATGCGCACAACACCAGCGTCTGTGGGTGACTCTCTTCTTTTACCTCCTGACATCAAAGTGTCTTCACTATCTTTCTCTTTTGCCATGAATTGACATGTGTAAAAGACTGAGGATAGAGAAATGAAGCTTATCAAAGGATAATTCTTCCGACACTCACTGCTTTTCTTTTTCTCGTTAGCCTCATAAATTCATACTGAACACTGGTGGTCCAACTACCTCATCTCGTTCGGCTTCTTTCTCGTCTTTGGCTGCGTCTACTTCGCTCGGCGTTATTGGTATTTCGACAAGCATCGACGTATGCCAGAGCCAGCAAACAACAATTAAGTACAGACACTAAGTACCCCAAATACACGGCTCAAGAGTATTGGCAAAAGATCATTGTTGTGACAGAAGATCCACAAGACGCTCAGGAATTGACGATTCACGAGCTTGGACTGCGGCCTTATATTGACATCCTCGTAACAACGAACGAGGTTGGAAAGTCCAAAATTGATGATCTATTCTCCTTCATTTCTTTACAAGTACCACATTCTGGCAGCAGAGGTTATTTATGTCGGCGATAATGAAGCATGCGATGTTCTTCCAGCTTGCGCTGAAGGTATAACATCCGTGCTATACGATGAGACGCGGGACTGTCGATTTGACAATCTCAATAACTTCTGGGTAAGCTCTTTACAAGATTGGCGCGTTTGTTACCTCCAGCACACTGACAATTCAAGGATCTCATTTGCTCCTTCTCGATGCACAGAGCGCTTCATGCTGCAGCTTTTCAACGTCCGAAATACCATTTCCTAACCGTCGATCCAGACTCCTTCTTCGTTCACCCAGAACCTAAAGCTGTCTGAAATCCGATTTTGTCGGAGAAGCTCTGCGATTTTTCCTTTCGTCGGATCGCGGTCGGACGTATCAATGCGGACAATGAACATGATGTTCTTTTGGTCGGTGGTAGAATGACCTAATTGTCGAGCTTCCTCCGCACTCATTGTAGGCATGAGCCTCTCTGCTCTTGGTCTGCTTACAATGAGTCGAAGGTTGCAAAATCTATTCCAAATGTGCGGTAGATGAGGATGAAATGTTAGTGGCCTCGATTTGGAATAATTCGGAATGAGACCCCAATTTGTCGCAACAATTATACATCTGAATTGCTGTTGTAAACTATACAATCCATCCATCAGGTTTCGAAAACTTTTTGCAGTGCTCTCATTCTGTTTCTCCACTTCAGCCGTCCTTTCAACTCGCATCCGGTCTTGCCAATAAAAGGCACTAACACTGTCCAAAAGAACAGTTTGTAAAGCTTTGCCTGATGAAAAATGAGCCGTCAAGTCGAAGAGGTAATTTGGAAGACTTCCAACTGTGGCAAGGAGAGAGGCAGAGGATTGCGGTCGGAATAGATGCAGATGCGACAATGAAGATTTGACCATACTATCTATATCAAGATGACAGGTCTGTTGGGCTTGGACGTCAGAGGCGGACAATCTCTGGTGCACGTAATGATGCATGACCTGTGATAATCTTCGGACGCTAAATTGTCTATCGGTGTCTAGGACCACCACAATGCCATCCTTCCCATTGATGAATAAACCTTGGAAATTGACTGGAAGCAATGATATAGCAGTTAAATAATAAAGAAAATGCGTCTTGCCTGAGCAGGGTGCTGTATCTGAGATTTCCAAGACAAGTGGGTTGAGGCTGCGCCTTGATATGGCATCTCCGACTTTGGCTTGCGGAGACGCATATTGGGCTTGCGGAGCTTTTTCTGCAGCCAATGCAGCCAATTGAGAAATTCTAAGCAGATTATCAAGTTCTGGAATATTGAAACAAGATGGGATATTTGTTGGTGGAAATGCTTTCCCACTGACCAAATGCAACAGCTTCGCGCTTCCTCGTTAGTGCGATGCTTTAACCTTGCGAGTGGGCGAGGAATCCGCAGAAACTCACATCATCCAATCCATCCTCCTCTACTTCAGAGAGCAAGCTCTTACCAAGCGCTTTCGCAGTCATATCGGAAAGTCAATTTTGTCAATTTTGAATATTAATTTTGGTTCCATTTTCCTTTCGCGATCTTTACAGCGCTAGTCTGTCATGCCACCGCCGGTCGTTTCTTTTCCAGCCTGGCAGATCCCGGAGCAAATTCAGGCACTGCCCAATGGACGAAGGCGAAAGGAGCCGATTGCTCTCGAGCAATGTCCACTCAAAGAGCTCGTCCAATATTCATGCAGAGTTGACAAAGATGACACACCTGATGCAAAGATTTTGTGTGAGCCTCTTATCAGGTTGTTTCGGCAGTAAGTAAGCACGTGGCTCGCACCCGATCAGAGCCACCATTTAACTTGTGAGAGTATGCGCCAATACTAATGTATATGAAATTTAAGGTGCGCTGGTAACGTCATGGTGGAAACAACAGCAATAGAAGAAGCTGGTATGCTTAAATGATTTCATGAGTAGCACTTTTCAGATTTGGGTTGATCTTTCCGGTGTTAAGGCGCAAGCTTGTTCAAAATTTTGCAGGACAAATTGTATTGGTATCTATTTTATTCATCATCCATAATTCACAAGAGTATCTTTCAATCGGCTCTTGGCCCCCAAGAACACCAAAACGCCATTGCAGTGTGATTTCCAGAAAATTCCGACGGACTGCCAACTCATGGTATCTTTGAAAAAAGCATAAACGCCATATTATGCCGGTTGTTTTGTCCTTGAAGATTGAGAAAGGCTGCTCGAATCATTTGTCGAGTCCGATTTAGCCGGCGCAACAGCTTTTCGCCAATAGCTGCGTTCTGAATTAACAACAATATCTTGATCTGCGGTTAAAGGCGGCCTGTCAATGAAAGAATCACTCGAATTTTCTGCGCCCCAAGCTCCCATATTCATGCCTGACTCATCTAAGCTTTTTGCGGCGCCATTATTGTTGTTCGCCAGCAAATCAAGGGTCTTTCTCCACATATCTTCTCGATCCTTATGTCTTTTATGCCTCGCGCTTGAAATACGGTCGTGAGTCGTTTTCGGCGCGCCACCTTTGGATGCTCCCACCAAACGTCGCAATGCCTCTTCGCCCAGTCTTCCTTCCTCAGTAGCTCGCTCCCGGATTCTCCGAGCATCCTTTTCTCTATCGGTGAACGCTGGTGTAGAATTATATGTATGTTTGCTAGGAAAAGGCGGGAAGTGGGACGGAATATACGATCGTAGTGATTTGTCCACCGCACCATCTAACTCTTCTCCGAATAGTGTTGGTGGAAGAATATCTGGTTGTTGCACAGGTGGAAGAACACTGAGATTTGGCTGCGATACCTCTGTTGATACCGGCGGGTCTAGGTGAGCTATTAGAAACGAGGGCAGAATATTATGCTTTCGGAGAGCATGTTCGAAATCTTGCGGAATGGGCTGAGCTCGGCGGCAGGAGAGCATAGATTGAGTGACGCTTGAGAGAAATCCCTGAATATCTACAATAAATGAACAAGCTGTCGGTGGGAATAGCGAAGATTATTGTAGCTTACATTCATCGACTTCTAGGCGGAAGCTCTCGATTGCGACTGAATCAGCACCGGCAAACCCCACTGTCTCTAAAACAACTCCGATAGATCTAGTGAGGAGTGCATCTATGACGCTCTCATCTTGAGGGACCGCAGCGGCGTCGGCAGGCTGCGTTTGCTTGTGTTGAATGGTGTGGTGATGAAAATACCGCCGTCGCTTGGTGCTATCACCGAAATCTTCATTCTGCGCTTCCGATGAGGACCTTTTCAATGGAATCACTTCAGTCTTTTTCTCGACGTCCATTTGCCCCGCAACGCTAATAAACACAGGCGATCAGAGGAGAAGGCTGCGGACTCGGTGATGATATGCCTAGGTATGTCCACAAGTAACATCTAGATGCGCTGATGGTGATGCTACTCCAAAGCTCGCTTATCATTCCTAGGTGAGCTTAGTTCCGAGTGCAGCTTGCACCTCCGAGGTTGCTCCTCCTAGTCCGGCAATTCCCAGATCACTCAAATCCAACTCCATCGCGTCAGAACCGCCTGTATCCCTCCGCCTCCGTCCTCAATTGTCATCAAGAGAACATTTGAACTCCTTCAAAATGCCCGTTCAGCCAATCACTGGTGTATGTTCTCACTCGTCCCTGACTTTGCGCTTTCAATTGTGTTGCACAGTCATGTGGATCTCGAAATAGTGAATGATCTAAGATGCAAGATTGCTAACGCTCTATGTCTTCAGATGCTCCGCCGGGGCCTTGTCCTTGACCTTAGCATTGCTTTCGGTGAGTAATGCAAGCCCTCGTCGATCAACGCAGTTTGTCGCCGGTCATCATCCGCAGAACTATCATCAACTCTCGGTTTCCATTGTTGCGCGATTATCACCAGTTCGATACAGTTGCTGATAAACAACTTACTAGGTCTTGGTACCTCCTTTGCCTACCTCTACTGGTACGGTATGTAAATTATTATTTGAGCTCAGCACGAGCCAACATCCCTTCTGATACACAGGAGCGCAATTGCTCATAGATGAATAGGCTACCACGTTCCTGCCACCCGTCAGCGTGATTTGTTCTACGCCAAGTTGGAGGACCAGAGAGCATCGGCTCAGTCTTAGAAGTTGAGAAATATGACTTTTGCGGCGGTCGGCAATGAATTGTAGAGAATGCGGCTTGGAGGCGTCGAGATATCCGGTTTCCACCACTTCTGTCCATATAGCTCGTCAATAATACCGGAAACTCTTCAGTTACACTTTAATCTGCGGGAACACTCTCGAATTGTGACAATGTATCAGATCCGACCGAATTAGCTTCGCAAGGCCGTATTCCATCTGCTACCCTGGGTATTGTTTACGTCGACTCTTTGTATCGCAACTAGATGTTGTTTTGGCCCTGATGCATTTCCGCATCTTTCCTTAAGTGGATTTAAATACCTCTTACCTTAAGTTATTCCTTATTCTGGGTTCAATAAGAAGAGCAATTCACCTTCCTTTATAAAAGACGGTTCAACTTTACAGAAACTCTGCCCGGAGACGCCGCTGACAAGATTTCGGAAAACCGGCATGTCATATTCGGGAATTTACAAGTTTTGTCCGCTTCCTTTACCAGGGTGAAAAATAGAAAGATGAGAAGATTTCTCCCTGTTTCCAGTTACTGGGTACGATATTCTTAGTTGTATATCCCTTGAAATCGATGCCACTGCTTTCGAAGCCAACGATACATTCATCCTGTTCCAGGAAAATGTAATGGACAATGTAAGTACACAGCTTTCCGAGCGTAAAACAGCTAACAAAAAAAGAAATACTAATAGTATAGTCCAAATGTAAGAAGATTGACAAGCTCAGTCCTACAGGATGACACCATTCACAAGACAGTATCACGCTCGATTGTCCACGACCTCTCTACATAAGGTACCTACCTTAAGTACTCTTGGCTGGGATAGCGAAGTCCAAGTTTCCCAAAAGAGGTAGGGGCGGGCACGGAGACTGCCGGTCACAGGCTCGCTTAATTCTCTTAGCGCGCACAACGTCTCGTTCCCTTAGGGTTTTCCAAGCGGATGTTCTATCTCAATTGCCTACGACGATCGAGGATTACGCTCCCAGACGACGCAGTCGCAAGTAGGTTTCCAGGCGCGCAATTTTCAATCGAGGGACCAAGACTAAACGCTTCACGGCAGATTAAATACCCGTCTCCTACGACTCCTGCGTCCCTGATCGCACAAGATGGCCGAGCAGTTGGTTTTGAGAGGCACCCTTGAGGGCCACAGCGGCTGGGTTACCAGCCTGGCTACTTCCATGGAGAAGTATGTTGGCAATCACTGGTTTTGTTGAAATGGATGGGATGCTGATGCGACGATAGCCCCAACATGCTCCTGTCCGCTAGCCGTGACAAGACTTTGATCATCTGGAACCTCACCCGCGACGAGACTTCCTACGGTTACCCCAAGAGAAGCCTCAAGGGTCACTCTCACATCGTCTCTGACTGCGTACGCTACCAAGAAAATTTGAGATTTGGAACGGGATTTGGAGGAGGCTGACGGCAAACACAGGTCATCTCATCTGACGGTGCCTACGCTCTGTCTGCCTCGTGGGACAAGACTCTCCGCCTCTGGGAGCTTTCCACTGGCCAGACCACCCGCCGCTTTGTCGGCCACACCAACGACGTTCTGTCCGTTTCCTTCTCTGCAGACAACCGTCAGATCGTCTCTGGCTCCCGTGACCGGACAATCAAGCTCTGGAACACCCTCGGTGACTGCAAGTTCACCATCACCGACAAGGGCCACACCGACTGGGTCTCCTGCGTGAGATTCAGCCCCAACCCCCAGAACCCCGTCATTGTCTCCTCTGGCTGGGACAAGCTCGTCAAGGTAGGTTCGAAATTGACAATCCCCAGTCCCCCAATCGAATTTCTTTTTATCAAAGGATGCTATGCAACCTTAAAGTATTTGCTACTTCAGAGCCTTCGGGCCATGAGACAACCAATCACCTATCGCACTGATGATATTCTTTCGAATCCTTTTCCGCTTCGTTATCTTTTGCTTGAAAGCGTTTCTAACGCGTTTGAAATAGGTTTGGGAGCTTGCCTCTTGCCGCATCCAGACTGACCACATTGGTCACACCGGTTATATTAACACCGTCACCATTTCCCCCGACGGCTCCCTCTGCGCCTCTGGTGGCAAGGACGGCACCACCATGCTCTGGGACCTTAACGAGTCCAAGCACCTTTACTCTCTCAACGCTGGTGACGAGATCCACGCCCTCGTCTTCTCTCCCAACCGCTACTGGCTCTGCGCTGCTACTGCCAGCAGCATCATCATCTTCGACCTTGAGAAGAAGAGCAAGGTCGACGAGCTCAAGCCCGAGTACGTCTCCGTCGGCAAGAAGAGCCGGGAGCCCGAGTGTGTCAGCTTGGCCTGGTCCGCTGATGGCCAGACTCTCTTCGCTGGTTACACTGACAACCTCATCCGTGCCTGGGGTGTTATGTCCAGAGCATAAATGGTCTAGGTTGTTTGGGGACATTGGAGAAGGATGGGTTGGTGCTTGTTTACGATGTACGTACCATTACTTTGCTCTAAGGCGATTGAGCTTGGGACAGGATATTCAACGTCCACGAAATGGATTGTGCCGTAGACATGTGCGGAATAAGCCAAAACGTCGGCTTTGTATATCAAAAATTATTTCTTTTAGTCCAACTTTCCCTTTTACGCCATTCTACTCAACCATGCCGAATTGTTAGGTGTCTATGTAACTATTGCTTTTTGGAAAGTCTCTTGATCCCGTCATTTGCATTTATGATGCCCTCCTCAAATCCTATTGCCTTTGCGAGGCTCCTGGCTTCAGAATATTTCCGTCGGGCTTCGCTGATCTTGCCATCCATCTCCGCAAATTCGCCCAAATTATGAAGCGCAACTGCGCAGCCAATGTCACATTCCTCGTTCCTCTCCGGGGGCTTGATGTCAGCAGCAATGGCTTGTGCCTTTTCGGCCCATGATTTTGCCGATTTGATGAGCGTTGATCGCGATGCTGGCGCCGTTCCTGATGCTGCAGGAGGAGTTTGCTGTGCGAGTGAGATGGCCAGGTTGTTCACTGCTTCAATCAGCCTATGACGGGTTGCGGCGAGAGTTAGAGCCCAAGCTTACTCAGAACTACCGTATGGCAATTTGAAGCAGGTATCAAAGTCAGCGCGTGCAGAAAGAGCGGAGCTGCAAGGTAATGATCATTTCGCTCTTCATAGTAGTGGCCCAATGCTTGGGATTATCTATTAGCCATAGCACGCCTCCATCGTTCCATTCATACAACTCACTTTCCAGTGCGCCACCGATCTCCTCGTCCGTCATCCAGTCACCCTCGCCAGGCTTCACGCCTTCTGCAACCCTACGGCTTTTCTCGCGTAGCACGGTTTCCACCGCCCAGGTCAGCCGTTCTTCGGCGGCCTCTCTATCACGAACGTGCTCATTGGAATAGAGTTCGCCGAGCTTCACGTTGATGCCAACTGTCTTTCCTAATACTCTTGTTCGCTTGCCCTCATTTCCATCCTTTCCGCCTAGCTCATCAATCCAACGCAGACAATCTCGTCTCACAATCTCCAAAACATCGATCGCTTTTCGGTAGTGTTCAATCTTCTCGAATAGCGCCGCAAGCTGGATCTTCACCCCGAGAATTTCATCGCTGAATGGATCCATTCCAAGTTCGTCGGCCGTCGCAAGCGCTTGGCGGTAGTATTTAACCGCATCTCTTGGACTGAGCGAGATATTCGTGTAATATATTGCCTTTCGCAGCTTCTGTGCTACAGGTTCCGGAAAATTGTGAAATGCGCCAATGATGTAAGTCTTGTATATATAATTGGAGTACGCAAGAAAGCCAGCCCCTGAAAGTATACTATATAAAAAAATTTAGCATTGCACCGTAAGTGGGCGGATAATTGAACAAGGCATACAAAAATGCGGCCATAGAAACTGAGAAAGGATGGTTTCTATATAGCTCTCGTGCACCTGCACCGGTTGTAAAAGGCCTCGATGTTCGATTGGGCGTGTAAAGAGGTCGCAAGTGTCCCAGCGTAGCTCCGGGTTGGCGCAATGTCGGAGCTATCGCCGCCCTTCTGCTCGTTGATTGCGCAAACGCTCTGCAAAACATGATGAAAAAGAAATGCGACCCTATTCGTCAAAGAATGATTTAAAAGACGTTTTGAAGTAGGTATGGCTCCATCTGTGGAGGGAGGTCTTAGATGCTTCTGAAATATTGGCTTGACCGCTTACCCAGTCTCAAAGTGTTGTCAGAAATGTCGTGAAGACTTGACGGATCGATAACGTCAAGCTCGCTTCCCCGCGGGATGCCTTAGGCAGTTAAAATGGACTTGAAGTGGCGCGAGCTTATGCGCCTCGTATAACCAAACAAAAGACACGAAAAGTCGTAGTACTGGAACCACTGGATTTTAACATTAAATACATAAATAAATAGGTATCATGATATCAGGTAGTATAAATATATTTTCGACCAAATTTAATATAACAGAATAATGAAGTAGCTCGATGTGAGAAGTCTAGCTTTGTGAAATCCATCGATGCCGCCAAGCCGACGATTGCACAGCCTCATATTTAAGTTGCTCGCTCAACTGATTCCACTCCGCATCGTTCAAATCCCGCCACATTTGAGCCCCATTATTTCGTGTTAATTTGCTGGTTTCGTACCTCAATCCTGCCGCTCAGTCGACCGTCGTCTTTTGGATCAGTCGCGACGATGTCCGCGCACGAGGAATTGGCTAAGGCCGTGACAAATCGGACTCTAAGAACGATTCAAACCGTTCGTTTGATCAAAAGCTTCTCCTACTTTGTCATGCTGATGTCCTAACTCTCAATCTTCAGGAGCTCGAGTTCTTGGCGGATTCGGGCATAATCACCTCTCAAACGCTCTCCTCTATCTTATCTCAGCTCCCAAGTCCTCTGCAAACTCGGGCCACGGCTTCTGGCACGTCCATAGAGCAGCCCACCCGGACACCCTCGATTTCTGCGCCCCAGCCTCCGGTCGCTGCACTAGCTAATACGTCGCTGAACGAGAAGCAAAACGGTTATCCTCCGCCATCGCCATCGCCGGCTGCAGTCCCGCCTCCAGCTTACGCGCCCCCTCCGTCTGCCGGGCCTCCTGTGCTCTCCATTGCTACAGCTCTTTACCAATATAACCCTACTGATGCTGGCGATTTGGCATTTATTCCCAATGATCGGATTGGGATTCAGGAGTATGTGAACCCGGATTGGTGGAAGGGTCGGAATGAGAGGACCGGGCAGGAGGGTATCTTTCCTCGGACGTATGTCAGAATTATCGAGGAAAAGGCTCCGCTTCCTCCGGCTCCTGTCTCAAGTGGATATGGGAACATGCCGCTTGAAGTTAGCCAGAGCGGCTCGACGCCCTCTGATCCCAACAATCCGAACAAGCACGGCAAGTTTGAGGACGCAGGGAAGAAATTTGGCAAGAAACTTGGTGGGTGACAACCGCACTAATGTGCATAACTTGTGGCTAATCCTCGGTGTAGGTAATGCGGCTATTTTCGGTGCTGGCGCTACTCTGGGAGGTGACATTGTCAATTCGATTTTCTAAAGCTGAGTCTGAAATCTTTGTATATGTGGGACTGCGTTTAGGCTGCGTTCTTAATTTGTGTCTTCTGGATTAGCGGGCATCTTTTTATCCAATGATTCTTTCTATATAGACTCGATTGCTCCTGCAAAGGTATCGAAGCAGTATCGTGAAGCAGTATCATGAAGCCTGTGCGTGGCCACCTAAAAGTGGTTAATATCCCACAGAGGTGAAAGATCCTGCCTTAAGTCGTAGTATATTGCAGGTACTGAAACGATAACAAGTTTTAAGTTGAGGATTGAATTGTAACATTTGCAATGGGCTTTTAATTTGACCTGCCAAGAATCTGATTGCAGGTTACGTTTTCCTGGTTATCGAAGAATTGCAAAGAAACATCGATAACCTTGTCTTTCAAAAAAAAAAAAGGGGGGGGGCGAGAAAAAAATAAAATAAAATAAAATTAGATGATAATAAATAAAGCTCGAACTTCAACAAATTATTTCGACAATTATTTACAACTTCTGATCAATTATCTGGTACCTTTGCTTCGCAAGCAGGTACAGAGTAATAGTTAATTATGAGGTCAGCGGAATGCGAAATCGTCTGTCGTCATCATTCAATAGTCGGGATTTTAAATCCGGGGTAACTCCGCCCGGGTGCTTATAACACAGCACAAATCACATCTAGATTACTTCTAATCTGCCTTTTTGACTGATACAACTCAATTCTGCAATCACAGCGCGAAAATGCCATTTTCGTATAAGAAAGTCCTTGTGCTGGGTGCGACGTCGGGCATTGGAGAAGCATTGGCGGAGCGTTTCATTAGCGAAGGCTCCTTTCTGATTGTTACCGGCAGAAGGAAGGAAAGACTGGACGTGTTTGTCGAAAAACATGGCAAGAACAAATCGGAAGGCAGGACCTTTGATATCACCAAGTTGGACAGCATACCATCATTTGTCGCAAGGTAAGTTACTTCTTAAATTCACCATCAACAGGAATCTTGTAGCTTAATGGAATGTAGCGTGACCAAAGACCACCCTGACATAGATTGCGTCTTCCTCAATTCCGGAATTCAGCGCGGATTCGACTTCTCTAAGCCGGAAAGCGTCGATCTTGGACTCGTTGAACTCGAATTTCTGACAAACTACCTGTCTTATATCCATTTCGTAAAGGCAATCCTTCCCTTCCTCCAATCGAAGAAATCGGAGTCTGGATTGATTTTTACCACCTCGAGCCTGGCACTTGTGCCACTAACTAGGTGCCCAAACTATTGCGCCACCAAAGCAGCCCTCCATCAATTTATCATGGCATTGCGCAAGCAGATACAATCATCCCCTATAAAGGTGATAGAGGTTTTCCCACCGGCTGTGCAAAGTACGTACAGCATAACTCGTCGACGTGGATGGCTTTGGGAGTTTATTTTGGCTAACAGATAATGTAGCGGAATTGCATGACAAGGAGCACCAGCCCGACATTGAAAACGGAAGGCAGATGGGTATGCCGATTGATCAGTTCGTCGAAGAGACCTATGCGGGCTTGGCTGCAGGAAAGGAACAGATCCCTGTTGGACCTGCTAAGGACGTGTTTGAAGCATTCGAGAAAAAGCGACAAGAGCTGTACAAAGCTTAGACCGTTGGAATTGAGCTGATTCTCCTCCAAGGTTGCTCCCTTCCTAGGGGGCCGAGAAGGAGCGGTACCAGAACACGAGCTTCGGCCCTATTCTAATACCTTTGCTCCTTTTTCCTTTATAACTTTATCCTGTGTTTCATTTTCATTTTCAATATAGGTTCTACGTAATAAAATCTGTTACTAATGGCCTTCATTGTTACTACTGAATATATATGATTCCTCAGGAAGGCTTTGCCATATGGCTACCCGTTATTTACTAGCGTCATGGTGCTCGGTCGAGGCGGGTGAAATGCTTAGTGTCTCGGCTGCACGGGCCTTTCCCGAGTTTAGCACAAAACCAACGTCAGGGTTCCCGGGCAATTAATGCAGGAACGGCATTCGACATTACATTTGAACATGATTCCGTTATAGTTGAGAGATGGATCATGATTTCCAATCCTTTACCCTCAATTTTTATGCTTGCGTAGTCCTAGGTACTGTGTGAAAACTGCTTCTACCCAGAGAAATTGACCCTTTACAAAAGAAATTGTGGTTAATAGGTAACTACGGTGGTTTAGAGTCACATATATGAAAGCTATTGAAGTCCATGGTATGAACAAGCAAAAATTTACAAGCTTCTCTTCTACAATACGAGCTAACAGTATTGTACTCTCGATTTGCGACATTCTGAAACGGTATCTCAACAAACTCGGAATCGGAAAGCGACTATGCGGCAACGCTGTGTCAGTCACGTTTGTGTAATACGATACTCACCGGTGGCGTGTGCTTTGAAGCATATAAGTAAAGGAAGCAGATCCCGCTTCTTTGCTGGTGAGGAAGTCCTTGAGGAAGTCATACGATCTTACATCGCAAGCAAGCAGCCTTTGGCAGACATGAAAGGGCCTGTCCCCCGGAAGGTCCCCGATCCTACCGTATATTAAGTTTGCAAGATGCGTAGAAATATGATGCCTTTCCACTGGTACGGCTGAGACGCGGCGTTTTCCATCAGTTTCTCTGATGCACTGCGGAGACTGCCTTGCGGACCAAACGCACTCTTGCTTAGTCGCCCACCCCGCCAGAGAAACAATCCTAAGGGCTTTGTCCCGCTGGCATGATCCTAGGTGATTTTATGAGTTTTGCCTTTTTTTCTCCTCGCCTAAATCCCACTTACCTTCAAACATTCTACCGACTGCTAGTTGTTTCTTCCACAAACGAAAGTCATCACGACCCTCAAGTGGAACACGCAAGGTAAGTAGTTTCTTTTCTGCAGCGCTACTGGCCTTGTCGTCATCTTTTTAAGAAATCACTTGACTCTGTATCTCTCCCGCTTAATCTGGGCTGAACTTGGGCCAATTCAACCAATTTCCCCAAGGAAGTCATAGGAGAAGCTGTTACTCAGTGAAGCGGTGTTCTTCATTATCCCCCAGGCTGTATAACCCTGGCTCAGAAGAGTATCACTGATGGTCACCCTCTCTCTGTAGCTCTATTTCGGGAAGCTCTTGACCCTAAGAGCTTGAGCCGATAACATCTGGTACGTGCGAGCTCTTCCCCCGCCGGTGCCATCCATAGATTTCTCCACTGCTTCTCCGCTGCTTCTCCTTGTCCCATTCGTGCAATCCATGGCTCATATTTGGATGACGTTCTTTTTTCAAGACCTTTCCCAAGTCTCGAAGCTGAAGAGATCGGATTTCGGGGGTAGCTTTTACTGACTGCTGTTCAGTGACAATCAAAAGCATTATTGAGAAGATTGAAACCAAGAACATGTCTTGGGACGACTCGGGTACGTCTCTAGCACCTGTGCAACCTCATGGCAAGTAGGTCTTGTTCAATCATACCAAGAATACTGATGTGCCACCGGCTTTTAGGGGCAGACCCCTCAAATAACTGGGGAAGCGGCGCTGAAGACGCCTGGAAAGGAGATAACTCTGGATCAGGAGGCAAATGGAATAACGACAACGATGGCAACTTCGAGCAAGACCCCGAAAGCCGCTCGAAACATGCAGATGGCTTTGAGGCCAGTGGTGGAGACGGTGAGGGCTGCCGTAAGTGAGTAAAATCTTGCTCAAAGACGACAGCTACCACTCTATTGACGCTTGGTACCCTAGCTGCGGTCAATCCGGTCATTTTGCTCGCGAATGCCCCGAACCTCGTAAGCTTAGCGGCGAATGTTTCAACTGCGGCGAAACCGGGTGAGTGAAAATAAAGATGCATAGCTAGAGTCAAAGACTTACGTCAACAGCCATAATAAAGCCGATTGCCCGAATCCGAGGGTCTTCAAAGGAACCTGTCGTATTTGCGAGAAAGAAGGACACCCTGCCTCTGAATGCCCTGATAAACCGGCTGACCAGTGCAAGAACTGTCGTCAAGAAGGTTTGGAAGCCCGGACATGCAGAGCTGCCAAGACGCCCAGACAAAGCTAACGACAAGTTATCTATGTCAGGTCATAAGACGATCGATTGCAAGAATAATCGTTTCCTTGATTATACCGGCATCGAAACAAAGTCGCCCGAGGAGTCTTGGAAGGGACTCCAGGAAGCTGATGCCACCGGCGATTTAGATGATGTCCGTGATGTAAGTATAAGGCACCTTGAAATCATGAAAATGTAGCTCAGACTTTTTGCGATACAGGCGCTCCGGGTTTATTACAAAGCGGTCCCCCTCTCATCGTATGCGGAGATTGAGCAGGCGTTCCGTGACCATCATTTTGCTACTTACTTGATTGCGCGTGTGAGTCTTGCCGAAATTTCCCGCCCTGTTACCGGAAAAAGCCTTTAATACATGAACACTAGGAGAAATCCATCAATGATAGTCAGACCATCATGGATCTGCAGGGCAAATTAGGCTGCAAATACGAAGTCGGGTTGTATCTGAGCCCTAAAGTCCGTCGCAAGGCTGCCGCTGAAGGGTGGCCACCCACTCCTGAGGAAAACAAGGAACGGCTTCTGGACGCCGGTATTGTGGTCGATCGCCTGGTTCCAATCTGTGACCGGTGTCGCGGTATGTGTTGATCCTATCAGAAAAAGGAATCGATGCTAATAGTCTTTCTGTAGAAGCCGGCCACGTCTCGAAATTTTGCAAAGAAGAAAAGCCTGCCTCGGAGAGACCCATCGTAAAGTGTGCTAACTGTCACGAAGAGGGACACAGAGTGCGCGATTGTCCTCAGGAGCGAGTCGATCAATTTGCCTGCCGCAACTGCAAGTAAGAAGCCAAACCCTGACCAAGGCATTGAGTTGCAGGCTGACATGGAATTAGGCAACCTGGTCATAATGCCGCTGAGTGTCCTGAGCCACGTTCCGCTGAGGGAGTCGAATGCAAGAATTGTAATGAAAGTAAGTGCTGTCCGGCGAGAGAGCAGACCAAGGCTATGTAGTCTCTGATATCCTGCTAGTGGGTCACTTCGCCCGTGACTGCCCTCAGAAACCCGAGAGAGGAAGCAGGGCTTGCCGAAATTGCGGGTTAGTATTGCCCACCAGATCAGAGTGTTCGCAGCCGCTAATCGTCTCAGTGAGGAGGGTCATATGGCCAGGGACTGCGATAAGCCTAGAAATCCTGATACCGTCCAGTGTCGTAATTGTGATCAGAGTGAGTTGCTGTTTTATAGCAAAACGGTATCCCAAAGCTAAGGAGATTCAGTGGGCCACTTCTCTAGAGATTGCCCTGAACCCAAAGATTGGAGCAAGGTCCAGTGCAACAATTGCGGCGAGAGTGAGTGTCTATAAGAGGGCCGAGCGTTTTCAATTCTAACAGTGCTATAGTGGGTCACACCATCAAACGTTGTCCTACAGCCCCTACTGAACCCGCGAACGATGAGATTGATGTCGGAGACTCTGGTCCTGCCCCCGCCGGATGGGAGAGTCCGCCTGCTGCTCCTCAAGGTAACTGGGACCAGGGCGGTGCAAGTGCCGAAGCCTGGTAAACCTGTGAAAACCGGCAGCTCCCACGCAATGAGTCCATCTATCACCCCCATCTTGAGGGAGATTCGAGCCATGTTCGAATTGATAGATTGGACTCATATCGTGCCAACACTCGATTAAATTTCTTCGAGTTGTTCATTTTTCTGTTATTCTCGCGCAGTTGTTGTTAGAGAGTCTAGTCAGCTGGATGTCTTTCAGCATTTGATGAATTTCGGCCGTAGCTCCACCGCAAGTCATCGCTAGCTCTAAACAATAAAGAAAAATTTCTTAATTGCGTTCTAATTGCTGCGTAGCAATCCTCAAGTATGCAGTCTGGGGAGATGAAGATAAGAAATTGGAATATCTTGAGAATGAGGTGCAGCCTAGCCGTACGGTATAACATGTACGCAGCTAGTGGCAGTAGCCGCCAGCGCCGCAGTTCACTCACTCCCTAAGGTAGTTACCCCTAAGCCACAACGCAATCCGGCGCTCACCTAGTGAGCCCCGATCAGACCAACGCTGCATTTCGGGCCGGCCCGAGATAGCAGTTATCGTAGAACTGTTCCTTTCGCAGTGGGCCTAGGCAGAGCCAAATACCCCTCCAAATCCTGCTAATGGAATACGTTTAATGAAATTTACGGCACACGTATCACATCGAGCTGTTCGGGCATTTGTGGGCAACGGATTCTTCGCACAACTGCTTCAATCGTTCAAAAATTTGCTGTGTCTCGCGAGATCCTTCAAAATCACTTGTCTCTCAATGATCATACCAAATTGCATCATTCGAAAGCGGCGTGCTTGCGAAAGAAGTCGCATATCTCAAGTCTAATTCCTAAGTCACTGGTTTGGGCTTGTCTACAGCAATGACTCAAATATATTCACATCTTGACTGATTAAGCGATAGTTTCAGAGGCGTTGGAATTATATTTGGTCTATTTTTTTTCTTCTCTTGGTCAGATGCTATCTGTTCTTACTCTCCGCCTTGTCCATGACTCTCTCTGCTGTACTCTTCTCTAAATTTTTCAGTTTTCGGTGTCCGGATATTGAAGAAGCAAACGTGGTCACAGCGTTAGCCAGAAGACCAAGCAAGAAACACAAAAGCCACAAATCTGAAAAGTCCGAGCCAGGTCAAGTCCGTTCTCATTAGTGCGTTTTCCTGCTCTAGCCAGGTGTCAAATGAAGCCCGCAAAGTATTCCCAATCCCTCGGTGTATATAATCCCCCTTGCCCCACAGCTTCCACCATCAAGTCGTTATTTTTCATCACTGAGCGCACTCAGTCGTAACAAGGTTTTGTCATCTCATCATTTGAACCAAAGCTTCTGCGGCAGCTTCTGGATTTTTCGACCAAAGTCTTAGCCATCCAAGAGTCGCGCAAAGTGATTTGGGCCCCCCAGGCCCTCATGGGACCCTTGTAACCCTCTGCACCCGGGAAGGCAGACTTTCTGGCTCGGAAAGAGACAAAACAGAACTTGGGTGGGAATAAGAGTGCATTTTACTTGCCTTGACTAGTTCGAGCTTGTGATTTTTGATCTCTTTTCCCAGTGTGTTCTCGTTTGATCAAGTGATGAGAGAAAAAACGGTGCAAAAAGGTTCCCATTGAAAGGGGATACGGACAATGATGAGTGCGGCCTTGGCTTCAAAAGGCAGAACAGCTTGTGCACATCTTGGTTCTACATGAAACGAGACCGCTGCTCCGCTACTGTTAAAGCTCTGAGTCCACATTTGAAAGCAGGGAATTCAGGCAGGTCATCTAGGTGAGTTTTCCACCTTTCACGACTGTGGATTACTAGATAAAATGTACAAGGAGCGGGATCAGGGAAGTGATTGGGCTGAAAATACCTTTTTTCTGGTTTTCTTGATTTTTATGGCTCTATGAAACCAGCTCGTTGAAGCTTCGATTGGGCAGATATGGGAAGCGACACTGGCAAAGAATATGGGAACAAGAATTAAAACCTATACTGGAAGGCGGAGAAAAACAAAGGAGCACCATGCTACATTTAGACATTCTGTTTACAACGAATTATAGATGAATCTTGGAGAATGCATTGGCGTCTTCTTTTTATCTCAAGGATTAGCCAAGATCTATACATTTAAGTACATAAGATAGCTAATAAACAAATATAGACATGTGTTAATTGAATCATTACCGCCAAGGAGATATTAGTCATATTTAATAAAAGGCAAGCCACACAATGAGTGCTCCGTGAATATTGTCCTGATGGCATGTCAAGGGAAGCGAGGATAGCCATCTTATCGACGGATAGATATCTGGCATCTGGTCCAGGCACCAAAGGCAACACTTGCACACACCGAGAATGACCGAACTCAACCGAAACTGAGCGAGACAAAGCGAGAGCGAACGAACCAAGATAAAGTAACCCTCTCCGAGTCATGACAAACTTTGTACTTGGGCATGGGAGGAAAACGACTCTTGGAGGACTCTCATCGCTCAATCAAATCCCCGACCGATAATCGGACCCTCACAAACAACCCCACCGGCCCGGGGTCCCCCCCTTGTCAAGGATTGATAGGGAAGAGCACGCGATAAAAGCTCTGATCATGGATTATCAAGCCTCGAACCTCTTCACCATGTTGAAATGAGGTAATTGATCAAATTAAAACGAGATCTTAGCAGGCTCAAGGTAGCAGGGTTTCATGGGTCAGATGCCTAACATATATAAAACAAGCCGTCTATCAAACCTCCTGGATTGGTTGCAGAGAACAGGATAGCTAAATTGCAATTGCTAGACTTCCACGTCATCTGTGCGAACAACTTTAGAAAAAAAGTTTTCTTTAGCAATTGAAGTCCATCTTCTCAAACCGCAATGCCCTTTTCACGATCCATCTCCGTCGTTGGCTGCCATGCCGAGGGCGAAGTGGGCGATGTCATTACCGGAGGAGTTTTGGATGTCCCCGGGAAGACCATGTTCGACAAGATGATTCACTTTTGGACCCAAAAGGACAGTCTACGAAATCTGCTCTTGAACGAACCCCGCGGAAGATCGTCCATGTGCACCAATCTGGTGCTGCCTCCATGTGACCCGCGCGCTGATGCGGGTTTCCTGATTCTCGAAAGCGAGGAATACGCGCCCATGTCTGGATCCAACACCATCTGCACGACCACGGTGCTGCTGGAAACCGGAATGATTCCCATGAAAGAGCCCATTACGCAACTATCGCTCGATACGGCCGCGGGGCTGGTGACGGTGACAGCCGAGTGCGAGGCGGGCAAGTGCAAAAACGTATCCTTTGACAACGTGCCCGCCTTTGTATTCGAGCTGGACTACAAGGTGGACGTGCCTGGCATTGGCACCGTGTCTGTCGATATCGCCTGGGGCGGCATGATGTTCGCCGTGGTTGACGCCGGGTCTGTTGGCCTGACGATTGAGAATCGCTTTGGGCCCAAGCTCGTGGAATACGGCGAAAAGATTAAAAGGGCCATCCAAAAGGTCTACACTCCTGTTCATCCGGAGAACCCGCGACTCGGCCCCGTCAGTATTCTCTGCTTTACCCATCCGCTGGAGGAAGGACCCAGAGGCAAGACGGCCAAGACCACGACCGTTGTCTCGCCCGGCCGATTCGATCGCAGCCCCTGTGGCACGGCGACTTGTGCTCGTCTGGCCGTCTTGCATGCCAGAGGGGAATTGAAGCCTCACGAGACGTTTATCCACAAGAGTATCACCGGCACAGAATTCATCACGCATATCCGCGGCACTACCAAAGTCGGCAAGTACGATGCCGTTTTGCCCACCGTCAAGGGCCGCGCCTGGATCACCAGCTACAAGACGGTAGTCTTGGATTCGTCTGATCCGTTCCCCGAGGGTTTCCGCGTGGGTGATCAATGGCATGTGTCTGAATGAAGTGGGACATGTGTTTCCAAACTAGCCCAATCTTCGACCTTTAGGTCAAATTGATCTATTTCGTATTAGAGTTCTATAGCGCAGCAGAGACGCCGTGCGCTCGATTGCTCGTTTTGTGAGGGCATCTAGACGTCCACACAATTCGAAATGTGCCATGACTATACGCCAACAGAGCCGGACTCTGGGGCGCAATGACTGCCAGGTTCAGAACACATATAATATAGATCGTCACGATTGAGGAATTTATTTTTAGAAACCTTTTCAACCCCTTTTCACTTATATTGGCATTAGACGGGCATACAATTTGTGTGTATTTAGATTTACCATTTCAGGCGGACATGAACTGGATACTAGCTACTGAATCAAAGAATCTTACTGAGAACTGAATTCGAATCAACCCAATGTAACGCCGAAACACTACTAAACAAACACCTCTAACCAGATATCTCACCCTACGATTGTCCTCCAAACAAGGCATGATACATTCCACCACCACTACTGCTGCTACTCCTCCCTCCCATATCGGCCGACACGAACGGCTGATCGTCATCCTCGACTTCGATTCTTCCGTGACTTGTTCTTTGACCATTGGAGAAACGGCTCCTTGAGTCGAACCATATATCGCTACTACTCATTCTCTTCTTCTCTTCGTCCTTTGTCTCTTGCTGCTGCTGCTGCTTTGACCATTTACCTTTCTTATACTTCCGTTCTTTTCGCTTTTGTCGTTTCTTGTCATTCTTTCTGTGGAATTCCATGGAGATTCCTTTTTCGACTTCTATCGCACCGTCGTCCTGGCCGTCATCGTCATCATCGTCGTCCTCTTCTTCTCCGTTGTCGTCGTCGTCGTCGTCATCGTCATCACCCTGCGTCTCCTCCGCTTCATTATCCTCTTGGTCATCATCCTCCTCTTCCTCGCCCTCTTCGTCATCATCATCATCTTCAGCCTCTTCATCATCGTCGTCGTGGTGTTCATCTCTTCTTCTTTGTAGCTCGTCCAGGTCTTTTGTTATACTGAACAACGGGCGCTTCTTTTTTGGCAGGGATTTCATCTGTTTTGCAGAATCAAAATAACAATAAGTATCAGAGCGCCATCAAATTTGAGACCGGCGAGACCGGCTTACTTGGATGGGATTACCCTCTTCTTCTTCTTCTTCTTCTTCTTCTTCTTCTTCTTCGTCATCATCTTCCTCTTCTCCTTCCTCTTCTTTCTCTACTTCTTCTTCCTCCTCCTCCTGCACAGCCTGCATGCGTTGATTTCTCGTCCGCCTTCTAGTGTCCTGGAGAGAAGGGGCTTGCTGCTGTGTGGCCGTTGCCGTCGTCGTCACCTGTCGACCGGGTTTGAACGATGCAGCAGCGGCGTTGAGCGCTCGTGGAGTTCTCCCTGCACCTGCTCCCGCTCCTACACCCGTGCGTGGAACAACAGAAGGAGCAGGAGAGACACGCGGGCGAGCAGGAGAAGCCGCAGCCGCAGCAGCAGCAGCATTATATGCTCCGCCTGCGTTACCAGCTACGCTGGCATTGAACGTATACCCATAATACCCACCACCTCCCGAAGGAGCAGGGGCCGCGTTCGCGTTAGGTCCCGAAGGGTTCATACGTGCTGCCTTGAGACGCGCTTCATGCAACGGGGTCAGGTTAACCATTTGATACATTTGTCTGAACCCCGGGTCGCCCTGGAAGTTATATTTGTCTGGGGGATCAATGAGGATTTGGTCCGCGTATATCCCGTACAAGTTTTGACCGCCGGAAGTAATCTGGTTCGCTTCGGCCAAGCTCACAAATTGACCTGGGGGCGGTGATTGTGCTGTGGTGGAGAGGCTGCTCTGACGGGACGCCACGCGCTGGGCTTGCATGGCTCGGAGATGGTTATTGTTCATTTGAGCATATGCTTGTGTGGCGAAGGTGGAAGTGTAGTTGTACAGGCTCCATGCGGGAATACGCTGTCGACCATCAGGGCGCATGCAATCATTGATAAGGTCGAGAAGAGGCCTTGAGATGACAAACTCGGCTCGCGCCTGTGGGTCGTGACTGTAGAATCGTTGCTGATATTCGTCTGGGTACAACTTGGCGGCGACAAGGACAAGGTCCGACATGGTTCGTCCTACGGCCCAGGTATCTGTGTATGGCCCATGAATTGGGTTGGGCTTGCGCGGGTCACCGATTGGGATGGTTTTGTCAAGTTCCTGTATCATGTAAGTGTCGTGGCAGGAGAAGACTTGAACCAAGAGTTGAAGAGAAACTTACAGGAGCAATGTAAGCTGAGTGTATGGCTCCGTGTTAGTGGCTTCAAATTATCTAGGTTGGATTAAAGTGGGAGAGAGGACATACACGGTGTGCCATGTCTAAAGGCGGACTTGAATCTCCGGACTTTTTCATTCGGGATAGTATACGCATGACCTGTACCAGCACCATGAAGCATAAGCCATAGATCCAGACAGAGGAGGATATGCTAATAGTGTTGGGAAACTAAGAAGGTTCGCGGACATACCAAAATCACCTAGCTTGACAGTCGGATATAACGTGCCGCTTTGAGCATCAGGCTTAAAGAGCAATATATTCTCCGGTTTGATATCTCCGTGAATGATCGCCTCCCAGCTGGGATCACGACTTCCATCTGCTCGGCCATGAGCGAGGTAACATAGCGCAGTCTATCAAGGCATCGAGTTTAGCCATATATTTCAGCTTGCATATTTCCCTGGAGAGATAACCCGGGGGGATAATATCCGCACGACTAACCGCTAGACTGTTAAACACATGCCACATAAACGCCTCTGGGATCATCAACCTTAAATATAAATTAGAAACTATGGCAATCTGGACAGAGAAAATGGGGCAGTACAATGTAACCTACCGATGAATAGTGTAATACTTGATCAAATCCCACAGAGTCCCATAGTCGGCATATTCATATGCGCAGCGCATTTTCGTGTTTCCCACAGTGGCCCATTCGAGAACTTTGACAGCATTCTTGCAGCCCGCATCGTTGAGGCGCTTTGTCAAGTGTCCTTCGGAATTGTAATCTTTAAAGAAGGGGTCTAGCATCGAGTCTTTGGTCACGATCTGGAGGGGCTAAAATGGTGCACAACATTTATTAGCGTTAAGAGTGAAGAACTAGATAACGAAAAATAAGACTCACTGGCTTTTCATCTCTCATCAATTCCCATAACATTACTTTGCCCTGCGCACCTTCTCCGAGAGTCTTGACTGGCCGCCAACCAATTCCCCAATTTCCCGTGAACTTGGACTCCGCGTTCGATGCCAGGATCTCGTATAGGAGCGACGGAGTGCCGCCCATACCCGGAATCGATCTCGAATCACGCCGGGTCAGTTCATTGGCGTAGTAATTATACAAATCTGGATCGGGAAACAATTTGCTATCTCTGCGCGTGACGAGTGCCTGCTTGAATATTTCAGGGAGGGGAGTAGCTGGAGCGGCACCGGGTAGAGATCCACCTGATCCAAAAGGGTTTGGTACAGATGCAGAGAATGGGCCTCCAGAAGGGGCCGGTGGTGGGTATCCAGTTCCCGCGGGCCCTAGAGAAGGAGCAGCGCCCCTAGGAGAGAGGAGCTGTTCGAGCTGGGTTGACATCGTATCCACGACGGGTGGATCAAATTTGGGGTCTCTGGCAGTCTTGATGGCACGCTGAGGGGTGTTAGCACCGACTGGCAATGCATTTGAGGCAGAGACAGATGCAGCAGCAGAGAGCTGTTGCTCCAGGGAAGTCCATGACTGCAAATATCAACCCAAACCATCCTAGTAAAAAGCCAGACAAGCAAAAGCCAAGAGAGCTTGGGGCTGTGGGTTGCGGTAACATACTCTCGTTTTCTTAGACCCTTTACTGCTCTTACTCGACCCTTTGCTTACTTTACTCTCATTGACAAAGCGTCCTTGCTGACGGGCCGTTGCTCGAGTGGTTCGGCCGCTCTGTTTCTGCGCAGCTGTGGTCGAGCGCGTTTCTCGGGTTTGGCGTTTTGAGGACGTATTCCGCTTGGCAGCGGCAGACCTAAGGGTGCGTTTTATATCTTCTTCCTCCATTTCTGGCGATTTTTCTTTGAATCTTTTACGAAGTATGGGTTACTTGGATGATAATCTTTCCAAATGAGACGGTATCCAGGATTATATCGCCACAGAGGAGCAAATAATTTTGTGGTTAAACTTTGGGGGAAAAAAGGCCAAATAATCCTTTCCTTGGGCAATCCAACACGTCGTCGATGCGCAAAACAGAGTCCGGCACCAGAGAAAGAGGGAACGAAGAATCATGGTTGGACCGTGATACCGTGGCATATTTGAAGGGCGGACTCGAGATAAAGAAATTGCGAAATATTTAAATGGGACGAAAATCCATCGTTTTCGCAAGCGGTAGCACAATAAAAAAAATGTCCCAAATCGAAAAGAGAGCTAGGGATAATTCATCAGCAATTCTTGATGAGGGCATCGAGCGAATTCAAGGTTCGTCAAAGAATGTCGTGTCGGAGTTCTGATTTTTAGTGGTTAGATGGAACAAAGGACGTCAACCTTAGCTCGAAATGAGTATAACACCACGCATGAATATCGTCAAGCGTCAAAGAGATCGCTTCGAGCTCACTCGTCTTTGATCGCTCATAGTCAGCAAATACTGGCCGTCAAAGAAAATACAGAAAGCAATAGTCATTTGAAGCCTTGTCATCCAAAGGTACATTAAGTCAAAAATCCAATGGAGAGAAGAATATGTAATCATTATCGTAAAAGTATTAATATCGTACAAAGCATAAGAAATTAGGGTTCCAATACCGCCAAGACGCCGGTCATTACTTGGTTAAAAAAAAACTGAATCAAGTTCAGGGAATCATTATGAAACTCTCCTGCGACTGGAAAAGCCGAGGAAGAAGTAGAAGGGGAAAAAAAAAAGGGATATAAAATGTGACTTGCGTAAGCGCATGTACGAGACTCGCGAAGAAACCACGTAAGAGCAGTTGTGGATTGAAAATGTTGCCCGAGTCGGATTATGGTGGGTATGTCCTTGATTGTCAATTTTTCGTCTCCCGGAGGACGTAGCGTTTCGAGTTGGCCTTTAGACCTGGGACATGGCGGGGCCGCCACGGCGAACGCCACCACTCCGCAGGTTGGTGGGACCAGACGAGCTCATTCCGGAGATGACCAAGGAGATGAGGTAGGCGGCGAAGGCGAACCACATAAAGGCAGTCACGGCTTGAGCCTCATGGCATCGCTTCTTCAGGTGGAACTGAGAGCTGTTGATGACAGAGTTGCTCACCAAGTAACCCTGATGGACGAGATTAGAATGAGTCGAGTAGCACTTTTGAAGATGCAAACACTTACGTAGTTGCCACAGCTGTGAACACGTAGCTTGGACGCCAGAGCAACACCCGCACAGAAGAAGAAAATGGTGTTGAGCAAGTCCACCACCAGCAAAATGATAGGGTGGAAAGAAAGGCCCTCCTTGAACGAAGCCGGGATCGTATAGAAGAGGGTGAACAAGGAGAAGGCGGCAACAAACATCGCGTAGTTGACCACCGCCGTGTTATTGTGGTTCGCCGTGGCAATCATGTTACCGACCAGGCCCATAATGATGACGGTCCAGATAAACTAAGAACCCATTGTCAGCAAGAGATGCTCATCGAAGCTTTGCAGCGCCAAATGAAGACGTCAAGGAATTTTCACCGGCGACGTACCTGGAACGACCTGGCGGTGAGGTTCACAAGCTTGGAGACAGCCATTGTGTAAGATTTGGGGTTTCTCTCGAAATCTAGTGATGCCGAACGTGCACTGCTGAATAAATGCAATAGCGGACCCAAAAATTAACTTTCGAAGATACGCGGGCGATCACTTTGTCGATAGGGCGGCTGTGGGGAAGAGCTATGGGAGAAGCTAGATGGTTGTCGCGGTGATGGGTGTGGAAAGGAAAAGCAGGAGGCGCAGTTGAGGGAGGGAGGGAAGGATAATATAGTGGTTTGTGGGGAGTTTTCGGAACGGCAAGGGCAAAGGAAAAGAGCTCAGTTGTGACGAACAATAATGTATGATGCTGGGCGTATAAGCTTTGGTGGCTCTCAGCCTGGGACTTTTCTATGGGCTAACGTAGTTCTTCCGTGTGTAATCCAATCCCTGTCTTACTGCTGCAGCTACTTTGCTGCTGCTGCTGCTAACTGCAGAGGATACTTCATTTTTCCCTTGATATCTTGCGTCTCCGGAGGTAGCTAGCCAAGGGCAAACCGGGGGTGGGACTGCTCGATAGCTACGTCATCGCGACCAGTCTCACGATCCTCCCCGGAGTGAGGGAGGGGATGGATTGCACTATAGAGAGGCAAAATGGAAAGGGCGGAAAACTACCTACGTCAGGACGAGCCAAAGCATCAAACGAAGGGGACAAATGAGTGACTAAAGCACAATGTAAGACGTTACTACTCTAGCGGCAAGGACGGATAATTGGTCGAATGTGGTTCGAGTCATGGGTCGCACATGCTCTTGATCCCTTCGTACGAGGGTTTTACAATGGGATCAGGTAATCAGTTCCCAGCACCTTTCAGGTAAAGACTCGCGCTCTTCTTCGCTCTATCATGCCGTAAGCTCAGGCCCGATGACGATGTGGGAAAAGACCGCATTCGCTTCTTGCCGGGTCTCACCCCCCTCCGTCATCGAAAATCCCCCATCCTTAGTCGCTTGTTTATTCCCCCTCCTCTTCCCTCTGTAAGAACCCAAAATCTCTGTAGTACCGGCAAGTTAACGTTAGGTATTTCAATGAATGGTTCAACGTTGTAAGTTATGTTAGTAATGCAGCGGGAAAATCCTGGACTCGGTTTAGAAAACGCTTCTACAATCACATGTCTCACACAAAAGTTTCTTCACAAGGTAAAGTGCCATGTCAGCTTCTCACTTTGAAGCCGTTTCAACTGTCCTATCACGGTACATCCCGGAAGATACGGCAACGGTATTTCGACACGTTGGGGCCTGGGATTCAACTTTTCGGAGCAATGAACATGGCCAATGCAGTTGTGGAGTTGAGATGTCGGAGCTTGCTTCTACTCGGTAACTGATCGTCAACTCTATGCCGTCTCTCCGCACTTATCCGAAACATAAGGATTTATACCGCAGGAGAAGATTTTTTCCCGATCTGCATCGTAGAAGAAAAGGAAAAGACTTCTAACATGGTGTTGATTTCTATTTGCCGGTCGGCTTTGTGTCACGGGCATTGCTCGGCGAGCAAATACTATCAACACCGGAAAATGAGCCATATGGTCTTTCATGCCGGTGAGAGAGTAATCCCTTCCGGCACGCGTGCGCCATGATTCCATCACTGTAAGAGATCCATCATATCGACCTATCGGCTATTATACAAACACCCATGTCTTTACCCGCATGGTTCATCACGCCTGGTTCGCATGGCTTGCAGATCTCTTATATAATTTTCTTCGAATTATTCATCCCAAGCACGTTCCAATCGATTTTCTTTAAAGGGTTCTTGTCATCATGATGGACCTGCTATTTCCGACAAGCTATGGCGGAGGAAGTCCTCCAATAGAAGCAAAAGGTAACATATCCTGAATTGTGTGTGACTATGTGCGAATCAATCATGTCAGAGAAAAAAATAATGGATATTGCCTCGAAAATAGTACCTGAATTCTAAATGCCAGTACACATGTCGTTGCGCTCCCGCCATGCGCTCCCCTTCTCCTCTCGGTGAACACTTTCCACCCTAATCCTAAATGTAAAATCATGCACATGGCAGTCCGGGCCTGCTCAACTTCCATTGGTCCAGCCTTGGACAGCCCCGCTATCGCTTCGTGGATATAATAAATGAAGTAAAGTCGGAGGGAAAAAGAGAACTTCCGTCTTTCATACTCTCGGATTTTGTCAATCTTGTAAAATGACGCATGGTATCTCATTGAAGATGAGTTCAGTCGGCTTCAGCCAGCTGAATGATAAGTTTACTCGCAAGGTCGAGGAATGGAAAAGGACTAGAAACATCCTTCTCCTCCTCCTTTCTTCCAACTCCTTTCAAGTGTCTGAGTTTCCCATGGAGGTTGGACGCCGACCCTTGCGCGCTAGGGAGATTGCTACCAATGCGCTCGCCTTCAACCTTTTCTACCTCTTGAGTTGCCGATACCTCCTCCACCACATCCTCGATTAGACATTCATACCCTGCGCATTTGAAGTCCACCAGGTAAAAGTCTCGCTCCAACTGATACAGCTGGATCTCCATATGAACAAAACAACTCTCATCGGGGTCGGGATAGCGAGAGAGGCTTCCCGGTTGCGCAACACTTCCTGTTTGGCTACCAATGCTTCCACTCACGCTGTTCACGCTGCCTGTCGTGTTACTCCGTTTCCTGGACTTTGGCTCCTCATTGAGAGTCACTCGACTGCCATGGGCACTACTGGGATGCGGCATGCCGGCAGGATACATATCGTCTTTGCGCCATCGGCAGTGAATGACCCACGGATCTTCAGGGAGTGTATAGTAATCAGATCCTGACCTTCGGTGACGCCCTTCACTCTCAGTCGTGTAAGAGGATGCGCCAGTCAGAGAAGTCTCATGATGAAGCGATGCACCATCCGAAGACAAGGCCGTCTGAGATCGGCCGCCTTCGTAATGTTCACAGTGACCAGACTTGGGCTCGTCGTCATCGCTAACGCTACTACCTCGAGGTCTTGAGGAGCCTTCTGTTTGATCATCCTGTGTATAGTCATTTTCATCGCCAATTTCCCACTCGGCTCCAAGGGTCTTTAGTGCACGATAAATGCATCCAATGGCTTCGAGGGGTTGATTTCGGCTTCGGATACCAAACTGCCACTTGGTCGGGCGGGGCTTCTTTGAGGGGATGGGCGTCATCATCTCAGGCTTGGGTGGCTTATCGCTTGCAGAGTGTCCCCGATTGTGTGGACGGAGCCGGCGGGCATTCTCAGCTTGCTCTGCGCTAGATACAATGTGTTCATCGCCAGTACGGTCCTTGGGTGAAAACCCTGTGGATGGAGGACGTCCTTTCATGAATGCCTTGTGATAATCCGGCATGCTGCTCGGAAGGATAGCAATGTTACTGCTAGGGCTTCTAACCTCGTGCAGACTCGGCTGGCTGGAGCTGGAATCCCTATGGAGCCGATTCATGACTCTACTTATGGGCGAAGAGACGTGATGACCACGCTGATGGCCATCATGACCACGGGGCGAGCTTGGCATATGCTGATTCCAGGCAGGCGGCGACTGAGCAAGCCAAGGTTGCATTCCTTGGGCATTTGAAAGATTGGCTTGGTAAAGGTCAGCATTGGTATTCTAACCCGACATATTTATTGAAACAACGGTCGATATTATACTTACGATTTTCTTTCATGATGGTGTTCTCCCGGACAATCAGGTAGGCATCCTTGATCGCACTGGGCTCGTCTCGACCAAGTGCCTCTTGAACGTCGTCCATGGCATAACCCATGGTCTTTCCAAGCTTTCCAATGACAGATTGATGTAGCCTCTCCTGAACAGACTGGGGTTGCGAAGGAGCCAGTCGCCTTGGATCGATAGCTTTATTTGGGTCGACCCCCGTATCGAGAAATTCCTCCACTGGCGGCTTTAGGTAATCCGGCAAGTCTTTCAAGAACCAAGGATCTTGTCGGATTTCCTGAACTGTAATTCGATGAACAGGGTTCACTACCAACATCTTCTTGATGAGACTCGTAGCACCAGAGGAGAGATAGCTGGGAACATGGAAGTTGCCCTGGGCAATCTTCTTGAAAAGTGCTGGAATGTATTCATCATCAAATGGCAGGCGACCGACCAGGAGAACGTAGAGAATGACGCCACAGCTCCAGACATCAACTTCCGGTCCAGCGTAGAGCTTCCCAGAGATTACTTCGGGCGCAGCATAGTTAGGACTGCCGCAACTTGTTTTGAGAAAGTTTCCGTCTGTCATGATATTGCTTAGTCCAAAATCGGCGATTTTGACGTTGAGATATTCGTCCAGCAGCAGATTTTCAGGCTTCAAATCCCGATGGACAATTTTATGTCTATGACAGTATTCAACTGCACAGATCATCTGCTGGAAGAAACGACGAGCGGAGTCTTCGGTCATCTTTCCATGCTGAACAATGTAGTCGAACAATTCGCCGCCAGCGTACTCGAGCACCATGATGATCTCACTTGGCGTTGTAATCACGGTGTATCTAGAAAAAAAATTAAAAAAAATTCTGTCAGTATCGTGCAAAGAAGCCTATCCAGCCAAAATAAAATTTGGACGTACAGCTTGATGATGTGAGGATGTCGCAGGAGCTGCAGATATTGAATTTCTCTCTCGATCCTTCCGGCCATGTCTCGGTTCATCAACTTCCGGCGCGATATAATCTTCAATGCAACCTTCTGTCCGCTAATTTGATGCACGGCAAGCTTCACCTTGCCAAATGATCCCTCACCAAGCGTCTTGATTATGTTGTACTGACCAAGTCGTTGCGTCGTACGTTGAGTGGTGGGCTCAGTCGTGATCGTGGTCGCATTTTGGGTTTGTATTTGCTGTTGCGACGGTGGCTCGGGCCTTTTGTTTGGGGATCTTCTGGAGCCATTACTTGGTAACGAAATAGACAAATCTTCCTCGTCAAAAGCTGGCGCCATTTTGTTGGGGAGATAAAGACGGTAGGGACGTGCTGTTACGGTTGGGTTGATGTCTTTTCAAAAAGCGATCGAGAATGAATGCATTCAGAGCATAGGGCTGGATGCAATTAAAGTCGAATAAGATATGCAAGGACCAGAAAGCAAGGGTAAAAGCCTCAAAACCCAGTCTGTTGTCGTGCTCGTGGTACTTCGTTATGGATCGCGTAAACCCGAGGGTGGTGAAGCGGGGTCTTCGGGGGGGGAAGCAAACAACTTCTCTGGCAAAGGAGAAAATTGAATATAATCGAGTGGCAGCCGCTCCGAAGTCAACTAGGATAAGATCTCAAAGTTTCGCAACGGTTGAGGGGCGCTGTGACGAAAGCTGAGACGCCTTAACGCACCCTGATCAACACTCAGAGCTGTCGCCAAAACCGACCCAGCGGTCAGTTTGATGGCAACGCCTAAACACGCGGCAGATCAGTCCAAGGCGAAAGATTATCCACTGGAGTGAAGAGGCAGAACAGCGTAGGTTTGGTGGAGATCTTGAAGGCTCCTTCCAGGTAACGTGCTTGTTGACTTTAATGTGAGATCTCTCGGGCAGGTCGGACGTCTAGATTGAGCAGACGAGTCTGGGACAGGGTGGGGCAGCAGTCAGTACAGCCTGGTCGTACGGGAAGACACTTCTAGTACCATCGATTACTGCCGAGTTCCCACACAAAACGAAGTATCGAATCAAGTACCCTTGGGCTTGTGCTTGGAGCATGATGCTATGGAGACACTAAAGTCTTTGTGGGGTTCAACCTTCCCCGTAACAAATCGAGCTAGCGCATCGAGCTCCGGGCTCAGAGAAGGGTCACCAGAGCGCACATATTCACGATCTCTACCTACTTTTCGTGACATCTCGTAGAAAGCTCTCACTGACGGATAAATTTGATGTGGAATCTAGAGATTTTGAATGGTGAGCTTTTTGAAATTCTCTTTGTCAAATATTCATTCTTTCTATACGTGATTTATGCGGCTGGAAATATCATCCAGACTCGTGAAAATACCATTTTATTTCTAAACTACTCTATAAATCTCACGAGATTATAAAATATTGATATTTGCATTTACAGGTTGCACTCGCTCTGAAAAATTCTTGAAAGAGTACTCAATTCTTATGATTAATTTATTTCTGAGCAATATTCATCATCAGAACCAAGAGACAGGTCAAGAGACCTGCTCCTTGTACAGACCGAAAATGACCTTTCCACCATTATTGCATTGTACCCTCGATTTCCTTTAATTTCTGTACAAGTTTTTCCTGCAGAAAAGGACTAAGCCCTAGTCTTCGAGGACTCGATTAGACTTTTGCTCCTGCAGTACAGTGGCATACATTACTCACATTCCCTCTCGGGTGACAATTCTGAAAGTGCCGCTTTCCTGGTATGAAGATTTCCCTTCCACGATTTGGCCATGTGAATCAACTTCGATACTTCCGAATATGTCTTCTGGCGCAGCTAGAAATCGATAAGCAACCACCAGCGCGCTGAAATGAGAGGAGAGAGGTTTCTACCTATGCGTCCAAAATCCGGAGGATTCCGTGTAGAGCTGACATGTATGAACCCACCTACGCCACCTCCTCCCATGCCACCCTAGACAGTATCAATATTTAATCACAGTGGTAATCTGGTGGATGATTTACTTGAGCACTAGCACCACCGGCACCATTTCCTCCGGCACCACCACCGCCGCCAGATGTGTGCGTTCTTTTCTTGGGTTGGTGCGGGAAGAAGACGCCTCCACTACCCAGTACCGCACCTCCAATTGATGCCATAGATTGCGCTTGAGATATCACATCTGGGTCATTTCTGGCATTCTCAGCTATGACCGTCTGGAGGATGGACAGGAATCTCGGATTGTCTGTGAAAGATCCCGGACGTGGTGGCAATTCACTCGTCGTCCCTAGTGCGAGCTCCGGCTTGGGCGGATTGGTCGAGAGGAGTGATAGAAGTTTATGTGTATGACTCCGTGGATCTGTAAACACATACTAACTTGACAGTCAATACGGTGCTTGCGTCTTCAAGCGGAGAATAACGTGCTATTTCGGGGTGCGCTGGCAGAGTTGACACCCTCCTGCTCGCTCTACCTAGAGCTGAGCGAACTAAAGTCGGTCGCAGTGTTGCTTGTAGCATATCGAATTAATGATTACAATTGAAAATCATATAATGACACTTTGCAAGACGTAAGCAGATCAGTGAGAAGCAGTTTGATCTAGAAAGGCATGAATGTAGTAAACATTGATTATTGTGGGCAGATAGCTTGTAACTGAGATTCAACATACCCACGTCATGAAGCTTGATAGGTCAGGGTTGTAGTTATTGTTCTGCGTCGGCTAAAGCTCCCCATTAAGCACAACGCGCTCAACACGGAGAGTTGCCATTAAAGATGATGTTGATACACAGAATGACGATGGTCATGGCAATTAAGTTGGGGAAAAAACTATAGTATATCATTGGAAAACAGCTTGAATACTCTACCGTCTCAGTCGCCATCTTACCCTGTATCGCGATGGTTCCGCATTATTGAGAGCTGCGAATCAGAGCCACATGTGGAGCTTACTGCTTATCAGATCTCTGAGTAATATTTAGATTAGTTTGAGGGAAGAATTGTCCACAGTAACGATGCACAGGAAGGATCTGAGCTGCAGCAAAGTCTGGAAATGGAAAATAATGGGCCGACAAGGAGCTTCCCTCAGCTCCGAGACCGGCGCGAACTGTGAAGCCGGAGAGAAAAACAATTTCGACCAAGGAGACCCGGACTTCAAGCGCTTAGCCTTTTTCTTAGTCTCATCCACCTTGTTACAGTCTTCGACACCCCACAATCTGATATTGTAGCGCGACTTGTCGATCTAATGCCTCAGGAGATCGAAGTGCGCAAAGTATCGTATCTGATTGATAATGAAGATGAGTCAGTCTCTTGGCGTGCAACCTATGAGTCCGTGGAGCAAATGGTCCCGAGGCATGCGTCCTCCCGATGCAAGTACGTAGCTCCAAAGCAAGAAGCTCTAGGAAAGATTCTTGAGCATGATGAGAGCAAATCTCTTATTCGCACTTTGCTTAATTTTCATAGCCTTCAACTGAATATACTTTTGCCCTTCGAGCTGCAATCTGTGATTATCAAGATGCCGAAAAATATTTTTGTAGCTCCACCAGTTTGTGGTCCATGGCTTGGTGGTGATGCCACTCGTCAAATGGTTGAATGACCCATACCTTTAACTTCTTTGCCCGCACTACGCAATATGCGAGCCACTAGTTACCTGTAAAGAGAAGAGCTCCCCCATCACTTTACGGAGTACAGTTGGCTTTAACCAAACGAGTTAGGGAAACGCTCTGCTGACGCCCATTTTCTGCTCACAGAACCACACCATGTTCCACTGGGAGATCCAATTTATGCTTTTGTTCCTGGGCAGGCCGTTCGATGTCGCTAGTGCCCTGTGACAGCCGCTCCGAAAGGGCCGAAGACCCTGGTCCTGCCAGAGTCGAACTGCCTTGCAACGGAATAAAGCCTGTACCCCTCCCGCGGGGTTTAAAATAAATATGTCAACTTACCATTTCATAACCTTTTCTTGTCCCTTTTTAGAGGCGAATATAAAATCATTCATTGAACTCTCTGATCCTTGGTGAATTTGCTGGCCACCGCCTTTCTATTCGACTTTTAAAGAGCACCTGCTACGCTGCTGCTCCTTTACGGAGTGCATTTGGGTTGCTTCGCTCGGGCAGCATTCTCCTCCAAGTGGAAGGCATAGGTACAATGGAAATTAGTCCTTCCCCGGAGCCTGCACAAGAGGATGGCAAGCGATACTATCACAATGACGTTGAGATAGCAGCCGAAGAGCATGATTTTGACCGGATTGAAAAAATATACAAGTAAGGAACCTAGATACAGCCTCTACTACGACTCCTCAGCATTGTCTAACACGTTGGGTCTACCAGCAAACTTGACTGGAGAATTTTACCAGGTCAGCAACCAGGTGTGAATAGTGGTTAAAATTGCACATGTAGCTAATTCTCTCCACAGCATTCTGGACCTTGTACTTTATGTGCTCTGCTATTCGGTCCAATGTTGGCTTGGCGCAGACGATGAACCTAAAGCAAGGCCATGACCTTGCTTCTGTACTACATCTTTCCGAGCACCAAGTCTCCACCGGCCTTGCGCTCTTCTACGTTTGCTATGTTGTTTTTGACCTTCCAGCAAACCTAGTGATGACGAAGTTGCAGCCCCATGTGTGGATGAGCAGAATTGTCATCTGCGTCGGTCTTGTCGGTAGCTGCATGGCTGCCATGAAGGCTGCATGGAGTCTCTACCTTCTCCGGCTGCTTCTAGGAATTGTCATTGCAGGAATGTGGCCCGGCATGTCATATTACTTGACGCTATTCTATCCACCTTCTCGCACTGGCAAGAGAATTGGTCGTTATTTTACAGCGGCACAGGTGTCGGCAGCAGTCGTAGGCCTAGTCTCTGCCGGGTTTCAGCAAATGGACGGTCGTGGAGGCCTCGTTGGCTTCCAATGGATGTTCCTCATCTGGGGTCTAGTCACCATTGTTGTCGGATTCGCTTTGCTTTGGTGGCTTCCTGATCGACCACTGCCGCCGGGCGAGACCAGAAACCGGTCAGGGTGGCGAAAATTTATCCCCGCATCCAAGCCAGCCCTGACGGGTGAAGATGCAAGAGTCCATTACGAAGATCTTACACGAGTCTATCAACGCACCCAGTGGACCGCGAAAGATCTGCTTCAAGTCTTTCTTGACCCTTATGCCTGGCCACTTTTAATATGTTATTTTGGCGTGGTCGGGGTAGGATATGGTATCCAAAATTATGGTACTGTCATCATTAAATCAATTAAACCAAACCTCACGGGCGTCCAACTAAGCCTTCTTTTCGCCCCTATTTGGATCGTAAGTTGATCTCTTATAACACCAGTTTCTGCGGAGCACCATCGCTAAGGACAAACAGATGGACCTAATTGCAATCCTCCTCGTAACACCCTTTTCTGATCGTTTCCATCGCCATCGCGCGCTGTTCTTCTCGATCCCCGTTTTGATTCAGATTGCTGGCTTATTGATAACCACTTATTCCGGATCACAAGCGAACCCATGGCCCCGGTATGGCGGTCTCCTTATTGTTGGGTTTGGTCTCGGGCCCACTGTGCCCATCATCATGGCTTGGACAAACGAAATATTCCAGCCACGGCATGGCGAGGTTGGTGTCGCAGCAGCTAGCGCTCTTGTATCTGGATGGGGAAACCTTGGTTCTGTTGTTACGACCTACGCATTGTACACGGGATGGTCCGCCGATAGCAAACCTGGCCCGAAGCAGTTTCACAAAAGTAATCTGGTTATGATTGGCATTCTTGCGGCCTCTATTCTCAGCTCGATAGGTTTAACTATCATGCTGAAAGTTCTTGGGCTGGACTACGGCCGGAAGCAGAAAAGGATTACGACCCGCGAAGGCGAGGATCTCCCTCCTACCATCGACAATGCCGCTCGTCGCGAAGCTCAACAGCAAGGGCTTAAAGGCCTGGGTAGATTGTGGCCGAGAAGATAAGTGACATCGTGTCGCTTGTGCGAATGAAACGAAACGCCAACAGCGAGTCATTACTTGAGAGGCATGGAGCAAAATGGCAAGTAACTTCAGCACAATCGACCGCTCATAAAGGCAACGCTACAATAGAGTGGTCCAGCATTCAGAAACGACGGCCGCATACTCTCGTCGCCACAAGCCTTATTCTCTAGGAAATCGTTTGGCGTCCAGGGCAATCATGTTGCTTGATACCGATTTCAGCATATTGCCCTCTCGAATAGGTCAGCTGGCAGCTCTGCGGCGCTGAGCATGAGAATGACTCCCCTTCCCCCTCAGATTAAGAAGCTAAAGATTCCCATGGAAAACCTAAAATTATTGTAATTCTGATGTAGAAGATGAATGGCATGTATCGTACTACAGTAAAGAGCCAAATTTAATTAACTCGCCTCTGCCTATGACCACATCGTGATTTACGGATGATGTCGATCCGACAGAGTTGGTCATTTCGCTTGTATCTATTTGGAAGGAAGCGGCTTGGGCTTTGACTTGATTTCCTGATTGGAATTTAGACTCGGGTTTAGCGGCTTCGGGGCTAGAATTCCTTGACGGATGAACCCTGACAGTAAAGTATCAAATGCCGACTACTGCCGAGACGTTACATTGTCGGACAGCGAAGTGCAGGCCAAGTGGAAAGTACTGCCTGTTAAAGAGCGATGACAAGGTACCAGCTCAGGCACGTCCCAGTATACCATGTATCGCAATGAGATCATCCCGCACACTGGTCCCGAGCTTCCGAAGAGCATCCATGGGCATGGGGGGGCCGGGGAAGGCACACATTGGTCGTTTGCTCTCCAAAATTGATGAAATGCTGCTAGTTCTTTGAGACAGCAGGGCTTATGTTACCACGAGACCAAACTTCCCAGCGGGAGAACGTCAAGACAGCAATGACGATGACCGCGTTCTTGCTTCCTATCGTACCCTATTGTAATCCTCAATCTTTTCCCGGTATTCGTCTTCATCGCAGTACCTTTCCAAACTCGCAGACAGGGACACGGAAGAATTTCCGGATTCTTGGGTCCGCGCCTCTTCCGCCTGTTCGAGGCATTTCGGCCGCTCATTAATTCACCGTTCAAATTTCTGCTCAGGCCGCCTTATTTGTCAGGAACCTATACCCATGTTTCCTTTGTTGTGCACTCCCCTGATAAAGTTTTGAGCCTAAGGCATTCGGCTTGGCTTTTTTTTTGTTTCCGGTGGTGCTCGCTATTAGAGCTTCAGACACGACAGCACTGTCACCCAACAAACACTCGTAAGTAACTCATTTCTTCGCATTTGTGATATACTGAGATAAGGGTCCTTAAGATGGCGACGCTTCGCGATGCCGATGGTTCAGTTGTCCCAACTCGGATACCGCCGGCTATCGATTTCCCCTATCCAGATTCAGATGACGAGCACGAAGGACCGTCAAATAGTTCATCCTTTTTAGATGGAACATCTCCTGAAAAGGGAATTGAAGCAGATCCCGCGCCGAAACCACCGAAAGTGAACGAGCCTAAAAATTCGGATCCATTTCGACCCGCTATAAGGAGATGGGAAACTGAACGGCCCCCGCTTGGCCCTACAAGCTCGTTATTCGCTTTAACACGAAGAGTGACTGGAGGCGCACGCCCTCTTCGCCCTTGGCTTTCAGCTCGTGGAGGCCTTGAGTCCGATTCGGATTCACTTTCTCAAAGCTCAACTTCCTCAACCCGTGCGGAATCACCAAAACCGAGAAGAAGAGAGCCAGTCAGACAAGAGACATTGGATAGCCAAAGAGTCAAAAAACAAAAGACGGATTCCGATCCTTATAGGAAGCTCTCGGTGGGCAACGGGGAGTACCAGACCAGGGGTAGGGTCTCCAAAAAGGATGGCCGGTTGAACATCTCTCTCCATGATGCTTCCAATAATGGATATTTGGCAAAGGCTTTGGGCGCCACAATCAAACGCCAGTGAGTGAAGGTTCCCTCGGAATGTTTTGCTTTCATATACTTACATGTGTGAAGCTTTCGCCACGACAACGGCGAGGCGACGCAGCCAATATCTTCCATTCGAGACGGCTCCGATGAGCGCAGCCCATCGCCAGCCTCATCCACTTACAAATCCTTGCCTCCTCCACGCTTGAATATTGTTATCATGGTCATTGGCTCACGTGGCGACATTCAACCCTTTCTTAGAATTGGGAAGCTCCTCAAAGAGGAACATGGACATCGCGTTCGTATTGCCACCCATCCAGCCTTTAAGAAGTTTATCGAGCAAGATAGTAAGCTTGAATTCTTCTCGGTCGGTGGTGATCCGGCAGAGTTGATGGCTTTCATGGTCAAAAATCCGGGGCTCATTCCTTCGGTCGCCACGGTCAAAGCCGGTGAGATAGGACGTCGCCGGGATCAGATGTTTGAGATGTTTCAAGGATTCTGGAGAGCATGTATAAATGCTACTGACGATGAGAAAGACATTGCAAATTTGAAAATGAGTTAGTCTACTCCGATTGCGCTTCCGGTGTCCTCCTGCTGAACCTCTTTTCCTAGTGGGCACTAAAAGGGCGTTTGTTGCGGATGCCATCATTGCTAACCCTCCTTGCTTTGCACACATTCACTGTGCCGAGAGACTAGGTGTCCCTCTTCATTTGATGTTTACTTTTCCGTATTCTCCCACACAGAAATTTCCACATCCGCTCGCAAATATCAAAAGAACTAATATGGACACCAATTACACGAACTTCATGAGCTATCCTCTTGTTGAGTTGATGACATGGCAAGGGTGAGTGCGATACGGACTTGACACTACGGATTTGGCTAATCGTCACGAAGGCTTGGTGACCTTGTGAATCGATTCCGTGTGGATACACTTGGACTGGAGCCGGTCTCCACGCTCTGGGCACCCGGTCAATTATACAGACTCAAGGTTCCTTATACGTACCTATGGTCTCCAGGACTAGTCCCTAAGCCAGACGACTGGGGGCCTGAAATAGATATTGCGGGGTTTGTTTTCCTTGACTTGGCATCCAATTTTAAACCGCCAGATGACCTGGTCAAGTTTCTTGATGCAGGCCCGCCTCCAATTTATATTGGCTTTGGTAGTATTGTGATCGACGACCCGGATAAATTTACACAGTTGATTTTCGAAGCAGTTAAAAAGGTGGGGGTGCGTGCCCTTGTTAACAAAGGCTGGGGAGGTCTTGGACACGAGGGCAACGTGCCCGAGAATATTTTCATGCTAGACAACACGCCTCATGACTGGTTATTTCCTAAGGTGCGGGCCGTTGTACATCATGGTGGCGCTGGCACGACTGCTATCGGGTTCAAGTGCGGAAAGCCGACGATGATAGTCCCCTTCTTCGGCGACCAATCATTCTGGGGAGCGATGGCTGCGCGTTCTCAAGCCGGCGCCAAGGCCCCCGTTCCATACAAAAACCTTACCGTGGACAGTTTGGCTGAGGGTATTAAAGAATGCCTGACCGATACGGCCCAGGAAAATGCCAAGAAGCTGGCAGATGCCATCGCCGCAGAGGGGGATGGTGCGAGGAATGCTGTCGAGTCTTTCCATCGACGTCTGCCTTTGCGAGGCGATGTTTCAATGCGTTGCTCCATCCTACACGACCAGGTCGCCTCTTGGAGATTTCGAGAAAGTCATATTAGATTGTCACCATTGGCGGCAGAGACTCTCGTGGAGAGGAAGTATTTGACTTGGAAAGACCTTGAGCTTCTGCGCCATTGCGAATGGAACGATTTTGAAGGGCCTGGTGAGCCTTTGACCGGCATAGGATCCGCACTATTTCAGTCTTTCGCCGGGGCAGCGAGGGGCGTAGGTGGAGTACCTGTACGTCTGATCAAGAAAGTGAAGCAAAAGCGCCACCTCCTTCGGCGCTTGTCTAAGAAACATCGAAGGAGCGCTCGCTCAGGAAAACCTCCAGAAGCTGTTGCTGTCAAGAGGCAAGCCAAGGGGAAGCCAAAGGAGAACGGCGAAGCAAATGCTGTGTCAAATGGTGGCATTGTGGAAAGTCTTCCGCCAAGCCATCAAGGTCGCAGTAATGTTTTGGAAGCGCTGCAGAATAATCTGCAAGGCCTTGATTCAAATGATAGCAACGATGTCTCAAATGATGTACCAGATCATTTTGTCCACGAGCTCGCGCATGAGTTGGCACAAGATATCGCCACAGAAACGAGCAGAGGGCTTGGGCAGACTGGCGCGGCAATTGCAAAAGGTATATTGACACCAATGATGCTTTTCCTCTTTGAATATTTCCTGCTCACAAATAATGATGCTTTTAGCCCCTATGAACTTTCTCCTTGCTCTCGGACAAGGCTTTCACAATGCCCCAAGGCTCTACGGAGATAAAACAGTGCGGCGAGCTCCCCGCATCACTGGGTTCAAATCTGGCATGCGTGCTGCTGGCGGAGAATTCGTATACGGTATCTGGGACGGCTGGACGGGAGTTGTCATGCAACCGTATAATGGTGCACGTAAAAGCGGCACACCTGGATTCGCAAAAGGCGTTGCAAGAGGAGTTGGCGGCTTTGTTTTGAAAGACATTTCCGCAATAGTTGGCCCGTTCGGCTATGCGCTTAAAGGCATTCACAAGGAGATGGTCAAAGACCGGTACGCGGAGCATAGTATTCGACGAGCTCGCATTATCGAGGGGCAGAAACAGATTCGCCATCTGACTCCCCAAGGGAAAGAGAGGATTTTTGCCAGAGTACGGGAAAGTTGGGACGTCGTAGACGCAATTCGTCAAGAATGTGAGCGGACGAGAAAGCAAGGGATCCGAGGTCGAGCTCGAGCGCAACGTGAAAAACGCAAGTGGGAATTTTTCGGAGCATTTGAGAATGTCGACCAGGCGGATAAGGCTCTCAAGGCCAAGCACCGCGGAACGCCCTTTGATCGAGTATTCCGCAAACACCGACAGGAGATACGCGAGGCGCAAGATCCACGGACATTTGCGATGAATGGAAATGGTCATCAAGTCAAGATGAATGAGTCGGACAGTTCTGGTCTGGCAAATGGGCTCGGTCAAAATAATGGATCAGCAAACAAGATGTCGAATGGGGCCGCAGGATAAATTAAGAGGTACTGTCTACGTTTGTGTTATTTTCGCCGTTGTTTTCTTTTTCCGCGTTTACTAGCATCCTGCATGATATCCATTGCATCATTACAGGGCGCAGATAGGTCATGTAATTTCCCTGTACTCATCGTGTTTATGCCGTACAATGGTTTTCTTTCCCTACAGTTACTTGGCAATGTTTGGTTTTCATTGCATTCATGTCGACGCAGTAACATACCCATACGCATGCTTGCTTATTCTTAATTGCTTGCTTAGCTGTTTGATATGCTTCAAATTTTTTTTCGGCATCGATTACCCGTCTGTGAATAGATACTTCTCTGAATCGCTACAGTACAGCGTTACAGTAACGTTAGTTTGTGTTTTAGCAATCAATGCCCATACCGTGCACTTGCTTTGACGCGCGTGACTGCTTTTTCCTATCTGGGCGGTTTTTCTCGCCGTGTGAATCCCGCTGCGCTATTTAATCGTTGACTCGCAAATTCTTTCCATTAGAATACTAGCACGTTTTCCAGTGTACTATACTGTGTCAGTTTTCCAGATCAGCTCGAAGACAGGTTGATCTTGGCATTGCATGGCGTTGAACTGTCGCCCGTCTCGGGATATACACGCCCGAAATGGATGGATCAAGTGCAACAGTATTGTCTAATGCCAAGCAACGTCGCCCTCCACATATCGATAAGGTTGCGCTCTCCACATGCAACCTTATCGAAATGTGGAGGGTTTCGATCTTTTAGTACGTTTGTCCGTACCGTGGCGGAGACGGGCAATTGCGTTGCGCAGTTCGTTTTGCCGCACATCCGCAAGGTACTGATTAAAGTTTTTTTTTCTTCCGAAGATTTGCAGAAAAAAGGGTAATTTAGTGTCGATGCCTTATGCGCCTCATCTCCGGAGATGCCGTCCACTACTGGAGCAACCAACTGTACCGTGGTAATGTTTTTCAGCTGAGCTCGAGCGTCCTTCAAGGTTTAGTGTACCGAGAATTTCAGCGACAATTATCCCATAGGGGTCAGGGTCGTCAGGCTACCCATCCCTCCCCACGGTGACCACGTCCTTGCCCCCGACCCGTGCTGCTTGTACTCTTTACAGTCTATCGGAGTGTCTACGCGCAATGATGGTGTTCAGGGCGCTGCGATCCTCAGGCACTCGTCGCAAGGCTCCGTCGATCGTTGTCGATCATCTTTGCCCCTTCTTGGCCCAAGTACCTAAGTTGCTTGTACTCCTTGTCTGTAATTGTGCCGGGGAGTACTTCTCCCACACTTCAATAGAGTTTTAAAGTTCCTCGGAGAAAGATGCTAGTACGGAAGATCATGAGCACATCCTTGTACCTTAGCCGGTCTTGCCCTTTTAGCCTCGGCTCGTGCACTGCCAAGTCCTTTTGATATATGAGGCTGAGATATAACATACCTTACTCAAGAGACTTAGAGAGTACCTATAGCTACTCATATTCTTTTAATTCTCATATTCCGCAGATTATTTCTCGACTGCTTGAATATTTATCCTTGAACAACTGTAGAATAGTAGGACACCTTTAGTTGTCTGTGGACAACAGCATACCAAGATCCATACTTGCCCCGTCCCCGGTTCTGTCCGCTCTTAGTCGGGAACGTAATACGGTTAAACTGTATAAAGCTTAAGACCCCAAGGAACCGCCTGATTGAGCAGATTTTAGTGTAAAATGTCTGCGGGGACCGAGGTATCTTTTTTGATGGTCTTTCACCTAACCCTGCACGTATGCCACACAACTGATACAGTACGTGGTATGTGCTCGTCATCCACTCGGAGAATGGAACCTATCTACCTTAGACACTGACGCGATCCTACAGTCTACCCATAGTACCACTGATCTCTTTTGGACTTTGGGACCTGGACCTAGACCTGGATGAGTAGCATTGACAAATACTCCTACCATGGTCATTGAGCATGACCCTACAACTTCTAGCAGCGAAATAGTCCAAGTCGTTTTCTGGTCTATTCCCATGGTAGCTGTCCTGTTGACTGTCTGCTCATCGGCCCGTCAACTGCACACTACTTGTACTCATACTCATCCAACCTTCAAGTTTGCAGAGGATTCGTACGTTATGTGCATGAGTTATACCCATGCCGGTATGTCGTTCCGATAATTATCCCTTATCCGCTTCTCTTTACTGACAATGATCTGATGCATCAATCTGTGACTAAACCTCAACATATCTCAACATGTTAGGCCTCGGAACCAAACGATGCGATATATTCTAGTTAGGTAGGTAGTGGTGTTGATGTTACAAGGGACTCGTCATTCTCGCCGCTTCAGAATCCTGGGCCGGGGAGACAAGTTGTAAATCCATCAGTTTCAGCGTATTAAACGCATCAATTCACATGCTCGTGGGATAAGCTCTATAATCTACGATAACAATCCCGACGTGCAGTGCCGCTGGGCTGGGGGATGATGGGTGGCGGATGGCAGACCAGGCACACCACGTCTCATAGTACGAGTCGGTTTCGAGGAGTGAGGAGTGACGAGGAATCGGAGAACCCGAGGACCTTGATGGCCTACGAGATACGCAGAGAGTAGATTTCTCACGATAGGAGCACTGCAAAAGAGATAAAATCATTTAAAAAAAAGGATTGAAATAAAGACAAGAAGGAAAGATGAAAATCCAACAGTCACGTTTCATATCAGGATAGGAGGGTAGAATAGGTAAATGTGTAACTGTGTAGTTGAGACTCAAAAAAGGATTATGGTGGTTGAGAGAACTCGGATGTCTCGGAATTTTCGGATCCTCGGATCTTCGGAGCATCAAGTGTGCCGCACTGACAGAATATAGCAAGTAGTAGGCGGCAGACATACGTAGTAGCTGTAGGATGCGAGGCTGTAAAGCAGTAGAGCACAAAGACCAGGGCATAAGTCTGTATCACGTCGTACAGCATAAGATCAAAACGACAGATAAGTTATTAAAGAAATGAAGAATCACTGCATATTGTATCACAGAGGACGCGGCACAGAATGGAAAAGTAAGGAAACTTTGATCATTAGACATTTGTCGTATATCATTGTACTAGGGGTCTCGTCAGGTGATCAAGATTTACTTGACAGATTGACGGTTACACAGTGACACTACATGACAGGTGGACACAAAACACAAAGAACCAGACTCATCTAGACAAGTCACACGGCATCGATGACAGTCAAAGTGAATTGGAAAATAGAATATATAAATTCCCGGGTTTTTGACTATGGTCTACCCTGATAAAGGTAACAGGTAATATATAGCGGGAACTAACCAAAACAACAAGCCCAGCAGGGATGTTAAAAAGGAAGAAGAAGAAGAAGAAGTAAAAAGAAAAAAGAATAATCGTACGCACAAATCGCCATGGCAGGGATGACAGGTCAGGCGGCCGTTCCTGACTGTTAACCCCTGTCACTTTGACGTGGGTGGATGATTATCCTCTTTGTTCCTATAAACTTCTTTGACAGGTTGAGTTTTCCCCGTCGCTAGCCAGTGTTGGTCGAGAATGCCCAAAGGAACCCTTTGAACAAAGGTTCCATGGTCCAAAAATAGAATAATTAAAAAGAAAGGAGAAAAAGAAAGGAGAAAAAGGGAAAACCATCACTCCTGTGTCGGTAACACAAATCTGCAGGGGCATGCTGGTTGTTGAAGTAGCGCTTAGAGTGCTTCGGTCATCACCAACACGTGCCGCAGCCACTACCGTCAGCATTTGCACCCTTTGACCTTGCATTGGGCGCCCATGGTGCAAATATTGCAAGACCGAGAGGAAGCAGTTGGACCGCGCACTCAGCAGAAGGAGAAAAAAGGAATGTGACTTGGTATCGAGATAACGCCAACTTTTCAACTGGCTCACTCATTCCCCTCGACTCCAAACAAAGTTGTCGGTACAATACTGTAACGCCCTTGCTTAGGCGAAAAACATGAAGAAATGTAGAGACTGTAAACGAGGCTGAATGGAACACATCAAAACGCAATGAGCAGAGCAAAAATAAATATGCCTTGATAAACCAAAAGTAGTGCGCATTATGACTTTCAGTCGGGGAATCGAACGATAAAAGAAGAGAGAAAAAAAAAAGGTAATATTAATGTTTAAAAAGCGCCCAGAACAATTGCGCAATGTAAGCTGCGACTTGGGAGCTTTATTCGTCGAGGCACTCGACGAAATTCTGAAGAAGCTCAAGGTTTCCGCCGGCTTGTTCTACCGCACGGATCGCCGCCTCGCTGAGGTGTCGCCGGCGAGCCTCTGCTTCCTTTGCCCGGCGCGCTTTGGTCTTGGAGCTACCAGAGGGAGCGACGCCCGTCAGTATCTTCCTGCTGTCGCTTGGGGTAAAGTTGACGAATCCAGTTGAAGGCATTGGAGGAGTCGGGGTTGGAGCGTTCTGCTTGCGTTTCGGTTGACGCGGGTTTTTGCGAACGCGGGCTGGTGCGGATGGTGACAGCGCTGGCGTTCGAGGTGATCGCTGCTGAGTCTGCGGCGTGCGACTTCCCGAACTAGCAACGACAACTGGCGCAGGCGGTGGTGAGGTTGTCACATAGTATGTGGCACCCATCGACATGCCCTGACCGAGAAAGTCGCCCGATGCATCAGAGGAAGGATCGCATTGGATCAACAAGCCCTGAGTCGCGAGGTCTTCTGTGCCCGTTGAAAAGGACGCCTGCGTGAGAGAAGCAATGTCCGAATGCTCTTCTCCTTTGCTCGTCATGAGGTCGCTAGAGGATGCATAACTATGAGAAAGAGGCGTTGAGGGACCCCACCATTGCTGGGCAGGGCTCGTGTTAAAGGATGAGGGTGCGCTGTAGCCAAAATCTAATGATTCGAGGGAATTTTGTGGCCATGCCGGAATCTGCTGAATAGGCTGGGTGTGATGAAGGTGGCCACTGGCGAATGCAACAGAGTCTGAAGAAGAGCGGTGATGCTGGACGGGAATCATGGGAGACAAAAGAGGCGGCGACTGAATTTGCGAAGTCGCATCACTGATGCTGAAGCTGGGTCGCGGAGAGATGCCAGCGCTATAGTCATGAAAAGCTGGCCCTCCAGGTGCGGAGGGAAGGCCAAACATTGCGTGCTCGTCGCAGTGAGACAGCTTGGTTGACGCCGGAGGCGATAGAGGCTGACTGGCCGTCATGTGTGGTGGGTATGATGGAACAGTCGCAGCTTCGTAGCGCTGAGCCCAAGAATCCCAAAGTCCAGCGTCTGGTGAAAAGTGTGATGAATGCGGCATCTCTGGGAGGGAGTTGCTTTTGTGGACCTTTCTCTTCCCCATTTCAGAGGTACGGTGAGGGCTCACTTGGTGTGGCGGCGCGCTGAGCTTTGTTCTCCTTCTTGGAGACGCGGGAGAGGGTGACGGGAAACTAACAAAGGTAGGCGGAGGGGGTTCAAAAAGACCTTCAAGGCGGTAAAGTTCTTCGTTGGAGATGGCTGTCATCAACAACGAATCTTGAAAGAAGGAGGAATGAGCTGCATCAGGGACGGGTAGAGCAAGATTATCAATGGCGGCATGGCGGAAGCCAGCGGGGTTTGATGTACCGTGCATTGCACTAGATCTGGAAGGCGCGATCCAGACGAGAATGATAGTCTCTGGGATGACCTGGAGGATCTAGTCACCACCCTGGCAGGAAAGGACCTCGGCCCTCAAAGCCACAGCAAAAAAGCTGGCGCAGAGTAGTATTCGATGTGGACGGAAACTAGGAATAGGCACCCTCGCTGGGAGCTTCGACCCCGCTTATCCGTCCAGGCCGATTATCGATCAAAGACGGACCACTTGGCGGGCTCCGAAACTCTCCAAAAGGGGGGTCGCGGGACGCGATGGCGCGGCCGCGGGGATTTGTGAGCTATTGCGAGCTGGTGTGAGCCCTTTGTTTGGGTGGCTTTTCCTGACGGGAGATCAGACGGTCTCCAACGGTCCGACTAGCACCGAAGGGACGACACAACTTGTGGAGGGGAAAAAGACACGAAATGGTCAAGCACTTCCCTAGTCTGCAAGTAGTCGTTCGGGAACACCTTGGCGTCTCAACAAGCGGGAGGAAGTGGTGACGGTTAGACCTGCCGCTAAGGCAAGCTGGGGAAACTTCGATAAGGTAAGGCTATGAGGAGTGCAATCAGAAGAAACTAACACACCCACGCCAATGCAAGGTGATGCGTATGCAATGCAATGCAATGCAAGTGTAAATCAACGACACGATAATGCAAGCAAACAAGCAAAACTAAACAAACAGAACGATAGAAGAAATATATAATCAATTTTGCATGAAAAACGTTTGACCAATTACCCAACCTCCTTCTTTTCCCTCTCTCACTTAACTCTTTTGGAGCTTTGGCCTTCCCTTCCCAATAAGGGCATTCCTGATCACTGTATTCCAAGCCCGTCCAAATTTAGCATACTAACCATAGTTGGAAGAACTAGGGTTGGGGTCGACAGGTGCCCTATCACCTGAAAGGAGTGACGCTATCGCAGACAATCTCCAGCGATAACGATTTGACTGACAGGTTAGAAAGGCTTCGGAGGGGTTGGTCATTCCTCTTTCGTGCAGCGGCCATTGTTCAAGGAGGCTGGAGTCGCTTTGAGTGTGCCGTTCGCAGGTTCTTTGACAGAGTGGCGCAGGTCCACATTCCAGAGGAAATTAGGGCGAGGCAGCCCCTCCAGCTACGCACTGTCCGCGACGATGTCTAGGCTCTGCATATCCGACTCTCTGTTCCTATTCATGGTAAAGGGCGTTTGTCATGTACCAAGTCCATAGACTCGAAAAGAAACAGACACGCTAATTGTCACGGCAAACCCCCGGTTGACATGTGGGAAGCCTGCACAATGCATGCACGACGCAAACGGCCCAAATACACCATTTCAGTGAAAGAGCGAGTGTGCGATAGCCGCGTGGGAAGGAAAAGCTCGCCAACACGTTAATGGGACCAAGCAGAGTCACAATTGTTGATTGGCCACAACAAATCATCAAGATCAGTTGCACTTCGACTGCAGTGAAATCTCCACTTGCCACTTTTGGGAGCTATCGCCACATCTTCTGACGGAACACGGAAATCCAACGACTATCTCGGACTGAAGAAATGTGCGACTCTAACTTGTACAGGAGATGGGCTGTGTCAGTTCTTCGTCATCTTTCTGCGGTAGAGTTCCGCCGATAAGAACTCTAACTTAGGATGCTCTCTTCACCTATACCTATGAAGGTGTTGGAGAAGTGGATCTCGTCGGATAGGTTGTGACAGACTCAGTCTGGAAGAGACCGTTTCGTTAGGGGCCGCCCATCATCTGGATTAGTCCGCAGATCAATTCGATTGTTTGCTTTCTCGACGAATGGTGAAAAATCACGGCAAAAGTTGTAAGCGTTGAAAGCACTTGACATTCCGCAAACAGCCATTTGTCGGCTGAACATTCCTCGTAGATTCGAGATATGAGAGCGAGGAATGCAATCTGGCCGGCACAGAAGCCGATCTCGAGGCCGGATTGGAGGTCTCCATCGTCTAGCCAGCCCTGTCTGGCTATGTCCAGCTTGGAGACGACGGTGTGAAAGGCTGGTAAACGTCTGACCAGCCATGGTATGAGAATGGGACGACCCGTCGCGATCAAGACCGACTGCGACAGGCTTGGATGAGATCCAGTAAGGATTCTGGGAAAAGGCGTGATAGTGAAGTCGAGTTCGTTGGCAAATGGTGGATGAGTAAGCATGCATTATCCAAATTGTCCTTCTTGTGCAATGCTCCGCTGGAGTTTCAAAAATTGATGTCATCGCTTGCTCATGCTCGTGCCTTGCAGCTTCTCTATTAGCATGTGGGGTAAAACATAAGAGCTAGAGTGCCACAAAAAGGATCCTAGCAAGAAGATCATCTAGCTAGTTGGTTGCACGTAAAAGACCAATCACTCCTCTTCGCTGCTCATCAATAATAATCTCAAACAATGCCGCCATTGTGACGATATATCAGTGAAATCTTTCCGTGCTAGAACATTTTTGACTCTTGGAGAAGAAGCGCCTTTCTCTATCCGTGGATAGAAGTCTGCCCTGAGCCATCACTGCAGGCTCAATTTGTCTGGAAAGTGCTGTGTTGTAAGACCCATCATGACAATGTCCCTTTCTGGTCAGATGTGGTACTCTGAATGCTCTGGACGACAAAATGTTCTAGAAATTACAGAGCAATTCGGCAATTTGGTAATCAGGTAAACAGATAATTCAACAATTTTTCGATCTCAGGGAAGATAACCGACAGGATAGTTTGCCTAGTTTGTCTTCCTTGTCAGGGTTCGACCTGCTTTTCAGAACAAAAACTACAGCACGTACTTCTGGAAGGCATCATCAAAGCTTACTCAAGTATTTATCTAGACGTTGATTTCAAAAAGCGTGTATCACTTTTAGAGACAGGATACAACAATGCCTCAGAGGCAAATACTCACCTTGAAGAAGCCATCTTCTCCGGCAAGAGCTTGCATGCGACCAAGGTTTGTTGCGCTAATGTCTCTATCGCCCTAATATTGACTGTTCATCACCATAATCAAAACAAGAAAAAGAGGACTGAGACTGTTTCTTCGTAACCCTCTTCATGTGCCATTTTCTTTCTGAGATTTCCTTATCAAGACGTGCAAATGCAAGCAAGTTGAGGTCCATGACCGATGATCGAGAACTAATATTTTTCCATGACGATGGATATTATTTTTATCATGCCCATTACGGGCTTCGTACCATTATATATGCTGTTCCTTTTTAAATCAAATGCTTCGATCTGTATCATCAGTCAGCGCTAGTGCAGTCACATCAAAGTGATGCTTGTCAACCTACCTGAAGTATGCCCGAAGATAGACAATCTGCCATGCTCCCAATCCTACGAGCATTCCCATCGTGCCAAATGCAAACCATTTAACTCGTTCATTCGTACTCTCGTTGGTATCACGAAGTCTCTGCTCTCGCGATCTCAGGTACTCCATTTCCTGAACAATTTCGCCAACCAACTCTTCGATGCGGCGTAACTCGGTCTCAACAGGCTTCAGCTTCTCGGCAGCTTGGATGGCAGACCAGTCCCGCGCATCAGCACCAATGTCGACATCAAGTTCGATAGAACGGGTCGGATTCATAACAGCGTGTCCTTTGCAGCAATTGCCATGTTAGCTCGACCATGCTTGGGGGCATAAATTGAAGGCGTTCGTACTGCTTGTCAGGACGTTCTCGAAACAAACGTCGAAAGCCGAATCCGCCGCCGAGGTGAATGCCATTCTCCGCTCGCCTACAATATCGCGAGGGCGTCCATACTCGTTGTCTAAAGTGTCCTTGATCTGCAGTCATCCCAGGTTTAGAAATTATTCTTCTCCACAAGTATCCTTGATGTTGCGCTCGGTCACCCAACAAGATGCGCCAACCGCCTTCTCTGCAATTTTGATAAAACCACTTACACGCATGTTAACCATCTGTCCATCGCCTTTGCTACCTCCAACAATTGCAGTGACCACCACAAGAGTATCGGCAGCTACAAAGTTCCGTATGCATCTCTCCTGTTTGGCACTCTCGGGTCCCGGGTGAGCTTGAAGCTCAAACTTCAGTGCAGAAGCCAAAGGAATGCTTGTCAATAGTAGCAGAAAAGTTATGAGTCGCCATAACCTCAAAGTCAACGATGAGTCTGCCATTTCGTGATTGATGAACCCAAAGGCCGGCAGACTACACGTAGACACTCACTGTAAGGGGAACGCGGTTTTGGTAGTTGGGCGTGTAGCTTGGTAACCTTGTTTGGCTGCTTAGTCATCAATCTGTCAACGGCGGGCCGCGCATTCTCTCCGCTATGCGTCAGGATCAAAAGTAAATAATAATACCCCACCAAGCTAGATCACCTCCAGCGCATGCAACGTGCTATAGAAAGCTTTGTTAACCAGAAAAGACCAAATCTCATACACTTTGCGCCTGCTTACTCCCTCAGAAACGTAATTTGTGCTATGTAGGAAATCCAATCTCCTATGCTATCAGTGTTCTAAACTCGATCTCATCAAGTCCAACTCTCCATATCTTCGTGGAAATGCGGCCCCAATTGTCTGGGAAGATCTATGTGTTCAATTTTTAACCTGCCTCTAATCGACAGAAACCCGACCTGTAAAATGAGCGCAGATGGAAGCCACGTGTTCGTATCCGTTACCACTTGAGACTTTCTGAATTTGTATATTGAATTGTCGTCAGCACCTGCGCTGAGGTATGTCTATTTTCACTATTTGAACTAGAGTTCAAACCCTTATTATTCTATGCAATATGCAATGCCAGCTGAAACAATCCAAAACGCCAAACCGAATGTACCGACCGCCCATTTTGACTTTGAAACTCGTATCCGAGCTTTCGACAATACACAAGAGAGTTCGAAAGAGGAGCGCTGCTTCCCTTTCTGAGACAAAAAATATATTCAAAGTGACGCTGCTGCCTCGACCGCACCAGCGCCCTTGAATGCTGCTGGACTAGTGACAACCACTTCGACAGGATACTTCCATTCCATGAATTTGGACCACCCTGGAGAATAGGTACTATTAGCACCAGTCCAATCTCTATAGTGCTCTGCTCCATAAAACAGTATCAAACAGCTCGGACGACTTACCCCAGTACGCGCATTTTCGGCCAAAGTATTTCCCCAGATACGGGACCACAACCATGGTCAAAAGCAGCTCGAGCTGCTCCAAGCTTTCCCTCCATTCGCGCTCAGCATCCGAATCTTCTTCGCTTTCGAGAGAACTGGATGTTTCAGATTCTGGAAGAGAGTCGACATCATCGTGCTCGTTGGAGGAGTAGGGCGACGGCTCGTCGATGAAAGAAGGAGTCGACGCGGACATGGACATGATGCCAGGAATTGTTGGGTCAATTGCGGGTATATGCTGCCAAAGAAGGAAGAGGCCGTGCTCTTATTTCAAGATTCTGGCCCTATTCATCCACGATAATAGCATCTCCTTTCCCTCCTCAAATGTGACCGACCAGCAGTTGAAAGCAATTATTGAATGTCGGCGACTGCGCTGATCAGCTTGAGCTTCCCTGCTCATCGTCATCTGAAGGGGCGAGCATTGGGTGGATTTCCATGATGGGCGACGCTGATTGGCTGACAAGCGAGTGAGATAATCAGTGCGAAGGACTTCTTGAGTCAAGTTCTTAACAGCCTAGAGGCGATAGATCATCAACTTCCTGACTTCAGCTCCACCTATTCATCGCCAGATTCACGGAGAATCGGACCTACGGACCGTCGTAGGACTTAGCAACACATTCTTATTGATTCTTTGCGCTCTTTCGCGCTGACCGCAATCATGGCGGACACTGTAAGCGTTCCCTGCAGTTTGCCCCTCCGCACAAAGGAGATGCATGAGATGCACGATCCGCCTTATTACTTACCCTGAGCGCGTATAATCATCTCAATCATTTTCGTATCAGTACTGACTGGAGGGAACTTAGGAGGCGGCTAGCGCCAAGCCAAGAAAATCTGTGGCTTTCAGCGAAGGCACCACCATCGTTGACAGCAACGGCGATGTAACTCAAGCCGAGCCGATTACGAACAAGGAGACCGCCGAGGGACACTCCGCTGGTAAGCAAACTCGTTTGGATCTATAGCACAAGCTATCTTATGTAAAGAAATCCTCTAATGTATGTGTTTCTGCTAGACTCCGCGGACAAGGATGTCGACGCAGTCACCGACATGTTCAAGGACCTCGCCAAGAAAAAGAAGAAGTCAAAGAAGTCAAAGGACGATGACAAGGAGGACGCCGGTGACGAGGCCAGCCCCGCTGCTGATGGCGAGTTTGACCCGACTGCCCTGAAAAAGAAGAAGAAGAAGAAGTCCACCAAGACCGCCGACGCCGACGACTTCGAGGCCAAGCTCGCTCAGGCTGGAGTTGGCGAGAGTGAGGGCGAAGGTGCTGCCGAGGACGGCTCTGTCGACACTGGTGATATGGAGAAGGGAACGGGTATCTGGGCACATGACGCTACTCAGCCCATCAACTACAACCTTTTGCTGTCCCGATTCTTCAGCTTGCTTCACTCGCACCACCCCGACCTTGCTTCGAGCGGTTCCAAGAGCTACAAGATTCCTCCTCCCCAGTGTCTGCGTGAGGGCAACAAGAAGACCATTTTTGCCAACATTCCCGAGATTTGCAAGCGGATGAAGCGAAGTGACGAGCACGTTACCCAATTCTTGTTCGCCGAATTGGGTACCAGCGGTAGTGTTGACGGTAGCCGACGACTTGTCATCAAGGGTCGTTTCCAGCAGAAGCAGATTGAGAACGTCCTGCGACGATATATCGGTGAGTGGTTCCTGTTGATCCTTTGATGTCTAAAAATAATCACTAATGATTCTTTTTCTTAGTCGAGTATGTCACTTGCAAGACGTGCCGTTCCCCCGACACCGAGCTTAACAAGGGAGAAAACCGTCTTTACTTCGTTACTTGCAACTCGTGCGGCAGTCGGCGTAGTGTGTCTGCCATCAAGACTGGTTTCTCTGCCCAGGTCGGCAAGAGAAGAAGGCAAGTCGCTTAAATGCACTTTGTATGGAGCTGTTTCTTCATTGGGGATTTATTTGTGTGGAGCGTTGAGAATGATGATGATTCCAAAAGTTTTCGCACCAACTCGATGGTTTTGTGGGCAAATTGGCCGGGTTTTTCAAAATTGAGAGCTTATATTGAGAACACCATTCGAGGCGTGGAAACACAAGATGGGAAAAAGACATGAGATTTAAAGGGGGAAACGGTTTTTCCTATGTCATGTGGGATTATTGATTCGCGCGTGGGTTAATGCGGTTTCATCTTTATGCTGTATTTATCCGCGACATGAATTAAATGATGATATTCTCCAACTGGATTTCCATATTTTGCTACCTCTGATGGGTTTTTCAAACCGTACCGTTGTGAGTCTATGGAAGATTGAAACAACCCTCGAACGGAGCGTATGACGACTTCGGATTATTATAGCCTTTTATACGGTACAGTATAAGTTATCGATTCTGCAGCTTGAATCAAACAGCTCTCGGATGGAACATTGCCCTGGATGTACATAATTGACTTTTGAAGATTTGCTCGTGGATTTTCAGCTCGCGATGGGTTGCGTTTGGGAAGTCTTGCAGCGAGGTCGATCCCTTTGACACTCTGTACTTGTTGTCCCTGGGAAGTGTGCTTTGTCAGGGGGTTGCTTGCTTGAACGAGCCGTGATTCAACAAGACACGCAGCAGAGATCCCGGCATCGCCAACTTGTAGAGTACTCCCATATCCAAGCTTGGCTGCGGCGTAAGATCTGGTGTAAGTGATAAGCGTGATATTGTACTTGTGGTCTATGAAAAATTGAAAAGCTGACTGTAGATGAACGACAAGAAAAATATAATCATCATGGAGGTTCTCAACATAGCGTGTTCAAAGTGAGTATCCACAACCTAGGTAGGGAGTAGATTTTACAATAATTAGGACACAAGATGATCTGTGCATGTCAGAAATTCAATCCATCATGTACACAAATTGCGTTGCGTGAATGGATACTCGCTCAAGAGGAGATCCGTTGTCGTCCGTGACGATGAGTGGTTCAGATGCAAGTGAGACCGCGGGGTCAATGACAAGGGTGCTGATTTACGCGCCGAGCTCTTCCCTGACCAGTCGCATACAGTTTGGGGATCTGCTGAAGTATTATAAGACATCTGTTCTCTTTCTTTCAAATGCGATTTCCTTTCTCCTCATTCTCTTCTGCTGTTTTGCAATAGACTCATTGGTATCTCGTTATCGTGAACATAACGAAGACCGATAAAATATGTCTTCCCCACCCCCAGGATACGCTCACGGCACTCCACCCCCGCAGACTGCTGGGACTTACTTTCCTCGTAAGTTTCCGAGACTCCAGACGAGTCAAGATTGACACTTTCAAGCAGATGCTAATTCTCAGACAAAGCTCCTCCCGACAAGTCCGTCTCTAATAATAGTAAGCCATATTCAGCATAGTGTTTATCTTTCGCAGTATTCGGAAATAGTGGCCAGGCCCATCTCCGTTTTATACGATAAATATCCCAACGTTAACGGCTATAGCTAACAACCAATAACCCCAGGCCAGCCATCTTATCCCTCTCCTCCACAGCAACAATTTTCCCCTCCACCTCAACAGCCGCAGCAGCAGTTCTTCCCTCCACCACCCACCGAAACGCCACCCCCAGCAGCCAACTTTTCCAACGGATACCCTCCGGAAAAGGAGTCAACCCGGAATTCCTTCTCTAACGGAAGTGGACCCGGAGCTTATCCTGTGCAGCAGCAACAAGGTACGGCGCCATGGAATGCAAATGCACCTGCGCAAATGCCCGGCGGAGCACCGCCTGCCGGACATTTTGTCGGCGCGACCAGCACCCAGGATGACGTGGGCACATTCAATGGCGGGAGTTATCGAATAAGCCACCGAGATACGAATACCGTCTTGACAATTCAACTGGCCATGGGATGCCCGCTCATTGCGAAGCCAGGTATGTTGACCAAAATTCTAAAAGTCTGAGGTTCTTGTAAGAACCTGAGACCGTCTATATGAAAGCTTGAATACAATTGTGACCCGATTGCAAGAGCTAATTAATTGCAGGCGCCATGATCGCCATGTCCCCCACCATTACTCTCCGCGGCGCCATTCGTTTCTCAATGAAGAAGCTCATTGCAGGCGGCGAACTGGGCACGTCCACCTTTACCGGACCAGGCGAATTACTTCTTGCGCCGTCTCCGCTCGGCGACATTACCAACATTCGACTCAGCGGGAGCGATACATGGTCGGTTGGCAAAGATGCCTTTCTTGCAGCTACCCAGGGGATAGTTAAAGATTACAAGAGCCAGGGACTGGGTAAGGCTCTTTTCTCCGGTGAAGGACTGTTCGTCTACAAGATTTCTGGGACTGGAATTTTGTGGGTCACGAGTTTCGGAGCAATTATTCGAAAGGATGTACGTTACTGAAAGGCCCTGTTTCTTCCTTGTTCCTGGTTCCTGGTTCCTTGAGGCTGATGCACGTCCAGTTGGTCGACGGCGAGAAATACATTATCGACAACGGCCACTTGGTCGCTTGGAACTGCAAATACGTGCTTGAGCGCGTGGCCTCTGGTGGAATCATCTCCGGCATCACATCTGGAGAAGGATTAGTTTGTAAATTTACCGGTGAGTTCCAGTGCTCTTCTCGTGATCCTTTGCTTGCTCTTCTTTCTTATCTTACCTCTTATCTCTTTTTATTTGAGTTAATCAATCATTTTTCATTTGATTTTGTTCTATGTTATGATAGGCGTCCCATGCTATTCATTCCACATATATCTAAATTATGACACGCATGAACAAAGCTTACTGACGCAATACATTGCGAGTCTACAGGCCCAGGGGCAGTCTTTATGCAGACCCGCAACCCGCAACAATTCGCCGCATGGATGGCTGCACACGCTGCTGTGGCTTAGACACTTGAGGATTTCTCCTTTTTTTTTTTTCTTTTCCATTCCTACTTAATTAGTGTCTGTTAAATCCTAAAGCGATATCATGTCTGTTACGATTTACCATGTTTCTTTATAATATTTCAGATTAATTGTCTCAATCGTTGTCTCTGCTTTCATGTCAAGATGAGCATAATTAATGTCAATAATACGAATGAGCACATGATTAACGTTGAATTAGATTTAATCTTCTATGAGTCCCACTTGGAAAGGAAATCTGAAATAACCGGTTTTTTTTTAAAAAAAAAAAATAATAACGATAGGGGAGAAAATATAAAAAGATAGAAAGTAAACTAATACTATACAGATCAATAGAAGCATGAAATGTTTCATACCATTAATGCATATAATCGCATTTATATTTCTACTGTGCTCTTTATGAATTTTCAAAACGCTCTGTTCTAATAAATACACTTCCCTTTAAAATCCCATGACACGCGATCCTTCCCAGTTGAGCCTCAAATCAATGCACGCCCTAAGAAGAAGAAGAAGAAGAAGAAGAAGAAGAAGAAGAAGAAGAAGAAGAAAAAGCGGGAAGCTGCTACGACAAAGAAACCTGATGAGCTTTCCACCTGATATATTCGACCAGGATTCCAAAATCCTCTGCGACGCTACACACACGTGTAATTTCATCATCAGACACCAACGGACGCGAGGGCTTTGGGGAGGAAGATGATGTGGTTTCTTCGCTTTTCTTGTCTGCCTCAGCTTCGCTGTCCTTCTTGATTGCCCGGGAGGACGGAGCAGAGTCGGCGCCAGAAGAATAGGATGCGCGGATCACAGCGTCAGGAAGGACGTTGAGGTGGACATATGCCAGTCGTTCAGATATTGCGCGAGTCGGAGCAGGCGAAGGAGGAGAAGGAGGAGGAGGAGGAGGAGGGATGGCAACGGGAATGCTAAATGCTAGGGTGAAGTTAGGATGCGGCTGCATGCTAAGGCCTACATCGATAGATAGGTGACGCGTCGCCGCCACACTGTTATTATTCAAAGAGGCGGATGGTACGGCGGACTTTGGATCTGAACGGGAGAGATGAGAAGGCGATGAAGACGGAAGAGCAGATGGAGCGTCTAGTGGAGATTCACCGTCCAGTAGGGCGGCAAGTTCGTCTTCCGGGCTCAATTGTAATCGTGCGTTGGTCGACTGCTGCTGTTGCGTTGATGGGAGACCTGAACTGCCTGAGAGAGAGCCTGTTGCTCCTAAGGTGGCATTACCAGTTGCAGACCAGTTTGATCCCTTGCCGCCTTCAAAACTGCGCTTCAACAGTGTTGTTGTAAGAGCATACTGTCTCAGAATGGGCAAGATATTGATCAACTCCATGGGATGGCGAAACGGGATTTCGTCCACGACCCTTCCAAAATCCAATTTGTGCGCGAAGAGCGCATAGTCGTGTCTGTTCAGCTGTTCTTTTCCGCTTCCATCAAAACCCAACACTTCCCTCGAATTGGAGAGATATCTTGCTTCCCCGTGAACGGCACCGTGAACTTCAGACGGATCGGGCGGGAGAATCAGCCCGTCTAGTGTGGTGGGTTGAATGGATTCTTGTGGGATGACCAGCCCGACGGAATCGTATATTTCTACAGCCTTTTGAAGAGGCACGACCACGGGAGGCTCAAGACGGGCCACAAAGCGGACGTCGGGCAGCTTGCTCATATTCTGACCAGATGTGTCCATGGGGTCTGGAGCACTGCTGGAAGCAGCGCCAGGAGTTCGAGTAGCGGCAGGTCCAGAGACGAAAGTTGGTGCGGGCTCAGTCCAGTCTATCGTCGGCCCATCCGGGCCGAAAAGTTCGTCCTGTTCTTCAGATGGCCGTTCAATACGCTGTGAGACCCAGTCATTGGAGATCCGGATAGGGGTGTACAGTTCTGCCGGGGAGTGTTCGCACTCAATAATTGCAGACCATATATTTCCATCGTAGGAAGTTCCGTCATGAGCTTTGTTGCGACTCTTTTCGATGCTGTCAATGTCCATTTCGTCAGATCCAGACTCAGCCTTTCGCTTCCGCGACGTAGACACGCGGCGTCGATCCATCCAGTATTCCAGGGCCAGTCCTACACGCTTTCCAGCGTGCATCCTGGGCCGGCCGCTCTTTTCACACATGACCAGCCGCTCGACTTCTTCGTCGGGATTCATCTTCTCGCCAGCTTCCTGCCCTGATTGCTTCTTTTCATGCTCGAATATCCTTCGTAAACTCGTATACACCCCTGCGATCGCCTCAAAGCAATTGACTTCAGGGGTACTAAGTTTGTCGAGTTTTGCCAGTCTCTCCAAGTTGTCCGCAAACTTATTTAATGTAGTATTTATGGGACTCGATGAGCCGTCTTCGGGCTTAAGGTCCTTGTAAAGAATTGCAGAGGCCTTGGGCGCATGAACAGACACGGCGTCAGAGGATCCTGGGAGGGAGAGCGAAACGCGGTCGACAATATGATTTTGAAAATCAAGCTGATCGGTTAGTGGGCGGGATACAAAAGAATAATAGCTCGAGAACATTTCCAACGTACATCCACGAGCAGTGCACTTCCGGCAATGCTCAGTGTCTTTTCTTCCCATAGACAGTCCAACCCAGTTCGCTTGGCCAGTCTTTCCACGGCTTCTTCGCTGACCCTGCCCGGACGAGACCTAAGAAGTTGTAGAATAGCTTCAATTCGTCTTGCTCTCTCCTCTTCATCGCTTCTGGCGTTTACAAGCCCTATGAATTTCCTTGCGTAAGCTCATCTCCTAGTAGGGCGATTGGATATGTCTGTTTACCTCCCATTCCACTCGGTGTTCCGATGCCGGCGAGATTTAGTCCCAAAGATGCAGCAGCAGAAGGCGAATCAAATGTGAGAGCTGCAGCATTCGGAGTAGATGTAGCATGCTTATGACCACGCTGGGCGAAATGACTGGCTGGAGATGGGGCTGATTTCCCGCCAATAGATGGGTAGGCGGATAGATTCGCTGGCGACGGCGCTGATTTCCCCCCAAGAGAAGGATGCGCGGTCATTCCTGCCGGTGACGGTGCAGACTTGCCTCCCGTCGAAGGATGCCCTGAAGGGTATGCCGGCGAGGGCACTGACTTTCCTGCACCCGCGCCGCCCGCAATAGACGCATGTGCAGTAGCCGGTGAAGGCGCCGTTTTGCCTGCATGCGAGGGGAATGGAGAGGAAAATGCTGACAGATGTTGCTGACTTCCTAGAGACGAAGGTGTCAGTCCCGAGGCGCCGCTGGCTTGTAAAGGCGGATGTTTATTTGATCCAGGAAGCCCTTGGCCGGGCGTTGGAGTAGCCATCAGACGAGGAAGGGAACGTTTCGATTTGTTTTTTTTTTTTTTTTTTTTTTGGCTCAATTCACGAATATGATTATGTATGGATTTCGGTATCTTGACATTAGAATGAAATGCACCGCCTCGCTGTATTGGGGTACTGCATGGCAGCAATGACAACCGAGGTGCTATGGTAGCTGGTGAGCTCGAAATGAGAAGCTTCGGAGGTTTCCTGGAACGGCGTATCGGGATGACCCGACTGACCCTAGCGGTTTACCACATCCTTAAAAATTGGCCCGGAAAGCCATTTCGAAAAATCATATAGCCAAATTCATATATAGTCCCCTTAAACATATCTATGATTAGATAGATATGAGAGAGCTAAAAATTTCGTCTCACGTCACAACGGTCAAGGTCCAAACAGAGTGCGTTCACTTATCACAGGCGCATCCGAGTAATTGAAATGGAAATTTTTCGTAGCATTCAAATCGTTAAGGTATTTGTCCCGAAACCATAGCTCAAAGGTCTAACAACAGAGCGCAGAAATTAATCGTAAAATGGGAAGCAAATGAAAGAGCGCCAGCTAAATCCACCGTGTTCGCAAGTGTCTGCTGGAAAAAGATGGGGACATGCGTCTACCCGGTCAACTTCATAAAAATCGTTTTGCTGAGGGCTCAATCAAATTACGAAAGGAAGAGGTAAGAGCATTTTAGTTCTTGCCGAAGTTTTCGGCAGGAAGACCACCGTACAGCTAAGAAGAAGAAGAAGAAGAAAAAAAAACGGGTTAGCTTCTGATGCCGCGCATACGTGATGGGACCTTCTCTGAACTTACAGTCTCGGTGATAATGCCAGTGATCTGGTAGGGGTCGGCGTTGGAGGCCGGGCGACGGTCCTCGAAGTAGCCGCAGCCCTCACGAGCGACAGCACGGGGGATACGGACAGACGAGCCACGGTTGGCGACGCCCCAGCTGAAGCTGTCGTAGCTGGCGGTCTCGTGCTTGCCAGTCATACGATCAGCGTTGCCCTCACCATAGACGGCGATGTGCTCCACGTGACGGGCCTCAAGCTTCTTCATAGCGGCCTCAATGTGCTTCATGCCACCGGGCTGGCGCATCTCCTCGGAGGAAACGTTGGTGTGGAGACCGGCACCGTTCCAGTCGCCAGGGATGGGCTTGGGAGCGAAGGAAATCTTAGCACCAAACTCCTCGGCAATTCTGACAAGGATGAAGCGGGACATCCAGAGCTGGTCACCAACTATTACAAACCCAAGTCAGCAAGCAAATCCAGAAAAAGTAATATTCTTGCCGAAAAAGATAGGGCTACTCACGCTCAATTCCGAGGCAGGGGCCAACCTGGTACTCCCACTGCGCGGGCATGACCTCGGCGTTGGTACCAGAAATCTGGATGCCGGCGTACAAGCAAGCCTTGTAGTGAGCCTCAACAATGTCACGGCACATGACCCGGCCAGTGCCAACACCGCAGTAGTAAGGGCCCTGGGGACCGGGGAAACCGCCCTTGGGCCAGCCGTAGGGCCAGTTGTGCTCATCGTAAAGGGTGTACTCCTGCTCAAGACCGAACCAAAGCTTGTGAGAAGCATTAGCGGCCAATAGACGAGCAGCCTCGTGGCGGTGGTTGAACTTGTTAGGAGTACCATCGCTGTCCCAGCACTCGCAGATGACGAGGATGTTGCCGTGCTGGCGGAAAGGGTCGGGGTACATGGCGACCGGGCGGAGGTAGACATCGGAGTTGTCACCGGGAGCCTGGCCGGTCGAGGAACCATCAAAGTTCCACTCGGGGAGCTCATCAACGCTCTTGACGGCCTTGGTGAGAGTCTACAAGCTACAATTAGTACGGCCGATCAGGAAGGCGCCAATTGATGGCAATGCGAAGCAAGTTGCGATGGGCTCAAATTCGAATTGAATGTTGGGTCCTCATGCAGGGTGCTTGTAGCCACCTCCAAGCGTTATCAAACGGGCGGGGTTATGCAGTGATAAGCGTGTGAGGAAGACTGGAAGGGGAAAAGAGAAAAAATTGTAGGAACGTCCCCTCCACGGGAACAGGCCGTGAAAACCCAAATTGTAATCTCTGGACGGGAAGGAGAAGCCGGAGTATACGTGAATGCGAGGAATTGAGCGAGTGAAGGGAGTCGGAGCGTAAATGAACCATCGTCGAAGAAAGAACTGACCTTGGACTTGCAGCGGAGGGTGCCAGTGCCGTCGATCCAGATGTACTCAGCCATAATGGAGCCCTTCTGCTCAAGAGCCATGTACTTGAGCAGCTACAACATTATCCGTTAGTTTACCAGATCTTCTTTCTATTCAGGCACAGGATTAAACTTACAGTCTGGGTGTTGGAGACGAGCTTGGAAGTCGCCTGTTCACGAAGTGAGTCAGTCTCGGCTCAATGCGGGCTGCGGGTTGCACGGCAATCAACATACCATTTTTTCAGTTGTTTGAAGCTGAACGCTTAGAGACTTCAGCAACGAAGAAAGGTATGTAAGAACAGAAGAAAGGAAAAGTCTCAACGAGTGGACGACGTTGGACGAAGAGGTGAGTGATGAGGGATGAAGAGAGTTGGAGAAGGCAGATGAGTTGAGGATTAAATTGTTACTCAAGCGAGGGAACGAGGAACAAGAGGCGCGGGTCCGAAGTGGGGACCGGGGGTGAATTATTTAGGCTTCTGGCCACCCCGATATGGTACAGCACATGGAATATTAAACCCGGCAACACTGGTTGGCTGGCATTGGACAGCAGTGAATGGGCGAATGTGGAAAAGGGAAACTGAATGGTTAGTGCGGACTGCCACTGGGTGAGCAAAAACAGCCCCCCTCCCGAAACAGCCCCGAAAGCTTCTGCAAAAAGTGTGGGAGGCAACACACGCAGACCAAATTTGGGGGGCCTTAGGCGGACGACTGTCTCTTCGCTACCAAGTACAACTTCTGTAGCGGTACTCTACGCTTCTACCTATCTCCTGCGTTTGATGCGTTTGGCCTCAAAGGCACACGACACTATTACGGACTGGTATTCAACCTCTTTTCTACGTGCCGCGCTTGCCTACAGCTTCTTATCAAATTTCTCCGCTATCTGCATTCTGTCTCAAATCAAGATACAACCCCCGTCGGTCGCAGATGGCCCCAGGCTTAGGGTCATCGAACCGGCCTTTAGTGGACTTGGACGTTCATGGATCAATGCAGACAGATGCAATCTGACCCGCCTCTCTCAATCATAGCAACGAACTATCTAAGCCTTTCAAGTACAGTAGAGCACAGAGAGACGTAACCGGCATCCGCCTTTCGGGCGGCGGATTCTGCCGACAGAAAAGCACGGCAGCATTGAAATCTCAAAGAGTTTGACAGTTGATCAAAAATATATCTAATCCAAGTTAGCCTCTGCTGTAGAACCCCCATTCTCACCGCACAAAACCGCGAGCCAGACACCAACGGGAAAGCTGTCTAAAATGTCACCGTAATTGCTTTTTTGACCCCCGCAAAACAGTCTCCTTGCTACAGCATCGGAGGCAATTGCCTACCGAGGTAATACGGGGGAAACCCTTTCCCAATCGCTGCATTAGATCCCACGGCCTTTCGTCAAATTCATTTGGAATATTTAACTGTCATCGAACCGAGCGCGCCTTCATGAACCAATCTTTTTGGTGATACGGTTCCTGACAGCAAAGCGAAAGTAAACACCGACGGCGCGAGGTGCTTGGTTGCCGAACACATTTGTGGTGTGACCCTGACTCCAGTTGCCGACGGCTAATCCACTTAATACTCCGAGAAATGTGTCGAGCCTGTCCCTGCCAACTATTCATATTTCTAATTCGTCAGTTATTATTCGGGACAGCTAATGGTGAGGGTCAGAGTGGAATCAACACTCCAAGAGCAACGTGGGGAGCTCCATCGTTTGCCGAATCGGCGGGATGCAAACCGCCCTCGTGCTGCTGCTTGCAGATTCATGCGGATGACACGCTTCAAGCAACCGATACCCCTCATTTAGCGAGTATTTTCGAAGCACCTGCACGAGAGAGGGGTCATGATACACTCCGCGAAGAGGACACAACCTTGTGAGACTTTTCAAATACCACGAGCGATATCAAAGGGCAGGTGCTCGTTCACTTCCATCTCGACTGCGAATGAGATGTACCGGTACAGATACGGTACCTGTATTGGAGGTGGACGTGCCTAGTGGCGCGGGCGAGAGAAATCAGACCAGAGAGAGAGAGAGGTTTGGATGGCCGAGCACAGACAGATGAGTCGTCTCCAAATGCTAGTCCCCCCTGCCCATGAGACCGATACCGGGTCTCGACGAACAGAGGTCCTTATCGGGACAGCTCATCTCAATCGTTCAAATTTCGGCCGCCCTTATCCATTGAAGGCCCCCCACCACACAACAAATCGAAGAAGTGCAGGTCAAGGTGAAGATGCGTAAAATCCGGAATTATCTGAACTCGATCAATGTTCAATCAGATTTGTGCTGATTTCTACTTGAATGAATTTATCTGTACGTTCCTCAGTCAACAGCCACTGATGAGATCGCAACCGGAGAAAAAACCTTTTGGCGAAATCTTTTGTTTGGACCCTTTTGATGGCCCCTCTACCTGCCAATTCACATTACTCGACTAAGGTGGGGTGCAGGCCAGGAATGGGTGGCCGGGAATGAGAAATCCCCCGGCAATTCGCCGTCATCACCTTGTCGCTGATTGGTTGCCACAACCGCTATAGTCTAGCGCAGGGGATTTCTTATCGCTAGTTTCTGATTGGCTGACGAAAAAGGCCCGGGCAGCGCGGTGGCCAAATGCAATCGAGTAAGAGTTTCCCAGAACGCCGTTCCGGTCCGGGGAGAAATAAAATGCCCATTGAACCCTCCTAGTTTAACCAGCCTCCACGGGCACCAGGGGAAATTCGACAAGGGACACCCTCGCTACCTTAGTCAGCCCAGGTCTTCTTGCGCTGCCTCACTGCACATTGGTGAACGATGTGGTATAGCAAACGTCCTCCGTACCAAGACGCTACGCCTGCTCGTATTCTGTGGTTCCGTCGTCGCCACCAACAGCAAAAGCCGATTCAAGCCAAAGTATATTTGGGTTTTGACACACGAGTGAGGCTTTGCTCAAAGAAATTGCACTTCTGCCGTGCTAATCTTACTGCCAACGACGATTTCATGCATGCCCTCGTGTAAGTGGCTGAATATGCGGTGGTATTACTGTGGCAAGCATCAGATTGCAAATATTCTTTCGTCTCATGTTTCCTACTGTGGCGAGTTCCCGTAGGGCTGAATCTGCATCAACACGTGGCACAGAGTTTTGACTGGCGCATTCCAGCGGTGCTTTGTTGGAGGAGTTTTTCAAAGTGAGACACTAGGGACGAAACATGTGTCTTCCCGCCGGAGACAAATGAAAAGCCTGCAACCCGGTCAGATTCGATATACGGACAAGACCGTTGTCGGGTGTAGCGAACCCATATGAAACTGACACAAGTTTCGCGGAATTAATTGTTATGGTGATGCTTCTGCTGTCACAAACAAGCCATTGTGAAACCATGTGACAGTCTCTCAAATAGTCGCGGCTACCCAGCTCTATACCTCCGTATGCTGAGGCCAATATCTGCGCAGAGCATACGAGAATCGCCCATCCAGACGCGCTATTCCGCCAAAAAAGCTATTCATGGTTGCTCTCTGAAATGACACGAAGGAAAACTCGCACAAATATCACACGTTTCACCCTGTAGCAGGTGCTTGTGAAAGGGCGGATCAACTGATTCTTTAAAGGCATTCTACCTAGTGCCAAGAGCTCTTGTGCTCTGGGAAAAATCCGGCCTGCGGTCACATCTGAGGGGCCAACAAGCTCAAGCTGCCCCTTAATGAAGACTGTCGTTTGTGTGGTTGATCGGTGACCACTCAGAGCTGCATCAGTCTCGTGATGAAACATTTTCTTACCCTTGTTCTATTTGCTGCTCTCTTGAGATTTGATCACGTAAAAATGTTGGCCAGACGCTCTTCACGCAAGGTGCCTTGATGCTTTTCTCTGTTCAGAAATACCCATCGAGAGCGAAAGGATTATATGTCCATCAGAATATCCTCGAAGAAGCTTGTGTTAGGATCACAGGAATTGATCATCAACCGGAAATATATTCTTCGGCAAACCCGAAGATGTGTCACCTCGAGCACACTTTCCATCTCCCATGTGGTCACTGGGGCAAAAACAAAAATGTCCAACCATGTATTCGGGCGCAGACGGCTGAAGGGCTCACGCAGGGCTGTTGGGATAGCCAAAGCCTCGGCACGAACAATAGTCAAGGATTATGTCCGGATTGCAAACTTCGAGAGCGTATGGGCTGGGCCCCATATACAACTTCCACACGTAGCATGCTGCTACCCAAAATGTCAAGGAACTCACCGAAAAGTTCGGAGTCGGCTTCATCGCACCCCCTTTGTCTAACGATTCGAAATCGATGACGAATATCCGGCGGGATAGCGAACATATATCGCAACAGTTATGAGATCGATCGCACCGGGTGGAGAAAAAAGCCCAACTGAATCAAATCTGAATCTTGTTAAAACGTGTCTGGATAATGTTCAATCACTGAGGTCTTGAAATTCGCGCGCATTGGGAAATTGTCGGAAAATGGGCATCATTGAGATATCGATTTCTATTTTCAATAGCCGCCTTACTGAGAAGGCGGGCCATCAATCTGATGGAAATTTCTCTCTATATATGCGCAGTAATATTATTAACCGTCGGCTGGCTTCTGCAAAAGTTTTACCATAGAATCTCTTTTGAATGATGACATTGTCTTATGTGGCGAATCTTTCGTTCATACTCGTGAATCCGCAAGTAAATATTCGGATATGGCGCCCAATAGATTTCGGTCCAAATCCATAGCCTGTAACTGGCTTAACCTGTGGGTGATTGGTGTCTTTGACTGGACGACATCCCACACTCGCAGTTTGGGGGTGAAGGGCATTTGCGCTTCATGAATGACGGGATAGGTGTGGTATGCAGCATCGGTCTTGACCAATTGAGGAGCGTTTCCAATTTGAATGGTAATTTTGGAAGTCGAAGGCACGGATTCTAGGTAAATAGATGTTGTGGTAGCAGATTTACTGACCCTCGCCTTCTTCTCTACGCCATCAACTTCAACCTTAATGTCTGAGGATGATTCCAGAGACAAGAACGAGAGCAGCCAGTGACGTGTGCTAGGAATAGTCGAAGTGGAAGACGACGGTCCTACCGTCAATGTGCCTGTTTGTTGAGTAAAGTTGATGGGTGTAGAGACGGGGCTGGCTTCTTCAAGATGAACCCCTTGATCGTCGTCTTCGATCAGATCAAATGAGGCATCCGCGCCAACGACAATCTTCAACTCCACGGAGTCCGGAAGCTTACCGCCATTTGCCGGCTCCTTGGCCGCGTCAAATGGAATGATCGAACCTTCTTTGGCAAAGACGGCATACCCATCCAAGGGCCGATAAACTAGTATCTCTCGATCACCGTCATAGACAACGCCCGAGAAGACATCAACATGGCGCCCAGGCGGAAGCCATACCGCTGTGCGAGCCCTGCGCGTCACGTTGTCGCGTGGAGATGTGAAGGGAGCCACCAGCAACTCGGAACCAAAGAAGAATGTATTCTTGTGGCGATACGCCTCCTTCCGTCTGGGAAAGTACCAGTACACTGGTTGAACAAGGGGCTCGTCGGCGCGGGCAGCCCTTACGTTCATGGAGTATAGGTAGGGTATCAGCTGATGCCGAAGGCGAAGAGCGTCGGTCATCACAATTTGTGCTTCTTTGTTAAAGCTCCACGGCTCTTTGGTGACAAATGGATTATCACAGGAGTGGAGGCGAAGAATGGGAGAGAAGACTCCCAACTGCACCCATCGCGTGGTCAGCTCAAAGTCTTTGTAACCTTTCAAGTGCCCGCCAATGTCATGACTCCACCAACCAAAGCCAATGTTGGAAGATGTCGCGGTGAACTCGGGCTGGAAGTCGAGCGAATCCCAAGTCACATGGGTATCGCCCGAAAACCCAACGGGGTATCTGTGGCTACCAGGGCCAGCAAAGCGCGAGAAGGTCAATGGGCGTTTGCCGCCACGCGCGTTTGCCAGGAAATGATAATGATTCAGCACCCATAAGGGGTCCACGCCAGGAACAGCGGAAAATTCGCCCTGCTGCCAGTCGACCCACCAGAAGTCTATTCCATCGTCTTCAAGGGCTCGGAGCACGACGTTGAAGTAAGCGTTTAGAAATTTGGGGTCTGTCGCTTCAAAAGGAACGTGCTTGGTCTGACGAGGGTCGCGGCCCAAGGCCTTGCACACCTTTTCAAAAACATCCTCGTACTTGGCCACGCCGTCTGCCGGGTGGTCGTTGGGAGTAACCTTGAGGTCCCTCTTATGCAACTCTGCCAGGAACGCTTGAGGGTCCGGAAAGAGCTCCCTCTGCCAGCTGTAGCCCGTCCAACCGCTCAAGCCGCTCTTTCGTACGCGCTCATCGTCTACCCAGTGCCAGTCCATGTCCAAGACTGCGACGCTCATTGGGATTCCTTCAGCACGGAACCGGTCCATGAGCTCGAGATATTCATCCGCCGTATACTTGTAGTATCGGCTCCACCAATTGCCCAACGACCAGCGCGGCAAGAGTGGCTGCTTCCCCGAGATTGTATACAGAGCCTTGACGGCAGCTTTGTAATCGAAGCCATATGCAAAGAGGTAGCCATCAATACGTGCTCCTGGTCGACGTCCGGCTACCCAGCCATCATCAGTGAAGAGCATTGTGTGCGAGTCGTCCAGAGCTGAGAAGCCATTGGCCGCAATCACTCCCGGCCCCAGTGGAATACGACCATTGGCCTCATCGAGAGTCCGCGCAGTGCCGCCCAGCTCATACATGCCGGGTGGGCAGTTGGGAATGGTGCCTCCATAACGCCATTCACTGTGGTAGCTCGTCACTCCTCCTTTGACCTGGACGCGGAGGCCACCCGGACTGAAGGGTAGCTTGTCGTAGCGTAGATGGAAGTGGTCTGTGGCTATCTCAAGGGTTGATTCTGTATCGATAACCTCATAATCTGGTACGGGTAGATCACGGTTAATGGCAAAGGTCGAGGCACGATCTTCAAAGATGCCATCTTCAGCATACTCGTAGCGGAGCAAGCCTGAGGTAAGGAGGGTGAAACGGTACTTGGTCTCGCCTTGGCCCCCAACCACAGCAGCAGGATTGGCTACGGGACGACTGTGAAAGCGACGCAACGAATCCGACAAGGAGTCACCCATGATGATCGGCAGCGTTTGTAACGATAAACACTTGTACGTATACTCGAACGAGGGGAGAGTATTTGATTGCTCTCACGGGCAATCAAGGATGGTAGAGGAGGTTGACTGACCCGTATGTCGAGCTCGAGTATTGGTTCAAGAGGGATGATCGTCGTTTCCCCCTCTTCCGTTGTCCAATCTACCACCGCACTGCGTAGAGTCGAGCATCGTGATACATATCGATCTTGGTGCAAGAGTCGAGAGCAAACATGGTCATTGTTAGCAAAGTCTATACCAATTGCACAGCTACTTGATTCTAAGGCACAGTTTGAAGGCCTAGAAGCGCTGTTGCACCTTGGTATAGAGTCATTGAGAATATACAGCCCATCTAGAAGTCACAGGAATGGATTTGCAGCAATGGAGCATATCGAGGTCTGGAGGAATGAGATAACTATCTGCATCTTTGGATTCTCACGTCCGCTGTAGAGATGAAATTGTGTCAGAACACGTGATAGCTGCGACAATGAATACTATCGATGACTCCGATTATCCCTGGATGATAATGGTATTTCATTTCATACTTTGTAACTTGTTCTTTCCTTGATATAAGGTATATTAAAGGGCAACTTTGCAAAGTGTCATTAGGAAAGATGTGCTTAAATATTAAAACTGTTACTCTAGACATGGAAAAGGCAGCTGTCCAGCGATGTTACTGTAACATAAGTGAAGGGCTACGTCATGACTAAGCTAAACCTTGCCCCTGTACCTGGTTAGGACCTCGGGAGGCATCAAGCCATTAGAGCAACTCTACCTCCATACCTCCGTACAGAGCTGTACTTGTATTAACGATTAATTAGTCTAGACAAGGTATAGAGATATAAGGTATTTTGATAAAATTCTACTCCGTATAGAGGTATTAATTTAGAAGAGATATCTTGGGTAGCTAGTCGAGTCGGTCCGTACAGTTGATGTCGTTCATTAAACTTGAAACGCTGGATGGGAACGGCAGAAGCGAAGCGAAAAAGGGACAGCTAAAAGGACCCTGTGTCGATCCGCCGATATATGATTGGCGAGATAAGCATTGTAATATAACCAGGATGAGAAAAGAAAAGCGGTACGACTTTGTACGAAGCTACGAGTACTTGGAGTAGATAGTTCACGGCCAACGGCTTGGTGGTGAGAAAAACTGCTCTTGGACTTCAACCGTCTTTCCCCTCGCCTTCAATCTAACTGGCCCAGACACTGTACCGACTCCTTTTCCCCCCTGTTGACTTTTCCCCACTCAGGTTGTTCTACCGATCGGGACCCCTTTCGACGGAGATTTCTCCCTCCGAGTTAATTTTCCCAGTCGGTACTCTCTCATTTCTATGTAGATTATCTCCATCGCTGTCTATACTTTCCTATTGCATATAGTTACATAGAGAGAGAGAGAGAGCTCTTTGCCTGTTTCAAATTTGACTGCGATCGTCATTATTGCTTTAGGGTGAGATCATTCTGTCATTTTGCACTGCTCATCGGCTTCTTGCATATGCCTGACTCGAGTTGAGACTCGAGCTTGTGCAAGGTTCATTTTGCTCTGTCGAACGCTCGAGACTGGCACTGTTCAGCTTAAAAGTGCTTCCCCATTTGATATGCTGCCTTTGCTGATTTCTGAAATTGTCAAATGGGGACAAAGGGAAAAGGCTAATCGCAATATTCTTTCTACAGAATCAGCCTTGCTTGAGGCTTGGCATGTTAAGTCTACCATTGCCCACAACGACACCTCATAGCTAGACAAGAGGCACTCGGTTCCTCTGAGAAGCCCCGGCTCTCGAATTGAAGCCATGGCTGCGCACGGCCAATTCGAGCTGCCAGCTCGTCGGACAGTGCGAAGCCAGAGTGTTGCGAGCGACCGAGTTGTTACCGCTGGATATTCTTTTCTTCAGGCGCCGCCTGTTTCAGTCAATCCAGGTCCTGCATATATTGCTCCTGCTGCTGCGTCGCAAATTGCTACGGCCCACCATGTCGCTTTTATCCAAGAGAGGTCCGGCCGCGAATCGGGCGGTCCAACAGGGGATGTGGCCATCATTGCTCCTGTCGCATTATCTTTGATCAATACGTTCCTGGATCACCTCCTCTATACAATCTTATCGGTATCTCGATCAACCTCACTGCCGGCCATCAAACCCGCGCTCTCCGACATTCTCCGACCCAAGCTCGCACGAGACGCAATCGCCGAGGCTGAAGAAGAGCTGGAAGGCTTTCTGGACGGTGGCGAGAGCGAGGAGCTGCTGGCCGCTCAAGGCTTTCACGATATTAGAGGAAACTGGGATTTGGAACTTGTATGGAAGCGTACACGCCTTCGGTGCATGGTCTACTCCAGATTAGGCGACCTCGAGGAAGACGACGAGGAGGTCTTCAACGAAGAAGCCCAGCTCGATGAATTCGCCGGGGCTCACCGACCATTCTCCGCCGATTCCGATGTGATCTCTTCACCAGTAGCCATCTTCCTCGCTTCTGTGATCGAGTTTATCGGTGAGCAGGTGCTCGTTGTCGCTGCCAAAGCAGCATTTGACCGTTTCCAACTGAGTAATGCAAAGTTGGACCAGCAACAGAACTCCGCTACTGCAGTACTTGGCACGGGTCATGTGGTGATTGAAGAGTTGGATGCCGAAAAAGTAGCCATGAACCCCACCCTTGGACGATTATGGCGCGCTTGGAGGAAGCATCTGCGATCTGCATCGACGCCCTTTGCAAGACCAATGTCCCGCAACTCCATTTTCCGGCAGAGTAACCTCTCCTCAATGGCCAGCCCAAGCAGTCTTCGAAGTAGTACAGCTACTCCTGACGGCGGCCACGCGGCTAGTCGTGAACCCCCCACAACTTCTCTACCAGAGGAACCAATCAGTCAAAATGTGGAGTCTTTGGCTTATCCGACCGAAGGTCCGAAAGACTCCAGTGGCTCAAATGCACAGGATCATGCTGGTGATGAAATCGGGAACGTTTCTGTTTCGAGAATCAGGTCTCAGCGGCGACCACACAGCATGTTCATCCCGGCAGGCTTGCCCGCCGCACCAGTGGCCGAGGGCGAATCTTTCTCCACGAGTACGAATAACAAGAGACACTCGTTTATGCCAACAACTCGCTATATGCGCTCGAGGTCACTGCCGTCCAATGAACGGAAGCCCGACCTCTCATTTCTACCAGAAGAGCCTTGTGAGTACTTCTCAGTCTCCACCGGGCGGCGTACCCGTTGTAACAGTGTCATATGAGAGTTACTAACCTCCGCTTTCCCCCTTTTTTTTTCTTTAGCCACTAAGCCATCTATCCCTTCAATCCAAGAGCATGACGCGCAAAATTCTCATCTAAGAGACCTTCTTGCCAATATGGTTGCTAATGCAAGTGCCATCGGCACCTCAGCCTTGGAAGGCATTACCGCAGCAGCAAAGGGAGAGGCCCCTGATGCGCAAGTCACTCCTGCTGACGAGACACGGATGGATTTGGATCAGATTTCGAATGGCAAACCTACGAGTCAGATTAGTTACGATGACGAAGAGCCGCAGATCATGAATTCGAGCCGAGTGTCCTTTGAGGGAAGCACCCCTGTTGAAGTTGTGCAAACCAGATCTGGGGCTCCATCAAGCTCTTGGTCCTTTACTACGGCAGAAGCTACGCATCGACGGTCTACTGAAGGAGAGAGTTATAGACAGGGCCAACACGATACCGATGGCGATGAGAGTGTCATCGGCTTGGCTCGTTCATCGGATGTTCCGAGTCCTGTTCCCTCCAAGCGATCTTCGTCAGTTTATTCGTCTGGGATTGCGGATATGCTGAGCCGAAGGTCAGATCGCGATTCGCGAGCGCTCTCAGAGCGATCACTGGGCGTGCCAAGCGACGAGGCGTCAAACGCCGACAAGCGGAGATCGCGGTTCGTCTTGATGACACCGCCAGTGCCTCGGAGTCAAAGGAGCTCAGCTGCTTCGTCCCTCTCGGAGCGCACAGAAACGCCTGGTGAAGCTTCCGAACCAGGCATGTTGGAAACTCGCCGCTCTATTCTTGACGCGGGCAGTGCGCCACCACTCTCGCCCTTGCGGGAACTCGTAGAGGCTGCCGGAGGAGGTTCAGACGATGAAGATTCCGTATTCACTGGATACGATACAGTTGACTTTGTACACGCATACGAAGACAACTCGCCCGTCGTTTCAAGTTTCAAGACTGAAGGTTTTACCTCTGGTGCAGCGAAGGAGCAGGAGCCTTCACTGCTCACAAAGTCCGTGCACGAGATGCATTCTGAAAATGTGAGTTTCGCGGGGAGACAGCCTAACGTTTTTGTAATATGATTGCTGACCTCGATAGGCTCCCGGGGGTGCGAAGTTACCCACAGAACCCGCCCTAGCATTGTCACCGCTTGAACAATCTGTGCCTGCTGCCGCGTTGAACAACGCCTCCAACGCAAGGGATGTCAGTGCGCAATCTTCGCTTCAACCCAAATCGCCAACCGCTTCAACCGCACCATCGACATCTGGCACCACGCCTAATGATGCCTCCTTCGCCAACCGTCCTCGGCAGCCCTCGTTGCCTTCCCGAGATGCCCGAATTCAGAATGAGTCAACAAGAGACTTTGCAGACTTTATCCGGTCTACAGGCCCTGCCAATGAAGCAGTGAACCAACCTGCGGCACTCCACATATCTCCCCCACTTACTCCGCGACCTCCCACGTCTGTCAGCAGCAAGTCTCGCACTCCTACCATCACCACCAGCCCGAAACGAAAAGAAATTGGAATGTCGCCCACCGGACTTCATCCCATCATTTCCGATGCGCGACGAGATATCCCGCCCTCTGCCGGTTCCTCTTCTACGCGCCGTTTTCAAGCACGCGATGCAGCTACTTCTAATGCCGATACAAGCTCCGACCTCATTGACTTCATACGCCAAGGCCCTCCCAGCGATCCGTACGCTCACCGTTTTGGAGGGCAAGGTAATGGCGGGCTCAAGTCCGTTGCTCCCACCAGGACCACCATGGACTCTGACGAGCTCTCCGTGGCAGGAAACGGGCGTTCCCGAGGCGTCGTATCCATGGCTAGTACGGTTGAAAGCTCAGTCAATGCAAAATCTGGTCACTCGTCTATGAATTCACGGACTGGACTTCTCAGTCATCCAAACGGATTCGACAAGCCTACCGCCGCCCATGTGGGCCGACTCATGACATCTGACCCACCAGTCCCACAAAGAAAGCAACGTCGCGTTCGGGACCCCTATGCCATTGACTCTGACAGCGAAGACGATGAGCTCGAGGAAAACATCAAGCCAAAACGTAATGAAGAGAGCCTCATCGACTTCCTCCGTAACGTCCCGCCACCCTTTGAACCTGAGCCTCCTCGGCCGGTTTCCAGCCACACCCAGAAATCTGGTCGAACGATACTCCAAAAGAGCCCCGGGCCAAAAGCAAAATCACGAGCTGGCGGAAAAGCAATCTCCAAAGGTGCCATTAGCAAGCCGACTCTGATTCCTCTTCCTCCTCAGCATGCTGCTATGCCATCCCTAACTACCAGCGGCGCACCGCATCTATCTCTCAACCAACATCTGCACGACTCGCCTCTCTTGCCGGACAGTCTGCGGCTAGGAAACACCCATCTCGACGCCATGTCGAGAACCACGTCCATTCGCTCAACTCAGTCGTCGAATCCCGATCCGGTCCGCCATGTGTATATCCCGCCTTCCCGATCTGGACCCCGATCGGGTCCTAATTTTCAGGCTCGCTCAGGGCGGTTGGACAATAGCAGCACATCAGATCTTGCCGATTTTTTGAAAAATTCTGGCCCGCCCCCTGGATGGCAGAGCCAGCCAAAGCCATTGCCTATCTTGGTAAAGGAAGAGAGCACTTTTTCGCGCGTCTTTGGACGTCGGAAGAAGACTGCTGCTTAGATTCCATATAATCGGTTCGAACACTACACTGTCTTTTCGGCTTTGAAAGTGTAATTTCTGTTCATATCTTCCGGATTTCATTGACCATAACTTTTAATCAACATTTTTTTCTTCTTCCCGCTTCTCGGTTGAGGTTCCATCTGGTTTTTTTCTACTATACCTGCTCTTTTGTTTCGGCTTGGCTCTTTGCTTTTTTTTTGGAATGAATTTGCATTTTACATACCCCGCCATTTTTTTCTTACCTTTCTACCTTCTGCATTATTGGATTCATCCAAAAAGCCCTTTTCACTTTCCTTCTTCTTTGGCACTCAATGCGCCATGCTTGTCCTGTCAGGCCGCATTGATACTTTTCCCTTTTTCTTTCTCTTCTCAGCTGGGGCTTTGTCCATTAGCGGCATTTGGAGCACAGCCGTACATTTTAATGTATGATTTAATGAGGTGCACGTTCTTTTTTGTTGGGGTGTAAACTTTTTTTTTTTGGTTTTTCCATCTTTCGAGAAAGTTTTTTTTTGGTCTTTCAAGGGTATATCTAATTGTAATTGGTAAAACCGTCCCCCTTCTCTAATCCATGAGGGCGCGAATATAATTTTATTATTCCTCTCTTGCATGAAATAATTAGATCAGCTGTGAGAGAGGAAAGAGACATGTGCCATTTTCAATTAAGCTTCAAAATACATGTAGTCTTTCATTATAAAGCTATTTTAACTAGTATTTCCAAGTGTTCTGGTGTTGGAAACCCGACTCACTCGGCGACGGCGAGCAGCAACAGAGCAAATACGTTCGACGATCATGACTGTCATTGTCGATCAAGGTTGAAACGCCGCGTGGGAAATCCGTGGTGGGAAATCGCCTTCCTAGCCCATCTCCGCTCTTTCGCAGATCTGCGTATTTGACGAGCCGGCGGAGCAAGGAGCGCTTGAGGACTCTCCCGACGGAGAAAGTCGTAGTCGAGCTACGATACTGAGGGCGAGTAAGAGTGCCGGATTAACATAGAGTTTCACAGCGTGAGGAACATAGCGTGTAGCTCGTCGCAGCGTGACTTCTGACAGAGAGGGAGTAGGAGAAGAAGTAAACGGGTGCCACTTTGTTTTCTCACCCGCTACTACTTAATATCCGGCTCCGTCGCGATCGTAACGACTGCAGAATCGTATTTCGGTCAGGCACACGTAATGTTGTTCCTGGAATACTAGCCATTTGGCTTTGACTATGGCGCCCAACTCCTCCTTCAATCAGTCTTCCATCCTCTTCGGTCTCGGACGAATCGCTGTCCAGGACGTGGACTTGTTCTGTCATGGAAGCGGGATCTTCGCTGTCGAAGCTATTTCCCAAGTGTCCGGGCATCTGAAAACCATGTCCGCGTTCCGCTGCACCTCTTCCAGCGGCGCCGCCGTTTGGTGCGTCGACCTGGCCAGTATTATTGCCGGTGCCTCTCTGCGTACGCCTTCTCTTCCGCCCGGTAATGGGATGTCGATCATTCGCACTTGCTTCCTCCGCTCGCCACCGCGCGAGGATCTCATCTTCCTTCTTATTTTCCAGTTGGTGATATGACGCGTGGTGTCCGCAGCCATCGCATTCGAAGCTCGTCGCGGCCTTGGTTGGGTGAATCATGAAGCGGAGACAAGGACAGCCTGGGGCAATGAGGGACGCTTTGTGCGTGCAGGGGCCACGGGGAGGTGTATAGCCCATCTAGCAATATTGATGTTAGCCTTGACAGGAGATGGGCATTGATGTAAGGAATATTCCAAGACTCACCTGGACCCAAATGTTGTTTGTAAAGATCTGTGGACTGTTGACGCCCACACCGGCAATACCGGTATTATTGGACGTGTTAGAGTGCGACATATCGCCGTTGGAAGATCGAGAGAGTGCGAGACTGGGCATGCTGGTTTCAGTGCAAAAAAAGAAGACAAAGCGCCAAAGGGCAGATAGAAGCTTTAAGATTGGAAAATGCGCATAGTATGAATGTTTTTCTTGGAAGTCTTGTCGCAGATAAAGCGCAACACGTGAGAGAAACTAGAAAATTGGTCCTTTCAATAGCGAACAAATGACGGCAGAAACAAGTTTCTGTTGAAAGTGAAAGTGGGATGGTCCCTATCTCGTAGTGGCGTTTGTTTACAGGAAATATTCTGAGCAGGGCTTTGCATACTTCAGATTTGCACAAAACTTCCGTACGAGATGCTGGCGATAATAAGCATACAGCACTGCTTGGCTAACTCATTTTCTCAGATTTCATATCAAAAATACACCTTTGACGTTTCGATAATATCATAGATGATCAATATGGATGGAATGGTAAAGTTCAACCCCAGATTTGCTCTTGAGCTCCATCTCGGCAACTTCCGTGCTTGTGAAAGATACTCCAAACTCCAAAGACGTCCTTCTCTACATTATCGCACATGATCTGGATCAAATACCTATTCCACCTCCACGACACTCCTTTTCTTTGCGGCTTCTTTCCCTTTTATCTTCCTTGTCCAGCCCTCTGAATCGTCTACAGCCCTGTCCCAGCGCATAGGGACAATCGTTGTCCAAGATGCCGAAATATAAGTATTCCCGTCATGATATATGGAAAGCTCCTGCTAACATTCTCAGCACTCTTCTGTAGGTCTTTTCCTCCATATAATGTCACAACTCTGCGCCAATACTCCACATCATTTCCCCATATCAAAAGCACCTTTCGCCATCAATCCGACAGAGCTTCGACGCGCTAACCAGCTCAGGTGATTACTGCGATGTGTACCTCACACACGACTCGATGAGCGTGCGCAAGGCCCACAACGCCGGGCGAAACCACCTCCGCAACGTCGTCGACTATTACCAGCGTACGTTACCTTACACGTTTAAATATTCTGTACCTTGATTCAAAGAAGCTCATGTATATGCACCATTAGAGATCGGCCACGAAGAAGCGCAGCACGTCATTGACAGCATCACGTCCTCATACGCCGCCGAAGGCGCGCCTGGCGCAAATCCTATGCTCGCCGCTGCTCCTGGCGTTGGAGGCGCTTTTCCTCCACCTCCATTCGGATTTCCGCCTGGCGCGCGTGTTCCGCCTCCGCCATTTGGCATGCCTGGCGCTCCTCCAGGCGCTGGTATTCCGCCGAGTACGTTACCCTCTGTGCTTAGGATCTGCATTAGTCAAAAATACCCTCCGTTCTAACCGTGTCTAGTCCCCTCACCCGCTGCAGCTGCTGCTGCGGCCGCGGCCGCAGCAGCCGGTCGCGGTGCCGGTGGTCCTGGAATTCCTCCACCGTTTCCCTTCCCTCCACCCGGCGCTCCTGGCGCGGCTGGATTTCCTCCGATTCCTCCTATCCCTGGCACCGGCTCGCCCGCTGCTCTAGCCGGCGGCGCATCCATGTCACCATTTCCTCCACCAGCGCCTGGAGGCAGTGCGCCGCCACCGCCAGGAGCCTTTGCCGCGTTCCCGCCGCCTGGTGCGCCTGCCGCGCCTGGAGCCCCAGGCGGTTTTGCTCCTCCCCCGCTCGGCGCAAGTCCTGGTGCCATGACCGGATTCCCTGCTCCACCAGGTGCCGGCGGCCCCTCGCCTGTGCCGGGAGTGCCAGGCTTCGCTGCGCCACCCCCGGGTATGTCTGCTGGTCCGCCTGCGCCTGGGGCCGGTGCGCCGGGGACATAGAAGGAGCGAGATGGTGACTCGGTCACTTTTTCTTTTGCTTCATTGTTGCATTTCGATTGCGTTGTGGCTGAAATCTTGGCCATGCCGTCACGTCACATTTAGAAATTGGGACCTTCTTGTTCTTCATCCGTTGTACTCTTTGGGCGTTTAGACAGGAGTAAAACCAATCCATGGGTAATGGGGATACTTGTATCGTATTAGGAAAAACCCTTTATTTCTTTTTTTCCATGTTAGAGAAAATTTTGAAAAAGTTAACAACATATTTAAATTGTCACAATCGAGTATAAGAGAACTAGCGTTGCATCATGACAAAGGGTTCACCTGCGAGAAATCATACAATTCATAAATGTGACATTGATAAAATTTATCCATTTGGGTCCTGCGGGATTCGGATACTGTGGTTTCTCCCTAAGCCTGGATGAAAAAGGGATATATGAGACAGAGTAGAGGTAGTTATCTCACAAGATTTCAAAACTGAGAATGAACAAGGGAGGTATAAGGTGAGCAAGTGGAAAGAAGAAGAAAAGAAAAAAAGAGTACCAGAGTGCAAATTCACCACCCGCAAGATAGATAAACAGGTCGTGAAGATAAATTCCCCGAATATGTCAGGGACTTGGCTCTAGCAAGATGAGACGAGAGAGCAGAGGCAGAAACACCGCGAGATCCCATACACGCAGAGAATCGAGCGGCAACAGTCGCAATGGAAAGGGGGAAAAAAAAGAGAAAAAGAAGTAGATAAGAAGGACGGAAGAGAACAAGACGCCATGGAAAATGGCACCAAGATGCTCATCACCTATCGCCGGGCCAGATGATGCAAAGGGAATTGTTGTCAAGGAGTGGAAGAAGACGCAAAGTAAATTTTTGACCCAGGGCCGCGAAGAGAAAGGAAGGAAAAAAAGCGATGACAAAAGGATAGGCACATCTAATGTTCAGAGAACTAGAGGGAAGAATGAAAATAATACACGACAGCGATGATTTAGTCGCTCCAGCCAACTAATGCTCGTAACCAGCTCCTCGCTGCCAAGGACTCGGGCTGCCGGTTTGTTGCCGATAACCCGTGGGCTGCTGACCGTAATAGTCATGATTCCGTCCCACAGGAGATGCGTTGTTTGACCGACTCGTCGTCGGCCGATCATATGGTGAAGCGAGGTACGATCGCGATGAATTGTCAGTATGAGTAGTTGGAGGGCCGTGGCGCGGCGAAGCGTCACTTGGGAAGAGAGGCAAAGAAGTCTCAACTGGCGACACGGGCGAGCGGCCGTCTCGGTAGCTGCCGTTGGAGTGAGATGTTGAGGGAGGAAGCGGTACGACTGCAGGATCGTGTTGTTGCTTGTTCATAGACTCTGACGACCATGAGTCGTCATCGTCAATATCCCGAGGCTTGTACAGCTGGCCGGGTTCGCCACGGGCAGTGACTCCAAGAGCGTCAAGCTCGGTGGTCATCTGCGGGTTGGACTTGATAAAGGATCCTCGGTCATCGCGCATGGGCTGGTATCGAGTATCGGGGTTCTTAGAGAAGATGGCGAAGCAGGTGGCAACAAGCACCAGGAGGAGTAGGACCAGGGCGAAAACAGCATTGTAGACGAAGAAAACGACGCCCATGACACCGCTCACAATCAACTAGAAGGTCTCGTCAACCCAAAAGAACATTTGGATAAAAGCGAATTGACTACTTACTGGCTGATTGAAAATGCCACTGAAAACCAGGAGGAAAATGGCGTTGAGGAAGTTGATGGCGCCAATCGAAATATTGAAGGCATTGGTCTTCCTGTCCATGTACGGACGAAGAATGGAGAGGACAATCAAGAGAACACCCTCAATGACGACCAAGGCAACCGCTTGCACAGTGCCGGAACCTTGGCCAAAGGCAATGAACATGCTCTTGATCAGAACGTAGCCAAGCACCGGAAGGATGAAGTAGTAGGCTGTCGCACGAAACTGCACGTACAGGAAACCCCACTTATTCAAGGCCTTGGGGTCTGAGTACAGAATATACGCAGGGTTCTTGTGCATCGACACAGAACGTGTTGCGATGCGAATCACCTTCAAGGCCGCCCAGACAAGGGTAAAAGTCATGGAGAGAAACATGAAAATGCCCAAGACTACCTCAGCAGCAGAGTCCCGCTCGGTAAGTTCCCAGAGGCAGAGAACACACATTTGAGGGTAACCGATCAACACCTGTGACAGTTAGCTTTTTCACATGGGACTTGCGAAGATGAAAAGGTTGATCGTCTCCACTCACCAGACGGAAGAGGATTCCTTTCAACACGGTCAGCCAGCCATTGCGAAATTCCTGGAACTTGTCCGACTTCATCCATTTGGCGCGCACAGCAAGCTCGCAGAAGCCCTTGAAAATTGCGATCAAAATAGCCACGAAGACAACAAATATCACAAAGAAGGCCAAGCCAGTGAAGAAAATGTTGGTTCGCTCAATTCCGGCTCGGAAACCGACTCGCTCGATGCCACGCACGACTTTGACCTGACTGCCCGCTGATGACGAGCTAGAGCGAGGAAAAATGTGCAACATGCGTGATAAATACTCGTCTGCGCGCTTTTGAACCTCGACTGAGGTGGTAGACAAAGTGGCAAGCAAGGTAGAGGGTGTGCCACCAGTGGAACGCTGGTACCATCTGGCGATAGCCTGTAAGAAGCCAATACGAATGATACCCATGCTCCATTGGAAATTCTGAGTCCAAGACTGCACGATTGGTGGCAAGGTGACGGCAGTCATTCCAATGAACGCCTGAGCTTGGAAATATCCAAACAACGAGAGGGCATTTGCCGCGACATGCGCAGCTGTATTTGAGTGTCCGAGACCATTAGTGACGGCCGACGCAAGCAAGGCAAGACCTGCAATAACAGCTGTAGCCCAGCCAACCGCTTTCTGGTCGACTGTTTTGCCGTTGGACATTTGAGCTTCTACGCAAGCCAACGGGGTATTGGTGTCGGTTGAGTTGATGTAAATCTTAACAGTACCATCCAAGTCGGGAACGGTGTATGCAATGCCTATGCAGAGAAAATTAAGTAAGCTGCAATGGACCCTGACGCTTTAGGGGTAGGGTAAAACCAACCAGGAACCTGATTGACAACATCGGGAGATATATCCGGAATGTTTCCCGGCAAGTTGATCTGGCCCGTGTTCATCGGACACATGCCTTCCAAGTTCATCTTGCAAGGGTTCAGCGATTGTCTCACCGCCGTATACCCATATGCAATCACTTCCAGCTCTGCTGTAACATTTCCAGAGATTGACGAGATACCGTTGATATTAAAGGTCACAGTCCGGTTGTCGGGAGTGAAGACGACGCTGAATAAGGTAGCTGTGAATTTCGAATTCTCCATACATGGGTTCAGCGATTTTGCTTCGAGCATTCGGACGGCGGCGGAGAAGGGAAGGAAAGCGAGGAGCGACACCAGCACCGCAAAGGGTGCCATCATTCGATCGAAGCGCATTTTGGCCGTGTGAATGGTAGGAGCGAGGGCAGTAGGGCGTCTACTAACTCGCCCAAAAACTTAACGAGATTGGAAATATCGACGCTCCGGAGACCCAGTGAATCCCCAATAATAGGACAATCGAGTAGTTGTCTCTGGTGTTTGGTATTTGGATGTATAGAGTCGCGGATGTGGAGGACGTAATGCGACGTATAATCGCGGTCTATGGAGGACTTCTGGTCGACAAAACTTCTGCGTCACCTGCGGGGTGGCAGCTGGGGAGAGGAAGGTGGTGAGGCTGGTCGAAAAACAAGGAATCGTCGTGATCAAGAATAATAATAGAAGCAGACAGCGTGAGCGCCTTTTCCGGTGCTAGCGAGCGGCCAATACGGGAGTATCGATCAGATCAAGCGAAGGTAGAAGATGAACGTTTGGTAGAGAGCGAGCGACAGGTGATCCTCCTGCTCAGGAGGATCGAGAAGAGATGTGGCCGAGAGCGATAGAAGAGGAACGTATCCCTCACGATGAAGAAAAGAAAGATGAAAAGAATGAAAGAGAGAAGGAAGAAGAGGAGGAGGGGGAAGGATGAGATGAGACGGGAGAGAAGAGAGTGAGAGTGAGAGCGAGAGTGAGTGAGGGAGAGAATAGGAATGAGAACAAAAAACGAACGACTGGGTGGTACAGTTTGAGGTATCTAATCACTACTATTCAGGGGGAAAGGTACTTGAAATATGCAGGGCGTATACTTTTTGGCTCCTCTACGGAGTAAGCGCCCCAGCGATGCATAAAGAGGGAATAATCCAGGTGACGGAGTCGGAGGATAAGGCGGTTACGAAGCCCCGTTCACAATAATCTGGAGACGAACACTGCGATAGTGTCTGGAACTCTCCCCTTGGCATCTCAACTAAAACATGGGAACCAGTTGCTTTCGGGAAAGGATGGTACCCTTCGCCGCGGGAGGGATGGCGGGGAGCAAAAAATGGAACCTGAAGAGCAAGAAAAGGGGAGGCCAAGGGGAAGCGAGACCGTGGGCGGATCATGTTCGTTCGTGCCGTCGGTACACTGTCAATGCGCACACGTAACCTTTTTGCTGCAAAAACTGTTTCTGTCCCTTAGGTAGGTACCTTAAGGGTCTTTACCGACCTCCGATTACGTGGCCCACGCGATGATTAGTAGAAGACACAATCCTACTCCCAAGTGCGGAGAAAATGTATAAAAAGATGCGATGATCTGCTGTGGTGCGCTATTATTATAGGTAGAGCGAAGAAGACGAAAGGTACCCAGTCCGAGTCCCTCAACGCCAAAAAAAAAAAAACATGGATATGATCTACAGTACGACATCAAACTGGTTTGGACGCAAGATGCGAGTGACCCCTCGTGCGTGTGACTGCAAGACAAGTGCATGACGAAGATGAACACGCAGGGTGACGACGCTCGGGGCAAGTCGTGCGAAGAATAATCGAAGGTTAGTGGGAAACGAGGTGGAGGGAGGCTGTGTTGTCTCGCTCCCTGTGCGATCCATTCCTTCCTCGGCCAGCCCTCAAACATTAGTGTTGCGACATAACACGAGGGAGAAAGGGGCCAGCCTCGAGGGATAATACTGTGAGGAGAAACATTTGGAAAAGAGCGTGGGCAAAGTACGGAGTACGATTACGAGCATTCGCTTCAGCGATACTTTGTATGGTCCTCTTAAATTGCAGGGACTCCTTCTAAGTCGTACAGAAGTGCCCACACTAGCACTTGAGCCATACAACAATACTGGTTACGGCAGATTGATTTTCCCTTCGTGTGTTCGGTCGTGATGAATACAGCATTATTCTGAGTCCTACGCCTGTTCGTAATACATTTCAGCACCCGCTCACTATCAGAAATGACAATGCTCTGAAAGGCACATCAGATTTGAAGCTTTCTACTACATAATAGTCAATGATTCAAAGGCTTGATCGATAAAATAAATTGTGTTTGTCTGCAAGGATTCATACCAAATCGATTTTTGTTTTCTTTCCCTTAAATTTTGCCGTATTGAATTATATATCACGTGACGTCCAGATCTGGTTTCGCTTCCGGAGACGCTAACGAGACCGCCTTTGACAATTCTCGAGAATTTCTCTGAGCATCCAGTCTAGTGATATCTTCACCGAATCGCCATAATTCTTCACCATGGGTCCCGCTATGCCGAACCCCGACCTTCAGTCGAAGAAGAGAAAGAGAAAGCACGGAAGTGCTTCAGTCGACAAAGATGCGGTGAAATCGGCCGCGCCTCAGGTGCCAGAGACCAGTGAAGTCGCTGCATCGCCTGCAGCCAAGGCCGAAAAGCCCAGCAAAAAGACCAAGAGAGCTCCCAAGGAAGAAATTGAGGAGGAAGTTGAGGATGCCGAGGAGGTTTCTGAAGATGAACAGGAGGATGGCGCACAGAATGGCGAATCTCCCGCCGAGCAGAGCGACCTGCCGACCAACGGCGCTGTCACGCTTCCCGTTACCGGCGAGGAACCTAAGAAATTCTCCGAACTGAGCCTTACGGAGAAGACTATGAAGGCGATTGAGGGCATGGGATTTGAGAACATGACTGAAATCCAACAACGAGCAATTCCCCCGCTCATGGCTGGACGCGATGTGTTGGGTGCGGCCAAGACAGGTTCCGGAAAGACGTTGGCTTTCTTGATCCCGGCCATTGAGATGCTTAGTGCCCTGCGATTCAAGCCGAGAAACGGTAAGTCCTGAAATGAATTGATTTGGGTAGCCTTTTTGACTGAACTCTATATCAGGAACCGGTGTCATTGTGGTCTCTCCTACTCGTGAACTCGCTTTGCAGATTTTCGGTGTTGCTCGCGAACTTATGGCCAACCACTCCCAAACGTACGGTATCGTCATTGGCGGTGCAAACCGAAGCGCCGAGGCAGAGAAGCTGACCAAAGGTGTCAATTTGCTTATTGCTACCCCCGGTCGACTCCTAGATCACCTGCAGAATACCCAGGGTTTCGTTTTCAAGAACATCAAGACCCTAGTCATTGACGAGGCGGACCGAATTCTGGAAGTTGGTTTCGAGGACGAAATGCGTCAGATTGTCAAAATTCTGCCTCAGGAGGAGAGACAGACAATGCTCTTTTCGGCCACCCAGACCACCAAGGTCGAGGACCTTGCGCGCATCTCTCTTCGTCCCGGCCCGCTTTATATCAACGTCGACCACCGCAAAGAGCACAGTACCGTGGAGGGTGTGGAGCAAGGTTACGTTGTTTGCGACTCGGACAAGCGATTCCTGCTCCTCTTCTCCTTCCTGAAGCGTAACCTGAAGAAGAAAATTATTGTCTTCTTTTCAAGCTGTAACTGCGTCAAGTACCATGCTGAGCTCCTTAACTACATTGATCTTCCGGTGCTCGATCTTCACGGAAAGCAGAAGCAGCAGAAGCGGACAAATACCTTTTTCGAATTCTGCAATGCGAAGCAGGGTACTTTGATCTGTACCGACGTGGCAGCCCGTGGTTTGGATGTACGTGTGTTTGTCATGGTTGGATTAAGGAATTTTGAAGCTGACTTGAATTTTCAATAGATTCCGGATGTTGATTGGATTGTCCAATTCGATCCCCCGGATGATCCTCGCGACTATATTCACCGCGTTGGACGGACGGCTCGTGGTATGAACCGCAAAGGTCGCAGTCTAATGTTCCTTCAACCCTCTGAAATTGGGTTCCTGAAGCATCTCAAGGAAGCGCGTGTGCCCGTAGTTGAGTTCGAGTTCCCGGCCAACCGCATTGTCAATGTGCAGTCACAGCTCGAGAAGCTCATCGGACAGAATTACTATTTGAACAAGGTACGTTTCTCTCTTTGTTGAAGAATATCAGCTCGAGCAAGCCAAATCTGTGTTCCTCAATTGCTGACACTGTGGATGATATAGTCTGCCAAGGATGGTTACCGATCCTACCTTCAGGCGTATGCGTCGCACAGTCTGCGATCCATTTTTGACGTAAACAAGTTGGATTTGGTCAAGGTAGCCAAGGGCTTCGGATTCCAGACACCGCCGCGTGTGGACATTACCCTGGGTGCGAGTATGAGCCGGGACAAGAAGCCGAGTGGTCGCCGAAATTATGGCAGTCAGGGCAAGCAGATGCAACGCTTCAAGCGTTGAATTGATTCTTTTGATATTGCATGATTCGTTGAATCATTGCCGGATTCCCAAATGCATCAGACGGGGTAGTTGCTGTGATTGCTTTGAGCATGGCGTTCTAGAATTAAAAGCTGGGATTGATTTTTTTGATGGATATAAGTTTTTTCGTTGACAGGCTTCATTTTCTCTTAATTGTGCCGCATTGTTTGATAGATGATTGTCAATGCATTTACACTATTAGATTTGCATACGCGGCTCCGTGCACTGGCGGGTGATTTTTGAAATATCCTGGATAAAATGTTGACTGATATCTTGAATTTTGATACGTGCAATATTTGTATTCCCTACATGTACGCGTGTTATGGTGTTAAACTTATTGTCAGTCACTCAATTTGTGATAAATTCTGACAATGGGCTTGTTAGAAAATTTAGGGATTTTAAATCGTGATGAATCGAAAATGCCTAACTCGATATCAAATATTCAAAACAAGAAAAAATCTGACATCACACGTGGAGACAAACGCCATTTTTATTTTTGTTTATTGTCATGCCTTGAATCTTCATCAGGTTTGTTTCTTTTTATATCTCTTCTTACTTCCTATTCCATTTTTTTTATATTATTTCCCAGCGGGATAACTTGGTGATAACCAGTGGCTGGAGGGTAGAAAAAAGAAGAGGCTGGTGTTGAGAGAATAGTGCCTGACAACTAAGATTTAGTTGGACGAGTCTTAACTAGCCGAGTCTAACCCGGCAAGCGTAGCGCAGGCAACACGAGCCGGACCGGGCTCTGAACCACGGATGTTTAATACCATCAACCCCTAGTAGAGTAGAGTGTATAACAATGGGAGCCAACGTGTAACGTTATGCGGCTCATCCGAACAGGATTTTATTGATCGTGGTCGGCCCTGATCCAACCAAATCGGATGTGGTACGTTATAGACTCACCGTGTAGATCAGCTAACTGAGGTGGTTACCTCCCCTTTCTTCCCAGCCACCACCAAGATACTCTGTATCCTCCGTACTCCGTACGCAAAATATTCTGCGGCTCTGCTTTTCACGATTCTCGCTCTCCCGTCATTTTTCCCTTTTGGCTCTACGACCTACTTGCTTGGCGCCCCACACAGCAGCGCTAATACCACTGATCTCCAATGACTACGGAGTGCAGCTGTTGTGATCGACTTTTTTTGTACTGCTCATGCAGCGAGAAGGATACCTTTGAGCGTTAGGCCTAGCACCTTGTCCACGAACATCCAATGATTCTTCTTTTCCGTGACCTGCGATTCAAGACTGTATGGCCATTGGGTTGCCCCCCTTGTATACCATCCGTCCACCCTCGAAACACTGTGAACCAATCTGTTACCGTCATTCAATCTCTCTTTTCAACGAATAGTAGTGAATTCCGTCTCTTTGCGTTTCCATTGCGCTGCTTTTTCTTGGTTTGTTCTGGCCGATGCAAATGCTGTCGACGTGGTTGCTTCTCCATCTTTGTCTACTTGCCTTGACTCCAAGTCATTCCCTCTCCCATTGGGTACAGCGATCACAGCGCCCCATCATCACTCGAATTTTTTCCCTTCCCATCAAATCATCCATACGGCACACTATCTATCTCGTCCCGCAGAAGATGATGCATTAGCGACGGCAACTTCTCACCGCAAGAAAACTGCTGCACAGCCCGACTTCGGGTCCTTGTACTTCTCTTTTCGATACCCTCGTCAGCCTCCTCATTCTCGAACTCCTATTTCTCACCTCCCAATATTCCCTTCCTATATCTCCTTCTGCCCACTGGGGTCCCATATTATTCCTGCAGCACATATTCCGGTTCCTGCATCCATTCAATCTATTTTCATCTCTTCTGGCGCCGAAACGCCTCTCGGGGAAAGAGGGTTAATCTCGTCGTGGCCGCCCGAGCTAATATCGCTCGCTCACCCCGGTCACGCCAGGAAAAAGTTACCAATCGCCACCACCTGCCAGCTAACTAACGACACACCTTGCTCCCCCACACAATAATTTCCTCTTCAAACGCTCCCAACAGCTACTGAATCGACAGAGAGGGAGAGCTCTCATCAGGGTCAGTTTCCCACAGCGCGCACTAGTTGCTGAAATCTGCATCTGGTATTAATTATTCTGCGTCATTGGAATACGGTTCCATCACCATCCAACCATTACTGTTTTCTGGACGGGCGAGCAACACCTAATCGTTCGATGATCGAAATCATGCACTTGAGCCTGCTTAGTTGAACTTTCCCTCCCTGTGCTCTCGCGTTTGTGGTCTCCCCTAGGTTTTTGGTTTTACCCTGCTCAGCGTCAAATGGTTCAGTCGCTCATTTTCGAAGCGACCGTATCGTTCCTCTGATTATTGTTATCACATCATTTTGGCCTACCAAGCGGATGCCTGTCTCTTGGCCGGGTTCTATCTCGGCCAATTTAGCCTGACGGCTGGGTCCTGTCACATCTCGTTTGACCCACGTCGTCTCGTCTCGACGACATCGGCCCTTGGTCTGAGCGCTCGCAACCCGGGCCCATTACTGTTCTAAACCAACCTCTCCGCTCTCGTCTGTTTTTGTCCCGGTTGAAATAATCTGTTTGAGCAGTACGATGGGGGTGGACAAGCGCAAACCACCACTTCCTGCACCCACTGAAGCTTCTACCACGGCTGGCAGCGTCACCGGCACTGACCTCGCCACGGACGTTTCCAGGCGTACCGACCGTACATCCTATTCCATCCCCGAGGACGGCAGCCCAGTGACCATTTCAACTCGTCGCCGGAGAGACAAGGACGCTGAAAGCCACCTGAGCCGCTCATCGCACAAATCCCAGACGTCTCTGCTGATTGAGTATTTCGAAGGAGGCAAAAACGGCGACAAGGGTCACCGACCCAGTGTCCGAGTCCGCGTTACTCCATCGTCTGCTCGGCGCAGCAAAGAAAAAGGTGACCACGAGCACATTCAAATCACCGAGACGGGATCCTCTCGAAAACCATCCTACACCAGGCGCATCTCACTGGGGCCGCACGTTGAAGGTGCGAAACAATTGACTGAAGGCATTGACGACCGCAGTTCCCTTGCATCCGTAACAGACGAATCTAATTTAACCTCCCGACCGCCGGTTGAGGTTGAAGTGCTGCCCAAGAGTGGTGACGGCAGTGACTTGTCTGCGCTCAGTACAACCGAAGGTCCTCGATATACGATCGGGAACTCGGAAATTTCTTCGATCCCCCCAGACAGTTTTCTCGACAATCCCGACGCCACTCGCACTCCGCAGAGACAACGGAGTCGGAGCTTAGCCAAAGCAGACGTCATGGCGGCCGGTGACACCCTCAAGGCCCCCACTCGACGTCGAAGCCGCAGCCTGAGTCGCGAGCGAATCACCCAAAAAGTTTTGGAGAAGCTTGAGAGCCAGCCTTCCACCAAGCAACGACGAGCGAGTCATGGTCGCAGCCGTAGCGTGAGCAAGGAGCACTTAACTGAAGATATCACATCTCCGCAGAGGCGGCCAAGTCGACAACGCTACGATGACGAATTCACCAGCGGTGCAGAATCAAGCCTATTAACCTCACAGCTCTCTCCGCGGCGCAAATCTGGTGACCAATATTCGTTCCGATCAGGGACCTCTCGCTCATCCATTAACAATCCTAAATTGCTCGAGACAGTAGAAGATGCAATCCGTCGACTGATTCTGCCCGAATTGACTGCATTAAAAGAGGAGCAGAAGCAGCACGGTCATGGTCGCACAGACAGAGAAGCAGATGACTCTGTGGTCTCCGGAAGCAGTGTCTCCCACAGGGAAAGCCGCCGTCGACGGCCGTCAAAAACCTCAAGCATCTCGGATCTAGCGGAGAGGCCCAAGGTGATCTTGAACAAGGACGACAATAGCCCCGGTCTGATCCTCTCTGGGAATTCGTTGAAAGGAAGGAGGAGGCCCTCGAGAGATATAGTGGACGACACCTCAGAGCAAAGCTATGATCGTTCCGTCCATGAAGATCCGGCTATAGAAGAAGGAAGACGAAGTAGCCGAAGAAGACGGAGCAGTAAAGATAGTCATCATCACCTACGCGAAGCCGCCGCCGCCGGCGCAGCTGGAGCGCTCACGCTTGAAGCCCTTAAGCACCACGAGTCGAGATCGAGCCTTGATCGGAGGGAGAGACGAAGGAGACGACACCACAGCCATAGTCGAAGTGAGAGTATTGCGGACAGTACAGCAGAGGCGCAACCTGAACCTCTGATTCCAAGATTGCCAATGAGCAGTGATATCCATAGTTCTGAACTGACAAGGGAGTCGATCTTAACGGCACCATCCGAAGTGCACTCAGGCGATCCATCTGCAGCCCCTGTTCACTTAGTGTCCCGGGGCTCACCCCGCCAGGTTGAGTCGCCGGCCAGTAGGACCCCGACGAGAACAAGGACGCCGGTGTCCTCCCACAAAGGATACGAGATCGAAAGAGAACGGGGCACTCGTTCCCGGGGCAGCCCCAGCTTACGCAGTTTAAGAAGCGAGAGAAGTGCTTACGGTGGTCTCGGAGAAGCAAGGTTGACCGATTCCGTAGTGGCTGAGGCTGCGGCGGTCGAATCCCAAGTCGCTGACTTGCACCACGCAGGGCATGAAGATGTGTCTGAGCATGACTATGCACAGCATGACCGAGGTCTTAGTCCGGTTCAGAGCATTGCAAGCTCGCGCGAAATGGTTGAACCACTGAGAAGAGGCTCACCCAGACACATCCAGGCGTCGGCTTCATTGTCATCTTTGGGCAAAAATGTTGTGCGACGCAATTCCGAAATGTCAATTGATTCCATGTCGTCGTCACCTAGCACAAAGATCGCACGGGCGATGAGACCAAAAGGAATCAACCTGCAAAAAGGAAATACCATTATTAGCCAAGACGTTTTGCCTGAATCAGAACTAATGCATCATGATGAACTTCCTCAGGGAGCTGGCATCGATGAGTGGTACGATCAACAGGAGCGCAGTCATGCACGAAATCTGTCCCCGCATTACGAGAACAGCGATCGTGAATCAATGGACGCTAAACGCGATACAACCTATACGGACGATAGTGCTCCCTATTCAGCCAAGATTGCTGCAGGGCAAGAGATCAAGGATTTCGATCTCACCAACCCCGAGTATCGCCATGCTCCCGCCGGGGTCGAGTCTGCCGTGGCTTCGTTGCACGATCCGTCAATCTTGGAACCACCATACTCTGGTGATAAAACTCATTTTGTCGAAGGCCACGACTACTCTGAATCCGAGGAAGACCGAGACGAAAAGTACCGTCAAGCGGAATTTGAACTAGGCCATGCTAGGACTCCGAGGCCAGAGTCCGTGTACGAACACAAAACGGAACATTTCCAGGATGACCAATCCGTCTCTGAAAGGCAGTATAGCGAGCGACTTGACCAGCGCTCGCCCGTACAAAGCGTTACGCATTCAATTATGCATGAGGACGAGGAGCCAGTGCACATGACTGCAAGTGGAATCCCTGTGGCTCACGACCCCATGCCTGAGATTGGTCATGGCTTGGATGATGAATCAGACATCAACACGAACCCATCAATCATCCAAGGTCCGATTGGGGGCTTGCACCATGGGGAGCGCGACCGCTGGGATTACGATCAAACACCGCTGCAGTCTGAGAGAGGGCATGGGGAGGAAGAGCATGTTGAGTTTGAAGCCGCCGAGGCCGGACTCTTGGGTGCTGCCGCCGGCGCCGGCGCTGGCGCAGCCCTTGCGCATCATAACCGCGAGCTAGAAGAGCAGCAGCAGGAGCAACAGCATGATCGAATTGAAAACCCTTACCCGAATGAGGACAGTAATCTTCATGATAAGCAAGCAACTGTCGAAGATGACTATGAAGAACTTGATCGCCATATCGATGCCCTTAACAGCTCGCAACTCAAGGACGAGGGATACATTTCCGCGGCAAACCAGGGTCCACTAACGCCTGAACCCCTTCTCAAGGGACGCCGATTATTCGACGATGACGGTCTTCCGGGTACAGAAGACGAGAATGAAATTTTTGCTGGCGGTCGGAACCGGCTCAGTGGAAATTCTCAGGGAATTGAGTCCCCTTTGTATGACAGTGCTCTGGGGAGGGGAATGGATAGAATCCAATCCAAGGATATTGTCGCCCTAATGGACCACGTAAGTTGTTTTACCACCTAGCACATCTCAAATTTTATGCTTCAGAGGACAGAAAACGTGACTGACAATGTCAAAGCTCACTGTCCGGGACGCTCAAAGAAACGCGAGGGATACTGAGATCTTAGTCACGCTGGTTCGCAGTGCAGCGGAAATGCGCAACTCTTTTGAAGAGATGAAACGTTTCATCGCTGATCAAGACGAAATGATCATGACCAATACCGAGCGCACTGCTGAACGTTCTGTGCAGAAGATTATAGGAGGGCCTCGGGCGCCGCCTGTTGGCTTTTCTCGCTCATCGCGACACGCTTCTGCCGATGATGATATGATTGATGACATTCCCACGAAGAGAAAGAATGTCTTTAAGAGAGCACTCAAGGGGCTGAGCATGCGGAGTGGCAATGACCTTGCAAAAATTGAAGGCATGCTAATTCAACTACTGGGCGAAATGGAGGGACTCAAGGCCGCTCAGGAAATGCGCAATGCCGCCATGACACATTCAAATAGTTTTAATTCCTATGAAAATCTTCGTGCGGCTCCCGATGGATACGAACCAGAAGGCCGTGCGGGGACAGCTTCTACAGGTACTCACTCTGTTGGAGCTCTTTCAAACCCTCCGTCCCGAGGAAGCGTCGCTCGAGGAGGCTATGATGGTCGACGTGCATCGCAACATCGCATCAGCACTGTCATGGAAGATGACGAGGAGTTGGAGGACCATGAGGCAAATGTCCTCGACAATCAATTTGAAAATAATGAGCGCCATCTTACACCCACGCAAGAGAGGATTCGCGGAGGTTCTGTGCCACTTGACAGCCCACCGCCGATGCAAATGGGCGGGTCTCGAAGCAGCGACAATACGCCAAAGACAGACAAGAGCCGGAAGCACAAGTCAAGCAACTCTTCCTTCTTTCCCAAGATTTCGAGATGGTCCAAGACGACAACCTCTTCGGCAGGAGGTCGCAAAGATAGGCCCTCTTCTGAAGCCTCTCGATCTGGGTCTGATTTGGGTCAATATGCCGACCACCAGTATGAACCTCAATCTGGAGACCGTCTTCAATCACCATACTCGCCAGATGCACGGTCAATTGGCCGTGAAGAAGTCAAGTCTCCCTCCGTCAGGTCCCCTTCTCTTAGGTCCCCTTCTGTGAGGTCGCCTTCTGTTAGGTCCCCCTCGCCGCTTATTGAGGAAGAGGACGCCCATTACCATGCCCACCGAAATTCCTTGAACCTTGAGCACCCTCAACCGCGCCAGGGCCCCACTCATCGTCATCAGCACCGTCTCGAGTCTGAAGCTCAAGATTTTGGGTCGCCCCTTTCTCCAGCATCAGACCAGTGGGGTTCGAATCCAAGCCTCTCACGATTTGCAGCCCAACCTCACCATCATCTCAGTGGAGGCAATTTGTCGCCCATCTCCGACGATGCTCAATCTGACGCGTCGGCATCGGAGCAGCAATTTGACCCTCTTCGGCCCTCTAGGTTCCGCGATGATGGTCCTTTGGTCCCGCAACCTCCCCCTCGGATTCCGACATACGAGGAACAATTGCAGTATAGCTCACCCTATAGCTCAGCAGGGCGCTCTGGTCGCCTTGAACCGATCGAGGAGCGATATAGCGCTGAGGAATCTCGCTATGGCGATACACCTTTTATTCCATCATCATCACCGGCGCCGCAACAGCTGCAACGAGAGCAGGTATTTTCATCACCCGAAACTGTCGATATTTTGCACATTTTTATAACCCGTCTAACATGACTTCTAGATGACTGGCTCGCCTCGCTCTGCGCCTTCTATTCGATCCAATCGCTCTACTCACTCTGCATCTGCGCAAGTACCCCAGCGCAAGCCCACTGGTCCCAGACCGCTCTCCTCTAGTACCCATGGGACTGGCAGTCCGCGACGTCAGCGCAACCGCGAGTCTCAAATGACGACTGGTACGTTTTGTTCATTTTCACTTGATTTCTATAATTGTATGCCTGGGTTAAGCTAACTGGCGTCTATTGGATATAGATACCTTTGGCGCGCAGCATTATGATGATCAAACTTTTTAAATTTTGTCGTTACGATATCTTGTTTTCCTTTGTTGTTTTGCAGCCAGTGGACTTTCTTTCATTTTTTCGTATAATTCCGATATCAGATGAAGTTTTGTGATGACTTACTGAACATTAAGTGGGAATGATATGATCACATGGGTTATTAGGAGGATACATCAAATGCACATTATTCTTAATTTGGCTCGTTATTTTTATTTTTTTCTTTTTGCGGTTTTATGATGCCTTTACTCCTCGAGCTCGTCGATATGATATCATGATAGCACTTTGTTTCATCTTTTGGTCTCTTTGTCATTGACACTGCCTGCCATTTATTTCTTGTCTCTATCCTTTTATTTACTTCTCCCCGCGCTAGATTATGAATTCGGTCTTTGCTACTAGCTCTACTTGCGTCGGACCATCTTCTTGAGCTTTTTGATTTTGGTCGACAGCGTGATTAGCTTGATTCACAAGATGAGCATTCATTGCAAAGCTTGTCCACCTCACCATATTCATCCGTTTATAAGCCGGGCAATCAATCAGTTCATTATTGAAATTAACTACCCGCCATAGATGAAGAGTGCAATTCACGAAGACAATTCGTCAAAACCAGTAAATATCCCTCGCGTCACTGTGTTCTTTTTTTCTATATAAGCCAAGCAGCCGCCCAAGCGGAGCTATTGTCTATTACAGTCGCAGAGTTCTTGGGAAATCTAAGGAATCCTTCCCTCCCCAGAACCTCTCTACATTTTCGGAAAGGGTTTGATACATTTCACAGGGCTCATGTTCCAATGTTTCGTCTATCAATCCTTGTGTATGCAATCTCCATGACGAGTGGCCTGACATACTAGTGCATAACGGGTCATCTCCCGGGAGAATGAAAGCACAATGCATCTTTCACTCGACAAGGCGTTATTGCACTCTTTGGAACCACCCTTTGAAACGGCCCCTACGGTCTACGGCACTATGAGAAAGTCTCAGACTCTCAATGGCAGGCCGCAGGTCGCAGGGATTATTTATAGACTCTAGGCTCTAACCCCTAAAAAAGAAACAGAAATTGTTCTGACTCCTGAGTTCATTTCTTAACTTTTTTTCTTCAAAACCGTGTCTTTGACTGGATCTTCTATTGTCACTGTAGTAAACAATATCTTGTTGGAACTTGGCAATGAATGCTAATATGCTATTCACCGCGGTGGCTATGATTCTATGAAATAGTTTTAGGGGAAAGTTGGTAAAGGAGGACCCTGGACAATATTGCATCCTTTGTAGATGCGACCGCTAAGAACGTCTTGCTATGGCGGAGAGGGCCATGGAAGCGCATAAACTGTGGGAAAGCTAGGCCCTTCATTGCTAAATGTCCCGACTCAGAAAGAATAGGACAAGCCACAACGAGAGATAAAAGGGGATTTATTAATTAGTCCAAGCGGCCGAGCCGATTCTGTATCCGATTGCGAGTACGCAAATAGTTTATTAACTACATTGCGGGAAGCACTGCAGTTTGTCTTATGTTTACTCGTTCCAAGTCTCCATTACGGTCTTGGTACTGTGGAGGTGGCAAAGAGGGAACGGGCCAGCCTACTTAACGGGAAGGATGGGGACAAGATAATGGGTTATCGCTGGCTAAAAAGCAATGGCTAATTGCTTAACTATAGTAAACCCCAATAGTTAAGGGGTCCAAAAAACATATTGAAAAGAAAAATGAAACATAATGAAAAAGATAGTGGACTCCAACGGAGAAGATGTACTGTTTCCAACGAAAAATCGAATGGATCACGTCACAAGACAAGTACTCAAGTTAATTCAAAAGGTCCGAAAATTTCCCCGTCCTCAACCTTTTTAATTTTTCACCGCCTTTATCTGGCCTCCGAATTCAGTTATCAGCAGTTTTAGCTTCTGAGCCTCTGTCTGATCTACTTGATGACAATCCAGTCAGCTTGAAATTTTGAATGCACGAAATTCTAAACGCTAGTCTTCTGCGTTTGAAATGTCCAACAGAACGACAAGCAACTCCTGACAACATCTTCGAGAGAGGTTCCGAGAAACCCAATTTCGATTCTTCTGGCTGGCCTTTCTCACCGTGATCTGACCGATTTAAAGAGATTTTCAAGGATGGCCAGTCCTGATCTGACTGACCTGAGAGGATTTTCTCTTCCTGTAGAAAATTGCGAGCTAACCATGCCAGGAGACTCAAAAAGAGGTGCTCTGGAGAGCTCTCTGATCCAAAGGAGGCCGAAAAGGATAGGAGCAGCAGAGTCGACCAGGACGGAGGAGACAGCAGCGACAGAAACGACCACAGCAGCCTCATCAACAGTATTGGTAGAGATGATGGGCTCACAATTGACAATAGAGCCCACGAGGGTCACGGTGAGAGCGAGGCTCTCAAGGAGAACTAAGTCAACCAAGTCAGTCAGGTCAGCCACAACGACAAGGGCAAGTATGACTGCGGTATCAGAGGCGAGTACTGCCTATGATACGGACTACCGACAAGCCCTCATCGACTCGGCAACTATGAATATAACCTTAAGAGACCTCAAACTTATACCATGGCCCATCTGCATACTGTCGCGGCTCGCCAGATGAAGTCGCATTAGACAAATGGAAATCTCGCCGACAAGCTCAAGTACGGAAGTGCATATAAGGATTGGAAAAAATCTCAGGGAAAGTAGGTAAAATGGTCTGAAAAACAAAATCCTTCTCTGACTAATGATTGATATAGCATGGGAATCGGTGATCAAACTATTGAAATACAAAAGACGCATCTGACAATTACAACGGAATTCAGATGATCCACCACCCGAGAAGGAAGACTAAATTGACATTAGAAACAATAAGAAATGCCTCCGTTGGGATCCTTGATACACTCATCCCGCCAGTTGAAGACAAATTACGGAAATGCACTCATCGCCATGTAATTATTGCTGCTGCTACATGCAAGCATGCTGGCTCCACAATTCAGGAGTTGCGACTCGAAAACAGCCTCAATCAATTCTAATTATCCTTGGACAAATTCAATCTCTGAAACCAACGACGGAAACAATCCATCGTGAGATTAATGGCCGAAAATATATGGTCTCCTTCCAATGTACACCAGACCACACCTTGCAGCAAGCTGCTCTCTGAATACCTCAGCACTGAATTAGTCATTCATATTCATTTGCCATACGATCACAAAAGACAGGGGCAGATTGAACAAAGCGGACAAGCCGAGGACAACATATCATGATGGCATGAAGGAAGAAGAATAATAAGAATTCAATGACGGAGAGGACTTTAAAAGTCCAGAATAAACTCAAATCATTCGACGAGCAGCATGAGAAACACCCTCAAGCGAGAACTCGAAGCAATGAACTGGGAAACCAATCAAACAGATTCTAATGGTCTGCTATTATGACCATCTTTTATCTGGTTTCACATTAGCATGACCTTAGGATCTCGAGAAGCCAATAATCAGCGGATTCTAGAGCTTGGTGCTCATGTCAAGATGTGACATGTGACATGTCTGTACAGCAACTTCATCGGGTGCACCTCAAAAATAGTACGAGGCGACAGACATGGATGTATGGCTGAGTCTTATGCCTTTGTTTGAGGGCAGCTGGGAAAAATACAGAGAAACATTCCGTATGCGAGAGATGGAGAAGAACTTATATTGAATTTTTATCCGATTTTCGAGAGCGCGTGTCCGTTCGATTTCTGAGAGCGAGTTTTTGATCCGTTTCCTTTTCTCGGGCTTGTTTGCTGACGTTTTATAGGTTTTTCTATTGCCGCACTTTTCTCGCTCGACATTTCTCGATGGCGCCGCGCCTCTTCTTTCAGGCGGCTGGCGGTGGGGACGGGGATACCCCTCGCCGTCGGGATGCGTCTGAAGATCCAGAGACCGATATCGACGAAGAAGGTGGCGAGAATGTTGAGATTCCGGAGGGCGATGATTCAGCGTATCCGGCGTATCTTCAGGGGCGAGACAATGAGAACCGTCGTTCTGGGAGGAGAATTTGGAACAATCGCTTCGTCTCTAATCCCGCCTGTGGTCCTTGTTCTCGCGCTGGACACGATTGTATTCGGGGTCGTAAGTTATAAAGATTTACACATGTTGCTACCCATGATCTATCTCCGGGAATACATCGCAGGAATCCTTGTTGCGTCAAAGCTGATTAAGGCACACTACAAAGCCGAAGTGAGATGCATGATTTGTGCAATCTTCAAGTCTCCAGCAGGATTGGTGAACCCTTTCGAAAACAGAATGGATTCCTTGCTGGGAATTTTCCAATCAACATTCCTACAGCTCTGGCACTCCAGCTGTTTTCTGACCGACCTCACAATGAGCCAGACAGGTTCAAAAAAGGACTGCCACGATCACATGCGGGATATTGGAAGACGAAGCTGATCCAGCCACACATGTGCTCAACCTGGCCCTCAACCTGACCCGCCTAATTTCTCATAGGCGTCAGACAAAGCAAGAAACTTTTGATTCGCTGTCGTGGAGCTCATCGACCCATCTGTTTTAATGGTGTACCACTGTCTGGATAGAGCCGTTCGAAGATTTGGCACCTCTAGGAAATACGTTTCATGCACTCGAGGTCGAAGCCGCGAATACATCCCTTAGGCTTCAGCGCCCGGACTGATGAACGCGTATATCGCAGAGTCCCGCCGGGCGACCGGGCTCAGGGATATGGAATTCGATAGTTTGTATGGGCAGGACTTGGTGGACCCAGAAGACGACGAGTATGAACCGTCGGAGCAGGGTGAGGACCGGGATGGTTAGTTTCTGGTTGGTTTGAGGTGCGGATCGCCTGTGTGGCGGGTCACTCTCAACGAGCCGGACTATATAACAGGATTGTCCGATTGTATGCGGCGAAGCGGGTAACTCTAGGCAGGACACACGGGATGTCTGTGTCTCCAGAAAAGACGTGGGCTTGATGTTTTTCGCGGCAATGCCGAAGTTGGCCTTGGCACCTCAGTCTACAGGGTTTCTAATGCTGAGACCGTCTTGGGTCGATTGAAACGTTGGTCATGAGATTTGATTCCAGTGCTAACAGAAAAAATCACCCTTTGGCCCTGTGACTTTAATCCAAGGAGTGGGCTTGATCATGCTACACAGCTCTGGTTGTAAGAAAACTGATAGCCAACTATACTTCTAGAACATTAGAACGGGATTAATCCAATTGATATCTGCATCTTGTCTCCATACAAAGCTAGCAACATCTATATGTTGCATCCAGAGCTGAGCTTATTACAACTTCACCTCATTGCGAGTTTTATTAGCTCTCTATCTGCAGACTACAGGCGCCGCCTGTAATTGCTACTTCGATGCTCCGAATCGAGAGTCAGCTTCTGCTTGCTATGCCCGTCTCTGCCGGTCTGACAGGGTTCGTCCAATTTAATCATTATTCACAACTGCATTCATGTTTAAGAGGCTATTAAGAGTTAGGACAAATTTCAACAGGCTTTAATACTACTAGCACTAACAACCGCACGTTCTAATACAGGAATCTGGATGGAGTTAACTAGTAAGTCAATTCTTTAGACTAAGGGTTAGCAGGGTTCAAGCTAATGGTCATGCATATAGCAAATAACTTGTATAATGGCCTTGAAACTTTACATGGAAATGATATACATTTAGCAAGGTTTCAACCAGCTGGGTACTAACAAAGATAGACCATACAAGCTTAAAATCTTTTGCTTTAGTAAAGGAGCAGAGCTATCTTCAAGACGAAGCAGAAGTAGAAAAGAATGAAGAAGAGGAAGAAAAGGAAGGAAACTTAATAGAGTATGTTTTTAAATGTCTGTTTCATGCATGGAACATATAATAGACATGGTAAAGAGGAGGAGAAAGATGAAATGATAAATGATGCTCAATGCTAATTTTCGACCGTGGGCTGCAAACGAGAGGACACCGACAATCATATCATCGTCGGCACAACGCGTGAAATTTTCGAGCAGTTAATTCATGATGAATTGGCAAAACACGGCAGGCCTTGAAAACAGGCCCATAAATGAGAGAGTTATCAAAGACCTATTTAATGGTCCAATTCTCCACTGTCGAGTGCTCTGTCGAGTGCTCTCCGCTTTTTTAAATCTGCTTCCAGCAGGAGGGTTAGGGTTAGGGCTAATAAACTTCTTAATGGAATTGCGAGCAGCAGGCTTGTCAAGCCACTACTGGTGGTCAAACTACCTCACGCTGGTGGGGTCTCCGGACGAGTCTGAACAAAAATTTGGTGTCGCGCGTTACATGATCAAAATTCACCAGAAACTCCCAGGGCCTTCTCTGGAGCTGGACTACTCTGCCTGCTTTTCGGATTACTACCTTGCACGTCTCGCATCCAGGAAATATTGCACTTCCAGAATATTCGTTCCTGTTGTTGGCCCTGCCGCAGCACTGGCGGCTTTTCTACCACACTGCAATGTCTCTTGTTTCGGCCGTGCCGGTCTTATAAATAATGTCATTCAGCTATCTTCATACATATCACACGAGTCCTCGACAAACTCAGACCCTTTGCTCCAGGATGGTTTGTCCCGGGTTACAACGACAACGACGACATTTTGGAAAATGGCAACAATGACAGCAATAGAACTTTTAACTTCTTATTCTCAAAATTTCCATATTTAACCTATGAGAGAGAATCCTTGAACCCCTAAGAATATTTCTTAGGAACTACTAGAGTGTGTCTCAATTGTCTTGAGCATGAATGGATTGACATTAGCACCCTCGAAACTTCCCGGCGAATGAAAAAGTCATTCAAGATTCAATGACACAATTTTCCACAGTGGGATGCAAGAGGGACCAAAGCAGGAATCATATTATTATGGACCGTGGCTAGAAATCGAGAGGTCCTTGAAACGCTGACGATCAGGTTCAGGGCCGTGGACTGGGGAATTAAGTATTGGGTCTATGCATTGAGGCATGCAACATCTGAGTGCGCTCAGATGGCGCAAGTGTGTCTCTTGCATTGATGCTCTCCTGCCGAGATCGTCGGGGTGCTCACGGATTTATCATGAGCACTATCTGAGGTCGGGTCAAATCATCCCCAAAAGGGTGGAAAGCAATGGAGCTTCATTTGAAGTAGTAATCTAGTTTCGGCATCTGAAGGGGTTTCAATCGAATTTACTGAGAAGTGACGTGCTTCAGATTCAGTTATCTCTCGCACCGACCCTCGTGTGGGGCCACTACTTTAAATTAGTGAACAACAACTTAATAATTACTATGGTTTTCTTGAGGTGTATAAGCCCTTAATTCGGCTTGATTAAGTGCAAGCAATGGTCATGTCGAAAATGGCCCATAAAGTTCTAGCTCTATAATGCAAAATATTCTCATAAAATGATTAAATTCCTGGGTTATTCCACGTTCTTGACTTTATCTGTTGCTTCTTTGGCATCAATGTCGTTGTTCAGGGTCTTCCATCCGCCCAGATCAGTTTCTTCGTCAAGATATAGTCCCAGAGGAGCAGCAATTTCATGGGCAGCAATGAAGCGGTTTCCAACGGGAGAAGAGCCAATGATGACTGTTGATTTTGTTTTGCGATCTGGGTCGGATGTTGCAGGCGGGTCCAGTAATCCCTCTGAATGCACTATTGAGTTGGGAGGAGGAAAGTAGTAGATTGCCCTCTCGGTAGAAGATTGCGGAAGGAAAATAGGTTTAGTTGTCACCGTAACCTGGGATTCCTGTTTGTGATTGTGAAGTTCCCCATTCTCAGTGTGGGACGATGTACGGAGGGCGCCGTTTGGGGAACGAGTACGGGTTTGGAACAGCGGAATCCTTATAACTTGCAATTCCACAGAGCTCTTGACTAAGTATGCATATTGTTCAGACCAGGTGAGCGTATAACCATATGGAAAGCTTGCTGCCGGAACGTATGGTTGGTCGGAATCGATTGTGGTGCCCAGGGGAATGGCAATGCGGAAAATTAGTCGTGGTGGAACGCGAGAGGCGTTCATAATAGAGAGTCGATGCGTCGAAATGTGTAATGTGAGGCGTATCAGGTCTTTGTTCGGCACACCCTTGTTTCCATCTATTCCTTGTGCCTCTTTATTGCTCTCATCCTTTTGCGACTCAAGTGCAGCAACATGTAGGTATTCTCCCCCACCCGAGAATTTGCATTTGATGGAGGCAAGTTTTGACATTTTTGACGCGGTTCTCACGAGTTTCCGGATGAAATAACTGTTTTCCACGAAATCGGCAAAGAGAACCTCTCCATCGCATAGTGGCCAGACAACCAGTGGTGAACCAAGGTGAAATACTGGCGGCGATGAGAAGAGCATGTCTGGAAATACATGGTCAAAGTGAAAGACGGCGGTTCCAGAGAAACCGTCAATTATCTCCAACCTCCCTCGCTCGTGGGCAGGACACTTGCGGATCGATTGGCGTGACCGGTCGAGAAAGGCTGCAAAGCCAGTGCCGCCCTCATTCTCACCGTATCCGTCATCTTCGGAACCGGAATAGTAGCTTTCCTCGTATTCAGAATCCGAGTCATAGTTTTCGTCCTCTTCCTCATCTTCACTGGGGTCGCAGTCGATTGTTTTGTTTTTAGATGCATCTTCCAGCTTAGAAAGGAATTCGTCTGGATCTGCATCGCTGATATCGGACGAGTCGGAATCTACTGGATGCTCTTGTTTAACGTTTGTATCAGAGAGCTTTTCCAGATCGTCTTCATCAGACAACTCCAGCTCATTGTCAATTTTGAGTTCTGATTCTGAAGAAAAATTGCTCCACTCTTTGATTTCATCAGATCGAGTGGAAGCTGAATCCTCGCTATATGACTCGTGGGCGGAATTGGTCTTATTGGACGAGAAATTACTCTCAGAGTCCAACTTCAAGGACTCGGCATCTTCGGATAAGTTATTACCGTCATCCCGAATCTTGAGGGAGGCCAGTGATGAGGCAAATGATGATGTCGAAGAATTATTTGTGACATCCAGTTTCTTATGTGAATCTGGGTGCTCATATGACGCCCCGTCGAGATCAGCAAATAATTCCCGTAGACAGAGGTCAGCTCCGTCATCACGGTCGTTGCAGATGAGGTTGTCGACACAGAAGTCGTCTCCTGAGATTGATCTCCTGGTCGCCAAAGCAATGAATCCGCCAAAGCTTGCAATCTCCTCAAAGTAAAATTTGCTGGATCCATTCAGTGGAACGAACGTTGTGCACTTCGGAGCATAGAATAACTTTGATCCAATGCGCAGAAAGCGAAAGTCGGAGGTACAGGAGATTGCTGGCGGCCTTCCAGCCACACCAGACATGGGATGAGTGTACAGCGATACATGATATTTGACCACCTGCAGAGTCTGTTCGCGTTTTACAATTGCCTTTTCTGAATTTATCATCAACCACCTCGTGCACAAAAAATTTTTCCCATTGGAATCTTTGTCACTGGTAGTATCGTCAGTAAGGCCTCACTGCTACATGAAGAGTGCCGACTCACTCGTTTAAAGGTCTCACGACCAGCATTTCGGTCCCTTCATCGTTAACGCATTCAAAGCATGATATTTCCCTTGGGTCTTTACTTTCCTCCTCATTCAAAAGGAGGAAGCTTGTGTATTGACTAGGTCCATGGGACAAAAGGTTTCCAGACCCCAATGCACCCCATAGACATCGGTCTAGCTCAAACGGACCGTCGCTTTTTTTTGAGGCATGCTCCTTCAAGAAGTAGCCCCATTCACGAACAAACGCATCATATTGCCTATTTAGCAATGCCCTGTTGGGCTGCTGTTTTGCAGAGTCTCGCGGCAATTGATTCGTTCCGTTTTCGAGAGGATGCTCGACTTCAACTTGATAGCCATGATTTTTCGCTCTAGAAGCAGACGCTTGTCGAAGCCATTCTTCTACCATGCTCCTGGACCACTCTTTCCTCGCAAAAGCCTCGTTCGAGGATGATTGTGAAGTCTTTGTCCCAGGCAATGCCGCTGATTCCCTTCTGGTAGCTTGTTAGATATATTTGACGTTCCTATGGTGAAACGACCGACTTACAAATTTGACACAGTCATCGTGACAACAGCGCTTAATCAGCTGAACAAAACCAATAACGTGGATACGTGCGATGTTTCTGAATTCTTCATTTACAATGAGTTGCTAGTAATTGTAACTGCAAGAGAGCAATTGTTGAACTTCGTCTCTCTTTTCAGATATTCTGCGACAGTGCCTTTCATACTTCATCCAACCCATGTAATATTTCCCCACTCCCCCACAATTAACTTAGGCTGCCGCAGCAGCCTCAGCGATCATCAGGTGACTATAAATTGATGTTCATTGTGCTGGCAACCTATCCGTCATTAGTGAGTCATCCATACATTTCCAATTTGTCTGTACAGTCAGGCATTGCTGTGGCGAGGTTGACAAGGCAGCAGTAGCGCAGGGGCCAGCTCACCTTATTGTCATAACCAGGACGAATGAAAACCCACATTTACATCTCCACGTCTTTTGACTCAGCTGTAGGTGCAGTATAGGCAATGATGTGTCTCAATGTATATTCCTTGTCTTTCCATAGGCAGCAGCTTGTCATTTGACAATTACAATGGATTTGGAAGCAGTGGAGAGGGGGGCAGCCTCCCGATTCTCAACCGCTTAATACAAGGCGTCCAACTTCTTTCCCGAGCTTCCAGGTTGCATAACCAGCTGAAGCCCGCAATATTATTTAGTTCAAAGCAGCCGCTCTTCTAAATTTTATTCAATCCTCAGTTTTTACTCTGATCGACAACCTGTATCATCGACGACGATGGAGACTGCCAGACTCCTTTCAGAGCGGGCGTTGCAACTCAAGCAACGGCCGCCAGTGAGAAAGAATGAGAAGAGTGAAGGGATGAAAGACGACCGTGAGCCCAAGAATGGGCGAATGTTGCGAGTCGATCAGATCTACAACAAGTGCGATTCCACTAAAGTTGGTTGAGACCGTTACTTAAGCACCCCGCTAACAATAGCGCCCTTTCAGAAAGGACCGCCAGACACACTACGTCAAGACCGCCAAACCATCATTAAACCAGTCAAAGCTCGAGAAGCTCACCAAGACTGCATTGGTCGTCCGGCGTGTGATTAACGATAGAGGTCTTGTCTCTAGGGTGGAAATCGACATTAGATCGGTCGCACTCAAGAATGTGTTGGCGGAAGTCTTCAAAGGAGTGGAGGGTCTGCAACTTAACAAGAGTCCTCCAATGGTGCGATATCAGTCATCTTCGGTACTATCTTCTAATGTTTTGTTCCAAGCTAATATCACATTTTATTTTTGGATCTTAGGCATATCCACAGCTTCTGTTCCATGCTGCTCCTGGGCTCCTAGAGCTATTAAAGGAAGAGGAATCCAAAGCAGAGCCCAATAAAACATTAATCAACGACATTAACACAGCACTTACCTTTGTGCAAGAAGACTTTTCCGAGCAGATAGCAAGCTTGAACTCTCTTCGCGAGCATGGCGAAATTACGTTTGATCTACTGTGGGCCATCTTTTCACCTAAAACGCTTGTGTTTACCCAGCAAAACTCCATGCTCGAACCGCAAGCGGCAAGGTTTAAAAAGGGAGACTACGGCACTCGACAAAATGGTACTGCATATTTCAGCCTTCGATGCGAAGTTATCTCTCACGACGGCCAGGATTTTGGTTACGGAGAAGCTTGCTACACCATTGATGATTTTGAGGGAACGAAGAAGACTCACGAGCTTCCGGTGTTTCCTTTCTCCGTGCATCCAGCGAAGGAGGCAATGCAAGAGACTCTCCTTGAACGCGGCCGAAAATTCATCAAGCTCAGCATTGAGCCAGTATGCAAATCATACACTGGCTTTGGGGTTTATGAGCAGAAAATGGGACGGTGTTCCCAAGAACTCCAATTTCTCGTAAGACTCTGATCCATTGTTCCTCTCGGTCAATTCTACTGCCCTTTCAATGAACTTGTCTATATGATTAAAAGCTGACTCTGGATCGAGGCGACTGGCCGCATAATGATTGACCCAGTTGAATTCCGGCAACAAAATCCCAATTCAATGCTTCTCCCCCCATGGGTTCCCACCACCATAAGCGCAGAGAGCCTTCCGGAAAGCGAGCTTCTTCTGTGCAATCACCGCCTTCAGGGATTCAGTTTTCCCAAGAAGCGATGGGCCACATTTGCGGTTTCTAGCATCTCAGATGTTGTGTGGAACGAAAAGGCCATTGATAGGCTAGTCATTGATTCCCGGCGTCGCCGGATCATTCATTCGCTCGTCAAGTCTTACCGCAGTGAGGGCAATGTCTTTGATGATATTGTCCAAGACAAGGGCAAAGGATTCATTGCTCTCTTGAGTGGTAACCCCGGTGTTGGTAAGACATTGACGGCGGAGGTTGTGTCTGAAGTCACTAAGCGTCCGCTGTACATGGTCTCCGCGGGAGAGCTAGGCACGACTCCAGAAGACGTTGATATGCATCTGGAAATGGTGCTTGAAATTACTCGACGCTGGGGATGCGTGCTACTTATCGATGAGGCGGACGTTTTTCTGCAAGAGCGTGATGGTCTTGACATTGAGCGCAATGCTATTGTCAGCATCTTCCTGCGCCGATTGGAGTATGTCATTGCTTCTCCTCAAGCTGTTGCCCTAAAAGTGAAGATAAGATTAACACCTTAATCTTACAGGTACTTCCAAGGCGTACTAATTCTAACCACGAATCGACGGAGCATGATTGACTCGGCATTCCAAAGTAAGTCATATAATCTTTTTTTCTCCAAACTTTGATAGAGATCGAATAGCCTCTCTATCCGTCTTTTCTTACACCCCATCCTTAACTTCTAAAAGGTTTTTTTCGCTGACTAACCCTTCAATAGGCCGTATCCACCTTTCGCTGGTATATCCCGATCTTGATGTCAAGAGTCGCACTATCCTGTGGAAGAGCTTTATCGACAGTGTCCCAAGCGGCATCAGTCTTTCCGACAGCGACATTGACGAGCTGGCAAAGGTTCCCATCAATGGACGACAAGTACGTAGATTTTTTTCTTTTGTTACTCTTCCTCCCTGCCCCTAACCATAAACTCTAGATCAAAAACGCAATATCATGTGCCTTTCTCATCTCGCGCGAGGAGACGTCTCCACTGGGCTTGGAAGACCTGCGCGCCATGCTCGACCTCGTCACCAACGAACAGAGTTCTGGACCTGGCGCTTCTGGTTCATCTGACGAATCTAGTTCATGAGTTTCTTTGTCCTCTATACTTTTTTATGCAGAGATCAGCTCACGTTGCTCGCATTTCTGTCGTAGATTCACAATAGCTTAGATGCAATAGTCATGCCACGACACACAGAACAAGAAGTAGAATATACCATCTCTGCTGAATCCTCCTTATGCTCCAGCTTCTCGTATTCTCTCTGTGATCTTTTCCGTGCACCATAGAAAATAGCACGTTATTGACATTGACTCACTCTGCCTCCCATTGTAACTGACCATTCCCGTGCCCTGGACTTCACTACCTTATGTACACTACCTTATGTACTGAATGCTCCGTGCCTCGTTTGCTTTCATCTCCTATACATTCCCCCGCCATATACCCATGCAAAGATGTTCTTGACAATGTGGGGATGTAAAGAGGAGCAATGAAATATAGAAGGGGAAAAAAATAATATGTAGAAAAGAAGAGAAAGTAAAAAGGGGAAAACAAAGTGTTTTCTTTTCAGGTCCGATGCTTCGTCCACGCATTCTTCGCCGCGCTAGGCATGGGTCGATATGTCTCGAATCGTCCAGGGCCGCGTTTCCCTCCTCCTCCTCCTCCACCACCTCCACTACTTCTTCCACCATCCGACCCACCACCTGCACGGCCTCCTCCACCACCGCCACCACCACCACCGTAGCCGCCGCTAGAACCCTTCCCTCGATTCCGTCTCCCATTACCACTGCCGCCTTTGTAACTACTACTATCTGTACCACTGCCGTACCCTGTGCGATGGTATCCACCGCCACTGCCTCCACCACCACCACCGCCGCCGCCGCCGCCGCCACCGCCGTAGCCGCTGAATTTGCCCCTACTTCCACCACCATTGCCATTGCCTGATGCAGAAAACGGAGGACCGGACGAAGAGGAGGGGAGCGGAGGAGGAGGTTCGTTTGGAAGAGGCGGGTGTGAAGAAGAAGATGAGGAAGGATGATAGGCGTCGAAGAGTTTGTTATATGGTTTCAAAGAGGGCGGAGGACGAGGAAGAGATGGATAGTTATTATTCGAGGAGTTTGGATAGTTAGGAGGAGCGTTTGCGTAGCCTGTTGTGATGAGAAGAAGAAGCGGGTTGGTTAATAGGTGTCCATTGAATTGTATCGTGTGAGTATGTGTAAGAGTGAGAATGGGGGTGAGCGGATGAATGATGGGAGGAGGAATGGGATGAAGGATGGGATGAAGGATGGGATGAAGGATGGGATGAAGGATGGGATGAAGGATGGGAAGGGGGACGAGGAAGAGAAGAGGAAGAAGAAGAAGAAGAAGTTGTTGAAGATGCTAAAGGGTTAGAAAATGTTTGCTGCTGTTGAGACTTCTTCCTTTCCTTCTTCCTCTTCTTCGCTTGTGCAGTTGATGACTGTAAAGGTGCTGGCTGCTTTGCTGAAGAAGGAGCAGTAATTGAAGATGATCTTATTGGCAGTGATATTTTTGATTGTGCTGGATATGTAGAAGCAGAAGTATAAGAAGAAGAAGGAGGAGGAGGAGGAGGCAGATTTGAACAAGTTGATGGGTTTGAAGTTGTTGTGTAAAGTGGTGCATGATCAGAAGCAAAACAGACAGTTGGACAGGGAGTAGTAGTCGACAGTCTACTTGTCGTAGTTGTCGAGTCATTAAACGCACCAGTAGTAGCTGCGGCAGCGTTTCCTACACTGCCGCCGATTCGGATACTGCCTTTGGCAGCTGAAGGTTTTCCTCCTGGCCCACGGCCACCTGACCGACCGCCCTTTCGTCCGCGATAAAAGTTCGACGTATCGCTATCCTCATCGTTGCTGACATCACTTCGCCTGCCGCTGTCGCCTCTCAGACCAGGTCGCTCGTTTCGTCGGCCTCCCTTGGCGTTCGGTGCTCGTGGTGGTGCTCCTCGGGGTCCGTGAGTGGGCGGAGCAATCATCGGGGTTGGAACCGCAGGGGCACCTTCAGGGATGGGTAGAGGTGGCGCATTCGGATCGATATAGGAGAGCATATTGACAAAGGAAAAGGTCAAGCCGTCGGAATGGAAGGGCAACCCCCTGGGTCTCAGAGTACAGTCGACGCCATAATGTCCATCTGAGCCACAGTAATAGCAGCCAATTGTCATGGAAGGAACTTTTCGCAGAGGGACAATTGCCGCTGGGTTGTAGAAGCGCCATATCAGCGAGCACGCTTGCTCTGTGTGTCCGAACTGATTGCACAGATCGCATTGGACGCCGTCCGCAGCAGCGGACCGGATGAGTTTTGATGGACATTGATCCTTGCTATGCCCGCGTTCGCGGCACTTGGGACATCGAGTGATTCGAGGGCATGCAGAAGAGAAGTGGTCATCCAGGGCATTGCAAGCAGTGCACTAGGGTTGTGTTGTTAGATCGGTTGATCGTGTTATGGTACTGGAATTGGGCATTCTCTGCATCAGTGGGAGGGGAAAAAAAGAAAACGACGAACCTTGAGTGAAGGACAGATCTCTGAAGCATGGCCTTTGCCGGCACATACGAGGCATGTTACCGGCTCATCTCGATCCTTATCCGGGATGCCCGAGAGATCCTCAACATCAATCTCATCAATTGTGCCGTCTAGGCCTCGAGCGGCTTCGATCCGAGGATCGAATGGCGCGGTAATATTGTTATACCTATTCTGTAGATCGCGATCCTGAACCGATAATTCGCCAAGCGTCTTGAGCGGCAACTGCAAGCTCTGAGCGTTGGCGGCGTCTCCGGCGCTAGCTTGTTGATTGTGCATTTCAACCGTGATCGGCTGGGTGGATGATTCCTTGGGAGGTGGGACGTAGTTGGATTGTGAGTACTTTTGAAGAAAATCATCACCTTCATCATCCTTTTCTTCTCCGGCAGGTAACGGTGCAAGGCCTTGTTGTTGTTGTTGCGCCCTGTTGGCTGGAGGTTGGTCGACATTGAGGAGCAAGGAACGATCAGCTTCGCTGTTTGAGCTGAGTTCACCCACGTCTTCATCTGAATGGTCGTCATTATTACCCTCGTCCGAGTGCTCGCTCCGTTTGTCTAGAGCTGCAGTAGATGCATCGTTACCTTCTGCGGGAACTCTGAATTTATCCAAGAATGTATTTGGGTCCGATCGCTTGTTGCGATATGATTCATGGAGCCATTTGACGGCCTTTAAAACCAGATGCCTCTCCACCTTAACCTTCGCCTCAGTTAGAGACGTTAATGCCGCAGCAGCAGCCTCGCGGGACACGTATCGGGAGACCACGTTTGGTGAATCGTCATAGACATCTGTCAAGCCTTCGCTTCCCACATTGGCGATACACGCGTAGATGGCCTGTTTCGTTTTGATAAGAGTCTTTTTCGACGGCGATTTCACTCCTTCAACAGAGTTCCGCCACGACTGACGGACCGCAGGGCATATGTGCAACGAACAACCTTCCTCTATCAAGGGAATCAAATCGGAATCTCCACGGCCATCGTCGTGAAGCTCAACGGTTGAGGCAAACAGCGGTGCGACGACCTCAAAAATAGGCATTGGATATATATTTCCGGCTTTAACGTAGTGTTCCCTCCGCCATTTAGCACCAGTTGAAGCTACTGGTGAAGTCGTCTGTTCTTGTTCTGTCGTTGTGCTGGGAGGAGGAGGAGCAGCGGCGGAGAGCTTCGGACCGCCGAGCGACGTTCGAATTGTGGATTTTGTCCGGTTCCAATCGACCGGCGGTGCCTTTTGCACCTCGAGACCGGAGTCTTCGGTGACCGGTGCATTTCCCCCTTCGTCCGCAGTGTTCCTATCCTGCCTCGATTCGTCGTCTTCCATGCTCTCCCCTAGGATGTCCCCAGCTAATGAGAACAAGCCTCCGGATAGGTTTACATCGTGTTGCGCTTGTTCTTCCGGCCGTGGTCCACGGCGCCTCTTTTTTTCTGGTGAACTTCCAGTTGTAGAGGGTGTTCCTGCGCGTGATGAAGGCGTAAGAGAACGTTTCTTGCCCACAGAGGCCGTACGTGAGTCGTCATTCGCTGGTTGAGGCGGCATTTTGGGCGGTTACGGTTCTGCTCTTGAATTTTAAGGAGATGTTCGGTGCAAAGGTGCAACGGTAACACACTGCATGGACATTGGAAAAAGTAGCTGCCAGGCCTATCACGGAGGCAATGTCGTGGGGGCCTATGGTCGAGGGCGTTGTGGATTGCTGCTCGTGTTGTCCCTTGTCCCGAATAATTCACTTTTGCTGCTTCATGACGATAAGTTGCCATTTGCAGTTAGACCCGTAGACATTCACTTCGGACTAGCGCAATATTGCTGCGGAGCGGAATAACTACGCATCCGATAAACTCGCTGAGTCATCGATTTACCCGGAATCTATTTCTCCAGAAGGGGAAAAGGCCAGCGGACAATGGAGGATGAGAAAGCGGATCACCAAAGCAATCATCGTTCCATGTGCTCAAGGAATAAGGTCCCTAATGGGGGATAAGAAAAAGAAAGCACTACATCTTTTGCATCGGGATCTTCGGCATGATCCCTACTCTACTACTATGCATCTCTGTTAACAACTGTTCCATCTAGAGTAACGCTCTCGTCCCGAAAAGGCGGGCCTGGCCTCTGTCCTTGGCGTGTATATATACTGAACCGGGGGTCGTGCAATTCTTGGGCGGCAGAAGCAAACAGGGAGAAAGAGATTAGTATTTTGTTCTAATTTCGAATAGTCATTAATGTATTGTAAATTATTGTGTTCATTAGCTAAGAATTGTAGGAAGATTAGTAGCCTGACCCGTGGACGAGGTTAGACTGTTATTGTAGGCTCATCAGGCATGTAATCGGTCGTTTGTTAGAGCGGAAGTAGGCGATACGTAAGCCCCGACCGCTGCGGGACCCTCGGAGACCTGGTGGCCTCTCCCATCCCATCACATCAGACGTTCCGCGAGAGATTCATAGAATTATTTCCCTTAACCCTCCTACCCACTGTATTACCTTCTAATTCTCCGCCACCAAATAACTTTTTTTCCTCCACCACATTCATCTCGCTCTTTCTGTACCTTCCGTCCTTCAAGTCTTTCCGAGACACACTCCACGATTCTTTTGTATTCTATTATATCCTCTCTGCGTCTGCGCCACTTACAGCTCCTACTACAACGATCGCCGTTTCTTCACATCTCCCCCCCTTTGGAACCAATTCTCTCGACTGCATCGTCTCTCATCTCTAATCAATTCTTGTCTGCACATTTGTCTGGTCCTACGACGTTGACCTGACAGAAACCACACTTCTCACATTCGCTATCCCTTTCGAGTGCTTTCAATTCGTCTATTGCAAAGCTTCGCTACCTTGAGAGGCCACGCATTGCGTTTGACTTCACCTCCGTACTCTTTATCCGACAGGACAGGGTATGTAAGCATTTTCCCCGGAAGATTTGGTCCGAGCACATTCCCTGCCCATGCATGCTCTTTTTTTAGGCTGCACTCTTGCATAACGATAGCCTTTTAGCGTCCCTGGCGAATCGGGACAGGACAATTGCTGACTCCTCCCTCATAGCAGACAGGTCGCCGCCCACTCGTGATACATCACGAATCTCAATCTCACACTACTTCAAGCAGTCGCTCTCAACTCCTACGGGTCCTCCTTTGATATCACTTTTCTGCTCGACTCTCCGTCTTCTCCTTTTCCCCTTCGCCGTCAGTGCCGCCCAGCTCCCTTCCCTTTTAATGTCCCGCACTATTTCTTTCGACCCTACCCTCCACCCACCGCCGCAGTCGTCGTCGGCGGAAAAAATGAGTGAAGGGACTAAAGGTGGCCGCCGAAGGCGGTCGAGCAGTTTGCTCTATACCGAACCGCCAGAATCTATGGAGCACAGGAGTGACCAGGAAGCTCTGCCCAATGGGAACGCCGACTGGGTCAATGCTAAAGGTGCGTGGAAGAAAGATTTGCCCCAAAAAGGTCCACTTGAAGGGGTGCAATCTTAAGTGTAGAAAATGTGTAGTGAACAATTACTAACATTGTCATATTATAGGTGCTTGGATCATTCATTTTGTGCTCATACTTGGTCTCAAACTGCTTTACGGCAGCATTCCCGGCATCTCTCATGAGACGTCGTGGACATTGACCAACATCTCCTACATGTTCGGTTCCTACGTCATGTTCCACGGTGTCCGTGGTGTTCCCTTCGAGTTCAACGCAGGCGCTTACGACAACTTGAATATGTGGGAACAGATGGACAATGGCGACCAGTACACGCCAGCCAAGAAGTTCCTCCTCATGGTGCCCGTCATGCTCTTTCTCCTGAGCACACATTATACTCATTACGACCTGACGTACTTCACCATCAATTGTCTTGCTGTGCTTGCGGTTGTCATTCCAAAATTGCCTTCGGTCAGTACAATCGCCTTCCCATTTGCCCGCGTTCTGGCCCAGCTAACATTTTGCATATAGACGCATCGGATGCGCATTGCTCTGTTTTCGGGTGAGCCCGAGGATCGATAGCGGCGAAGTTGCTAAACCCCCTAGTGTGGTGCCATCATCTTCGTCGGCCGTTTCTTTGATTGTCATTTAGCGATTGGATGCCTGGTCTTTTGTCCCATCTCTTATATGCTGAGCATGCCGTCTCTCGTTGATTGCTAGGCAGATCTAGCGCACATTCATAGTTGTTGGCTTTGTCCGGAGCGTCGGACCCTCCTCCTCCTTTAAAGTCTCGCACGATCAAAATGCATGCTCTTTCTGGGTGTTTTCTTCTCCTTTTTTTTCAGAGGCGTCTAATCTCTACATTGCGTATTCACCCAAAAAGTCACGTCATTAGTGTCGCCAGACTCTCTTTAGTAATTCCAATTCCCAAGTTCCTTTGTCAAGTCCTGCGTGCAAATCCTCTTTTGGTTTCGGCGCGCTTGAGCGGGTATTTCCTGCTATTAATGCACATCGTCACGGATATTGCGTAGGCCTTGCCCCTGCAATCGTTAAGAGGCCCGTTCGCTTTCAGCGCTTACTAGCTGAGGGACTCCAGCTCTCCGGCTGCCAGTCTTGCCCGGGGTTGCTCGGCTTTTGCGCCTGCTCCCATGAATCCTTGCCTTTAGTTGATCTCCTGGACTGTTCTTTCTCCTCGGAACCGGTGACGCCGCTGTGTCCCCCTTTATCTTCGCCCTGCGCTGTCGCGGCGCCGCCCAGGACAGATGCTCCTGAGCCCTGTGACTGCATCGCTGGTTGAGGCTGAGGGTGAATGTCGGCGTATGAAGGTAGACTGGCCCATCGCTCATCGGCTCGTGCGGCAAGTTGTTTGATTTGTGTCTGGCGGATCAAATCTGCTTCTTGTTCGGCGATCGACGGAGGTGTCGGACGGACATGACGGAGCCACTGGTGCCATTGCGCTGGCGAACTTGTTTATTTTTTGGACTCTTACACGTCGAAGTGAAGAGATGCACTCACGATTGACCTGCACATCTGAGTAGTGTGTGCGACGACTGTGATGCACAATCCGACGCAATCTCTGAGCGTTCATGTGATCTTTGAACTCCCAGTACGTATTTCCTGCCAGGTCCATGCCTGAAAATATCTAAAATCAGCTTCTTGTGTTTCATTGTCATGAACATTTCTAAACCGATGATAAGCGGAGGCGTCTTTAAAGGCAGAGTGGTGTGACAGGGCAAGAGAAGTCCCAAGCATGTCGACGAATTTCAAGTCACAATATTTTTTTAGAATATTGAAATGTATACATTTCACATACCGACTAAGAATTGTCGACGCCACGGAAGCCGTAGACTCTTCCAACGAAACCATAGCCGTCGGATCGGCCCGACATGGGAAGACGCTGTGGAGGTCATCGGCTATGTGCGGGTGGCACTGTCCACTATGAAGGTTGAAGGATCAACGTATCGTAAAACGTATTCGCAAAACCTTCGAGACCAATACCTAGATGAAGAGGATGGAAATCATACTTTAAAGAAACAGTTGAAGAGTATTGGTGGTAATGAAGGAGCGGCTATTGGTTGTTGGGGGATTGTTGTCATCGTCATACGGTGTGGCGCAGGCTGGGGTAAAATGGGGACGAGGGGAATACCCGTTGTGGCGGTGTTGAATAAGCTGTGGCTTACGTCCGGGTCAGGCTCATTTCCCCTTCCCCTCCTAAGTCGTCAACCAGCTCTTGACAATTAACACTTTCCTGCAAGACTACCTGTCAGCTGGAGGCTGACGCATATAATATCCTCCCTATTGATCCCATCTTGCAGTATATTCATTTATGATATCCTTTTCTATCTATTCTGGGCTACTGTGGTGTATCTGCCTGAGTTAAAACACCCTGTCAAACGTTCCTTCCCACTTTCGTCATCCCGCATTCTTCAAGAAGTCCGAGCAACAGCCGACCCCTCCAATCCCTGATACTCCACCTTTTTTTGTTTGGGAGTCCCAATTAAGTCTCACAGTGTTCCGCAGCGCTATATATTCACACATTTTCACATTCAGCGCTCTAGCCGGGCATTTCCAACTAGTTGACAATCTCTGAACTCTCTTGAACGTGACCATGGCGTCCGTGACGTCTCTCGATCGGGACTTGCGCAATATGCGCTTGTCAAAGTATACCCCGCAGGCCGCTAATGAGGCCCGCGACTGGATTGAAGAATCACTTGGTGAGCGATTGCCGGGGGGAGACTTGCTAGAGGCTTTGAAGAGTGGCGTCGCGCTGTGCAAGTAAGTGTTGTGATAGTTGAAGTTGCAAGAGGATTACCTCTAGGTTTCGAGCATATGCTGACAAGGCCATTGTTCTGGCTAGGTTGGTTAATCTTGCCGTGGGTCCACCGGGTATCAAATTCAAGGCATCACCTATGCCATTCGTACAAATGGAAAATATCTCGCACTTCTTACATGCGTGCCAAGTTGCGCCACTCAGTTTGCCGCCCCATGACGTCTTCCTCACTGTGGATTTGTATGAAGGCAAAGATCCCGCACAGGTATTGCAATGCATCGGTGCTTTCAGTAGGGCCGCGCATAACCTTCGGCCGCAAGTGTTTAAGCGCAGTATTGGTCCGAAAGGGAAGAATCCGGCAATGAGCCCGCAGGCAACTGGCTCCAGCACTGGTGAGGCCGGTATTGCAGGGCTCAGAAAAGTAGGCCCAGGTATTGGATACTCGAGTCCTGGCTCCCAAAGGTCTCCGGCAAGAGCAATGAGCCCCGCTTTGACGGGAGGTTCGAATATCTCAAAGACTTCGGCCGATGGTGCCTCGTCTCCTCGTGGAGTGTCTACGTGGAGCAAGAAGAGCGACGAGTTCGTCACTAATCCGGCATGGAATATTCATCAATACGGATACATGGGGGGGGCTAGTCAGGGAAACCAGGGTGTTGCATTTGGCGCACGACGTCAAATCACTTCTCCTTCACCGGCTATTCCGAGCCTTGCCGAAAAGCAACGAAAGCGAGAACAGGAAGAGCAACGACTGCGGATGCAGGCAGAAGAGGCGGAACATAAGCGACGGTTTGAGCGAGAAGCTGAGGAGGAAAGGGAACGGCTTGCTGAAGAGAAACATTGGGAAGAGGAAACTGTGAAGCAGCGTGAACTTGAGAGACAACAGGTTGCAGAAGAGCAAGCACGGTGGCGGGAGGAGGAAGAACGGTGGAAGAAGGATGAAGAGCGCCGAGTCAAAGAAGAAAGAGAAGTAGAACAGCGCCTCGAAAACGAGCGAGAACGGAAGAGGGCGGGGAGCGACGCGCGACTTCGGGGCCAGTTTCTCAGCGAGTACCAGGCCGAGCGAGGCGGTCGGGCATCCCGATCTGCCAGCTACGACAACCCTGAACTACGCGCGGAGCGCGAGCGGGTTCGAGATTTGGAGCGGCAACTCGAAGAAGCGCGCGACCGAGAACGAGAATACGAACACGATCGACACAAGCATCACCATCAAGAGCATCAGCGTCACAACCTCCAAGCGCACGACCTCTATCTCCGCGAAAAGGAAGAAGCAGAGAGAGCTGCACACCCGGCCTCTCACCTGTCCGCCCAGAAAGACAGCGACGAGGCTTGGCGGGAAAGCGAGCGTGACTATCTGCGCAGAGAATGGAGCAGAGCGCAACATGCTGACCCTGAACCTGCACCACCTGCACCTCCAGTCCATCGTTCCGGCGCTCGTTCGCCGTCCTTTTACCATCGCGACGATGAACCCTTGCAGCGCCGCTCCCCCGTCCCTCCAGCTCGTCCCCTTCCCAACCCTGCGGCAACGTCGCCCCCTCCACCATCACTACCTTCCCGCCCGCTTCCGGATCCTGTTGCCTATGCCGCAGCAAATGCAAACCGCAACCCCGCCAACCCCGCCGACGCTTCTTCTGACACTACGCCCAGCTCCCACCCCGCAAACGTTGGACCAAACCGCACCGAACGCTTCCTTGCGTCCAACCCTGCGCCTGCCGCTCCCAAACCACAGTCGCATTACCCCTCTGAAATCGGAATGACGTCGACCTCTGAACGCGATGCCGAGGACGCCCGCCGTGTCGCGTCACAAAACAAAACCAAGGCTGGCGGATGGGCTAGCAAATCTCTCCTCGAGCGTGAAATGGAGCGTGAGCGGGAACGACAGCGCGAGTGGGAAGCAAACCAGGCGGCGACTCAAGAAGCAGCGTCTAAAGGCCAGCGCGAGGATGGCTCAGGCGCTGGACCCGGACAGTCCTGGGACGTCAATCAGTATGGCTTCTTGGGAGGAGATAGCCAGAATCGAGGTGCAGGCGGGATCAACTTTGGTGGAAGAAGGCAGATTATTGGACCTAGGCCGCCCCGTTGAGTCTGTTAGTTTGAGTTTGTTGGTCTTATTACCTAGGTTTCTTGGACCTTTGTAAGGCATACGAATATTTATCAGGCTTGTCGGAGTGAATTTACGCTGCGTATCTCTTTACTCTGCCGTTCTTAACTTCCACTTCTTCTTTGTTTTTTTGTTTTTTTTTTTTTTTTGCCACTACTACTTGCGTCGATGACATGGACAAGTTGATTAGTTGTCCATTATACACTTTTGCTTTTTATCTTTACAATTGCCCTAGCCATACCCATTTTAACACTGTACTATCGTTTTATTCTTTTACGCTTTGTATATATTTTGTGGTTTTGTTTTGTCCTTTTTCTTTTTTTCCCCTTTTTTTCCCTTTTTTTTCCCCTTTTCTTCTTCTTTTCTTTTCTTTTTTTTCTTGTGTCATCTTGTGTTGCAGTCGTCTGTTCTGTCTCGAAGAGAAGATTGTGCAATCGTCGAGTACAGCGAAGTGATACAGCAGTGATCCTTTACAGCATGCATAGTTGTTATCTATCTAGAGCCTGACTGTAGGTAGGCACTAGATGCATATATAGCTAATTCAGTCTGTTTAACATCATTTGGCATAGAGGTTCTGTTCAGGGAACGAGTTGTGGGGCAGTGAAATTTCCTTGTTAAGAATATGTACTTCATCTCTTATAGAGATATTAAGGTGGGTTAGAATATGGGTTAAAAATTAAAATAAAAAAATACAAATGAAATCAATGAAAAAGAAAAAAGAGAAAAAAAGAAAGCAATAATTTGATTAAACTAATTATTAACCTCGCAAAGAAATTCACACTGGTTCCCAGCTCTCTACTCCACAACCATCAATTACCACCCCAACCCTTACTCGAGCTTGAAATCAGACAAATCCAAAAACTCCTCAAAGGTGGTCAACTTGCCCCTGGTCACCTTCGCCGTGGCCTCCATCAACTCCTTTGTATTTGGTCCATAATACCCAAACTCATCAATATACAGCATCATCTCGGACAACATGTTCGCGCCCACGGGGGGCAGGAACTGCTTCCACATCTCGACCGGGACCTGCTTATACACCACCTTCCTGCCCGTCTTCTTCGCCAGCGCCGCCGCAATGCCCGCATGGGTACACAGCTCCGTCGACGCCGCGAGCGTCTTGCCCTCGAACTTCTCCGGGTCTGCCAGTATCGCGCCCACATACTTGCCCGTGTCGTGCTCAATGTCGATCTGCGGGATCAGGCTGTCGGGCTTCATCACGCTCGCAATCGCGTAGATGCGGTTGCCCGCCTCGTCGGTCTCCCCTGTCGGCCGCGGTCCCATGTGGCCCGTGTAGTTGGTCATGAACCCGCCAGGAGCGAAAAACGCGCTCTTAATGGACTTGCTGCGGACGTATTGCTCGACTTTGGCTTTCGCGTCGAACCCTTCCACTTTGGTGTATTTCCCGTGCGAGACCTCGCTGACGTGTGCGAGCGTGCTGAAGATCAGGAAGGACACCCCCGCGGCAACGCAGGCGTCGGCGATGGCTACCCCCTGGGCGTATTCCCGTGCGCCAAAGTCCGCGGTGTCGTAGACGGTGTTGGTCATCCCGAAGACGGTGTGGGCGTTGGACAGAGCGGAGGTGAGAGTGGACGGGGAGAATGGGTCGGCGGAGACCATCTCGACGCCCCGCGAGGAAAGGGATTGAGAGGCAGCGGAGGATGTGTTGCGCGTTACCCCCCGCAGGGTGTATTCTGAGGATAGGACGGGGTCGTTGAGGACGTAGTTGATGAGGGACCCGCCTTGGTTGCCGGTTGCGCCGAAGACGACGAGTAGTTTGGGAGCCATTTTTTTTTGTTTAGTGTTGGATGTCTTTTATTTTATTTTTAATTTTTTTTTTTGTTTTCTTGTTGTTGTATGCTTAGGGTGTTGAGATGTTTGGTGTAGATGTCTTCTTTGATTTTTATATCTTGTGTTGCTGTCAATTGGCAGTGCAATTGGTGATAATGTAGTAAGGATTGATAGTTCCGTAGCGGCAATGGCAATGACAATTATCAGTCCGAGTGGAATGCAATGCAATGGAGCTGTCTCGTCTTTCTATCGGCGGGGTGGGATTTATATAACCATATATTTGTAACTGGCCTTCCCATCTGGACTGCTTTGTCCGGTCCGAAGCGCCGGAGTATGCGAGAATAATCAAGAAATTGGGTAACGTTATCCACAATACAACAGTAATACACAGTATTCCGTAATACACAAACAATCTCAATATTCATAAAAAATGGGTTTAATGCTTTTAATGGTTTGTTCATCCCGTTGCTTGCTTTGGTAAACCCAATGCTTTTTGCTCTGCCCTGACGGAGTAGTTAATTCGATGATTAGGCCATAAACATTGTAAGGAATAGGATGATGAGGTCATACATTTTTTCTGTACTCTCTATATCTCCACGTGGATTTAACCTCCGATTTACACAGAACCTTTCACCGAACTACCGAGCCCCGAATCAGGTACAAAGAGACTACTACCTAGGTAGTTCCTACCTGACCTAAGCTCATGAGGATGTGTAGATCTACGACGATGAAGTGTAGTGTTGATTATTCTCGGTCTTGAGTAATAAGGGCACCGACACCACCGACACCACCGAGATACCGAGATACCGAAATACCGAAATAATGAGTGCTGTCCTCGGCCATAAGAAAGGAAGATATATTAGGGACAACGGGAGCAGGCTTACTTCTAGTCCTGCCTGATCTGTGCTTTGAGGAAGCTATACAGGTACTGTACGGAGGAATTAGACAGCAAAATGTAGGATAATCCACGAGTAGAGCACAAAATTTGCACAAATTCGCACAAAAAGTGTAAGCCAGGTAGGTGCTTATCTCCGATTTCCCCGCGTAAGCCAGTTGGCAGATCTAAAGCTATTCTACAAAGGGTAAATACTAATCTAGTAGGGGAGTAGTGGATTGTTAGTGCGGGTTGCTTATTTTGCGAGATACTTTGTACATGTGGGCTCACATAATCCACGTAAGATATTTACATTGTGTGAGACGAGACCTGGGTTGAAGAAGGAAGTACAGTCTTAGAGAGCAGGAGAATGGACGCTTAATGTGGAAAGTTGTATGATTGAGGAGAAGAGTAGTAGGTTGTTGAGAAATCTACTTTCATTAAGCAGTCGAGGCAAGATAGGTATATTTTATAGGTGAAGAAGGCTCTAATGCGTATATTTGGTATCTGGGTAGTGATCAAAGGGAAGCAGAATATCGAGCGCTGGAAAGGGAAAAAAAAAAAGAGATGAATGAATACTCGCGAGAAGATGGAAGTCAGGAGCTGTGTATCTCAGCGTCAACCGCCATATGATCCGAGTCTGTTTCTGCCACGTCCACCAAGACACGAAGACGCTCTGAGCTTGTTCGAAGCCATGTCCAGTCGGGATCTCGGGCATCTTCCTCTTTGATATCGACTTTGTCAGGACTTGCTCGGCTTGTACTGCCTGCAACCTTTTTCCGCTTGCGTCCTTCAGGCTTGGCTGCCTTTTCTTCTCGTGCCGCAATGCCTTGCTCGACAGCACGTCTCAGCGTTCCTTGACTGGGGTCTTCGTCCTGTGATTTGTCTACACTGCCTTCGTTTGGTTCCTGCGACGACGATCCTAATGTTGGCGAACGGCTGAGCCCGACATGCATTGCTAGCAGTCTCATCAAGCATTCAAGCATAAGACTGACTTTGGCATTGTCGGCAGGCCCTGCAGAGGAGGCGGCAAACGGAAGGAAATGCCTTTCGAGCAAATCTTGCGTGAGAAAATCGGATAGCTCGCTACTGTCACGGAGCGATGTAGAATCACCGCTCTTGCGGATGCGCTCGCCTCGAGATCCTCGAGCAGGTCCAGCGCGAGGTAGTGCTGGTGCAGATGATGCTAGCATGGACCGCAACAATAGCTGAACGAGGGAGGAATGTGCAGAAGGGTTGAATGTGGGAACGGGAATGGGAGAGATGAAGAGGTTGAATTTCGCCAATGGAAGTGGGCGCAGATGATCCAAGTAGAGATCGTAGAGAGACGTGATGGGTGTAAAGCTGTCAGGAAGTGCATGTGATACAGCGGATAACTACACCATTGTGAGCATGTATCAAAAAGAATTAAAATGAATAGAAGAGGGGATGGGGAGACGAACCAAGTATAAAAGTCGCCGTCGTAGTTGGACAGCCTCCATTCCGCCAAGCGGTTCGGAACCATTGAAAGCATCTTCGGAAGAAAAGGAGGGCGAGTCGAAGACAGTCATGGAATTTCCTTTCGTATCTTCCTCTGCCTTGACTGCAACGCGCCGCCCAGGTCCGCCTCTTTTTCGTTTTCCAGATTGTTCTGGGGTGCCATCTTCAGCAAGGAGCTCTTCCAAATTGGCATAGGGATCGGCTCCAGTATTATCGTCATCGTCGTCGTCGTCCTCATTCTCGTCTAGGTAGTCTCCAAAATTATCCTCATCAATATTGACTCTCTGTTCGCGTTTAAAAATTGGGTCCTGTTTCCTTTTGCGCTCCTTTGTTTCCTTTCGAAACACCTCTCGAAATTCGTTGAGGTTTGTACTTGAACCGTCGGCGAATATAGCACGTACGATTCGTCGAACCCCTCCGTAGCGATTCAGATCCGTACGAAGATACCTCGCAATCAGGCTATTTTCAAGAACCTCAAGCTCCTCTTCTCCGTCCTCATTATCCAGCCAGAGGTTTTCTCTGGCTATCCAATCATCCTCCAATACTTCTAGCATGGTCTCCAGCCATAGCTTCCATCGCAGCCACCGCCTCTTCCAGCTCACAGAGCAATTAAATGCCCATCCCACCACATGCCAAAAATCTTCTGCCAATGCATATAGTCCACCCTCGTTTGCAATCTCCGAATTTATTGCGTCAGCATCCTCGTGGCGAGGTGCAGCAATCTGCTCCGCGGCGACTCGGCGTCTACTGCTTCCTCCTCCACGGCGACTGACAGAGAGGCCAGTGAACGTGAAAGCTGTACCAAAATCCGCATTTATCGGGCCCATAAGCTTGTTTGCGATACGGACCAGCCGTACTGCCGCATTGGATGCATGAACAAACTCGGAAGACCGAGCTCTCGTCGTCAAGCCGGGATGTACAATCAAGGTCGCGGCCAGCGCAAAATGTTGCGGCGGGGGAACATAGGCTGGGACAGCATGAGGAAAGCCCCAGGTGTCGGTGCCACCCCCAACAAGGTCAAGTAAAAGCGACAGAGCTTGGTGGTCTGTATTCAGAACGTGAGTTTAGGCGCCTTGAAGGCTTCTTGAGTGTATGAGGCGACCTACAAAGCTCCTCTTCAAAATAGATGATACAATGCTGCCGAAGCTCATACGGCAATGGCCTGACGGGTCGATATTTCTTCTCTTGCTTCGAATTCTTCTCTGGCCCTTTCTGGGTATCCAGCAAGCCTGGAGACGTCATCTTTCTTTTGGAGCGTATAGGCTCATCAGGGCCTCCATAGTTCTGTCAGGAAGACGCGCACTTTCGCGTAAGCGCGTTAGGCGGTAGAAGGGTGGGGAAACATTTACAGCGATACAGCGATAGAGTTTAGCGAGAATACTCTCTAATCTCCTTTTGTCTACAGTTATACCCCGCCAAACCGCCATCCAAACCTCCAACTTCCATCTTTATCTAGGGAAGTTGACCTGCAATTCACTCCAATCACCAACATGTCGATTAGGCAATGAATTAACCAATCAAGCAGTTGAAGAAATCTTGAACTCAATTAGCGGTCAACCTCAAAGGTGACTCAACTGGCAGCGACTACGATTGCTCAACCACCTCCCACGGTCTCTGATCATGAAGGACGAATATGTGTGCATCATGAAAGCAAGATGCTTTGCGTTGCTTACATTTATTTAATGCACTAAAGACCGCAGCTTTGCATGTGCATGTCAAGTACACCAATTACTCGAAATTGGTTGTTCCTGTCCTTGGATTTATTTCGGAAGCGCTCCACGCGCTTCCGCGACTGACCTTGACTGATGGTGCATATTATTTCCGACTTGTCATGACCGTTTTCCGTCAATTCGCCCGCCTCCACTTGGCCCGAAAATGTCTGAGATAAAGTTGTGTGCCGAGAAAAGAGTGTATTGTCTATGCCCCGCTTGGTGGCACCGGAGACTACAAACATCAAAGGGAGGCCGCAGGGTTTGAAGCTTCTCTTCTTTCGGTCATTCCTGCATAACGATGTGGCTTTGTCTCGCCATTGAGATACATCACTATGGCGCTAACGCTCGAATAGTCTGGTGGCCTGTTTATGCTGGCGCACACTCAACCGGTCAATGCTCCGACAGGTCATGTTCAAGCTCCACCTCCAACTTGTGCTTGTTCCACTACAATATTATCACGCCTTGACCGTTGAGAAACGATGCCTGCATCCTTGACCTTGCCGCTGCAGCATTCCGCCTTGGACATTATCAATCGCAGACATGGGCCTAAAAAGGGCCTCGCCAGCGAGTTGCATGAGACAGGCCGGGCTCGTCTCCTTCTGGAAACCAACTGACCATGTTACCAGCCCTGTCAGCTATGGGCGACCGGGGTCCGCGACTTGCCAAGTCCCTCTGGTAATATCTTCCTTGTTGCGCATCGAGACACAATTCGGGATCGACGGGCCGTTTGTCTGGCATTTCTTTCGAACTCAGGAATTTTCAGCCCTTCTCGAGGGGTATGACGCCGGTTTTCATGGCTATAATCCAGCAAATTAATTTCTTCGCCCCCCCCACCCGGCTTAATGTTCTGCAGAGCCTGGTAACACGAAAGCCACAATCAAAGGCATGCCCTGCGGTTGATTGAGACAAATCATAGCACGGAAAGGGTGGTCGCTACCTGTCAGTGAATCGAATTGTGATCGCGCCTCTGGGGCTTTGATGGTGACATCTCTCCAAATTCCCCGACCACTGACAGGCCTGGGATTGAGGCCCCCAGATTTGCTGACAACAAGATGAAGGCCGAAGAATTCCGCTGTTAAACCGAAGCTAACCATAGGCCTTAGTGAAATGTCACCATGCACACACACTCCTCCTTCACAAAAACTCCTCACCGATCTCATCTAGGCTGCAGGTCTAGGTGACTAGTTTCGTGGGGTGATGGCGATCACATTAATCAAGCAAACCTGCCGCTCGTTGCGTAGGCCAAAAGTTGGAATGCTCAAAGATGCTCAATTTGTTATTGTTGTTGATCGCTCTGGCGGATGCGGGCAGTCTCGACGCCCATGATGTCGCACAGCCTGTAAACCTCCCTCAACGTGTTGCCCGATGCCGTTCAAAGCTCCCTGCATGACACATGTATGGGTACGAATGCGTCCTATTTTACGCAGCCAAAGGTGGCGTATCTCACCGACCTGGCCCGTTTCATGAGAGGAGAGCCTTACCTCGCGTTGCGTTTCATCCGCACATGCAAATTACTTGATAGCTCCGCTAACACTGAGCTTTTGTTTTCGTCAGCTTTTCAATAAACTGAGAACGCTTGCCTGGCATTGCAAATCAACTTGTTTCATGCGGACGTGATGAGTCGATTTTATCTACAAGATCTTACCTCCCCAGCCCTTCGAGATGCCCCAAAATGGTTGCAAACTGGTCTGAGCCAAGTGCCTCTGTATCCTTCCCGCATAATCTCAGAGGTGAATTTCTAAGACAATCCGATTGATGATTCAGGCATCTGGTATTCTTCAGCCTTAAATGTCATTGTGTTCGGCAGTTTTGGGACATTCGACCTTGACCAATTAAGGCCTCGACGCGGTTGAATTACTTCTCCAAATCCTCTCCTGCTATTTGTTTACCAAGTTGTTGATGTTTTTGTTATTTACCTTAGAGCTTTCCATCGCTTTATGTCGGAACTCTTCATAAACTTGGGGTTCCTTTTGACCATCATCTATTTCCTGACGCCTGAATAAATAATTCTGGCGAAAGTCTGAAAACCAGGACATTATACTCGCAGCTGTGCGGAATGGATCTTTCGTTGATCCTGAATCCGCCATCGGAACCAATCAGCATGGACCACGTCGGGGGAGTGCATTCCCATTCACGAGAATCTGAAGCATCTCGTCCGGCAGCAAACTCATCAACCAAGGGGAAAATTCACTTTCAACGAGACGTGACGGTAGATCCCTATGACTCACCTCAGTCCCTTTATAAGGGACGACTGGATCGCAGGAGCGCGTCCGTATGTTCAACTGTATCGTCAAACTTGACAAATTCGTCTCAATCATCCACGGATTTCACTTTGGATAGACTTGACATATCTCGAGGTCTTTCGCTCAAATCCCGGACTGGTTATGAGTATTCGGGACCCAGCCCAACAATATACTATTCTCCAAGCGGTTTCCAGGACGAACACAGGCATTGCGGGCATCACATCCCAAATTTGGAATTACCGCCAGCCTCCCTTTTGTGTCTCCCGGAACCCACATCCTTCCATTCTTTACCCTCGTCCGTGTTGACTTACGGAGAGCCAAAGGATATTCCCACAACACCTCGGTCTTGCTGGCCACAGGATCTTTTGGCGACGAATATGGACAGGCAAAATCGTCATCACGGGTCACGGGATGCTAGAGAAGCTGCCACTTTTGAGAGCTCTGATGAGCATGATATGTCTGATCTATCTTCTGCTGATGGAGCGGATGGCGAATCCGATATATTGTTTTCGATCTCCATGGCAGAAGGTAATTCTGTTTCACATGGAACCAGCCCCGTGCACTCGACAGCAGCAGCCAACGCGGCCACGCAACCAATGAATATTGGATCCGGGAACTCAGCTCCTACTGCTATCAATACCGTTACCGCAACATCACCCGTCAATGCACCCATGCCTGTCAACTCTCGTCGCGGCCCAGTATGCGCGTTTATGATTGGTTGTATCACAAATTCCCCGTTTAGAAAGGTAGTCTCGCATATTTTCGGTCGAAATAAGCTGTGTACTCGACAGATACCTGATGATGTATGGTATCATTACTGTCGAAAGCATTACCAGCGCGTCCGGTATCGGAACCCCCGCGGCTTTGCTCAATTGCAATGTGACCTCGTTCATAAGCAGATTCGGCGCCTCGAGTATTGGGCTGGCACGCCGCTTAAATGGACCGTCAAAATTAGAAAGAGGGAGGAGCTGAGACTTAGTCTAGAGCAGGAAGCTGCTGTCAACTTGCAGCCACATTTGACAAACGGAAACGCCGCTTCTTCGAGTGGTCCTAAACGGCCCCGTCACGCTCATGGTTTTGGTACAACAAGTTGCGATGGACTGACTCGATGGATTTCTACACAGACTGGCTCAGAAAAGACTACCGCAGAGGTACTCGAGATGGTAGAACAGATTGATCTGGATCTTGCCCGAACTGGTGCATCTTTCCCTGAAATCGAGATTTTGCCCGACCTTTCATGCATCAATCCAAGAGCTGGACCGAAGCCCTCTGATACACCTCGAGCAGCAACTGCAGAAAGGGCACGTCGTCCCAGCCAAGGGAATCAGACCATGCAACATACAAAGAGACGTCAACGGAGAAATTCTGTTGCCCAGGACAATCAACTAGATGTCAATACTCCGGCCCGTCGACCGTCAACTCGGGCGTCGCACGCTGGTGTGCAGCGACGAACTAGACAGGGCAAATGATGCCGACGGATATCCTCTGGAAGATCAGTCGATAAATGGATTTGTCAATCATCGCAAAACTGCGACAGGCTTCCTCTTCCCGTCAGGTACTTAAGACATTTCGCGAGAAAGTTTTCTACAAAGAAGCGCTACACCTGGATTCCGTTTCTCGATGATTCTTCAGCTTTCCTTGACTTCTTTTTTTTTCCCGCATTGTTTTGCTTGTCCTTGCATTTTGACATATCAGAAATCATATTTACCACTTCGCTCTTCTCTTGCATGTTTGATCTTATATTTCTTCTTCCATTTCCTTTGTCTCACTTTCGTGTTGTATTGAACCAATTTTCTGTTATTGCGTCTCTATTTGTGTTAGCCTCTGAGCGTCTAGTTCACAACTACTTATGCCCTTCGAGCTCTGCAAACCAGCAATCACCGTTTTTATGCAAAGTATACATGCCACGGCTTAGCGGGATCAGATCTGGGAAACTGCAGTTATTATGACGGAATGGGTCGACGGATTATGATGGTATGATGGAATGATGGATCTCTAAACCGAATCACGGATGGCCGGATAAATGTCTTTCGACTTCTCCTAGGTGAAAATGGGCGTACCTACACTATGCAGCCACGAGCATCTCACATTTTCTTTTTATTTTCTTTTTTCCCTTTTTCTTTCCCCCTTTTTTCTTCCTCATTTCTTTCTTTCCCTTCTTTTCCATTCGCTCCTACGAGCATTATTCTTAGCCTTGTGTTTTTTGTGCTTTTTTTTTTTTTTTTTTTTTTTTTTTTTTTTTTCCTTTGATTCTTCTCATTTCAATTCTTCGTTTTCCCCTACTACTATTCTTTCATTTTCACGAACAGGTAACGAACATGCATGGAATGAAACGGCGATTGGAGTTTTGGCCACTCAAGGACCGGACCGGACTGAACCGGCTGGATGGATGGATGGATGAACGGCACGGCAGTTGGGAGTCGGGACAGAACAGGATACCACGGTTGCTCTTTACTCTCATACAAGACACTTCTGATTTGCTTTAATTTTCTATTTTTCTTTTCCTTTATTTCCTCCGCTGACATTTCGCATGTCATTCGCAACGTGTTTGCAAGCGGGAAGTTTTAACTCATAGCTGTCGTAGCTGGCTTCCATGGCTTACATGGATTCAATATTTTACTTACCCCTTTTTCTCGTTACGATGCTGTAGATGAGCTCAATGAATACTAATTCCTACGCATCTCGCATCGCATTGAGTCATGATTTTGAATGCATTGATGAAAGCTGTTCACATGTTCAAAGTTAGGATATGGATATTGAAAAGATTGATTTTGTTTTCCGGCCGAGCTAGAACCAACGGGCAAAAGCCTTAATCATACATTTTGCGAAAAATGGCGAATGATATAAAATTACATTTGTAAAGAGATGAAAATATAAAGAGAAGAGGAAATGTGGGAGATGTGTCCGTGTCCGTGTCCGTGTCTATAGGCTTAAACGGGGGGGGAGAAGAAAAGTTGGAAAATGCATCGTGCGGAGATTACATCAAGGGGGATATGACAGTTCTACCACGAGTAGTATTGGCGCTGAGCGGTGATTGGTCGGTTGGGGAGCGGTGTCCAGAGCTTTCTCCGGGCGCGCTTCTGTTGGCGCTCTTCATGCTCGCGGATGCGGGTGGCTTCTTCTTTGAGGATGACAGAGATGCCTGTTATTATGGTCAGCGACATATGTTCGGTTCATTTATCAATTCTATATGTGAAGACAGTGAAAAAAAAAGTTTTCTTTTGGGGGAAAGGGGCGGGAGCAGCTCGAACAGGCTGTGGTCGCGATAAAGGGGCGGATAGACTTACTGGTATACGGCAATCTCAACAGGTTGACCTGTCCACGGGCACGGAAGTCGTAGTCCTTACCATACGGACCCCTTCCGACCCACGCCTGATCGATATAAATGCCCGATCTGTCTGTTACGAGCTTTCTCTTTCCATCCTTGAGTTCAATCTCCGTCTTGGCGCCCTTGGTGCCGTTGAGTTCGCCCAGGCCCATGCCGCGACGGACAACGGCTTCGTTGCGCGCGTGTTCGAGATGCGCGAGCACGCTCTTTGCCGCCTTTTTCTTGCTGTACCGCATCTGGACAATCGCGTCCTCGATGCTCTTTCCCGTGATTTGTCGCGCGAGGGGTCCCAGCTTCTTGATACTCGTCTTGATAAAGTGTGATTTCGACGCGCTCTCGCGCTCGGTCCGCTTGATTTGTAGCGTCCGCGTCAGCCGTCCTCGCTTTTGCACGTCCCGAATGACCATCTTCCGCTCCCAGCGCTGTCGGTTCTTTGGGTCGGGGTCCAGCGCCGCTGCCATGATCGACGGGTCCCGGATCATTCGCGGGCCAGAAATTGCGGCGACGTCTTCGGCGGAGGGCTTGGGTCCGGCTTCGTCGGTCTCGAAAATGGAGCTCGATGAAAGATCACCTCGGATGATTGCCGGTGCTTCGCGCGGTTTACGCTTCAGAAATTCGGCCGTGATGGGGTTCTCGGGCACAGCGTTGGGCGTCTTTTCTCTCTTGAAAAGGCCGAAAATGGTTCGGCGCTGGAGAAAAGGCGTGAAGGGTGTGAGAAGAGAGGGGGAAGAGGAGAGGGCGACGGCTGTAGTTTTGGAAAAGAAGAACAATTGGTTAGTGTGACACTCTCAAGCATTGGGTATGTGATCGATGAATGGGAATTTGACGGTTGGAGGTAGAAGGATCAGATAGAACGCCAGAGAAAGCAGAAGAGGGTGGAGCGGGAATTGAGTGGAAGAGAGAATAGAGGGGAGAGTATAACGTACCTGGCTGTGCCAGCCGTCGTGTAGGGATTCGTAGGCTCATGATGAGTCCAGGATCATGGCCTCCTTGAACTGCTGGATTGTCGTTGGAGAAATGGGATTTGATGCTTCATTGCGAAGTCGAGAGGCCTAATTGGGTTTAGTGGAATTGGATCGCTGAGTCAGCAAAAAGTAAATCAGATTAGATTAGATCCAAGTCCGGAGCGAGGAGATGCATCCATATAGGTAGGTTATGGAAGCTCAACAACGGTGTGTTCTGCCTCAGTATTGCATTTGGAGGCCTTAATTTAATTTGTGACGCCTAAATTTCATGTGGGCTTTGCTTCTGAAAATTCTTCTTATTGCTAGTTGTATAGCCTTTTTTTTGGTCGTCATAACACTTAAATCGATTCGCTCCCGGCATTACGAGATGCCGTTCCGAATCTTGTAATGTGTTTTCTACGCAGAATTCGATGCTGAGTTCTGGATATGCTTAAAGGGCAATCTTTTGACTGCACCTGCAGCATTGCTAAAAAAATTTTCATTGGCAAATTGTGCTTTGTTCGTCATTGCTCCTGCATTCATGATACCAGTGAGATGTTACCTTGAGATCCGACCGATGTGAACAGCTTCCTTCAACCTGAAGTCGGTTAATGTATCAGATTCTGCAAGGAGTGAGGTCCGCAAGTTTGATCAGATGTTGAGAATGATGTTCAAAAAGTACGGAATTCGATGGACTAGTAGTGAAAAGAGTAATGAAGGGCGGGGGAGGAATTGGGGGGAAAATCAATAAATTTGGAAAAAATAAAATAAAATAAAATAAAAAGCAGAATAAGAAATAGAATGTGCTGAGAAAGCGGACAAACATGTGTCTGAGGGCCAACTTTGGGTGCTCATCTCGACAGGACATTTTTCAAGTTTTTGTGGATCCCGCTTATGGCAGGTAAGTTTACCAGATCTTTGACGCCTGGCCGGGTCCATCAATTTTCAAGGGATCATCTCGGGTCCGAGGTCGAAAAGCTCATCGGGAAAATGGAATGCTTCTTCAGCCAAAAATTGCCGATAATCCTAGAGGAACGAGTGTATGGCTCTGGCCCGTCAGAATTGGGTTGAGATGCATTTGACTGCGCCCTTGGCAAGTCAGAATGAGAAATGTGGGTTCCATTGCTGGTTCAGTTCTGCTTGGACAGTGGTCGTGAGCGATCTAATACTTTTGGTGACCTTGAAGGAAGAGACAGCATCTTTAAACCTCATTGATTGGCTCTGGTCGCGTTTGTGAATCACTTCTCTCAGCCGTCAACGAAAAATCTTGCGACCTGTGTGCGATCCGAGAATTATATTGATTATATCTGCGCTTTGACCGTTGGATCACGAGACTTATTCTCCTTCCTTGTCAACACTATTAAAAAAGGTGCTGTCGTCAAGTTGATTTATTGCATGATGTTCCGGGTGCAATGCAATGGTTTCAGTGACCGGACGTCTGATGAGGGCAGCTATAGGCTCATTTGGCGGTTCTAGGTCCGGATGGGCCGTGTCACAGCAGCAACGCCATGTGTTGAATTGAATCAGCAAATCATTGTTGCTGAGACAGATACATTGAGAATTGTTGATTCTGATGCCATTGGAAGGTAAATGGGAGAGCTGTGGTGTGGGAGAGAAAGCGGCGGATACGAATCAAGATGAGACCCTGCATGCACGGCTTGATTAATTGACGTCTGTAAAGCGTTCCACAGTGACGACAAGTTGTTCGGGTAGCCTGATGTTCTAATGTTCTAGTGCTTCTCTTGTTGGTGTTTGGTGTCTTGGGGTTTCCGTGTCCAGACCGACCGGCGACCCGTCGCAACTCCAAAACAGAAAGAAATCGGCCCCTGTTGCCCTGTCAGTGGCCCCAAACTCTACCTACCTAACCTACTTTGCTTCTCCATCCTCCTCTCATTCTCCACATCTCACACACTTGCCTCTTTTCCCTCTCTCTCTATCTCTCTCTTGCTCTCATTCTTCTTCTCTCTTACTCATTCGCTCTCCCTGCCGCACTGGCCTACCCCCATCTGCCGGCTTCCTCCCCAAAGAGTGCAATACACCTCTTTTCGACCTTTCTCGACATCGTCGATTGATCTTGCAGCCCTTGCGTCTGAACTGCAAGTAGCTGGAAGAAGCTTGTCACAACAGAAAAGTATCGACTTTTTGAGGTCTGAGATCAGTTTTCGCGACTGAGTTGGGTTTCATGGCATGTCAATCCATTTGAAATTTTTCTTGCAGGGCAAAGTCAGGAACCCCACATCAGCCCGCGACACACCCACGCACATACAGAGATAGAGCATCTAGACATATTCTAGTCACGAATTGCAAATATGGATATCAATTCCCTTCTTTCCCCCCAAGAGTCGCCGGTCACGGAGACGCCGCCCTCAAATCAGTCCAATCCGCCTCAAGCACGTCGAACAAAGTCGTCGTCACGCACTCCACAAGTTGCACCTGTAGCCTCATCACCGCTGAGCTCGTCGAATGCGCCCGTATTACCGCACAATGTTCTCTCTCAGGCCCAGCAGATGATGCCATCACCGCCAATCATAAGTCCTAGCACGGGTGTAGCTGCGAGTGCAACGAGTACTCCCTCGGCCGAAGGACGAGCTCCGCCTTTGACAAGGCAGCCTTCAACACCTGGAATGGACACATTGGCAGACTTGGCAACCATGCAGCATCATCAGCAAGCAGCGCGGGCTAGTGCGAGCGGTTTACGCAGTGCTGAGATTTACGATGCAGCACGCGTTCCTTCCCCCGCCCGATTTCCTCTCCACACTATTCCTCGAACGCACAGCAACACTCGCGGGGCCATGGACCTCTCAATGACGGACGCTCCTGCACAAACTCCTCCTCCCCGGACCTTTACTGCGACTTCTCTCTCCGAGTCCGATTTGAAGACGGTTGCTGAGCTTGTCGGATATCTTGCCGAGAACCCTTATGCCTACGAATCTCATGTGCAATTGATTAAGCTCTTACACCAGGGTTTCATCTCGCATATATATCCAGCCGAGTCACCAGATTCAACTGGAGACCCGCACAAGTACGACCTCTTGGACGATCTTCGGATGGCGCGGGAAGCGATGGAATCCAGATATCCGGTTGGAGAGGACATTTGGGCCGACTGGATTCAGGACGAGCAGACGCTGGCACGGACCACGGAGGACCGGATTGGCGTCATGGAGCTCTGTCAGCGAGCAGTCGAAGAGGAACTTGAGAGTACAAAGCTCTGGGTGCTTTACGGCAACTGGATGCTTAACCTGTACCGCGCCGCCCATTACGAGCCCGACACGAGCGATGCACAGGAGGATGCCGGCGCCGGCGTCGATTGGTCTGAAGAGGACAAAATCGTAGGCAAGGAGGTATTCAGTTGGCAACAGATGCTCGAGGTTTGGAGACTGGGAGTCGAATCTACGCACCGCCGCATGAATGACAGCCACCTGGTCTGGGATCGCTATATGGAGCTACACCTGGAAGATCTAGCGCGGTCACCGACTACTGAAACCATCCAGCGCTTAAAAGGTCTTTTTATCGAAAGACTCCGAACGCCTCATGCCACGTGGGACCAGACTTTTCAGAATTTCTCCACTTTCATTTCTACATATGACAACGCTTCTTATGAGGACACAATGGTGATGACAACGAAAATGAGTCAGGAAGCGAAGCATACATATGGGCTCCGCGAGGTCTCGGAAGTGCAACTGCAACGCGCGGCAGAATCCGGCGATCGCAATGCTGAATGGAGGCTATTCTCAGAGTATCTGGACTGGGAGCTAGGTCAGAAGCGAAAGGGAAGATCAGATGCGCGCATGTGCGCAACCTTGTATGAGCGTGCTGTTCTTCGGTTCCCCAACGACCCTTCTCTATGGGAGGACTATGTTGCGTTGCTAGTTGAGGATAAAAGTCACGGCCGACGAGGCAATGTGCTTCCGGTTCTTGAAAGGGCTACAAGGCACTGTCCCTGGTCTGGCGATCTTTGGTCGCAGTATGTTGTGACGGCAGAAACTGAGAAAATGGCATTTGAAGACATTGAAGAGATCAAGCACAAAGCAACCAGTCGCGGTTTGCTCGATGCTGGTACCATGGATGAAGTGCTTAAAGTGTACACTTCCTGGTGCGGATTCCTTCGACGGAGAGCCTTTGCTCACGATGCTACTGATGAGGAATTGGATGTCGCTGAGGTAGGCATCCGATCGGCATTAGAGAGCGTGCGTACAATTGGCGAGAAAAAGGTTGGTCCAGAGTATAAGGGCGATCCACTGTATCGGCTTGAGCGAATCTATATCAAGTTTCTCTCTCAGAGCAGATTGTATGAGCCTGCACGTGAAGCTTTCCAAGGGCTTGTGCCCCAATGGGGCACCAGCTATGAATTCTGGTTGCGGTTCTATAATTGGGAGATGAGTATCTGGGCCAGGCAGAATGAGACTGGAAAGAACAATGGCAATCTGTCTGTGTTGCCCTCCCATGCGACCGCCGCTCTACAGCAAGGCATGATGCGTGAGGATGTCGACTGGCCAGAAAAGCTCATTGAGACCTTTATTCACCACTGCCAACAGCACGAGGATGCTGAGGCCCTACAACTTGGCATTGCTCAGGCCCGGAAGGCAACGAAACAGGTGATGAAGCGACGGGAACGAGAAGCTATTGAAGCAGCTCAGCAGCAGCAGGCCGCAGGTTACTTTGATGCGGCCGCAGGAGCGGTAGCGCCCAGCGCCACTGAAGACCAATATAGTATGGGTAAGAGAAAGAGGGAGGAGGAGGAGGAGGAGGAGGAGGAGGAGGCTGTCGCAGGTGCGGCCGCGAAGAAGAGCCGGGCCGAAGAGGCGCGTCCTTCAGAGCCGCAAGTGGAAGAACAGTCGGTCACTGCCGAATCTATGGCGAAGCGTGACCGCGAAAATACTACTGTCCTCGTCAAGAACCTGCCAGCAGATACGAGTGAGAACCGAGTACGACAATTCTTCAGAGACGTAAGTTTGGATTACATTCACCAATTCGTAATAATAAGCTAATTTGAAACGTTAGTGCGGCAAGATCAATAGCATAAAGCTGATCCAAGAAGATGACACGACGTCTGCTTCTATTGAGTTCGATACTAAAGAGGACGTTCTAGCAGCGCAAACAAGAGATATGAAGAACTTTGAGGGCAACTCGATTGAAATACATCTCGGCACTGGCTCCACGCTGTTTGTCACAAATTTCCCGCCAGCGGCAGATGAGTCCTATATTCGTGACCTCTTCAAGGAGGTAAGCCATGTGCTTTCAAGTTCTTCTTTCCCTACAATCATGATCTAACACAATATTTAGTTTGGCGAAGTTGTAGATGTCCGCTTTCCGTCATTAAAATTCAACACGCACCGTCGGTTCTGCTACGTGCAATTCAAGACCTCAGCGCAAGCACAGGCGGCAACAGCCCTCGATGGCAAAACAGTTGGGGAGCATCTGACTTTGATTGCGAAAATCTCTGATCCTGCTCATAAGAAGGCCCGCAGCGGAGCAATCTACGAGGGGCGTGAGGTGTACGTATCAAACTTGGATTGGAGTGCAACAGAGGATGAAGTCCGCCAAGCATTCTCCAAGTATGGTAAGGTGGAAAGGGCCAGGATTCCCACAAACGTTGCAGGAAAGAGCAAAGGCGTTGCCTTCATTATTTTCCCCACCAAGGTGTGTCTCGTGTCTGATCACTGATCATCGGGTCGGCGGCTAACCCTGTTTGCAGGAGGAAGCGAATGCAGCCCTTGAGATGAATCTCACAAAATTCAAATCCCGCGTTCTAAACGTTGTCATCTCTTCTGCGGACCCAGCCAAGCGCCAAGCTACCAACATAGTTGCTTCATCTAGCAAAGCCGAGTCACCTGAGAGCTCCACTGTGGAGTTTAAGGCGGCAGAAGATGCCGAACAACAGTCTCATGCACACCGGGCTTCTTCACCATCGGCCGGCCGGCCCACTCCTCAAGAAATTCGTGCCAAAACCGTCGGTCTGCTAAATGTTCCCGATACTGTCAACGCTGCACGTATTCGCTCCCTCATGGAACCTTACGGCCCGCTCGTCAAAGTTATCTTACGGCCTGACCACCAAGGCGCAATTGTCGAATTCAAAAACATCAACGACGCTGGCAAGGCTTCGCTAGATGTCGAGGGATACGAGATTGCTCCAGGTCGAAAACTCGGAGTCGGATCTGTTGCCGAAATGTTCCGTCAGGACGCCGAAATCAAGTCCACCCGCATCCAAACTGGAAAGAATGCTCAAAAGTCCAAGCAGGCGGGTCCCTCGGCCCTTCAACCTGTGGCGCCTGTTCGGCGCCCGAATCAACCCGGTGCCAGAAGAGGCGGCGGCAAGGGAGGATTGGGGTCTCGACGGGGCGGTTTTGGACTTGGTGCTTCACGATCTACAGAGAGCAGCGGCGACGGCGATAAATCACCAGAGAAAAATGCAGAAGACAAGATGCAGGGAGTGGAAACGGAGAAGCAAGAAAAGGGTGACGAGCCCGCTGCGCAAGAAGGTCAGACACAAAAGAAGTCGAATGCCGACTTCAAGGCCTTGTTCTTGTCCGGTGGAAAGTAAAGAGAAGCACCGCCATGTTTAATTTATAATTAACGATGTATCACGATGGAACTCGCCAAGACACGAATGTGTTTCGAAAAAAGAAATGTATTGATACGCAAGGAATGCATACACCATTTCCCGTGTTCTACTGTCAGCATATGGAAACAAAATGGGGCAACGCCATAAAAATATGAATGAGTTGAAACGGAGCTAATTTCGGGGAGGTACTACGATACGAACAGAGGCAGGGAGGCGAGCTTCTGCATCTACAAAAGTTGCGGGTCGGTTTATTTCAATTGGTCATTTGAAATACCTCGTTTGCTCAGTGTTTCCTTGGTCTTTTCATTGGATTGAGTTTTGGGGTCGGATGGTCAAGGGTGGTTTGCTTTTTTACCTTGTTCTGTTTCATTTCATCAATTTTTGGCGTTTGCGACTTAGAGAGGGCCGGCGTCTGCATTATTCACTTTTTTTTTCGCGTCCTTTTTTTTCCCCCTTTCATTAGCTCTTTCCCCACTTTGCAGGACTTGTCAATTTTATGATTAAATAGCTTCTGCATTATAGCAGTATCCTGCGTTTTTCTGGAAACTCTCTCCGGGTGCTGGGTTAGCGACAGCTAATATGCTGTGTATTACCAATAGCGATATTAGTGATAGCGATAGCCAGTTCTCAGTGATCGCCACAGCGAACTACCATAGCTATAGCTATATCGTATGCCAAATAGCTTTTTATTTTTATTTTTATTTTTCAGACGTCAGTTGCCTTGTCACTACCGTCTGGTTTCTGTCTGCTGTTTGCTCTGCTGTTCTGTCTGATATGTGTGAAATTCCTTCTGCTTGTCCTACAGGTCGTCGACCAATTTATTCATCGCGACTGTAAAAGGTTTCATCTCCGTACCCTTCCTCTTCGGTTCCCGATCTAGATCCTATTTTTTATAAATATGGAATTGCATTTCGTGCGGTACTATTCACGTTCTTTGCTGTACTGCATATTCGTTGCGCTGATAAGTGGACTGCCTGGTTGAATTTGAACCGAACCCTGTCTATGAAGTGATTGTTCCATTTCTAGCATTTCTAACAGGAAAAAGAGATATCTGCTGAATTTGCGAGTAGATATCAAGTGAATGTATAGGAGTAAATACAGAGTACGGTAGTCTATATGAAGTCCCCACCAAAAGAGGGTCGAGGAGGGAAATACAAAAGGTATAGAAAAGAAAAGGAATAGAGAAGATCGCGTTAAAGATTATCGCGTAGAGGTCGATTTACTTCTTCGAAATGACGCATAGTGCGATGCCGCCGAGGACGAGAGTCATGCCGATCCACGTATCTGTATTTAGGCGCTTGTGTGAGTATATCGGGGTTATCTTGAGAGCGGGTGTCTTATTGGGGTCTAAACGAGGATAACACAGTGCTAAGGCTAGGTCTCAAGAAGGGTGGATAAGGGGGTCTAGAGGTTCAGAAAACGATAGAAAGGGCAATGGAAAAGCTGAACATGTCAGAAAGGGCAATGGATGACGTACTGGGTGAAATAGTCTTCTTCTCAGCCCACCATTCACCTAAGACGGTGAAGAGAAAGGCGAGGGAATTGGTGATGGGTACCGTCAATGACAGTTCTAATTTTGGGGTGTGGTATGTTAGCTTTGTCTTGTTGTGAAGAAACTGCTATGCGGAAGGGTGGGAAAAGAGACAACGAATCGAACCCCAAAAAAAGAAAGGAAAAGAAAAAAAGAAAAACAACGTATCGAAAAAGCAAATAAAAGTAAATTGAGGATGTAAATAGAAGAAAATACTGACCGGCGCGCCCGATTAACAAAAAGAACCATACGCTCCCCGTAAGATTAATCAACAAGGGAACAGCATACGCGGGACTCCGCAAAAGGTCCCAGACCGTATACATGCCCTTGAGAACGTACCGCGTGACGATACTCTTGTTTGGATCCGTCACGCTGGGCCGCTCAATGGGCTTGTATGTCTTTGCGGCTCGGCGGATGAAAGGTGTGGTGAAGCCCCATGCCATGCCAACGAGCAGGAAGGAGATGACCCAGCGGAATATAGATGGCTGAGCGGCAGGCGCGGAAGTATCGGGGTCCATTGTCGCTGATTGACGTCCGAATGATATTTGTGGCAGCGTGCAACGAAAATGCAAGAATGCAATTGACGTAGTAAGAAGCAAGTGCAGAATGCTCGTCTAACGAATCGAGAAACGCAGTGGGAATCTTGAAAAACAAAAGATATTGAAATAGCAACTGGTGAAAAAAGAAATAAAACTAGAAGAGAGAACAAAATTGCCAAATAAATGTACAAATGCAAATATAAACTGTATAGCGATGAATGATGACGCAGGGGAAGTGATAAGTAGTAAGCGTGACTGCTTGTGCTTCAAAATAGAACAATGTTCAAATCGTTGGAAATTCTCGATTGATCACGACAATACTGACACTTAAATTATCCGGATGGAAGATATCCCGTAGAAACAAGATCAGCGTCAACATCAGTTTGCTGGAAACGAATTATTGACGTTCTTCAAGGATACGCGTGGAGAGAGCGGGATAGTGGACATCGGGCCGCAGGGCGGCAGATGCCGAGGCAGGGGTCGGGAGTCGGGGCGTGGAACTATGTTTCTCCGCGTGGAGAGCAGCGACGCTCTAGCGTAACCCTAATGTCCGGCTGCGGAAATTCGTCGTGCCTTAGCAACAACCCTAGTCGCGTCTAGCTGGAGTGATAAACAGACATGTATGGAAATAATATGCTCAAATTGGCTGGCTAATACAAATTCATGCTCTTCACATTTCTTCGCATTCTGTGCAGGCATGGCGTACAGCTCCGTTTGCAATGGCTCGCGTTGTAGCATGGCAGTCTGGGCCGTGCTGCAAAACCCCGCAATGCTTGAATTTTTACCTTCTTGACCCTTCAATATGTTTAAAAATCTTCTTTATAGACGAGACGATTGTGCATTTGTTATTTCTGAAAGCGTTTTGTTTTTATTCGCCTTTCTGACAATAATTCATCTGGTCTGGGGCCTACATCAACCATCGCAGGATGGATGGAGGGAAGGCTCCCAATGTGACTTTCGAGTCTGGATCATCAGACTCGCCTCCACAGGGGTCTCAAATCGAAGACCGGCCACCAGAGGATGCTAGGAGAGAGAATAACTTCGGATCTATCTATACAGATGATCAAAGTGTTCTCTCCTCAACTCCCACGCGGACTTCTTCTACAGCTGGACAGCCACGGCGGGACAGTATCTCCGATATACGACCAGGGGATCCAGAAGTCGATCCTGCAAACCCGGCATTCGATGTGTACAAATGGGCCAAATGGTTGATTAGGCTATATGAGACTGAAGGCATACAGCGTAGTCATGCCGGCATCGTTGTGAGAGATCTCGATGTTTCCGGGACGGGGTCTTCAGTTCAATTGCAAGAGACTGTGTCATCGGCAATATGGACCCTTTTCACGTTTTGGAGAGACTTGGGGAGGAAAAAGGGCCCCGCTAAAAAAATCTTGCGCAATTGTTACAGCTTGCTCAAGAGTGGAGAGACGCTTCTTGTGCTGGGCAGGCCTGGTAGCGGATGTTCAACGTTTCTAAAGACTATGACAGGAGAACTAGATGGCTTGGAAGTGGCTGGGAAGTCGTCAATCCACTACAGCGGTATGATTAGCATGTCTGTACGATCTTTCGCGACAACTTATTTATTTCTTCATCAGGGATACCGCAGCACGTGATGACCAAGGAATTCAAAGGGGATGTAAGTATCCCAGAAGCCAAATTTCACGAGCTTGAGTATATTAAACAAGGTAGATTATTTATAATCAAGAAGTCGACAATCATTTTCCGTATCTTACCGTGGGCCAGACCATGGAGTTTGCAGCAGCAGTCACAACTCCACACAACCGGCCTCTTGGGGTCTCAAGGAAGATATACACTCAGCATATTGCTCAAGCCATGATGGTAATTTTTGGTCTGAGCCATACCTATAATACCAAAGTTGGAAACGACTTTGTGCGAGGCGTGTCTGGCGGGGAGCGGAAGCGCGTCAGCATCGCCGAAATGTCTGTTCGTGGAGCAGTCTTTTCCTGCTGGGATAATAGCACTCGCGGGCTTGATGCCGCCACAGCGCTCGAGTTTGTTCAAGCTTTGACGCTAGATGCAAATGTTGCTGGCAATTGTCACTGTGTGGCCATCTATCAAGCGTCCCAAGCCATCTATAATACTTTTGATAGAGTTACGATTCTCTATGAGGGCCGTCAAATCTACTTTGGCCCAACGGATAATGCGAAAAGATATTTTGAGGAGATGGGCTGGAGTTGTCCACCGAGGCAAACTACACCGGATTTTCTCACATCAATAACGAACCCTGATGGCCGAACTCCAAGAGCGGGATACGAAAGTCGCGTGCCAAGAAGCGCAAAGGAATTTGAGAGGTACTGGCATTCGTCAGCCGAATTTTCTGCGCTGCGAAGGCAGATCGACGAACATGAACGCAAATTTCGGATCGGTGGCCGCCTTGTGGACGAGTTCCGAGCATATAAGAGATCCATGCAATCCAAATATGTCCGAAAAGGCTCGTCTTGTCTCTCCAGCATCCCCAGGCAGATCTTTCTCTGCACTATTAGAGCTTACCAGCGGCTGTGGAACGACCAATCTGGAACAATAACTATTATCTTATATCAGATCTGCATGTCGCTTGTTGTGGGATCGGTCTATTTCGACACACCTGCTACCACGGCGGGACTCTTCGCCAAGGGATCTGTCCTGTTCTATGCTATCCTTTTGAATTCCTTGCTTCCCATTACCGAAATCAATCGTCTTTACGATCAACGACCAATTGTCCAAAAACATGCCTCGTATGCATTCTATCATCCGTTTGTAGAAGCGCTTGCAGGCGTTGTCGCCGACATTCCCGTGAAGTTTATCGTCTCAACCTTCTTCAACATCATTATATATTTCCTCTCAAGTCTCCGAAGAGAACCTTCGCAGTTTTTTATATTCTTCTTGTTCAACTTTCTGGTGCTGCTTACAATGTCCGCCATATATCGTACTGTGGCTGCGTCAACAAAGACTCTGTCGGAAGCATTTGCAATATCTGGAATTCTTGTCTTAGTGATAGGCATGTATACCGGATTCACAATTCCCCGACCTTATATGCCACCATGGTTCGAATGGATATATTACTTGAACCCGGTAGCATATGCTTTCGAGGCCGTTTTGGTTAACGAGCTACATGGACGGTATTTCGGTTGCTCGCAATTCGTGCCTTCGTATCCAGACCTGTCTGGCGATGCCTTTATATGCGCTGTCACCGGCGCACGGCCAGGGGATCGATCTGTATCTGGAGACGCGTTTGCTCTTGCAAGTTACGGCTACCGATACTCGCACTTGTGGCGCAACCTAGGAATCATCATAGCTTTTGAAGCGGCATTCCTAGGCTCTTATCTGGTTGCATCAGAGTTTAATTCGCTCCCCCCATCAAAGGTGCAGTCTTTGATATTCCGACGAGGATATGCCCCGAAACCCGTTAGCACCAAAGAGGTTGAACGAGGAGATGTGGACGAAGAACCCGTCCAAACGACCAATTTTCATGAACCTGAACAACTGGGAGCACCCGCGGTAGGAGAAGTATCTCAAGGGTCTTCTCATAAGGATGTCTTTTCTTGGAGGAATTTGCATTACGACATTGTTATCAAGGGCGAGCCCAGAAAGCTTCTTGACAATGTAGCAGGATACATTAAGCCAGGGACTTTAACCGCTCTCATGGGCGTTAGCGGCGCTGGTATGACATTGTGAAAATGCGAGTTTTTACAGGAAAAATAGCTTACACTTTGCAGGTAAAACCACTCTTCTTGATGTTCTTGCACGCCGGACATCAGTCGGGGTAGTCACTGGCGATATATTAATAAACGGCAAACCCACCGATGCCAGCTTCCAACGGCGGACTGGCTATGTTCAGCAACAGGACGTACATCTGGAAACATCGACAGTTCGTGAGGCTCTCCGCTTTAGTGCACTCCTTCGGCAACCAAAAACGGTGTCTAAGAAAGAAAAATATGACCATGTTGAAGATGTGATCAGAATGCTCCAAATGGGAGACTTTGCTGAGTCGGTCGTCGGGGGACCTGGTGAAGGTCTGAATGTATTGCAGCGAAAGCTTCTAACGATCGGGGTCGAGCTTACTGCAAAACCATCCCTTCTCATCTTTCTCGATGAACCTACAAGTGGTCTCGACTCTGACAGTGCATGGGAAATCATTGCCTTTTTACGTCGGCTAGCCGATGGCGGCCAAAGCATACTGAGCACCATACACCAGCCTAGTTCAATTCTGTTTCAAGAATTTGATCGACTGTTGTTTCTAGCAAAGGGAGGTAGAACGGTATACTTTGGCGATATTGGTTCTAACTCTGAGACTCTGTTGAAATATTTCTTCAGTCATGGTGGTCGCGAATGCGGTCAGGGAGAGAATCCTGCTGAATATATGTTGGAAATTATTGGCGCCGGCACGACTGGGAAATCGATTCAAGACTGGCCAACCATATGGAATGAAAGCGCAGAAGCCCAGAACTTACAGCGAGAACTTGATGCACTTCACAAAGCTAGTTCAGGAGACAACCAAATAAAGGGAGATGGCAACTCGGGAGAGTTTGCGATGCCATTTATCAGCCAACTTTGGCATGTGACCCTTCGAGTTTTCCAGGCATACTGGCGGACACCGTCGTATATCTGGGGCAAGTTCATGCTAATTCTCATCTCCTCATTGTGAGAAACATTCTTAGTCGGCTTATCCACCTGGGCTATTTACTGACATCGTCCAGATTTATCGGCTTTACTTTCTTCGACTCCACTACCTCCGTGCAGGGCATGCAGAACGTAATTTTCAGTGTATTGATGTTGACATCCGTTCTCACAGTCCTAGTAGAACAGGTAATACCACCCTTCACCGCGTACCATTCTTACATCTTTGAAGCGCCATCTGACTCTTCGCCAGATTATGCCGCGCTTCGTATCACAACGCTTACTCTACGAAGTGCGCGAGCGCCCATCCAAAACCTACTCCTGGAGCGCGTTTATCACTGCCAACATTCTTGTCGAGATACCCTACCAAATCCTCGTAGCCATTATAGTATTCGCAACCTTCTACTACCCCGTTTTCGGGGTTCAATCTTCTGAACGTCAGGGACTCATTCTCTTCTTCTGCATCAACTTGTTCATCTTTGCGTCGACGTTTGCGCAACTGGTCATCACCGTGCTTCCTGATGCCGAAACCGCAGGGAACATTGCGACACTGCTTCTCTCTCTAACATTGACATTTAACGGCGTGATGCAACCGCCGTCTGCCCTTCCAGGGTTTTGGATCTTCATGTACTGGGCGTCGCCCATGACTTATTTCGTTTCTGGTGTCGTCTCGACTGGTCTGCACTCTCGTCCAGTAAAATGCTCGGCAGCAGAACTGAGCGTATTCAATCCGCCGGCGGGCCGCACATGTGGAGAATATCTTGCAAAATTCTTGGAGACTGCGCCGGGATATTTGGAAAATCACCTGGCAACAAATACTTGCCGGTATTGCCGGTTCCAGAATGCCGATCAATTTATAGGGCTCTCATGGATGAAGTGGAGTCTAAGGTGGCGCAATTTCGGGATCCTCTGGATATATGTCGCGTTCAATATTGTCATGGCCGCATTTTTGTACTGGGCGTTTAGGGTCAGAGGATGGTCTTGGGCAAGCACGAAGAAAATACCCAGTCGAATTGTTGGAAATTTAGGCTTTGTCGGATATTGGTTGCGTGTTCTCTTTAATAGGGGAGAGAAAAATCAAAAGAGCCAGGATGCTGAGGAAGGAGTTTGAGCTTTAATTTTAATTCCAGCTAGAATAGTAACATATCTGGTTTATGGAAAATATCAAGGGTTATTTCCACTGGAGCTGAATGAAATTACGAAGCCCTCTTGAATTCTGATTATAAGCAATAAATACCCTTTTCTGACCTAAAATTCAATATTGGCATTCAAATATTCTAGAATTTTTGTACCCCTGGGAGACAACCATTCAGAATAATTATACATTTAATTCATATCTCTCGTGCCTTGTATCAAACCAAATCCTTTCGTCTGTAAATCTGCTGTATCACAACTTCATAAGGTGTTTCCTCGATGGAACCATTATCTCCATCTTATCAGATGCATATCTCAACCCGCAACGAACCCCCACTATTGATAAGGTCGCAAGGCGCGGATCATAACATGGCGCACTGAGTATCAGCGGGGCTGACCTGACTTTCACATACTCCCTTGCCCTTCTAACCTGTCCTTCTAACTTATATATTTCCATGATATAACGACAAGCTTGACCTTTCTGGAACACTCACGGCTTATATCCACCTTCGAGCCATTGCTTAAGAGCTACCAACGAACAGACGCATTCGACACCGAGCTCCAACCTCCATGCGAGCTTCCTAAAGTCTACAATAACCAGAACCCCAAGAATCACTCCACCTCTACGCATCAAGCTCGACTCTACACGACCATGTCTCCCTCCGCAGTGCCTGACGCCAAGAGCGGCGCACCTAACCAGGGTCTGTCCGCCGAACAACTCCAATCATTCCGCGAGAACGGCTACCTCATCATCCCCGACGCGCTGGACCCTGCTACCGTCAAGGCTCTCCTTTCCGAAACGAATTCCATGCTCGAGGGTTTCTCGCTGGCCGAGCACCCCATGACCAAGTTCTCCACGGGCGAAGGCGGCGCAGCGCATGTCGGGGACGATTACTTCCTGGAAAGCGGCGACAAGATACGGTTTTTCTTCGAGGAGGGTACGTTACTTTTACTAACCCCATGATTCTTCGTTTTTCTTTCTTTCCTTTGATGACATGCTGGATCTGGCTGTTAGTTTCTCGAAAAGAGGAAAGGAAAACCCTCCCCAGCAACCCCACCCCCGGGGAAAAACAAGGGGGGGAAAAATAGCCAACTGACGGGTAATACAGATGCATTTGACCCACAAACCTCGACGTTAATCAAGCCCAAACACCGCGCCATCAATAAAATCGGACACTACCTGCACGCGCTCTCTGAACCGTTCGCACAAGCCTCCGTGACGTCACGGAACGCAGGCATTGCGCGATCCCTGGGCTTCCGCGACCCGCGTATCCTGCAGAGCATGGTGATTTGCAAACAGCCCGAGATTGGCGGCCGCGTGCCGCCGCACCAGGACAGTACGTTTCTGTACACGAACCCGCCGAGCGCAGTGGGGTTCTGGTACGCGCTGGAAGACTGCACGAGTTCGAATGGATGCTTGAGTTTTGCGAAAGGAAGCCATAAGCGCGCGCCCATCACGCAGCGGTTTGTCAGGACGAGGACAGACACGGGCACAGGCACAGGGACGGGGTTTGAAGATGTGGTGGAGGGACAGGCGAGGTTTCCGCCGGAGATTGACGGCGAGGGTAAAGAGGATGATGGGAAGAAGAATGAGAATGAGGAGGAGGAGGAGGAGGAGGAGGAGGAGGAGGAGGAGGAGGAGGAGGTATATACCATGGGAGAAGTCAAGGCGGGCTCGCTGGTGCTGATCCATGGTAATATTCTGCATAAGAGCGAGAAGAACACGAGTCCGAAGAGCCGGTTCATATATACGTTCCATGTGATTGAGGGGGAGTATGATTATGATGCGAAGAATTGGTTACAGCCGCCGCAAGAAGGGTTTACGAAATTATAAAAAAAGCTTCTTTTTCGGGGGTGATATATCTAGCGTTGGAATATACGGTGTTATTGGCTACTTTTTTTTTTGGAAAGAGTTTCTGACTGTGAAGCCATGTTAATGGAGATGACGAGCCATGACACTGTTCATGGACGGTAGTTGTCGCCAGGCTTTCAACAAAAGTGACTTAAACAAAAATGATCAGTTGCAGTGGCCAAGTTGATAAGATTCCTCGAGAGAAAATATCAAGAAAAGTACAGACACCAGACATCGCCTAGCCGGTAATTTGACTCTCCCAGACGATCTGGACAGCGAGCTCGGATTCTCCGATGTGGCGGTAGATGGTCTTCATTGCTATTGTAGCATGAGATGCCTTGCTATATTCAAACTGTGTCTTTATCGCTATCATCTAGACGAAAGTACAAAATTCTTTCAAGAAACTTTTTCCGATTTCATCCACTGCCAGCTGATATCGAGAAGAGATAAAAAGCGATGATCTCCTTTTTTTTTTACCCAAAACAATCCGTATTACAAAAGTGAAGAAAATCCGTAACTTCCTGGAAAATTTCTACTCCATGAAAAACGCCCGATATGTGACAATGTTGTAGATGCAAATACTATGCAGCGATGACGGTAATGGCGATGGCGAGAATAGTGGTGGTGTCGGATAAAAGATGTGAAAATAGCCCACCAATGATGTGAAATGTCCTTGTGAGTCGACAAAGACAAAGGAGAAGAGAGCCAGAGCGAGATAGAAGGCGTGAATGGGTGACATGATAGACAGAGAGAGAGAGAGAAAAGGACCCCGGCTCATGAATAAAAGTAATCACCCCGCGTCTGATGACGAAAAAAGCAGCAAGGAAAAGGAAAATCAAGCAGAAATAGTCAACATGCTGAGCATGCCCTCTGTCTGGCACGCCTGCTGGGCACGCTCGACTTCTATGCGCACGCGGTTATGGAAATCGCGCACGAGGGTATCCACTTCGGGCGAGAGGCCCATTTGTGCAGAATACAAGTCGATAATGAGCAGGCCGACCTCGACCGCGATGCTGATGTAGCGCGGGTCGGTGATGTGTTTGCTGACCCACCTCAGGATAGGCTGGAGAGTGGCCTCGTCGCGGCCTTGGAGGGCGGCGCGCATGGCGGAGCGGTGGCGCAGGGCGGTAAGGAGTGTGAGGACGATGAGAGGAGGTTCGGGCTGAAATAGAGCGGTTAGTTTGAGGATATGATGGAATGACTGCGGACACAAGGAGGAAGGGGAAACATGTGAAGATAAAAAGGGTAGGAGAGATGGAAGGCGAAATGAAACTGATACGAGTAGGGGATGTGCTAACCTTGCTCAAAACGTCGTCGAGAGCCTGCTGGTATCGGCCCCTGCGCAAGTCCTTTTCCCACTTCTTCTCATGCTTGATTTTCCCACGGTCATCGCCTTCAATGACAACGTCGGTACCCTCGCCGAGAAAGTCCTTTCCTCTGTTCCGCTTCTCCCAGCCCCGCGGGCGTTTCTTGGCATTTTTCTTGTCGAATTCGTCAATTTTGCCCTCGAGAAGGGCTTGCATTTCCTTCTTGCGCTCGCGCTCTTTGATCTTCTGTTCGCCAGACAGGCGTGTCTTGATGGACAAGAGGCCCGAGGATGTACCCACGGCGAGGTGCTTGTCTTCGCGCTCAGCGCCATTGCTGATGACATTGAGAGAAAGGATTGGAGCAGGGTATTTTGAACCATATACGACATTCCATCCTGTTGTTTCGAAAATCTTGACGTGGCCATCAAGACCACCGCTGACGACGCGCGTGCCGTTAGAGGCAAGGCTCAAAGAGGTAACTGTCTTTTGGTGGTTGCGTAGAATTTGTTGCGGCTTTCCGGCAACGAGATCGAGGACGGAAATTTGGTTGTCGGCAGATGCGAGAACGGTGGTGCCGGATGGAAGAGGAAGAACACTCTCGACTGCAGCAGCGTGCTTGAAAGTCATGACTGCTCGGGCGGGTGCTCGAGGGTCCCAAATCTTGACGGTCTGGTCGTAGGATCCGGACACGAGCAGGCCAGCTCCTCGGGCAGGCATAAAGGCACCGCTGCGGACATAGTCTTGGTGGCCGACGAATGTGGTTGTGCTAGACGGGCTGGGAAGATCCCATAATCTGACGGTTTTGTCGTCGCTGCAGCTCATGAGCGTCGTAAGCTCTGTTGGGCTCCATTTCGTCGCCCACACTGGCTGCTTGTGTTCTTTCCATGTCTTGAGAATTGCCCGCGAGTTGACATCGAATACTTGAATCGTCCCCGTATCATCACCGGCCGTTAAAACTCGTCCATCTCGTCGGATCTCTCCGCTGTGAGCAATGTCTTCAAATCGGCTGATGGTCTTGACTAGTTTTCGTGTTCGCACAGAGTATAGTTGTATTCTTGTGCCGGTAGTGACAGCAAAGACATCGGAAGCGGGAGTCGCAGGATTCAGGGGAAGATCAGGACAGGAAATGTGCGTGACAGAGAAGGAAGAAGGTGAAGGAACGTTCAACGAGGAGCGGAATGAGCGCCAGTATTGCTGCTCGGGCGTCACGGGAGAAGGACCCGAGGGCAGCTTTATTTGCTGCAAATGGGTGACAGGAGCTGCCATGTCTGGCGCAGTGTTAAGGTGAGAAAATTGTTGGAAACAACCTTTTGTCGTGCTTCAAAAGATCCCAAAAGTCGATTCCGATACAAAAAGTTCGTCGGCGAAAGAAGAGACCGCATCGGTTAAAGTTACCTCTTCGGCTACGATTCTGGTCATGCTATCTTATCAATCAAACTATCGGCATCTCAATCCTCCGACTCACCCATCGGGACAATCCTGAACTCTTACTCCTACATTTGTACCTCCAAGAACATCAACAATTGACAATAAACTACATCTATCTCAGTCATACCTGTCATATTATGCCAAACCACAGCAAAGGCAAAGATGAGATACTGTCGCTGCATTTAGAGGCACTTTTGTCAAAGAGGCCACCTCCAAAAACCATATGCCCCTCAGAGGTGGCTAGGCATCTCTCTGCGGAAGAACTTAGAGAGCTTGGCGCGTCTGAATGGCGAGATACAATGCCGGACATACGAGAATTGACGTGGAAGCTCAGGGATCTTGGCCAGGTGGAGATCCTGCAGAGAGGAGAAGTCCTGGGCCCCACCGTTCATGCCCAGCATGTCAGCGGCCCCATTCGCATTCGCCGTAAGGCTGCTGCCTTCTTGTGATCCACCACCACTTTATCCATTCATTGGACAACTCTGTCCTGGCTATTTTTCCATTTTCAATTTCTTTCAACAAATTCTCCACAATTACGCTGGGCTGAAATATATGCCCGACAAGTGATACAATACCGCTCTAAACTCATAACGAATGCCGGCATTGTGGAGTGTAGTATCCGGTACATGGCAAAGCTCAAGATTCTCAGATCGCACAATAATACCTTGGAAATTATCTTCACGTCTGAAGGGGAAAATGACGACTTTCAGGATACGCTTGGCGGATAAAAGTGCTCGAATTACCTGTCTTGTAAACCAAAGAGATCAGGCACGAATCCTTCGCACCGCCTCAATCAAGGCCAAGGCAACTGGTCAAAGTTGGTGTGGGAGCCTCGGGAGGACGCAGGTACTGATGAATGGACCAATCAGAGGGCATGACGCCACAATGACATACATAACAGGGTTAGTGGCTGACTATGATTACCTTCTGTGGCTAACGCGATAAGGGTTAGCGAAAGGATCCCCAGCCTCGCGATAATCCTTCCGCGATACCTGTTCCGACGCCATAGCCCTGACCCAGTTCAGCCTCCCCAATTTAACGCCTTTACCAGATTCCATTTTCCCACCAGAACGGGACCCCACCTCCTAAATGAAATCGATCTTGAAGATCATTTCTTCACCAACTCTTGCTCGACCCATTGCGACTTCTCCCGCTTTTGCGGTTCGACTCACCGCTCCACGAGGTAGAACGAATTGCTGTGTTGACATTTGTCCAACGCAGCTTGCAACATTGGATTTGAGCAAGTATGCAGTCATTTTGTTGACCTGCAATGATCAGTAGCTGATGACTCTCAGGCACAGGCTGAACAATCAATAAGCAAGAGGACCTTCGAGTCTGGAGCCGGCTGATTTCAGCTGGTTATTTTCGCCATGGCGACCAAGTTCTCCAGGGCCCCAATGGCCAGCATGCACACATCCGGGATCTTTTCCGACATGACTGTCGACGGTCCCGAGATTGGCACGCTCGTGATCATTGTCGATAAGGCGAAAAATCTACCTAATCGCCGAACTATGGGCAAACAGGATCCATACTGCGCAGCACGGCTAGGGAAAGAAGCTAAGAAAACCGAGACAGATAAACGTGGTGGTCAAACTCCTAGATGGTAAGCTCTTTATATCTTTCCTCATCACTTTTGGTTAGACATTTTCTGAAACTGTGACCACAGGGATCAAGAACTCCGGTTCACGGTGCATGACTCCCCGGATTATAACCAACTCAAAGTGTCCGTCTTCAATGATGACAAAAAGACCGAGTTGATTGGGGAAGCCTGGGTTTCTTTGGAAGCTGTCGTGATTCCTGGCGGTGGCCAGAATGACCTATGGCATACTCTCACTTACAGAGGAAAGTATGCCGGAGAAATTCGGATCGAGTTGACATATTACGATACAAGACAGAAGGAAGCCAAAGTGAGCGAGAAGCAGAGAGAAGTCGCAAAAGCGGACGCAGATCCTGCCGAAAAGACCGCCTTGGCTGGGCCACGACAGCTGAAACCTGTGAGACGTAGACCGCTTCCGACTGATCCTACCGGCACAGCCTCAGCTTCGACAGTGCCATTGATCCCACCGCAGGCGTCTGTGCCGCCTTCAGCGACAGCAAGGACACTTCCGCCTGCGCTTAGTCAAAATGCCCATAGACAAGCTTATCCTCCGGAGCGCATGGCTGCCGGCCCGCCAGCGCCAAATCCATACGAACGACACGCGGCAGCGTACCAGCGAGCAGCACTCGGGGCTCGAGAGCCTCCGACTGCTCGAAGTCAGGGGATCCCAGCTCCCGCGCCCCAAAAACCCGTCCTTTACGCTGAACCGGCAAGCTATGAATCCTATTTGCCGGAGGAAAGCGCGACTCACGCTCCTTATTCGGCTCCTCGCGCTTCCGGGCACGGATACAATCGTTTTGATCCGTACGATGCTGGGGTTGGGGATACCAGGAGGCCAGTTCAATCAACGCAAGAGCCGGCTCACATTGTCGTACCGACACCATCAGCTCCTGTTCTCGAGACTGTTTCGCAGCCGGTTTACGGTGCTACTCATAACATAGCACCGACTGCTCACGAGATTGTCGCCAATGATTATGCTGGAGCACCCCCTCACTCTGCTCCACCAGTAATGCCACTATTGGGAGCACCTGAACGGTATGCTACTGCGAATCAAGTATCTCAACTTCCCCCACCTCGATCGATTCCGCCTCGGGCGAGCACTTATTATGATAATCACCCCCGTCATCAGTCCGCAGAATCGATTTATAATGGTTTGCCAGCGCCAATTCAGGCTTCAATGATGCCGTCCGCACGAGTTGCGCTTCCCGAAGTCGATGATGGGCCACCTCCCCCACCTCCAGCTCATAAGAGCCGCGCTTCAGTCGCTCGGGTTGGATACGACTATGCAATACCACCAGCGCCGCTGAATATTCCAAGAATGAAGTCTGTCGACTTACCAAGCTATGAGAGCATTGCAGAGCAGCCGCAACACCAACAATTCTCAGCGGCTACTCAAGCTGTGGTTCCTTTGTCAGGAGTTGAGGCTCAACAATTTGAAGTCTCGACGCCTTCTCGTAGCAATTACAGTCGCTCACACAGGCGTGTGTCGGGAGAAGTGATGCTCCCATCGCCAGGGACAGAAGTTCCCTTTGGCATGCCCCCAAGCTTGGTACCTGGCTATGATCCTAGCGTTGCAGACGAGGTGTCAGACCGTATGGTGCATGAGAGGCGAATGAGCCATGTGCAACCGGAACGAATGGAACCGATTGTTGATTCCCGGCCCCCGCCTACCTACGATCACCAACCTAGCGTCCATGATGAATATGAGGAGGAGATGTTATCACTTCCGTACCCTGTGAATACAGAGGAACGCGCCGGAAGACAAGAGCGTACGCCTGCGGCTGCGGTTGCACCTCTTGTCAAACCTCGAGCTGTCAGCCCTGTTGCCCAGAGGGTGAGCGTGAGCCCTGGTCTCCAGCAGAGACCAACTCGGAAATCGGTCAGCCCACACCCTGAAGTTCGGTCTCCTGAGAGACGGCTGTCGGGCGCGCCATTCTCACCGGATTCTTACGATATACTAAACCCCAAAGCAAGCTCTTCCAGTCTCAATCTGTCATCACAGTACCACTCTGCCGATCCTTCCTTGGAACCAATGCGTGATGATGGGACACTGATTGGACATGACGGAAGGGTCATTGATCCTTCAGATCATCTTCCGACCCACACGTGGGCTCCTGAACCAGAGGCAAAGACCCCCAAAAAGGTTGCAGAACCTGCACCTCGGTCACGGCCAAGCCCTCATGGAGCGCAGCCAATGCTTCCCGCCGTTCGTCGACCTCTTCGCGAAACACGCCCGCATTCGATTGCCGGGCCAGTGTATTCACATCCTAAGGATCCATTTACCCCGCCTAGCGTCAGCCGATATCGATTGCAAAATGGCAGCGGAAAGTCTCCCACGCATCCGGCTTCCAGCCCTATTGTGCCTACGGTGAACACTACCCCGCGCTCGCAACCACGAAGTGCCGTGTCGGGCTATCCCCTACGCGAGCGCGAGAATTATGGCTATGATTCGAGCCCTCGATACAGTGGATATGGCAGCAGCGTGCATAGCTCTCCTGGAGGTATCCCTCCACTGCCGGCTAAGCTGCCGCTTAGTGGACTCGAGCAGCAAGATCCAAGCATGGCAGCTCTGAGCGAAGAGATGAAACGCATTGACATTGGTACTGTGAGTCGAGGGCGAGTACGACGAAGTCGATTTGGTCCTTGAATGAGCTCTATCACCCATGTCATTTGGGGGCGTCTTTTTTTTTATTTTTTTTCCCTTAATTATTTTTCCGGTTCTTTGTGCATCGATCGCACACGCCATGATCCATTTATGAGTACTGGTTGCATCGTAATCATACACCGTGCAATTTCCTTTATTCTTCATTTCCTCCCTTTTTCCATCGTCTTCTTCAAATTTCTCTTTTCACATGGATAATAATTCGCGGGCGAAGAACTTGGATCTCAGCACCAAATGTTTGGAGAACTATTACGGCGTCGATGCAATAGACGGGGGCATAAGGCAAGCTAGGCTTGGATATGAACACGACCTTAAGATATTGATATTACCTCACGCATGATCAATAACGATTTACCGTTTCTTTCAAGAAAGATTTTTTTTTTTCCCCTTCATAATATAATTGTTTAATATGAATCAAGTTATTCGCATGCTGAGAAGTAGGACTTGGTGTTGGTGAAAGTCAAAGCAAGCCTTAGTCCGAGATGCCGAAGCTAACTGGTAAAGCTCGGGGGACTCTTTCGCTATGATTGGTAGAGGCAGATGGCGAGCCCCGGAGGCCCCAAAGGTGTTCGGGTGCTTATCAGGAGGGAATTTATCCAGACCCTCCGAGTGGTCTCGCTTAAGTGGAAGCCAGGGAAGCTGATACGATAAGCCAAGTAAGTACCAAATGCCCCGCATCCTTAGAGAGGACCAAATGCACTGCAATTCATAGCTAAGGATATGCATGCAATGGATAAAGAAATATATTGCGATAGGAAGATTATTGCTCGAGTTATAATAAAGGAAGTTGATAATAGTCTCTATCAACCGCAGTGATTGCCAGGTCTCCGTTATTATCTGTGAAATCCAGCCAGCTAAACTGACAATAAGCAAAGTTTCTTGGCTTTGTCAATAGCTTTGGCCCTATTGTCAACCAAACACCCCTTTCCCTGGTCGTAGTCTCTAATTCAATAATTCTTTTATTCATTGCTCTCATTGTGTCCCGCTTTTGCCTGGACCTCTGCACAGTGTAGCACTGCCCCTCCACAACGGAATCTTCCCCACCCCCCTTCACGCTCCATTAACCTCACCTCATCACCTCCGATCGTGCTCTTGTAAGGAACCTGGTCAGATGCACCCTATCCTTCTTTAACAAATTATTTGCTCTAAGGAATATTCTAATATACTCAGAAATTTCTTTGGTGGCTCATTCGCAGGAAAAGTAGGTGCCTTCAGCCACACAAGGAGCTCCTTCTTGCACTGTCAGCACCTGTCTCGTGCCGGGCTGGTTTGTGAGAGGCCAGCTCTCACGCTTCTCCACTGTGACGGCAGGAGCGAAACACCTTCACCTGTTTCCGTGAATCGCATTCTACATCTCTCATATTGATTCCGTCACGTCTCGCAATCTTCTATATCACGCACACAGACGACCATTGTCAGACATCTGTGTGTTTTAAGAACCATCACCCCTCGCCCCGCTTTCGATACGGCTTGCTCGCCAGTCGACGGCATTTACACTGCTCACGTCCTCTTCTTATCAGTTGTTCTATCATACATCAGCTGTCCCTCCAAGGCATATTCAATAGAATGGGCGATAAACAAGGTTGGTTATGCGCCCTACCCACTCCCCCCCCCACGACTAAAAGATCCCGCATCCTGAGAATCTATGCTGACAGGTTTACTTGGATATAGTTTCCGTCACTTTGACCCCTATTTCCTTCGAGGATGACTTCCCTGAGAGGGTCATCAACCTTGACCCAGAGCGCACCGAAGCTCGCCTTGGTCGCTGCTCCAAGAGCTCCACAAAGAACCTTCTGGCGGCAAAGGATAATGGATTGTTCGAGAGCCCGGTGATGTCGCGAGACCATGCTAAACTATATATCATTCCCCCATCTTCTGTATGTTTGACTTCAAACAAGCCTGAATTATTGCAATATTGTACTGCCCTTTTAATCTTCAAAATATTTTGCCTAGTTGGATTGCTGACGAAAATATTCAAGTCGGCCGTCTATGTCAAGGATTCCGGTTCGATGCATGGAACCGCCGTCAACGGGATGCCACTAGGACGACATATTTCATTTCCGCTCAAAAATGGCGACAAGCTGAGGTTTGGAACTGCCGTGAGCCGTGGCAACCGTACGTTTAATTTGAATTTAATATCACAGCGTCGAAGAAGTGAGGCTAATCGATGGTCAACTAGAAACGTTTAATGCTCGCGAGGTTCAAGTAAATATTGACTGGTCCAAGTGGCAGTAAGTTCATGTACGTGTTGATTTGATCAAATATAATCTGACAAAACATGTAGACCACCCACTCCAGAATCATCCTCGTCTCCAACTAGAAAAGGCTCGCCAGCAGTATTCATCGTGCCAGATGCTAGCTCTGACTCTGAGCAAGAAGTGACCTTGATTGCCAGTTCAAAAGTTACTCGAAGAGGCATTAGGGTTCCCGAAGTAAGCGATTCAGAATATGATGATTCGGTGATAGAAGATTCCGCAGAACCAACAATCGAGATGGATGTTACCACTTCTGCAGAAAGGAAGACGCTTCGGTCCACTCCATTGGGGGGCACTCATACCCGATTCGACTCTCCAGAATTCGCTCCGGAAGAATTGGATCTAGAAGACAAAGGGGGGAAGAAAATAACTCCGCAGTCTCCGGCGAGTACTGGAGAAGTGCCCGGTCCCCATGCCGGAAGTATCTCCGAAGAAGCGTCCCGCCAAAGTAGTGACATGGTTGTGGAAGATAGCATGTCCGCTCTAGAAGCTGCTACGCCCAAAAAGATGATGACTGGGTATGAAACACCCCAGCGTCAGCAATCCAATGAGGAGGATGCGTTTTATGACAATAATCATCCGAGCTGGTCCACGGCTCTATACGGGCAAATGGAATCTCAAGAGAGCCCCGGGTACTCTCCAGAACCATCGCCAAAGTCTGCCATTCAGGACTATTTGTCGGAACGGTTGAGCCCGGGCTATTCCCCAGAGCCAGAGGGTCAGGACAACGCTCAAGAATTCAATTATAAAGAGTCTGATAGCCCTGGCTACTCTCCTGAGCATTCTCCTGAGCCAGATCTTCAACTCAACGCCGATAACATCAAAGATAGCCCTGGATACTCAGTTGATGACCTTCCGCAGCGAATGACACCCGTGTCTTCAATTCCTTCCCCTAAGATGAAGGCTGCATGCTCCCCTCTTCCCTCTCCGGGATTAATGGACCCGCGCTTGCCCAAACAGCATTCAGACTCGGAGGCAGATTCTTGGCTTCCCTCCGCTGCTGAAATTGCCGAAATGGCTTATCAAAATTCATTTTACCCGAATGAGGTAAATTTACCCAACTCAAGTCGGCAGAGATGGTCGGGCTTTGCGAAGAGGCCAATGAAAGACATCACTACCCTTCCGGAATTTCTGAGCGCTCATCCCGAGAGAGCGGCCACTCCCACAAATCAGACCATCTCCCGAATGACTATTGGAAGTCTCGTGCATCAGACTCCAAGCACTGAAAATGGTAATGGGGATATTAGTTTATCTGGCGCGCAAGCAGACAGCAATGCTATCTCTTCTGTGAAGGAAGAACTACTGCCTCAGTCACTGAATGAGAGACAATTCATTACCCGCGATCCTCGGCTGATTAGAATGTACGATGAATCTAAGCTTGAAAGAGGTCTCTGGGAGACGGAGAAAGATGAGGTTCAGGGGGCGACTTATCCATCAGCTGCTGCCGGTACCCAGACCGAGCATACAGCTGCGTACCATCTCGAGAAGGAGACCCCTAACCGCATCTCAATCAAAGACATTGTCAATTATCCTTCGCCTCCCAAGACTAAGCGGAAGGCTGATCAGATTTCAGAATCAGTTGGCGAGGATTCTCTTCTCAATCATGGTGGCTCATTGTCCTCACAGGATTCTGTGATGCAAGATGCGCAACCACGAGACTTTCCTCTTTCATTTTCAGACATTGAGATATTTGTTCCCTTGAATGGTGGTACCCAAACGTCGTCATCCGCCGATCAATCAGTGCAAACTCATCAACCTGCTCCTGAGCGGGCCCCCAAGAGAAGAAAGACTACCCACACTTGGCGCCGGAGCTTTCTGACTCACGCGCTCACTGCTTTCACATCCGCTGTTATTGGAGGCGCAGGAGTGTTTTTTGGCCTCCTTGCTCTCCCAGAATCCAACCAGTGATTGGGACAATGCGACCAGCTTGTCTCGCTACTCACAGGTAGTCAATTCTGCTACACTGCACTCTGCCCATGGTTTCCAATTTCTTTTCAATCCTTTACGAAGTTTTTGTTTTTGTTTTGATTTGCAATTCACTGGTCTCTACTTTATGGTCTTGATTTTCTGTGAGTTGCATCTTTATCTTATAAATTTTACCTGATTTTCCAACTTCGCGGGGGTGACTACGTTGGGCAAGGACGTGCGGCGAATGGCCAGAGGGGAGTTTGTCGATTTGTTTCTTTCTTTCCTTTCTTCGCTTTTCTCTTTAGCTCTTCTTTTTCTTTCTTTTTTATCGACGACATTCGGTCAGTTGTGGCTTCCCTTTTACAGTGTGCAATTGCACTTATGGTTTATAGTTATTAAGGTCTGGGAGTGTTAGTGACTGCATCCCTTATCAACAATTCAATAAACATATCAACATATCACTCCACTCGCAACATTTTTTGTCATTTTAAGACTATATTGAAAGCCAGTGTATCGTTTCTTCTCGGATCTGTCTCGCAACGAGCCTACGATCCAGGGTATACGACGCTTTTAAATATCTAATCCAAGCAACTCAATGTAATCGGACCCCGCCCTTCAACCCCTTCATCTTGTTGAATTGAGGCTATTGACCAAACCAAAAAGTAAGCTCTGACTCTCCGAGCGATTAGACTCACGGTAACAGATGTTAATCCCCGTATTTCATCCAGTCTTCCAAAGTCCATACTAAACCGCAGGCAGCAGACCCTAGGACAACTAATAGGTCCAATACTATCCAGAATTCTAGTATCTACCTTAACTTGATTTGATAATCCTCGAAAGGGTGTGACCGTGTGACCGCGTGGCTGGTACAGTGGCACAGTGGTATCCACCTATACCTCAGAAGGAGGAGCAGAAGCAGGAGTTCTGGAGCAGGAAAGCTGACCGCAGCGGTGCATTACCGTAGATGCATGTAGTAAAATAAGATATTTCTAGTTGTCAGCGACTCAGCGACTCAGTTGCCACCTCAGACGAGGTGATGTGATCAGGTCCAGCGACAACGTCAAGTCCAGCGACAATGTCAAGTCCAAGATCCAGGGACCAGGACAAGGAATGTATCCCCCTCACCCCCCGGATAGCAGCGTCTGATTTTTTGCCGGAAACCAGCTTGGCTCAGACGGAGAAAGCTTGAAATGGGTCTATATCTACATGTTAAGGGATCATTAGTTCTGGCGGAGCGAGAATGTTTGTCTTTGAGCAGCGAGCTATCAACTATCCACTACCAACTAGCAACTATTCCCTCGAGTCCTTGGACATGATTACATGGACCATGAATAATGATACTAATAAGTAAAGTATAATGTAGTGATTCTAGTGAAAGAATTGAATATGGTAAATGATAAGAACAAAAGTATAATAATGATAGGAATTAAAGTACGATAACGATAGGAACTAAAGAACAATAACGAAAAGCACTGGCAAGGCATTCTCCATACTATATATACAAGACCTGTAGATATATTTTTCATCCGTTCAGCCGGGGCAAAAGAAATATATTACCATGCGGATTGCAGGCTTTCAGCTATGCCGTACTGCCGGAGTCGTCTGTATTCGCTGCGCTGAGGCATTATCCTCAAAAATTTAAAACAGCACCCTTGATTAACCAGCCTATTTATGGGTGATCAAACAATAAATCACAAAAGTAAATAATAGTAAACAGTAGAAAAGCATGATTTGTTTAGTTTTACCTCTCTACAAAGTAGAACGCAGGTGACAGCTCTATCTAGTTTTCTAGTCCAGGATTGTATTGCGTTTCAATTTTCCTGCCATTGTACAGATGACCATTTGGACAGGAGATATGCCAGAGATATTTGTGTCCTCAGTTGAAACAGTGTCTTGGAAAACTAAAGATTTACATGCCGTGACATGTCATGTTCCCTTGACTCAGAGAGAGCATATCGCAGAGATAACCCGAGTCTGCTTAGGGTCGACATGATGCCGTCCCGGAGTTCTACCAGGGTCGCTGGCTCTGATGAGAACGCGGTTTACGCGCAAATGGGCATATCTTTGAGAGCTTAACGAAAGCTACAGCGAAAATAACCCATTGTGCCGCTTTCACCGCGGACAACACTTGTGGTGACGGCGTGGAAGTCAATAGTCCCACGCGGAAAGAAGGAGTTTCGTAGATTCCATCGGACATGCCTTGAAGGGGATAATAGGTTGACCAGATCCTCTATCGTTTCGGCGCTATCCAGAATGCCAAAAACTCTTTCAGAAGTTTTTTGTTCTTGCTCATTTGGATAGAGGGCACTGATGCCCTCCATGGCAACGCTTGAGGTGCACCATAAAGCGTCTCTACGGTTCTTGGGCAGATATTTTTCCAGTGCCTCGTCGTAATATACAATCGACTTGGCAATTAGCTTTAGATCTTCAAGGCTGTATCACCAAGAAGCTTTGCCCTTGGACATTGCGTGTTTGTCCTGACACAGGAGCACCCCGGCATCACCGCCATCCGTCCTCAGATGATCGAGTAAAGGTTTGTTTCATTGTCTAGTCCTTTGGTGGATTTGAGGTTTCCATTAGAGTCGAACATAGATGATGGAAATCGTAGCAGGTATGCTGCAGGTTCTTTGATTTTAACGAATCTTGAGCAAATTTTGCTGGAAGATTTTGCAGAAAACTATCCATAAGAGCTCCTTTTTGAGCAGGAGTCTCTTTTCTGATGTTCGTGACAATAAGAGAACAGAATTATTCCGCAGAAATTTATTCCGTGTGCTGCGATACAATCTCTGTTGCATGTAAGCTTGCAAGAGATTTAGAATCGGTGGCGGACATTGTTTCTTTTGCCACCATTCCACAGAACAATCTAGCTCATTTGCTGGCTCCTTCCTCATACTGTTTTGACTAATAGAATCGCCATTTCTGAAGTGAAATGGAGAAATTGGCGCAGCAATAGCTGAGCTAGCGTTGTGAGGGTTAGTTATGTAGGGTTGTACTAAATCGTCTACGTAAGTTGTTAGTTTGGCAAGCATTATAATGAACAATAAATAATCATACCTTCTGCTAAAGTAACCTATAAAACCGGCCCCGTTTGAGTGCAGTGATATCACGCGCACAATTCTTTTCGAGGAATTATGCTGTGTCTATTGTATTGGACATATGGAAGAGCTTAAATTCCTCGATGAGACGAGATCAAGTTCTGTTGACGATTCGAGGTGTTATATGTTGTTGTTATAATTTTGACCGCATAAAATGTTCTGTTCCTGAGTGGCGTTGCTTTAGAAGCTCAGGTCGCGTCTCATTATTGGAATCTGATGAATATAGTGAGAAAAAACGATATTGGCAGGAGTTTATGGGAACCGCCAACCAGTGAAAGACGAGAGATAGCAGACGGAAAGGAAGAATATATATGTGCCAAAACGGCAGGGTAAGCTGTTGTCTAGCAAGTAATCTATACAGTGAAAGAGTAATCCACGTAATTCGTAGATAATGTCTGGAGTAATGAACTCAAGGGAATATTACGCCGAGAATAGACGCGATGAATACCCACATTAGACAAATCTCTAAACGGCAGGAGCACTTCATCTTCCTTGTCTTTCTTCATTGGCCCAAAGTATGTTATTCTATATTCTCCATCTAAGGTGCCCACGACAGTGTATAATCCTATTCAGCCTCGGCTGGCCAAATAAATATCAATATAAGCATTATAGGCTTCTCTCTGAGGCCGTGCCTTGCAGTTTGCATTTAGCATTGCGGTTGACCCATGATAAGTTAATATATCTCCACAGCCTACAAGAACATCCTAGGCCGGTATGAAAACCTACTACCCCTCCTCGATCCTCCTATTCGTCTAGCTATTGCCATTTCAACTAGAGCGAGTGGAATTCTTTTCTCTCTTGCTGTACCCTTAAAGTCTCAGGTGACCACGTGTGCAAACTTCACATTTCCTGAAAATCCCACAACACATTAATCTAAGACGTCACACAAAACAAAAGACGCAGACAATCATCATGGCGAAACAAGTTTTTGAGAAATTCAGAGGGTCTGAAATCACAGATGATATTCTAGAAGGAGCAGCGAAGCTATTTAATGAACACTACGGCGTGTGGGGAAAGGATCCATCAAACTCAAATCCCACACCCAAACCAGGTCAGCGGCCGGCCCTGCATTTCCCTAGATCTAAACTTATTCCTTACCAATGAAATTATAGGAAGTCATGTAAAGCTAAGCAAGAGCCGGCTGCGAGATCAGTATCTGCCTAATAATGCATACGATTGCTGCTATGTGAGAGTTACCCTGGATGACCGTCTAGCTGGCAATGCATTTGCGTGTCGCTGGCGCTGGCAAAATAAGGTAGTATGCTGGGTGACGCAGCTTGTCGTACATGCCGATTTCCGGGAGCAAGGACTGGCACGGCATCTTCTGGAATTTCTTCGGGAAGACGGCGACGCGGTGTTTGGTATTATGAGCTCTCACCCAGCTGCCTGCCTTGCTGGTGCAAGAGCATTTACGGGTAAGGTCTCATTCTAGATTACGATAATTTGAAGTTTGGAGCTAAATGGCTCAAAGGAAATATAAGCTCTGTGTCTCCCGGCTTTATACAGGCGTATGCGCAGGCAATAATGAATCTTTCTCCTATCATTTATGTCAGGGACGCGAAGCTGTGCGGCAGTCTTTTCGATCAGAAGGATACAAGTGGAGCGATCTCGTCCGTTGATACTCAGTTTTTTGTCGACCATACGGAGCCGTTGGAAGTGTTGAAGGTGGTTCGACAGGATCGTGACTGGCCGCTTGGAGAGTTGCTTGATGGCTGCGAGTTCCTTTTTATGGTCGAGGTTAAGCCTCGAGGATGCTTGACGAGACCCCAGCCTTTTTAATCTCCTTCTCGGTCTCAGTGGTAATCTTGCCGTTTAAATATCTGGAGGATCTCTTCTTATTCTATTTTTATTTCTGGTGAATGGAACATGGACAAACGTTGCGCCATGAGAAGAAGGCTTAAAATACTCAGTATACGCAGAGAGATGATTTTTATTAAGAATTGTTAATATGACTTTCATTTACAAGACCCAATTACACAGCCCTGAAGGCCAACTTGACTATGCATCAACACAGCATGTACTAAGCCGGAAATTGAAAATTGGCATATCAAGTCAAATCAAGTGTCATTGACAAGCACCGCACGATACCGTACCTTCCCCAGCTTCAACGTTTCCATGGCCTCTGTAATCCCTTCGATCGTCATGGGCCACTCCTGAACCACGGGTCGAATACTATGCCAAAGAGCAAAGTCCAGCATTTTTCTCACCGCATGTCGTGGAGCAATCAGCGAACCCTGGATCTTCAGCCCCTGCCGGACAATCGTGGTGTATGGCATCACCAAATCACTTCCCGGTGACGCAGTCAAAAGATGGACAGCTCCGCCGGGATTCAGTAGGTTGAGGAGACTGTCATGTTATTATTTCAAGCCCAGCTTCTCTTGTAAAGATGCACTCACAAATCCCAGTCATCAACCAATACACTGCTCGTGAGAAACAAATGATCAATTCCTCTTTTCCTGCCCTCGAGAATTTCCAAACTTCGTTCAATCTGTGTGACAACAAACTCCGTGGCTCCCATCTCCATGGCCTCTTTCTTCTTCGCGTCCGTCCTGGAGAAAACTACAACCTCACAACCCACCTTTGCAGCAAATTGAACAGCCAAATGTCCTAGCCCGCCAAAACCAATGATCCCAACGCGGTGTTCTGGCCGCACGTCATACACGCACATGGGTCCAAAAACAGTAGCTCCTGCACAGATGAGTGGCGCGGCATGTCGAAGATCCATAGGCCCTTCAATCCGAAATAGAAATGAAGCCTTGACAATGGCATGCGTAGAAAAGGAGCCTAGATCAGGATCGTCGAAGCCTTGAAGTCGTCGCAAGGGGCAGTAGTTGTCGTTTCCGGACAAACATTGCGCACAGGACCCGCAGGAAGAGTGCTGAAGGCCAAATGCTACGGCGTCGCCGCTGTGAGATATAATGAGTCGACGGAGCAGATGCAAGATTTCGAAACGAAACAAAAGGTTTACATTTCAACAGTACGTACGTCCGGGCCAAGGGCTATGGCGTGGCCGGCTCCTATGGAGATTTTTGTGCTATTGTTAGCTTTTATTGTCACTTATTTCTCTTCTAACTTCATTTGTCTTTTGAGTTCAGTTTGTAAACGTAAATTGTCAACTAGGCAGCAAAAGACTTGATTCGCACAGAAAGCTGAGAGAGAAATAGAAAATTAACTTGAATATTAGAATGTAACTGATATTCATAGTCGAAGCCTCTGATTCACTAGAAATTATGCTCGACTATATGACTTGCTTATCAGGAGAACTTGCCTTCATGACCAAGCGCTACAGGATCGTTTCGAAAAAGCTCATCTGTGGCGCAAAGTCCACTATGTGTGATCTTCACGAGAACCTCGTCTTGCTGGAGCTCAGGGATGGTGAGCTCCTCTTTGATGATTACGCCTGTATATGAGCCTTTGAAGACTGTATACATCTTCGCTTCTTTTGCGTGGGCCTGATTGCTCATTTTCGAGCTTTATAGGAACGAGTGATCTGGGGAAAATCGAGTGTCAATTCTCACGACGCCTGAAATTCACAATGATCCAGGTCTAAGTGAGTCGCAATTGGCAAGGTACAACCAGCTGAACTAATTTCTTTGAAGACAGTACGTCAATTACAATTGGTGTTCATTATTTCCTCACTCGTAGAGTCGTAGATGTTCCATTATGATGGATAAGGTGATGATAATCTGGTGGCGCAAAGTGGAGGTTCTCTGCAAAGTTGCCGTCAGGGCTCAAGCTATTTTATTAATGGACGGGAGCTAGGCGAGACTTGGAGCTTGACTGTCTCGTCCTGGAATCCAACATCAAGGATTCTAGGATGTGCACTCCATTGCTAACTCCAAAATGATATACTAGGCCAATCACTGTGACAAGTGATGTTGATTGAATCTCCAAGAATGCAAATGAGAAAATATATATATATACACATCTAGATTTTACTGACTTACCCACAGCTTCCACCCGACTTGAATATTTCGGCTAATCATCATAGTCAAACCTCCTGCAATGGACATGATGCCGCCAAATATCCACATTGTATTGAATCCTTGATTCTGCAGAATTGTGCCTGCTACTGGAGTGCCGATCAGGTTTCCCACAGTCATGACCGCATAGCCCATACCCATTCGAGTCCCGACATGGCTTCTATCAGGCGACAGTCGCACAAAGCACGTGGGTGGCAGTGAGACAAATGCCCCAGAGAAAAACCCATAGAGCAGAGAAATCACCACAATCCCAGCTAGACTGGATAGATTGACAAGTGCAAACATCAACGCGCCACAGATGATAGTGCACGAGAAGACAATATTAAATGGGCCAATACGTGTGGCGAAGATATTGGGGAACACCCGTCCAAAGACGGATCCAGTTGTGATTATGGAAAGAAGATAGAATCCCATTTCATCGGCGGCGATCTTTTTGGTAATGGCAAAGTATTGGATGTAGAAAAACGGAATGTTGAGGGAGATGAAGGTGAGGAGTCCTCCCAGGACAAAGGAGACATAGGCGGGTTCTTTGAAGGCCGGCAGATCCAGCACTTTTCTCTTGTTGGGAGGAAGAACTCGAACTCTGAAGACCAACAGCGGAATGAGCAGCGTGACGAGGATGACAAGGCCAATTGCACGAACCGTCCAGCCAAACCCAATCTGGCGAGAAAGTCGATGGAAAATAATTGGATACAAGATCCCCCCTGAGAGCGTGTGATCATGGATTAGCAAAAGCTTCAAACCCCGAATAGATCGTAGGGTCACTCACCTAGGCCGCTACCTGCGGCTGCGACGCCATTTGCGAGGGCGAGTTTAGACTCAAAATATGTCGACAGCAGAGCGACCCCAGGAATGAAAATGAGACCGACTCCAATGCCGATGCAGAAGCCTTGCGCGAGAAGCGTTTGGTAATATTCATGACATATGCTGGTCATCATTTGTCCCAACAGTATAAACAAGGAACCACTGTATAGCAACACGTGGAAATAGCCAGCATCGTAGAGAGGGCCAGTCGCGAGTCCCAGGATCAAAAGTAAAGAGGACTGCACAGAACCAATCCATGAAATGTTGGACGATGACGAGACGAAGAGCTCTCCCGTTTCATAATATGTCTGGTAAGCCCCGAACGTGTTAAGAATTCCCCTGGATGCATCATTAGATACACAATGTTCTGCAACGCGCATTCATAAGGTATATGGACTTACCACGTATTGAAGAAGATGAAGAATGTACCAACCACCTGGAACCAGGCTCTCAAACCGCCATTTGGGATGGACGACAGGTCATTGACTGAGACCTTGGGCCTTTGGTCTTCGTGCGTATCTGGATTCCCATCTTGTCTACTACAACCCGGCTCTGGCTCGTCCAAGGTCTTGTCATTCTCCGTTTCTTGTTCATTGCTCATCCTCTAACCTGCCAAGAACAGGTAAACTTGCAGAACGTGTTCAGGCACAAAGTTTACGTTGAACCTTTACGGGATGTCAATTGACTCGGGGACTAAGCGTACAAGCTTTGATCTATTACAAGATGGAAAACCTAGGAAGTGGTTCGTCTTCACCACCGGTCTTTCTTTGTTTTCTGATTCCGTGACTTCACCATCAGACTATCCAAACTTTCCCATGACATTTCTTAGGTTTCTTTGATAGTCTTTATGTTGACCTCTTGCGCAGAATATTTGTTGTTGTCATTTTCCGGGGCGGCACGACCCTTCCCCTTTACCCCGGCCACCTCCGTTTCCCCACTTGTCCCTTCCCTCGCGGCCACCTCCGAACAACCATTTCCCCAACATGCCAAGACGACGGGCGACTCCGAACCCTGTCCTGTTCTTCAATTGCCAATCCTGAAATGAATCATCATGCACGCCTCCCGCCTCCCGCGATCGTCCCTCGGTGCTGTGGAGTATGGAGTACCGAGCCGACATCTAAAATAGCGTATCCGTGAGCTTATTTCATACTCCGTAAGTGCTGCAAATTGAGTGATGGAAACTACTAATATGGCTCTCCCTAGTATCAAAATTCAACTTAATTAATCGCCCTCTGTCCAGACAAATAAATGCAATAGATCAAGATTGCGACATTAGTGCTGATTCAAGCATCATAATTCAGCACAGCGAGTTTGTGGTTGGGAATTTCGTACTATTCGAAATTGTTCGTCAAGGGTCATTCGTTCGCATTTTGCAGTGACGATTACTGAAATTGGCCCGCCAAGTGTCACCCTGGCTTTTCGATTCGTAATATTAATGCATTGTAATACTTCCACTGCGGGGTTCTCTCGAGACCGAGGGGTGAGATGGCGAAATCCAATTTATTTTGTCAGCTCTGATGGAATATTATTTAAAGGGATTTGATGGGCGTAAGTGTTTCTATTATATATTCATGAGAATAATTCAGCGAGTGATTTCTTTCAAAAAATTTGGGGAACAAAACGAACGCCATTTAGAGAGAATTAAGTACCTGATTAACCATGACTGTCAAAACATCCTCCCCGGTTCCGGCCTTCCAAACTCGGAGTACCGACGTTATCATCGTCGGCGCTGGACCCGCGGGATGCATGGCTGGAGCAACCCTGCAGAGATATGGTATCGACTTTTGTTTGATCGATAAGCGTCCAACACGGACACAAACAGGACATGCAAGTGGTTTGTGGAAAGCTTTTATTGTATGCTTCTGATAAGCTTGCATCATTTTGCTAATCCATACTGCTGTTATCAAGCTTTCCAACCCCGGACGCAAGAGATCTTGCAGACACTGGATCTGCTTCATAGCCTTGATGGCAAGGGTCACCGGCTCACTGAGACCTCCTTCTGGAACCATGATGAGGCTGGCAACCTAGTTCGGGCCTTTGTAGGCGCCGAAGTAATTCACCGTCAGTGCCATGGCTGTCACGCTGATATTAAATTCCAAATCTAAGCTGACCGGGTGCGTACGTAACAGCAACCCCTTATCAATACCTATTCAATACAGACCAGGGTATTACCGAAGACACATTTGAAAAGTATCTGCTATCAAAAGGTCAGAAGATACACCGTTTCATGGAGCTCCTTCATTACGAGTACAATGAAAATAATTTCGAATGGCCCCTTACTGCATTTATCAAGAATAACGCTTCTGGGGCCATCGAAGCGTGGCTGACAAAATATATACTTGGGTCCGATGGTGCAAGAAGTGCCACGCGCAAAGCAACAGGGGTGCAGTCATCTTTTCGGGGCAGCGAAGATGTCTGGGCGGTCGCAGACGTGTACGTGGATACAAACTTCCCTGATTATAGAAGACGCTGCGCCATTCGTACCCCACACGGCGGTTGCATGCTCATTCCTCGTAAGGATGAAGGGCTTCGAATTTTTTTGCAGATTGGCGAAGGTAGTGATAGTCAAGGAGCGTCGGATGATCATGCCCCAAACAGTTCTCCAGGTCCCAACCTTCATGAATCTGTGCATGAGAACAGCGCATATAAGCTCACTCAGATTGTCCAATCACATATCCACAAGGTGATCCATCCATACAAAATGGACGTTACCAATATTGTTTGGATCAGCCGCTATCTCGTGGGACAGCGAGTAGTCCACCATTTCCATGACCCGCGGCAGCATGTTTTCCTCCTCGGCGATGCTTGCCACACTCATAGTCCCAAGGCAGGCCAAGGAATGAACGTGAGCATTTCCGACGCATACAATCTCACGTGGAAGCTGGCGCTTGTGATGAAACGCGTTGCAGACCCAAGACTGTTACTCACCTACGAACAGGAACGACTTCATATTGCCCAGCAGCTGATTGAGTTTGACGCCCGTTTTGCGCGTCAGTTCGGTGAAAAAGACAGCTTGAACAGTTCCAACCTCCGCGATACCTGGGAAGAGGGTCATGGGTTCACTAGTGGATGCGGATATGAATATCCCGCCAGTCTGATCGTCGATCCTTTGATTCGGACGGAGATTGATGATCAAGCACTGGAGCCATTAAGGCCGGGAAAACGATTGCTCCCAATTGATTTGATCCGCCATGTTGACGGGACCCACGTGCGTTTGTTGGACGTCTTGCCATCCAATGGCAGATTTCATCTGTTTATCTTTGGAGGAACGCAGATTCTCTCGCCCCAGATCAAGTCCTTGGCGGAATCTCTTAATTCTCCGCGGTCTCCACTGAGTTTGTTCAACCGGCTGCCGCTGCTTCACATGGAACGATTCCGTCATGAGGATATAACCACTGACTCAGTACCCTCGACTAATAAGAATTACTTCATCGACGTATTTCTGCTTCATTCGTCTGATCATTTGAGCTTGTCTCCGGACGAATTTCCTCCACCGTTTTCTACTCACTGGCCAATGCGGGTGTTTAGAGATGCTGGAGGTGCTGGGCACAAACTATTAGGCGTTGCTGAGAGTACCGGAGCTTTAGTGGTGGTCCGGCCAGATGGCTATATTGGATTGGTCACCCACATGAATGGTTTGGAGGATGTGACAACTTATTTTAAAGGATTCATGCTTGGACGTGCCTAAGCACAGAACCCATGCTTCAAAGTTTCGGCCAGGAACGTATTTTCGCTAATAATTCAACAACAAATAGCACATAAATATAGGGTTGTTCAAAATGAGTGGAAACGAGTGCAATCCGCTTTCCAAGTTCTCAATGCAACACAACTCCGCCACTGGGTTTAAACGCCGTATTATCAACATACCCATGCAATGAAATGAAGTGCCTAGGGATAGCAGAACGCCCTATGTTGTACTGTATCAGAGGTTGCAATATATCATGCTCTTCTATACAAGAACAGAATTGCTTCTTCTCGGGCCTTCAAAACTAGAGGTGTATGACCTGGTGAGAGCACGAAGTGGCATTTCGAGCATATCATTTTCGCCTTCGCTGCCAGAACGCGAGACTTGTTCAATCTTTGGCTCCTCAACGCTCCACACCAAACTTCGCCTTGACCCTTCTTGATTCTCGCCTGAAGGCTTGACGAAAAGCCTTTTTACCCAGCCGATAACCATATTGGGGAAATGGCTAAGCCATAGTGTACGTCGTTTCCATGCCCGGGTTCTTCGCAGCCCGTTCATTGCCTTTTGATAGTTCTCGCTGCTCATATGACTCTGGGTGCACCATTCATTGACAATGAACGCAATGCCAACAGCCATGATAGCACAGGATACGGCAGTAGCATTGGCCCACACTTCGAGAACACCCTTAGACCAATAAAAGTTCGAATATGCGAAATCAATATAGCCTCCCATGGGTGTCCAGCTTGAGCTCATGCACCTGCAAGTCTGATACATGCCAAATGTTTGGGCAATGGTGATGTACAGCAACCAGATCAAACTACCAAATTCGAAAGGTGTTAGCAAAATAAATTGCAAGCGATCCCGAGGACTCATATCCGTCCACCAACGCCGAAGACCGCCACGGGCCCTATCGGTCCTTGTCATTGAGGGCGAATAATCAGTCCCACGGCGTTTAGTAAGACTCTTTGGATGCCCCGACGGATAAAAGAGCGACCACGTGAGCATCTCCAGGACAAAGGACAAAAAAGAGAGCATGAAAAATATCATGTATCCACCACTTCGACACCCAAGGCCCCAGGTGGGTGTATGGAATGATATCGCAAATGCACTCGCACATGTCCCTCCGACGATGAAGAGAGCACTAAGGATCTGCCAAATTTCTCTCAAATCAAACGAGTGTAGGCCTTGAGGATGCTCCCTGCCACGGACTAGGTCTTGTCTAGCGTCCTCGTAACGAAGCCAATTGCGACCATATTCTGCAACAAAGGAAGCTTCAATTCCGGATAAAATGGGATGTGCAACACCATAGTGACACCGAACGCGCCCTTGACCGGCAAAGCTGACAAAAAATTCCTCGCTGAACTTCTTGGAATCACTCAGTTTGGGAATCCAGCGGAAATCCTCATCTGTTTCTGGAATATCGCGCAAATACTGCTCTCGAAGTTCATCATCAAGGAGAGCCAATCGTGTGGAATCAATCAGGCGGTTAAACTTTTGCCGAACTTGATCCGTTGCAACCGGATTGCGGTCAACAATGCCACAGAGAATCAAGACTGGCATCCAGCCATACAGAAGGCCCAGAGCTAAATTGTGAGCCGTGGCATTCTCTCCAATTTGTCCAAAAGCTAAACGCATATCAGCATAAATTCCCTGTGCCAGCAATATCACCGCAATCAAATTGCGTAATTGGGAAAACTTACCGGCTTGGATAGAAATGGCCAATGAGAAAAAGAACCAGCCAAGTGAGATGAATACCGGGACGATACCCCGTCGACGAGTTTCTCGGAGGTCTTTGGCGAGCTTTTGGCGCATCTTCTCCAACGTCTTTGCATTCTCTTTGTGGGAGAGCTTGAGCTGGTCGCTGAATAGCGCTATTCGCAAGAGCTTTTCCGCAACGCCACTCGGCATGTTTGGATGCATTTTGAATTGATTCATGACGCTCAAAATATACAACGAGTCTCGAACTTTGGCGAACTCAGAGTCCTCATCAGGCAGCTTACGGTAGGGCACCGCCATATCGATCATCAAGGCACACTTGCCTGTGACTCTGATGTTCCAGAGCACATACGAGAGTGAAGCAATCGGCGAGCCCACCCATCTGCAAAGAGTCCAGACTGTGCCCCAGAAGTCGTTGCTTTCAAAGGGCGCCTGCAATATCATGCCAATGATAGGGAGCACCCAAGTTGAAATTGTCTGGGAGGCGTCTGACCAGGAATACAAGGCGGTCCCGTGGCCGCAGAGCTGAAGACATCCTTCGAGTGAAATAATCTCGCTTCTATTCACGTTATGGCTTAAGCCATGGATTGGACCCTCATATCTCCAAGGTATGTTTTTCTCTGGCGTGGAGAGGAAGCCAATTTTGCAGTCTGTGAAATTGGTTCTCATCGCTGAGACGTGAGACGGTGGTGGTTTGTGTCTCTCCCAAAGAACTTGACGTAGCGAAGAAGACGGAATGCAAGAAAAGACGATCAAAAACTCAGAAAAGAGGAGTTACAAATTTCCTGGGCAGCTTACGGCACATATTGACTGGGGGCAAAAGCTGAAGAGGATAACAGATTTTAAGAATGTAAAGCTCTGACCCCACACCAAACCCAGGTTTTGACCTGGGGGTTGCATGGTATCTCGGCGCACGCGGCTGAGCGCGCCACTGTCAGCCCCCAGATATGGAGCATGATATGCAGGCAGCAGCATGCTGCCTAGAAGCATAGGAAGACAGGCGTGCACCGGACCTATCATTGTTCATCGCAGCCCCTTTTAAAAGGCAAGATTAAATACACAAAGTGCTTAGGTCCCACGGAGAAGACTGAACAAGTAAGACTTGGCGACGTCAAAAGATCCTGACTCGGGAGACTTACAGATACACCAGTCAGCCTTGTCGCCTCGTTTAGCTATCCCTCTGGGACTGCTGATTTCAAAAGGACGGTCTTGCATTCGGTCGGACACAATCATTGTCCGTGCTACTTTCTCAGTCACTCGACCTTTTGACCACGGATGCCTGGGGCGGTGAAGACATCAAAGACTTCGTTGCACCTAATATTTTTCATTGAAATTTGAAGTCATTGTTGGCGAGAAACACTGCGCAAAATCGTTATTCTGCCATGTTGCTCGATACCTCACCTTTCTAATGATCGCTTGTCGTTCTGCTCTCATTTCCCCTCTCCTTTCCTATCACATCGGTTTAGAGAGCAACAATAGCTCTTAGGGGTACGAACTGAAAATGAGCTGGACTCTATTCGACACCTTTATAGTTGGTTTATTTGCTGAGTAATATTTTTCCCTCTTGCATCCTTCTTCTGCTTCATGCTTTGTCGGTCTTTTCTTGGTCTAGCACTGTACCTTTCCTATCATCGTCCTCTCAGGCTGCGCAGATTGTTGCGCAGATTATACCATTTCGGTACAAACTGACAACCACCGTCGGTCGCTCCATGTGGTGATGGTGCCCCGCAATAACGCAATCCGCATCCCTGTCTTGCAACGCATGTGTTTATCTTGCATTATGGAATTGCAGAAACGTTATAAGAGTAATCCATTGTTCTATTTAACTTGATATTTCTTTGCTATTTGCTTTTGTCTTCTTTTCTATTTGAATTCTTTTTTTTTTGTGAACTGTTATATTTGTTTCCATTGTCGATATATTCGTCATGGTCATTCAGCATGATTCTCGAGCAAGTGGCACCGGCACAGCAGGGTCAGCTACAAGCCACCAACCTTCCCTTGCATCAGTGCTTTCGGGACAAGACCCGATTCAGCTGCCGCAAGGAGAGAACCAGACTGGTTTCCAGCTCGAAGAACACCCAATCGACGAATTTCCTTCCATAAAGGTACTTGCACTATCGCACCTATCGAATGATATAGATCATAATAATCTATAGGTCGCTGTCATTGGAGCAGGAATCACTGGAATCACATGCGGCGTGTTCCTGCCAGTCAAGGTCCCCGGGATCGACTTGACCATTTTCGAGAAGAACTCTGATGTGGGAGGAACATGGTTTGAAAACATCTATCCTGGTGCGTACCATCTACGAATATTCTCCATCAATACCACGATCAACAACTCTGACTTTTTGCTGCAGGCGTGCGATGCGATGTCCCCGCCAATGTCTACCAGTCCACATTCGAGCCTCGAACGCAGTGGACAGAGGAATTTGCACAGGGACGAGAAATCCGCGATTACTGGCAATCAGTAGCCAAAAAGTACGACGTGTACAAATACCTGAGCCTCAACACCGAAGTCAAGCAGGCTCAATGGGACGAGACCTCTGCAAAATGGGTCGTCAACTCCACCAATCTGTCCACCGGCGAGACCAGAACTGAGCAATACGACATCGTCATTACCGCCATCGGCCGCTTCAACGCGTGGAAACTGCCCAACATCCCCGGCATCAGCGACTACAAGGGCCACCTCCGGCACTCGTCGAACTGGGATCCCAGCTTCGATCCCACCGGCAAGCGCGTCGCCGTAATCGGCAACGGGGCCAGCGGCATCCAAGTCGTGCCCGAGCTGCAGCGCGTCGTCAGCCGTCTCGACCACTACGCGCGCAGCAAGACCTGGATCTCCGGCACCGTCGGCGCGGCCGGCGAGCGGACACTTGCGCCAAAATACTTCCCCAAAGAGAAACTCGAGTCCTTCGAGGACCCGAACACGTACTACGACTTTCGCAAACAGCTCGAGAACAAATTCTTCGCGCGGTTCGGCGGCTTCTTCAAAGGCGCCGACAAGACCGAAAAGTCCCGCGCGGAATTCACACGCATCATGGCCGACCGACTTCAAAAGAAACCACACCTCCTCGAGCACATCCTCCCCGACTTCTCCCCCAGCTGCCGCCGCCTGACGCCCGGGCCGGGCTACCTCGAAGCCATCGCCGAAGACAACGTCGACTTCATCCGCACGCCCATTGAGCGCTTCACCGCCACAGGCATCCGCACTGTCGACGGCACCGAGCGCGACGTCGACGCCATCATCTGCTCCACGGGGGCAAACGTCGACCTCGCGCCCCCCTTTTCCATCATCGCCGGCGACACCGATCTCAAGACCGCCTGGAAACCAGACGGCAAGCTCGGGTTCCCCTATACGTATCTCGGCGTCGCGGCGCCGTCTTTTCCCAACCTCTTCTTCCTGCATGGCCCCAACTCGTCCGGCCCCTCGGGCACCTTTCCCAGCACGGCCGAGGCGCAAATCACGTATCTCGCGAAAGTCCTGCGCAAGGTCCAGCGCCAGGGCATCCGCACCATCGTGCCCCAGCAGAAAGCCGTCGACGATTTCGTCGAGCTCATTGATGCGTTTTTCCCCCGCACCGTCATGAGCGAGAACTGCAGTTCCTGGGCAAACGGCGGCCGTCCGGGAGCGAGAATCCATGGGTATTGGCCTGGTAGCGCCCTCCATACAAAATATGCGAAGCAGGATCCCCGCTGGGAGGATTTCGAATATACGTATCGCTCGCCTTCCGGGAACAGGTTTGCGTATTTTGGAAACGGGTGGACGAAGAAGGAGTTGATAGAGGGCGCGGATTTGACGCCGTATCTCCGCAAGCCCGAGGATATTGATCTTAGGTCGTATCATGAGTTGTGGCATGATGTTTAGATGATGTTTTTTTGCTCTTTGTATAGCTTTATTTCTATTCTATTTTGTTTTTATCTTGTGTGTTTTTTGTTTTCATTTTCATTTTCATTTTGTTTTTCTGCTGTCTTTTTAGAACATAGATTATTTTCATGAGATCAAGATTTATGCTGGCTGTTTATTTTATTTTATTTTGATTTTTTTTTCCCGCATATATTTTGTCATGATATCAAGACGGAGAGAATGAAATTGATATAGATATAGGTATTGATATTGATATTATGCGAGCACCGATAGCACAGACGGAGATGTTGTAAAGTATGACATAGTAAGATGTAAATGGAACAACAGATGCGTCATAACATATTTTCAATGAAAAGAAAATAAAACAGAGATATGCGATAGTATTCAACAAGTAACATCTTTTAAAGGTCGCCTCAACGCCAAAACCATACTCCGTTCAATACCCACCTGAAACTTTTCATCCAGCAACAGCCAAAGCCATTTCGACAACCTTGCGACCACGATCGCCACCCAGATAATCCGCGCCTTCGCGACCATCTGCAGCTTCGGCCTCGACTTCTATTTCCAAGCTGGCTTCATACGAGCGCATGACCATTTCCTCATCGACACGGACGCCATTCTCGACCAGGGCGCGAATACAGCCCGCTAGGCGGGCAATTTCTCTTCTCGTCGCCGGATCAATCTCGTCGTTTTGACTGGAATATATCGAACTGCTCACATTTTCTTCCAGCCGTGTGATTGACACGCCGTCTGCCCCCTCTGTAGCCACGTGCTTGGAGATCCACACGTAGCCGTTCACGCCCAGCACGACGTCCACTTCGCCGCCGCCCCGCGCTGTATGCACTGTCCAGACTTGGCGGCGAGACCGCACGACTCCGCCGCCTCCGCCTGTGCCCGAGACGGAGAGGAAGATGCCGTTGCGTAACTTGCCGTACTTCAGCGAGCGGGTGTGAAGCGATGCGGACCCGTCTTGGAAGATTGATTGGACTTCGGCAACGAGCAGGTCGCCTTCAGAGAAGAATGTCCGGATTTGCAGCTCGTCGGTGCTAGTGCGTTTGCGCAGGATACCGCCGGGCAAGTTGATTGCGCTGAGAGGGAGAGATGCGAGCAGAGGAGCGGCGACATCGACGCGCCATCGTTTCGATTGGACCTGCCGGAGAAAAATATATAGTTAGCAGAGAGTTCTAGGTGGTAGAGTTAAGTGAAGATAGGGTAATTGACATACCTCGACGATGCGGCCGACGACCAAGTCGCCAATCTCGGGAGTATATCGTGCCCGTAGAGGCCGCACGGAGAGGAGCTTATTGGTCTTTTGCACGGTGCCTGCAACAGTCGCTGTGATTTCCGTCGTCTCTGGCGCAACAAAAGTGCCGTGGCCTCTGTATTGTGAATGTCGCGTTAGCATCACATCTTTGCGGCAGCAGTAGCAGACTCGTTGGGGAGGGGGGAGGGTAAAATCTCACCTCATCCATTGCGGGTCGTCCGTGACGACTTCTCCAGGCGTAACAATGCCGTTTCCTGATATTCTCGCTCGTTTGGACGGTCTGGCGGTGGTGCTGGTCTCCATGTCGACATCGCCGTCGGAGTCGAACTTTTCGTCGTCGTCGGATGCAGCATCATTGTATATCGCGGCCGCCGGTACTGGCGGAAGAATCGTAATTGCCATTGCTCAGAAAGACAAGTGTGGTCTACAGGCGGGGATATCTTATAGCTTCTATCGTCGATGATGGTGGGAAGTTCTGGTGTTGTTACTTGACGAATTCGCATCTTTTCTCTAATCTTATCGGTCCATCGGCCTCGTTTCCTCCGACGTCAACACGGATGTTGAACGACTACCCTGCTACCAGTCATACTCCGAGTATTATATTCAACTCTACCAAAACCCCCCATCAATGAGTGTTTGCCCATTGTTCATTAATTGTAATGTAAATGGGACAGTAAAATATGCATCATGAGCAACTTCCCCCACAATCTCCTCGGCGAGTGGACCGCACAGCTCTCCAACCATGCCGGCAAAACAAAGCAGTCACACCCGTCCTACTGGGCAGATGATCCATCAGTATTACATACCAGCTGCACAATCAACAACGCACTCCTCGGGACCGGGGAAGCACTTATATCTAGCATCTTGCCTTCTATTCTCTCAGCCCAGCATGAAATTCTCATCGTGACATGTTTCTGGGCGCGCTCACCGTCTCAAGCCGCCATCGGGGACGCTCTCAAGCAGCTCTCCGCGCAAGCTATATCCCGCGGAGCACACAAGATCCGCGTACGAATATGTTTCTCCTCACTATCATTTACTCAGAAACTGTTCCACACGTTTTCTCGACATGGACAAACATACCCGTCTTCAACGTGGGTCAAGAAATTCGGACTCCCGCATCCAGACGAATTATCTGGCCTTGATCTCGAAATCAAAAGCCTCTTCTTTCTCCCTTTTAGCGTGATACATCCCAAATATATCATCATTGATCGCAACCAAGCATGGTTGCCGAGCTGCAACGTCAGCTGGGAGTCGTGGTTCGAAGACTGCGTGGCGTTTCAGGGGAACGCGGTGCGGAAAATGTTGGTCTTTCATCATCACGTTTGGGGCCATGATGTCCATGATGTTCTGGACAATTACTCTTCTCCGACTTTTTCAGAAAACTCAACCAGCCCTTCAATCGACTTGAACACGTCTTCAGCATTAAACCAAGTCATAAAAGCTCTTCCTGATACACCATACCCCGACATACCCACACTCATTCTTCCTTCCCCGCACCACATCAATCCGCGCTTCAGATTTCTTCTTCCTTTTCTACGCGCCCCCTCGCCGCCTCCTACCCCGCTAAACATCTTCACCCTCACGCTCCTCGCCCACGCGCATACAGAAATATACATGCAGACTCCGAACCTGACGTCACCGCCTGTCGTGGATGCCGTTATTGATGCACTGTCGCGCGGCGTGGCTGTCACGATTGTGACAAATCGCACAATGATGTTTCTCGAGCAACTGGTCACAGCGGGGACGCTGACGGAGATTTGTATCTGGCGGCTAGTCAGGCGGTACAAGGCCTTGCTTAGATCTGCTGGTGTTGGTTCTAGCGTTAGGTCTGGCGTTCGTGCTCGCCTTGGGTCGAAACGTAAATCCTCAGTACAACCATCACCAGCTTCCCCGGGTCCTATCCATCCAGAGAACCTTTCTTCTAGCCCAGACGTCGATGTGGAGTCTGGTCTCCGAGCACCAACTTCACCAACTCACCCAGATTCATCTCCCCAACAGCGTATTGGTCGTCTACGCATATATTACTACAAGCCCCGTCTCGACTCGGACCGCACCTCCGTATTTGATTCAAACTCTTCCCAGGTAGATTTACAACCAGGTTTGGGCCCAGGACGTGCATCATCATCATCCCCATCACATCCAGACCAAGAAACACTTCCATCTCCACCTCCGCATCCAGAACCAGTCAAATCCCACTTGAAACTGCTCATCGTCGATTCTTCCACTGTCCTGCTCGGCAGCGGCAACATGGATCGGGCAAGCTGGTATACGAGTCAAGAACTGGGCGTTGCATTCTCTTCCGAATCGTTCGCGGGGACGATGTTGCAGAGTATTAGTGACCAGATCATTTCTGCGAAGAGGGGAGAGGTCTATTTTGCTTCGTAACACTACTGATACCCCGCTGAGTCCACTGGGGTGTGCGCCCGCAGGGAGTTTTTCGCTTGGTAGATTTTGCCCTTCAGGATAGTCGCGAAAAATGAAATAGACAACGCATGCTCACGGCTAGAAAATGCACGTAGTAGGTTGGAATGATAATAAGATGAGGTAACCATAATGTAAATTTACAGAGTACACTTTTAGTCAAAGTTTTTAATGATTCAAAAAGGTTCAGATATCTCTCCGGTGCATGGAGATGGATATGCACAAGCAGGGGAGCACATGAAAAGAAAAGGCACGGGCTAAGAGACGGACCCTTTGCAACAACAGGTGAGAGAAAAAGAAAAAGGAAACTTGTCCGGAAAAATCCCAGTATGTGCTCAATGACGATGATGATGACGACGACGACGATGGTGAAATGACAAAAATGACGAATTGGTGAAACATTGATGATGCGGGAAAGAAATGTCGTGCCCAAGCCGCAGATAATATTTTGTTAAGGTAAGAGGTACATCCGGGGTTTTTAGAAGAGAGATAGAAGGATGGCGGTGTACTGGTAATATTCCATTCTCCCTGCGCAGTGAGAATTTCGGAAATTAATAGAAAAGGTTTTGCGTCCGAAAAGTAATGGTTAATGTGTTTGTAAAAGGTTGAGGAGCATGAAGAAGAGGAAAATGCAAAGATGTGTGGAGAACCGAAGTATCAAGTCTTGCTGAGGCAAGACTTTCTCCATAAAAAACCTTGGTAAAAAGGAACAAAAAGCGCCGTAAACGTTATGCAACCTGGTCCAAGCACCGCTGGGCTTAACGTCTCTTGCCATTCTGCATATTCGCAAAGAGCAACTTGAACCCGTTGCACAAGGCGCGCATATCAGGATACTGGTGCTTCTGGAGCTCAAAAGCCTGCGGCACAATCTTGACGGGCCAGTTGTTGTTGGGCGCGTGCTGGCCGGCCTTGAAGCACAAGTAAAAGTAGCCAGGGTATTTGGGGTTGATGCAGAACGCATAGTTGGAACGCTTCGGATTGGCTTCGGCGTACGTCGTCAACCAGCGGTCTGCGGATATTGGTTAGCACACGTGTTTTTTTTTTTTTTTTTTTTTTGCTGCAAAGTTCTGGGGGTCACGAGGGCAAAGATAGCAAGGAAATTAGAACAATGTAACATACCAGTCTCCGATTTGCTGCCGGATTGATACTTCTCATGCAGCATCATCTCGTCGACCTTGCGCGCCATAGCCTTGACGTGGTTGACAATCAACTCGTCAAGATCACTGTACGTGTATTTTCCAGCAACCTTGAGTGTTCTGCCGACAGAAAACTCGTTTTCTTTGTCGAGTTCAAGCACGTCAATGTGTTGGTATACATTGTCGGAAACCTTCCATGTGACTGCAAGGTGGTCGTATCCCTTAGACGAAGGCCGGATGACAAGGTCACCACGAGCTTGTGAGCCGAGATACTCCTCGGCCTGGGCGGCGTTGAAGGGCCTGAAGAGAGGATGCTTAATGACACGCTGAGTGCGGCCCGTGATAGTATTCTTCTCTTGCATAGCCTCCTTGTCGCGAGCCTCTTCACGCTCATCCCACTCGTCTCGCATTCGGTCAATCTGCTTTTGGTACGGCCGCCGAAGCTCCTTTTCGCGAAGAGATAGCTGAGCCGTTAGGGACTTGCGATTCAAGAACATTACCTTCGCTTGGACTGTTTGGTGAATGGAGTACAGCTGCCGAGCAGAGACGTCAGGTCGGTCAGTGAGCTCAGTCTCGGTGACAAGGCCGTCGATGCCGCAGTCTAACTTGGCATCAATGTGGTCTTCTGTGACCCGCTTGATAGACACGGGCACGACCATGCCTTCTACTAGCGAATCCCGAGTTTCGCCGGTGAGCATAGTGAAAATTTCGTCAGTGGACAGGAGTGCAAAGTTGCGTCGAAGCTCTTCGTATGGTTGTTGGAGCTCGGCTCGAATAGTTTCAAGAGTAGCTCGTTTCCGTTGAGCAAAGTTGCGCTCCAGTTGCTCAGCGTACTCCTCAAGAATGAGGTCGTTGACTCTTTCTTGTGCCTCGTCCTTGACCAGCTTGCGGACAATGGCACCTGGTCCGTTCTCGTCAACCTCAGCTTTGATATCCTCCTCGTCAAGTTCAAGCGCATCAGCAGCCATTTTCCTGCCAAGGTCGTAATCTTCAGGATGGACACGAGTGTTGTCGAGATAGTCAGACGATGGTTCGGAGCTATCAAACTCAATGTATAAGAAACTAGCGCAGTTGTTCCATACACGAGGACCGACGGCAGGGAGCTTGCCCTCTTCAGGGTCACCAACGAGTTCGTCTCTCGTTGAAACGACGCCGCCCTAGGCCAATATTAGAAACCTGAAACGGCAAGGTATATGACAGAATAGTACTTACATTCAGATTGATCGTCTTGAGTAGTTGTGTAGCCTTTCTTGGTCCAAGACCGCACACATAAGGGAGCAAGTTTGCCGTATACGGATCGCCAACGGCTTCGTTGACGTCCACACCGCAGAGGTTGACCATGTCTACCATTGCAGTTTCAAGCTGTTTGATAATCTTATCTTGCGAGACCAAATTTTGGCTGGGGTCAAAGGAAATAGAAATGATATCGCTTCCAAGAGAAGCATATTCCTTCATGGGATTTTGCAGGTATTTGGCGATAGCAACGCAATATCTAGTCAATGGTGCCATTCCTGGATGTTCGTCATTGGCTCGTTCGCTGTTGTGGTATAGTCGCGCAACCTCATCATTGACCATGACAACTTCCAACCGGTCGCTTTTCTCATTACCATCCTCATCCTCGTATTCAGCTCCCCTTAGATCATGTTCGTCTACGAGTAGCTCGAGCTGTTTGAACAGCTTCCGCGTGTCGACAGAATACCCAGACACGGCAATGACATCTGGTTTGCGACGTTCCACAAGCTCAATAAAGGCAGAAACGTCGGCACCATCGGGAAGGTTCCTTCCTGAGTCTCCAGTGTTGAGATCAGAAAATTTGCCATTTTCTAGGACTCGTCCGTCCTCTTCTACCCAGGCCCAGCAAATGGCATCACGGCCACCAGCACCGTTTGAAAGAGCGAGAACTCTCGGAATGGTTCCGAGAACCATTCCCTTTGGTTTGTAGGGAGCTTGGTCCAGTTTCTTGGAGAATTCCTCACGGCAAGCTCGTGCGACCTGGTTCTCGCATTCTGTCTTCATGTTCTCCTTGACGCCGCGGATCATGAGCTTGTCAAGCTTCAGCAGCGCCATCTCAAGGACTTCGCGACGAAGCTTGTTCCATGCATCTGCGACTTCGCTAAAGTTATCTGATTCGAGCTCCCGAAGCAGATTTCGCCTAAACTGGTCATAGTTCTGCAGGCGCACCTTTACATCGACGAGACCTTCGTCCTCAGCCTTCATCATTCGAAGATAGAGCTCAGGTTGTCGAGCAATGTCGCTGAACTGCTGATTCCGGAGGTACTTGAACTCGTAGTAAGGGTGTTGTTCATCAATCTTCTTGAGACCCTTTTCTGTGCGATAGCAATTAACCACACCAGAGGTGTAGTAAGTCTGTCTCATAACCTTGCGCATCCGAGGGCTCATGACAATCTCCTCCGCGAACATGGCCTTGGCGGCCCTGAGAGCTAGAGATCCAGTGGTAAATTCGGAGGGGTCGAGGACATCGTCCGAGTCGGCCATGTCATCCGGGCGAACAGCAGGATCCTCTCGGAAGGTGGGCTGGCCCTCGCGGAGGACATTGCGGGCAAAAGCATCTGCCGAAATGCCAAAGGCGCGGACGAGATTATACGCTTTGCCGTTGCGAATGCGCTCGAAAAAGTCCTTTTGCGAGCCCGGTCGCCGATGAGTGCCGTTTGTCTGACTATTGTCGATCGTGGCCAAGTCCTTGAGACGTGAGGCATATTGGAAGTGAATGTAATCCTGTACATCCTGCAACTCCTCCATTGTAATCGCTTGCGGAAGCATTTCCTCGAAAATCTCATCGTTCAATGATGAAATGCTTTGCAGTCCCTCGTAGGTTTTCTGGAGAGTGTTGCGCTTATCAATGAGAGCTCGGAACTTGAGATCCAAGTCGAAGATGTCCCAGAGATCGCTTTGATTAAGGAGCTTCTCTGCATTGACGACGTATTGTGGCGCCGCTTCATTGTTCGGGTCGGGGCTCACGGGTACCTTGACGGCGTGGATCAAGTAATCCTTTCTGTGCTGGAAGATGAATGGGACCTCGTACTCGTCTGTGATCATGAATTCGAGCACCTTTGCGACCGCTTTTTGAAAAGGGTCAATGAGAGAGGAGTCCAGTCGCTTCTTTGGCAGCATCATGTTGGAAATCCAAAGACCCTCCTCACGGAATTGTTCATCGGTGAGAATAACGTGCTTCAAACCCTTTCGAGCCAATTGGAAACGCTCGGGCTCATCGGCAAAGCGAATTTCATTATCCTCATCGGTCAGCAGCTTGTCGGCCAGCTGCGATGGCTCAAACACGTCCTTAAGCTCCAGCGGCTGCTCGGGGTCCAGTTCGCGCTCCTCCAACTCCGCCTCTTGATCGAGAGCCCAGTCATACTCTGTTCCGTCACCGAAAGCGAGACGCAAATCTTCTAAGGCGCTCTCATCCAAGCCTGTTGCTTGTGCACCTCCAACGCCAGGAATGCCTCTCTTGATAGGCCTGGCCACCTCGAGGTCTTCTTGTTCCTGGTCGCGCTCTTCGTCGCCGAAATCGTCTTCCTCAATAAAGTCTGCGAACTCGTCCATGACTCCGCCTCGGTCGACGCGCGATGGGCGATGATCTTCATACTCGTGAGGCGCATCCTCATCCTCGTCTTCGGAGAAAATGTCGTCTACGCCCCGTTGTGTTTCTCGGCCGCGCTCGGCTTTGTGTCCGCGTTTGAGTCGCTTTAATTTTGGCTATTATCAAATGAGCAATCATCGCACAGCATAATCAGAAGGCTTCAAGCTGTCTCATACCGCAGTAGAAATTCGTCTCTCAAGCTCCGGATTTGCTTCCCCAATGAGATCCAAATCTTCCTCGTCGAGAGCAGCCTCTTCTTCCTCTCGCTCCGCCCTTCTGCGCTTCTTTCGCTCACGGCGCCTGCGCTCGCGTTCTTCCTCCTCCTCTGGCTCTTCGTCTTCATCGACAATGAATCCTTCACGGACCTGCGCAAAAAAAGAATCACATCAGCAATTGCGCCATGTTACCATCATGAACGGAATATCATAGCTTACAGCAGCCGCTGCTTCTTCATCCTCATCGTCCTCCTCCTCGCTGGAATCATCCACGTTCCTATCTCCTCCTTTGCGGCCTTCTCTCTCCCTCGCTTCTCCAGTCTCCTCGTCATATGATTCTTCATCCTCCTCATCGCCGAGCTCAGCTTCGCCGTGGATAAGATCCCGAGTGCTCATGGTGGCAGACGATACTAGTGAACTTTTCGGATGCAACTATCGAGTGAGGTGAGAATATCAGAGGCGGATATTTATGCCGGCTGGTGAAGATAGGATATGACCAGCAAGAGATTAGAGGCGGTGGGAATGAATGAGAGAATTGGTAGCAGACAATAGACAATAGAAGTCTTGCTACTTGGTATTGAGATTATTCTACATTGACGATGGCAGGGACCGTAGCATTGAATCCGCGCCGTGCAGATGTGAGACTAGCTGTATTGGGAAAGTTCCAAAGTCTATACACGTGACCATCGCTTATAGCGGAAATACCCGCTCGACACCTTCAGGAAACAGCTACTTTCACGATCAGATAAGTTAACGCGCTGCCTGGCTGGGAAACTTCCTCCAACTTGGTTTCTTTCATAAGCTCAAGGGCCTACATTAATGACCTCTATCCTCTCGAAGGGTTCTAGAATCCCTGCTGGTCCGTGTCTTCTCTCATTATTCACTATTTGATTAGTCCCATGCCCTAAAATCATTTTTCAGCAAGTCCGGCACCCAGATCCATTGTTAGCTCATATATGATTCGATGTATTACGGAGTATCAAAGGTACAAAGAAATGAAAAGGAGTGTTATCAATTTCACATAAGTCCAATATGATGATGATGATCCGTTGTTTCGAAGAGGCTACGCTGAGAGAGGATTGAACTGCCCTGATAATCTTGGCTCGAAGAGCGACTGTCTCATTTTACCTATGGGGATCAGCCGCGAGCCAACCATGGGGATCAGAAGAGTAGCCTTTCCCCCCTGAAAAGGGTCCTCCCCTCTTTCACTGGTTGTGCTCGGGGACTAATAATAACAGGCGACAAGCCCCACCATCAACCGAAGAAGCACCAACTTCCCCCCCGTATTACTATTGCTGTACTCTTATGGCTGCTTAGTTCTCATCCTCCTCGACCTATTTCCCCCCTCAAAGTGATTACTATTTCTTCGTCCTCGTATTTAATTATTATTACTTGAATGTCCCTCGAATGACTCCTGCGGCCGGTCCAATTTATTTACTTCTTTGATCACGCTCCCACTTCCCCGATTGTCCTGCTTCTACTCCCTCGCACGGAACGCCCTGCCATTATCTTCAATGCTCCAGAATCGATAACTTCAGCTGCATCACTCTAGCATATTACATTATCTTGCATTACATACCCGTTCTATCTTCTTATATTGAAGAGAGATCTTTTCTGGAAAACTCGATCCTGTGTCGATCTCGATTTGACCTCAGCACCGTGAACAAAGCTCCTGCATGAGCCCCAAGCATTGCAAACGAGCTTGTGACGCCTGTTTATGACAGACTAAGTGGTGTTCCTTTCCTCGAATATTCAGCTTCTATCGGCGCTGGCTGCCGCGACCTCCTTGTTTGTGCGAATATGTCTGCAGACAATTTCAAAGCCCGCACCCTGAAGCGGAAGAACGTCAAAGGCCTTGCCTTGAATGCCAGTCAGCCGAAACCTTCTGCTCCGTCGGCTGGAGACGCACAGATACCTGGCGCTCTGGGCAATTCCATCGATCGACCAGATACGCTTGAGATTGGGGTCGAGTTTCGACTAGACTTGAGAAGCGAAGATCTCATTGTGCTCAAAGAGCTTGGAGCAGGAAATGGAGGTACAGTGAGCAAGGTTGTCCACGCGGCCACCAAAGTAGTCATGGCAAGAAAGGTGAGTCGATGCTGTCCTTTTAACAAACGATTCTTTACCTTTTGTGTTTGCTCGTAGACTAACGAAGCTCTGATCTCTAGGTAATCCACGTTGAGGCGAAAAAGGAAGTTCGAAAGCAAATAGTCAGGGAGCTTCATATCATGCATGACTGCAACTCACCATACATTGTATCGTTCTACGGAGCATTTCTGAACGACGCTGGAGACGTAATCATGTGCATGGAGTACATGGACTGTGGGTAAGGGCTGGACTTGCTATCAATTTACTCTGTTGTTGCGAGTGTGCTGATCAAGCTTGGCAGGTCTCTCGATCGCATCTCCAAGGACTTCGGCCCAGTTAGAGTAGACGTCCTTGGTAAGATTGCAGAATCCGTCCTGGGCGGTCTAACGTACCTCTACAATGTGCACCGCATCATGCATCGAGATATCAAGCCATCCAACGTGCTCGTAAACTCAAAGGGACAAATAAAACTCTGCGATTTTGGAGTCTCAGGAGAGCTGGTCAACTCCATAGCCGACACTTTTGTGGGCACCTCAACATACATGGCACCAGAGCGTATATCGGGCGCACAATACTCGGTCAAGTCTGACGTATGGAGCGTTGGCTTGACACTCATGGAACTTGCCATTGGGCGATTTCCTTTCAGCTCGAGCGACGATGATCGGGCGGCCGGGCCCATGGGTATTTTAGATTTGCTTCAGCAGATCGTGCACGAGCCCGCTCCAAGGCTACCGAAGAGTGACGCGTTTCCAAGTATTCTGGAAGACGTTATTGATAAGTGTTTGGCAAAAGACCCGGAGCTCCGGCCCACACCCCAAGAGCTTTTTGTAGGTCGCTCTAGATTTTATGGTTTTTATTTTGGGCACTTACTTATTCTCGCTCTTTAGGAGAAAGACGCATTCCTCCAAGCCGCCAAACGAACCCCGGTTGATCTCGAGTCCTGGGCGGTAAGCATGATGGAGCGACACAATCGGAAATCACACATCGGTCTGCAGCGGCCGCCGGCCAACAAAGCCGCCCTCCGAGAGGCCATGTCTCCGGCCCCCGACTCTGCTTCGTCCCGGACGCCGACATATGGTGATATCCCCATTGCAGGCGACATCAGACCGTCACCTCTGTCGGCCAGAGATATTAATCCTTACGGTCAACCCACCCCACGACCAATGTATCCTCCGCGAATATCAAGCGCTGCTGCCATGGCACCGCCACAATCCGCTGGCTCCATCGCCACGACCACGCTTCCCGTTCGTCTTGGGTCAGCGCCGAACAATCCGCTCCCCACACCTCCGGGGACGGCCATGCGCCTACAATCATCTTCGAGAACCCCAGGGCTGGACCCTGATATGAGGAAAGAGGCACGACGGCAAGCAGCCTACGGCATTCCGTATCATAACGGCGAGTCAACGCCATACTAGATGACGAATCGTCTCTCATTTGAGACATCTTCTGTCATTTTCTGCATCCAAATATCCGGCACAATTTCTTTGAAGCACTGCAGCTATTACTCTTATCTTCTGACAATCATGGCGTCATATCTCGGACATCTAATACCCCTCCCCAAAACCTCTCATCTCGCAGAATTATTCAATACACATTGTTGCTGGCGAAGCTTTAGTTCATTATCTTCACTTTTCGGCATTTTTACGCTTATAGCTTCCTGGGTTCATACCTCTGATCATGCCCAGTCATAGCACTATCATGGAAAATATCAACAGAATCCTCAGCCTATTCATCAATCCACAGCGGAAAGAGACAATTAGCATTGCTTGCATGTTATACGAAAGAAAGGTGTTCGAATACAAATCCGGACACTGAATCTGCATTATGTCATACTATATCCGCCTCAATTCGCTCATCACTTCATTTGTGCGCGTTGCATTTTTTTTTTTCTTTGCAATACAACCGCTTCCTTGAACCAAGTCTCGCCATATGAGAATTTCCCCCGTCCCTGCATGGAATCCCGGCGTCGTCTCCATCCTACCTTTCTTTGTCACATGTGTCTTTCTCCTTTCTTCTTTCATATTAAGTCCAGGTGACTACTTTTTCACACCATTTTCAGCCTTTTTCTTTTTCTTTCCTCAGCAATCTGGCATCTTTGATCATTTGGGCTTTTTTCCCCTGACATAAGAAGCAGAGAAGCACACCAAAGCAACGATTCCCCCGCTACTATTTGCCCCATTTGTACCTCTTTTGTTTGTCTCTGGTAGATAGAAACACTGTATGTGGATACGGAAATAGGTTTATCAATTGTCAAGTAGACATTTCAGCGAATCAGCGCGTTCATTCATCTCCGATCTTCAAACATGAGTGACGTCTCTCTTATTGCAAATGAACGTCTAATAGCAGCTGCGCCTTGTCACTTGGGATTCAGAAATACAAAGCAGTGCAGGATAGTCACACGTAACGTGCATAAGGAAAAGGGGTACTAGTAGGCAATTTGTGATTTGAACGGCCAGAGTCTATACATTTGGCTGAGGTATCTGAGATTGATCTCGGTATGATGGGATGTAAAGGGTGTTATGGGAATCACCCCAGTCTAGGCTTCATGGAAACCCCCACTAGCTGTAGAATTGTGAGAAATAGATGGTGACTAATAGTATTGTGAGTCTGTGACTGTTTGAGATTTGGGTTTGTTATGTAACACGTAAAGCCCAGAGCGGGCAAAAGCGAAGGCGAAAGAGAAGAGTGAAACAGAAGGTTGGAACAGAAAACGGAAAGTCAAAAGAGAAGAGAAGAGAGGGAAAGAAAACAAACGAAATCCAGAAATGGAAACAGAAAATAAATAGATAGATAGAAAAATTGAGGAAAAAAGAAAAGAAAAGAAAAGAAACAAGATTGATACACGGAAACGCATGAAAGACCAAGCGTAAATTAATGCTGAACTGAAAAAAAGAGAACCCAAAAAAAGCAAAAATAAGCCAAGGCAAAAACCAGCTGACTACTGCCGCATGAATCCAAAGCCAAATAAGTTTCTCAACTTGGCAACGACATTCTTGACACCATCTGCTCTCCCCCACTGTATGTCGTCCTGGTCGTCATCAGTAGCATTAGCATTAGTAGCATCAGTAGCATCAGTGCCTTGATCGCCCTCGTCATCGTCGTCACTACTATCATCGCTATGATCACCGGAGACATTTTCACTCTCGGTTCCCGTGCCGGTATTATATCCGCCATCACCCAGTCCGTCAGTTTGGATATGGGTATCAGACCCGGTGTCAATGTCGCTTGCGTAGGCGCCGGTGGTGTTGTTCATGAAAGTAGCATCAATATCTGAGTCGACTTCAGAGCTTTCTACTTCACTTCCACTTGCACTTATGGGATCAGTATCAGAAGCAGTATCAGGACCTGGACCCGATCCAGTACTGCTACTAGTGCTAGTGACGCTAACGCTATCACTGACATACTCCATATCCCCGGTCTCGGTATGCTGAGTGTGATTGTAGCTCACAGGACTGGGGCGGAGCCTCAGTGGAGTCTGTGAGGTTTGAGATGTCCGCGTAGGCTGCTCAGCTTGTTGTGAGGATGAGTTTGAGGCAGACGCGGAGACCTGGGATGAAGAAGAGACCGAAGGCGAAGGTGACGGCGATGGCGAGGGCATGACGGACGACAATGGCGAGTAGGAGCGAGAAAAGGAGCGCTGCGGTACCGGCGTGTTTGCGCGGCTTGAGATTATTGACGACGCTTTAGAAGGTGTTGACTGCCTAGAATAATTTTCTTCCACTTGCTGTTGCTCAGGATATATATGGGAGTTTCCAAAAACACTGGACGCATCAGAAAGCTCCGGCACGAGGTCAGTCACTGGCTCGATTTCAGTAGGCTCTGCAGATTGGTGTTGTTCCGGCATTTGCTCGGGGCTATTTCTTTTCACGGTGTTGCTCGCTCCCTTGTATTTCGTGCGTCCTGCAGCTTTGGCCGCTTGTTTGTGTTTGCGCTTCCCCTGGCCCGGATCCTCGTCGTGGCCATCATAGGAATTGATGTCCAGATCTCTTTCGTTGATATCTTCCGGGTCTAAGTAGTAGTCGTCCTGATACGCCTCGTCATCATGGTTCGAATCATCGACATAGTCAGGGTCAGAGTTCCTTCGAGCTCGCTTTCTTTTTGGTTTCCTCGGATTCTTTGATTCGTCGCTCAACTCATCCTCGGAGATCTCTTCCAGCTCCATCTGGTCATCCAACTCGTCCTCGTCATCCGAAGATTGGCTGTCGTGCTTGTGTTCTTCATCTTCTTCGGGATCATGCTTACGCTTCCTCTTGACAAGATTGTCTTTCTCTTTGCTCACCGTCTCTGGGTTCTGACCTTGCTTCAACTGTTCCAGGGCAGCGGCAGCAGCAGCAACATCTTCTGCGAGTGAGGATCGTGAACCGTTCGCGGCGGATTTCCGGTGAGGAATATATTTTGTTATTGAACGAGGAGGAAGCGTGCGCTGGCTGGAGTTTGGGTTTCCCTTGGATGTGTTTATGAATTTGAGGGCCGCCAATGCCGGTGATGGTCCAGAAAAGAGTACGGGAGTTGAAGAGGGCCCCATGACAATGCGAATAGGTTCAGGGAACCTTGACATAGGAGTTGTTCGAACTTTGGTGTTGGGCGGTGCTTTCGGAGCTTTAATATCTGATGAATCCGTACGAGCTTTCTCCTTCTTGACTTTGGCTTTAGCCTTGGCCTTGGGTTGCTTTTGCTTTTTCGGTTTTGGCCTGTGCTTTGTTGCCTCTCTGATGCTGAGGTTGTTCTTTTTTGTAGCCTCTTCAACATCTCTCTTGGCCGGCTTCTCATCCTTTTCTTTTTGTTGCGGCTTCTTTTTTGGACTTCCTTCTGCCGCTTTTGCAAGCGATGGAATTCCAAGCTTGGTAGTCTGAACTGGAGATTCTGGTACTTCAGTTTGCTTTTGTTTCTTTCCCTTCTTCTTTCCTTTCTTCTCCTTCCTTTTCTTGACGCCTGCCGCAAATGTGGGAATCGGTTTCGCCGCTTTAATACCTTGTTTTATCCTCGCCTTGGCTTCTTTGTTCTTAGCATATTTCTCTTGACGCCGTTTACGTCGCTTAGCACGAATTGCTTCTCTGATCTCGTTCTTGGTCTCTCCATTGACTTTAGAGGTCTTGTCGGCTTTTCCATTTACCTCTCCAGGAACATTCCCAGGTGTCAATGCTGGTATCACATTTCCTCCCACCTTTTGCTCCACTGTAGCTTGCCTTCTCTCGTCAACCTCCTTTGTCGAGGTTAATCTTTGGATTTGCCGATCCATATGGTGCTCGACGTCTTGAAGCAAATCATCTTGATCGACGGAAACCGGTGGTCCTGTTCCCCAAAAGTGAGATTCTTTTCCCGTATTGGAATTCTCTACTGCAGGGCTCAAGTCATCCTCGTCTTGAACATAAGTATCAGAGCGCTTTTTTAACCCCTTCTCCACGGTTGAAAAGCCAGATGTCGAATACTGATATAGATCTCCAAGAACAATTCCGTAATCCACTTTGTCTATACTGACAGCCTCTCTAATTGGAGGAGGTGGGATACCATATTCTTTGAGCCCATCCATTGGGAAACACACTAGGTCAAGTGCGCTACGAAAACTTTCATTCTCTTCGAAGCGCTTCTGGTCGGACTTGTCGTAGAGTAGACGACCAGGATATACTCCCATATAGGCAAGGATCACTGATTCTTTGCCATCGTAGTTCCAAGTTTCAGGAAGATATGATGGCCGAGGCAAGCGATCAGAAGGTTTGATAGTATCAAACTCAGAAGAAGTCTCAACTGCTTGGCCCGCATGAATTTGAAGTTCATTTATCACGTTTTCGGTCTTGATGAGCCAGGAGAGGGCGGTCATTTGTGTTTCTTGAAACAGATCATATGCTGAAGGCCTATTGCGGCTGTCCAGCTCAGTACAGGACCGAATGAGAGAACGAAGTTGGTCTGAGTAGAAGTCGGAGAGAGCAGTCCATATCGGAGGGACACCATCAGTGAGCTCTTGGATGTTGATAGGTTGAGCGAGGAAGGCAAGTTCAGAAACGCTTTGGCCCAGTGAAAAGATGTCTGTATGGCTGCCAGGGGGTTGTTCGTAGGCTAACGGTTCGTCCAAGTCTAGAAACTCCTTTTGGATGGAATCAGCCTCTTAGTCTTAAGACAAGAAAACAAGTCGCAGACTCCATTTACGACTAAAATTTGCCTTTCATTGTGAATTAAGGGGGTTCTGAGTCACTTACAGGGGGGATATAGCCGTCAGTGCCCGCTCCCCGCCATTCAGCGCCAAATTTCATTTTCCGTATGGTTTCATTCGGCACAGTATACGCAAGGCCTTTTGTAAAGCGATTATTAGAAATTGTCTACCTTGAGATCACTGTAAGATTAACGAGGACATACCAAAGTCCGCAAGCTTAAGAACAGGATATAGAAAATGTGTGCTCTCATCTGGAGGAGCCAGAAAGACTGAAAATAAACTGGTTAGCTCTTTTGTTCACGTGTAGAGAAATGTTCTTTGAACATACTATTTGCAGGCTTCAAGTCATGATGGATGATTTCTTCCCATGACTCTCGTGGCTGAACATCGGTAGTGCCCCGAACAAGCCAGCATAATGCGGTGGACACCTGATGAAACACCTGCCAAAGAAAGGCTTCAGGGAAAACGAAGCTGTGTAAAGTGTTAATGGTTACTAGGTACAGGCACTGGTGCCGAGGAGTTCTGCCAACTTACTACGATCGTTTATGGTAGTAGGCATACAAGTCATGAAGGCTACCAAGCGGATAGTATTCATAGACTATTCGAATAAGATCCATTCCATTGAATGATGGATCGACAGAACACCAATCCAGAACTTTAACGACATTGGGGCAGCCAATCTCATTAAGTCGGTGCGTCAGTTTTGCTTCAGAGCTGTAGTCTTGGAACCATCTGGGGAATCTGGTATCTTTGACGGCAACATATTCGGCTTTCTGTGAGTGAGATCACAATGTAAGATACTGAGTGAGGAAAATGACCACCATCATGTCTTGGCAGTGCCGTGCTTACTGAGTCTGTTTCCTTTTGCTTTTTCCAGAGCACGACCACGCCGTTACCACTTTCATGAACCATACGCAGTGGACGCCAGCCGGAAGATGTATCTTTTTGGGTGAAATCTGGCTGTAGCCGCTTATTGAGGTAGTCTGCCACCAGGATGTTTCCCAACTTTGTTGTTGAAGTAGCCTTGCGTTTAGGGTCTAGCAACGTCAGCTGTTCGGCGTAATAGGGTATCACGTCGCGATATTCCCCGCTATCCCAGGTCTCCTGGAGGTGCTTAAAGAATAAAGGGGGAAGTTTTAAGGACAAATTATTCCAAGGAAATTTGGATAATTGTCCCTCCTGATGTTTTCCGGTTCGAGCACCTGAGGCCACCGGCAGTAGCTCGACTTCCTCGGAAGCGTTGTCGATCTCTTCATCGACAATTTTGAGGTTTGGACGTTTGCGTTTCTGCCCTTTTCCCTTGACCCGGGCCCTCTGCTTAATCTTCACAGCTCCATTAGACACGGCTAATTCTGGGTTTCCTTGACGTATCCGCCGAGGTTTCTTGCCACGCTTTCCAGCCATGCTGCGGTGAAACGTAAATGGACAGGTGATGCATTGCAGCAGCGAACGAGGATAGAGTTTAAGAGAATTTATTATTCGGTCTTGGTAAAGGGCATTTGACTGCACAGTCTGCAAAGAACAAAGAACAGTAATGGCTTGGCGTGTCGGAGCGCCAACAAAGAAACATGTACGGGAACGGCGAACTATATTGCTTTGTACACTACAAGAGAAAGACGGTAAAGATCATTCATTATGAATCAAAATAAATCAGTCTTCTTGGCGGGTGCTCCGAAAGACATCATTCATATACGGGTCGCAGGTTGGGGATCGGCATAGAGGATGTTTGAGTATCACCAGGCATCGCGTTGGTCGGCGGCTTTCTGGGTCATTTTTAAGTAGTCTCCAAGGGGACTTTTGAAAGAGGGCTACCATAGCTGACTTATGTCAGGGACACACATACCGTATTCAATCCCCCAGATTCGAGATCCTCTGGTATGAGGCCTCAAGGAAGTAGGTTTGCATGAGCGTGTCTTTGCCTCATGCTCTGAAGAACGCTACAGCAGGGAGACTTTCACCCGGGTATCTTGCCCTATGTCTCCAGTTTACCCATTCGCCCTACCAAAAGCCGCCGCCTGATGAACGTAATGACTCCGAACTTACGACGTTGCTTGTTGATTTTATTTTATTTATTTTTTCTGTTTTCCTTCCTTTTCCTCGCAACCAACTTGTCTGAAATTGTTAATGTCTGACGGATCTAGATAGAGTAGTGTTATTTTTACCGCAGAGATGGGAGCCTCAAAGAAGGTGACCAATAAAAAAAATAATATAATAAAAAAAAATGGAAAGGAAAAAGGAAAAAGGAAAAAGAATTAAGTAGTGAAGAGAGAAAGAAGAAGGATTGATCCAGAAGCACTCATGCATATAAATCTACCCAAATATAGCCGCTTCGTGCACAAAAATGTTGAAAGATATCAGCTATGCAAGTTCGAGGGGTTTAGTTTTTGGGGGTCGCATTTTGCAACATGAATCTCTTGCCAGGGTAGGCGATGTGGCTGAGGGAGGAGAAGTCTTGCCATGATGGAAGGAGTTATGCAGGTAATGATAGACGGCTGTTTGTGCAGCGCTTGAAATAGAATTTTTATTCAGACAAGCGTTTACGCATCAATATCACTTCGAAGTTTTGTATTCATTTTAAGGTTCAGTTAGTGAAGTAATGGCGATGAGTACCGAGTCGTAAGTAACTATTAACCCATGCAAAGTGCTGTGCTCCGTGGGAGACTGTCGAACCTGCAGTAAGCTTACCAGACTATTTTAGCATCACGTATAATATAACGCAATTATTATTCTTATAATTATCAGTTATGATGAAGGCGGAGATGGTTCTGTAAATAAACCCATTTCGCCGCTAAACGGTAGGGGCCGAGGCAGTGCAGACGCTATAGACGGGTCTCCCCGAGATGATGAGGTAACAGAGAGACAGACACTCGACCTACCCTGAATTGTTCAGCAAATCCGACCGCTGCGACATCTTTGCTATTCAGACATTCTGTTGGAAGTGAACGGCTATCACCTCGTAGGGCGCATCGAACCTCTGGGAAGCCGTGCCACTCTGCTCGTCTGTGAAGATCCTTGATTTGTGTCTCCTCATCGTCGATGACGTACCCGCTTTGGAAAGCTACCCGTGCAACATGGTGCTCTTAATCAATCTCGATGATAATGTATCTCCTTCGGGGTACACTGGATACGACTCACGCTTGTTAGATTCCCGCCATCATCCAAATATCATCGATGCTACTGGTAGCGAGCGAGCCGGCTGCCGGGGTAGAATCAGTAGCAATGTCACTACGAATACAGATGAAGCTACAGGGAAACAGAGGTCGGACGATGGGGGTAAAGAAAGGGAGAATCCAAATTTGAATGAATTCTCGGCAGCTTTAGGCTGCTATCCGTGAGTGATACAGTCCCCAAAGCAGTCCCAATGACCTTCTGTCTTGTTCTCCTTCTCGATTTAAGTTTATAGTTGCCAATCGTCAAATATATTCGTAGCAAACTAATTCATGCAGGATCGTCTCTCAGATTACTTACTCTCTGGACCTGAACACCCTACATGCCCTAGCCCAAACTTGCCGGCAATTTCGAGCAAATCTGCTCCAATTCCGCCGCCAACTCGTAACGCAGACACTCCGATGCGAGAACGAGGAGGCGGACTCTCTCCTCACGGAATTCTACTCAAACAGTTACTCCAAGCAACCCTGGGGACGCGCGCCTCTTCTGACTCGCAGCGGTAATGGCGTGGGGCCGAAAACTGGGCAATTGACAAGCGGCAAGGTGGGGAGATGTGCCAGAGATATGGTAGGACCTTGTCGTAAGTGTGACAGGATCGTGTGCCGCGTAAGTCGTTCCCTCCTGCTTCTACGGTAGTATTACACGAAAGGTGAAGGGAACTTTCACGACCTGCTGGGTACCTAACAGTCTACAGAATTGTATCATCAAAGCGCCGTCCACCCATCGTCTCACTAATAGACACCGACGATTGTGCGACACGTGCCTCTCCGCTCCGCTCTATAAACATACTACTCCTCGTAGCATGCAGCCCCTCCCCGAGCCTCCATCGTTTACCGCCGAAGCATTTCTTAGAGGGCCGTGCAATTGCCCCGAAAGTGTTTGGCTCTGTTTGCCCTGTGGGCAGGCAATTGCTAGCTCGGATACAACTTATCGCCGCGGCTGGGCCTGGCGTACGAGCTATGGAACGCGTCTGTTTGGATTAGGCACTGGCATTGGAGAGGGCATTCATGGCGTCCATTGTGGTCGCGAAACCGAGTGTCTCGCCGCCAAGGAAGCCGAATTTGAGAATGATTGCGATGTACAGGTCGTGCAGCAACATTCCACCGAGAGGGGAGAACTTGGGCCGAGCTATCTGCGCCAAGAGATTGAAGGAATTGGCGGTGTGGTAAAGCAAAAGGTGAAGAAGAGATTGCGCGTCGGAGCCATTGTCAAGGCCCACGACGATGAGATGAATCGACGCGAGTACCTAGGAAGAGAAGAGCGGGGCGAGGAGAGGAGCTGGTGTGGATGGTGTTCACGAGTGATACCCAGCGTCAAGGATCGGCAAAGGGTTTCGTGGGCTTGAGTCGACGGTTCCCAGGAACGTTGGGTGGGAGTGTCTAATTGCAGTCGAATGGATCTACCAAGTATAGCCCAAAATCTGGGTATATGCAAATGTTCATTGCCGACCAGTTTGGCACATCGCCACGTTCACTTGAGAAAGGGATTGGCAATGTGGGCAGAACGGCTGAACAGCTTCACGTCTCCGCTTCAGACTTAGCATGATCCCTGCCACTACTTCATAGCATCATTCACAGTTGGTAATCGCCTTTTCTCACAACTAACAGCGGGTAGCTTCGGAAGGGAGGCCAGGTTCACACCAGGGCCAGATGAGATCGGCAATTTCTTTCGGCCCATATGAATCTGGAAAAGCTGCACAACCACCATGTGGTCTCAAGGACATTAGCGTGTGGTCTGAGGATTTCAAATGCTTCGTAGTCATCTTAAGACGTCTTCAGTGCCAGTATTATTTCCCTCGTTCGCAAGAAGGCGCTGGTGGCCCTGGCGTTTTAGGGCGTTTCGTCGATGCACTAACGCTAAAGCCCTGCACGCGCGAGGCAACGACGGTGGATACCACAGCCGGCTCAGCTTAGGAACGGCGGCGCTCCACAGCAAAGACTGTCCTGTCTGACTGGCACTAAATTCATGGTGAGATGGGACATGTCGATTCTCTCCTCTTAGTCAGCCTCTTTGGATAATTCACCACGAGCGTGACTCTCACAGACCCACTCAATGGGGAGGTGCTGCCGACAGATTCAAGTCATGTTCAGCAAAGTTTGGGAAAACAACAAGAAGCTTTTGCAACTGCTGCGAGTTTTTATACACCGATAATCACCATTTGACCACATATATCATACAAGGCGGAGAAAGAATTCATCATACGAGGGGTTGTATTTACGTCTTCAGCCACTTGTCTAACGCCTTTCGCATATCACGTCCTGCTGCTGCTTTAGCCAGATAATACAGTACAGATCGATATCTAGAGACCTTGAAATAGCTAGGTGTGGGCCATTATCATTTTGCATCGACGATATACCTCCGTATTGTTTAAATATTGCAATTCCTGTTTTTTCTCGCGATGCATGTCCGTGAACTGTATTGTGTGGTACCGACCCCTTGATGCTGGAGCAGTGACGAAGACATTTCCTTGAAAGACATGCGGACAAATTTCCGCTTTCATTGTAATGCTTCGTGGAGTTTCGGTAACTTATGACTGACATTTGGTGGTCAAAGGTTTTTTCACCTACCAATGGTTGCTAAAATCCCCGTGTCAACTCGAAGATTCAACGTTCAAGATTTGAAATCTAGCAGCGGATTGTGTCAATTCACAAAGCATTGTTCAAGGCGAAGGTAAAAGTAAACGCAAATCAGCACGAAGAAAAGAGAGCGACTAAAAAGGGGGAGGAGAATTAAAAAAGGATATAAAAGATTCCGAACAAAAAAACTCAAAAAGAATCTGAAAGCGAAACACTTCATGGGAAATTTCTCGCGGCTCAAGCCATGTTACGTACCGCAGAAGTGACACATCGACACGAAAGTGCGTCTTAGGATATCTCCTTTTTGCTTCACTCACGCTCACCGAAAAATAATCTTGAAGAAATCGAAATTTAAATCCATGTCCAACCGACTTTAGCAATACCCTTCATTCAATGTGGAGGGGGTTGGATCGTGTTATGGGTCGCGATGCCAAGATAAGCCACTCGTTTTGGGCTCGCCCCGTTTGCTTGGAGGTTGAGTCGAGCCCAGCTAGGCGCTTTTGACAGTACTTCGACCCTTGGACCAACCAACGTCAAGCTCTTTCGCCTGGAGAAGAGGTCACTCCAATATCACGGCCTATTCTGTTATAATGGTGCTTTATTAATGATCAGGTCCGAAGTCGACTAACCTCAACATGTTCAATCCGAAAATTCCGTATTTCCAACTTCCTTTGGAGTCGCCATTTTGTCAAAAGGTCGAAGGCAAAGCCCCTTTTGCTACAAACACGGGTCATAAGTTGCGACAACTGAGATTACAGTTTGGAAATGTCCAAAAGCATCTCTGGGATTAGGTGGTGGAGATGCCTGAATCTGCCGTCTGAAAAGCTTGTCCCCTTTCTCGCCTTGGTCATTCAGGCGTTGTCCGAGGGCCGCTTGAGCCGCCGGGTCGGACAGGGCCACATGGTGCCATGCGATACTTCCCTTTGATTTCCCCACGCACATGGGCCAAGGCCCTCCCTCCTGAGCAAAAGCTGGTTCCCGGCGCTGGAAGATATCGCTTGGCTGCTGGGCTCGGTTCCTGCCCAGGGGGCCTGTCAGTCTGTCAACACCTCCCTATGAGGAGGTTACCTCACGCCAGAGAACGCCAATCCTTGCCGTGCAATTTGAGCGACAACGCCGTCCTAAACTTGCGCACGTGGGTCCCATGATGCAAGAATTCCAAATCACCTCTGCTGTTCCTTTTCAACATCAATGAGCAAGCATAAATGTGTCGAAATATTATCACGGGTAAGTCCAATAAGTTGTGAATCTTTCTCCTTTGGTACATACAGAGCGGCACTTAATGGTCTCCTCACGACTCATGAATGAGGTGTGGCTCTTCCGGAGGATATTCTGACCGTTTGCTTACGCCCAGAGGAGTGGGGCTCTTGACACCTACCACCCAGTGCATCTGGGCATGTTGGTTGCTTGGACAGGTAGGGAGCAACACCGTCAGGGATACGTCTTTGAATCAGATCGGCTTTTGCTTCCACCCGCCCGTCCGTCCAACTAGGAGGGACCGCCTTTGAAGGCTATTACCTTGACAGGCCAACCCTTGCACCATGTGTGTTCGCGTGTTAAATGGCTGATTGTATCCAGACTTTTGGTAATGTACCCACATCACCATCGGCTTATCGTTCCGGCCGACTTGAATCTCTAGGCCAGCAGCAAAAATGTTCATTTCCGAAAAAAAGAAAAAAAGTTGTCCTCGATGGCTATGGAGGGCATTGGAAGGGGGCTCGTCGTTATTAGTGGGTTACACGGTGGTGGCCGCGGCTGACTCGACTTGTTTCAGGGCGACGCTGTTGGAAGGGGACCGGAAGTGGATAGCGCTTCCCCCGCCCTGGAGAAGCCTGTGAACAAAAAGTCGAATCTGTTAAGCTACCTCCAAAATGTTCAATCTGCTACTACCACCCTTAGGACTGATAGGGGTAGGGAGGGAAGGATGATTGGCTTGATCTCCATCGAGACGCATCCAACAAAGGGGTGGTTTATTCATTTACGGTTGTTATATTTGCCAGCGACAGTGGAACTCGCCCAGCGCCGCCCAAGCGGTTGACTGCTTTTCCATAGAATCAGCGACCAAACCTCTGGGATCGCGTTAGCCTGGTTGCGCGATGCGACGAGGTTATGGCCAGCCGTCCATCTCTGAATGGCGCTTTCTTGACATGGCTCGGGCCGCAACGAATCCTGGAAATTCCCTGGCTCGGTTATAGTCATGAGACGGAGTGGCAGTCAACATTTTGAGCAACAATCGTGATGCGTCCAACCTGCAATTTCAATTATGCGAAAAAGGTACAGAGTAGTAATAGCATGAGCACTCGGGGTGTATGATCATAATTTTAGCAGCCTGTTGTTGACGGCAAACAATGTCTCGTTCATGCGGGCAACACCAACGCCAAGATCAAGGGGGCAAGATGACAAATAAGCACCTAGTCACGGACTGAGAGCAGAAGTTTGGGTCCAGCAGGCTTGCAGCGACGGCACTCTCTGGGAGTTTTCTTGGTTTTTGCCCTGGGTGTTAAGCATTGCTTACACATGACGGAATTGTCCCCGAAGATCGGTGGCATGATGGCCAGGGTATCTCTAGCTAATACAAATTCAGATACCTCTGCGACGGATTGTGGTGCATTTGACGGCGTGCGATTGGGGAATGATAGTCCATCTTTCTTCCTCGTTCGAACGATTCATGTGGGACTTGCGGCACCCGTAGCAATAAGCTAGTCAGGGATCGCCCATGTCCACTCGGTCGGCCCCCTTGAGCATTCCACCCTTTCCCCGCCTCGCCCTGACCCGCGCATTGTTGGACCAAGCCTTAGATGGGCTGCGCCGCGTCTGATGCTTGGTGAGCCTTTGCCTGTCAAGCTTAGAGAGCTCCTCCATGGAAACTACTACACCAACGACCTTTCCTTGAGCACAATTACCACCACTACTATCCGAAGAGCGATGACGGCCGCTACTGCTGTTACCATGAATCCCTACTTCCGTCCTCTCTAGCGTCAATTATGGTGCGTCGATGGAGCCATGGCCTTCCTCCGCTCTGCAACCGTTGACCACAGCAATCCGTCAGTTCACCAGATGAGACCCCGACATGCTCATCAACTCTGGCTGCCGGATTTTCCCCCCATGACTGGGATCAATGGTAAGATGAAGGCTTCGTGTCCAAAACGGGCTTCTGGCCTGTAGCCATGGATATGAAGCTTGAAACTGTTCCCCACTTGTCTCTTCCGTCATGTCTGCTGCAGGAACCATGGGGGGCTTGGAGATTCGCTTGGCGTGCCTTTTTATCAAACCATCCCGCTCAGCCTTGCACAGCCAGAAAAGTACCCGACAATCGTCATCTTCTCTGCACTTTCCTTCTTCCATTGTTCCTCTATTCTGCCATATTTTTCCTTTTATAATATTTATATCATTCAATTCTTTACCACCTGGTTGGTCCATTGCTCTTTTGAGGTTATCTGTTTGATCTTAGGCAACCTAATTCCCTTTTTACCTCTGCACCGCCGTGTGTTCACTTGCTTCCAAGAATAACCACGATACTCGACCACGAGAGCACTGCCCTTTTTGGTCTCCTCGAAAAAGCTTTGTTCTGCCGTGGCCCCCTACTCAATACATACTATCGCTATTGCTTTGCAGAGCTGGACGGAATATCTATATCACAGCCGAGTGAACGTTTGATCAATGGTTATCTCGACTATTGCACTTTTCACATCATCTCTACGCTGGAAAGGCTTTCTCAGCTCGTCATACGGGTTGGTTGGCTGGCGCCCCCACGTCGCTGCAGTGCACATTACAAATTTGAACCTCATTCTTTGAGCTGGTATATAATTTTGCACGCCAACCATGGACGATCAACCAAGAGTCACCGCCGACCCTTCTATAAATGCAAAGGCTGCACGATCGCATCTCCGCAGCAATAGCACATTACTAGCCCGGGATATTACCGTCAGTGGTAGAAGGGGCCCTTCCCGGCGTCGGCGATCAACGATACCTTCTACACCACTCACGCTCGAGAGGATTCCTGCTTCCAATTACCCGATACGCCGACGCTCCAGCACAAAGTCGACGAAGTTACGGGCCGAGGCACAGGATACCGACATGTTTTCCCCCGAAGCTACTTCATCGGAGTCAGTTACTCCCCGGCTGACGCAAAAGACCGGTCGACCAAGTAAGGCGAAGAAGGGATTGAAGGTGCATGGCTGCAGCTATTCAGGCTGCAACAAGGTAATGATATCAATCGTACGGAGATGTGTAATGGGAAAATTTTTACTAAGAGCTTATAGGTCTTCTCTCGCGCGGAGCACCTAAGGTAAGATTGAATCTCGATCATCTATACGGTGTGGAGACATGCTAAATCTATTTTAGGCGTCACCAAAAGAACCACGAAGAAAGCCCCGCAATATGCAAATATTCAGGCTGCGGAAAAACATTTTTCAGAGAAGATCTTCTTCGTCGTCATGAACATCGACAGTGAGTGATCTATGATTGCCTCCTTAAGATTAATTAGGTCTGATGCCTTCGATAGCTTCCTCCAACAGCAGTCTCAGTCCGGCGATGGTCTCGAGCCTGCAATGACTGCCTCGCCTGGCCCACCCAACTCGTCCGTGATTACAGTACCATATGTTGCAGATGCAATTGAACCAGGGCACGGCGGACAAATTCTGCCTCTAACTACCGAAAATACAGCGGTCGAAGCGACAATGGCACCGGCCAGCTATTCTCTGCAGCCGGCTGAGCCGCTGTCGGAATCATTCCCAACGCCTGCTTTCCCCGGCTCGACGGTAACATACGAAGCTGGCAACCCGTCTTGGTATGGAATGCCATGGCTGCAGGGGATGTCTGGCAATTGCCCAAACGGTAACCCTTATGCTGCTCTGCATGGAACTATGAGCCTCGGCACCGATTTAAACCAACAGTATCTTGGTTACTCCGTTACTCGCCGCTCCTCTGCTGGTTCCGCCAGCAGTCTGCTCTATCAACCGTCTTCAGTGAACTCGCCCTCATCAGTTGCGTCGACCCTTAAAACTTGCAATGAAACAGAACCTACAACGCCATTACAACATGGGACTCTCGGCCCCATTGTGGGGGATTATAATGGACCTGTGGGTATCCTGCACTCTGGAGTAGCGTCTCCCGATTTTCGTGCTCAACGATTTTCAGACTCCCCCCGAGGGCTGCCAATTTCTCGCCGCTCCAATGATGACGGACGCGTTCTACGAGGAAAACCTCCTAGACCAGCAGAATCTGTTATGGACTCGCCTCGCCTCGCCATTCAGCCTGCCGGTCTAGACGTATTCATTCAGGCATATTGGGATGTCGTACATATAATGCTTCCAATCGTCCATCGTGTCACATTTTCGCCACTGAAAGCTCCGCCGCAACTTGTTCAATTGCTGCAAGCAGTTGGTAGCCAGTTTCTCGAGACCTCGACGGGTACAATAGGCATTCAGCGTATTGGTCAGATATTGGAAACCGTTCAGCAAAAGGTGAGCCTATGCAATGCTAATTGTCCTAAACAAAATCTGGGCTCGCACGGAAACGGGCTAACATCTCTGAAGCATATATCCAGGTCTGACAATAGTAATCCTTACAGCATTTCTGATATGCAAATTTGCATTTTGTCAGAGTTCATTTTACATTATAGATTGCATAGATTGGATGCGAAACTTTCAACATCATTCTCTCACTTATGCGCGGCTGTACGTCTCCTACATTAGATTGAGCTGAAAGGGACAAAATGCTAATCCGGACATCAGTTATTTTCTGACCGTCGAAGACTTTTCGTCGACCCTCTGGCGGCAATACGGTCTCTCCCTTTTCCAGCCAATTCGCAGGCACTTCAACAAGCATGGCATATTTGGATTCACAATGAGACATGGCGCAGAATATACCTCGCAGCATTTATCCTTTCGAATGAGCATCGCATCTTCTTTCAAGCAGACTCCACTTTGTCACCCTCTCTTATGCAAGGCGCCCCATACATTCCATTACCGTGCTCTCATAGACTGTGGGAATGTAAATCAGCCTCTGAATGGGAACAAGTTGCCCGAAACGAGCTCTCGCTGCAACTTGGCCCGGCTGCAGCGCTTGCGACTCGCCAGCAAATGCTCATTGATGATTTCCAAGCTCACTCATTAATATCTTATTTCGCCTCATCTGTGCTATCAAGAACACCAGCATCGCAGCCTGCGCTGTCAGATCTAATACATCTCGGAAACACACTTTATTCCCCGCTTTCTACCAGGAATTCCAACACCATACTTTTGTACGAAGCCACGCTCATGGCTCTTCACATTCCCCTCGCCGACCTTCTTGCCATCAACGGTGAAAGCTGGACATTTGGAGGCAAACTTGAAAGCCGAGCCGCCTTTGAGAGCACGAAACTTCGACTTCGCAATTGGGCTACCTCTGCTGTCGCAGCCACCGCTTTGTTTCATGCTGTACGCGTCCTTCGGATCATATATACCTCGCAGCAAACTTCTCCTGGTTCTGTCAGCGATGGAAGGCCTCCTCGAGCCAATGGCCTTCGGAAAGAGTGGACAATTTACCTCGCAGCACTAGTTTGCTGGGCATGCAGTCACGTCTCTCGCCCACCGGGCCCAACGGTGGTGACAGTCACGAGTGTGCATTCAGACTCGAATCTGCTCCCCGCAGCGACTACGTCTCATGCCATTGCCCATGCCAGCCCTTCCGCTGTCTCATCCGGCATTCTCCACTTTAGACGCGACTCAGAGGATGGCGCCCTTCAAACGTATCTCCACGAAACAAGCACCATTGCCAATCCGTCTGAGCTGTACCCTCCAAACCAGCAGCAACTTGGCGACATATTTCGATTTGCACTAGTACAACTTACTGCTCCCGGACTGGGTGATGCTGGTCTTTACAAACAAGCAAGTGCCGTGCTTCAGAAGCTGTACGAAGGAAGCTTCGCAACAGCCTATTGTTAAGATTTAGTCTTCTGCCTTGTCGACTCATCATCTTCATCATCATCAATTGGCTATGGGGGTTTGGCATCATTTAATGTCGTTCCTCTTTAGGATTGATACTTTCCTAGTCTCTTTGCATTACGACTTTGATTACTTGCATTGTTTTTTTCCTTCTAATGATAGCATTCTCATTCTTGTCATTTCTTATATGTGCATCTGACAAATCCAGCATGACCATCTCTCCTCTTTCTCGCCTTTATCGTTGCATTAACATTGTTCTTGTTCTGATGCTGCATATCCACCTTTAATTCTGTCTTATTTGACTTGTCGCGATGAATAACACGAAATGATACCATCTTGATTATGCCCGCGCTGCGCACTGCATCCTCGTTTCTTTTTCCCCTTAATCATTTTCTTTTTTTATTATTCTTTTTTTTTTATTTTTTTATTTTCTATTTATTTTTATTTATTTTGTTTTGTTATATAGGTTTCTTTTTTCTTTTGATTTTTACTTTCGTTTTTCTTTTACCGCATGTCTAGAAGGCATTCTATCGGTCTAGGCTCAAAAGGAACATGTCTCTAAAAGTATAGGAACTTGGGACGTTTACAAGAAAGAAAAGTAATATACCCGCATACAGTTCCTCGTTTATCGGAAACTCAAACTCTGGCCCTGTGGCCTATTTTAGCTCGTGTGGTCTATACTTTATACTCTAGAGAAAATAGAATGTGTACCTCATTATCATCAACCCCGTCTTTCCGTATTGTGATCTTATCAAAGCATCAGGAGTGTAATGAATTTTCTATTCAATTGTCATTTCACCCAGAATACAGAGTATGCCAACTTAGTATTCTTTGCCCGTAGAAGAAGCATACCATGTATTTAGTCCGATACTCAAATTCAGCACAATTCACTAACATCACGGATGAAAAGATATAACAATATAGAGGCAGATTGGTATTTGAAAGGTCAGAGTCTGGCCCGAACTAAACTCCCGCCATCCAGCGCAATCGTGGCCCCATTCACGTACGCGCCCGCACGACTCGACAGGAACAGACACGTGCCTGCGACGTCCTCGGGCGTGCCGATCCGCCCGAGCGGGATCTGGCCCTCGATTTGTTCCCGGAAGCGCTGCAGCGTGGCGGCCATCATTTTGGACTCGAATGGGCCGCAGGCGATTGTGTTGGAGCTAGTGCGAGAGCTATTAGTGCGATGAAGGCGTGATGTGTTTGGGGAGTTGGTTATCTTGCGGTGGGATCATAGATGGTTAAGAGGCGTATTCACTCAGAGAAGCACTCTCGAGCTTAATAAAGAAAGCAAGAATAAAGGAATGAATTAACGAGACAAAGAACGAAAGAAAAAAGAAGAGAGAGGGGGAAAGGAAGGAATGAAGGAAGGAATGGATGAATGGGGAAAAAAAGAGACAAAAAGACAAGGAAGGACGAAGGACGTACGTAATATTCCTAGTACCCAAATGATTGGCCAGAACGCGACTGAGATGGTGCAGTCCGGCTTTGGATGCGCTATACGCAAAAGTCTCGAGCGCGGGCACGCGCAGTCCGTCGACGCTGCCAATGTTGATGATGCGTGCGGGATCAAGAGGATTTTCAGAGGCGGCGGCTTCAAGGAGCGGCGTGAGGAGCTGGGTTATGGTGAAGACGCGGTGCAGGTTCAATGTCAGAACGCGCGTCCATGCGGATGAAGGGTAGGAGGAGTAGGATTCGCCCCAGTTGGAGCCGGAGTTGTTGACGAGAATGTGGAGTTCTATAGTTATGCGTGAGAGTGAGTTCGAGTGTTTTGGTGTTGAATAGTACAGACTTGATTCTCGCTTTTCCAATTCTTTTGCTAGTCTTTTACATTCTTCCTCTTCGTAGAAATTTGCTGGAATAGCCTCTGCCTTTCCTGGACCAATCTTGTTCAATTCAGCCACGGCTTCGGCGCATGCTTTGGCGTCTCGTGAGGAAATGTAGACTTTGGCGCCGTTGCGGATGAAGCCTTCGGATATCATCCGCCCAATGCCCTTGGCTCCGCCGGTGACAAGGACGACTTTGTCCTGGTTGTTATCAGCTTTGAATAAATCATCTATAATTGAGAGGGAGAAAAGGTGCATACCTTAACATCAAAAAGGTGGGGAATATCCATTTTGACACAATATTTATGGCAAAGCACGCTATAATCACTGGCACGGAAAAGGATAAAAAGAGCTGGAGTTGAGAGTATGAGTAAAATCAAATGAATGATAAAATATAAGTACTGCGTGAATGAGAAGATGCTGAGAACGTGTGGATCATTTTACTCCCCAGCATCTCATTGTACGACTTGATGCTGCTACCCCGGACGGATACCCTTAAACAGTCCCTCTCCGCTGTGGGGGAATTAGTTTCAAGGGACCGAGGGACGTCAAGCCGAGGTTTAGATTATCTTGATAATTTGTTTAGATAATCCATCTGATTAGATGGAAATATATCTGGTCTGCGCCCGCCTTGAACTTTCACATAACCCTTGTCTCTTAAAATTCGTTGCATTCTATGCCGCCAGTCCCTCATAATCGAAATTCTTACCTGAAGTTCCTTTTCTTTTTATATTATACCATTTAGAGCCTCATTACATTTATAGAGCACAAATGGAGGAACTTCAGGCGAGACAGCGCAAGGAATTGCGCGATCTGCAATCCCGCATCACTCAAAAAAAGAAGTCCGCAACCAAAAAGACGCGGAAAGGTGTGAATGACGAGTGCGCGAACCTTGAGCGAGAGACAAAGGAGAGACATGAAAAGGAGATTGCAGCACTCCTTGGACAAGGAAATGAAGAGGAGATTTCAGCAAATCTCGACAACATGACCCTTGAGACCTCGCACGAACCGACAAATACAGCCAGCCAACCCAACGGAGAAGCGAAACCTGCTGGTCAGGTCAATGGCACATCAGAAGCTGCAGACGACGTCGAAACTACAGCAAATGGTGAAGAACAATCCAGAGCAAGAAAACCGAATCGCCAAAAAGCACGTCTGGCACGCAGAGCAGCAGAGCAAGAAGCCCTGGCAGCCCAAGCCGCAGAAGAAGCTGCCAATCTGCCCAACATGCGAGAAAAGGAGAAATTGACAATGATGAAGGAATTTGCCAAACATGGACTGCGGGAACAGGAAATCAGACCGGACGGCCACTGCTTATACTCTGCCGTCGCAGACCAATTGACAGACTTGGGTCTCGGTCTGAAACCAAAGATTCAGATTGGTGGTACCGATGGCCAGGAGACGCTAGGCTACAAGGTTGTTCGACGTGTGGCAGCAGACTTCATTACGCAAAACTCTGATGATTTTGTGCCGTTTCTTGAAGAGCCTCTGGACGAGTATACGCACAAGATTCGGGATACGGCCGAGTGGGGCGGGCAGCTTGAGCTGCTAGCCCTATCGAAAGCATATGGAGTGGAAATCAACGTTCTTCAGGGAGACGGACGGGTCGAAAAGGTAGAGCCAGGGAGTGATGCGGCTGAGCAGAAGCTCTGGTTGGCATATTACAGGCACAATTTTGGACTTGGAGAACATTACAATTCTCTGAGGAAAGAGTCATGATTTGAGTCATCCTATGGTCTCTTTGATCCGTATGATACCCAGAGAGAATCATTTTTCTTCCATCATATTTACATTGACAAATCAACTTTTTCGACTCTGTTCCAGCGGTGGCAAAAAAACAAAACTACCATCGGTGCCGCCATACACTTACCCAGTCAGTATCCTTGCCAATCTCGTGTGTCCGTATTGGCCTCCAATGCGCAACGCGCTCTAAGTCTTCTTTGGTCGCGCCTCGCGCAGAGACATCTGCAATGTATCCCTCTTCAGAGTACGGGAGGTCTTCTCCGGGATGACTTAGGTGGCCTATGTATATAGACGGAGTGACACCAAAGGGAGGACCGCCCGTTGACGGATCCTTGTACGTTGGGAACTCGACACAAATGAGATTGCCGTCAGGGCGGGCCAGAAGCTGCGAATGGCGCAGAGCCCATGCGGGGCGTAGTGATGGTGGAAGCGCACAAAAGAACTAGATGCCGCAAAAACGCGAACAGGGCTGTCAGCATCGATCATAGGTAGAGAAAGCTGCCATAAACAAAAGAAAAATCGTAATTTTCGAGCATACCGTGTAATCATAAATGAGATCAAATTTACTGCCAGTCTCGCGCTCAAAATCCGTCTTAAAAAAGTCTCCGAGGACAAATTTGGCCGTGCCCGCACCAGCTGCCTCATCGCGCACAGGATACTTGTCACCAGACTCGCGCGCAATTCTTTCACATTGCCTTACCGCACTTTCAGACACCTCCAATCCAAAGGCATCATATCCAAAGCTCGCCAGCAGCAGGACATCGTATCCCCTTCCGCATCCAGGGACAAATGCCCGCTTTCTTCTCTTTTTCCCAGTCTCTGGATCATCAACTAGAGGCGATCCCAACAGATCGTGTCGTTCGACCAGCGTATCGACCAGAGCTGGATTGGGCAATCCCCTGTCCCACGGAAGAAAGTCGCCTTTGTCCCAGAGTGCAGACCAGCGATCGTTCAAAGCGTCGGCGGGGACGGAGAAATGCTCGCGCAATCGCTGACGCACCTCATTCGGAATCTCTTCAGTCGGTGCCATTGTCGGGAATTTCAGTGATATATGTACAATATTTTGAATCAAAGGACACGGCTGAATGATGTAACTGAGTGTGCACACCCGGATCCGTTACAATTGAGAGTGTCTACCTCGAATCGTTGTTTACAGCTTGTTATGCAGTGCCCCGCGATAACGTACTGTTGCGGGAGCTATCAGTCAGCAACGCCATCATTATTGCGTCGTTGGATCCGAAGTCGGTCGTTACAGGTTTAGTTTTAGTTTTCGCGTGGGAGAAGCAGCCTCACAAGAGATTTAACAGCGGGGCGAACTTGGAATTGGTTACAGTATGGCCCTCCATTCCTCTTGCTGTCAAGGGCCGAGGGGCGGTGGCTTTTGAGGGAAACTCCCCGCTATCGTTTATAGTTACGGCGGAGCTTGGCCGGTGTATTATACCCTAGAGGGCAACTCCCTTACCCAAGAACGCACCTAAGATGGCGCTATGAGCCGTGGAAGGGGTTGCAGGTGTCAACCAAAGGGGGAACGGGGTGCGTCGCGGAACAGACAGGCGGGTCACGGTCACAATGACAGTTCAACCAGCAATGCAGCCAGCAGCCGTTGACAAGAGACTGAGTGGGTGGTTGTCACATCATTCGGATGAACGACCCGGCAAGAGATAATGCGAGGGATTGAAATGAAGGAAGAGCAGAGTTTCAACTCTATTGCATATATATCCTGCATAGCGTGACACAACATAGAGTTCTAGTGGGACTGTCACAAGCTTATTTATTCACCGACCTTTGAAGGACTTGTTTTCGACCGCCGTTTATCTATGACATCCCATGACTCAGTGACAAGTCTTGCGGGAAACATTATCAGCCGGGATATTTAGCATACCGCACTACTACAATCATCCGGCTCTTAAAGGCGAGGACCGAACTCCATCATTGGATTTGCTTGGATTTGAATTGCATTGGCAAGGGAACTCTCGCAAATTCCTATTTGAACGACAGATACGGTGATTCATCCATCTCGCAACAGATCCATTGGCGTTATCGATACAACGACCCATGACCCGTCCTTGACACTAACCGCACTGATCTACTGCAGCACCGGCCCGGAGAGCGAGACGGACAGCGAGGTGGGGTTGAAGAAGCATGGGTGCGCCTTTGACCACTGCATTGTAGGAGTAGAAGACAAATTGTTATCTCCCCCGCGATACTTTCTTTTCTTTATTTCTTTGCTGCTTAAATACTGTTTTATTGGGATTATTCGGATTGAGTTGTATTGGTGCGGTTGAACCAGATTAAATATACCCGTGCGCACTTCTTCCAGCGCATTGTTTGCATGGCATTTTTTTTGATATCGCCATTTGCCTTGAGATTTCTGCATACAAGCTATAATAGCATCACATCTTCTTTTATTCTTCCCATGTTCGATTGGATCAATTCCCGTTCAAAATCGGATGAGGGTACCAGAACACCATGACAACCAACGACGTGCCATCCCACGAAGGGGACCCTGAAGTGGGCAATATTCCCGTCGTTGCTCCAGATACTGTTCACCACGACATGAATCCGATAACGTCCTCACCACACACAGAAAAGGACTCTGAAACCGACATTTCACGCGTACCTTCTGTCAAGTCTGAAGCTGCTCGTGGCGACAAAATACGCCCGCAAGTATCTCAGGGCGCAACATCTCGAAAATCACGAGCCGAGTCAGTAGTTCCGCGTGGGAATCGGCGAGGGTTGTTCGGACGATTTGCTCTTCTGCCAGAAGTTGCAGAACCTCAATTGGATTATGTGCGCAAAGAGAAATGGGCTATTACGTTTATTATTTCCATGGCCGCAGTAGCAGCGCCATTGGGAAGTACAATATTCTTTCGTACGCCTTCCCTGCCATTCTCCCTTTATACGTCGTTCTTCTTTCAATATAGACTCGACCAAATATTCAGTTTTATAAGATATATCATTCTGACAATAGACCAGCATCACTACCCGAACTATCCAAAGATTTCCATACATCCCCTACAACCGCCAATCTGTCCGTGGCATTCTACATGCTGAGCATGTCTATTTTCCCACTATGGTGGTCCTCCTTTTCCGAATCTCTCGGCCGGCGCACCGTCTACCTTATTTCCTTTTGTCTCTTCTTGCTCTGGAGCATTCTGAGCGCCGTATCAACTAGCATTGCCATGCTCATCGTCATGCGCGCCCTCGCTGGCGGCGCATCCGCATCCGTCCAGGCCGTCGGCGCAGGAACGATTGCCGATATCTGGGAAGTCCGAGAGCGGGGGAAAGCCATGGGCACTTTTTTCCTGGGACCGCTATGCGGGCCATTATTTGCGCCCATTATTGGCGGCGCGCTCGCCCAGCGCTGGGGATGGCGCAGCACGCAGTGGTTCCTGGCTATATACGGGGGGTTGCTAGTCCTTGCCTTGTTTTTCGGGCTTCCTGAGACTCTGAAACATACCAAACCTTTTCTCCAAGGAGACTCTCCTTCCCCTACTACTTCTCCTCCTCCTCACGGGGCAAACGTCGAGACAGAGTCCAAATCCGCAGATACATTCGCCAAACAACCTTCATCCTCCTCAACTCCCCGTCCAGATCTACAGCGAACAATAACAACGCGCTCCGTCATTCTACGCAAACGCACAACAACCATCATCCTCGCATTGAAGCGCATCCTGCTCGACCCGCTGCGCATCATCTTGTACCTGCGCTTCCCCGTCGTCCTCATCACCGTGTACTACGCCAGCATCACCTTCGGGTCGTTATATATCCTTAACATTAGCGTGCAGCATACATTCTCCGCCGCGCCGTACCATTTCCGCACGATTATCGTGGGGCTGCTATATATTCCCAATTCCTTAGGCTACTTTATCGCCTCCTTCCTCGGCGGGCGCTGGACAGACACCATCATGCATCGCGAAGCGCGCAGGGCAGGGCGGTACGATGAAGATGGGAAACTGATTCTACTCCCGGAAGACAGAATGCGTGAGAATGTCTGGGTCGCGGCCGCGCTGTATCCTGCCGCACTGGTGTGGTACGGCTGGTCTGCGCAGGAGGGAGTATTTTGGTTTGTTCCTGTACGTCAATCCCTTTTTTTTTCCTTTTATTCATTTATTTATCCATTTGATTTATTTCTGTTTACTTTGATTATATTTGCCCCTTCTTTTCTTCTCTATTTTCTATTCTTTTTTCTTTTCCTTCATTTTCTTTGGTGCCCCTTTTCTCGTCTTCCTCCCTCTCTCACCTCTAGTCCCCCTCACATCTCTTGCCCTCTCGTCCCCTCATCTCTCTTGCCCTACCTTTCTTCTCATCTCCATCCATATATCCATCCCCACCATATCCACACATAACTAACTCGCGACTTTCATTTACTTCTCTGTATAGATGCTCGCCAACTTCTTCTTCGGCATCGGCACCATGCTCGTCTTCGGCACCGTGACCACCATGCTGACGGAATTCATGCCAAAAACTTCGTCCGCCGGCGTGGCAGTCAACAACTTTATCCGGAACATTTTCTCTGCCGTCGGCGTCGTGGTCGCGCAGCCTTTGCTCGACGCCATTGGCAACGGCTGGCTTTTCACCGCCCTAGGCATCATCGCGGCGCTGAGCTCGGCTGTCATATGGGCCATGAAGCGGTTTGGGCCGCGGTGGCGGGACGACATGGCCAGACGGATGGGATGAACACCCTAAGTGTTTAGGTGAGGGGTGTCCGTTGGTCTGGTCTGGGTTGGTCTTTACCTTAAAAGACCAACCTCCAGACCGGGCATGGGTGATTGTATTTTTTTTTTTTTCCCCTAAAACTTAAACCCATCTATGCATCCATCGGGTATAAATGTAACTAGCATTATGTGCCATATTTCAAGCAAATCACCATCAGTTTTTCTCAGCATATTTCTGCTGACTGATTGTTAATGTATTTCCTACATGGATAATGTTGGTAGTGATCGCAGACCAGGTGGACATGGACCATTGAGGCACGTTCAAAAGACCAACCCAAGGTGTCTCTGGTACTTAGGACTCAGGAGCTATAGCCCTATGAATCTATGAATCTATGAATCTATGATTCTGTACGTTTGTCCTGACTCTTGACTCCTGACTCCTGACTCCTGACTCTGGCTGGTAGACAAGGCAAGTAGGTAAATACTAATTACTAATTAGCATTGCAACTTATACAGTATACAGTATACTCACCGAGTCAACCCCCCTCCCCCTTCTCCTCGCCCCCGGCCAGGACTAGGTAGTTAGGCTTACTTCTCTTTTTTCAGCTGGAATGGATTGTAGATAGTAGAATGTCACTATAGAAGCCTAGATATATATACTTGAGGTTATAGATTTAAATAAAGATTGAGCTACGTTTGAATAAAGTGTTTACGATAAACATATATAGAAGTAAGGACTACGGACGAATTGATATAAACAAACAAACTAGAAATGAATGAAAGTTTGAACGTATACACAAACAAAACCACAAACGAATAAAGTATAAACGTAGGTATATAAACCTACAAGGCTACAAAGTCAAACGAACGAAAGTATCAACATTTAAAAAAAGAAAATACAATAGATGGCAAAGTTGCGGGTACAGCGGTACACTGTAGGTCCGTAATGACCAATGACCATAATCAAATAATCAATGAAACTGATCCTCGGTAACGCCCTTGCCCATGGCGCTCGTCGAGCTGACTCCTCCCGTGACCATCTTCAACAGATTATCTACATAGTTCGCGCCCGACCACTTCTGGTGCGTGACGACGTCGATTTTGCTTTCCATTTCGGGCTCCTGGATGAGCTCGCCGTACGCGCGCATGCCTTGCTTGGCGTAGGCGCGGGAGAAGCGGTCCGCGATGAGGGCCGTGCTGTGCAGGCCGGCCAGGGTAATAAACTGCCAGCAGTATCCGAGCTGGGCTAGCCGGCGGATATACGTTTCTTGGTCGGAAGGGGACATGGCTGCTTTCCAGTTGAAGGAGGGGGAGAGATTATATGCCAGTCTAGAGTCGCAGCATCGTTAGCATCGTTGGGCATGAGATCAGAGAATTGTAGGTATGGAGAGTGAAAATATAAATCGGGATAAAAAGATGAACAGATGGGAGAAAGAGGGGAGAAGGAAAGGAGAAGGAAGGGAGAAAGGGGATATGAACCAAAAAAAAGAAGAGATGGGAAAATAATAAAGAAAGAGACCGACTTTTGCTCAGGCAGAGCGGTGTGCACGCCGTCTGCGAATTCCTTTGCCTGGTTATAATCCGGCAATTTACTTTCCATCCAGATGAGATCGGCGTACGGACCGTACGCTACGGCGCGATTGATCGCACACTGACAGCCTCCTTGGTAGCGGTAGTATCCCTCGCGAGTGCGGGGCGCGTCCCAGTCCCAGTAGACATCTACGCCGGTGATGCCCTTTGCGATGGCGCGTGCTTCGGAATTGCTCTTGCCCTTTGATTCGGAGAGGAATTTCTGAATCAGGGATTTCTTGTTGACGTGGACCCCGGCATTGATCGAGTCGATGACGGCTTGCTCGAACAGTTTGAGCCCGGCTTGGGAGACCCATTGGTCCTCAATGGATTGAAGGGTGTCCCCGCTCTTGCCGGCGTGCTCAGCCGCAATCATCAGGTCGTTGAGCGGCTGCAGGGATGAATTGGTCGTTCCCAAGATGAATCCGTGATCGCGTGGGTCAATGGTCGAGGTAATTAGTGTGGCTGCTTCAGAGTCTGTACGTGCAATTGCAAGTAGGTCGGTTCCTGGACGTCATTAGTATATGAAGACGTTATAGCGGGCATATATCATATAGAGAAAAAAAAAAAAGAAAAGTGAGGGCTACCCATAATGTCGGCTTGTGCACGAATGGCTACTAATCTATTGATATGCTCGCTGATGGGAACCAAGACTTTGCCTGCCATGTGACCGCATTTCTTGGTTCCGGGTGCCTGGTCTTCAATGTGAATTCCTGCGGCACCCTGCTCCACAAAGAGCTTGGTGAGTTTCATGACGGCCGTGAGACCGCCGTGGCCAGTGTCGGCATCGGCAATAATGGGGCGGAGAAAGTCTGTATTGGCCACTTTGGCCCGGGTCGCCTTGGGCGTGGACAGCCGTTCTTCGCGCTGCTTGCGGTCGTGGAACAGCTGGGCCATCCATAGATGCTTGACCTTGTTCGGCACAGTATTCTATTCAGATGAGTATTTATTGCAGTCACCAGTTCTCATTGCGTTCAGGATACATACGTATGGGTAGTCTGCAAGGTCAGGTGACGGTTCGTCCGTGGACGATGCCGTCGACGAGGACTGCCAGCCCGAGACGTAGACGGTATCAAGATATTTTGCCATTTGCGTGACCATGACGGGGTCGAGACAGCCAAACGTGAAGCTAGCATCGGAATTCTATTAAATTAGCATTCATATCCCCAACTCGTTACCATGTGGATATGAACCCAGTGTTCATTTGACCACGAAGCAGTTACAGCCACGACTCACCTTGAAGCGCTCTTCCAGAATCTTCCAGACCTTCTTGCTCTGCGCATTACTTGGATACTCAATCTTCAAAGTGCCCCGCTTGGCAACAATCGACTCGGCCGTAAAGGGGCGGCGTGTGTAGCGCCAGCGAGAGTCTCTCCACCATTGTTTTACCGCTTCGACCTCCTCCAAGTATTTTTTCTCTTCGAGATCGAGATTGGAAGCCATGGCTCCCAGCAGCGCGTTTTGCATAAACGGGTCCGTCTTGTGTGTATGATTTCGTTGCGGCGTTTGAAATTTCTAAAACAACATTAGCACAGTCTCATTCGTCTGTCTATTCCACTTACCTCTGTTCCCTGTAGTAAGTTGCCCCAGGGTCTTTAATTGAGAACTTCCTTTCAGAAGCTTGAAAGCGATTAATACGGAGTGTGTGAATATTGCGGTCGAGTGGAGAGTCGTCAGTCTGAGAACAGAGCCTGTGACGTCGAATCACAGTCACCCTTGGATGCAGCAATTGCCTGTACCTCCTCGGCTGAATACCAAAACAGTCACAAGCTTGGCTTTCCGAGTTTCTAATTGCCAATTGCCAATCATTAATTGCGAGTTGTGGCTTGCGAGTTGCTACCCGTATATTATAAGTTGAGTCGTCTGTCGTCAATTCTCGAATGAGTCCGGCTGTGAGTCGTATTGCGGGTAACGTTCGAGTCAGTCGCAGTCACAATCACAAGCTTTGCGTTTGAAATGTCCACTCTATCTCGGCACATGCTGTTAGCAAAGTCACTATAAGCGTCCACATCCTCATACCTCAATGCTCTTTACCACCCTCAGATGCAATTTCACTTACCTCGATATTTGATAAATATCCCTTGGATCTTCAGGTCAATGACTCAGTCTGAACGCCGTAAAGCACCTCAACTGTTTTTTTTATTCTGGTGTTGGTTTGGATGTACAGTATATAAGTAAAGCCGTCAACCCTCCCTGGGTATGTTGCGTATAGCCGACCCTGCATCCTGATTCCTGTAAGTTAGTCCTGCCCCTCGTCCGAAAACACTCGGGTATCTACCTAGGGTACCTCCATTTACCTCTATTCGTCTTAAATTAGGGCATAGACTTCCTGTAACTTATAAGTTATCAGACAAGCAGTATTCTACATTATAATGATTGTCTGTTTGTTCGTATCTCGTACTCGTTTCAAGTACCTTTCAGTCCCCTCACGATAAGACTTTCTGCCTACTAGTCTGTTTTCTATATTATTTCTTCTGAGGTTCATATTCTTTTTTTTTCTGTTCCCTGTACAGTTCCTTTCAAGTTGATGTCTCTTTGGTTTTACTGTAGGAGAGGGGTCAAATAGGAATCAAAAAGCTACAAAAGCACATGCAGATTCTTTCTTCTCTTCATAAATCCGGGGTTCGCTGTGCAGGTCCCTCAGGTCCCTCCCCCCCCCCCCCCCAGTGTCCCCGCAAACTACCAAGACTAACTTACCTTAGCTCTTCTCGCTCCACCAATGCAAATTCACCGCATTAGTTAGTCTATCCCACTAAACCCACTAAAGTCGAGTTAAAGTGTCCAGCTAAGCCAACTTAAATCGCATTTGCCGAGCAGGCCAAGCACATACCGTATTACGCATTATCCGTGCTGGTTCACATTTCGTCCCTCGTCCCTCGTCCCTCGGTCCAGCGGAACGTGGTCCCCTACGGTAATTACCTTACCTGGGAACTTACCTAGCTAAGGTACCTAAGGTACCTAAGGTACCCAAGGTACAGAGGTAAAGTCAATGGACAACACATGTATCTCTGCATCATGAAAACAAAGGATGTGAAATGAAACGCAGAAACTCTAGACTCGGCTAAACTAACCGTACATGTACAGTGTACTGTAAGTCGAATCGTGGCTCTGTCGTTAACCTCGGCATTTATTCCATAGAATCATATTCCACTACCTTACGTACCACATCACTTCTCAAGATCTCGGACAATACCCAAGGTACCTAAGGCAATTCAGATATTTTGGGTAACTTAACCGTAGGACCGTAGGTAATGACTGTGGAAAAGTCATAACCTCGGTCTAGATATGACTCCAGACCCTCATAACCGTTTCCTTACGCTACTTGCGCTACAGACCTACCTATACTTACGCTACTGACCTAAGGTAGGTACTTCTCTTTCAAACTGCCTTAAACTAAACCGAGCAGAACAAGAAGCACAACGACAACATGTGATAATGGTTATGCAACATGTACTTGGACAACAGAGTCATGCACAAGACAACTATGCAGTCCGACATTAACGACAAACATACTTGTATGGTCAACTGTAATTTATATTCATATACTGTCCGAAAGACTAAACATAAACAATCACACATGGATCCATTGTGGCCTTGACCACCCTGTCGTACCATATCATACCATGTCAGACGTATTCATATTCATCGTATCCCACGCATTATTGCAAAGCACAGATAAAAAGAATCCGAGATGGACCCGTTCAAGCAAGTGAGCAACAACAATACTTATCGTAACCCATGCAATGATGCAACTAGATACTTCTCAACAAGTTGGAAAACTGGACAAGCGGGAGAAGGAATAAGACCTGTATCCCATGGAGGGGACAACTGAAAAAACCAGAACACTCAAGTAGTTCGTAAAGATATGATGCATAGCAGACAATGCAGCAGACAAGCAGAGCAGCAGAGCAGCAATTTTAAAACAAACAGAGACAAAGAGCCGCATCTACAACGCCGAATGACAAGCTGTAGGCATTTACATCCTTGCAGTCTCAACCTGAAAACGTCGCAATCTCAAATTAATGATTTAGTTAACAACGCTCAGGAAACTGCCGATTCAAGCGAGGTATCAATGGCCGAAGCAAAGGTCTCATACGGCGTACAAGCACCGAGGGCTCGTCTCATGTGGGCGCTCAGAATCTGCAAGCCATATACATAACTAGCATTCACCCAGCCAAAACTGCACATAAAAGTCAGCATATTTCTCTCTCCCAAATAGCCAAAAAAAAAAAATAAACGGTACTCACCCTTCGCGAGCGACACCCTTAAAGTCACTACCCTGGTTACCATACTCGGCTTCGACCTTGTGCGGGTCAATCGGACGTGTCACGTCATACTTTTCCACCACGACACCGTTGAAATCGACAAAGGCCTTGGTGATCATGTACAGCCACTTGTAGGCCAATCGCTCCGCTTCCTCTTGGTACCCGTACCGAATGAGCCCGGTCCAGGCGAGCATTTGCTGGGGCGCCCATCCAAACGGATAATCCCACTGGCGATTAGGACGGTCAAGGCCGACGACGCCGCGAGACTCCTCTGTACCAGAAACCAGGCCACCATACGCTTCGAATCGAGGCAAAGCGCGAGAAATCAGCAACGTAGCTTGACGCGGCGTCGAAAGGCCAGCCCACATGGACCAAAAGGTGGTGGCAGCCTCGTACGTGGTTTGCTCCTTCTTGACCGTATCGTAGTCAAAGTACATGCCTTTTTCCTCGTTCCACAAGTACTTGTCGACTGCAATCTTGCGACGCTTCGCCCGACGATCCCACACCGACGACGTTTCAACCTGATTCGGCTTCATCGGACCCTCGCACCATTCCTCGGGCACAACGAGCTTGTCGCCAAAGAAGCTTCGAATCGTGCGCGCAATGTCCGTTTCATACTTGTACAGCAGCGAGTTCAGGTCAATGGTGGCCAGATCCGCGCACACGCGCTCCAAACGGTACGAGGTGTCGTGACCGGATTCGCGCACGGCTCGGTCGTGCAAAAAGTAATCGTCCAACTCTGGCTCAGACACTCGTCTATGGTTGTAGGCATCAACAAATTCTTCAAAGGTCAGATTGTTCTTGGCTGCGTAGGGCTCGAGGACATGAAGAAAGTGGGACGCCTCCGTCTCGGGAGGTACGCCCAAGCCTTCTGGTCGATACCGTGACAGTCCCGTCTCTGGGTCCAGTCGCGGCAACGCCGTCCAGACGGTATAGTACTCCTTGATCGCCGCCAAGACCGCCTGGCGCAGGAATTCCAGAGCGCCAGGTTCATGCTTGATGCGGTCGTACACTCGGAGCGCCATGTCGGTGAGGAACGGAGGCTGGGATCGGCAGAGATAGTACGTGCGGTTGGCGTTGAGAATCTTTCCATAGTGACGAATGCAAAAGCAAAAGTTCTGGACCATGGACTTGGCCAAATCGACGCGGTCATTGACCAATAGACCCAGCGACTCCATGTAGCTATCCCAACCGTACAATTCATTGAATCGGCCACCCGGCACCACAAACGGAAGTCCACGAAGATCGGTCTTACCCGTTTCATCCTCGTACTCCTCCATGGCGACGGCCAAAAGACCGGGCTTGCTGTTGAGATCGCGCACGTACTCGGGGGTGATGCCCTCTTCGGGGAGCAACTGCACATCCAGGCGGATCTCGGGGTGTTCCTTGGCAATGCGGGTGTAGTATTCGTACTGCTCTGGGGCGCCACGCGGAACGTAGATGCGAGGGCGGGGATCCGGGGTCCAGTCCTTGGGATCCTTGCCAACCCGTGCAATATTGGATCCGTCAATGCGGCGTGTCAGGCCATCCCAGAAGCTATTTTTAATCAAACGCGAGAGTCGATTGACCGGATTCTCGTTCAAACGGGCCTCGTCGAGCACAATATATTTTCGACCGTATTCTTGCGCCAGAGTGAGCTCCTGCAGCAAGTTTGAAAGCATATAAGTGCCTCGAACGTCAAAGTGGTTGTAGCCATTGGAAGCAGCGGTGCCCAGAGAAAGGACCTAATTCAAATTAAGAGGTTAGATACTAAATGTAAAAACGATGAGAAGTGGGGACAGGCCGCTCATACCTTGGGTCCATAATCATCAATGGTAATCTGCCAGTTGCGATCGGTATCCTCATTTTCCAACAACGAATTTAAAGTAGATTCGACTGGAATCAAGAATTTGCGAGGCTTAAAGGACTTTTCATCTAGTTTGGAGAAGGCACATTAGTTTCCCGTTCCGTGACGACTGCTGCCGATTATCATCAGAAGAATGCTCCTTACCGTGACTTCCACGTCGAATTGGTGTTTTCAATTCTTTGCGGGTTGTATTCGCCTGCGGCGAGTCCACAATCTAAACGCTATTAGTTCCTTATCACCCACATACATCACATAGTTCTCGTTGGATGATGGGGGAAAAGCACGTACCGTGGAGTAGGTTCGATTCCGACCATGATTGCGGATCAAGGATTCGGCCTCGTCTCCATAATAAATGTGTGCGGCAGAGTACGGATCGAGATCGCTCGAGGTTCGTCGTCGGGGTGCACCCAATGACGCGCTCATTATCCGCCGGGAATGGCACGCGGGGCGGGAGCTAGAAGGAGAAAAGGATAAAAGAAAGGGAGAGGAAGAAAGAGAGGGAGAAAGGATAAAAGAAGAGACGAAATGCGGGGGGAGGGTTGGTAGGATCGGAGAAGCTTAAATGGGGCGGGAGTCGAAAACAATTATAGCCCCCGACGAGTTTGTCGCAAGCTGAGTGAGAGGCTCCACGAGCGGCTGGAGAAGAAAATCCCGGGGATGAGGTTTCAATGTCGTACAAGACGAAGAAAAGGGAAACTCGCGTGGGAAAAGCTGCTTCTCTCCTTTGAGATTTGGTGTTTATGCGCGTATGTATGTATGCGTGCGTATTATCGACCGGGATCAATGTGGGGGGACCACAATGACAGAGAGAACGTGAAGTGGAAGGAGGAGGAAAGCGAAGGAGTGAGTTACTCTGCCACTTTGGTCGCTGCCGTGGAATGCAGGAATGTGGTGTCGGATCGGATCCCGGAGAAAAAAAAAAGAAGGGATTTGACTCGTGGGTGGTGATCTTTAAGAATGATAATAATAATGATGATTATTATCGGTCAGATGGTGCTGTGTCAGATTTGGTCTGCAATGTCATGTAATGCAATGCACTACAGTATGCGTGTCTGTCTCTTGCCCTCGGACTCCGTCGGTGATGAGTAGTCAGAGGGAAGCCGTTATCGGTCGGATGATGACACTTCTCGATAGGGTGGATAACGTAAAGGATAAGGTATAGGGAGAGTTAATGATGATGATGATGGTGATGATGGTGATGATGATGAGATGAGAAATACAAAGGAGGATGGTTCACAATGGAAGAATCTACTTGAAAAGTAAAAAGCGGATAAGAAGGAGTTCCCGAGTTAGCTAGCAGGAAAAGATGATTTCACTCGTCTTTTGGGCGATGATGATACAATCTTCCCTTGGGCCAACTCTAGTCTTTTCCACCACAGAGCGGTGTGATCCGGGAGGAAGAGAGTGGTAATGACACTAGCGCTGTGGGCTCACAGCAGCTGTCCCGAGTCAAGGATAGCGACCCGGATGGCTCGAAATCTACCAAACCCCTCGATCCCTGCGCATGGGACACGGGACGATAATGCCGAAGAACTAGAACAGAATCATTCAATTCCTTTCCTTTTCATATCCATTGTATTTGGTTCCATTATTTTTTGCTTTATTTGATTGTATTTCCCATTAGGAGGATGCCAGCGTGCTTCAGTTCCTGCGGGTTCCAGATATTTCCACTCTCGCTCCCGGTGACGATATCGATATGCCTACGTAGTACCTCACTTATCGGTTGTGATGTCAATTCATCACTATAAATGGCCGAGGGGGCAAAGAAGAAACTTACTGGCAACGCTGGCTAGAAAACCACCAGTCCAGAACGGGCTAAACGTGTCTTTGGTGGGCCCACTCACGGACTGACGTGCCTTTTTCATATCATCGCTTTCTGTATAGCAAAAGGAAACAAAGAAACTCCAATGGATATCATTTGCCTCCCCGTGGCTTGATAATTTTCCATTATGCCCAATCTGCCAGTCTCCTCTCCAAGATAGGTAAAGCCACAGCGATAACCTCCGTGATGGCAGTGGGAAATAGCAAAATGAGGAAAAAGTTAGTTTCCGCCTCGGCCGCTAGTCACCTGGACGTGTACGCCACTCTACCCGTATCTACCACACAGTAGGCTCACCCTGCACGAACATACAAACTGTAAATTGCTCGTTTTTCGTGTAGAGAGATACCATCATCTTTCGTACAGCATCGTATAGCACCGTACTTTTTCATGCCACTCCCCGTTTTTGTCCTCTAGCCCCTGAACATAACCCTACTCTCGGCTCTTTCTTCGGCCTGAATGGTCAATCGTGGCGTCGTGGGGGTTGCCCCTTTACCGTGCATCTTACTTTGTACATCCAAGTTAGCTCTAGATGCTCTCTCAAACCGCCGATTGATCAATTACAAGGCATTTGAGAAAACCCGGGAGAGAAAGTCCCGTTTGTTTATTTTCATTTCTTATTTCTTATTTCTTATTTTTTTTCCATTTCAATTTCCATTTCAAATTTTCCCCTCTCTGTCTCAGAAAATCATCTCGTCTCATCCATGCCGTCAGCCCACCCATCCCTGTTCATCTCAGGGTCTCAGTAATATCAATGCGACAGAGTAAACCTCTGTCAATTTTCTGACTTCCGGGGGGAGGGTAATCAACCCGGGGTACACGTACACGGTACATATTATCCGTTCTCCAATAGAAATTGGTGCGTCTCGTGACTCCTCCCAACTACCTACCTACCTTAAGCATGGCCGATTTGTCTGCCCAGCTGTCTCATCGACCCTTTCGGGGAAAAGAGGATGCACAACAGGGAATCAGGGTTAAGTCTCTTCTGAGCTTTTGCAGGAGTCCAGGACTGTAACAGATGTCAGTGCTTAATCGCTTCGCTGAGCAAAAGTCTCATGGACGACCATGTTATTTACCCGCCTTGTCTCATGCATCGTGGGCCACACTGCGTCTGAGTTTCACACAAGAAACGAACATGCTTATCTTGCCTGCTTTCCATCGACCAGCCGTGAATCCGTGATTTATTAGTTACACCGTAGTCATTGCGGAAGAATCCCAGTGGTCTGTTATCCAATAATGACAATGTAAAAAGAAGCGAAATGCAAAGACTGGGGTTTGGATATCCGATTCCCCAGCTCGTGCAGAGTGCCCAAACACAATTGACGCGGCTCTTCTCGCCCAGCGTTTACACCTACCTCAGCACGTCGATCAAAGTCACCGAGCTGGTCTGCCACTCTGACATGGTTGACATGTGCGCCAAGTCACGAGGACCGTTCTGTGAGACTGTAACCAGGTACGAGCCTGTACCACAGCAGGAATGACAAGGTAGGTATCCCGTCCGGTCAGTCAGCTGATTACACAGCTCATTTCTTATTTTTCCACAAGCATCAAAACATCAGAATGACACAAATGACCTTCTATTGTCCGGTTGCAACGCTTTAACATGAAAATTGAATATATCCAATTCAAACATTTTTCAACATAAACTTTTCCATTTCTTCCCGCGGTGAAATATCAACGAACACGACCAAAACAAATGGGATACGGCATCAGGCAGTAATAAAAAGGTCGACCTTTACCCGCTTCATTACAAGGGGAAAAGGTGCCCTAGCTGTACTTCATTCTAGCGGTCCATATCACCATTCCCGCTGGGTTGCTCATCTTGGTTCGATCCATTTTCGGCAACCACAGACTCCGTCTTCTCAGGAATATTCTGTTCCATTCTTTGCTTTGCCTCTTCGGCCAATTTCGTCCTCCAAGCACTCTGGCTTTCGTCTCCTAGATTGATTCCCATCTCTCTCATCCGGATTCTGGTGTAGGCCGGGCACGGCTCGTTCGATCCATCAAGGCAGAAGAACTTTTCGATGGGAGTGGCGGACAACGCGCCCTCAGTGGGCTTTGGATTTGTCGAATTTGAATCGCCGTTGCACCGATGGTGACTGGTCAGATCCGCTTCGCCAGCCTGACTATCTCGAGCCATAGTCTCTTCCGCGGTAGAATTCTGGTGTCCCGGATTATTTGCAAAATAGGAGTTGGTTCCCTCTTCACGGCGCCGTTCTTCAGCAATTACTCGTTTCGTATGTAAATACAGAGGATTTTCTTGCTACAGCCAACGTCATGGTTAGTTGATGCGATGACACTCTTGGGGCAGACTTTTGGACGTTTTCAAGATGGGAAGTGAGTAATGAAATTAAATACCTGGTTTTGCATTTTGTTGTGTTTGTGCGTGTATAACTCGGACACAAGATGCAGGGGCAGACTCTCTTTTGAACAGCGAGGTTTCTTTTTCCGCGAAATGAAATGATGTACTCGAATCTTCTAAGCCAGTTTTATTTTTTAAAGATGCCGCTTAACCACAAGCTCAACGACTACTGTATGATGCCTCCAAGGTGAGTACGACGTACAAGAACCAATGGGAGTCAGGACAACCTTCAGACACTTACCTTCGTGGAAGCCGATGTTGCCTCAGAACGATGTGCTCAGCAGAGCTTGTATGAAAGAAGAGAGTGCTCAAACAAAGTTTAGCCCTCCTGAGTCAACTCCTACTCCTCCGTTGTTTGTGCAGCGTTTATAGAATTCCCTATCACTTTCCTTCCCCAGATACACCTTGTTCAACCTGTTGCTCGATTGACGAGAACCAATTCCGAATACAACTTAGCACGGGGCCAGTTTGCTGGGTACGATATGAGTGGCAAAGTACGGTGGTGTGTTTGGGATTAAGGTCGTGCTCTTCGAAGCTATGGAAAAATCAACGTCCAAGGCAGAATGAGACTTGCCCGTAATGATATCAAAGAAAATTGAACAGCAGCGCCGGTCCAGAAAGAGAAAGGCAAATGGTGATCTGTAAGCCGAATGAAATGGAATGAAGATATGTCGGAGAAAATATGATATTAAGAAGACAGGAGAGCATGACGGCTTATATAGCCTTTAGAAGGAAGCATCGCCGTGATAAAGTGAAGAGAAGAGAAAACTCCTCTGGCATCGAACTCGACATACGAAGACGTGGCAAAGGTATTCCGCAATTTCCAAGCCGCAGTAGGATCCAGCGGTGACTGTTGGAAGGGCGAATTTTGACATTGGGAGTATACAGGCGTCTGCGGGCACGTTGTGGCTGCTATGCACATTTGCCAGCGCAGATCGTCAACGCGCGTTGAACGGCAGGAGTGCAGCCCTATACTACTCGAAATCGATGGTAAACTCCCACATCCACCTCGTTTGAGTAACCATGCTTGCATAGGTCAGTGCCCATTCCTCAAACTGAATGTCAGCTGCATGATTGCCTTTCAAAAGGCAACTGCCTCGAAATTTGATGTCAATTATCAAGTCACAAATCAGACTTGGCCGCCTTGTGGTAGACATCCAACACTTAGTCGTCACAAGTTTGAACCCTGCTAAACACGTCGCACCATCGAGATTAGCTTTGTCACAATATAGATTGGGCAGCATTAATGTGCGCTAGACTTTATGGAAAGAGCGGGCTAGGTCGTTATATCTTTTGATATTTGTCGAGCATTGGAAATAGCTTCCTTATTTAGCACAGCCTGGTCAATAAATCAGCCATCTGTCTGCTCGCTCAAGCCCAGGTGGTACAAGAAAAGCAGCGGTGAACATTCACTTTTGTGCTTGGTTTAAACTGAAGGTCTCCATCCCCCTGCACGGGCTTCAGAGCTACTCCGCCATAAGGTCAAGGGGGAGTTATTGTTGCCTATAGCATTGAACGCAGAATATCCCACCACGGCTATAGTTGCAGATTGCCCTTGCCAATCTGAAGATGCGTAACATCAGAATGCGGGTGATGCACTTGGGTCCTTGCGGGCTGGTCGAAGCAGCGTGTAGATCATTCATAATCATTTCTCAATTCCAGTATAGAGGTAGAAGGGATCTTCCAACTAACAGAATAATCGTGGCGGGCGCCATACGCTTAGCAAGGTAGTAAGCGCCGGGCAACTAGAGAGGTGATACGCTTGAGACTCCCGAGATCTCGATCAATGGATGTTTTTTCTCCGGCGTTGAATAAGCCAGGCCATTTTCAGAATTGTCTTCGCAATCAGGATTCCTGGAGATTCGAGCATACTCGAACGATTCTGTCACCGCCGCTAATCTCATTTCTAAGCCGAGACCTTTCATGACTCGGTCGAGGGGCGGGTGGTCGAGCTCTGGTGCCTACAATCGTTGTCATCGCCAAAGTGACGCCAGTCACTACGCGTGTTCGGAAATTAGGTACAATTTGGAGCTTGCTCGAACGAGTTTGCTGCAACGTCGCAAGGATTCCACGTCAATATGGACCGGCTAGATTCTGCAGACCCCTCTTCTGCTATGAGGGAATTATTCTCGTTTGGGACTGAACTGATTCAATTAGTTCGATTAATTGATGGCTCTTAGAATTGAACGACTGGTACAAGCTCCAGAATAGACTCTCACATAGCAAATCGCGTTCACGGACCAGGTTTATAACACTTATGCAAGCCACCAAGCCACTTATCTGCGAAAATAATGGGAACAATGGTAACCAAAAAAAAAAAAGATACAAAAACTCACAGAGATAATGGGTTGCATCTGCGGCTACATCTTACACCCAGAAGGACGGAGGTGATCATTTGCTTGGGACGGCATGTATCGCCGTTTTCGATCATTGTTTGAGGTAACACAAAAGACGACCTATCAGCAGCTTTGCTCTTGAACGAACGAAGCTGATGGTCCAATTGAAGGGAATTGGATTCGTAGTTTGGAATCAACATCAGGCTTCCCTGGGACCCTGGCTCTCAACAACTAGCTCACCGCTTCAGGGATGCTAGCTATTGATATAACAACGCATCATGATCTTTGTTGATGGACACATCATTAGTACTTTGGGGGGTTGTGCAAGAGATACAGAGATTCTATTGGTCCAAGATCCTCAGTAGAGCAAAAAAAGCGGTAAAGAGCGGTCAAGCACAATTTTCATAGGATGAGCCTCAATTCAGAGGCCGCAATGTTATTTTCGGCGTCAAAATCGTCCCAACATGTGAGAAGAAAAATGACTCTCAGTAAGAAAGATTATCGTCTTATTTCGCATTAAGGCAACAGGGCAGTTCATGCAATGTCGTCTTTCACTCACGCTTCATACATGCGATGTTTGAGCGGGCGGAATCGTAATTAGCTTCGGGCGGGGACGAGCCGAAGAACAGCGGTCCGAAGAGCGATGACCTAGCTAATCTTTGGCGGAACTCCGGGCCGGTAGAGAACTGCTACGCTGGAGAAGCCAAAATAATGGCATGGAAAGGGACAATGACAGGTTTAGGTTCAGACATGTCCCGACAACTAGGAAACCAGAAAGCCATCCACGCCCTCGGGGTCCCGAGAGAATGGCCCAGATACTGTTAAATCTAATGATCGCTGCCGGGTAAATGTATCCGAACTGGCCCCGGTCTCGATAGTGGCCTGAACAGCCATGTCTAGGGCAAAGTTAGCCTTCGCCAGGGGAAGCGAACGAGCTGCACAATCCTACAAGCTTCAGCCGAACGAGGGAAGATCGAGCCACCTTACGACAACCTCTCTTGTTTCAATCCCACCGTGAACAATTGCCGGCTGCCCTTTTTGAGTCACTGAAAGTGACGAGGTGGACCCAGGCGCATATCATCACATACATACCGTATACTTAGCATTAGTGCTGGCTGGTACTTTTGTGCTACTATATAGGTAGGCAGAGGGCGATAGTTGAAATGCTTTGGGAAGCAATACAGATCATTGAGAGCGAATCGGGCCATCGATCTACCAATCAATGCCTGGAAAATGGCACCTGCATCTGAGAGCCCCTGCGCATTCAATGATGTTTGTCCAGGATGAAGGTGTATTTGATCTTTTTCCCGGGGCTCGGTCCATGCCGCTGAGCGTACTCCCCTCATCGCCGATGAACCATCCTAAGTGCGAATAAATATCCCCCCAAGATTTCCTGTGGCTAGACGCAAAGGGCGGTGGACTTTTGACGATAGAACACGGGAGTCGAAATCCGCTAAACACAATCATGCCCAATTGAAACCCCTCGGAAATTGCGGCCACGCAAAGCCCAATCTTCCTGTGTTCCATCCTGTCTCACTTAATATTTTTTTTTTCCCCCAGAGGTAAGGCGACGAATAGACCTAGCACCGAGTTTCACAACACCAACCGTGCCAAGTTCAGTTGTAGTTCGCTCGAGCTTCTGGTTGTTTCCCCCCCTCCCCTTATGTGCTGAGTCGGGTCAAAATTGATAACATTCATGTTGTAGGATATCTGAAATTGGATCTATATAGTATTATACCAGCATTTGTAATGTTTATCCGGGTCTGTTTTATGCACTTGAGTAATACGCGTATGCTGATCACAGACGCCATGCTGAACCGCACTGGTAGTATAAATTCTCTTCCGCTCTTAGACTCTACGGTGTCACGGCGGATCACTAGCCCTCATATACCTTCGGGAGGGGAAAAAGTCATATTGCCTGACCAAGTGGTAGTAATACTGGTGGCCTGCGAAGAATATCCTTTATCGCAGCAGGGGTGCTGCATCTCCGAATCTCTTCCATTTGGTCGACGACCGACTGAAAACTTGTTTTGTCAAGGTTGAGTCAGCGAAGAATTCCCAAACATAACCAAAGATTTCCCCCCTATGAACACGAAAGCGAAGGATAGATACGTACATTGCTTGTGGTCCAGCAATCAGCGTACCCTCAATCTCCTGTTTGAGCGATAGAGGTAAACTCTTTAAACGAATGTCTTTTTGTAGTCGACTTCTCACGTAGATACGAATGTCTTCCTCGACGTGGCTGTTATTAATCTCAATTGACACAACGCGTCGAGCAGATAGCTCTTCTTCGATATCTTCCTCCCTTTGGCTCGTCACAAGCAGTCGAAGCTTGTTTGGGTGTGCTTGAAGAACGAGGTCAAAGAAGTCGAAGATTCGTTGGCGTTCAAGGCATTTCTCTATTGCATCAAATACCAGAAACACCCGGGTAAATTCGTCCATGACGGTCTTGAATGTCGTGACGACATCACTTTCGCGCGGTTGACGAAGAGCACCATTGCATTTCTCGTGAAGAAGCTCCACGCACTTAGGAAGGTCATTGATCTGACAGCAAAGCTGACTGATAAGCGCCGACACAACTGTTCCTGTACCCTGATTATATTTACCATGGGGGTTGAAGTAGAAAAATGCAATTCCTACTCCAGCTCGCTTCACGTTCTGATCCAAATCATCAACAATTCTGGAGCTAAAGCATTGTTAATTATCATACTTTCTAAAGCAGATATCCATTCCTTACCAGAGGACCGTTTTCCCAGAACCAGCTGGTCACATTAGTCCTTCTGTTCTTCCATAACCGAAATTGGCGAGAAATGAACCTACGAATGCCATATAAACATAAAAGTGTTTCGTGGGTAACGCTTGAGAGAAATGACTTCCACTTGATATAATCCTCATTTTCACATAGCCATCTACCGGTGTGTGTCGCCCTTTTCCCGCAAGCTTCGACGTGGCTCAAAGAAGTGTCGTTGGTGGAGAGCCAGCGTAACACCTCATACCTATAATCATCTGTTACATCAGCAAATGATTAAGGAGCATGCCGAATTGGCAATACTGACTAATCTTCTTCAACGAAATCTGTTGACTTAAGTCGAGTAGTTTCTGATGATTGGTAGCATTTATAGCCCTGCAAAAAGTTCAGTAGATTATCCTATTAGATTTCAACTCGCAGAATTACGGAATACCCCAATCAGTGATGTTTTACTTACACTGTGTCAGCATCCAGCGCAAGAGATAGGCTAGTCTTGTGCCTTTCAAGGACAGTAAGGGTTTCATGCAACTCTTTCTCTTTGAGCGGCCATAATAAGGCACTCTTCAACTTTCCTAGCCCGGTAGCAGAAACGTCTTTTTGTAAGCGGTTCTGAAGTTTCGTCAAAACGAGTCGGCAGCGGTCAAGGACACCGTGCTTTACAACCTCGGTGACTGCAGATAAATTTCCAGAATGTTTGCTCTCTAAATCTCTGATACTCTCCAAAAGAAAAGCAATGTGTTTTAATTCGGCAGTGACTGAAACAATAAGTCCGGATTTTGCATAAATTTTGAATTTATACTGATGACAAATTTTCGCGACGGAGTAAGTCAATTGAAGAACAGAGATAATGCTGGCTGCGACACTCAACCCGTCCATTGCTGAGATCGGAATTCTCTGAGCGTCCGGGTCTCAATGATGTGATAATAAATTGTTTCTGGCATTTTTGATGCCATTGTAAAAAGGCGCGAGCTAGGCTCTTTGAACCCCATAAGAATTGCATGCGTTGGCAGCTCTGCTCCGCATACAATTTTTGAAGCACTTCGCCTTCAGCTAAGAAGATAGGGGTTTGAGACACCATTTGCAATGCCTTTGAGACGGATTGTCCATCAGATGCACAGTAGGCTGCATTTGCGGTGGATGGTCCTATTATCTTCGGATATCTTGCAGGGGGCAAATGCAGTACGATTTACCGAGAATACCCAACTGCATATGTGTGATAACGGTACAACCGCGCGGTAATAAGTCGATTGCTCACAAGTTGATCGGTCCAGAAGTAAATGTGATCAAAATTCTGACTCTCCCTGGTTGATAAGGAGACGTGTGCCAATGAAATTTGGTATCGACAAGCTTATAACCGGGATTTTAGGAATGCCCATGCATGAAGGCTGCTCCAAAAAGTGCCAGCGAATAATAACGAGCGCCACGAGCCTGATAGACCGAGAATCGTAGCAGGAGCTGACCTAGCAGATTGCATTGAAGCAAAAGCCAAAGCGCATCTTAGGCAAAAGTCGTAAATTTGCAGGAGGAGCGGAAAGCCGAACCCAATCTCGTCTGTCAAAATCACGGTAAGGCAAGCGCGCCGATAATCCTGGGCTTCGACTACAGACAAGTAGCGCTTAGCAAAGCTGTCAAGAACAGAGTCAGGGGCATTCCGTGCTCTAGATGCATAAATTGAGCGTCCAGACACGTGGTGGCGGCGAAGCGATGTGAATTGGCGGCATCGGGCAAGAAGGCGCCATCTCCAGGAGTCGAATGGACGCATATGCTGTGCTTTGTCTCGTCCTGTTGCAGAGTCTAAAAGTTTTGGATTTGATAAGATTGCCTTAAGTAGCTCCAAATTTGAGATCCTGACCGTGGCTTGGCCGTGAGCATATCCTGCTGATTCTTCTTCTATTGCATCAAAAGGGTCTTCATATCGGATAAAATGGCGATAAAAGTCAGGACTGAGGATATTGATATCTATATCTGTGATTTGTATGTTTGTTGCATCCTCTGATTCAGCGCACCGCAATGAGCTGATATACTCAGTTTGTGGACGATTTCCTGCACAAGAAGTGTATTTTACCCGCAATGGTGATTTTGCATGTCGAACCTGCCATTCCAACAAGCTGTGAAAACATCTCTCTATTGAGCTGTAACAAGTTTTAGTACAAGTAATGTTTCAAGTACTTAAGAATTGTAAACTCACCGTTCACTGGAGTCGGCATGTCTTGTGATGCTGTTTTCTGTTACAACTGGCCTTCTCCACACTTTGAGCCTTCGCTTGATGAACAGCTTGGCTGCTTCTCTGAGAATGCGAGGGAATGTGACTAGTCCAGCCCACCACCACGTAATGACGAATTTGAAGGCGTCCCAGCCGGTCAGCAGACTCGGATCAATAGCTTTTGCTACTGAAGCCACACTTGCGGTAAGTTTTGGTTTATTTCCTGCCGAATTGAGCACGACGGTGTTGCAAATAGTCGGAGATCGTTCTTTACAATTGGCAAGGGGATCAATTGCCATGAATGTGTAGAATCCGTCTCTGTTATTGAATGGTGAAACGTAAAATTCCTTCTTCCAGGAACTGCGCAGGCTTGATAAATGGTCTGTGGTATAGCTTTGACTATTGACAAGCTTTTCGCCGATTCCTAACGCCACCATTTAGTATCGAGATTCTAGACAAGCTTGTAAAGGCTCTCACATACCATTGACAACAGGGCCAGCCTTCGGCTTGACAAAATACATGTGTCTCTCATCGAATGTATTATTGACCTCCAGAATCATAGCTTGGAGGATCTTTTCATGGGAGTAGAGGTACCAGAAAGAGACCGGGTTGAAAGAATAGCCAAGAAACGCAGGTGCGGTAACCAAATATGCAAATGGATAATCGCTCGGATCGCAACACTAGTTTTGTCAGACACAGATTGCATTCACCCAAGTAAGAGATCATACTTGAGAAAGAAGATACGAGTGAAGCTTCTCTGAAAGTCCACCAGGAGAATAACCACGCTGTAAGTAGTTATCTGCACTTATTGTAAACCAGTTGTTTCGCGCTTCGCTATCGACGGACAGTACTGGCCCTACTCGACTTCGCATGCCAACTGGAATGCCAACGAGCAGATATGAGTAACAGAAAGAATGCCGTTTGGGGAAATGTCTTGTATGAGCGGTTTCGCATGGAAAGAACAATGGTTTAGCAAATGAAGAATGCGTATCAAATGATGACGGGAGGTCTTCTAGGCGGGTCATCCGTTGCCAACCGCGCCAAAACGTTAAAAAGATCACGAGAGTAGCACTCGAAATAATAACATGTATTTGACATGAAAGCGCATTGTGATATAGGGCACCAAATGGCCACTGATCAATCCACCAGCCCATGCTGAGAATAATGAGTGCATCTAGGATAGCGCCTCTGTCACGTAAACAAAGCCGTAGAGCTAAACCAAGTGAAAATACAACCAGGCCTAGGGAAATGGCGCCTTCAGCCATTAGGTGAAATGTCATATTTTTCTCAGAAGCATCTAAAAAGACGAAATTTAAGGTCAATTCATGGTGAAAATGCAAGCTCATTGAACCTCACGTGGTCATGGCGGACCAGGGTTAGATGATGACATCTACGATTTGTCGCAAGCGGAAAGCGCAGCGACCACGACCCCGTACGAGGGGTAGAAAAGGAACGCGGGGCGCACAAGTCAAACACCGGGCAATATTAGCACAATCATCGCTTGAGGACGATAATCAGGTCGCATGTTGCTTCAACTCGGTGGAAATTCAGAATATGCTGATCATTTGCAAGGAAGTATTTAAGCCGGAGCCAAAAGCCGGGGAACTGCGGCAGAATGCAGTAGTGCACCCGTACAGCGTACTCGTAGGTAAAAAATTCGCTGTAAATCTAGATTCAGCAGAAAGAAAAAAAGTTAGCATTTTAGGCGATAGGTGGCGTTTCCATAGCTAGCTGGGTTGAAAAGTCAATGAGCCTCCAGAAGACTGCCAGTCCGACGATATCCCCAGGTCAGGCTGAATCAATGTCCTTAAACTTTAAAGCTGAACCGTAAGTTCACTACGGGAGTAGAGAGCGTGCTCTGACAGGGCTGCGGAGTGTGTCTAGTACGTAGTAGAGAGGGCAAGTCAGGGTAGAAAGCCATGGAAATGGGCGCGCAGAAACCCGCTATACCCTCTGAGGTTTAGCCTATGAATCATATGGCCCCTCGGTCCTTTTTGACCTCTTTCCCCTTCAACTTTCGCCCCCAACTCCTTTCAAACGTCAGAACATAAACGCAAAGTTCCCCAGCACACAAGTGTAATCTACTTCTTACATTCATCATTTTAATCTTCTCAAACCCAAACATCACTAGAATTCATCACCATGTCTGACTGGGACAACGTCACCAAGATTGGTAGCCGTGTTGGAGGCAGCGGTGCAGCTGCCCCACGTGAGAAGGTCGTCAGAGGAAACGCCGCTTTGAACGCTGCTCAGAGAACCGGCGGTGTCCTCAGTACCGACAAGAAATACGCCTCTTCCAACGTACTCATCCTTGTAATTTATCTCTTTAGACTTGGCAAATGCTGATTTAAACTTTTAGACAAACTTCAGCACCGGAGGTCAGCGAGACACCAAGGTCGCCAACTCCGACGACATCGTCAAGCCTCTGAAGGTCGACCCAAGGACCGCCAAGGCTATTGGTGCTGCTCGTCAGAAGCTCGGTCTGACCCAGGACAAGCTGGCCCAGATGTGTGCAATTCCCAAGGCCGACATCGCCTCCTACGAAAACGGAAGCGGAAAGCCCAACCAGCAGCACTTCAACAAGATTGAGAATCAGCTGAAGTGCATCATCAGAGGGCCCAAGCTTGGTCAGCCCAAGTTCAAGCACTCTCCGAGCCCGATTGAGGGCATGACTTTTTAAAGAGGTGCTGGTTCGCTTGTGTTTTTCGTAACGAATTCCCGACGAGACATGTTCATTAAAAGGTGTATTGGTTTGGAATGGCCTGCTTTTTTGGGGAGTCCATGATATCTATTCATATCGATTAGCGGACTGTTTTTCATGTGGCCTTTTCTCCTTTTCCTTTGTTTAATTAGATCATTGCATAAGAAAACAGAGAACTGGACAGGGGCATATTGTGCCCAATCAATCTTCTGACCCCGATTTCGGACACTTTATTGAATTCTGCCATTGTGTTTATGTTTCTGATTGTCCACCTATGAGTTTCGCCAGCAATCAAAATTTTGTATCACAATTGACGTCATTGGTAAATTTTCGAGACACCGTCAACAAACGTCATAGGATCCCAAGTAAAACTGGCGATGGCCAGTGACGAATGGACCGTGCGGAGCATATTCCTTTAACAAATGCTTGAAAATGCAATCCAGGCCATGGAGGACCGTACGACTTACAATATATACGTCGTCAAGAATCGCCATTCAAAAGTCGTGTATGCTTCAACAAATTCGAATGATATGGTGTCTATAAACTAGTGTACAGGCTGGTCAAGCAGTTGTAGCTGGCTCTGCCGACATGGAAAAGGGGAGGATAACTCCCTATATACTGATTTTAAAACATACAAGAACGCTCATTCGCTGATTGTTCGAAACAAAATCCAAGGCTTCGCCCACAAAAACTTTTTCGGGGGGTGTTTTGACATGTACCAGAATGTCGAGGTATCATTACAAGTTTCTATGAAGAAAGCATTTACAGCTTCTTCTGGAGGTTGTCCCTCATGCGCTTCTCAACAGCGTTGAGGTACTCGGTGGTGGTGGCGTAGTCCTTACGCTCAGTCTTGCCGCAAGAGAGAGCAAGGTCCTTGGTCATGATACCGTCAACCTGAACGGTGTCAATGCAGGCTTGCTCAAGGGATTCCGCGAAAGCAACAACGTCGGGGGTGTTGTCGAGCTTGCCGCGCTGGATGAGACCACGGGTCCAGGCGAAGATGGAGGCAATGGGGTTGGTCGAGGTCTCGTTGCCCTTCTGGTGCTCACGGTAGTGACGAGTGACGGTACCGTGGGCGGCCTCAGACTCGAAGGTCTTGCCATCGGGGGTCATGAGGACCGAGGTCATCAGACCGAGAGAGCCGAAGCCCTGAGCGACAATGTCGGACTGGACATCACCGTCGTAGTCTTAAAATATGTTAGAATTATTGACAGGTAGATTGAGGATAAAGAGCATATCATCGGAAGCGACTTACTCTTGAGGGCCATGACGTAGCCACCCTTGCTCTTGATCATCTGGGCGACCATGTCGTCAATGAGACGGTGCTCGTACCAGATGCCCTTGGCCTCGAATTGCTTCTTGTAGGTGGACTCGTAGAGGTCCTCAAAGATGTCCTTAAAGCGGCCGTCGTACTTCTTCAGGATGGTGTTCTTTGTGCTCATGTACAAGGGAAGGTTCTTGTCAATGGCAATCTTGAAGCTGGCGTGGGCGAAGCCAGTAATAGACTCGTCAGTGTTGTACTGAGTCTGGGCGACACCGCCACCGTTCTTGAACTGGTAGACCTCAATGGCCTCGGGCTTGCCACCCTCGGGAGTGAAGACCATCTCGAGCTTGCCAGGACCGGGGGCGACGTAGTCCTTGGCACGGTACTGGTCACCGAAGGCGTGACGGCCAATGATGATGGGCTCCTTCCAGCCGGGAACGAGACGGGGAATGCGGTCGATGATAATGGGCTCACGGAAGACAGTTCCTCCGCTAAAACCAGAGGTTAGAATTATTGTTTCAGTTTGCGACTGCCAACTAGGATAAACTTACAGATGGTTACGAATGGTACCGTTGGGGGAGAGCCACACTGAAATTTCTCATATTAGTCGCCTGGGATGTCCATTGATTGGCGTGCGATAAGTCTTACTCTTCTTCAAGTTGAACTCCTTAACACGGCCCTCATCGGGGGTGATGGTAGCGCACTTGACACCAACGGAGTACTGCTTGATGGCCTCGGCAGCATCAAGGGTGACCTGATCGTTGGTCTGGTCACGGTACTCAAGACCCAAATCATAGTACTTGAGGTCAACGTCGAGGTAGCTGGACATGTCCCGTTAGAGTCTCATAAAATCATTTGACATCGAAGCAGCTAGGACTTACGGGTGAATGAACTATAATCGACAAGAGTCAGTAAACTGTGTCAAATTCATCCAAGATGTTACGTTCCACGTACCTTGTCCTTGATGTCCTTCCAGATGATTCTGGTCATCTACACAATCTGGGGTCAGAACGACAGCCGGCACTTATAAATACCGAAGATAGCATACCTCATCACCATCGAGCCTTTGTGACACAGAAACAGTCAGCTCTCCGCATCATTGGAGCGAGGAAGGGCACCATTGAAAGTGCTAGCGAGATGACTTACTCAACGACAGGGTTCTTCACCTGAATCTTCTTGATCTCAGACATCTTTCTGGATTGAGTGAAGGAAACACCGAAAGCGGGTCGCTGTCTGCTCAACTGAGCCAACGAAGGCGTGGAAGGGCGAAGGCCAGCGGTGGCCGTGCGGAGAGAGGTAGCGACGCGGAGAGACATGGGGGGCAATACGTTGGGACAACGGAATTGCTTCTTCGAGAGGTCGAAGCAAAAGAATTGATGCAGGCGCTTAGCTTTACATACGTTTACAGAAGGTGGCCTATGAGTACCCGTGGGGCACACGTGAGGGATTGGAAGAGTGGGTCAAGTGTAGGCGATAAGCAAAATGCGCACAAATTTTGGTCGCCGCGATTGTCGATATGACAACATCGTCCCAAGAGCGGCCAGGTACAAGCGTTCGTCATGCCATGCATTCGCCCATTGCTGCGTCCTTGCACTTTACCTCTGCAGGTTTAGCACGTGGGAAGGAGCCGAAAAACGGAGATGCTGGCCGAGGGGCACTCTCGGTCTCGGAGCGCCGTTTGGGGGCCTCGCTCCACCAAAAAGTGCGACTCTTCGGCATACCCACCCAGTCACGAAGGTAATTATTGACCAAAGCTGCTTCGTATCATTCGATCGCTTTGCAAGGCCCATCCCTATTCCGAAATTCTGTATTACAATGGAAACTTCATCTATGATAAATTGAGTGTCTATCACTAGGATCCCATCTAATAGTTATTTATACCAAGGTCCACGCAGAGAAGAAATATTTTCTTTTCCCACGCGTATCCCCTCAAAATGTATCGTTATATGAACAGAAGAAAAATAATTAATATTGATCATCAAAAATCATGCAAATTGTTTTCTTTTGAAGAAAAGGATTTGCTTCGAGAGGGCGGTGTCTAATGCAAAGAGTAGTTTAGAAGAGACCATCAATCTCGCCAGTCTCCGGGTCAACGTCAACGTTGAGGTATCCGGGAGCGGTCGGCAGACCAGGAATGGTCTGGATATCAGCAGCAAGGGCGTACCTTTGAAATAGTTAGCAGTCGCTTTAGGACAAATCTAGAAGAAGTAGACTTACAGATATCCGGCACCAACAGCCAACCGGACGTCTCGAATGGGTATCGTGAAGCCTGATGGCGCTCCCTTGAGAGCGGCATCGTGGCTGAGAGAGTACTGTGTCTTAGCAATGCAGATCGGCAGGTTTCCGAAGCCTTGCTTCACATAGGTGTCGACCTTCTTCTGAGCGAGCTCGCTGAACTCGACCTTCTCCGCACCGTACATAACCTTTCCAATCTTCTCGATGCGCTCCTGCACAGTCCCGTCAAGGTCATAGAGGAGCTTGAAGTCCTTGCCCTTGGAGCTGGCTGAAATGACACCCTTGGCAAGGTCAACAGCACCCAAGCCACCGTCGGCCCAGTGGTTGGCGGGAATGGCGTCATCAGCGCCAGCAGCGACTGCCTCCTCACGGATCACGGCGATCTCGGCATCGGTATCCGTTGAAAATTTATTGATAGCAACGACGACGGGAACACCATACTGTCTTGCGTTGGAGATGTGCTTCTTGAGGTTGACACAGCCCTTTCGGAGAATGTCGACATTCTCCTTGGTGTAGACTTCGTCGAGAGGAGCGCCAGGGCTGATATCGGGGCCACCACCGTGGACCTTCAGAGCACGGACCGTTGCGACAATGACCACAACGTCTGGAGAGATGCCAGAGGAGCGAGCCTTGATGTTAAAGAAGCGCTCACCACCCATGGTGAAGTCGAAACCAGCCTCGGTCACGACGTATCCGGCTCTGTCGTTGTAATCCTCGTCGGGCTCAGTACCAGCAAGCTTCAATGCAAGTTTATCGGCCAAGACTGAGCTAGCTCCGATACTAATGTTGGCAAAAGGCCCAGCGTGGACAAAGACAGGGGTGCCCTCAAGAGTCTGCATCAGATTGGGTTTGAGAGCATCCTTCATCAGAGCAGTCAAAGCGCCACCCGCGCCAATGTCGTCGCAAGTGACAGGGTCACCGCTGCGGGAGGTCGCAACCACCATCCGTCCCAGTCTCTCTCTCATGTCCTTAAGATCATTGCTGAGAGCCAGAATTGCCATACATTCGCTGGCAACAGTGATATCAAAACCGGTTTGACGAGTCGTTCCTTTTTCAGTGGAAGCTTGTCCGACAGTGATCTGCCGGAGATGACGGTCGTTCACATCGAGGACGCGTCGCCAGGTAATGGTATCGGGGTCAATATCCAATCTGGCGAAGCGACGGATTTCATCCTCCGTGAGATCATCAGGGTTGGTTTTGTTGATACCCAATTTATTCAAACGACGGAACATGATCGGTGCAAACTCCCGCTTGCCCTTCTTAGCAGGTACAAGACGTCTGTAGAGAGGTCCGTCTTTTTGGGTAGATTCATGGAACATTCTGGTCTCGATGGCCGCGGCGAGGAGATTAGTAGCCGCCGCAATCGCATGAATATCGCCTGTAAGGTGCATGTTGAACTCGTCCATGGGGATAACCTGGCTGTAGCCTCCACCAGCCGCTCCACCCTTGATACCAAAAGTAGGACCTTGGCTAGGCTGCCTAACGTTGGCAAAGGCAATCTTGCCGAGGTGAGCGCCGAGGGCCTGAGTCAAGCCCATCGTAGTCGTAGACTTGCCCTCACCAAGAGGAGTAGGAGTGATACCGGTGACAAGGATATAGCGACCATTGCGGCGATGAGAGAGTCGCGACAGCGCCTTGAGATCCACCTTAGCTTTATACGCTCCGTAAGGCTCGAATTCCTGGGCCGCAATACCGAGCTCGTCTGCAAGTCGGGTAACTGTCTTAGGGTGTTGGGCTCTCGAGATTGCAATGTCGGAGGGAACGGGAGATTGGAGCTTCAATGGCAGAGGAGTGACATGTCTCTGCTTCAGGACCTCGAAGTAGCGTTTGGCAGAGTCGACAACGTTCTGGAGAAGCATAGCTACCGTCATTGGCCCCACGCCACCGGGAACGGGCGTGATCTGAGAGGCCACCTGCGCGGCAGACTCAAAGTCAACATCACCGACGAGTCTTTGGCCCGACTTCTTGGTTTCATCGGGAATGTAATTGGTTCCAACATCGATGACAACAGCCCCAGGCTTCAGCCATTCGCCCTTAACAAACCCTGGTTGGCCGATGGCAGCCACTACGATATCAGCCTTTTTGATGAAGTCTTCGACGTCTTTGGTGCGTGAGTGGCAGACGGTAACAGTGGCATCAGCGTTTTTCAGCAAATAGCTCACAGGGCTACCGACAATGTCGCTTCGGCCGAGAACAACAGCATTCTTGCCCTTAACTTCAACGCCGCTTTCCTCAAGGAGTACCATAACCCCCTTGGGCGTGCAGGGAGTAAATAGAGGGTGGCCGCCACGCTTAGCAAGCTCACCAATGTTGGTAACTCCAAAGCCGTCGACGTCTTTTTCATCGGCAACAGCGGAGGTTACGGCATGCTCTGAGATGTTTTTAGGGAGTGGAAGCTGGACAAGGATTCCATGCACCGAAGGATCGCTGTTCAGCTCCGCAATGTGCTCCAGAAGCTCAAGTTCGGTGATTGACTCCGGGTAGTGAGCGAGGTTGCAAATAATGTTGGCCTTTGAGAAATTAGTTTGCAAATAGGAATTGACGGCAAATATTTGGTACAAACCTGCTCGGCAGCCTTCAGCTTCATGCGAACATAGGTGCCTGGGTAGATTAGCTATTATATCATGCTATCGGATTTCGCACACTGTCGACTTCACATACTCGAGTCAGATCTGTCGCCAACTGCAACGCAAGGGTATGTCAGTAAATTTTTTGCTAGTAAATAAGATAATTTCCCAGTATGACTCTAACCTTGAATAATGGTCAACGAAGGCTTGAACCTCGGGTTCGTCTCCTGGACCTTTTGGATCTCGGCATGGAGTCTCTCCCGAATGTTCTTAGCAATAGCCGTGCCGTCAATCTTTGTAGCGGTCATTTTGGGCCTCTCCGAACTGAACAGTCGGCTGGACGAAGAGCGAATGACGTTCCGAGCAGTTCGCACTGGCCTTGGAGAAGAAACCAGTGAATGTGAGCTCGTGTGATAAAGGGAGTGTGGCCCAGAAGAGGAATTTCCAGCGTGGTGGGCTGTTGACAGCTGCAACGAACGTGAAGAGGGGTCCTGCAAACGTCGCGGTAAACGTTGCGGTAGACGCCGCCGAATGGCGCACGAGTGCGGAGTCAAAATTGGCTGGCGGATCAGCATATTATTAGACGCCCACCACCAAATCTCCGACACCGAGGCTGCAGATGGGCCTCTGATGGACGAGCTTGTGACAGTGAAAATGTGCAATTGACGACGATGAAGGAATGACTGGTCAATGAATCGAAAGATGTAATTATGAACGCCTACGATCTCATGGCCCGTGGCTATCCGCCCACCCTATTCTTCTCAGACATTTTTTCTCTGCTAATCGCTCGGCCAAATCAGGTAAGTTAAACTACGCTCTTGGCTTCTCGGAGAGAAATCTCTGACCGAGCGGAAGGTTTGTGTGGCGGGGCTAAAGCGGGATAGGTAGACGTGGCTAGATGCAACTGTACACAACGAACTCATTGATCTGCACATAAATCTTTTGCGTCAAAAGCCAGAGTTTTTTATGGGAAGCTTTTGCTTTTGAGGAAAATATGTAATGCTACATGGATTTTGTAAAGTAAGGAAAAATGAGAAATTATGGAAAGATAAACTTGTGATAGTTTTCTTATTTTCACTCGTGGTATCGTCTCAGTGCTGTCCATAACTGTGAGCGCAGTAGGATTTCGCGACGGAGATTGCCCTGCTCGTGCGCTGATTGGTCCATTGGACCGCACAATCTTAAACGGAGGCGAGAGAGACCAACTCAAGAAAATCAGCCTCATCGAGTGAGCCTTGGGAGTTGGACGATAGAGAGCGTCATTACTCCCTTTCATTCGGTCCCTCTCATTCTCCGCAATCATGAGACCCATCTTGTTGCAGGGACATGTAAGTTATCTAAGGACAAAGATCACTAGTCTGTAAATGCGGTGGCTGACCAATCTTTGCAGGAACGTTCCTTGACGCAGATCAAGTTGAGCTCACCATATTTACCCCGGCTCACAGACTATGTTCGCATTAGCTGACCCTGACCATATAGATTCTCGCATGATGGCGATCTGATTTTTTCGACGGCAAAGGATCAGGTTGCCTGTGTCTGGTTCTATGCCAACGGCGAGAGATTAGGTACCTACCACGGCCACCAGGGTGCGCTCTGGACTGTCGACGTTGATGCTACGACAACCCTCCTCGCCACCGGCGCTGCCGACAATACAGCAAGACTTTGGGACGTCAAGTCTGGAAAGTGTCTGAAGACGTGGGAGTTCCCGACCGCCGTCAAGCGGGTGGAGTTTTCGGACGATGGCACGCAGCTTTTGGCCGTAACGGAGAAGCGTATGGGTTACCTCGGAACAATCGCCGTTTTCGATATCAAGGTCGACGTTGAGGCCGAGCAATCCGACACCCCCAGAATGACCATTACATGCGAGGAGAGCAAGGCAACCGTTGCTGGCTGGAGTTACCTTGGAAAGTACATTATTGCTGGTCATGAGGACGGTTCTATTTCGCAATACGACAGCAAGGTACGACCATGTTGCCAATGTTTCTCCTAGGAGGACTCTTTCCGGGGGAAAGTTTTTTGGATTTTGCAGCTAATAGCGAACTAGACCGGCGAGCAACTGCTCAACGTTCTCGTTCATGAGAGCGACATGCAGGTCAATGACCTCCAATGGGCACCTGACCGGACCTATTTCATCTCCGCATCCAAGGACAAGACCGCTAAGGTGCGTGATCTCTCTTAATGCTCGAGGCTTATTGGCAGTTCTAACATTCCCACGTACAGCTCATTTCTGCTCGCGACCTCCAGATCCTTAAGACCTACCCTACCGATACTCCCCTCAACTCTGCCTGCATCACTCCCAAGAAGGATTTCGTTATCCTTGGTGGTGGTCAAGCCGCCATGGACGTCACTACCACGTCTTCTCGTCAGGGTAAATTCGAAGCCCGTTTCTACCACAAAGTCTTTGAGGATGAGATTGGCAGAGTACGAGGTCACTTCGGACCTTTGAACACCGTTGCAGTGCACCCCAAGGGACAAGGATACGCGTCTGGTGGAGAGGACGGTTATGTGCGCGTGCATCACTTCGACAAGCCCTACTTCGACTTTATGTACGAGGTTGAGAGAGAGCATGCTCGGAGGTGAAGGGGCTTGGTCATTGTCTACTCGGCGTTTAGGGTCTGTCATGACAGTAGATCATCTACATTTTTCTCCAAGAGGGATCTCCGTCGATGAAAGAAAAGAAATTTCTTTTTCTGTAAAAAGGACTTGTCATGGAGCGCACATGCCTCAATTTAATGTTTCTGAATGAATATGTTCTACCGTCATGTTTTGCCGACTACATTGAGTGTGTCTAATGCCAAGATGCCGCGTGCGCCGTGCCAAATAACCACCCAGTAAACCCGAGAAAATCCTACCCACACTGTGCCATACTCCCCACCGCAGAACCTAGTCAGATGCCAGCCTACCAAGGATATTAGTTTTTTTGATTGATCCCATTCGAGCACTTATGAAGCAGACATACCTGTAACTGACGAGCGTATCTACGCGATGACTATTTGTGCTGAAACTCCTCAGTTGGACCTTTTCCGCGTTCTCGATCTCCTTTGCGTCACTGTCTCCCCACTCCATAGGGACATCAGAGTCGGCATCGGCGTACACTAGAACATTGAACGTGCAGTTGCCGTCCAGCATGGGAAGAAACGTCACTGATGCTGTAATTTGACGAAAGATGGACTGAATCTCATCCTGGATCTCTTTCTCGGTTTTCTCAGATTGACTTTGTTGGCTCGCGTCGCTGTCATTCGGATCAGCTTCACCCTTGACTTCGCTGCAAATCTCATGTCTTGCGAATCCGGCGGATGACATCACAACTTACCCAGGAGCAGAATTTTCCTTGTCCGCTGTCTTGCTAGAAGATTTTGACCTGGAGCTTTTACTCATAATTTGGACCTGAGAGTTTGTTAATACGTGCAAGCGTGCTGGTTTTGGCGTAACTAGACTTCTTACATCGAACTGCCACCGCTCGACATGCTCGCCTGTCTCTTTGCTGGTGATAACAATGACGAGTTTGGATATTTTGCCTCCAATCATCCACTTGTTAAGCTGAGACATGATCTTTTTGATATACGCCTTGACTTGATCATCGGATGAAACTTTGGGTCGTGTTAGCGCGTAACCTTTTACAGTACCTCTGTCAAAATCTTAAGCAAGTTTCAAGACATACCAAGCATGTTTAATCCATACTTCTTGACGCTATTCGATTCAATTAGAGGATTGTTCCCTTTACATTTGTTGGCCAGCGGATCTTACGCAGTAAAGTCCTCTGCAGGATAGACCCCGCGCTGGAACCTGACAGATATTAGCGTTTTCTGAAACACGACACATGCTTAAAACGCAACTTACAAAATAGTGTGGATACAATATTCAAACTTTCAAGTTTCAGCAATGTCAAGTTTCATCATCTTCACGGTCTGCATGTGATAGATGAGGCTTACAAACTCAGATACAAGCTTTGAAGATCCTACGAGTCGATTAGCTCCTGCTTCGGGCAAGGTCACGTCAGAGTCGAAACGTACCTTTAAGAGAAAGCCTATGGACCTTGGAGCCCTTTTCTTTTTCTGCAGGCATTTTGAATTGCTTTACTTGTGCTCAATCTCCTGGCTCCTGGCTCTGTAAGTTGAATCCCGAGATCGAGCACCTGCGGATGATTGGAAACGTCGTTACGTTCCCAGAGCAACCGAGAAAATCAACGTCGGGGAGGTCTTCAAACCTCCGTTCTAGCCTCAACGTCAAGGAAGTAAAAATTTCGTGAATCTTTTGTGGAAATATATGATATAAAGGAACACTCATTCAAACAAAAATTGATTTTGAATTTTTGATTTTGAATTATTAGTATTTATCTGAATTTGTATCAACAATGCATTAACTATCTATGAGATATAAATACTAACGAGTTTGACAGTTTGGAAACGGACGCACATTCAAGCAGGGGTTTTGCCCAGATTATCTTGCCAAATACATATACTACCCGCAATCCAAAGGTCTACACTACTTATATTGTAAATTTTCTATTTTGCATAGAGAAGTACCATTAAATGGTGTATTTCCTTGGACAATCTTTAACCTTTTGTTTGGCAAGAATAATACGGGCACTGGCGCTACATAATGTAAGCGAGAATACGTAGTGAAAGATTGGGAATATTAATTGCATCAGCGCTGGAACTTTCTGGAGACTGTGCACTTCGCATTTCGAGATACACGCGCAATTGGCCATAATTTTTCGTGGAGGACCCTTGTATCACGGCTTCGTACTCCTCCGCACGCCTCGATTGACTTGATTAATCTCTTTATGCCTTTGCGCATAGTTCTCAAGGCGGACGACCTTCCCTTAAGATAGCCTGGGAGGACTCATGCAACCATGCCGCTGGTTTGCGAATAGGCTGATTCCATGTAGCCCACGCATATCATTTCCTGCAAGACCCCCTTCGCCATTTTCCCTGCTGGCCAGGGATGGCTTGAGAAGATCTTTGCGGACTACGGTCCCTCGATTTGCCCAATCGGCAAAGATTGCTGCAGATTTGGAACAGAGAATCGCTGCAATTCCTATAGAACGATTTCGGAATTTTTGCATTGTCGCACACGTCGATCATGGAAAGAGTACACTCAGCGATCGACTTCTCGAACTTACCGGTACTATTGAACCTGGTGGAAAAAAACAGTATCTGGATAAACTGGACGTGGAACGGGAGCGAGGAATCACTGTCAAGGCGCAGACATGCAGCATGATTTACAACTACAAAGGGGAAGATTATTTACTACACTTGGTAGACACGCCGGGGCATGTCGATTTCCGTGCAGAGGTCTCGCGCAGTTACGCTAGCTGTGGCGGAGCTCTGTTGCTTGTAGATGCCAGTCAAGGTGTCCAGGCTCAGACAGTCGCGAACTTTTACTTGGCTTTCGCGCAGGGCCTGAGTCTTGTCCCCGTCATCAACAAGGTAGACTTGCCGTCGGCGGACACAGAGAGGGCTTTAGATCAGATGCATAGCACATTTGAGCTTGACCCGGAGAAGGCAGTCTTGGTTTCAGCGAAGACCGGTTTGAATGTGGCAGCACTCCTGCCTAATGTGGTAGAACAGATTCCCGCGTAAGTGGCATTGAACTTCCCCCCAAAAAACAATCATCAGAAAATTTGTACTCATGGTGGTGATTAGACCTGTTGGCGATCACAGCAAGCCCCTTCGACTTCTGCTCGTCGATTCCTGGTACTCAAACTACAAAGGAGTTATCCTCTTGGTCAGGATCTTTGATGGCCAGATCAAGGCTGGTGATCAGATCGCTTCCTTTGCGACTGGCTTTAAATATACAGTTGGCGAAGTTGGTATAATGTATCCGGATCAAACGCCGCAAAAAATGCTTCGTGCGGGCCAGGTCGGCTATATCTATTTCAACCCCGGCATGAAGAGAAGCCAAGAAGCCAAAGTTGGAGACACTTACACTACTGTTGGCTCAGAAAAAGAGGTTGAACCGCTGCCTGGTTTTGAAGAGCCCAAGTCCATGGTGTTCGTCGCTGCTTTCCCCGTGGATCAGAGCGACTACAAACACTTGGAGGAGAGTATCCATCAGATTGTGCTCAACGACCGTAGTGTGACCATTCAGAAGGAGTTTTCCGAAGCACTTGGTGCAGGATGGCGACTTGGATTTCTTGGAACACTTCACTGCTCAGTGTTTGAAGACCGCCTTCGACAAGAGCATGGGGCAAGCATCATCATCACGCCGCCAACTGTTCCTTTCAAAGTAATCTGGTCGGATGGCACTGAAGAAACCATTAGCAACCCGGCACTTTTCCCCGACTCAGAGACTGCCCACCAACGGGTGTCAGAGCTCCAAGAGCCTTATATTTCCGCAACTATAACTCTTCCAGAGGAATATCTAGGAAAAGTTATCGAGCTCTGTGAAGCCAACCGTGGCGAACAAAAAGAGCTCACTTTCTTTACTGCCACGCAGGTCATTCTCAAGTATGATATCCCACTGGCTAATCTTGTGGACGACTTCTTTGGCAAGTTGAAAGGAGCAACAAAGGGTTACGCCAGCTTGGATTACGAAGATGCCGATTGGCGAAGGAGCAGCGTCACCAAGCTTCAACTCCTCGTCAACAAAATCCCCGTTGATGCTGTTTCTCGGGTTGTTCATACCAGCCAGGCGCAGCGGATTGGAAAACAATGGGTTACAAAGTTTAAGGAGCACGTTTCTCGACAGATGTTTGAGGTTGTCATTCAAGCCGCTGCAGGGAAGCGGATCATGGCCAGGGAAACAATCAAGCCTTTCCGCAAAGATGTACTGGCGAAGCTGCATGCAAGTGATGTCTCTAGAAGAAGAAAGTTATTAGAGAAGCAGAAAGAGGGAAGAAAAAAGCTAAGGGGTGAGTTGTCCATCTAAGATATCACTGGTAGTGACAGTCTGCTAACTTCAAACAGCCGTGGGCAACGTTACGATTGATCACAAGGCATTCCAGGCATTCTTGTCCAAGTAAAAGTATTTGACCTGTATATATATTGTTCTATTACATTTTTACCATTGCAAAAATAGCGAATATTCTGTATAAGGCTAGAAATATCATTACATACTTTATACAAGGGTGTTGAGATAGAAATGTGAGTCAACAGACTCCGGAGGATGTGCATTAAGATGCCGTAGCGTCGACCGTAAAATTTCGCTGAAGAGGAATAAGTTAGTGTGGGAGCGAGGAGGAAAGAGAGAACGGGTCGTGGCCAACCCCACTACTAGCGAAAGCTGTCACTACTGTGCCGAAGAAATTTGGGTGGCTTCACAAGAGCCTCAAGCCTCCAAATCGCCAATAGTCCCATTTTGTTCAACGTCAATTTATCTCAGACTGCAGCGTCAATCTCGCCGTGGCTCTCCTGATGCTTGATACCCGGTAGCCAACGCTGTCGCCGTCATGCAGTCTGTCCTTGGGGCAAGCTCCGTGAAGGAGCAGGTGGTGGACCATATCCCGAAACGCTTCAAAGAGCTTAAATTTGGTATTCTGTAAGAAACCGCAAAGGATCGATACTTGTCAGTAATTGACTGATTCGGTTTCTGTCTAGGTCGAATCAGGATGTCGTCAACCAAGCCCTCGTTGAAGTTTCCGATCGCGCATTGTATAATCCCGATCAGAATCGAGCCGTAATTCAGCATGGGCCTCTCGATGGGAGGATGGGCACATCGAGCAAAGGCGGAGTCTGTGAATCCTGCGGCGAGTCACTGCAAGAATGTAATGGTCATTTTGGCTATGTGAGGTTGGCATTGCCTGCTTTTCACATTGGCTATTTCAAGATGATCATTACGATTCTGCAAGATATTTGCAAGGTAATTAATGCGCCAACGCCGCAACGAATGGCCTGTTACTGACGGATTCAGGATTGCGGTCGAGTATTGCTTACGGAAAATGAACGAAGATCATTCCTGCGCGACCTCCGCCGGCCTGGAATCGACAACCTGCGACGATCTCAAATTTGCAAGAGGATCAACGCTCAGTGCAGAAAGGTTCGAGAATGCATGTATTGTGGTTCCATTCAGGGTGTGGTGAAGAAGGCCGGGCAACATCCGTTAAAGATTATCCACGACAAATACCGCGCCTTCAATACATCGACCGCAGCGAAGAAGAGGCCGCCGGAGAGCAAGCTCCAGTTTGACCAGTCCTTTGAGGAAGCGAAGAAAGGAAACAGTGAATTAGACAAGCATTTGAAGAAGGCGCTGGACGACATGAACCCCTTGAGAGTGCTCAATCTGTTCCGCCGGATCTCCGCCACGGACTGCGAATTGCTTGGAATGAACCCTTCCGAAGGACGACCGGAAATGTTTATCTGGCAATATGTGCCTGCACCGCCGATTTGCATTCGGCCATCTGTCCACCAGGATGGGACAAGTACCGAGGATGATATCACTTCGAAGCTCTCTGACATTGTTCACATCAACTCTCTTATTCGAATGGGTCTACAGAAGGGCCAGCCAGTTTCAACCATCATGGAGCAGTGGGATTTCTTGCAATTGCAAATCGCCATGTATATCAACAGTGACGTGCCGGGTTTGGCGCAACTGGGCTTAGGAAAGTCGATGCGTGGATTTTGTCAACGCCTCAAGGGTAAACAGGGTCGATTCCGAGGAAACTTGTCTGGAAAGCGTGTCGACTTTTCTGGAAGAACTGTCATCTCGCCGGACCCGAACTTGTCAATCGAGCAGCTGGCAGTACCGAAGTTGGTTGCTATGAACTTGACGTACCCGGAAAAGGTTACTCGTTACAATATTGAGAAGCTGAAACAACGAGTACGAAACGGCGCAAACAAATGGCCAGGTGCAAACTACATCAATAAGAAGGACTCAGATTTCAAGCTATTCTTGAAATACGGTAAGACCAGCTTGATGGCGGATCAGCTTCAGATTGGTGATACTGTGGAACGGCACTTGGAGGATGGTGATATCGCACTCTTCAACCGTCAGCCGTCGCTTCACAAGCTCAGTATTCTAAGTCACTACGTCAAAGTGCGGCCTTGGAGGACGCTTCGATTCAACGAGTGCGTGTGCAATCCTTACAACGCTGACTTTGACGGCGATGAAATGAATTTGCACATTCCTCAGACCGAGGAGGCACGAACAGAGGCAATCAATTTGATGGGTGTCAAGAACAACTTGGCGACTCCGAAAAACGGTGAACCGATTATTGCCGCCATTCAGGATTTCATTACAGCTTCTTTCCTTATCAGCAACAAGGACAACTTTTATGACAGAAAGACTTTTGCCCATATTTGCATGTATATGGTGGACGGCAATGAACACATTGACATTCCACCTCCGTCGATTGTCAAGCCCCAGGCGTTATGGACGGGCAAGCAGATTTTCAATGTTCTGATGCGGCCAAACCGTCGCTCACCTGTTTTGGTCAACTTGGATGCAGCATGTCGGCAGTTTAAGGCGGTAAAGGATCAGCCTCGCGACCTCGATAAGAATGACAGTTGGCTCTGCATTCGAAACTCTGAAATCATGTGTGGTGTCATGGATAAGTCGATTGTTGGTGACGGTAAGAAGGACTCTGTATTCTATGTCATTCTCCGTGACTTTGGCCCAGACGAGGCTGTCAAGGCGATGAATCGGTTGTCGAAGCTGGCGGCTCGGTGGCTGGCAAACCAAGGTTTCTCCATTGGTATCAGCGATGTATACCCTGGCGCTCGACTTGTTGAGCGCAAACAAGCGCTCGTGGAGAGGGCCTACGCTGAATGTGACGACGTCATTGCCAAGTACAAGGCAGGAAAGCTTGAAAAGTCCCCCGGTTGCGACGAAGAAGAGACCATGGAGAATTTGATTTCTGGAATTCTCAGCAAAGTCCGAGGGCAGGCTGGTGACTATTGTATTGCGGAGCTGAGCAAGTGGAACTCGCCTTTGATCATGGCCACGTGCGGTTCCAAGGGTTCCGGCATCAACGTGTCTCAGATGGTTGCTGTCGTTGGGCAACAGATTATTTCTAGCAAGCGTGTTGCAGATGGTTTCCAGGACCGAACGCTTCCGCACTTTCCGAAGAACGCACGCACGCCACCATCAAAGGGTTTCGTACGGAACAGTTTCTTTTCAGGACTGACACCTCCTGAATTTTTCTTCCACGCCATCTCTGGTCGTGAAGGTCTAGTCGATACTGCTGTCAAGACTGCCGAAACCGGTTACATGTCTCGGCGTCTGATGAAGTCGTTGGAGGATTTGTCTACGTTGTATGACGATACTGTGCGAAACTCCTCTTCTGGTATTGTGCAGTTCCAGTACGGAGACGACAAATTGGATCCGGTGGACATGGAGGCCAAGGCTAAGCCTGTCCACTTTGACCGTACATTTACACACGCAGAGGTATGTTTATGTTGATGGGCTTCTATCGATGGAATATTTTGCTAAGGGAATGACATAGACGACTACTTGGGATAACAACGAGCGTGGCCTGCTACCATTTGAGATCAACGCTCTCTGTGAGGAGTTGCTCTCAGTGGAGAGGGTCATGCTTGCCCGAAAAGCTATTGATGGTACTTCACTGGATTACAATGATCGCAGCGATCGGGGTATCGACCAATTCGAGAGTGCTCGTGACTTCCTTCAGTCTATCAAGGAGTATGTTGCGGCCCGGGCAGAGCGGCTTGCTGTTGCCCGAGACAACATGGGATTGTTCTCCGGTCGCTTTGATAGCGAGGATCAAGACTGGGAAGAGCTAGATTCATTTTATGATCGTAAGTGGTCCAAACTTTTTTTTGTAAGATGCGTGGAGCTCTGGACGTCTTTCTGACATGATTGCAGCTGCTTTGAGACGCCGCCTAGATCTCACCGCCAAATTAACATCTACCACACTCAAGGCTTTCGTGGACAAGTGTTTGGAAAAGTACAAGAGAGCACAAGTTGAGCCCGGTCACGCTGTCGGTGCTGTTGGTGCGCAGTCCATTGGAGAACCGGGTACCCAGATGACCTTGAAGACTTTCCACTTTGCTGGTGTTGCCGGAATGAGTATTACTCAGGGTGTTCCTCGTATCAAAGAAATTATCAACGCCTCCAAAACCATCAGTACTCCTGTTATTAGCTGCGAACTGGTCAATAAGGAAGACATCCGCTCGGCTCGTGTCGTCAAGGGACGAGTGGAAAAGACCTATCTCCGAGATGTATGTTATGTTTTTCTTAGTGTCCCCCTCCTTTGCGTTTCTATCCCATTTATTAACACAAACTAGATCATCTTTTATATTGAAGACATGTGGTCGGCGGATAGCACATATGTCGCGGCCAAGGTAGACTTTGAAACCATTGACAGGCTCCAACTGGACATCAATATGGAAGACCTTTCTCGTGCTATTGTCGCACAGAAGAAACTCAAGATTGAAACCGGGGACATTGTCATTTCCGGACGTACCATCAAAGTCAAGGTCCGGGGTCTCGACGCGATGGACACACGCTCGCGCAAGACCAAAGAAGAGACGGACGTCTTTACCCGCGTGCAACATCTCAAGCGCGTCTTGCCATCTGTCCCTATTAAGGGATACCCCGAAGCGGCGCGAGCCATTATCAAGACGGACGAGAAGACTTTGAAGAATTCGCTGCTCGTCGAAGGTTATGGTCTCCGGCAATGCATGAACACGGACGGCATCATCGGCACGGCAACCAAGACCAACAGCGTCATTGAAATGCGCGACGTCCTCGGTATCGAAGCCGCCCGAAAGACTATCATTGATGAAATCTCGTCTGTCATGGGCGACATGGATATTGATCCGCGTCACATGCAGCTCCTGGCAGACGTCATGACGTACAAGGGAGACATTTTGGGCATTACCCGTTTCGGTCTTTCCAAGATGAGAGATAGCGTGCTCCAACTTGCGTCCTTTGAAAAGACTCCTGATCATCTCTTCGACGCCGCGTTCCACATGAAATCTGATAAGATTGAAGGTGTCTCGGAGTGTATCATCATGGGACAAAGCATGGGCGTCGGAACCGGAGCGTTCAAGGTCGTCAGACGTCTCAATCTCTCCGAAGAGGATGTCTGTCGGAAGAAGACCATTTTCGAGGATAGCTGGAACGAGGTCCAGACAAACAAGTCATCTTGATTTCCTCGCTTCGCTCTTCCCTCATCCTCCTCTCACGGTTTTACGCTCATGATGCTTCATGCATGTTCCGAGACCTTTTCTCCGAAGTGTTTTCACGTTTATACTCCCCCATATATTTATTTTCTTTTGAACCCATTTATTTTTCTATTTATCCAAAGGAAAAAGAGGAGCAGGTCTGGCGTTTTTCTTTGCTCTTCCCTTTGCTTCTCATACTCGCATTAACATATTGGAGTTGTCGTTTGTTGCGGTTTATACCAGCTTCCGTTTTCCACCATATTTTTTTAAACTCCTCCGTTCCCCCTAGATTGAGGTCACTCTTATGCGGCGCCAGCGGAGGATCATCTGTCTCAATTATCTCAGATTCATTTGAAAAAGTATTTCAAGAAACCTGCATATCCTTTTCCCCTCTGTATTTCTTTTTAGATTTACTTGTGATACTGCACCGCCGTTACTTAGCGTCATAGTCAAGAATTAAACCATTATCTCATCTAAATTTCCTCTTTTATTCATCCACGCTGTTCTAAGTTCCTTTTTCGTTTCTTTGATTTGACATTGACATTGTGATTATCATTTGACGTAATATATAAGACGTGATACTACAAACCATATATATACACAACTTACAGTCAAACCCTACTACCTACCTACGAATCCTGCGCAAACCTCACCTGTTTCCGTCCCCTTCCTCTATCGCTGTCGTTTTTCTTGCTTCTGTTATTCCCGTTACTGTTTCTTCTATTCCGACTCCTGTCTCGTTCGTTACTGCTGTTACGATTCCCGCGTCTATCATCCCGACTGTCTTTTCGCCCTCCTCGTCCTCCTCCTGCCCGTCCTTCTCCACGACCAATGGGACTCCTGCTCCTGCTCCTGCTCCTGCTCCTGCTTCGCCCGCGGTTCTTTAATATACCTTTACCTTTTGACCTCTTGCCGTTAGACCCGGTCGACTTGTCGTCGTCCCTGCTGTTTCTCCGATCGGTGCGATCAGTCGTTCGATCCGCACGACCAAACACGCCGCTCTGGCCGAGGATTCTTTCATCGTCTTTACCGCGACGGGTAGACCTATTTGACGACGATGAAGTGCCCGACGAACCCGAAGAAGAACCCGAGGAAGAGGAAGAAGAGGAGAAGGAGGACAAAGAAGAAGAAGACAAAGAAGGAGGAACAAATGGATGAACGGCACCCCCAGCTGCAGCCCCGGACAAGACCAGCTCGTCCAAGACCCGCTCGACGCTCTGCGCGTCGTTTACGCGCCCGGACCAAACAACCTTGCCTGACGCAGACTTGATTGATAGGCCTGCAGGCTGTGTCGAGGCGGCGGAGGCGAGTGCCCGCGAGTGCGTGCATGTTGTGGAGAAGTCGCACAGACACATGGGCATGTCGCCGTTGCGGTCCGGGTGGGTGGGGTGTGTGGATGGAGGGGATGTGGCTGGGAAAGCACCGGGGTGGGTGGAGGAGTCGGCTGTGTTGGTGTTGGAGGTGGAGAAGTTGGAGAAGTCGGGGAAAAGGGTAGATGAGGAGGAGTATGAGGAGGAGGAAGATGATGAGGAAGGGAAAGAGGCGGGGTTATTGGTAGTCATGTTTTCCGTGTTGAGAATGTTTGTGGGATTAGAGGAGGGCGAAAATGTACTATTACCTGGAGACGTATATATGTGAGGATAGAAAAACGAGGCAAGCAGATTGAGCAAATGCGTGTTGATGTTCAGACTGCCGACGTGGTTCAGGTGTGCTTGGATGTCGTTGTAGTTGTTGACAAAGCCTGTCAGGTTCAGGTTCAAGTTCAGATTGGCAGTGGAGGAATTGTTGTTGTGAAAGGGAAGAGTATTAAAGACTGTGCCATACGAAGCTGGGAGTAGGCCGGGATATGATGATGATGATAATGATGATGTAGTGTTGACAAGTCGGTCGATATTAGCAAGGACATTGGAAAGGATACCATATAAATTGACACTATCTGTAATCACATTATTCCCGTGATGTTGCTGGATAAGCGGCCATAGATGGGGAGTCTGTAGTAAGACTTGTAAAAGATGCTGCGCCAATTGGACTTGTTGGATTTGTTTGATCTGGGTGTTGACCTCGTTTTGTTGCTGAAAGGTAAGCTGCTGATAATACCCGTTGTTGGTGAATCCGTTGGTGAATAAGTTGTTATTGTTGTTGTACTGCTGCTGCGGCGAGAAAATGTTTCTTCGGATTTGCTCCATGACTTGACCTAACCCTAACGACGAGGAAGGAGAAGACGGAGGGAATGAGGATTGAGATGATGAGGGGAAATACAACGTACCGTTGATAGAAGAAGAAGAAGAAGAAGAAGAAGAAGAAGAAGAAAAAGAAGGATTATAAGGGTTCCCATTCCAAGGCCAAACACCGGAATATGGCTGTAAATTTGCTCCAGTGCCTTGCTGGAGCAGCGCGTTGCGCAGGAGGTCTTGTAGTCCTGTGACACCGCCGATGTTTTGGAATCCTGGGTAACCAATTCCAAGATGCTCGTAGTACTTGCCTAGCTCTCGCACCAGTGAAACGCTGAGACTGGAATTATACCCACCGCCATTGGGGAAAAGAGTTGCGTACTGCGCCAACTGGCCCAACTGGCCTAATTGTCCCAATGTCGCAGCAGCACTGGCAAGACCTTGATTTTGAATCTGAGTTTGGATTTGGCCGGCCAATCCCAGTCCCCAGTCGCCTTGCCCGACTTGTAGCCCGCCCAGCATCAGGCCTGACATGATTTCACTGACGACGTTTTCTATTCTATCTTGAATCACCGTCTTTTGCTGGTCCGCCAGTGCATGAGCCTGGCCACGGGCTTCGAGTTCGGCCTGAGCAGCCTGGAGGAGGACGCCGCGGATGATACACTGCAGTTGCTCCTCAGCATGTTGTCGGCGTTGCTGGAGCAGGGCATGCGCCTGCGCAAGTGCCTCTGCTTCGGCCTGGGCCTGCATGCGCTGGGCATGATCGATCTGGACGCGCTCGACAATGGTGAGTTTGGCGGCTTTGGCTTGTTCGTTGGCTTGGGCTTCGGCGTGCAGGTAGGTTTCGAGATCGGACTGCGCGAGGTGGAACTGTGTAGCAATGTGTGCGAAGAGGTGGGTGTAGTATTGCGATTCAGCAGTCGGGGCGGATGAAAGAAAACTAGGTTGTAGTGAGGGCAGGGATGAGGGAGGGTAGAGATGAGGTAGAATGGATGAGAGGAATGTTGATAGTGGGTTTGTTGATGCTGACGCTGCTGCTGCTGCGACAGTTGCAGCTGATAGGCTTTGGTTTGGTTGGATATAATAAGAGGGAGGGGAGGAGGTTTGGGTCGAAAGACGAGGCAGTCCAACACGCTGCCAGTCGGTCAGATTTCGCATCATGAGCATTGCAACGGTGTTGGCGGCTTGTTTGTACGCTCCGGAAGTATTGATTTGGGCATTGCCAATGTTATTAAGGATGTTCTGGTTCTGCAACTGCTGATCTGCTCCAGTTCCAAGCCCTCCAAAGACAGCAGCCATTATCGCGGGCACTGGAAAGGGATTTGGCGCGGCCTGGGGCAGCGTGTTGGCCACGGTGGCATGGTTTATCAGAGCTGCGCTCCATGAATTTGGGTCGAATAGCTGGCCCAAGTTAGGAATAGGGTTGCTGAGCCCTGGAGCTTCGGGGAAGACAGGCATCTCGCTGGTGTTCACGACTCCGGGGACGATCATTTTGTTCGCTGTGGAATGGACTTCAGGTAATGGGTGATTTCGTTATCTGTTCGCAATTATGTTTACTTAGCTTTATGCAAGAAATCTCGAGTTTATGATGTATCAAATGGAGGAGTGGATAACTTATTGTTTCTTCTTCTGCAAATTTGGTATGATAGATGAGTAAGGAATATCTTTTGATCATAAGCGTCAAAATCGTTTTTATCGTATGCTATGTCATTTTAGCAGGAAGATTGGTAAACGGTTCATCTGTTGTATACTATCATGTTGCTGAGGACAGTTCGGTCTGCGTGGATGATTATATCAGTGCAAAATGGTAGTTTGTGGACCCTAATGTTCGTTGATCGAATATTGTTCAGGGCTGGAGGATACAATTTCATAAGTTGTTCGGATTAACAAAGCTCAGGACTAAGACCTCAGCCAGTGTCAAAACGGAAAAATGTGAACAGTTGCCTTATCGGGCAATCTCTCCAGGAAAACCTTGTTTCAAAAATGAGCCCTGCTTAAAGCGAAGCTTTGCAGTTTGCAGAAACCCATAAGAACAAAGCGAGGAAGAAAGACAATGAGAAAAGGAAGCTATTCGAGCACTCACTACTTCTCAGTCATGAATCAAAGACATAAGCACAACACCAACAAAGACATTGTGTGCACCGCTCTTTAAGCGCAACAATAAATCCTGCAAAAGACAGGGTCAAGTTTCGAGGTCTTGATTTTGAGGACAAAGCCATGCATGAGCAAGGTCGAGACAATGCCATTGAAATAAACTTCTTTCAGAGATTGTATGGAGCCTTACCGGCTAAAATGCTAAAAAGAAAAGCGTATTCTTAACGCCGCTAAGACTAAACCTCCAGGGCCGCCAATTTCCAAGCAGACGCAAAGCGTATGCGCTTCTAAAATTAATTAAAAGAAATGGGATACACACATCCTTCCAAAGAAGAATCAAATGAAAATAAACCGCTAAGCAAAGCAAGGAAACTCGTCTTCCGCAGAAGGAAAGAAAAAGAAAAAAAAAAAAAAAAAGGCCGTAGCGTAAAATGTAGCAAAGCAGACAGACCAATCCAAAGACGGATGGTCCATCCTCCTGATATCCCAATAAGACCGCACCATGCGCCATGGACTTGTCCATCCCAAACCATCAAAGAATATCGAGGAAACCGTCATCGCCAGGAAGTTTGCTTCAAGCGTTCTTGACTTCATTAACATCCGAAAACGGGCTCGATTCCCGGTGTTCTGGGCTTTCGGAACGTTCTTGTTGGCGACTCAGTCTCCTCGACGACTCCTCGATCACCGCACTCAAGCTGCTATTTTTTCTGTGACCTAGTCGCGTTGACCGAATCTCAGATGACATCTTGGCATAGACGTCTCCAGGATACGCGGGAGCTGGTGTTAATCGAGGTGACGAGAACGCCGAGTCATCGCCAAATGGGGACTGTTTCGAAAGAGGAGAGTCCTCAATATTGGTGATGCGGGAGTCACGATCTGTTATCAAGCTTTGTTTGGCTTGATGACGAGGCTCGCCCTCGTCATCTGACGACTCGTTGCCGAATGCAAGCGAACGGGCAGTGTAGCGGTTGGGACGTGAGTAGGTGGACATGCCATCAATCGACGAAGCGTGTGAAGCACGCTTGTCAGGTCGACGGCCAAAGGTTGTAGTTCTCATCGAAGCCGCATCATTGTCTGCTTGCGGTGCCGCTTTGCCCTTCAGAACTTGGACTGGACGAGCAACGGCAGCTCGCGCAGTGTTGGCTGTGCTCTTCATAAATGTCGAGCTGATCGAAAAGGCAGGACTAGGCGGAGGTCGCATGTCATTCGCGTCTGCGGGCTCTTGAGCTCCCAGCGCCGTCCGCCCATGCTTTGCAAAATCAATCGCAGGCACAGGCGGCGTTTCGGAACCCGGGGTGTCTGCAGGACTGCCGTTTCGAGATTTGACACTAACCATGTTTGCCTTGCCACGAACAACAGTCTGTGCCGGTTGAGGGTTGACAATAGCATTGTTGTTGTACAGCGTCGTGGCCACACTGCTTCGAGCCAAGCTGGGACTGATGCTGTTTCGTGCATAACTTGCTCGGCCATCGCCAGTCAAACCAGAGTATGTAGAGTCCCTTAGATCCCCTGGCATAAAGAAATGCTGATCCTGATTGTTGAAATTTGGCGTTGGAGATTTGTGCGAGTTAACTCCAAGAGGTAGAGGAGGCACAGGCGGGACCATAACTCCGGGGCTCACTGGAGGAGTGCGGTTCGTCACCCCAGGAATGTAAGCGATTTGAATGACGTTTGAGGCTCGAGTCAGTGCAGTCGATGCAATAGATCCAACCGTATGCGTAGATGCGCGAGCGTCACGGTGCATGGCAAAATTGTCGCCCTTCTCGTACCCTTGCTGACCTTCCTCTGTCCACTGAGCATCATACTCTGCTCGCTTATTCTTGATACAAAACCGCCATATGAGATAGGTGAGCAACCCAATCACCACCACTCCACCGATTACACTACCAGCAATGACACCTTTGTTCACAGACCCACCACCAGACGACTTGCTCGGAGAAGAAGAGCCAGCCCCTGACATCTTGATACACGAAGCGACAGGGCATTGCGTGCATGATTGGCTGGAGAGCGAACAGACTTCATCAGAAGCACAGCTTGGACAAGGTGGAGTTGATGAACAAGAAATGCATCGTCGGAAAATGGTTCGAAGAGTTTCCTCGACTCCTATCCAACCAGGTCAGGTGAACCACTTCCAAAATTCATCGTCTAAGACCAGCACTCACCTGAACTCACGAAAGCCATCTTCGGCAGGATATCTGTGCACAGGAACTGACTGAGCAGGCTGGTTGTCGAATAGTTGAGTAGATAAAGACTGTGAAAATAGTTTGCGCAAGTCGAGATGGAACGGAGAGATTCTCGAAAATCGAGATGAATATAATGACGAAATTGACAATGAATGATGAGCCAGCACCAAGTCGTGATAAAATGGAATCAAAGAAGAATTCGTATCCTAGTTGCAAATCGGAAATAAATCGAAACCCGCAAGGGAGGGTAAAAGAGAGAGAGAGAGAGAGGTGAGAAGATCGAAGCCGCGATGGATAGAACGATTGACGACGAAAGGCAAAAGGTTGAAAAGGAGCGACAAAGAGTTGATTTAACAGGTCATCGAGGCGGACGGGGATACGAAGTCGTGGACTGGATTGGACCGAGACCCTCAGAAGACGAGCAGTTATCGTCGAAATAAAAGGATCCCCGACCTGGTCAGATCAGTCAAAAAACGGTTGTCCAAGAGAAGGAAGAGGAAGACGATGAGGAGTCGTCGTTTGGTGATGGTTGCGGTTGGGTTCCCGACCGGAGGCGATGGGAAGCGAGACAGACAAAGTCCCAGGGAGTTCCCGCGAATCGCGGCCTTTTTAGACTTGGCATGTATGACTACTGTCCCTCGCTCAGCTGCAACCCTTTTCCCTTTCTGGGGGAATCCAATAGTAGTCCTTCTCACACACGGCACAAGAGACACGGACTTGGGGTCCCCTACATGGAACCATCGAAACTCTTCAGCCACCCCAGCAAGGCTTTCCTTTTTCTTCAGAATTGCTACAGTATCTTTCAAGGAAACCCCCTTTTCTCTCATCTTTGACCACGGCGCTGGCAAAATGCTAAAAATCTCGCAGTCACTTTAGCTGGCGACTGTCCGGCGTCTAAGAGAGATGCAAGCGCAGGTCGCAATTTCATAGCCGGAAGCGGGGACGACGGCGTGAGGATGGCGATAGATGGCTGATAGACTACTGCATGCACCCCTACTTTGTACTCCCTCAGGCCCTTTCGACCAGATCGATTTGTGTCGCCGACGAGATGCGACCCCTCACTCAAATAATAATGTTGTGCAATCATCCAACATCTTCATGAGCAAACTTGAACAGTCCTAGAATGGCTCGCACGTGTTGAATTTCAATTAAATCTCCATTCCCCATGTAATCATCTGATTTGGCAGTCCAAGTCACAAATCCAGTCGTCAGCTTTTAACTGAGACACCAAAGTGGGACTGGGGCCTGTTCAACGTCAAGGATGATATGTTACTAACGATTTTAGTACCTATTCAGGGTGCGCCATGCCTTGCCATGGCTTGCACCATTTATTTTGATATCAGCTCCAGCCAAGGTAAAGCCGGCACCTGTGAGCTACCAATCTCGCCGCTAAATGACCGAACACTGTAACGGCTTCACCGGGGATAGTTCTGCTGATGGGATACCCTGGAGATCCAAAAGAATTATGCTACCTAGTTTGGAGGTACCTGCCAAGCTAGAGACGATGATACCTCTATCAGTGTTTTCGTTGAGCATTGAATGATTCAAATACAATGCCAAGCTTACCAGCGACTGAATTGTGAGTCACAAAAAGGCGATTCTCCAAGAAAAAATAATATAAGTTTAGAATTTGAGGCGATAGTTTCAAGGATCACGTTGTCGCGGACCTTTTTTCTCTTTTTTTCGAGTCCTTTCTTTTCTTTGAGGTGGCAGAAATCAAAAATTTGGGAAAAGAGTAATGAATAATCTCGACACCAGCCGTATTTTCCGTCAGAACTATTGTTGTATTGACGAATATTGTTAAATTTGCACCACCGCCAGATCATGTCGGCTTTTCGAGAGGTCCGAGCCAGTTTCACCGCTGAAACCATCACCGTCTATCAGGCTTATCCGGCCGAAATCGCCGAGCCAGCACTGCGCGCTGGAAATTTTGTTCCGCCTTTCAAACGGGAGCGCATGACATGGATCAAACCCTCATTCCTTTGGATGGCCTATCGCTGCGGCTGGGCGACAAAGCTCAAGCAAGAGCGCGTATTGGCCGTAGAAATCACTCGCCAAGGGTTTGAATGGGCTCTTGCTCATTCATGCCTCAGTCATCATACTCAAAACGCCAAGGAGAATAGTTGCTCTTGGGAGGAGCACAAAAGGGCAAGTCCCGTCCGCGTTCAATGGGATCCAGAGAGAGATTTGCTTCTGCATCCACTCCCTTACCGCTCAATTCAGATTGGTTTGAGCGGCACAGCGGTTGATCGATATTTGGACGAATGGATAGTGTCCATAAGGGACGTGACATTTTTGATGAAAGAAATCTCTGATCTCATGTCAACCGGCCAAAGAGAGGCCGCCAGAGCCGCGCTCCCACTTGAGCACCTCTACCCGCTCCCAGATGACATCGCACAAGTGGTCGAAGCGTCTTCCGCGCGAGCGGCGGAAGAGAGCGCCAAAAAGTGACGCAACAGTCGGATTTCTTTTTATGCCTTTCCTCCCTTCCCTTTCTGAATAGCATATTTTTTACTTGGGCTGTGCATCCAGGAACCGTCAGTTCCCGCGGAACTTGGACCAGTGTGTCAATAGGACCCGTTGCTACTCATAGTAAGCACCAGTACCTCAAAAGGAACTTCAAGGACACTGCCAAATTAAGAACAATACGAGGTCAAGCGATACATCCATGCCCTCCGGCTCGCGGCGCCGGAAACGTGCTCTGGTCAGACCGCTAGTTATAGTGATAGTACCGCTTTGGAGGCATGTAGCGAAGAAGATATGCTTGACAGCATCTGAAAATACTGTAAACACTCCGATAGCAGGTGTCGAAAATTTGGTTCAGAAGTTAGGCCAAATGGAATATTCGATATAGTTGCTCCATAAGTCTGCAATTAGGCTATCTACCTAGTCTTTTCCCACCTCAAGGCACGCCTCGTTGTTCTCATAATGTTCAATACTATGGTCATTGCCCAAAGGACGACGAATGTCATTGTGGCCTCCAGGGTTCCTGAGCGGTGAAGAAGAATCACTATAAAGCATACCGTGTGTATTCCAGGCCCGATGCTCCATTGTCGTACACATGTAATCTTGTACAGTGTATGTCTTGTGAGGCAGCAGGGAAAATCATTGTATGAGGCTCGTCGTTGCAGCAAGCAGTTTAGACCGAATCTAGTCAAGCCATAAGGGGAGGATACAACAGAACCCTATTGGATTCTTCACACGGCAGTCCGGCAGAGAGTCAAACAGTGCAAACGGTCAAGGCACCTGGGTAAGTGATGATGACGATGCCCATAAATAGAGGCCAGGTTTGGCCTACCGACTACTTAGCTTGAATAACTTTATTGATAAAAGGCTTATTAGCCATTTCAAGCAATCAGTTTTTCTCAGAGAGCTGTCACAAAATTTGACATACTCTGATGTAATTGACTTGTTTTGGTCATTTCATCAAAAACACAGCCTCAAAATTAAGGCCAGTCAATGTTTGTGGGTGGATTCGCTAACGCTCATAGTCCTATTTTACGTTGCGTTGACTGGCAGCACCGCCTCAGGGCGAGAGCTAATTATAATCTCAACTGGAAGGGGACGGCTGTCAAACAACCTCGTGTCTTGGTAGCAGCGAGACGCTCGTGTTAGGTTTTTAGCGGCGCTAGGGAAGGAAAGTCGACGCTACCTTTGCAACACGCGTCTTCGGAAAGGGTCCATAAAAGAAGGCGCATGGGGGGGACGAGGGGACAAATGGAAGTTCATGGCTCTTGGCTCCTTTTTGCTTCGGCACCAGTTACATGTTCACTTACCTCTTCAAAAAAAGACTCCTCTAGACGTCTCCGTGCCGGAAATTAAGCCTGGCGAACCACGGTTCAATCCGGGCCTATTAGTGGACAAAGTGCCCTATTGACCTCCTTATTGTCGATCGCTTAGTATCAGTTACGTTTCAGCGGGGGTCGACCAGAGCGGAACAAGGGGAGAAAAAGAAGGGTCTTCTTTTAACTGCCTTTCATCCTTGGTCCACTTTCGGTCCCAACTAGTAGCTGTACTTTTCTCCTGCATTACGACATCCCTTGAGCGGTCAGTGACTTGGCCTCTCGCACCGTAAAATCCAGCAGGAACTCAGGTAGACAAAGAGAAACATCACAGACAAAAGTACTCGCACTGAAAGCCGAGATCATTGACAGTAGTCACTGGAGGTTGAAGCAGGTAGCAGGTATTCCTGACTTGTACAGTACGTGCGAACAAAAATCCCCCATTCCAGTGTACCCACCTCCCCCCGTGTCGCTTTACCGAACCATAAGGCTGTTGTTGTGGTTCAGCTGTGGATGCAAAAGAGTAACCCATACCTGTACGGCTATTCTTGTGCGTGCGTGTATACGGAGTAGAGAAGGGTTCACACGCCCACTCTGTCCAGCACATCTCCCCCTTCCCCTCCCCTCCTTCATCCATAGATGAGAGAAGCTGTATGGTCGCTTGATCGACTTAGCTGAAACTTTCTTGATTTTCCTGTTCTGAACAGCAGCTCCGCTACTTCATCCATCTGACAATCCGAACACGAGCCATTCCTTCCTCCGAACGCTACAACTGCTGTTTGCTCTCCTCATCGACAAGGGAGGACAACATCCCTTTCCACTTGCTGTGGTGGCCAACCTTTTCCATCTCGGTTCTAATCTCTTTGGCTCTCATCGCCGGTCAAGATTTGAACCGATCCTCTTTCCACTTAGCTAAACCTCGCGAGATCACAGGATCCGAGGGACCGGCTAGACGGACGAACACTTGTTTCTCTTAGAATTTGTTTGACATAACCTCTTCTGCGGGCTTCCAATAGCTTAGTTGCATTGTTTTTAAAACATCGCATCCAGAGGTACCATCGTGGAAGATGGCGTACCATGGCCCCGGTGGCCATATGGGGGATGAGCACCAGCTTCAAGATCTGCACAGTGGCACGGTAAGCTTTCTATCTTCCCCTTCTCAAAGCCTACCTTCTTTTTTGGTCCCCAAGCTTTGGTCACGGCAGCGAGCTGATCCAACTTCCCCCAGGAATATCATCTACCTCCCCGACAGAATGAACCTTCAGACGACGAGGCGGAGGCTTCTCTCCTGCACCAAACCCACGGTACTCCATTTGATGACCCGCACGCTCCAACCCTGGGTCACGCACACTCCCCATACAACTTGACCGAAACATATGCCTCCAACGCGGCGCCCTTGGGCTCATATGCGGAACCCTACGGTGCAGCTCCTTCATCGTTCTCAGGCGCGACACTTGAAGATCCCACCGCCATGTTTGGCGTCCCAGACAGAGGACCTTCCCCATATGAACGCAGCGAAACGGGCTCAACCGAAGCGTGGCGGGAACGGCAGGCTCCTGCCGACGGGCTTCGTCGTTATGCAACCCGTAAAGTGAAGTTGGTCCAGGGCTCAGTTTTGAGCGTTGACTATCCTGTTCCGAGTGCCATTCAGAATGCGGTCGAGCCCAAGTATCGCAATGATCTTGAAGGGGGGACCGAAGAGTTCACCCACATGAGATGTATGCTACTAGCGATTAAGAGCGGCCGAGTAGACCTGGGTAATTGCTAACTGCTATGACAGATACCGCCGCGACCTGCGATCCCGATGACTTCACCTTGAAGAACGGTTACAATCTCCGGCCAGCCATGTACAACCGACACACCGAACTTCTCATTGCCATTACCTACTACAATGAAGATAAGGTGTTGACGGCCCGCACTCTGCATGGTGTCATGCAAAACATTCGTGACATTGTAAACCTCAAACGGTCGGAGTTCTGGAACAAGGGTGGACCGGCCTGGCAAAAAATTGTTGTGTGTTTGGTCTTTGACGGAATCGATCCTTGCGACAAGGATACGCTCGATGTCCTCGCCACCGTTGGCGTCTATCAGGATGGCGTCATGAAAAGGGATGTCGACGGTAAAGAGACTGTGGCCCATATTGTACGTTTTCCAGAGATTTAGGCTCCGTGAACGATGGCCGAGCAGGGGAATAGCTAACGGCAATAAATAGTTTGAGTACACGACGCAGCTCTCCGTCACCCCCTCACAGCAGCTCATCCGTCCGCGTGCCGATGCCCCGAACAACCTGCCGCCGGTGCAGATGATGTTCTGTCTGAAGCAGAAGAACAACAAGAAGATTAACTCGCACCGTTGGTTGTTCAACGCCTTTGGTCGAATCCTCAACCCCGAAGTCTGCATTCTGCTTGATGCCGGAACTAAGCCGGGCTCAAAATCGTTGCTGGCTCTCTGGGAGGCCTTTTATAATGACAAAGATTTGGGCGGTGCTTGTGGTGAGATCCATGCCATGTTGGGCAAGGGCTGGAAACACCTGGTCAACCCTCTGGTCGCCGCACAAAACTTTGAGTACAAGATAAGCAATATCCTTGATAAACCGCTCGAAAGCTCCTTTGGATACGTTAGTGTGCTTCCCGGTGCATTCTCAGCTTATCGGTTCCGAGCCATTATGGGCCGTCCTCTGGAACAGTATTTCCACGGTGATCATACTCTTTCCAAGCGACTTGGAAAGAAGGGTATTGAGGGCATGAACATTTTCAAGAAGAACATGTTCTTGGCCGAGGATCGTATTCTGTGTTTCGAGCTGGTTGCCAAGGCAGGATCCAAATGGCATCTTACCTATGTCAAAGCGTCCAAGGCCGAAACCGATGTTCCTGAAGGTGCACCCGAATTCATCAGCCAGCGTCGTCGGTGGCTGAACGGTTCATTTGCGGCCAGTATTTATTCCGTCATGCACTTTGGACGCATGTACAAGAGCGGGCACAATATCATCCGCATGTTTTTCTTTCACCTTCAGCTTCTTTACAACATTGCTACTGTCATCATGGCTTGGTTCACTCTCGGTAGGACCTCCCCTCTTTTTATTTATTTATTTTCCTCCTTTGCAACATCCTCAGGCTAACCTGTCAACTCATCTAGCTTCTTTCTGGTTGACAACCTCTGTCATCATGAACCTCGTCGGCACTCCTTCAGATCAAAATAAACACACTGGTTTCCCCTTCGGTGCAGATGCTTCACCAAAGGTCAACATCGTTTTGCAATACCTCTATCTCGCCTTCCTACTACTGCAATTCATCCTTGCTTTGGGTAATCGGCCAAAAGGGTATGTCCAGCCTCCTATACGAATATGATATTATTCTCCCTTTAATTGTGACACAAAAATAGCTGACCTGAGAACAACAGATCCAAATGGACGTATATCACCTCCTTTGTCATCTTTGGCCTGATTCAGGCATATTTGATCGTTTTGACCATGTACTTGGTCGTTCGAGCGTTCACCAGTCCATACACGGAGAAGCTCAACGACTCTTCTGCCGAGGCCTTTGCCAAGTCATTCTTCTCCTCTGCGAGCGCTGGTATCATCATTATTGCCATTGCCGCCACATTTGGTCTCTACTTTGTCGCTTCCTTTATGTACCTCGACCCTTGGCACATGTTTACTTCGTTCCCGCAGTATCTGCTCACCATGTCATCCTACGTCAACATTCTCAACGTATACGCCTACAGCAATTGGCACGACGTATCGTGGGGTACCAAGGGTTCGGACAAGGCTGACGCTCTTCCGTCTGCGCAAACTACCAAGGCTGCCGATGGCAAAGTTGCTGTCATTGAAGAGCCTGACAAACCGCAAGCCGATATCGACAGCCAGTTTGAGATTACGGTCAAGCGTGCCTTGGAACCGTACATCCCTCCCAAGGTGGACGAGAGGAAGACCCTGGAAGATTCATACAAGAGTTTCCGGACCAAGCTGGTAGCTGCCTGGATCTTTTCCAACGCTTTGCTCTCTGTTGCCGTCACCAGTGATAATTTCACGCAATTGGGATTCACAGTATGTTCAGCCTTGTAATAGCCCTACCAACACGTTGCGACTTGCTGACACAATTTTTTCTTCTTTTTTACAGAAACAAAGCACGGCACGAACGCAGTACTTCTTCCGCATTCTCTTGTGGACGACTGCAGTCTTGTCGCTAATTCGCTTCCTCGGTTGCTGCTGGTTCCTTGGCCGGTCCGGTATCAAGTGCTGCTTTGCTCGGCGTTAGACGATTTCCAGTGTGTGAATTGAATGCGATTATCTAGTGCGATGCCAACATTTAAGTGTATTTGGATTCCCTCGACATAGAGATTAAATAGTTCGACAAGGGTTTCTTTCTTCTTATTTTCGTTTTTCTCGGCTTGCGATATTGGTTGTAAACGAGCCACGGATAATCAGCGTTTTTCCCATGTCTTTCTTTTTATCAGGCATCTGTTCTGGCAAATGGCGCGCAGCTCTTGAATTTACCAAAATTTTTTGTTTTTGCTGGATCCTTTACTGCAGACGAAATGAGCTATAAGTTAACTTTTACTCTTTTATGTGCTGCTCTACATGCTCGATACTTTGGGTCTGATGCGAATTTACGTTGAAATCGTCCAAGGTTTGTTTCCCAGTGTGGGGATGAACAGGGAATTAGTCCGTAATGTACAAGGTTTGGAGGGTTTGTGGAAGAAGCATGGGAGGTGGTAATCCCAGAAGGCCCAAAGAGGAAGGAGCGAGTAAGGTTCTCGGTCGGAAGAAGCCGCCCCCGGAGGACCCTGAGCCGACGAAGGTGAAAAGAGCGAGAGGGGAGGGGCAACTGGGGGGCGTTTTGGGGGAGGAATCAGTTAACAGCAGCTTGCTCGTTGGTTAGTAGTGTTAGTGCAACGAGACATTCAGTTGAGCGGTGAAGATGGTTGTTACACCAGAGCTTGACACCGGAAACTTTTCATGGCGGCAAGAATTGACATGTTATTATCGCTGGTCTTTTAGCACCCAAAGCAATTTGCATAATTAACATATAATCTCTGCACTTGCCATCGAGTAGTTCCCCAGGCAGAACACTATATTTTATTGTTCTACGGCAGTTTCCCCTGATAAGCAAGTCTCGACCAGATGCCCTTGCCACTATCTCTCTCTGGCGGCTTGCAATCCTAACGACTACCTAAGGTAAGTAAACTAAAAACATACAACCCCCGTAGGCACGCAACTCTCCTCTCGCTCTTTCTATCTTGCCTGTTGCTCTCGTAAGCGAAACAAACGGTCTTTTAGCACGCAAATGCCAAAAACCCCAGTCGATACTTGACAGTTGCCGATCGGCCAGCATCATCAAATGTATTGACTCGTGTTTCAATTTGCCATTTTTCTTTTCTCCATCCAGTTTTTGCTACAATTATCCTGCTCAACGTTCGACTACCAATCGAGCTTTAACTTCCCGCTTCGGTGCAGCGTGGTGTATCCGCACGGGAGCTTTTCCAACAGCGGAAGTGGGCAATTCCTCCTCCCCCAAGCTACTCCCACTTGAAACTCGACTACCTCATTTCGGATGCAGGAACGAACCTTTTGACCATTGTCTAGCCGACGAGAAATATTCACATTGTGAAATTTGAGAGCATCTATTGAAACGCAAAACCCAACATTGCATCCCGTTCTGACGCCGAATTGTATAGCCGGACTGCTAGCCTGTACCGCAAAAGTTACAGGCGAGCAACCAGCGGTGCTGAAGGGACAAGCTTCAACGTTTCCTGCAGATCGATGCGTCGCTCTCGAACCGGCTTGGGATTCTGTATAGCTGTAGGATGATATTGGGAGTTTCTGTTGTCGACCCGGTCCTGCAAACTTTCAAAATTAGCTAGCCCCTAGCCAACCGTCGAATTGTCGGGCCACCGAGAATCACCACCCAAAGACGGCCCTCGAAAGCGCAGTGGATAACGGCCGGCGGCGTACAATTGGAAAGAATCGAATGGTTGGGTTGTTCGACCTGTGGCGGAGTGTGTTGGGCTTCAAACGCTATCCCGGTTTCTTTACCCTCTAAATAGGGAGACAGAGAAAGAGCCAATCGTGAGCTTATCCGCGAATTGGACGGCTAGTGATTCGTCGAGCAATCGTTCGAGCCTGAACGTTGCTCATCCTCTCCCATCTCTCGTTGCCTACAGCAAAAGAGCCCATCGCAGCCTTGTGCTGGGCCAAGTGGGTGGCCTGAGATGGGTGTGATGGATCGTCAGTCGCGAAGCAGAGTGAAGCATGCTACCGATGTGACAGACCGACCACAATTAGGCCGTGCCACTAAAAGCTCATCTTCCATGGACAATCATTCCTATTCGAATCACGGCCAGACTTTTCGAGATGTGGAGTTTCGAACAGGTACACCAGAGTCCATACCTGAAACCAGTGGGGTCTATAATTTTAAACAACCAGCTTCTTCGCCGACATCTCCTCGAACTGCTCGTACCCAAAGTCCAAAGAACAGATCCTCCGACTCACTAACACAATCCTTTCTGAAATCGGCTCGCCTTCCGGGCACAAAACCTTCTGATCGCCGGCCTCGCACAAGAACGCTGGAAAACACCCGTGAGCGATCACCAACGCTTCTCTTGCCGCGCACTCGCCCCCGAATCGGATCTGTGAACTCGGCCAGCTCATCCACGCACCGCCACGTGTTGGAAGAGAGAGTCGCTTCCCTGAACATTGGATCTGCAGTTACCTCGCCCTTGCTGGAACCTCATGTCGCTGACCCCATCCGGCATCGCCATTTCAGAGGCTCGCCTCGACTGGTGACCCCAGTCATGGGCTCTTCAACCCAGGACGCATCTCTGCCATCGCCTGTATTTACCTCAAACGCGAACAGGATATTTCAGTTGATGAAGGCAAATCGTGGCGTGGTGCATGGCACGGTGGGGTTCAGATCCAATAGGACGGGCTCCTGGGCCTGGGGCTACTGTTACATTAATGAGGAAACTGGTAGCCTCATTCATAGCGCACGGAAGGATGCAGGGAACGTGATACTCGTTCCTGATCTTCGCGGTTGCCAGGTTAAGAGCTCCTTTGATCACGAACGCCAAACTACATGTCTTGATATCGTATCTTACTCCCACGGTGTCAACGTACAATTGCGCATTGATGACCCTGAGGAATTCGACAATTGGTTGGCCGGGCTGCTATGCTGGCTGCCAGTGGGCTCAAAGGGTGTACAGTGCAAGATGACCAAAGTTCCATCGCCGAGCCTTGAAAATAGTCGCCGGAGCTCAAGTGCGTCTCTCGTCAAGAATGCAGCGATCATCAAGGTGGGAAAGATGATGTTTTGGGAAAGCTTTGGCCAAGCAAAGTTTCCTTACACACCATCAGCCGCGAGAAGTCCTTCAATCTATGGTCATTTGGGACGTAAATCTGGCACCTGGAAGAAAGTCTCTTGTATTTTGCAAGAAAATGGCGAGCTCAAGCTTTATTCAGACTTTGAAATGTCTCTCATTTCCTCGGTACAGCTCCCCCAAATCTCGAGATGTGCGATACGGCACCTCAATCCGTCAGTCCTTGGAGAAGAGTTCTGCATTGCCATCTATCCACGATATACTTCGACTTCAACCTCGCTATCCCTGGTACGGCCTGTTTACCTGGCACTGGAGAACCGCATATTATTCGAGGCGTGGTATGTTTTGCTCAGAGCATTCACCATTCCTGAGCTCTATGGCCCAGATCAAATAACACCGGATGAAGAGGCAAGTAGCAGAGAAGCGAGAGCGGCTGCATCCACAGGGTCCAGGGCCGATTTATTTCGCATTGAACGTTCGATATCACTATGTATTATCGAGGCGAAGCTGCATCAGCCTAAAAACCAGGTTCCGGGTGGAAGAAAGAATAATCAATCGGAAGGTGGATCTGCTCCAGCAAATTACTTTGCGGAGGTCATCTTGGATGACGAGATGGCGGCAAAGACATCGTCCAAAACCAGCAAAGAGAATCCGTTTTGGCGAGAAGAGTTTGTCTTTGACGAGGTGCCAGCTTCTTCATCATGTGTTTCCGTGGTATTAAAAAAAAGTCCTGCATATGATCCTCAGGAGACAAATGGAGGGAAGCCTTCTCCTTTTGCGAATGAAGACTTTGACTTTTTTGATTTCCCTGGCTATCTCGGCGGTCATACTACCGACGTCGTCTGCGGAAAAGTAAATGTCTATCTTGATGAATTTGACCGACGAAAGCAGACGGAGAAGTGGTGCTCGGTCATTGATCATGCTGGAGAGACTATTGGGCAGATGCTGATCAGAGTCAAAACCGAGGAGTTGGTGATTCTCATGGCGAAAGAATACCAGCCCATGTCGGAAATCTTGCACCGATTTTCCAATGGTCTTACCCAGGAGATGGCTCGGGCGATACAGCCTGAACTTCGATCTCTCTCCGAGATTCTAGTTGACATCTTTCAGGTGTCTGGACAAGTTACAGACTGGTTGATGCGATTGGCAGAAGACGAGATTGATGGCATTGATCGGGATACACCACATCGATTTCGATTCAGCAGACGATTAGGCTCGAATGAGACGTTTGATTCCAATATCGATCGAGAGATGATGTTGCGGGATCTAGGGCGGAATGCTACAATTGAGGCGAACCTTCTCTTTCGAGGCAATTCCCTGTTTACAAAGGCTCTAGACCACCACATGAGGCGCGTCGGGAAGGAGTACTTGGAAGACACGCTGCGTGGGAAACTTCGAGAGATTGAGACGAGTGAGCTCGACTGCGAAGTTGATCCAAATCGATTAGAGTCAAAGCACGATCTGGAGAAGAATTGGCGGAACCTAATAGGCTTTACCAAGGCTATATGGGATAGTATTGCAAATTCCGCATCAAGCTGTCCCGCAGAGCTGCGGATGATTCTACGACACATTCGTGCGTGCGCGGAAGATCGTTTTGGCGGGTTTCAGCGGTCGGTTCTCTATAGCAGCGTGTCTGGCTTTTTGTTCTTGCGGTTCTTTTGTCCAGCGGTGCTCAACCCCAAATTATTTGGGCTCTTGGATGGTAAGCAACAAGCTCGAGTTATTTCCCAGTTTTGATCTTCCCGATCCGTGAAAGCTAATATTTTGCTAGAACATCCCCGACCCAAGGCTCAGAGAGCACTGACCCTCATTGCCAAATCGCTTCAAGGTCTCGCAAACATGCGAGCATTTGGCACAAAGGAGACTTGGATGGAACCCATGAATAGCTTCCTCACTTCAAACAGACAAGCCTTCAAGGACTTTATCGACGCCATTTGCTACGTTTCATTTGATCCTCGATCATCTTCTGCCGCTGTAACGCCATCTTATAGTACCCCTATTACCATTATTTCCCGACTTCCTCAAACCTCCCGCGAGGGGACGCTTTCACTACCGTACCTCATTGACCAGTCACGCACATTTGCAGCATTAGTCACCCTGTGGCTCGATGCTACTTTTACCTCTTCTTCATCCTCGAATTCTACATTTTCGCCATCTTCGTCCGCCACATCAAGTAGTACGCTTGTCGCAACAGGAATAGCCGAAGACGGCGAGCAAGACCCGTCCGATCCACAACAGTCGCAACCTTCCAATGCACCACGCTTTGCAAGCCCAAATCTGGAAGCTTTCCACAATATTTGCGTTAAACTTGATCAGCACAAGAAAGACGTGCTCGCCAAAGCCGAGCAGATTGACCGTCCCGACAGTCGATTGTCGTTGAAGTGGGAAGAGTTCCTTGGCCAACTCGAAGAAGCTGCATCAGCACCTTCATCCATTTCCGCATCTCGCGCTTCATCCGTTGCCGCTGGTGCCAATGGCATTGGTTATGGAATTGCATCGCCAGGTCCAGGATATACTTCGGCTGGAGGCGACAATAATACCTCCTCTTCCTCTTCTAACAACAACAATGCTCCCTCGCATAACCTAAGCAACTTGCTCCACCGGTTCCGAGATAAACGCAGCGGTATGGTTGTCGTTGACGACGACGGCTGGGCTCTCGATCCCTGCGCGCTCGCGCGCTGCCAAAGCTACAGCCAAGGCGGCCACGGACAAGCTCATCTCCAGCACGCAGGATCATTTTCCTCCGATCCCTATGGTACCGCTACTGCTGCTGCCGTTGCTGCCGCTAGCGGTGCCCGTCTCAGCCAAGAATCTTATCGCGACCGCTCCTCGTCATCGTCCATATCCGGTGTCAGCGCCGCAGCACATCAACGAGACGCAATATATGCACACGGCACAGGTGTCGCCGCCGGAGGAGGAGGAGTAGGAGTAGGAGGAGTCTACCGCAGTGCAAGTGCCAGAGAAGCAACCGGTATCGCAGTCAGCCATTATGATACTCCTAGTGCCGGAGACGCAGGCGGTATTGCTTCCTCGGCGCCTCCCACCACCACCACAACGACGACGACGGGATCCTCGGGAATGTTTCCCACGCCTCATTCGAATTCGTCGACTTCAATGTCCACCATGACCTCGAGTTCGTCGAGTAAGCCGGGAAAACTAAGTGGATTGGTCGGTGGATTCAGAAGAAAACATCGCGATAGAGAGCGGGATCACACTCATCACGCTCATCAGTCTCATACTCATGGTCATACCCATGCTCATGCGCATTGACGTTCACATGAACCCCGGGAAATGCCCTGTTTTTTCCTTGGTCGACTCGACGTCCTTGACCGATTATTGATATCATTCTTGTTCTTTTTTCTTCTTCTTTTTCTTTTTTTTCCACATCTTCATTTTTTCCACATATATATTTATATATATATTCCATCTCCCATGTTATATATCCCCATGTTTATTTTTATCGTTTATATCATATATATTCTAAACTTTACATTCCGATTGACTTGTCACACACTTTATATTATATTATATATACCACATGTCGCATGTCATATATCATATATCATAGTATTTACAATATACTACTTGACCTTACCTAGGTAGTTAGCTACCTAAATACTTACATTACGTTATAGCTTCCATGGTGCTATGTCTATCACATATATATATGTCCTAGCTATGTTATGTATGTCTGGATATCTGGATATCTGAATATCGGGATTCCCAAGATTTGCTCTGAAGATTTTCTCTGGAGATATGTATATTCGAGGAGCGGCACTAGTTCAGTCACAACGTTACTTATTTTCCAACTTAAGAATTTTATTTTCTCAAACAAGTTGAACGGGCGATTCCTGGGCGCTGGCCGCTGGCCGCAGGGAGCTTCTAGTCCGGCGATCGGATGGTCCCTATTGAGAGGTTAGTCTGAAGGGTTAGTCTGGACTCTTAGCATTCTCCACGGCCTCGCCGGGGAAGCTTGTTTTCATAACATAGTAGTCATAGCATAGTAGTCATAGCATAGTAGTCATAGCATAGTAGTCATAGCATAGTAGTCATAGCACGGTGATGTTGAAAGAATTGAGATTCCGGGGCCATCTTGACTCCTTATATAATTGAGCTGCATGCAAGGGCTTCATTACCTATGCAAGGGTCAATTAATTGATGCAAGGCCCTCTCTTTGTTTCATGCTATGTTTCACTTGGAGGTGGACTTTGAACTATTTTGTATATTAAGGGTATAGGGTATAGGGTTACTGGTATGGTATGGTACGTATGGTATGGTACGTATGGTATGGTATGGTATGGTACGTATGGTATGGTATGTATAGTATAGATAGTATAAGAATTAAAATTCAGTCCGTTGAAGCTTTGCTTCTCCCTCCTTCCCTCCCTAAATTTGACTAACATAAAGATGATTTTTACAATAAACCTATGTATTCTATGTTGGAAATGTATCAACCCCGAAGCATATAGCATGAAAATTGAGCTAGATAGGTTAAAATATAGATTCTTAACCACAATTCTTAACTACAATACTAAAAGCTTTAACTGTAATTTAGTGAGTTTCATTCTTCAGCTCTGGAGGGATGGCAGACTACCACCTGTATCAAACCTCAGGGGTTTTGGATTTTGGGTCCCCGCACCCAAAGGGGGGGGGGGAAGGAGGGTAGCCACAGGGGACTGTTTCATGACATGATGCATGCATCCAGGCCTACTTTCATAATTTACACCTTGCAGCAGGCTACAGAACCCTCGCATAGAAGTGGTGATGCCTTGCAGAGAGGCATATATCATCGACCGATCAGGCAATGTCCACCTCTAGCGCGGTTCAAAGTATTTTTTATTATTGTTAATTCATTTAATTCTTCTATAACGGCTTGGATAGAAACCGAGAAGCAAAGGCAAGATACGATGCGCATATACTGCGAGTTGAATAAAAAAAAAAAAGAAAGAAACTATGACAAGGGTTCCTCGGCGACGTAGTGCAGGTAAGCGCCTTGAAGCTTGATTCCTTCGATGCTGTTCGTAGGGAAAGGAAAAGAAAATGGTTAGCATTGGCATTTGTAGGGACGAAAGGGACGAAAGGAGGGAAAGGAGGGAAAGAGCTGGAAAGAGGGAAATGTATGTAGAGAGTGGGAAAGGGGCACTTACTAATTTCTCTTGTCGAGTTTTTCTGTATTTTGCGAGAAGGGAGATGATATAGTTAGCCATTTTGTTACTCGTTGACAGGGCGTAAAGAAGAGGATGATAATAATGGTAATGATAATAAAACGGAAATGATAATATAATGAAAAAGAAAGGAGTACTGGGAGGGGGACTCACCGTTGATGGAGTGGGCGGCGTCAGTGGACGAGCCCATGGGTAACAATAAGACGTTCTTGCCCGTAGCTTGCTCGAAGGTGAGCGTGACAGGGATACTAATAAAACCATGGGTATTAGCCAATATGCACCGAGGAAACCGAGGAAAACAAATAAAAAAGAAAAGAAAAGGGGGGGGGGGGAAAGAAAAAAGGTTCATGACTTACCTTCCGCCCTCACGGGTGAGATCAGGCTTCACGCCCCACACCTTCTCGACGGCTTTGCCAGCGGCACTAAAGTTCCAGTGCTTGGGGCTGGCAACCCACCACATGCCCGCATGCTGCAGGGACACGTCCAGCGTGTTCTTGCTCTTGAGCTTGGCAAACTCGGCCTTGACGTGCTTGTACACCAGCTCATTGACTTCGTCGATTTGCATGTTGGGCACAGTCCGAATGGAAAACTTGCCCACAACCTTGGCGGGGATGACAGTCTTGGCGCCAGCAGCGGAGAAGGCGCCCTCGATGCCGTGCAGCGAGAGCGAAGGGAATCGCCAGCGCGCCATCAGCGTGCGCTCCTTGTCCTCAAAGATGCTGGTCTTGCTACCTAAGCTCTCGTAGAGGTTGTCCATGGTGTAGCTGATGTCACCGTAAAGCGACTTTTCCTCCTCGGTCACAGGCGCCACGAGGTCCTTGAGACCGGGGATTTGAATGTTGCCGTCTGTGTCGACCAGCGAGCCCATGACCCGGACAATGTCCGTCATGGGCTCCTGTGCGGATCCACCAAATACACCGCTGTGCAGGTCTTGGCCAGGGCCGGAGATGGCGATGGAGTAGTAGTTGCAGCCACGAAGACCATAGGTCAAGCAGGGCTTCTCGGTACCAAGCCAGTAGTTGTCCGAAATGCAAACGGCGTCGGCGTCCTTGAAGAAACCCTTGGCCTCGGCGGTGATAAAGTCGTCCAGACCCTCCGAACCGTACTCCTCCATACCTTCAAAGCACATTAACAGGTTGACGGGGAAATCAACGCCAGCCTTCAGGTGAGCTTCAATGCAGTTGATCCAGCCCAGAACGGGGCCTTTGTCATCAGTGCTGCCACGGCCGAACATGCGGCCCTTGTCGTCGATGCTGAGCTCAAACGGCTCGGTGGCCCAGCCGTCCTCCTTGTTGGCCGGTTGCACATCGTAGTGGCCGTACACAAGAATAGTCCGCTTGTTCTTGTCATTGCCATATCGGGCAACGATGACGGGAGGGAGCTCAAGGTGCTCCTTGTGAGGCTGCTTGCCTAGCGGTCGCTCCTCGACGTGAGCTCCCAGCGCTCGAAGCTCCGAAGCAAGGAACTTGCCCATCTACATTGCAGAGTCAGAAACACGTCTGGCTTAACAGTATCAATTAGCGATCTATGGGGGTTGCAATAAACCCACCTTGACAACGTCCGGTCTGCGCTCATCGTCGGCCGAGATTGAGGGGATAGCAACCGCCTTGCGGAGGCCTTGATTGAGAAAAGCGTCAGCTTGGTAGATTAAATTTATTATTTGGAGATTTCAAAGAGACGAACGGTCAATGAAGTTATCTGACAGGCCGTCGACCCTGAATTATCAAGCATGTCAGTAGGATATCGGAGATTCGTGACATTTTAGAAGCTTACTGCTTAAAGTATGAGTCTAGCTGCGGGGCCATGGCGGAGCTATGAACTGGTCGTCGGAAAATGGTTTTCTGAGGAGACGAAGGCTGGAAAGGTTTTCGAAAGTGACAAGAAATATTTGGAGACCAGGATCGAGCGGGCGAGTAAGAGAAGATGGGTGTTGTAAGCAATCTACGGAGGGGAGCAGCGCGGGGCATTGGAGGAGAGGGTTCAGTGCATTGATAGGTGACTCTCCACTTCACGTTGTACTGACCTTCCCGACATGGATCCCAATGCCGCGTCTACGCGAGACCCGCCCATATTAAAGGCACGGTCGAGGAAGTAAGACAGATTACTCCATTGAAAAGTCATATTCAATTCCTCTCGAGGAAAATAAGAAATCATTTTTCTTTGCTTTTATGCCATACAGGGGAATATACAAGAGAAAGAAGAGAAGATTATATATACAAAGGGTGCGACCTCTAATTGGTCGCGTGAGCTCCGCTCCCGTCCCATTGACACCCTGATGCAAGAGAAGATGACGCCAGGAACCGAGATAGTGGTACAGAAGAATGCTAGTAATGCAGAGCAAGGGTGAAAATATGTCAAAATCGAGCGTAGTCGGTGTGGAGAGCATTGCCAGCTTTCAAATATACACTGCGCTCCCCTGAAGAGCGCAGTTCGTCCCGCGCACTTTTCTCATCCCTTTCCGAGTCCAGAAGAGAGAAAAAGGAAAATTATCAATGACAGCCATAAAGGATGGTGAGCTCGCCGCTATAAGATAGCATCTGCTCAGAGAGAGGATTCCGCTTCCTGGGGCGAGTGAAAATGGTAATGTCGTCCGAGAAATGGCGAATGGAGAAGCTCGTTTTCACCACCCTCTTATTCGTCCCTTGACCAAGCGTCCCGTCTCCGGGCGCGGTCCTCTCTCGCCTCTCGTCGTTTCCGACCCCATTTGGATTTGACGGTGTCCAAAATTTGCTGTTGTTTGGCCTTGTGTTCCTTGCTGGCCTCGCAAATGATGCCGATGAAGAGACTGGAGCAGTTGAACTTGTCCGCCAATCTCGCGCGCGTCCACTCGGCCGGGTTCTCAGATCTTAGGCGGCGCACCTCCTCAATGTCGGCTTCAGTCAGATGATATGACTTCTCGTAGGGTTTCCGCACAGGCGGTGGCAGTTTGCCGGCGGTCTCATCAGCATTTCTGCCGGCAAAGAGCTCTCGACGGCGGTCACTTCGGGGGAGAAAGAGAGCCGGGGTGTGATAGACGGAGGGAGCCGATGAGGGCGGATTGAAGACGATGTGATCTTGCTGAACGTCAGAGGAAGCGGCACCGAAAGTCTCATCAGGCCTTAGGCGTAATCGTTGCTTGGTTCGGCGAAAAGAGGATTCGTGTCTGCGGCAGACATTTTGCACAATCGACGGAGCGACAATTGAGTGGTGTGTTGAGGCGGAGGGCCATTGGGCCACGAGACCCGCAAAGGGTCTCCGTACAGCGGCAGAATGCATACGGAGGAGAGGAGATGAGGATGCAGCTGCCGCTGATGAGGAGAGAGAGCTTGAGAGGTGATGATGGGAGAGAAAGTAATAGTATGTGTGTGTGTGATCGGGGATTATCAACAGCAATTGTCTCTCCATCTCATTCCTCTCCCAGAGACGAATTTTCCCCAAAAGGGCTGCTTCACGCTGATTGGCCAGATGAGCGAGGACACTTATATTGAACTCATAAAGTACTCTTTCAGCCGTTGCGACCATTAGAAAAGTCAAGTACTTCAAAAGTTCCTATAAAGTATACGTGGCATTTCCCCCAATCAAGACCCTTTCAAGGCAGAATAAAAGGCGAAAAATTTAATGCATATGAGAGCAATATCAACAGGGACTAATTTCAATATGAAAGCATCAATTACCAAGTGATGAATACGAGAATAAGTGAAGCGTGTGTTAAGTACCGTTCCTGATGCAAAGTACCTTGGAAGGCCGCGACAAGAGTGACAAGAGTAACATAGGGTACCTAGGTAAAGGTAATAAATGAGGTGGATCCCGTCGAAAGAAGACTGTGCACCCACACGGATAGGGATAAAATGGATCCATAGTGGACCCTGATACTGTACGAATAGTTGAGCACCAGGCGGAGGAGTAAGTTCTCTTTTGGTAGTCAGAAGTAACTTAACTTACTGGGACTGATAATATCGGCCTCGATGAAACATCCCTCCTCCCTCTTCCCACCCTAAAATCGAAAACCTACCAATATCTTCTTTAAACTTTGCGACAAGTCAAGTTGAAACAATCAATTCATCTTTTCATCCATCCTTTGTTCCTCTCACTGTACGGCTGCCTCTCCTTTCTGAGTCGTTCAAATACCTTACAGCCATTATCATTATTCTCGTGCAGAACAGGCCACTCTGACGTGCCTTTCTGACTTTCCTTGAAACCCCCTCCCCCCTCATTGGGACAGCCCTGCAACGACAAAGAGACATTTATTCCTTTTTCTTTTTTTTTTTTTTTTTTTTTTCGCTCGGCCAAGTCGTCCGCACGGTCTTATACAAGTTTTGACCCTCTGGCGACGTAAGGGTTGCTATCGCTTCCCACGCATAGCATCGCAGCCCGACGACCCTTGAATTGAGACCTGAACCGCCGTGAGCTGTCGCTTCCATTCATCCACTCGCTCGAGTGAGATCATTGCTCGACGTCAAGTGCCTTGTTCGCTGGCCATCCTCTACCCATCCATTTACACCGTCCACCCACATTTCGCTACAGATTACAGGACGTTTCTTGGTCCTTCTTACAACGAGAGATTGAGGTACGTTCACTCAGCCCTACTGATGCACGATAAGCAGCGTACGATGACGCGCACGTTTGTTTGATGGACAAAAGGGAATACCGCGAGAGTGGAATTGAGCAAAAGAGCAACAGAAGGAGAGAATTATTGCTAGAAAGGGTATACGGTCATGTGGTGTTTGCAGCTCGCTGACGGTATATTGGTGGTATAGGCCAAGAGAGAAGCTAGGCCACAATCATCTCAAGCCGTTGCCCTCCACGTCCCACCGGTCTGCTTGTTGGACTCGTTCCTTGCCGTCCCCCTTACCGGTTCGTGCGTGGTCGATCCCGCACCTATCCAGCGGACGGTGACACCGGCTGAACCTCTACGAAGACAAGAGGAAAAAAACTGTAATAGGAAAAAACCTAAAAAGGAGGCGGAAAAAAGATGAGTGCCGTGCAACCGCCAAGCGTGAGCGCACCTCCTCCATCGTCAGATTCTGTGCCCGCGCCTGGCGTCGTCTCTGACTTGCGTCCCACCGGAGCTGCTCCCGATGCAGGGACAACCAGCAACACCACCGCTGCCCAGCAGAGCACTACGACAACCACGACGAGCGCTACGCCCCATAAATCCGTGAGGAGCTTCTTCGGTTTCGGCAAGAAAAAGGACGAGGAAAAGCAGAAGAAAAAGGCCAATTCGCCCACCGCGCCGATCCAGACCATGGCCCAGTCCTCACCCATTCATTCTCCCCTCACTATTAGTGCCTCATCCTCTCCTCGGCGGGGTACCCTTTCGTCAGCTCATCGTCTTTCGACGACGATTCCTCACTCTCCCTCGGGTGGCCTCAGCTCCCCCGCATCTTCGTCTATTTTCGAGCGAGATGTCCAAGAGAGCGCCGTACCCGCACAGAGTTCCACTGCGATCCCTTCTCACATCCAGACCGAGAACCACATTCCGCCCGTACTCGAAGCTTCGGCCGAGGCCATTACGGATACTAAGCTCGACCCCGATAATGTTGAAATTGTTACTCACGCAGCCCACCAACCGGCCGGTGCCACGGTTGCCAATGCGCTCGGAAGCAATGGTTCGGAAGTTGGAGGCCCAGCTTCCTTAGACACCCAGCTGGCTCAGCCACCATCACAGCATCCTGAGCCGGTCGACTTGAGTGCACCGATGCACTCGAGCATGGATCCCAACGACGTTCGGCGGCTAAGTTTTATCTCTTTTGCCGATGTCGTGCAAGCGGAGCAGGGCGAGCACGCCATGAGCGATTCGGGTTTCCTCCTGGGCAGCCCTGGACCTGCCGCAGCCTCTGTGCACTCAACCAAGCGCTCGCCCTCTCCCGGCCGATCTCCGCCTGTCTCGCCGCCGGCCGGCGGCTCCCCACCTCTGAGTGGAACCGCGTCGTTTCAGGGCATCGAGGGTTCACCTCGACGTGGTCTCCGTGGCTCAGGCAGCCCTGTACCCCACAGCCCGTTGTTGCCCCACAGTCCTCAGGCTGGGGAGTTTAATGTCGAGACGATGCGACAAGCACTGCGCAAGACTGGCAGTGGGGATTTGAGCATTGGCCGGCATCCCTATGCGACTGGCCCTGGAAGCACCGACGAGGCCGCCACTTCGGATCAGCTGTCAAGATGAAGGCCGCCTCTCATAGGTGGTTGACGGCAAATCCTCTTCCTTTTTTTTTTTTTTGTTTTTTCTTTCTATTCTCTTGAATCGGTCTGGAACCTCTGCTCGATTTTGACTACCTCTTTATCTTTATTTCTCCCCTTCACTTTATTCTTATCATCATCGCTTCTCCAGTCTCGCTTCATTACGCTCATCTTCCTTTGGCCTGCGCCGTTCCAGCGTCTTATACACCTCTTGATTGATTGAGCATAGATTCCCATTTGAATCGTGCGTGCCTCTGTTCTCCAACACGCTATCTGCCGTCTGGATCTCAACTTCTACCTCTTCCTCGGATACCTGATTGTGATTGGTGGTCCTTGTCACCTTTCACGGTCATGTTGTTTTCGATCCGGTGATGGGCTCAGAATACCTTTACCTCCCTTACTCTCGCTACCTTGTTTACCTCTCTATTCGCATCTCACTCTGTCGGGCCCGCTCAGTGCTCTTCCTGGGGCACATGGCCCGACATGTCACGACACATTACCAATACCATCACCATTCTTACTTTCATTGCTTCACCTCTAGGGAACAGGTCCGACGGCGTTTCTCTTGTCTCCTCATTGTTCCTCTTTTTATTTATACAGTGTTCGATACTGACGTATATGTGTTTTCGCTGCCATGATTTACTGTTTCTTCTTTTTCTCTTTTTACTCTTTTCTCTTCCTTTGGGCGTGTAGCTATGATCCTTTTATAGTTGCCCGCCAGCCTTTTTTTCCTATTTCCCTTCTTTTCGGTCTTCATCTGGTTGGATATTACTGCACTATCCAACTGAAGGCCCTTCTTTCTTTGTCATTTTTTCTTTTCTTTTTTTTTCTTCTTCCCTTTTACTCTTAAATTATGGCCGTATCTGGGGATATTCCTCTTCTACATGTCATTCGTGATATGATGTCTGATTCTTACATCTTTATACCAATATATCATATCATTCAACCAACAAATACTGATTTCAAGTTCATGTCTATGATTATATACAAAGAATGCAGAACACTTTCCCCCCATGGGCCCCAACTGTGTCTACTAATACACATCTACACCCAAAGCGCAATACCATTCCACGGGCATTATTGGTGTCAGGATCTCAAGACTACAAATCCAATAATGAGATCTAAGAATCCGAGCCAAACAATCTGGCAATTGCTTCAACGGTCGTATTTCCGCCTGAAAACACAACGCCGAGATTCCACGCCCAAACGTCTCCCGCTTGCTGACCATGATCCTGCTTCCGCTGCTGGTCGTGCTGGAGTTTCTCAACTAAAATGCGGAAATCTTCATTAAACAGCACGACCGCAAGCGGGACTGCCGCGCTGGGCTCAATAACGACCTTCATGCGTTCAAGCACTAGTTTCATCGCGGCTTTAATCTGGGACTCTGTAGCGGAGAACATGCCGTGTAGTTTCCTTTTCGATCCGAGCGATGACGATCCTGACGATCCGCCTGTCGTCGTTGTGACCACGTTCGGGTCATATTCCTGGCTTAAAACGCTCCATGGGATCGCACCAAGCGGCGTTCTCAGCCCGTCGGCAATAGTCAGTGTCTTGACGGCCTCGATGCGTTTTCCCTGCGCGAGACCGCGTCCGGCGTCGTCGGCGCCTTGGAAAGATGGTTCAGACCCAAATACGAGTGTGCCTGTTCCGGATAAGGCGGTGGCGACGCCGGAGAGCATGCCCCCGCCGCCGCAGGGGGCGATGACTGCGTGTAGCCCGCTGGATGGTGGTGATGATGTAGACGAGGAAGCAGGGGGCGGGGAAGAGAGGGACGAGGAGGAAGAGGAGGAAGGGGAAGAAGAAGAGGAGAGTAGCTCGGCGACTTGTTCTTCGAGTTCGAGTGCAAGTGTGCCCTGCCCGAGAATAATATCTGGGTGATCGTATGGCGGGACCAAGGTGGCGCCAGTACGGGCAATGACGTCGGCGACAACGGCCTCGCGCTCGGTCGAAGTGGAGCCGCTGAAGATGACTTCGGCGCCGTAGGACTTGGTGCCGGCGATCTTGGACGGAGTGGAGATGTGTGGCATGACAATGTAGGCTTTGACGCCGCGGGTGTGTGCGGCGAGGGCGAGAGCTTGCGCGTGGTTTCCTTGGGAACAGTCAAGTTAGCCTTGATGAACTTGGTGGAGTTGAGATATTATGCTGTTAGATGTAGCGGGTAGTGGTAAGAGAGGATCTAAGGGAAAAGGGAGAAAGCGGAGACCGTCTTACCACTGCTGTGGGTGACTACGCCCTTTTTACATTGTTCGTCGGTAAGTCGACTCAGTGCGTGAAATGCGCCGCGCGCTTTGAAAGCTCCAATGCGTTGATAGTTTTCGCATTTGAAAAACAAGTTGATCTTTGGCCGAGCGGGTGTGCGGCCTTCGTAGGGCGTGCCTTGAAGCGCAGCGGGGTCTTGTGGAGTCGATGCAAGCTTGTCGAGCGTAGAGCATGTCAGAACGGGCGTGCGATGGACGTATGGCTTGACGATCTTGTGTGCGGCTTGCACGGAAGAGCGCGTGAGGGGAGCGCAGGTCGAGATGTCTGCCATGGCGGGATTGCTAGGATATAATGTACCTAGTTTATGTGAAATGGTGGTGTTGATTGTGACTTGCTCGGAGATCAATAATGAAGGTCAAAATCGTAATGCACGGCTGCCGTCGAAAATAAATTGTAAGGCAAGATGCAGCAAAGAATGAAAGCTGAATTCGAGTTTCCTGAACTCGAAGACTATGATTGGGTATTTCGCTGGATATATATACAATGCTGATATACCGATACGTCGTGCTATGAGATGAATGATATTGGCTACTTGATGCTGGGAAAGCCGAATGAGTTTTCAAAACTTGCAATTATTAAAGCTCTAGAATCCTCTAGAAGTAATGAATGTTAGACACAATGAAAAGAACAGTAGTAATCTCTCAGAGAAGTATCATGAGTCAAGAGGGGTTGTCATTACCGCAGTTTTAGAAAGCGTATGGCGACATTATCAGGGGTTGTGGACCCTCAGATAATCGATAAGTTAAGTCTACTCTCATAGCGTTAGTGTACTTCCCGTAGGGCGCATCTGCATGGCATTTCCCGTGCTCGGGTCCATCCTGACACTTTTCGCGTGTTGCTCCGATTTTCGGTGCTCACCGGTCTTTTGTGCCGAGTTTTATGCTCGGCTGTCTCCAAGGAAGATGACAATTTCGCGCTTCCCGATAGGCCATCATCGCTCACATAAGTAGGATATCACACCAAACATCCAGGGTCATGCAGTGTGTATAAATTCCCCAATTGATTTTTCTCGGGATGAATTACTTTGAAAGAGACAAAAAGAAAAGACCAATCCATTCCAAAAACAAAAACAAGGCTAATTTACAGGAGCGCCGTTGCGTGCAATCTCAACCCACAACCAATAGCTAGTCCATTATGCCCCATTTACTTTTGGTTCTCGGGACGGAGACCACTAAATAAAAATTGTCAGTCATCAATTGTAGTCATCATCAGTAGAATCAGGGTGGTACGTACCGGACGGCCTTGCCGGCGCGCCAGATCTCAAGATCCCGGATCTCCTGCATCTCCTTCTCGTACTTCTCACGGTAGTCAGGCTGCGAGTTGTAGTCGAGCGAACGCTGGGTCTCACGACCATCCTTGACGGCGTCGTAGAGGTCGTTGAAGACGGGCTTCAAGGTGTCCTTGAAGCGGCTGCTCCAGTCAATAGCACCGCGGCGGGCGGTGGTGGAGCAGGCAGCGTACATCCAGTCCATACCGTGGGAGCCAATGAGGGGGTACAAGCTCTGAGTAGCCTCCTCAACGGTCTCGTTGAAGGCCTCACTGGGGCTGTGGCCACGCTCACGGAGAACCTCGTACTGAGCGAGGAACATACCGTGGATACCGCCCATCAAGCAGCCACGCTCACCGTAGAGGTCAGAGTAGACCTCCTTCTCAAAGGTGGTCTTGTAGAGGTAACCACTGCCGACGGCAACACCCATGGCAATGGCCTTCTCCTCAGCCTTGCCGGTCACGTCCTGGTAGACGGCAATGGAGGAGTTGATACCACGGCCCTCACGGAAAAGGCTCCGGACGGTACGGCCAGAGCCCTTGGGGGCAACGAGGATCACGTCAACGTCGCTGGGGACATCGACCTTGGTGAGATCCTTGAAGACAGGGGAGAAACCGTGGGAGAAGTAGAGGGTCTGAATTGCACGTTAACAATTGATCCAGGAATTTTCATGACCACGTCGCAGTTCAATTTACCTTTCCCTTGGTGAGCTGAGGCTTAATGGCGGGCCAGGTCTCACTCTGGGCAGCATCAGAGAGAAGGTTCATGATGATGGTACCCTTGGAGATGGCCTCGTTGACATCGAAGAGGTTGGTTCCAGGGATCCAGCCGTCCTGGACAGCCTCCTTCCAGGAAGCACCGTCCTTTCGGACACCGACAATGACGTTCAAGCCATTGTCACGGAGGTTGAGACCCTGACCGTGGCCCTGAGAACCGTAGCCAATGAGGGCGAGGGTGTCGTTCTTGAAGTATTCCTGCGAGGCTGGTCAGCGTCATGTTCTTTGCCATCAGTTTTTTTATTCTTTCTTGTCGCGTTTTGAAGAAATCCATCCAAATTCTCTCAAATCGTCGAGCTAATCAACGTACAAGAAGCTTCTCACGAGGCCAGTCCTCACGCTCTGTAGAACCATCATTAGCGACTTTTCGTCATTTTCAATCGCCGCCATCACATACCATAGACCTGCTCCTTGGTGCCGGCAAAGTCAATGGTCTTGACTCCACGGATCTGCTGGGCAGGGCCAGCAACAGCGGCACGGGCAGCAGGCACCACACCAGCACGAATGCCACCGAGAGCAGCAGTGAAAGTACGGCGCTGGATAGTAGGGGCAGCCAATTGGCGAGCCACGTTGCTCCGGAGAGCCTTGGTGAACTGACGGGATGCCATTTTTGTTTTGGAGTGGAGAGGGTGAGATGGAGAAAGTTTGAAAGGATGTCCAGGGAGTTTTGAGGATGTTTTTCTCGGGGCCGCTTGAGTCAAACAGCTGACCTGATTCTCTGTGTGGAGGATTCGGGGAAATTTTCGCTATGCCCGTCTAGCTCTGGCCGACTTCGGCCGCTAGCGAACCCCAGGGAATTCGAGACTCCCAAGAACTCTACACGGCCAAAAGCGACTTGATAAACAGCATGAACTTCTCGACAGATGTTTTGAGAAAATAATTTACTGATTGTGCAGGATGATGATGTTTAGAAGACGGAATCAGAGCGCATATTCTTGAAAGATGCATTGTACTCGCTGATGGGATATGCCCCATCGGTTGATATTTACACGGCGAGCTATTGCTAAAGACATTTACAGAGCGTGCACTCATTTGATCACAAAATCAACGACACAGAGAAGTCGGACAAGATTTGCTGGAGGAATACTAGCTTCCTGAAAGCGCTTTTCAGAATTACATCTATCACTGTATCCCTTTACCACTTACTACTGCCTGCGCCTCCGTGGTCTCGCACAGCACGCTGGAGGAGCCTGGGTTACACAGATAATGTAATCACCAGGTCTATGCTAAGGAAATAAACATGCAACAATGTCAAGGCTGGAAAAACAACGTGATTGGTATGGAAGTTGACGGGATCATCAAACAAATCCACTGCATCTAAATACGTGCTTTCCCAAAGAAATACACAGCAGGGCGATGAATAGAATGCAACCAGGATATCAAATGCGCCCTATAACCCCACCCAAAAATGCCTGAAACTGCTATGCCGTCGATATGTGCGTCGAGAGGTCCTTTTTGAAAGAAACATAATTCAAAATAACGTCGCGCCTACCACTTGAGTCCTTACTTCAACACCCGTTGGTATGACTCTCCTCGTACAGAATCTCCGGCCATGGACTTTCGTACGTTCCTCTTGAATGCGTCTCTATTGGCTCGCAGGTCTTCGGCTGCTTCCTTATTCAGTGGATCTGACGCATTAGGCTCGAGGAATAAGAACTGTTCCAAAAGTAATTAGCCCCATGCCCGAATATCTTTTCTCAATAATTATGTATTCAAATAGTGTCAAATATGTCCGTAATCGGCAGTGCACCGAATAGAGTAACGCACCTGTAAGCCAACAATGACGGCATTCAGGTTAAGAACGGGCTTCCAATCCTCCCGCAGAATGTTCAGGCAAACATTGCCCTCTAGATCGATATTGGGGTGGTAGATCTTCTCCAAGCATTTGACCTTAGGCGGATCATGTGGAAAGTTTTGATTGATCGCGAAACTGAAGTGGAAACAGCCGTCTTTGTACATGCCCTCATCAGGCTCGATGGTCAAGGTAAAGTTGAGGATGTCGTCGGGGTTGGGAAATTCTGTGCGCATCGTGGTACCAAGTGAGAGCTCAGATAAATCTAGGTGCAGTCAGCGCCGTCAGCAAAGGGCCTATCCAAGGAAGTATGACGCATGGCACACGGTAGACGAGTGAGAGGAAGCTGAAAGATTAATGTTGAGAGACCACATATTGCAGGTCAAGGACATGTGCAATCATTCGTGATATAATGGATAGAGGACGAACCTTTTTGCACTCGCAGTTGAGCAGCAGTCACCTTCTTCTTCTTTTGGCCGCTGGCCGACGCTTGAGCATCGGCCTGCTGCTGCTTCTGCTTCTATTGAGCTCGTCAGCATGCACTCCACGGAGGTCAAGCATTTTGAGGTGCAGAATGAAAATATCATGGTAGCAACTGAAACGTACCATAGACCAGATCTTCAACATCTTCAGGGCGGTAGGTTGTAGAGTTGATAGAGAGGGGTGCAGTTGCGCGAGTGACGCTTCTGCTGTCGCCAACACTGAGTGACTTTGGCGAGAGCTCCGAATGTCGCACGCCACCTAAGTATATATAATGCGGCAGCGATAAATAGCCGTGTTACTCTTATTTTTCCTACCTTACGGATCTGGAACGATTATAGGAAGATCACAAGTCAATACTGTTGGTAAAATTATATTCAGAAATATTCTGTGAGTACTCGATAGACCAAAATTTCAGCGTATGCAAATATTTCATTTAAGTGAGAGCTAATTTTGGGCTCCGTGGAGGTCACTGTTTACCCCTCAGTAACTATTATCTATACAGCAGTCGGTAAGGCTGAACAAGCCTGGCTTTACTTTTATTGAGTACCATCAATCATTTCCATTGGACTTTTCGCTAAGATTCCTATGCAAACGCCAAGAATGCAGGCAAGTCTAATTATGAGCCTATTTACTCGAAGAATTTCTTGTAAACAGCCTTCTCCTTCTTCGTGCGATCAGCAGCCCGCTTCTTTGTCTGTTCAAGCTCCTTGGTCACGGCAGAATCGCCAGGCACAACCTTGAGAGCGGCATGCAGGTCAGCGACAGAAGCGTCTTCATCCTTCAGCCCATTGTGAGCCAAGGCTCGGCGGTAGAGGGCTTTGCCTTTCTCTGCATCAGTGGCGTCAGGGACGTCGAGGGCCTTGCTCGCCGAGTTGACAGCATCCCTGAAAAGGTTGAGCTTGATCTCAGCGAACGCAGCATTATTGTACAGAGTGAATTTCAGTGAGTTAATCTGCTTTCCGAGGTCAGCCGGCTCGCCCTCGAGGGCATCCGGATCCTCATGGAGGTATCGAAGGCCCTTCTGGTACTTGTCTAGTGCCACAGTCGAATCGCCCGCCTTGAACGCGGTATTACCGTAGCCCTTGACGTCAGAGGCAATCTTGAAGACGTCGACGCGAGTAAATTGCTCGGCCTTCTCGTGGTCCTCGGGGAAGTCGGGATAAGAGTCGCCGGTCTTGTCAACGATGGGGTCGGCGGCCGTTTTTGCGGCCTCTCCCGTCAACTCACCACAGTCTACAAATGTAATCAGCCAAAACTCATTGAACACTGGAAGACGAGGTTATCTGCGTACCGATGATTGTGACGGCTTGATGAGGCTTGTCGCTGGAATCGGTCTTCGCAGACTCGATCTTTCTCACAATGCTTTTGCCATTGAGGACCTCACCAAACACGACGTGCTTGCCATCAAGATGCGGGGTTGGAACAGTGGTAACGAAGAATTGTGACCCATTGGTGCCTATGGTCGTCAGTGCTGGTTTTTTCTACGGTTGCAAGTTCGAAAAGAGACATACCTGGGCCAGCATTGGCCATGGAAAGAAGGAAGGGCTTCTCATGCTTCAACTGGAAGTTCTCGTCTTCAAATTTCTCGCCATAAATTGACTCTCCACCAGTGCCATTTCCAGCGGTGAAATCACCACCTTGAATCATGAAACGCTTGATGATACGGTGAAAGCCGGATCCTGTTTGCAAAGTCAGAAGCAATTCGAGCTCATAATGTCGGAATAAATTGAACCTTTGTAATGTAGCGGCTTTCCGGTCTTGCCAATGCCCTTCTCTCCGGTGCAGAGCGCGCGAAAGTTCTCTGCGGTCTTGGGAACAACTAAAGCGCTGTGTTAGCGCAGGCTGAGTAGCGCATAGAATATCTCCAACTCACTGTCATTGTACTTCAAGCAGTCAGCTTCAGCTCTTTAGTACCTCTTGGATGACGAAAATTAAAGTTGAGAAATACTACTGACCAGCTCGAAAGCTACCCGACCAACTTCTTGCTTGCCGATTTGGAGGTCGAAGAAGACACGGCTTCGGCCTTTCAGGTATGGTATTCAGCATAGCTTCTGGTTATTTGCGCAGAGAAGTTTGTATTTACCTTCGACTTGTGGTGCCATGGTGATGATACTGCGTTTAAAAAAAGTGCGCACAATGCAATCAATAATTGAAATGCTGCAAAATGAATCTGGACACAGATTGAGTCGTGTTGTTGAATCTGTGGTTTAGCAGAGGACGGAAACTCGTAGGGCTGGTGGAGATTCAGGAAGCTTCCATGCGGCGGCTTTGGCTCTGGTGGGGTTGACGGAGCGCGTTTCGCGAGAGCCTCAGGGTCATCAGGTACCAGCGGGATCGCGGGGCATTCATGTTGATCTCCGACCCTGAGGCCAGCCCAAGCTTCACATCACCATCCTTCATAATATTTACAATGTCTTTCTAAATTTATTTCGTCTATGAATTTTCAGTTTTTCGAAAGTGAGATTTATATCTAATTGGTATGTATTCGCAAACATCGCCGATCGCAATGGGTATATCGCTGTTAAATATGCAATAATGAAACATGTCTACTCTAGTAATTCAGGAGGTAGATCCGACGTAGAACCATTCGGCGTGGGCTGATCCGATTTTGTTTTGCCCTTTTTTGGCCCTTCTTGCTTGGTATCCGCATTTGCCTCGGGTTGAGGGGGCGGGTTCGAGATAATTTCCAGTGTAACCTGTCGAAAATTCAATTAGATTCGTCTGAGATCTAGCACACCTGGGAAGGATTTACCGCGCCAGAATCACTGCGGTATTCAAGACCTACGGGCCCATCGTTGACAAGTTCGACATCCATCATGGCTTGGAAAACGCCATCTTTAACTCGATCCGCGCCATGTAGTTCGCGGACTTTGTCGACAAACTGATCGTAAAGTTGCTTCGCCTCTTCGACCTTCATTGCTCCGTGGAAGCTTGGCTTGGCTTTTTTGGTTGACGCGAGGAGTGTAAATTGAGAGACTGTATTGTAAAGGCACATGTGAGCACAGAATTTACTTCAACTGCATCTTTCTTGAATGGTGGCAAGCACATACCACAAAGAACTTCGCCCTGTATTTCTTGGACACTACGCTTCCACTGTGAAAGCAGTAGAATTCATTGTCAGCCGGGAGTCTTGGAAAAAGTGCTTAGTTCACTATTTAAACTTACCGAACCGCCCTCCTCATCACCCCACATCTTCATTTTGAGAACCTTGCTCGCCATGGCTTCAACTTCCTTCTTCGTATCTCCAGCGCCAACTGCAGCAAATACGAGGATGCCCTTCCCAATTGAAGAAATCAATTGTTTGTCGACAGTGACCGAAGCCGACTTGACTCTTTGTAAAATTGCTGGCAGAATCGTAAGCTGAGGAATTATTTCTGTAGGTCTAGAGAAAATTCACCTTTCATCCTCGTGGCGCTTTAGTATAATGTAATATGTGGGAGGAACTGTGTAGCGTGAGAAGACGCAGAGAGTTCAGAGGATGCAAATAATGAAGTACAATATTTGAATTGCCAGATAATGCAGAATTAAACAATAGACCTCTTAGGTTTCTATGAAATGAGAGTTGATATGGGTCTGGTCAGAACATAACGATCTTTCCCTATGTCATTGCGCGAGTCATCAATGCATTTCCCTTGCGCTAAACTCCGCATCGGGGAAGGACGGAAAAGTGCGAAGCGACGGAGCGCGGAAAGCTGCACGATGAACAACGGAGACGCCTAGAAGGATCCCGACAAGGTGAATATCGCAAAAGAGAAGAAAGCTATTACTGTGACGACGGAACTTATCGCCGCTGCCCACCACATTCTGTTTGACGACCGTCTTCACGTTTCCTCCACAACAACATTACCACGTATCACAATACCAGCAAACCATCACCTCGCACCAACCTCCTCCTAAACCCATCTCCGAGAGATACCCTTCTACCTTCACCGCCGTGGTGAGCCACCTTCCCGTGGCAAGACCAACTTTCTTGCCTCGTCGAGACCAGCGGTAGCCAATTGATTTTAAGATACGAGACGATCATCGCCCAACATGGCACAACGAAAACTACAACAGGAAATCGACAAATGCTTCAAAAAGGTCGCAGAGGGGTCTCAGGCCTTTGATGGCATCTACGAAAAGATTCAGCAGACCTCAAATCCTTCGCAAAAGGAGAAACTTGAAGATGCACTCAAGAGAGAAATTAAGAAGCTGCAACGGCAGCGGGATCAGATCAAGGCATGGGCGGCAAGCAACGACATCAAAGATAAGAAACCGTTAATAGAACAGCGAAAGCTGATCGAGAGCGTATGCGAGAGTCTTGACAATCCGTCACGGTTTCACATAAGCTAATCATAAAGGTGTAGCAAATGGAGAAGTTCAAGGCTGTGGAGAAGGAGATGAAGACGAAAGCATACTCCAAAGAGGGTCTATCGGCGGCCGCGAAACTCGATCCCAAGGAGAAGGAGAAGTTAGAGGCATGCCACTTTCTATCGTCCATGGTTGAGGAACTGGATCGTCAAATCGAAACGCTCGAGGCGGAACTGGAGACATTACAAGTCAGCATCAAGAAGAGCAAAAAGGACCACTCCAAGGCGGAACGTGTCGCCCAGATCGAAGCGTTGACTGAGCAGCATAAATGGCACCAGGGCAAGCTGGAACTCATATTACGCGCTTTGGAGAACGGCAACATTGAAACTGAGCAAGTGGTCGACCTGCAGGAGAATATCAAATACTATGTGGAGAGTAACGAGGACCCCGACTTCATCGACGATGACACAATGTACGACGATCTCAATCTCAATGAGGAAGAGGATACATTTGGAATGAACAACGAGAACGATCGCGTGTCTTCTCAGGATGCGCAATCGATACAAGATGACGTCCAGGATGGTGATGCCCGAAGTCACAGTATAGGAAGCAAGCAAAAGTCTCAACCGCCTCCTGACGCACCAGCAGCAGCATCAGCAGGTCGCCGACCATCAGCAACGCACGCGAAATCTCCGCTACCGGCGTTGGCCACTTTACATACCCCCTTATCGACCTCTACCAATGGCATCATGAGTAATAGCATGAAGCCAGCCCCCCTACCGACACGCGCGCCAGGTGAGACGTTGAAATACGCCTCTGCGGCGGCTGCGGCTGCTGCAAGTGACAGAAATGACGTTGGAATTGCACCTTTACCGCCGCCACCGGGTACTCATCCTCCAACACAACCGACATCATCGAAAACAAGCAGCGTCGCATCACCTGCTATCTCAAATTCTCAGCCCGTGGCTGCAACTTCTGGTCCTGCTGGCAAAGCGGCCGCCCCTGCATTGGATGCCCAGGCTCGAGCAAAGTCCCCGGCGTTGAGCCAATCCAGTGCCGCAGCTAGCACCAGCGTTGCTGAAAGCATGCCGCCTACGCCGGCAATGTCCAAGGTTGAGAGTGTTGCCAAGCCTGCTGCCAAACCTGATAGCGCTGCTCCAGCGATCCCGCAAAATGGCGTAGATGCGGATGCGGATGAATCCATCTACCATCTGCCGCCAGGATTGCATGACCTGATTCAATCCTTCGAAACAACCAAATCCCGGGTTTCCCTCGAGCCCACGCCATCAGTGCAGCGCCTGCTCAACGCGTCACAAACATCCTGCCCTGAGTCCATTGATGCTGAGAAGCCCAAACACTATAAGCCGCAGACTCGTTACAACACCCCCCCTCATTACCCTCAGGAACCTCTACCCATTTTCGACGATCCACGCCTTTACTCACGGATAGATACCGACACCTTGTTCTACGTCTTCTACTACTGTCAAGGAACATACCAGCAGTACCTTGCGGCTAAGGCGTTAAAGAACCAGAGCTGGCGCTTCCACAAACAGTACCAGACATGGTTTCAGCGCCACGAAGAGCCCAAGACGATTACAGAGGAATTCGAGCAAGGAACGTATCGGTTTTTTGATTACGAGAGCACATGGTCAGTCCACCGATTTACCTTTGCATTAATTTCTCACAAATCCGTATTTTATGATTAACCTTTTTCCCATTTTGCTGTCCTATACTTCCTTGCTTGACCTTTGGCCTAAAGCTACTTATCGCTGACATTTACTTCTTTTTCGTAAACAGGATGAATCGTCGGAAAGCAGACTTCAAGTTTGCTTATAAATTCCTTGAGGATGACCTATGAAATCTTGAGCCTGCAACTCAAGATTGCATAGAGCGGGCGTTGGAACTTTTTCTGTTTTATTCTTCTTTGGGCTGGGCTGAGAACTTGCACCAAAGTACCTTTGACTTCTTCACTTGGCCGTTTCGTCAGCGTAAGAGGAGGAACGGGTAGATAAATAGGACAGGCGCCCCGGAACGCTCACAGTGCCTTTCTTTCTTACTTGGTTTCGAACTCTGGTGTGTGTACGTTTTGTCTTCGGTGCTTTTGCTGGATTCATGAATAAGAACCGCTTTACTCCCCCCGAATTGCTTTGGCGAAGAGATCTATAAGAGGCGTGTATTGTATGTTCAGGTCCTTCATGTCAATCTGGAAGCGTCCTTGCCATATCGCTGTTCTAAACAGCAAATGATTTATTACGTATGTCATGCTCGAAAGCGTGATGTTGACCCGCTGAAGCGGACATTGGGCCGCGCTTTCCCGGGCCCCGCCGACATATATAATGGACAAATTTACTTGGAGAGTCGCATTACGTTCTTCGAACTAATTTTTCCAAGTACCATGCGTGGATACTCAAAATCATTGATTGCGCAGAAATTTTTTAATCAGTCTTGTGGTGACGCCCACGTAGATATTCTGTCTTGGATATTGCCCACCATCTCATAGTACTTTCGCATCCCCTCGGTCCGGTCGATGGGCGAAGTCGCTTCGGGAAATTTTAGTGCCGACTTCATTGGGACAAAACATCACCGCCAGCTGCCTGTGAACCTCGCTATTCTACCCCTACCACATCGGCTTTATCAACTATCGCTATGTCAATTGAGATAGCGGATGTCTTTAGGTAGTCAATTCTGTCGCAGGAGCAGCTCCCTGCGGTATATCGCAGAGAACTACATCCAAGCTCCTGGAGACCGCGATCCGCTCTTGTTTCTCTATCCTCGATGGTTTTCAGCACCTCCGTCTTTTGCCAACCAGAAGGCTCTGCCGGTACATCGTGCGAGGAGACGTTTCTATTCGATAGGGCGTCAGGCATTTGCTCCGCAGCCTGACTCGAATCAAGAGGATATCATCCACGATGTTGGGTCTACCAAACACCAAAGAATAGAGCAGCGCGCTGCGTTGGATCATGGCTCCGTCCCTCAGCAGCCTCAATCAAAGCATAAACCTCTGTCAGGAGTCTCTAGCGATACTCCAGGCTGGTCTTTCAGTCACTCCGCTGAGAATGGGAAGGTGATCAACCCCGTAACCGCCGTTGAGAGAGGTGTGGAATCTGAAGCTGGACTGAGGAATCTGGGCGCGTTACACTCCGCGGATCCAGTGAGTGCAAAAGAAACGCGGTCGGGAGATGGGATTGTTGATGCGGCATTTGAGAAGAATGGAGAACGTACTTCCAAACAAATCCGTGTCATTGATCCTTCGCAGAATCGAATAGAGAAACCGACCCTTGACCCGAAGAATAAACAGAGAGTTGAGAAGGCAGCCAAAGGCGCCGCGAAGCACAAGGACAACAAATCAATTATCAATAAGCACATGAAGTACAAAAGCCCACTCTCCGTCGACTGGCGAGTGCCTTTGACAGAACTCGAAAAGAACAGCCCAATCTCCAGCGTCGGAGGCTCCGCAAGCGTCAAGCAAATGTATATACCAACAGACCGTATGGCTCGCCTTCAAGGGGACCTAGATGGGAAGCTCTTGGCCGTAAAGCTGCGTACAGGCTGTCACGTTACCTTCTCGAATTTGCTTGGGAACAGCCCCTTGAGACGAGAAACCATTACGCTGAAAGGAACCGCTGAATCAATCAAGTCAGCGCAGGAGGATATTTCTGAAATATTTGGCCTCGTGAATGATGATGGTGGAGAAATGGATCAACTACAAGCCCAAAAAGCTGATCGAATACGAGGAGTAGTTGAACGGCCTGTCAGGGCGGACGCCTTCCCTCGGCCTCAAGCATGGACCACGGCCACTTTTGCACGATACGTTGATCAGCTCACTACCTACAGCATTCCACGGACATTACATCGTCAACTGTACCACCAAAGCGAAGAGCATTCTCAGGAAGTGGCCCGCATAATAAAAGAGCTCTTCAAAGATCCGGCCAACGGGCCGTTCATTTCGACAGAGGCTCTGAACAGCGCTCTACGTTTCCTGTACAAACAGGGCATGATCCCAGCCGCACGGATGCTATTCATCAGAGTCGAAATGCTCAAACTTGGCCTTACCACTGAGACCTTTAACATCATGATGCGCGGGGCAGCGGCTGCAGGTGACCTGCACAACTTCACCTTCCTCCTCCGGCTTATGATCCAGCGCGGCATCATTCCTAATGGAGCCACGTGGGTGGCATTGCTCCATGCGGTTGATTCCACCGAAGTTAAATTACATATTGCCCGAAGGATGAAAGCCAAAGGCCTGCTTCATGAACGGACTGTTCTACGAGCCGTGGTCTCAGAAGTCATGCCCAATGCTCTCCGCATGTTTATGGATGACCCTGCCGCGACGACAATGCCGCCCGATGCGGTCCAATTCCTTGGAAAGATTGACAGCATCTTCCCGCGTCAGTGGCCGTCCACATCAGCCGCAAACAAGATGCTCAACGAACTCGGCACTCGTGGCCTCATCGACCAAGCCTGCAAGGCCATTGGATGGTTCCGCAAGCGTGGCGTGTCTCCAGACACCGTCTCTCTTAACACACTTCTCCTGCATTGCCAGCGTCATCGCAATGAAACGGCGGCCGTCAAATTGCTTACCATGTTTACTACGCAATACCATGTAGTCCCAGACAAGATTACCTACGATCTGCTGTTCAAAATCGCGTGGCGATCGCAGCTGTACAATGTCTGCCGCGTTGTCTGGCGATACGCATGCTGCTACGGGCATGTCTCGTACTTTTCAATGCAGCGATTGGTCCTGCAGAGCTTGATCCGAGAAAGCAAAAACGAGCCCAGCACCGAGTCACCAACCGTTCGCGAGATATGGCTTCAATCAGCGGGCAAGGTGATTGCGGGCGTCAATCCCGAAAGCAACGGCATAGGGGTTGTCAAGCGCAGGTCCGATTCCTCTGGAGATATCCAACCGGTCACGACCCTCCCTTCCGCATCGTCTCCTCCCTCCTCTTCTTCTCCTTCTTCAGCATTCCCGCCCTCCGAACCCGCCTCATACGCACCACCGAAAGTCCAACCTCAACCATCCAGTCAATCCGACTCTGTCCCCACCGATCAATATATGACCACGCAACCTCCCTCTCGGTCCACCGCGCCCTACTATGCTCTTATTGGCGCAGACCTCGAGGCCGTCGCGCGATTCATTCCTTCTCGTTCTCTCGCACATATCCTCGAGGAAGCCCTCGAGCGGGACCGAGCCTGGTCGCGCGACGGATCATGGGACAGCCGAGACCTCGGCTGGAAAATGACCAATGCCGTGGACATTCCCGTTGTCGATCAGCAGGCTGCCGCGAGTTCCATTTCCGAGAAGTTGGACTCGCCTGCTATTAATTCTCCTTAATTCCCATTTACTTGATCCCGGAAAGGAGCTGTTCCATGCCACCGAGTAAGGGCAAGCCGATGCTGGAGTTCTGGCTGTTCAAGCTGGGCGATGCGCGAAAATTTATGTTCGTCTGCCTGCCTCGTCTTCACTTTTCGGATTGTCTAGGATTACATTTTGATCATTTGGACCACTTGGACCATTTCCTTCGCGAAGATGGAAAAGAAATATTCGGTGCGGGTAGGAACTCATGTATAAATCCCCAGTCTTTCTAATAATCTCCATACCATTCCTCGCGTGTACTATAGTTAAAACCGGTTATATTAGATTTTAGACCTTTTCTTTTTATTTTGCTGGGGATAGGAGTACATATGTGTCGATATAAATTTTTTTTTTTTTTTTCACATTTCACATTTCACATTTCACAGTATTTCGTAATGCGAGTATATCAAACGCATCCACAAGACAAAGGACAAATTGGGTTGGGTATTTTCTGTTTCTTATGAACTTGAAACAATAGTATAAAAAAATAAAATAAAATAAAATAAAAATATTGCAAAACAGCAAAACAGCAAAACAGCAAAAGAGGAGAAAAGTGAAAAATTAAAAGCACTTTAGTAACAGAGCATGAATACTAAGCTGCATTGAGATACATATCATGAGACTATACAGTGATGTAGTGTTTGATGCCGAAAAAAATGAGCAAAACGTGTGACGTGTAGGACAAACTAAAAATACATCCCATCCCATCCCATCCCATTCCGTATAACATATGCACTACAGTTGTAACGGACGAGTACAGGATATTAAAGAGAGAGGGCCAAGATACGACACAATGACGGAAATATATATTAAGGTACAACTTGTGTAAGGGGCACAGCCGGGTTGAAATACATTGATGGTAGGAAAGAATGTAGAGTTACAAGCTAAAAAGAGCTAGGGAAGAAAAAGAAAGAAGAGAGAAGAAAAGAGAAATGCTCGTTATACACTGGAACCATGACTCATGGACCATCATGAAGCTAGATATTGGGGAGAAAAAAAAAACAATAAAATTGCAAAGGAAACAAGAAGTGAAAAAAAAAAAAAAAAAAAAAAAAAAAAAAAAAAAAAAAAAAAAAGCAAAAGTACAGAGACTTGTACATTGGGAATAAAGAATCCCCCAAGAAAACAAACGAGCAAACGAAATTGCGAAATCGGCCGTAATTGCATATATGATAGACAATGTCCCTCCAGCCCGTTTCCAGCGGTGTGACGATGTCAAGCCTTGAACCTCCAGGGAACAAGGTAAGAGCTCAGAAACACTTTTTCCAAACGCGAGCACAGCTCAATGACGAAGAATATAAAACGGCCAATCAAGAAGATGAAAGTATCACCCGAGAACGACGACGCGGAGCTTTTTAGAATGTGACGATGTTCTAGGGGCGAGGGTGGGGAACCGGTCCTCGGGAGTTAGAGGGCGTTATAAAGGATGATATAGCCGTACAAGTATCGTATCAACAGCGGCATGTAATGCTGAACGTGAATTCTCCTTCTATGGTATTGCAATGGGTCGCAGATCCATGACAATAGGCGTGTTATCGACATTAGCGGAGATTTCGTAGCCAAGCAAGGATGGACTGAAGCGGAGGATCTTCCTGGATCCACCGGCCATTCTGATGGTCAGCTGAACGAATATCTGTCAAGACTCGCTCGTCGGATATGCCATTCAGCTCCTTGTCAACAATTAGCCTGTTGTGCTTGCAAGGACAGAGGAAGAATCCCCCAGACGAGTAGGTAAAAACACCGTACAGCTCTCAGAGTAGCGTCAATTGCCCGCAGGGAAGCTGCGTGTCCGGCATGCGGCTTTTGTCCCTGAAGAACGGCATTTCTAGAATTGATCCAGCGCATGGCTGCCGTGGCGCGAAGGTAGATTTTCTGGGCCTTGAATCGACGTGCACTTGCATCGACAATAATCCTAAGCAATGAAATAAGGGACCGAAATCTTCGAAAGGGTGCTTGAATGAGCAATTGGTCCTCACCGTCTCAATTGCGCTTTCTCTTGCTCTCCGCTGCCGCCCGATCCTGATCCAGCGGCAGCACTGAAAGGAGCGGAGAGAAGCGATTGCCCTTCCGAGCTGCATTGTCTGAGGATCACATAGCCTTCCTCTTGGTATTCCGCTGCCGTAGGATAAACTTTGATTTGTGCAATGCGCAATTGCAGGACGCGGAATTCATTCATGATTTCGGCCACCCTCATAGCACGGGTGTCGTTCACTGCATTGCTCTACCATTAGTGTCTCCTGAAGCAGTTCACACCTCGGGAAAAGAAGCCAAGGGATTTGAAGATTCCATCTCTTCAATGAAAATAAATTGACCAAAAAAAAAGAGGAGGGTTGATCTCACATCCGTCAGCCATTGTGATAACTCTAAAAGGAAAAAGGGAAGTATTAAAAAAAAGGGGAAAATTAATAGAACAACAATAGAGACGAGAGAAAACAAGACAAGTCAATGCTCAACATTGATGATCTGATGCCGTTGAAAAGAAGCTCTTTCATGAGCTTTTTGTATGCTCATGGTGGTTCATGGTGGTTCCTGGACTGGATCACCAGAGCCAATCACCAGTGAGGAATTCATCATGGCTGATCGACAAGGGGATTTCAGCACTGGTGGGACCCGGAGCACGCGACGGAGAACCGGCAGGGACGACAAGGGAATGATGCCCTGGTTCGCGGAGGGAGAATCGGAGAGAGGACAGAGAAAGAGAGTAATTTGCACCACAAAAAATGACAAGATGGTAATGCATCGAGCATTGCTTGCGAGCTGGAAGCTCCAGCAGTGGGTCACCTTTTGGCGGACTAAAGCGGGTTCCGCTCAGGCGGTGCAGTGCTGCCCCAGGTCAGACATGAGGGAAAACCAAAGCGAATTCAGCTGGAACCGACAGTGCTGCCCCTGGCAAGCGCGTTCAGATAATGGAAGTGGTAACCAGATACTGCAAAGTGTCTCGCGACGTTACCTAAAAGCGCTTGAACTGGCCAGGGACCCAGTGAAGCTTATGTGCCAACTGAGAATAAGAGTGGACAAATTCGAACCACCCGAGCTGAAAGGCGCAATCCACGGCCTCGGGTATCATGCAGATCGATTCCCATCTTTATTTAGATTGGTGTTATAAGCATGGATTCGGTCAAAAGCACGGCCTGAGGCTGATTGTCAGGACTCAAGTCGGAGCGACCTCGGAAGCCAGATGGAATACTTGTTCTTTTTTTCTTCTCATCCCTCCTAACGACGTACCTCTCGCGACTTCACAATGTCACCTTGAACAGGACCCTCAATGTCACTCAACACCCCCCAAGTCAAAAGTTGAGGCTGATGGGTTTCCTGCAATCCTTTGATTCGATCGGATCCGACACCATGATCTATCGACCAAACGGTGAGCGAATAATCAGACGCACACAGCTTCTGCACACAGCTTCTGCACATGAGATAGACTTTTAGACTCCTGCCAAACAAAAATCGCAATCACTTCCAAATGTGGATGCTGGAACCGTACGCGTACCTGAACCTCACTGTTGGAATTTCCCAATCGCACTGTATCTTGCATGAGTCAAAAAGCTGCCGACGATTCTTCTGTCATGAAATTCGCGAATTTGATGTTGCTCCCATAAACCCTTGTCGAGCTCAACGGGCTCCGAACCAGTCACCCTAGCTCATCCACAATCCACGAGGCGGTGCACCGCCTTCTGACGAACCACTGCAGAATCACGCCCTTCATGACGCCACACATTGTTTCTTTTCATTATCTCAGCATGCATGCAGCAAAATTTTCCCACTATAGAACTGTGGGCTTCTGGTTAACTGTTTCTAATTTGAATCCATGCGCTCATACGTAACAAAATTACTGACACAGTTTCGAACCGAAAATGGCTAGCATATCGAATGCGGGCCATGAAAATGGCCGCCCGGCATTAGCCCCACCACAGCTCAAGTTCCAAGCTCAGTCGAAGGTTGCTTGCACCATCTTAATTCCTACAGGTGGCAGAAAGCGCGCCCCTTCGAAATGCTCGGTGTCTCCTCTTGTGGCGTCGCTATGTCTAATCTTTTTCGGCAATTGCCTGTAATCTTTCGTCAATCTCATCCTCTGTCAATGCCCTGAACCCAACATCCGTTCCTTCTTGACCATCAGCTCGTGGTCCACCGACGATGCCGACCTCCAATTCAGTCTTCTTGAAATCCATGCTGAGGACAGCGCTTAGCGTGTTGATGCCCAGCTCAACCACTCCCTCCCAGCTACCGTCAGCGTAATCTTTATTTTTCAATTTCTTCTCTAAAAAGTTTTGCGCCTCCTGCTGCTTAGGGCCTGCAGCAGTCGCTTTGTAGCCCACATAATACCCCGCGGGGTCACACTTGTATACTTGAGGTCCGAGTTCCTGATCGACTGATATCAGGGTCATTGCGACGCCCAGTGGACGCATGTAGGCCTGAGATACCCTAGTCAGCATGGACCCTTTTCATTCTCGGTTATCGCGGATGCCCTAAACATACTCTTTGCGTGTAGACCTGATTGATATTTGCCAGCCTCTTCGAGAGCACGTCGCACGGCATCTCGTATCCATACTTGTATCGGAATTCAGCAGCTTCGCCCCTTGCCCGGTTGACGGAGGCGTGCGCATCAGCTATCGATCCGGTCATGGCACATCCGACAGACGGAGACAGCTTGAAAATGTGCGTGACAGAGGCTGGGTCGATAAGTTTGTCCTACACAAAATTATGAATTCCATGCCCGTATCGACCGAACCGGAAAATAGCCACAACATACTGGAACTTTCTTCTGTGATAGTACAACCGCACAGTTCTTTCCCCTGATGCCGACCGAAGTAATATTTGCTGCTGTGATGGCCTTGAAAGCATATTCTGCAATTAAAACCGAGCGTCAGCCACAGTAAATTCTACAAATATGAGCGAGCCAACGAGCTAGATCGCCAGCAGGCTCATCAGCTGCAGAGGGCCAAATTTGCGAATATCACTAACCAACTTGGTAGAGACGGCCTTGGTCTGAGAAGATGGTAATGTGTCTATCGTACGCGCTCCCTGTAACATGGTAAGTCAACTGGTTGATGTTGAAGCTGATCCGGGGATTCGATGATGCGTACCCGACATGTTGGGCAACGAATTAGGTGACGCTGGTTCAGATAATCTCTATACTGCTAGACAAATGACAAGGCACCTGAAAGAATGAGGAAGCAGAGAAAGGTGTAGGGCTGTAGAATGTGAAGGGTTGACAGATGATGTAGATGATGGTGATGCTGCTGCTGCTAGGCAGAGATGCTCCTAAGCTCTTGCACGCGTCCGACGTCGTCGCCAAGCTTCGTCGGCAACTTCCGTTCCGCAGTGCAGCCGAAGTCCAAAAAAAAGTTCGTCGAGGACAACAAAAAATATCCAATGCTCAATCGCCGTGAATTCAACCAGGAACGTCAATTCTACGTTTCAGCGGCATTTCTTTAGAGATTATTGCTGTAGATTTGTATTTCTATTTCTTACAATGGTTTCCTCCCCAGCCGGAGGCCATGTTCCCGCGTGGAAACGGCTCGGTCTGAAGCTCAAATACGCCAAAGACGAAGCCGCACCCATACAGGCCAGCAGTCCATCTACAGCTGAGAGCAAGAAAAGAAAAGCCTCAGAAGATGATGATATAAGTGCCTCACCCAGTGCTTCTGCTGTTTTGACGCCATCAGCCAAGAAAGTGAAGAAGATTGTTACCGAAACGCCAGAGACCGGGCCGCGCACGCCGAAACTCAAGTCGAGGAAGTCAGTGACGTTCACCCCAGAAACCAAAAGGGAGGACGGAGAAAGCATCAAACAACTCTTCAGCGCGTGGGCAGCCGAACAAAAGTCTCAGGATACTGGAAGCGAGATTTCGCCCGCAAAGCCTCCTGCACCGCTGCAGGACGCCGAGTCCTCTTCAACAGACACTCCCACCAAGAAAGACAAGACCGAGAAGAAGAAAAAGAAGAAGGCCGAGAAAACTGAAAAGACTGAGGGTCAAGTGAACGAAGAGGTCACTAAAAACGTCGAACACACTACACCTGACAAGCCTACTGACGAAACCTCCGCAACCACCCCTACCACCACCACCGAGGGTGAGGGAACAAAGAAACCCAAAAAGGCCAAGAAAGAAAAAGGTGCCGCGAAGAAGGCACCACAGCCACCTTCAGCATCTGAGCACCCCGCAATTGCATACCTCACTCAATACCACACGGCGCGCGAACAATGGAAATTCAACAAAGCGAAGCAAACCTATTTGCTCAAATATCTCTTTGACCTTACCCGCATACCCTCTAACTTTGACTACGCACTCTACACATATCTTTTGGGGCTGCAAGGCGAAGCTGCTCGCAGCCGCGCGCGCGACTTCGCAGAAGAGCTTCGAAAAGAAGACGAGCAAAATCTATCTACTACTACCACGAGCACCGACGCTCAGACAGAGGACAAAGAGGGCGCCACAGAAGAGATGGAGTCTCACAAGCGCAAGCGCGAGGCTTATAACGAATCTCTCAAAATCTATCTCGAGCGTCTAAAGAACAAGGAAATTGAAAAACTCATCAGCGACGAAGTCGACAAGCAAATCCTCGACGAGGCGCTCACACAGAAACTCGAGCGGCGGAAGCGTCTCGAGGCAGTCCTCCTCGCGCTTGGAAGAGCATCTTCTGTTGCTCCCAGCGCGCTTGCCGCTAACAAATCATCCGCCGAGCCAGCAAGCAAACGGATCAAGTTTGACGCCGAGGAGGACGAGCCTGCATCCAAGCAGCTCTCCAAGTCGCGCAGACGAAAGAGACGGACTGAAGTCTCAGACGATGAGGATAGTAGCAGTTCCAGCGAGAGCGAAAGTTCAAGTGACGAGTCCGAGTCTGATTCAGAGTCTACTTCTTCCTCTGGCAGCTCCTCGTCAGACTCTAAGTCCGACTCGAGTTCAGACAGCGAGCATCTTCCCAACGGCACACCCTCAAAAGTAACCACGTCGTCTCGACGTGCTCGCACTGCATCTACTTCTTCCTCTTCATCTTCGGGTAGTTCCTCTGACGAGGGCTCCTCATCTTCTGCCTCGTCTGAATCCGAATCCGAATCCTCGTCTTCCGATGACGACAACAGCGACAGCGACTAAGACTCGGTCCTGCTGCATCTGTTCACTTTTTCCTTCTTTTCACTTCTCCAATATGACTAAAGCTCATTTTACTATACACGCATCAGCGATACCCTCCAATATTCGCTTTTCTTAATCTGAAGGACGCCGAACAAGCTTCGCTTTCTCACATATATAAATAGAAACACAATTTCTATGACAATGAGAACAATATGAAAAGAACATCTCTCGCAAAGTCTTTCAGGCATGTTAAACATATTTAGTTTCAAAAAATTTGCTTATGCCGTGCCGTAACAAAGTACATAATGCATTTCTATTGTGATTTTGGCAACTGATATATGATATGCATAAACCGTCGGCTCACTCACCCGGTCCCAGATTCAAGAAAGTGAATGCAGCCCTGCTAAGCGTATGTTATGTTTGGACACGGAGCGGGCTTTAAATCTCTAGGTTTGCCCCGAATCTTCTTCCCCCTTCTTTCATCATCCCCGCATACCGCTTCTCGTTCCGGCGGTGAGTTGGGCGGACGCTGAACAAACAAGAGTAGCCTGGCACTTTCCATGAGAGAATAGCGTATATCTTGAGCAAACATTGCCATTTAAATACTTTCTTCTCCGCTGCCCTGATATTCTCCAATATCTCTTCTCTTTTCATCCCAATCTCGGCATTGTTTTCGGTGGCTGTCAAAGGTAAGTCTGACAACAGCCTCCACTTTGGGCCCGGAATGTCGTGTGTTAATTTCACGGCAGATGTCTGCTGTCGAAAATACTGGCGCGAATTCTCCATTTACTCCACGGCTGCGTCCGTGTCTCCACTCTCGCCCCGGTGATCAAGTCTTCACTGCGCAAGACTACAAGGACTATCATCAACACAGGACCTGGTGCCAGAACTGTTTGAGGCGATTCCTTTCCGAGCCGGAAGGGCAATTCGGGTGCATTTTCGAGACAGAGGATAATATATGTTCGCATTGCTTCGACAGTGGTCGTGAATGTGTCTTAGTCGTACGTAAATAGTGGGATGCCGCTCCAGAAAGCTTGTTAATGCATTGTAGTATGACCTTGAGATTGATCCTTTGATCCAAGAGCTTATTGATTTGGCCGCTGAGCACCGAGCCGGTCGAGTATTCGCTGCTGCCGTCGTTGAGAAAGCCTGGGTCATAAGTGAGGTTATGAGGAATAACAAGGCCGCAAAAGCCGCCGCTCAGGCTGCTGCTGCTGAAGCTCAGCGCCAGATTGAGTTACAGAAGCTCCTAGCCTTGCGCCGCATCGCGGACCAACTCAAAAAAATGAACGAAAAGGTTGGTTCACTTTCATTGAGGTTTGGGCGCTCAGAACTTTGCTGACCACTCACGACAAGGATAACGCAGCCGGTTACAAATGGGATTAGAAGCCGAGGAATGAGTTTGGTGGAATGAAACGCCTTCGTTAACTTGCAGTCACCTATTTAGGATTTTTCGAGCCAAATCAGATAGGTAGCTGCAGAAAGGGCAGGCTTCTAGCATAGCCGCAATAAAAAAGCATTTCAGCGAGAATTGAGAAGTAAAGGGAAAGATTCGAGTGAAACGGTACAGGACAAATGCCTGTAGTATCTTTGTTTAGACCTTTGATGAAGTCTCACTCGTCACAGACTTTGCACGATTCAATCTTCTCTTTTCCCTTTCCCTTTCCTTCTCGGCCTGTCTTTGCTTTTCCTTTTCCCTTTCCCTATCGCTATATCTGTCACGGTCGCGGTCGCCGCCGGCGTTGCTCTTACTATCTGCATCTTTCTGTTTATCTTTAACCTTGTCCCTTTGCTCTCTGTGTTCTCTGTGCTCGCGATGTTCCCGTGGTTCTCTCTCTCGATCACGCCGCTTCCTCTTGACAGGCTGATAGACATCATTGAAATTCATCACAACGCCTAAGAATCGCATATCCAGATCCGGCTGGTATGCCAAATCTCCCAAAAGCACATTGACATTGGCTCGGAATTCTGCAGAAAGCTGTTTTAAGCGCTGTCTAAGCGATGGGAGTAGTTGGTCTTCTTTCTCGCCAGCACTACCTGCGCCGGCAAAGCCACCTACTCGGGAAAACGGGGTTTCAGAGCCTCTCGAGCCACGACCGCGTCCGATATCAGGCGAGAGGAGATCGTCATCGTCATGCTCTGTCATTCCCCATTTGCCCTGGGCCGTACGAGTTTCAATTTTAGCGTTCAATTCCTGCCGACGAGTAAATTCGGCAACTGAAAAGGAATATAAGCCATCCACGGCGTCTTTGTAGGCAAGCATGACTTTGAGAATCTCGTGTAATTGGGCGAGAAACCCGTATTCGGTGCTATTGCTTCTACTAGTCTTTGCGGAGCCGAGCAGGCCTTTATGCGTAATGGACTCGAGGTATTTTGCGTGCGCTTCAATGAGATCGTCGAGTGTGCAGCGCGGTTTGGACACGGCAGCTTGCAAGGCGTCCCAGCTAGATTCAATGACTTCGAAAAGAATGTAGTATTGCAGTTGATTTACGAAATGGATCATCTCCGCAACAGCGCATCGTGCGCGTTTCCAGTCTTCGCCGACTTTGTCTTCGACACTAGAGAGGACACCGCGTGCACCAGTCATACAGCGGCGCCATATGCTTCCGAGTGCAAATTCGACACGCTTCACACGCCAGAGGAAGTTGAAGACTTTGAGGTATTGTCGGTATCCGAAGGGGGTAACGATAACGTCAACAGGAGCGTCGATCTTGTATTCCAGGGTGAAAAGGTCCCAGCCCGTGTCGCCGACGCTGAGCTCAAGCATGCGGGCGTCCAGACGGCGTAGGATGTCGTCGGAATCATACTGGGCATTGGAACCGCGGATAGCGTGCTCCAGTTGTGCTGTTAATGTATGTCGATATTGGTTGCGTCCTGGCCGGTCAAGGTTGGAGGCGAGTGACTCCATCAGTAAGGCGATGAAGTCGCCTTGGCCGAGAAGAATGTATTTCTTGAGAGCCTTAAGATGCTCAAATAGTTTGAATTTATCAGCCATGAGGTGAATAAGGCGGGCCATAGTGGTCTTATATGCTTCATCAATAGAAGCCTCGAGTGTGGCTGTATCTTCATATCGTAGCTCCTTGGAGGTACTTTTTGAGTAATTCTCTACCCAATTAGAATCACCACAGCCGTAGCGGATGAAATTCAAGCTTTTTCCAATTAAGAACACTTTCTTCGCAAAGTCCATGGTAATAATGCTGGGTGTCATCTTCTCTTCGAGCTTATATTTGTCTTCCCACACGCTGGTCGCGCCGGCTTTCCGTGTATCTGTGCTCGCATCTGCGCTCATGGCGGGGTTTTGTTCAAAGACAAAAAATTCCAGATATGGATCACAGAGCTCACCGTCATAGATCCACTGTCGTAGCATATCATAGAACGGTCTCGTCACATGCGTGAGCAGCCGTTCTGCAAACGCACTAACAAACGGATCCCCATGGGACGTTGAGAAGCTATGGATAAGAGAAATTAACTGGCCGCCCTTTTTGTCTATCAAATGTTAGCAACGAAGAATTTTTCCAAACGTAGTGATACACACCCTTTGACTCTTCAACTATCAAACTCATCAGCCGTAAGCCGAGAGTCGCCTCTCGAGTCCATATCACGCAGCGTTTCAAGGTAACGCCGGACTTTCCAATGCCACCTCGGGGCTCCTTCTCATTAATCATTGCCAAAGCACGCCTAATCTCTCCCTCCAGCGTAGCAACTAGTCCCAAGTATGACCTCAGTTCGGTCACCATTGCAGCGCGGAGACTCTGACCAACTAAGCCGCCCTCAGAGCTCTCAACAAAAGCAGCAAGTTCTTTGTACAGAAGTGCAGGCTCAGCCAAAGCATGGATGAGCGAAATTATTGGGGGCGGAAGATTATTCGGTAGCGCTAACACCGTCGGTGATGTGAATTGAAGATTTGTCGAGGACAGGCCTTGGAGCGTGAAAGGCAGGTCCCGTAGTAATGCCTGTTCACTCGGTGGACCTGGGGTTGATAAATCTTTCTCTTTCGAGGGTTCTGGCGCAAAAGATGTTTTCGAAGTCTTTTGTCCGTCTTCTTCAGGCCCATTTTCGCCGTCCGCGCGCTTTCGCTGCCATTCGTCCCTTGCCGGCAGTCTTGGCAACCCCGACTGAGAAAAGGCTTCTTTCAGAACAGCTTCAGGTTGACTCTGCTTCCTCCTCGGTGAAGGTAGAGGTGGCGTTGTCTCCCTTTCCGGTGATGGAGAGGGTTCTCGTGGTGTTCGTGCATCACCAAAGCTCCGGGTATATCGGGGCGTCAACGGTGTCCGTGGTGGGTCTTCTGGCGTTGCGACCTGGTGAAGAAAATAGAGGATACCCCATTTCTGTAGTAGAACCGGTTGCGTCAGAAGTCGCGAATAGAGCGTTGAAAACCTTAAAGCTCTGTCCGGCAGAGCATTGTCTCGTATCACTAAAAATGTTAGTCTTGGGCTCATACTGCGCTCGATTTCACTACGCAGAGGAACGTACATTTCCGCTTAATTAAATCACTCGCAGCATTGACATCTGACGAAACGGACGGAGCTATGGTTTGCGTTCTATGATGCTTGCATTAGCAAGTTCTCTGGAAAATGCTGTCCGAACGCCCTATCGGCTGCTGCATTTCTGCTACAGTCCTGTCTTTGACCATCGTTGTGGGAAGGCAACCTAAGCCCACACTCACCTCCGCAGAGTCGACCTCGCTCTCTCAAATGCAACATCATGCCTTTCATCCGCAATGGCCTCGTCCTCATCGGATTCAATAGGTAAAAATGCCTCCACTAGCGATGCCAGCGCATCATCTATGCGCTGTTCCCGATCGTCCGGCATGGGCCTTGATCGCCTTCTCTAGGGAAAGCTCAATTCGTGCTGAGTCTCGCTAGCTCATCGGAGCAGCATCCTTCAATTTGCTTGGTGTACTACGACACTAGAAAGTACGGATGACAGTCCCTAGGGAAAGGTTTGGGATCAAGAGGATTATCGGCGCGTCGTACGGTTCTTTTCAAAGTCTTTGCGGTATTGATCACTATCAAGTCGCGTCTAAATATTGGTTGTGCAGGAGGACGTGTTGGTGTGGTTTGGCGCGATACGAAATGTGGGAAACGGCTGTATCGCCCGCCGTAGATTGTGTTCATTGACCTTTTTCGTTCACCGCCCTGAAAGCGTCTTCTAAGACGAAAGAGATCTAAATGAGCATATTCCATTATTTTAAGTTATCAAGACCTATAATTTATTGGTTTGATGAAGACATCTATAAAATCTAGACGCCAGTCTAAAATGCTAGGCTTTGCTTAATTGAATGCAGACTGGTACGCCATATCCATGCAAATAATGTTGGCTGCTAAAACTGATGGGAATCGAGACTCTAGTACTTCTAGACCAATAGTAACCAATAAAGAAAAATTGCCTCCGTACGCTATGCATATAAGAAAAAGGAAAGAAACGAAAAGCCTATAAGAGCAGAAAAGGATGACCATAGCAATGCATGACTAACCCTGTGGTCAAGATGATGCAGTAGCCTATCGTGATACTCCATTGTGCCCCAAGTAAAATATACAAGTCAAGGTATCATGATAATGAAAACTGGAATCCAATAAAATAGGACAGAGAGAACGCAATGGCTTTAATAATCACATACAGGCGGCAACTCGGCTTTTCATCTCTGCAGCGGACGGCTTGTAGCCCTGCTTGAGAACGACACCCAGGACTCTGCCTGTTTTGAAGAGGCTGATCCACTCAGGAGCAACGCGTTCCGCAAGCAAGTGGATACATAATTCGCCCTCGTCTTTTGAAATGGGTGTCCTGAGCGAGCCTTGGAGATTCTGGATAAGTGTTGGCAAAGTGAAAGAGACACGCTTGTATGACGCAGTCGACAGTACGTGAAGAGAAGAATTGGTGCTGCTGCTCCTGCTGTTCAAGGATACGCCAATCTCATCGGTGGACTTTTCTGGGGAGCCAAGTAGAGAGAGAACGGAGGATACTTCGTCGATACGCTGGAGTGCTGACTTGCGAGCTACTTCCTCCTTTGAAGGAGCACCAGGGAGGGTCGATTGTCGAAGCTGTTTCTCACGAATCTGATTACATGTTAGTAAGAGAAAATGTCTTCCGAAAAGAACCACCGAGAAAGAACTCACCCGTGCCAGAAGCCCTTGGCCGCGATCGCTGACCGAATTTGAAGCCTTCAAAGACCCGGCTCCGACGGCTTTCTCGTGGCGATCTTGTCGAACTAAGGTAGCCTCAATCTTGAATTCTTCAAGTCTTCGTTGACCCTTCTTAAGCAGTGGAGAGGCTTTTGCAAGGGAAGAGCAAGGCGTAACTCGGGCGAGGGGAAGTTGTTGTATGAAAGACTCTCCGCGGTCCTTGCCCTCTCCGGCTTTAATACCCATTTCATGGAGAGAATGAGCTTTGTCATTTGAAGGGATATTACGACCAGCCCAGTCTGCCCAAGCTTGTTCGACATTACGCTTGAAAAGCGCCTTGATGCCACTTTCACCATCGGAGATGAGCAAGCGCTCTCCATCTTGCCTCGCATCATCCACTTCCAAACAAATTTTACCCATGCCATAATCAGATAGAGACAAGATAGCTGCAGTTCCAATCTTCTTCCCGTTTGATCCAACAAACATTTCTTGAATGCCAAGAACACGCTTGATATCTTCTACCCGAACGTTTCTTTTCCCCCACGCTCGCTCAATGCTAGGACATAATACCCGCAAATCAGCCGGAACCAGTGAACCATTGTGTGCCCGATGTATAGCAAGAGCTGTGAGGAATGATTCATGGAGATCAAAGAGGTCTTGTACAGCTTCCGGGAGACGGCCTTCACGAAGATCCTCATTTGAAGTTGCGTGTTCGTCTGAGACCGGACATGGGGTAGTTTCTCGTTCTGTTCGGGTTGTCTTTGCACTCTTCGGAGTGGAAAGAGCAAAGGCATTGAGAAGGCCACAGGCGCCTTTCGTAGGAGTTTCAAAGGTGGGTTCGGCAAATCTTGCAGAGCGTCGAGGAGTGCTCTGCACTTGTCGCTCGTTTTCAGTAATCTGTTCGGCATTGGTGAATCTAGCTCCTTCGTAACGCTGCTCGATATTTTTGGTAGGTTGCAAGACCGTAGCCGGAAACTCCTCAGTTTTCGTAACGGGCTGGGTCGTATCTGAGTCAATTTTCCGCTTTTTTTCTAGAACGATTTTACTCAGGCGATTGCCATCCGTAGGTAGGAGTTGCTCCTGCTTGATGACTTGTTCCTTTTCGAGGGCGTGCCCATTTACCACCTGCGGTTTGGAGATCCTGCCGAATGCCTGAATGCCTGATTGAGTGGGACTGAAGAATGGCGCCTGCCCAGTGGTCGCCGTGAGCTTGCGTCTTTTGGCGGAAGGAGGCATTTTTCCTTTATATTGCCCGCAGTCTTTCCAAAGACAACTTCTTCGACCGGCGAAGAGCTGAGGAAGGAGATGAGGATTATTTTGAGATTAATTTGGGATAGTGTTGGAGTGCGAGCCTGGGAGAGAATGAATGGTTGATTGGACGCGTAGAAAGGGGCAACGCGAAGCGCGTCGGCGTCAAACACAGCTATTCCTGAAACGGAAAGAATATTAAGTCGTCGCTCGGTGACATACAAAAAAAAGTTATGCACACCAAATAGCTCTTTTACAGTGATCCAAATCGTATCGCAGCGACTGATCTCATTCCCAAACTCTGAATCCGTATGTGAGCAGCAAATTTTGAGTTGAAAATAGTGCGGCGGACCCTTTTACGCTATCATCTCCATGGCTACGGTTCTAGGTGCCCCATGTTTTGCCGTAAGGAGTTTCGCGTCTCCACATTCATCTCGCTATTTTGTAAAAGTACAGCAATCTGATAGTATTATTCTAGGCGGACCTTTGGAAGATTTCGGACAACATTGGCCCTTGGCTCTCAGCGGCACAGGCACAAATCACTATGGCTCTTAAAGCCCGCTTTCATTTTGAATATCATGATGCATTAAACCGCGCTATTCGTATCACGTACTTCATAATGTACATGGACCCATTAAAGATTCAAAAAGGAAGGAAATATCATCCTAGTGCGCCAAGAAACCATGATTGAGCCAGCGAAAACAAGGGCTTTTCAATCAATGGAGAATGTCGAAAGCGTCGTCAATTTATTTGCCGCCGAACCAGCCCGAGATGCCGCTCTTGGCCTTGGAAGTACCCTCTTCCACCTTCTTGTCAAAAGTATCGACGGCACTGTTCAATTGAGTTCCTGCCTCCTTGCGGTACTCATTAAACTTGGAGCTAGCATCTTTATTGGCTTGATCGATCCTTGACTTGGCATCATCGACCTGAAGGGCGACCGAGTCAGTTTATTCATCTCAAAAACGGTTTTATAAAACAATGCATTCGGCAAACGTCAATAACGTACTGTGCTGTCAATCCTGGCACCAGCTTTCTGCGCCCACTCTTCGCCCTGCTTCTGTGCCTCCTTTTCCTTTCCGGGCAATTCGCCTCGGACCTTTGCGGAGACGCGAGCAGCATCGTCTGAAGAATATTAGCAATGAAGTCTAATATTAGCTTTTATGATGGCAAAAACATACGCTCAAATTGCTTCTCAGCAACCTTGGGGTCGCCACCAGCGGAATACAGGTAGTAGCCACCCGCACCGGCAAGGGTCAGACCGAGGTAAAGAGGGAGACGGGACTTGGGAGCAGCCATGTTGTGAGATGTTGCAGAGGTAGAAGTTTAGAGATGTAGAGGGTTAATAATCGTAGAGGAGATTGAAATGGATTCCTAGGAGATGAATTGAAGGTCAGAAATGGTCCGATGGTGGGAGTTGAAGTAGTCGTGGGAGCTTCCCCAAAGCTGCCACTCTCCATTCCCGGCTTAATGGGGCCATTGTTGCCCAGTCCCTCCAATCACCATGACGTGGGTATCACGTGCACGCACTCCTCTCCGCATCTCCCGTGCTGCCATGGAAATGCCAGAGCACTGTGGCTGGTTTTCTCCCGAGGTTAGGCGCAGTGACCTCATCGTCGCGTACCTGCGTGCTCTCCCTTGACAAGAAAGGGTACTGGACTAGCAGGTACCATGTGGGACATCCCCTTTTCTTTCCTTGAGCTTCCACACAATTTGCATTTCGATGCTGGCATTACCAATTGCATATTGACCATTGGGCTTAATGGCCAGCGAATCGCGTTTCATTTATTCAATTCTCCAGCTTTATCATCGTGTACTATTTGTTGTGAAATACAGACAGACAACGGTGCTTAGGGCGGAGAAATTGAGGCGCGAAGGGGAAGCTTCTGTACTCGGAGCACTGCCAAGCATTCGAGTCGACCCTGGTTTTTCTGCAGCGAATTTTTAGTTAAAGCGATTAAGTCATTTTGGCTGGAAAGGCTGAGATCCCTCGCTAAATTAGATCTCCGTCTCCCCTTTAGGCAGTAGCGACCTGCCCCGATGACGGCGACGGACAGCACTAACAGCCGCCATCTCGACCTGCCCCAACCCCATCACTAAGACCATATGGTAACAGACCTGTTCACGAACCATAGCGCAGCACTTTTTTCGCGTTTTTTTTTTCTTGTTACCTTACTTGTTGAGTCGGGGTTCATGATCACCCATTTAGTCACGACTAGGAGTAGATAAGCAATACTAATTTCACCTGGACCCTTGTATTCCTCCCGTTGGTGACCACTTCTTTTCCCTACCTGTTGCCCTGACACCTCGCAAAACCCCCGGGCGGGAGTTTGTCTATTAGTGCTCCATCTTGCCCTCACTTGGTCAAACCACTGAGTCTCCTTCTCGCGATGCTGTACAGGCCATAGACAGCAGAGAAACGCCAAGTTTTCGGGTTCTGGACCTTTGATACGGCCTCCACCATGTCTCTCTTTGGGGTCTCTTCGCGTTCTGCACTGCCGCCGGACGAGTATGACCACGAGATTACTCTAGTCGATTCGACTCAGCCTCCGGAGCCTGGAGACATTACGCCCTCGCGGACATTGTCCTCCAATGGAGGAAGAGACTCGGTTGGACGACGAGCAGCTCTGAGACAGGAATTGGCTCGACGCAAATACGCCAAATGGCAAGAAGAAAGATACAACAGTCCCGGTGGTAAGAAGGGACGGCTTTCTGCAGCAGGGTCTGCTTCAGCCAGTGATACCGAGGCGCCCGGTCCGAGCGGAACTATGAGGAGTACAACAGCGTCTGATATGAATCTGGGTCTCCCAAAAAGCTCCAGTGGACGAACGGCTGAAGTTGACGTACTTTATGAGAATCAGCGTGGGGTATTTTTCTTCGGCATACCGCTTTATTCGAGCAATTCGCTGCTCAACCTTGATCCAGCAGCCTGGGTGAATGCGTCTTTTAAAGAAAGCGCCGTAAACATCACCAATGCGCAAGTACCAGATCCCAGCTGGGAATGGGCCTGGAAGTGCTGGTACGTAGACATGTCTTTGGACGTTGACGAGGACGGGTGGCAATACTCGTTTTCTTTTCAGCCACGGTTTGCTTGGCATGGTCGACATGTCTGGTTCCATTCGTTTGTCCGGCGACGGCGGTGGATTCGGAAGCGGGTTAAGAAACACCCCTCAAAGTTAGGCCGGGGAAGGGACATGGATCGCCCAAGCAGCGCTGCTCAAGCCCACCTGTTGACGCCAGACTACTTTACCATTCACTCTCCGAGGGAGCGCAGCCCTGCCTCGTCCTACAATATCTCATCCTATGACGGTTCTCTACGCGGCGCCCGGAGCATTGAACGAATGCGACGCGAACAGGAATTTGAAGAGATTAGAGACCTCCCAACCTTGACACGGGCATTGAAGCAAGCTAAAGTCGACCGAGAGAAACACGATGCAATAATCAGATTCTTGAAGTATGGCGGAGAAGAGATATTCTATCTTGAAGAGAAGGTCTGTGAAGCCTCACTCTTTCTACCGTTTTTGCCGTTGAGACTAACCGTAACAAATTGCAGATGCCGGCTATTATGCACTCTTTCCTCTATCAGACGTCTAGACGCCAGCTCCTCGGCAGCCTTGCGCACATCTTTGACGAAGCAGCATCGCATCGTGACGAGCATCTCAAGCGAGGCGAGCCAGAAAACGACGAAGAGAAGCGAAGAATTGACAATCTCATGAATGCTGTCAAGGCTGCAGATGCAGAAGTCCGCAAGCTCGAGTACTGGAGCGATATTCGGTCGGTTGCGCAGCAAGGCGAGTCAAAAGGTGCTTCGGATTCGTCGCAGGGCTGGGGTCACGAGTGGACCGGCCTTGATTCGAGTGGCCCCGCGACTTTGGGCCATTTGGCTCCATTTGACGGCCTCGACGACTCTGATAAAGTAGATTTCGCTCACATTCACGGTGAAGGGGCCACCAGTGAGGGAGCGAATGGAGACGAGAAGGTCGAAGAGGCAGATGATGAAGATGAAGAAAAGCCCGTACACGAGGAAGAGGACAAAGAAGCCGCAGAGCAAAAGACTGATGATGACAAAGCCGAAGGATCTCACGAGAATGAGCAAGAAGAGAGGGATGATGGTGACAACAGTGGCGACGACAACGACGAAGAAGGTGAAGAAGCAGACGACGAAGAAGAAAACGATGACGATCCACCGGAAAGCGGTGATGAGCGTGCAGAGCACGAGCGACAACACGGGCCGCACGACGACGATGTGGATTAATCGTTGTTCATGGATTCCTCGTGACTCCGTGTATATCTTTGTAGCTGTGTATACTGTATCCTTTTGGTTCTGTTTTATTTTTGTCTCTTCCATTTTTATTTACCCACCTTATCGATATGATACCCTGCTTTCCTATTATCAAAATGCTTCACTTGCATCAGCATTAGCGCCCTTTTTTTGTCTCTTTCTTTAGCTTAGGGTATATCTCTTACAGTATGTAAATCAACTTGTATATACCGTATTTACACAATCTTTTCTTCTTATCATCCATTGACCCTCTAACCTTCGTTGCTGTCTAGCTCTATAGCACTATCCCATTTTCTTCATCCCACTACTACAACCCACTTCAACCTTGATTACTCGGGCATCTCATTTACTGCGTAAACCTAGAATTTCTCACAACATTTCGTTGTTACACCTCATCCAAGGGATGGTCAACATCCCTGACTACCGGTTCATACCCATTCATACCAGCTCGTATCAGTTCAGCAAAGGAATCATTACACTGGTAGCTGCTGTACCAAATCATGATTCAGTAAAATACCATGAAGGAGATATTTCATGATTTACCCCGTTTGCCCTCAAGTCATAAATAACTACAAACACCACTGTATAAGAAAGACACAGGGAGTTCCAATTCATACATCATAGTTTCCTTGATACCGTTGGCAACTGCACGACAAGATAGATACTCTTAAGTACTAGCAGATAAATCTACACACAGCCAACACAGGAAACCAAGTAATTAGAAAAGCTCTAGAACCGGATGAGAAATTCTAGAGCTTAGTAAAATGTTTTGAGAATATAGTTTCCATATATTATCCAATAAATAGCGTAGCGTAGACATAGATAGACATGGGACACGGCAGCGCATTTCTTCATACTGGTTGCAAGGGAAGAGAAGAGAAAAATAAAAGTGATAAAAAAGAAAAATAGTTTAGGGGGGAGGAAAGAAAAATAAAAGGGGGACAGACGAAAAAGAAGAAGAGAAAAAATCCGAACAATCAAACTGAGATTCCTAACCCACTTGACCGACCAGCCGAACAAAGATAGAGCTCCCAACCCTGAGGTAGGAGGGAGGGAGAAGATCTGAGAGAAGATGATGATCCCCAAATTGCCAAAAAAAAAGAGCGGGAGGGAGAGAGAGAGAGAGAGAGAGAGAGAGAGAGAGAGAGAGAGAGAGAGCAAAGCATTAAAGCCAACGCCCCAGCACTAAGTAAAAAAGAATCGGTTTAAAAACGCCGCGGTGTGCTATGTGTACAGGCGCCACACCCCATATCTACAAACAGACAAACAACAAGACTAAAACATTGAAAATAAAGAACAAAACCCGAATCAGGTAAGAACCCAGGACGAGAAAATGGCTGGATAAACAAGTAGATGGCTCTCCGAAAAAGAGCAGGCATGACAACACCCCCACATAGCTCCGTACCGTTTCCCCAGTGATGCGTGAGAGAAAAGGAGTAAGAAATGGAGAAAACGAGCAGAATCGTTCATGGCTCGCTCTGACGGGATAATGTACAGGATTAGTTTTCATGTCTTTTTGTGCGCCTGCCTGCCCCCGTAAATGATCCCAGATGCTCCTCCCAATGATGCGATTTAGCTGATTTTGTGACACAGAAAGGTTCAAGGCACCAAGGAAAAACCCCTCTGACAGATTCTTTCCCATATCAATTTCCCCTACATAAGGTTGGGTCTATCCCCGACCAATAGAGAAGGGGAAAAGAAAATTATGAGAATAAGTCATTGGGCCAGAAGAAAGGAAAGAGAATGCGAAAGTAACCAAAAGGTGTATGCAGTCACGCCAGTGCATCATCAAGAGCAACATGGAGAAACCCAAAGACTGCAAGCTGCAACTTCTCCTTGTTGGAGAATACGAAGTACCAATTGGTCTATCGCCTCTGCATGCCGGGACCAGCCATCATTTGACCTCCGTTGGCCATTGCCATGCCATAGGGGTTTGCATGAGGGTTGAAGTCGCCAACGAGGCTGTTCATCGCCAGGCCACTCAGACCCTGAGCCTGAGACACGGGACAGTCCTTGTGAGCAAGAAGTAGTGTCTTCAGATTGACAATCTCCTCCCGCAATTGGGTCACTTGAGCGCTTAGCGCGTCGTTTTCACTACTGAAGATTTCGACCTTGGCCTGCAAATTGGCAAGCCATTGCTTCTTCCGCTGACGGCATTTCAATGCAGCAACCCTGAGATAGGATTAGATGAGAGTTACGAGAGAGAGTTAAACAAGAAAATAAGACGTACCGATTTCTCTCCAGGAAATTCTTCCTCTTTTCCTCGTCAGTCATTTTCTTACCGGAGTTCTCCTTGTTGTTTTCGAGCTTAATGCTGTCATCATCGTCCGAATCCATGGCGTCCATGTCGGGAATAGGATGATTGTTGACCTTGGCCTTCTTGTTCGGAGGGGCCTTGCTCGGGGTATCTTCAGCTTTGCGCCGTCCATTGGCAGCTTGGCCTCCCTTCGCATTTGGCCCCTTCTTTCCTTTGGCCGTAGTGTTGGCTTTCGCCTGGTCACTCTTGCCGCTATCTGAGAATTCGGCACTCATTTCGCTTGCACCCCGAACAGAGCCGGACACGCTGGCATTTCGCGCAACCTGTTTGGCGAGGTGGGGGGACCCTGACTGCGAATGCGCAGCCATCTTGGGCATCTGGCCCATATTGCCGGCGTCGGGAGCCGCCGTCGGCTTCCCAGCCATTGCGTATTGATTTTCCGTGGGCCCGTTGCGGGCCTGAGCGAGCAAGAACAAACCATTGGCGGCATCATTTGCATCATGTTGGCCAAAGGGATCTTGCTGGCCCATTTGGGCCGTAGCCGGCTTCTGATCTACACCGGCCATGGGTACGCCTTGATCCTGTGGTTGAGACGTAGGAGCAGCACTTTCCGATTTCCGCGAGGCTGCAACATTCATCGCCGTGCGGTGAAAATCCAAAGTCCCTGGAGTTGCGCCACCGCTGGCAAACTGATTGAAGAGGGCCTGCGAGTTGGGACTTGGCGCGGGGAACATGGACCCTCCCCCACCGGGCGTCAGTCCAGTGCGAAGAGATGATTCGTTGGGCGTAGGGAAGCCGCCACGCAAATGGGAGTCGCTAAAGTAATCACTGCCACCGGTTGGACCGGTGAGCATGGCCGGGCTCAAGGGCCCTGATCGTAGAGAATTTGGCCAAGCAAACCCTCCTCCCGAGGAAGGTCCAGGAAGAAGTGATGCCGGGGACGCGAGCGCCGCGACAGGTGGAAGGAGCGACTTCCCTGGGGTCTCCGCCGCCGGATTACCAAAGGATTGTTCAAAGGGATTAGGTTCGAGGGAGAAGTGATTACTGCTGTGGTTGCCCGAGAAGTAATCAGGCGTGTCCGATGGATTCTGTTGTGCAGGTCGAGGTGGTGGAGCGAGGGGTTGGGATGCGTCAGCATTGCCGGAATCCTTGCCGGCTTGACTGTCCTTGAGATCAGAAGATTGTTTGGCTTTAGGATCTGGTAACAATGATTGTCAGCAAGAAGAAAAATGGAGCTCGTCTGTTGCTTGTATCCAGCCATCGGTGGCGACGACAGTATTGTTTCGGCGGCCGGGTAGTAGGAAGGGAGAGAGGGAGAGTGAGGGTAATGGCATACCTGAACGCGGCGACGATGTCTTTCCGGCTTCTGAGCTGTGATGCAGCGCTGAGTCGTCTTTGCGAATGTCTGTAGTACGACGGCGGTCAGTTGCAGAGCCCATGGACAATTATCACGATACACGGTTGGCCGGGAGAGGAGAGAGAGGAAGTGTGGACGTCAGTTTCGTCATGGGGCGGGGGAGCGAGGTAGAGAGCGAGAGTCACCTTTGGACTTGACCTGCGAGGTCCTTCCATCTAGAGTTGAACCAGCTCCCATACTGGGTGAGGTCTGTTGTGAGAAGACGGCGGCAGCCATGGCTGGTCGTTGTCGATGACGTCGCAGAGAGCCAAGGCAAGAGCAGGATGCGATGATGTATTAGGGCACGATGATGTAGGGGTGCTGATCGCAGGCGAGCGTAGACTTCAAAAAGGGCCCTCTCTCGCGTGCGACGACCAGTGTATCCCGCACCTCGAGTCCCTACCGAAAAAATTCCTGTCCACTACAATATTGGCGGTCAAGCGCCAGGCGATAATCGTGCAAAGTTAATTGCAAAGCAGAAGAGAAAAGGGAAAAAGAGCGAATCCTTTTTCCCTCGTTTCGCTCACGCTGGCTTGCTTTTGCTGGCTGGCTCTTCGGTCGCGAAAAGAAGGGCCTTAATTTTCCCTCCCTTTCTCAGTCCTCGCGGCACTAACGGGGCCAGAGGGCAAGCGGTGGCAAAATGGGTCAAAAGGAATGAATAATGCACCAGATCTTCCCACTCGACTCGATTAGGAGTGATCGTCGGAGAATGATGGCTGGACTTGGTTTAGATGGGCCTCAGGATGTTTAGAATTCAGACGCTCTCGCAGCGTTGAAAGGCGCGTCGTGGTTTGGGACGAAAATGTGTTGGTGACGTAGCCTCAAAATGTGCGGTAATTGTCGATAGGGGGGGGGGAAATGCGCCCACCCACGGTCGCAATCTCGACGGGGGAACCTTTTTTCACCCACACCCCAAGTAGAAAAAAAAAGGTCCTCTGAGAGCAGTAAAGACTCTGGAATAACCCTGAAGACAAGGCTCCAGGAAGTACCAGGTTCAGAGAGAGAGAGAGAACTAATCTAGAAGGCGATAAGGGCTGCCGGCTGACGGGTGCCCTTGGCTGAATGCGATGATGTGGAAATAATGGCGGTTTGAACAGAGTCAGGATCTCAAAGAGTTGGGAAAAACGTCAGCGTGCGTCATGAGGCCGCCATTTGAATTTCTCTCGCCAAACCCGCCACGCTTGTCCCTCACGTGACTCTATCGCTTACCAATCTCTCTTCCGACAGAGCGAGGTCCTTGTACGTACTTTTTTCCCCGGTCAAGGTGTCATGTCCCTGCTCTTTCCGAAGTCATCGAAATCCTTTCATCCCTTTTTCTTGCATCAACCCATGTCTTTCTGTCGACATCCCGTCGTGTCCCGTTAGGGAAGCTGCACCCGATCACACGATACAAAGGTCTCGCTTCACCCTGCCGTTTGATTCAATTGATGTTGTTTTGCACCGTCGTCCCTTCCTCGTTTTTTATAGAATTCACTCTCCCTCTTCTGGCGTATAGTGGACTGCTTGCTCTAGACCGGGGTCTTCTCAATTGCAAGAAGTCTTGTGTAGACAAAAAGGTGGCTTGCTCGAAATTCAACATCATTGCTTACTTGTCAAACAACCATTTCAGACGTGAAACTGAATAAACAGTCCACAACAAAGAAATTTGATCTGTCAGCTTTCACGCATTGACTCAAAAGCACCCGACAATGCTTCTGTACATGAGCACAAAATTCAGCAGCTGGTCAATTTCGATCAGTGATTCATAAAATTCATGGACAGTCTAGAGGCGTCGAATTGAATATCGTTCACATTTCTTTGTCAACTGCTGTTGTTTTGCTGACTAGCTGAATCATGTATCATCCAAATCCCAACCTTCCGATTCGTGCTATTTCTGATGGTATACTGCAATATCTGGCCGTTATGCTCCTCCTGCATAAAGAGGTATATGTTTTGGGCTGATATCTCACAAATTGCAGTATTTGTGAGGCAACAGCCTTATAACCCCGCGATGTCGTCCATGGGCTCTCTTTGCCGACGAAGTATATTGTTTCGCTCTACAACGCCAATCATTCAGCTGCCCCGATATGTCGTGTAACTCCACTGGTGGCGCTCTTTGCGTCAGCAACAATTCTCTCCCAGACAACAAACGTACTGATATGAAGTAAAAGGGATTGAACACTCACAGGTCCCAGCAACAACGGCACATGGTAGTGCTCCTTTTGGTTCGTTGTAAAGAAGCGGATCTCAACCTCGGGGAAGAAAGTATTGCCCTCTCCAAAGTATGAGCCCGTGTCGAACTTGAGCGACCATGTCAAGCGCGCGCCTTCATGCTCATGCGCATTGTGGAAGATCTCTCGAAGCGAGGGTCCAGCTTCGCCGGTCCAAACAGTCACCCGTCCATCACTGTTGGTTAACCCCGTGAACGGAGCACTTGGTCCATAGGGTTGCAGCAGCGTCAAAGTGACGGCGATGGACGCCGCAGGGCGACCCTTGATTGTGTCCAGGACGTGGCAGGTGATCGGAGGTTTCTCTTGGGCAGCCATTGTCTGACTTATGGTCTGAGGAGAGTGAAAAGATGGAGGTGAAGAAGAGGGTTCGAGGTGTGCCGCAATGGCCGAAACACGCTGTTGCACAACCTTGGCGTGCCCTGAAGCAGTTGAGTCTCGCTGATTTGGGACAGACACAACCGGGTTCGGAGAGGACATAGAGCACACAAATGCTCTAATTAGGAAAAGAAACGTACGGGCGGTCGCAGAGATGTGTCAAATATATACGGTGAGTTTCTGAATGGCCAATTCCCCTAGCGTATGAAATGAAGAAATGTTTCATACAATTGAAGCAAAATGCTCTAGTAGATGTCCGTGGCGGGGGAATTAAATAATCCTATCGATAAACATCGGTTTGGACCCTCATCGGACGTTGCCGAACGCCGCTGATACACGCGATACTGAACCCGGAACAGTGTTGACCTATACCTATACCATATTATGTTACTGTCCGGCCAGAATGCCAAGATTTCAGCAAGCTGCTTTGAAAATACGGTCATCAGTGTACAGTATTGTGTTCGAAAGACAATTTTGCATCTAAATCGGGCATATCAGCATATTCGGGAGCTTTTGAGAGGATCAATGTATCCAACGCAGTGTATATATCACTCTGATAAGTTGCCGGCGGTCAGCGATCTGAGTAATTACACTTGACATTCGGGAAAGCTCCCACGCTAAGCCCCGCAAAGCTTTAGAGAGTTTGCCATGACGCGCCCAAACGAAGCTTCCAGGCGAAATCAATAATTCCACGATCCTCAATCCCATAGCGATCCGCCACTACCATTACCCTTCGAACAACAACGCGGCATCCTATTCTCTCTTGCACAATATCTCTTCGCTTGTTCGCGTGTATAAAGAGAGAATAAAGCACGTGTCTTTAAGATGTCTTCGACCGCAATGATCAACGGTGACGACGACCTCATGGAGCCTACCCTCCAGTCGATCCTGGACCAAAAGACATTACGATGGATCTTTGTCGGCGGCAAAGGAGGTGTTGGCAAGACGACTACGTCCTGTGCTTTGGCTATTCAGCTTGCCAAAGCCCGCAAGTCTGTCTTGCTCATCTCGACGGACCCGGCGCACAATCTGAGCGATGCCTTCAACCAAAAGTTTGGGAAAGATGCGCGACTCATCGAAGGCTTCACCAACCTCAGCGCCATGGAGATCGACCCGAACGGAAGCATTCAGGACGTCCTCGCTGCCGGAGGCGAAGGCGTCGATGAAGCCATGGCCGGAATGGGCGGCATGGGAAACATGATGCAGGATCTAGCTTTTAGCGTACGTTTCTTTCCCCTTCCCTTGCGCTCCCACTTTACTTTTAAGCTATTTGGCAACATCTCTTCTAACACGTTTCTCCGTCGTTGAATCTATAGATTCCTGGTGTCGATGAAGCCATGTCGTTTGCAGAAGTCCTCAAACAAGTCAAGTCCATGTCCTACGAAGTCATCATTTTCGATACTGCTCCCACGGGCCACACCCTGCGCTTCCTCCAGTTCCCTACTGTTCTCGAAAAGGCACTTGCCAAGCTCTCCCAGCTTTCCCAGCAATTCGGTCCCATGCTCAACTCCATCATTGGCGCTCGCGGCGGACTTCCTAACGGTCAGAATCTCGACGAGATGCTGTCAAAGATGGAATCTCTGCGCGAAACCATTAGTGAAGTCAACACCCAATTCAAAGACGCAGACCTGACCACTTTTGTCTGCATCTGTATACCCGAGTTTTTGAGCTTGTACGAGACGGAGCGCATGATTCAGGAGCTCTCGAATTACGAGATCGATACCCACTCCATTGTCGTCAATCAGCTGTTGTTCCCCAAGGCAGGATCAGATTGCCAGCAGTGCAATGCAAGAAGAAAGATGCAGAAGAAATATCTCGACCAGATTGAAGAGCTATATGAGGATTTTAATGTCGTTAGAATGCCCCTGCTAGTGGAGGAAGTGCGAGGAAAGGAGAAATTAGAAAAGTGAGTTACACCACCTGATCTGTTCCCAAACTTTTCCAGCATTCCCCCCTCATCGTCAGATGCTGCGAGATGCAGCAACGATTTGTTTCGCCGATGACGCTGACTCCCGAAACAGGTTCAGTGAAATGCTCGTCCAAACGTACCAGCCTCCGCAGTAAGAACATAGAGTGTCTTTTTCTGTAGCAATATATCAAACAGCTAGTTCAGTTTAACTTAATCTATTCAAGACTTCTTATATGAAGATTTCAAACGGCCACTAGAGCTGCAATATCGTGATATTTTCACAGCTGTTCGCGCCACACTTTCATTTTCATCTTAGTATACGTGCAGCAGTTGTGGCGCGTTTCGGGCCGTTAAGTGGCTCTGCCCGGCTCCAGTAAACCATACTTGCCAAGGTCCCGAATGGAACCACCATTGGCGGAAACCTTCAGACGGGATGAAAATAGGCAACTGTCAAATCAAAGTCACAGGAAAGAAAAAGTCAAATACCGCGCCATCGTTTCCAAAGTCAATACGGTACAGTACGGTAGCGTTTATACATGGTCCCTGCGCTTTTCTAAAGGAGTTATCAATTGCAGCTTACGAATTATGTGGGAAATGTATTGGTATTAATTGAACAAATAAATTGCACGAGCTTGAGAGTCCCATATCAAGACGAGGCACAATAGAGCAGCCCGATTTATTTACTAATCATCGCGCTCGGTGACGCTTCGTTGGTCGTCTGACTTGACTTCCTTCGTCAAAGTCAAAAACATATCCGGAATTTCCTTCTAAAGGCTTTGAATTCTCCTGTGGCTCTGGTTTGCCGGCATGTTTCGCTCCAAGCCATTCGTTTCGTGCCTCGCTGGACTTATGCACGTTGCGCAGCTCAGGAAAAGTTGGCAGGAGTTCCTTGGTGACCTCCCGAGGGCTCTCTTTCCACCATTTCTGCGCATCGGTGGCAAACCGGCTTCTGCCTCTTCCTAAGGCTTCAGTGGCGGTATATCGGGCGCCAGGGTCCCATTCTAGAAATCCGCTGAGGTAGCGTACTGTCTCCCGAGATGTCTCGTGAAGGAATCTCCGCTCCAGATTGCTGACTCGGCCTTGAGGCATAGTCGTGCTTCTCCAGCTGATTAATTGCGGGCATCCCATTTCTGAGAAGGCGGATAGATCTTCTGGAGAAGGAGTGCCGAGCAGCTTCACAATTAATGTGAGTTGCTCAATCTCGCTCTCGCCTGGCAGACAAGGTGCGCTCAATAATAGCTCTGCTAGGATAAGTCCGGCTGACCATAGGTCTACGGCAGGAGTGTAACGCTTCGTGCCAAGGAGCAGCTCGGGTGACCGGTACCAGATTGTTACTACTCCTGGCGTGAGTGGGCGCGGAGAGTACTCGCGAGCCATGCCAAAGTCGGCTGTCTCTTATTAGTCGAAGATTTGAAGATTGAGTGTTTTTCATGCCTCACCTAGTTTCAGAGTGCCTTTTGAGGTGAGTAGGATATTCTGCATCTTGACATCCCTGATAGAGGTAAGGTGAGATCAACGGGAGTGAAGTGAGCGGAAACCCCTACCGATGTATAATGTCGTTTCTGTGAAGATATTCTATGCCTTCCAGAACCTGCCTGAACAGGCATTTGACTGTATGTTTCATGTCAAAAGGAATCCAAGAAATTATCGAGCTGTGATAAAAGAAAATTTACCTTGGCCCATTGTGAACTTTACTTTTTGCTCATCAAGTAGTACAGCCATGTCCTAATCTCGGGGAAACTGGCAAAACCTCCACCTCAAGGCAGAGGATGGATCAGCCAGCGAGGTAGGTGGAAGACATTCTCAAGTGTAGCTTCGGGCTTTCACCCTCCGCATGGGTAACCAACCTGTTCGGCGTATTCCATAACCATATAAATATCCTCCAACGATTCCAGGCCGACTGCGACGTCCAGCACATTGACAATATTTTGGTGTCTCAGCGATCGCAATATGGATATTTCGCGAAGTGCGGTGATTGGAATGCCATTTTGCCGCTCTTCGGGAAGGATGCGAACTTGCTTGAGAGCAACTATGTCTGAAGTCTTTTTGTGACGAGCTCGAAAAACGACGCCATATGCTTGAAGTGGAAGATTTAGCACAGCATACTGGAAAACAGGGCGGGGCATTATTTGGAATAATACTTACTGCCTTCACCGAGCCTGTTGAGCTTTTCGAAATCAGAGATAGTTGCACATCGCCCTGCAAACACGCGTAAGTGAGCGAAGCAAAAAGTAAACATGGAAGTTTTAAAGGCGGCCGAACCTGAAAAGCTAGATGCGCGACCGAGGTCTAATGTTTGACCTGTCACCGAAGTCCAGGCAGGAATTTGAGGTTGCATAGAATCTTTGCTCATGATGTCGGGTCATGTTTTGCAGCGGGTGCTTAATTAAGGTTTGGCTTGATGCTGTTGCATTTCGGCGAGGTATTCGCTCGGCAACGCCTCCAGCTGTGGCTGAATTGGCATGGTTCTACTGGTCCTTTGGTTATACTTGCAGCAATGGGCCGAATAACAAAGCCAATCGCACAGAAATCCCTGAAGGTCTACGTCACACTAACTGTTGCTTTTCTTTGAATTTAATATCTTGTACGTTTTGAATTTTATTAAATATCGTCTGCTCCAGCTCATTAGTTAACCAGTGGAAGCTGGTACCATTACCAGTGTAGAGCTGTTTACCAATGCAATTGAGGGGAACATTCTTATCAACGTTCCACAGTGTCAGTTCATGCAATTTTGGGGCACAGGCGTCCATTGGAGCCTGGGTGGGAAGATTTACTCTGGCTATCTATTATTTTTCTCGTATATCTGAGCTGTAGAGGAGGTCTGAGCGGATCTCAGCTGCATTACTTTTGTCTTTTTTATTCAAGTATTACCCGGATTGAGTTTAACCCAATTAGCTATACCTAGCGCCGTCTGTCACCTGAGCCCAACCCACGCGTCATAACTTGTTAGAACAGACCTCACCGCCTCCCCACTCTCCCGCAACCAGCTTCCAGCCTTTCTTGGATTAAAATCTCCAATTCGCCCCATTTTAGGGAATCTATGAACTACAGAGATTTTTGCGGGGAAAAGGGAAGTCGATAGCCATCATGACGCGAAAAATCGTTTACGTTGGCGGCCTGGTGGTAACTCTTGCGGGTGAGTGTTGCCTTACGAGTGGGTTACTCGACTTGTGACAGATGTTAATTATGCCTTTTTTGCGCAGCATTTGCCATGACGCTCGCAAGCATTATCATCCCTAGATGGATCAGTTTCTACAGTGAATCGGTATGTGTATTACAACAAATTTTGAGATTTCACGCCGGGGTCTCCGACGAGCTTTGGACGCCCCATCGAGCTTCCAGTTCCCGGCACCGATACGGAAGATGGATCGTACGTATACTGACATTCTAATGGCTCTAGTTTTCTGGTGAACCTATTCGCTACAGCTATGGCCTGCACAAGAGCTGCTCCACGCTGACGGGCTCATGCGCACATTTCCCCCAATATGAGGACTGTCATGGTTCCGACCGACATTTCTGCTCCATGTGGAAATCCGTGGGCTTTCTCATGTCCTTTGCCATTGTCATCGAAGGCATGATTATCATTGCGCATCTCGTTGTTCTTGCGGGTGGCGTTCAGAAGAGAATACATGGTTGGAAAGTTCTCAGTGTTTCTCTGTTCATCGCTGGCGCGATCCAGTGCGCCGCGATGGCCATTGTGGTAAGATTCAGCTGGGCATGCGCTTCTGTTACCAGCGCTAATGAATTCAGGCCTTTCTTTATGACAACGATGACCGTTTCTACCTTTGGCAGCTTGACAATTCTTGGATCCTCTGCACGGTCAGCTGGAGCGCTCTCATTGTTTCAGCAACAAGTCTTATTGCATCTGCCTATTTCTTGCCTCCGGAAGGTGACTATGAGCTCATTCCCGAGCGACAATAGTATAAGGCCGGCATATTGGAAGTGTCCAGTCTTAAGCTTACATTACGACACATCGACAAACGGAAAACGACTATTAGACTGAAGTATTTGACGATTTATATGGCATTGGAGTCTTGTTTAGCCGGCGCTGTTGGAATAATTTTGTTGAATATACACTTGAAGCTGCCTTATCTTTATTTAGAGCAAGCTATCTTTTCAATTTGTGGCTATCAATATATATCTTGGCCAGTTTAATTTACAGTTTCAATATCTCATATCTTTGGAGAGAATTTACTACTTTGGGTCATGATCAAAGGGAAATTACCTGTCTGCGATATTTGTCCGCCTGGTTTACATCTAGAGTTTACAAATAGGAAGGCCTTATGATATTCCCATGCTTATCTTTTGGGCCATGTGGCTCTAAAGCCGTTCAGCCATTACGTTGTAGATGGCGCCACTTAAAGGGACTAATCCACTACCTGCCGCTCTAGAATTCTGCCGGCAATTCGACTCATTAGCGAGGGCGGTACTCCAAAGCACAGCTGAAAGTGTCCAATTCACTCCACGACAGCTCGTAAATTAAACAGCGGATATTCAACTTGAAGATGGCTCCACCAGTGGTAAAGGCATCCTTCTGCGTATGCTAGTAATATTCGATGCTAATTATAATCGTAGACACCATCACCGCACCGTTTTCTAAACAAATCAATATCCAACTCCACCCGAGGCACCATTCCTCCATCCCAATCACAACCACCTCAAGAGCCAAACTTTTCGTCCACTCCCCGCTTTGCTTTCCATTCACCGCTACATCTGTCTTCTTCATCTACGCTTAGACATAATGATCCATCAACTAGGAGAACACAATACCCAGTGGACGCCTCACCTTTACTACACCCGCCCACGATATCCGCCCACCCAACCGCAGGTGGCATCCTGGAGAATGGTGACATTTTTGCAACTCCCTCGAGTCCCGCGTCCCCTCCACTTCTTCCAACAACACAACTTCGTCGTCGCCACGATTTAATAGAGGATGCAATAGAACTCCCTTCTTCTTCGCCTGGACAATCTGAAGGCGATATAGTATCGCCTCAGCCTTCATCCTCTCCGCCGGCGCAGCTAGTGCCTCGTTCTCCAGGCCTAGAAACTCCACGTGCAAAGCGACGAAGAAGCTCCGACTTATGCTTACCCAACAGTCCAACAGCGCTCCACGCTCCAGACAAAAATTATGCCTATTCAGAAGCCAATCAAGCGTCTCAATCTTCTATATCTCTGCCTCCGTCTCCTCCTCTCGGGCAAAACTCATCACGCTTTGTCATACCTTCACTGGCTCCAGCTCCGACTTCGCCCCTTCCAGCATCTCATGCGCCGGTCGCAGATGCCAAATCTCAACGTTCAACTTTTCTACGTCCCCAACTTCCAAATGTAGGAGCAAGAGGAAACCAGCGAGGAGAAGAGGGTCAGTCTCCACTTAACCATCCAATATCCCCACAGCAGAAATTAAACAGATATATGAGCGGTGGACTAGCAGCTACAGTCCGTGACTGGATAGTAGAAGCTTCGGGCTCTACCGGTCTACAAGGACGACAAGAGAATGTCCGTTCCGAGGCTATCAGCGGAACAAAAGAGGCAGGAGTTCCAACAGAGTACCATGCTCCTTCGAGCACATCTAACACGACTGCTATGCATTGCGCAACCAAGGCTCCACGTCAATTGAATCTCAGAATCCACGTATCAGAGGTCATGCGCACAAGCAGTGGCCATACTGCCGGCAACGCCATCCTTCTTCGTGGTCACATTACCGACAGTCTCGATGTTGATAACCATCTCTCGGAAGCCCAAGGACCTTCAAGTCTACACGTTCTTCTTCCTTCTGCCCCGCGCGTTAAGCAAGTCCATAAAGGCAAAGTGCTCGATATGAAGGCTCCTTTGTGGGAGATTGAAGCATGTGGCATAATCTGGATTGTCGCCATGAATTGGGTCGTTCTTCCGACATAATGCCCCTACATTATTTTCTCGTCGGCTTAGCAGTCAATTACGGAGATATATTTTGTCATTAGCTCTCGCGGGCCTGTTCCGCCCCTGGTTACTGCAGTTAGGCCTGCTTGGTCATTGCTTGGTCATAAGTTAACGTTAGTTAGATCATTATTAACTACTCGGTAGTTATCGGTGCCTATCGGGGCGACGTCGCTCAGTTAGGTTTAGTCCTCATCTTGTCATGTATCCAGGGTCCTTGCATCCCGAGCCCGTCCTTGAATACGAGTAACGTTGGGTGGGGATTATAGGACATTTTCTAAGCTTCGTTTCAAAATGCCTGAGCACAAGCAATTCCGGTTCAATTGTAGAGATTTTGATATTACTGGAATGTGCATCTTCTACGGAACGTTTTGTGCTGATTTGAAAAAAATCGATTGTACGTGGCCGAATAAATTGGGCCTTTTCTGCAGAGGGTGCTCATACTCGTACGAGTAGCGGAGTAACTGACTGGGTTTGAACCGCTTTCAAAGGATCGACAGTCATAAGTTAATGCTTTACCCCCCCCCCGAGGGCGCGCGAACTAGCTTTCGTAGTGGGCTCGGGGTTAGCTGGCTGTCGCTAAACCTCGGCGAACTTAGAACTCCAGGACTCACCTGATTCCACCTCTCGCCGTCCTCAAAGCTCGGCGAACTTTTACTCCACAAGCGCTTCTCGACTCTCGCTGTCGAACGGCGACCTCTTACACACTGCAAGCATGTTTACTGAATCCCCCGCCTCAGGCCAGTGAAACGGGCGGTCAGGCACCAGGATATACTTTCCCATGCGTCTATCGGAGTCTCCGTAGCGTCTCTGTGGGGCCTCTTAGTTCAAAATTAACCTCCAGGCACGACATGTTAGATTCCCGCGACGCATGGAATGGCCGAGAAAAGTTAAACCTATATCATTATGGTGGAACTCACAAGGGTCCCAGAGTTTCAGACGGAACATGCGTCCATGCTTTGTTTTGACAGGCCGCTTATATGGCAAGAGATCCATGACTAACGTCCAACATCTCGGTATTTGATATACCTATCCCTGTTTAGTTCTTCCCTAGAGATCTCAATGATTACAACAGATGAAAACCCGCCAGGACCCACCGGATTTCACTCGACATCTACGTCTTTGATTCATTCATCCATGTTTAGTTCCCCTTAAGACTTTTTCTCTTTGGGGGCCGTAAGACAATGGGCGGTTCCACAATCGCCGAGATTATGCTACAAGATCCAGTACGAGTGTTGTACTCGAGGCATGGAGGAGTATGCTATTAGCAATTTGAGATTCGGTGGGGCCGAGAAGATAGATGAGCGGTTCCACAATTGCGGCGCATGTCAGAAGACGGACACAGGTCTCTAACTCGAGAGACTTGGAGGGGTTCATATCTGAGCACCTTTGAGGTTGTGGAAAAAGGTATAAAGAGGCTCGCAGATTCCAACCTCAACCTCTCGAGTCAAGCCAGTCTTCAATCATTCTCTGAGCAATCATTGCCGAACCCTCCACGGCGCCACATCAGCCAAAGATGAAGTCTTTTCTCTCTCTCTCCGCCATGGCGGCGCTTTTGCCAGCTGCCCTGGCTGCTCCATCCCTCCACGTGCGCCAGGACACCCAGGACGTTAACGTTGTTGTGCAATACATCAAGGCAACTTCTGAACAAGACATCGCCGTAACAAACAAGGATTTCTCTCAGGTCCTAGGATATAGCTGTTCGAACACACTCGACTCTGGCGCTTTTGCGGACGTCCCCATCTCTGCCGATCTTGATTTCAACGGTGCCGGCAACCTCACAATCGGCTCCGAAACGTATAAAGTTCATGAGAATCCTGACATATCCGGAGGCATAACTTGCTCAAGGATGTACAACAATGCTGAGTCTTTGATGACTTGTGCCATCTCTCTGCCGTCGTCGCTTGACTTGTCCCCTCTCAGCAAGAGAGAGAACGATCAAAGCTGCTTCCTTGCTGGTGCTACTCCTAGCTTGCAACGTGCTGCACTCTCTATGCTTGCCGGGAACACCGGCCCTGTGCAGAACCTCACCTCGCAGGAGGCACATCAAATGGAGAAACGGGTTGGCTCGCCTGGATGCAAACCTCCCATTACAGAGACTGTGGGAGATGGAAACCCACACCAGAACTACTTTGACAAACAGCTTAGTGTGAGTATCAAGCGCGGACCTTTTACAGTGTATGATTAGATGATGCTAACACGAGCTTGCCCTTAGCAAAATATCAATTGTGGCGCTGCCCCAGGCTGCTCTATTGGTCAAAGTAACAGTATTTCCTATACCCTTGGCTGGAACGCTGGCGCTATCATCGACGAATGGATCACTGGTGGTTTCGATGTCTCTGTCAGTTGGACCACGGGCAACGTCCAAACATGTGATGGCAGCTCAGGGGAAACCGTCTGTCTCTGGTACAACACCGCGTTTACAGCTTATACTGTTCAGAATTACAAGGTCAACAATTGTAACCAGAATTTTTCACCCTCTGGTGACCCAACAATCTTGTGGTCGCCGAATACCAACAACGCTGGTGGTGGCGCCTACTACTGTGTTGTTGGCACCTGCCGCAGCCAGGGACAGGGTTATTGGGACTACAACGGCCGTGCTGGTGGGCCTTAGATTACTGTGGCTTGATTCGGATCGTGAAGGGCAGGGGATTAGAGTAGAGGTTAGATTGTTAGATATTTTTTTCCTTTTTTCGGAATCTAGAATATCTATCACAATTACCCATATGCTGAATCCAAAATTTCCGATTGTTGATTGTTGAAGAGAATCTCGTTTTCGAGTTACTGATAATATGCTGATCCTGACCAATCACCTTTTTTTTTCTGTCTATCCCAACTCCCTTTTTTTTTCCCTTCGTTTGCAGCCAATTCAATACATCAACCCCGTAGAATACCTCACTTGATTCATCATCTTTTGTCAGTTGTACGGCAGTCGATACAGTACAGTCCAGGTTCAAACTTCAAACTTGCCTTTGGCAAATTCACCTTGGCTGCAGCACTCTGCCACTCCGACTCCGACAATTCTCGTACCAAACCTCCTCTTTCTTTCTACCCGTGGTTTCCCCCCTTTCACTAGTGACTACCTTGTTCCCTGAAGACATATCACCAACCCTAATTACAAGTGACCTATTGCCCTTTGAACCTCGAACTTCAAACCTTGAACCTCAGACCTCGGACCTCAGACTTCGAATCTCCCTACCGCATCCCAGCCAAACAAAAAAACATGGATCAAAATAAAACTGATAACGGAGCATATACACCTTACTTATACTAAAGTCTAATAGTATTAAACTCCTAGAGTACTTCATACAGTACCTTTTCTCGAAAGCCAAAAGCCAAAGGTCAGAACGCCGAAAAGAAAACGAAAATGGACCTTTTATCAAAAAGCCAAAATAGCCAAGAAAGACAAAGAAAAAAACTGAAAGAAAGAAGAGGTTTTAAAAAAAGGACATAAAGTGAACCAAGAAAAAAAGATATGATAATAAACAAAAAGGAAAAAGAAAAAAAGAAATATCACCGCCCGAGGCGAGGATCGAACTCGCAACCTTGAGATTCCCTATTGACTTTCCCCCTCCTCGAGAACAAGAAGAAGACAAGACTTAAAAGTCTCACGCGCTAACCAATTGTGCCACCCGGGCTAGAACACAGGATTCATTTTTCCTTAAAGTGTTTTATGAATCTAGCTGGACGTTACGGGCCCTTTTTCAAGTACATTTTGACGATCGACGAATCTACCAAGGTCCAGGACGGGTCAAAATATTCAGGACTCGGGGATCTGGATGATTATTACAGCGGACATATTTTTTTTTTACCTTGGATGTATGTTTAGAGAGTGTATCACGCTAGAGAGGATAGAAAAAGAAAAAGATAGAAAGAAAATAAGAGAATAAAGGTAGGGGGGCGGGAATAAAAGAAAGAAAGAAGCATATAAATGAAATGAAACAAAAAAAAAATAAACACAAAGTAAAAGGAAAGAGAATATAGGAAAAATGAGGTAAAAAAGAAGAAAAGAAGAAAATAAAAATAAACAGGCGTAGTCAGCAAAATTATATTCTGAAAAGGCCATCAAACCTAGAGTCATAACCCATGGTAGATGCTTTATGTTTGCTGGATGATGTAGAATGTAAGTGAGGAAGCAATGGACACTTGGCTTGGAAAAAGTCACATTGCTTTCATTCTTTCTTACAGAGGATAAGTTCCATCGCTTTGCACAGTAGGTGAGGTTACAATACGGGGGTTTGGATAAAGATGGTAGTGCTCTTCGTTTAGAAATCTCAACAGAGGTAGAGTTCCATCACAGGAGCATTGACTATGGATGTACAAGAGATGAGAATCACGATGAAGCATAAGTGATATAGAAGTTAAGAAGAAAGTCATGTTCTAGTACCTCGCTCATTTAATGTCAGGCTGTTCAGAATGCATGCTAATACGCTATGAAACAGAACAAATGTCTTTGAGTGAAAATAACACCAATCCCCGAAATGCGCCGGGTTGCCAAGAGTACTGCTGCCATGGCCATGAGAGGAAAGAACATAAAAGTAAACCAGACCCATAAAAATAAGGCGGGCGCAAGAGCATGAGTGAAATACATGCTACCGCTGAAGAATCAACAACAATTCATTAAAAAAAAAGGGCCATAACCAACAAACCCATTAGTCAAAAGAGCCGCCACCACCAATCATTCCCAAAAGACCGCCACGCTCACTAGCAAGCCTGATCCGGCCTGCTTCTCTCTTCTTATCGCTCTTTCGTATGGCCCTTGTACGCTCACTTTCTCTTTCTTTCGCGCGCGCGTTTTGATGATAATTGATACTGCTCTTCTTAGTGCCGCCGCGTTTGACAATCGAGTCTGTACTATCTCCACCGGCTTGCCGCTCCCGAGCAACGACAACGCCGGTAGGAGATGCATTCTGGCCGCTGCTATTCAGCGATGCAGCGCTCAGATTTGATGTAGCGCGCCGCACGAGACTAGGGACACGGAAAGGAAAGCCGGTTGCGGAGGATGACCCAGTTGCAGAAGGATCGTGAAAGGCCATTTTGCCGCCAGCAGAAGAGGCATTTGAGCTTGCGGCGCGCCGGAGAGAGATGCGATCAATGATTGCGTGAGAGCGGGTAGTTCGGCGGCTAGCAAACGGATCACGAGCGTTGGGCTTGGAGGTAGTTGTGGTCCATGTGGTGGTTTGAATATTGTTTTCAGCGTCTGCGCCTGCATCTACAGCAGTTGCCATCATGCTTAGTTGGCTATCTTCGACTCTGTCAATTTCGTCAGATTCCGGTCTCTCTTCATCGGACTCGGAATCAGGGGCGTGTGCTGGAGCGTTTGGTGCTTCGGTAAGGAAAGCGACAGATTGCCGGATCTCGGCGAGCGTAGAGGGCCGCTTTGATTTGGACAAAGCTTTGGTGGCGTGCTGACGCATATGAGGAGGCGGACGGTTTTCCTCATTGCCTTCTGTCTCGTCTATGGAGCGCTTCCGCTTTCCGATGCTGTTATCGTTGTTGCTTGTTGCAACGGTCACAGACTCAGCGGGCTGCACCTGTGTGTCTAGCGGATCCTGAGATTGAGATTGTGACTGTGATATGTGCGGCATCAGCCAGTCATCCTCAGTTTGGTCGAGGAAACCGGTTCCCTCTTCTTCATCGCGGTCCTCAATGGCGCGGAGGAACGCCAATTTCCTGGGGTTCTCAGCTGATAATGATTGTCAGTCAGACGTTCCCACCAATGGACTCCAGCATTTGATTAAACCGAGGAGCAAGGATAGCTACGAGAAGAATACGCAAGAAATCAACTTACCAATTTTGCCTACGTTCTCGTCTGCGAGCAAGGCCTTTCTCATCTTGGCAAACTCTCTCCGCTTCCTTCGTCGTTGAGCCTCCCCATCGTCATCCGAGTCTGAAAGATCGAGATCTGCGCCCCGTTTGCGACGAAGCATACCGGTCGTGATATCTCGGAACAGCTTCTTGACTTGCTTTTCATCATTCGCACGCTCCTTGTCTCTGTAAATCACAGCCGTGTCAGTGAAATCCATCGGTCTGAAAAATGTACAGGCAATAACGGGTAAGCTGTCAGGCAAGTAGAGAGAAAACTTACGCATGGAGAGCAGCCAATTCTCTCTCTTTGACCTCTACGTCACCTTCATCAATCATTTGACGGACTTCCTCATCGTCCTCGCTAGCATTTTCGTCATCGCTCGCCCCTCCAAGTCCGGCGTATTCGTCCTCTGATTCTTCGGCTTGTTCCTCGACCATCGCTTTTGCTTTGCTTTTTTCTCTGTCAAACGGGGTACTCTGGGGTTTCCTGGCACCGTTTCGTAAGATGTCAAACGCGTTTGCAGAAATCTCAAAATCTCCTTGCTCTGTAGCTGCGGTCTCAGTGGCTGTAGCCTCTTCCTCGACGTCGGACAATAAAGCCTCACGGTCAACTCCGCGACGTCGAAGACGGCCTCTTCTCTTCATCTCATTCTTGGGCGATACGATAACGGTCGCGACAGTTGACGGTGGATCCTCTTCAAATCCATGGCGATTCTGGACTAAAGAATTCATTCGGAGCCCGACATCCTGGGTTGGATCGGGTATCTCGGAAAGTTGAGTCGCGGGAATGGTTTGTGATAAGTCGTTTGAACCATTGGCGTAGGTATGCGATTGCGAGTAGTGTAATGTGATTTCATCTTGTTGAGAATAACCTTGGCTGTCCCTTACAATATCCTGTGACCCTCCTTCTATAAAAGAACGAAGTTCTGAGGGCTCATTGCCGGGCATTTGCCGTAGGAAGGCTAAGGAGTCTTGCTCCATATCAATCTCGTCCAGGTTCTCCTGTTTGCTCATGCTGGGATCCTGTGTTTCACTCGCCGCCATGGTTCCTTGAAACATCTGCGTCAAAGACATTGGGGCATCTTTCATGCCGGCTAGTCCCGGGATCGCAGAAACGTTGGTTGGCGGCAAACCCTTTTGCTGCATAGACGAAGATTCCTCCTGAACTTGCCCGTTTGCATCATCGTCTTCATCTTCGTCGTCAGAGATGACGCGCAAATTTCGGGATTTTCTCTGGGGGGGCTGCTGTGGAGCCACCGAAAATTCTGCTGATTCATCCTCATCCATCGAGGGCTCCTCTTCCTCTGCCGCCTCGCCGTCAATCAATCCAGCGCCGTCAGCCTTTTGTTGTAGCTCCATTTCATTTCCCTCGTCATCTTCTCCTTCATTTTCTGATCCAAATTGCTCAACGTCTTCTTCCTCATCGTCGCCATCAGTATCTCCCGCTTCTCCTTCATCTGATTCACCCTCCCAATCGCCATCCTCTTCGTCGTCTTCGGAAACATCGATACCGGCTCGTCGTTTCTCTTCCTTCGCAGCTTCCTTTTCTCGTTTCATAATCTCCTCGGCCTCTCGTCGAGCTTTCTCTACCAAGTCTTCAACCTCCATCTGCGCTTGGTCTCGCTCTTCCGCAGTCTGGATTATGATGCCTCTTTGTCGTAGTTCCTGAATCCTCTCCTCGCGCTGTTTCGCAGCCTGCTGCCTTGCCCGTTGCTGCAGCGTCGCTTGAAGTTGGGCTGGGTTCATGGAAGGCCCCTCGTTTCGCCTTTTTCTACCCGGAGAGGTAAGGTGAGCAAGCGCACGCAGCTTGATATATGAACGCGTATCTTGCTTTTCCTGGGGCTTGACACGATCAAACACTGATAGATTTTTCGACTTGGCCGGAACGATTTCCAAATCACTGTCAGAATCATTGCCAATTGCGACTCTGGAGAAGTCCGGCAACCGGAAATTGAATGATTGCACGTTGCTTGAATTCCTTTTTGACTTGGTGCCTGTGATTTCCGTTCTTTTTTGAGCTCCTGACTGAGCAACAGCTTCGGTGGCTTTTCCTTTGCCTTTGTCGATTTTCCGGATGGGCTGGGAAAGTAAATCCTCCAAAGTCGGTCCATCCCTGTCTTCGTTCTCATCATTCGTTCCAGCTATATCATTAGCAATTGAAGGGGCAGAATCGACAGTCTCGAGAGACTTTCCCTCCGTGTTGTCCTTTTCTGCTGAACTGTTTTCGGGCAGGATTGGACTCGTTGGAGGCGTGTCTTTTCCTGCAGCATGCTCCACATCAGACGTCGGTGCAGAACTGCTTCCAGATGTTGTAGCAGCATTATCGCTGATCGATCCTTTGTTCTGCGCCTCCTCTGTCGGAGTAGTAGAGGACGCGGGGTTTCCACGGAAGTTGAATCTTGCAAAAAGGCTTTCTTTTGTAATCTTTTTCTTCGTCCTTGCTTCGTGGGCTAACTGCATATTTCGACTCATCCGCTGCGTCTCGCGATGCATATCTTCAAGAGCCTTCTTGCTTGCCTTCCTCGTGGGTCGCGCTTGTTGCGTCAACCTTCTACCAGTTTCCTTGTCGGATCCGGACTCCGATCCCGAATCTAATTGCTGCGCTTCTTTGAGTCGGGCTTCGCGTTCTTCTCTTGCACGGGCAGCTTCAGCCTCCTTGGCTGCTCGCTCTTCCCGCTTCCGAGCGACCAAAGCCAACAGTCGTGCATTGTTCTGGGGTTCATCAGGCAGGTCTGAGTCCGAGCCACTCGCATCATTGTCAACTCGTAGTGTTGGATTCTCCCCGACTACCTCCACGGTCTCAGACGGGGGCGCCTGCTCTTCCTCAAATGGTCCAAATAAGCTCCGAACAGGTTTCGTCCTTGGCTCCTGCGATGCAGGACTAGAAACATCCTGATCACCAATCTCGGCTTCTTGTCCCTGATGACTACTCTGCTCAGCAGTACGAGGACTAGTTTTGGGGGAGTCCACGGCTTTTCTTAAAACCAAACGTCCGCCAAGCCGCTTTTTCCCGGGAGAGTTTGCCTCATCATTCTGGTGTCCATCACTCTTCTCCTGCTCCTTATCTGCTTTAGAAGCCATCATACGTGCAGCCAATCTGCCTCTAGGTCGTAAAGCCACATCATCGTCGCTATCCTCTTCATCTGAGCCGGTTGTGGTATGCTTCGTGGCAGAAGTCGATTGTTTGTCGAGCTTGTTAGAGGCCCTCGTATTCTCTTCATTCCGTGTTGCAATTGCCGCTCGTAACCTTTCTCTTGCACGACTGGATCCGTCGTCATCAGATCCCTGCTCGTCATCGTCAAAGTTCGCCAACAAAGCCTTGATTTTGCTCCTAGGAGTAAGTTCACCAGGGGCTATCCGTGGCGATTGTTGATTTTCTGGCACCTCTGGGGAGCCCCATGGAGAAGATGAACGAGATCTTTCCATGTTGCCGGATTAATGTTTTGCTGAGCTTGACGAAAGCGACGTGGTCGGTGGCTCCCTCAGAAGGGACGAGAGGGTAAAAGGGTATATTTCTAAAATAGAACATCAATTTGACTCTATTCACTTTTCAAACATTTCCGTAAAGATCATTCGAGTGTTCATGTAATAGTATGACTTTTAATCAAAACGAATTGAGGAAGTGTATTGCATCTGTTTGGTGTAACACAGGTTGGTGACCTCCAGGTGGACGCGGTCGCGTCGGATAAACTATCGCGTCCCTCCAGACGCGATCGCGTACCCCTTACCCTTCGCAGATCATATTTCGTGCCAAGGTGTCAAGGAAAGACTCAACTCCACGTGCATTATTTATGATAGAGTATCTCTTTACGATGGTGGACATGATTCAAGATGTACACACTCCAAGCAAATTATAATTTTTGATAACAGGTCTTTTCACCCTTAGTCCCGTGCCTTGCAAAACTTAACAACGCTGTTCTTCCATCACATTATGCTTAACTAATGCACTGCACAAATCTCTACGTCCATGTAACGATCAGACAAGCCTACGCAAGAGCATCACTGTTAAAGCTTTAAAAATTCTTTTATTGTGCCATTACCCTTAAATAAGTGATCGAGTAAAATAAAGACACAGTGATGAGCCTGCACGAGAAAGCAGTGCAGTGAAAAGGAGCTTGTCGCTCGTTGAAGAACATGTGGCGCCGTATTGGTAGTAATATCCAGTATGAGCGCAGTAATCTTCTGTGCATTTCATGGCACAGCAAGTGGAATAACGTAACTTATGGGGTGTGCCGAGAGAAGACTGACGTGAGTAGCCTGCCATAAAAGCCAGGCAAACAAGGTGAAGTACATTGAAAATCCATGCTTTCCCTTTTGCTTCCCTTGCGACCCCAAATCTCCTATAAAAACATATGCAGAACCGCTGGTAATCCTAAAAATGCAGAAGAAGAATGCTTGGAAAAGAAAATCAGGCAATGGTCGGACATTTGTGACGCATAAGTGTCCCGCTTCGTTTGATACCATAACACGTTTTCAGCGAAAACGAAGCACAAAGCGGTAACAATCGATGAAGAAATCGAAAGACATAGCCTGTGAGCGCCAGTTTCCCAGATATTTCAAGTTGCCACTCAATCTGTGAGAATGAACCCTCAATGCGAGTGGACTTTAGTAAAAGCGTAAGAATGCACAAAAGTATTCAGGCATGTAACGGAAGTGCGTGTCCTTGAAAAGCACTCTTGGTCTTTGACTTCGGGACCAGAGAATCGAATCCGATATGAGACTTGCAAACAGAATCTCAGTTCGACGTGAGCAAATCAGATGTCAATGTCAATACCGAGATCAAACGAAGCAATGACTTCATCATCTGTAAGTGGTCTCCAAACTTTCTTCCCGTTGACGGTTTCGTAATGACCATTCTTCGGAATATTGTTTGCTGGCTTCGGAATATTGCCTCCGTTAGCATTAAGCGGGGTATTGGTTTTGCTCCGATCTGGAGGAGTCGCCGCTTCATTAACATCATACATAATCTTAGCCCTGGTCTTGACACGTGCGAATGGATTTGCCAGCGCCTCTCCACGAGCGACAGCAGCTCTCTGGCGGGCTTCTGCGCGGCGCTCGGCAAGCTGGGCACGGCGAATGTCCTCTGTATTAGCTTTGCGATTAGCACGATTGAGTGCCGCAAGCCGTTCTTGCTGACTGGGGCCAGTTGGTTTGGGGGTAGGTTTGATGAGGCTGGTGCCAAAGGCAAGCTTGGGACCCTCAAGTGCCTGGAGTTCAGCGTCACACTGCGCAATCGCAGCTTCATCTTCACGCGCTACAGCCTCTCTCCTCCTATTGATGATGGCGTTGCGCTCCAGTACGGCGAATCGACTCTTTGTAGCACCGGAGCGACGAAGCTTCTCAGAAATCTCCTCATCAGTCCAGCGATGGTTGAGTAAAGAATTGATGTCATCAATTTTTTTGTTGAGAAAGGACTTGGTGGGAATTGTGAAGGATTCAGCAAGCAGAGTTTTCTTGTATCGTTCAAGCTCGGCCTAGAGCAAGAGTCAATCACAGACGGTTCCAATCTAACAACGGGACACAAACACACCTCAGAAAACTGCGCATCAGAGCAAGCGAGGAAGGGCCAATCTCTCTGTGACTTGCCAATAGTGAGGATGGCGTACTGCTCAGTAACAAAGGACTTTCCATTTCCGCCTTCCAAAGCATAAGGTTTGCCTGTGGTAAAGCCTAGGGAGAGTTTGTTAGCGGCCAGATAGAACTATGCGGTATCTTCCATATTGAAAGCTAACCTTTGACTTGCGCCATCCTGTAGACGTTTTCTCCGGTCGACTTATCTGGACCGACGTTGGTTCTGACAAAACAACCAGTGATGGCAGCTTCAAAACCAGGGGTCAAGCAGACTTTGCCGAAGTTGGTTCTTCCCACACGAACACGCTCAAAGTCTCGAAGCTCCGCTGGCCCCTCGTCTTTAATAGCAGACAAGGATCGGCGACGGCCACCAGCGCTGGATCTCTCGTCATCCCACTCGACACTCTCGCCATCAGCGTCTTTATCTGAGCTACGAGCGGAAGAACCACGTCTCTTGCGAGCGCCAGCAGCCCCATCATCGTCACGTCGCCTCTGTTCATTGTGGATACCCCTCTGCTCACGCTGACGCTTATACTCTTCCAGGGCTCCTGAACTCTCTCCGACTTTACGGCCGCCGATAGTGGTCTTCTGTCGAGTACTCTTTCTCTGGCTCTCGTCCAAATCGGCTCTCGCCGCCTTGCGTTTCTTTTTATCAGCGGCTTTGGCCTCAGTCTTTTCTCTGGCTTGTAAAAGGCGCCTAAGGTGCTGATCTTGCAGCTTGCGCTCAAGGACCTGAGCTCGCTCGGCGAGGATCTGCTCGCGCTCAATCTCTGGCAGGTTCATGATTTCTGCTTTATCTGCCTCGGAGTAGTACTTTTGCTCAAGAGGGAAGATGATGTCGTCTTGGTCAGGGTATGCTTCAGACTCGGATTCGGATTCGGACATGGAAGCAGATTGAAGGGAGTCAGGCGAGGACGCGCGCGACGAGCTGCGAAAACAAAGTCAGTCGCTCCTTCCCTAAATGGATGGATATGTGAATGAATTCACTGACGCTTCGCCCTCTTCCTCCTCATCGGAATCCTCTCGCTTGCTTTTCCGGCCCCCCCTTTTGCCAGCGTTTGCGGACTTTCTTCGTCCTACACCCGCTCTACTCGAGGAATCTTGCTTGCTCGGACCAGCCGGACTGCGCGGAGAAGCGGGCGATGAGGACTTGACGCTTCTACCAGTGATCTTAACTCCTTCATCTTCAGACGAACTGTCCCCGCCAGCGAGGGCAAGCAGCTCAGCGTCGAGATCAGACATGCTGAAAGAATTTTCCTCCTCTCAAGTTCAATTCGTTCGTTCCAACGGATAACAGGCTGCGGCCGCGAGGAAGCGGGCTCTTTGTTAAATCAACGCTTGCTCGCCGATCGAATGCCTGCACACAAGACAATGCAAGGTTTTAAGGGAAAAATACGAAAACCGTCCGTTTTCGCGTGTGTCAAAGTATAGGCGATGATTTCTGGTAGGTTACTTTCGAGGCCAGTGGGAAAGGAGTTGAGAGGAAGTTGCGCAGCGTGAACGTCCTGGTCAACCGATTGGGCCAAGCGTCATTTGGGGATGGCTGCATGGCAAAGTGCACGGGAAAGACTTTTGAGTTGTAATTACCAAAAAGATAAGTATTTACACGTATTTTCATCAAGAAGGGAAAGGCTTTCCCGGTAACCTCCGAATCGTCCGACAATCGGGTTCATGACGCCTGGACAATATGATTATTGAAGATAGGAGCTTTTCAATGAATAGGAAAATACCACGGCATTAATATTCCGATTCATTAGAAAAGCGCGAATCAAACATTCTAGATTCGGCTACTTGGTGAATCGATTGACTCTATAACAATCTACAATAATAAACCCTTTCCTCGTTTGATCGACCTGCAGCTACCCCGGCTTCGATTAGTTATCTGATCGACCATGAGCTTTGCTCCTGCTCTTCGGCGTGGCCTGCATGGCAAGCCAACAACAAACTTCAATTGCCAGCTTCGATACTTTCCTACATCAGTTCGAGGGGTGTTTCCATTCAGCCAAAATGCTTCCATTGCGACTTCTGCCAGCTCGGCGGAGGCTGGGCAAGAATCTTTGCCCAAGCAAAAACAGCCATTGTCCCAAGAGCAGAGGAAATTCTTGGACAGTGCTGTAAGCTTCCAATCTTTTTATTCATGAAAAGCGATAGAATCTAATATTAAATTATTTGTAGCTACGCGTGAATCAAGCTGGAGAGCTCGCGGCAACGTTAATTTACACGGCACAAACCCCTCTAATAGTCAAGTCGCATCCCCAATTACGAACACTCATGAAGCACATGTATGATCAGGAGGTGGTTCATTTCTCCACATTTAATGAACTTCTTGCCAAGCATCGCATTCGGCCGACAGCAATGTATCCCATATGGCAGGCCGCCGCCACGGTTTTGGGATGGTCCACTGCAGTGATGGGACGAGAGGCAGCCATGGCATGCACAGAGGCTGTCGAGACAGAGATTGGCGATCATTACAATGGTCAGGTCAGAGAATTTCTCGCGTGGATGAAGGAGATGGAAGACAATGGCGAGGAAGTCGGTGAGGAAATCCGCGAGCTGGTGCAAGTCATCAGAAGATTTCGAGACGAGGAACTAGAGCATCTCGACCATGCCGTTGAAAATGATGCAAAGTTGGCACATGGCCATGAATTGCTAAGCCAGGTTATTCGACGGGGATGCAGAGCGGCCATCTGGGTCAGCGAAAGAGTTTAGAATTCCTTTCGTTTTATCACCAGCTGCGGCGCATTCGGCGTTATTGGCTTATGGAAACTCACACCTTTTGTACACTAGAGGGGATATGAAAATACTGACGGTAGCTGGAACTCTCTTTTAATCAACTTTTAAAAAATATTATTTGCTTAGTACAATAATAGAAGCGGTCGTTGACATCGTTTCAACCTATTACATCTTCCAAAGTCAAACTCGCAGCGCACCCGTCCTTTTTGCTTTCCGGTTCCTCCACCAAATGGGCGCATTCAGCGTCGCATGGCAAAGCATTCCAGCAATGAAGCCAACAGCGTCATTTCTAAAAGTGAGCATTCCTCCCACGGTCATCATCATGACCGCCCATCGTTGTCTGCGCTCCTCTTGATCTGGCTCTCGAAAATGCTTTTGGCCTTCACCGCTATCCTCCTCGTTCACTTCGGCATTTTCCCACAGATCACTTGCCGTGTTGTTCAAGCTCTCTCCAACCTTGGTAAGCTCAAGTCCCGCCGCGACGACCATGATCCCGAGAAGAGCGTGCGGAAATCGTTTCAACAAGTTCACCAGCCAATCTCCCGCTGCCAGTCCAAGAATTACTTTGATCACACCAAGAAAGATGACGCTTGCCCCTGACCGCGCACCAAATCGATACTGTGCCGCGAGCCCGCCAGAACCATGGCAGAGCGGCATAGCTCCGAACCACGGTCCGATCAGATTGATCAGGGCTACACTCCATCCAATATGCGTCGTCGAAGGGACGGGGACTTCGGGAAGGAGTTCTGCGGCGAGATAACTGACCGCAATGATAGAATTGAGAACAGTCAGAGGAAGTTGGCCGATGCCTGCGTATAGTATTCCTTCTTTCCAGTCCTTTGCGTGAGGCGCAGAGACAAAGCCGGGGAGCGGCGCAATTTGTCCAGTGCCGCCAGGAGACGCCTTAGCAGTAAGGATAATTCCCAATACCAGCCCAAGCACTGTTATCAAAAGCGCATATGGCGTGCGCGGGAACATGGATGCAAAGAGTAGAAAGACAAATGCAAATAGAGCCCAGAGTAAATTGTCCGCCCAGCTCGGAGATGTCCATCCCAGGGGCTGCAACAGAGAGCTACCGGCCGAGAGAATCAAGGACAGCCCAGCTCCGACCTGAATACCCTTGACCACGGGGATTGGTACGACCGAGGCAAGCCATTTCAGAAGACCCGTCAAACTGAGCACGCCAACAGCAATGCCCATGAAAATCCCCGCCGCTTGAGTCTCGCCAACGCTAAATGATCGCGAGAGGGCTACAGCGGCAATTGCTTTCATCGGCTGCACAGGTAGAGGAACTCCGAAAAAAACACCGGTGAGAATATTTGCCAGTCCACCCACGACCAACGAGGGCGGAAACTTGATAGACCCCGATATTGTCAGGGCAATGAGGAGTGGGAGCAATGTGCCAAGATCGCCGAGCGAGCCTGAGATCTCTGCTAATGGAGATGATCGGAAAGTAGACACATTATACCGATGCAGCCGCCGGATGTTTTGTGTGAATATCATCTTGGCGGTATAGAGCGAATATTGACCGAAATCAAAAGCTATGACTTTGCCGTTGGCAGTGTATACACACTGGGTGGGGCGGAAGGAGGTACTATCAGAGGACTCAAAACAGTGTCCGCGCAGCTAACACCTTGCCAGGCGATATAAAATGACAGTCGCAAAAGGTTTTAAGATGAAATCAAAGAAGGAATGAACAAAGCTCCAGATGAAAAGGTGCGGTGCCGTGGAGCGGATGCTTCGCCAGCTCCTCTGTATCACGCGGCTGCGGCTATCAGGCCTCCAGCTCTCAAGGCGGGAGCAAGTGTCAGCTGTGGGGCAATAAGAGGGTGTGCTACCACGCTGTACAATGCGTTTCTTTAATAATTCAAGCAGGAATTTGTCAGTTTTTAGAAGTGACTCCAACCAGTACGTTCGTATCTGTATGTCGTCCTAACTGTCCCAAATGTGCTGCTGTCACACTGTCATATATACCCGGAGAAGCTATAAAGCTTGCGCTTACGCCCAAGGCCCCACGATTTACAGGTCGCGGGTTGCAAGGAATATAAATAAGCTCGCTTTATCTGCACCGCAGGACCCTGGTGTTTATGGATTAAAGGGGCCGAGATTCCATCTCTTCCGCGGAGACTACTCCGAACGAGACCCCATTTTTGAGCCTTATCGATATCTTTGATTTTGGGATGATAATACTTCGTTATTCCGCGGCCCTGGCGGTCTCTGTCCGCTACAAGTCGCACGGCCTTCCTTTGTGCCACGTTGGGCTTCTGGTTTGTAAGGCTCAGATTAAGGTACAGTACTTCTAGTTCCCTGGCCTTGGTACGTCAAGTGGTAAATAGTCCACGGAAAATCGAATTCTGCGGACTCGTCAAAGTATCGATACTTTCTCGATGGGCACTACTAGCACAAGTGCCCAGAATAAGTGTAATCGTGTGCAAGGTTTTGTGGGTCATATACTCCAAAAAGTAGCTCGCTTTCAACAACAAGGTGCTGTGGTGTAATGGTAGCACGTAACGTTGTGGATTCACAGCGCCGTTCCAATCCCGGTTCGATTCCGGGCAGCGCCAAAGTCAAATCACTAACTCTTCGGAGTTTCTTTTTGCATTTTTTCCTTCCACTGTCAGTGGACCTTAATCGTTTTTGTTTCTTATTTTTTATTTTTTTGTAGATTGATTGTATTTTCTTCATGTGGATTGCAATTGAAATTCTTTTTGGTGATTGATTCACAGTGGAACTAATAATTGCCTTACATCTTTCTGTTCATTTGTCTTTCTATTTTTCTCAATATATTTTTTTGTTTGTTACTTTGCTTTGTTCTATTATATTTTGTAGAGTTGAGAATAAGAGTTAGCTTCGACGTATGAAAAAGTCTTCACGACACTATAAACCCACATGAAATAGCTAAATGTTTCAAACACTTCTTTCTATGCAGGCCTCATTCCTACTGTGTATGGAATCCAGATATGATGAATTACTAACAGTCTGACAGTCCTGTGAGTCCATGACTCTGCAACAGTGTTACCTGTGGCATGTATATCCTTGCATGTATATGCCCAAAGGAGAAGCTAGGCTGTATTGCATATTGTGACTCGTGAGTCTCATGACTTATGGTTCTATGACTCTATGATTCTATGGATAAGTGGATGCAGCATGAACTGGGTTCACAGGTCTAAATGTCCAACTGCACAAATATACAAATACAGAAATATACAAACAACAGAATAAGAGCCTGCTGCCTGTGGCTCTGCACAATTATACAAGACTCGAGAGACAGGACAAAGTCTACAGTCACAGTGAAATGACAATAAAAGACAATAAAAGATGATAAAAGATTAAAAAAAAAAAATGGGTAAAAGTGTGCCATGATTCTGATTCTTATTCTGATTCTGGTTCTGAGTCATGAAGCTAAGATACGGGCCATAGCCACGGCTAGCAGCTAGCAGCTAGCAGCCAAGGTAAGGTAAGGTAGATATGTTACATGTATTTCAATGACAACACACACACAGCAAAGAAAGAAAAAAAAAAAAAAAGACCGCCGTGTGACCCGCGTCGAAGCTGTTCATGCCAGGAACCCTACAGGTAGATGAAAGCCAGTGATAGCATGACATGCAAAGAAGACATGAGATGGAAAAGAAAAAAAAATGTAAATAAAAGAAAAATAAAAAAAATATGATAAAGGCCACGAAAGGCATGCCCTCACCGTCGGGTAGAATTTGAAAACTAGTGGAGACAAGAGACTCATGAGTGATGAGCAATATGCGATGGGTATAAGTATGATGAGCGAAGCTGAAGCTGAAGCAGCAATATGATGGTGCAAAAGAAAATAATGTAAAACTCCATCCGCTCCCACTCCCACTCCGATTCGTTTTGACTCCAGGTGTAATTCACTCCGCCGCTGGTTGTATCGATGATGAAGAAAAGCATAGTAAAAGAAAAGGAAAGAAACATTGGTCGAAGATAATAAAGAAGATATAAAAGAAGAGAAAAAAAAAAAAAAAGAAGAGCACAGCAAGAGTTGAGAGGCCGTAAAGCGTAAAAAAGATGAACTTGTCCATAAAGGGAATTCGTAAGTATGCTCACGAGAGAGAGAGCAATTGAAAAAAAGCAAATAACTTTTGTTGTGTTCCCGTGTGTTTGCCGAACCAAGAATGAAAACCGATCCGTGATAGCGAAAAGCGAAAAGCGAAAAGTACCGAATATTGATAAAAAAAGATTATGAGAGAATCGAATGTTGAAGAATAGAGAGAAAGTATCTGCTCTTTCGATGATGCAGTCCATACAACGTCCCTAAACGAGAGACGGATATGCCAAGCTCAAGGTAAGAGATCGGACAGGATACAGAGATCCAGAGATCCACCGAACGAGGTATCCGTCCTAAGACGAGAATGAGAAGAAGAGAGAGATAGAGAGAATGAAGTTGTAATGCTTCAGTCTATAATTCTTCGTCTTTAATTCGGACTTCCTCCCCACCGCGCTTGGGTTAACCTATCCGGAAGAAAATGTCCGGCCGAGACGTGCCCAGACGCCGCCATCGCTGCTGCTTCTGCGACTGCCGCTGCTTCCGCGGCGCTTGGAGCTGGTATTGCTGACGGCAGAGCTGGTGCTGCTGCGGCTGGCACGGGGACGCATCTCGTCGACGGTGTTGCCCGCGCCGCCGCGGCCGATGTGGTAGACGGGAGCGGCGCGCTCGGAGATGGTCTGCTGGCGCTGGAGTTCCTCGTCGAAGCTGAACAGAGCACGCTCGGTCTGCTGGTGCATGTTGCCGGCGCCACCGCGACCAGAGGCAAAGACGGAGCCGGTGGCGGGCTGGCTCAGGGCGATGCGCGAGGCAGGGCCCGAGGCCGAGTGCGGATCGGTTGCTTCTTTTGCATCAATGTGCACAATATTGCCGGCGCCACCGCGACCAGAGTGGACGTAGTTGGACTTGGGCACCGAAGGGTGCGGCTCAATCAACTTGAATGTCATTCTTTCTTCTTCTTCTGGACGATGGATGATGGGTGTCGGGATGTGTGATATTGTCCGTGCCAGTAGTAGATGGTTTTACTTGTATGTGGATGTGTGTATGTTTGCTCCGCTGGATTTGCTTTCCCTAAATAGTAGAGCAAGCAAAAAACAAGTAAATCAAAAGATGTTGAAGGTGGTTGAAAGGGCTTTGTTGTATATGTGTTTGTGTGTATGTGGGTGGCGGCTGTGGAGGGTTATATCCGGGATAGGTATAAGGTTCTCCCACAGGCAACAAAAGAATATCAAGGTGAAATATTGTATTGATATAGTGAAAAGGTTCTCGTCTCAATATTTGCAAGAGAGAAGGAGAATAAAAGTATAGCTTTGTATTAAGGAGTAAGATCCAGTAGCCAAGGCTAGGGCCTGTCAAATTTTATTTCGCGTCACAATACGCGGCTCCAAGGGTTTTTATAGAAAAGACCCCAGGAAAGCGTCAAAGAGTGGTAGGGGGGTCAACCTGGAATGAAAGAGAGAGGGGAGAATTAGGGGACCCAGGAAATGGGGATTGTGTGCGGGTCCTGCCATTGCACGCTTCTATGGTGCAATTTTCTCCCCCAAGTGCACAAGTCAGAGGCTTCGTCCAGGTCACGATGCCGTTAACTGAAGGTCGCTATGCAGTTAACGGCAGCGTTGGGTAAAAAGGGAGGTCACGCAGAGGAAGTAAAATGAGAGACTTTGCAGTTAACGGCAGTCGAGCCATGCAAAACTTGCAAAGACGAACGGACCTTAACCAAAGGCACCAAAGGCACCACCCAAACGTTGACGTAACTAGAAATGTGGGCTGCCCCGTTCTTGGCAGCTCTATACGGAGTACGGGAGTAGCAACTTACCCCGAATACCCAGCAAAGAACCACTGAGCACCAATAATCCAACCCATATGGGCTCTCCCTCGGCCGACTTTAGTCCATTCTTCAACTCATCCGTCTTTAGTCATCCCATCTTTTTTGTGGGGTCAAATGAGTTTAATATGGTAATGAAAAGCAAAACTCTTCACACTATTATTTACTCCTGGTCCCCGCCATTGGGTAACCTTGGCCCATCTCGATCAAAAAAGAAATAGATGAGGGGAGGAAGTACAAAGTTACTCCCCGTAAAGGAATCAAAGACGGTGAAATGAGAAAAAGTTTCGAGTTGAACCACCACGGGACTCTGGACTTGTTCTCGAGCATAAAAGCAGCTAGGAGCTAGGCTGAATTGAGTTTAATGACGTGCATTCTGGCTCGTGCTGGTACCTGAATATCCTTTTCTTTCTCTCTTTTTCTCTCTCCCACTCTCTTGTCTCCCGCTCTTCTCGCTGCATCCTTTAACTGTAATCAGGTAACACTGTAACTAAACATCCTTCTGAACCTTCCATTAAAGACCTGGAAAGATCCCACACCCGCTGTACTCTGCCGACACCGCCAATTGAGCCACCCTAGCCCAGTCCAGTCCAGTCCAGTCCAAATGCTCTCTTTTGTGTAATTTCATTGTTCTCCCCCAATACTATAATAATTGCTTTGAAACTACCAGCCTATACACATATGCGTACCACGAGTGCCATTTGCTCGGATCACTTGCCGCTCTAACATCCTGCACACCTGACCCGGCCCCGCGTCACTTTTCTACTTCTCCTTACCTGGAATTATTGCCACACTACTTTGTACACGAGTCGTGTCCAGTCGCCCACAAACGCCGACGACAAGCGGGTTCCTTGGTTGTGGTGGTACGTGCTGATGGATGATGCTGGCATCCCCGGGGCAGCCACCGCCAGGCACACACGCACACACCTTGGGAAGTGGAGTCTGGTCAGGGTTGAGTTTCCTGGGGGTAATGAAAATCCGGTCGACCAGGATGACTCGTCCGCCAACGACTCAAACGGGTCCCCGACGGGAAGCTCGGAAAACAAAAAGGGTCGCGCCATAACGTGCAAATTTTCGCAAAATCCAGCCCTCGTATGTTGCAATCAGTCATCCAAATTTATTGGTTGATCAATCTTAAAATCAATAAAGACCCAAAAATGCTACGGCACAATGTAATGTATCACCGAAGATCTCTCAAAATAATACGAAATTTCTCTCTCAACCAGTTTCCGCGGAAGGAACGGGAAATCGCCAATAAAGCCTTCATTATGTAACGTGAATCCGCACTCTTTCCTATTCAGTCAAGCTTTTTACCCGCCGAGGATGCGTGACATGTTTACGTAAGTCACACTTTTGCTGCGAACCTTGGTCGTTGACAGGACAAGCGGGCCCTTGGGCGCTCCCCGCAAGGTTGCCATTTCTTTTTGCCCCCATTTAGGCTCAGCGCTATCCGACACATGGAAGGCGGACGCGCTTCCCCGCAAAATGCTCCCTCCCCCCAGCCAGGCCATACGGCCCTGACTTTTCCCTCTTGCCATTTCCTCATCATTACTATTCCATGCACGATGAGGCTGGGTTTGTCTTGGCTTGAACCTCATTTCCTCTATGCCCCTTGCGGACGGAAAATAAGGGGGAAGGTGAGAGTGTGATGCGTGACGAGGCTGCCAACCCTTTTTATGGGGTCATGACGCCCGCAAGGACGACAATGGTGGCGTTTCTGCCACGATCCAGATGCTTCTTTGCCTGACGTACCACGTTTACCACTGTACGCAGAGAAAAGCACCACGCAATATGGGGCACTATTCTCATTGGTCAAAAATGGACAAAAGGAAAAAGAAACAAGCATTACCCAAATATTGTTTCTGCATACAGCGTGGACGCCAGTCTGCTTTTTCATCAGTGACATGCGTTCAATAATGAAATTCCAATTGGATCAAAATCACACAAGTCTTGGTTTTTCCAATTCATAAAGTACATACGTAAAAGCTTTCTCGGGACACTCTGGTGAGAAAGCGTTGAGAGAATACGAGGGGTTGGGCATTTGAGCCAGTGTACAAAACAGACGTAACTGCTCCTTCGGATATCATTCCGCCCCCGCCTTTTCAATTTCCCGTCTGATTCAGGTACTTTTTTGCTGCAACGGCCGCTGCGATTGAATTAGCCTCCCTGCAATGCTTGAACCACTGCCCCCGTAGATCCTCTTTCATCCCGTCTCACTTACCAATGATAATCAACAAGTACCTGATAATGCCTCCCTGCAAGCTCTTAGCACCGAGAGCCAGAATCCTCGTAAGGAGACTGATCTGAACTTGTCCGTCTCGATCGAAATTCGGACGCTCACCGCCGAGCAGTGCTAACTTCTCAAGCTTGCCCGCGTATGGCGGATACCGGAGGCTCAGCACTGACTCGAGCCAGGTCGGAGTTGTCGTAATACTCCGCCGATGCGAGAAACAGTCGAAGCTAGCTTTCCCGCGGTACGAACCCTGTCCCGATTCGCCGACCCCGCCAAATTCGAGTGTGGGGATGGAGCCGTGGAAATACGCACTTGGATATGCACGTCAGCAAAAGGCAATGCGCGGGGGAACGGCTGCGCATCTTTTTCGGATCTGTTCAAACTTACTCGTTTACAGATGCTCCTCCAGATCGAGTTTCCAAGAGTACTGAACCATGTTAGCGCGATCACTTTCCTAAAACAATGCAAGCAGAATCTGTTGTCATTGTTCCACTTACTCTTTTCTGTCTCCGTCTTGGTTCCGAAAGGGTACAATCCCAGCGGCGTGTCCTGCACCTGGTTGATAATACGAATGGCCTCGTCCACGTCGTTGACCGGCAATATCGGGATTAAGGGACCGAAGCTCTCCTCGGTGATCAAGGAATCGTTGACATCATCCACTTGAACCACTGTGGGCTCAATGAATCTCTCCGATTCGTCCGTTGCACCTCCCAAGAGAATCTTGCCTTTGGTATTGTCGAGCATGGCCTTGATCCGCTGAAAGTGTCGCTCGTTGACGATTCGCGCATAGTCGGTAGACGCCTTGACACCATGCGGGAAGAACTCCGCATAAGTAGCCTTGAGTTCACTAATGAACGTGGGAAGAACCTCTTTGTCGACGAGTGTGTAATTCTGAGAGATGCAAACTTGGCCGGCATTGACAATCTTGCCCCAGAGTAACCGCCGCGCCGCAATTCTTATATCTGCATTCTTCGTCACAATTGCTGGATTTTTGCCGCCAAGCTCCAGAGTGACTGGTGTCAGGGTTTCCGCAGCTTTCTTTGCGATGATCTTTGCAACGCTAGCGCCACCAGTGTAGAATATCTTGTCCCATTTTTGGTCCAAGAGCACTGTTGATTCAGCTACGCCTCCCTGAACCACAGTGTACGCGGAAGGGTCGAGGTAACCGGAGACAATCCTTTCCATCACAATTGCTGTGGCCGGGGCATTTTCGCTGGGCTTAAGCACAGCAGTATTTCCAGCAGCAATTGCGCCGATAAGTGGTCCTATACTCAACAGAAGTGGAAAATTGAATGCTCTGATGAATTATTAGCAAGTGTCTTCGAAGTGCTAATCTATGGCATGATGATGTTGCATACCCCAGGATCAAGACAGATCCCAAAGGCACCTTTCTGATTTTCGGACACAATGGCGCGTTCAGCAATGGGATATCCGGTGCCTTTTCATCCTTTGCCCATTCTCTCAACTTGTTGCTAGTAAACAGGGCATCGCCAGCGCACCAGCCAATTTCCATGATCAGCGCTTCGAAGGGCGGCTTGCCCAAATCTTGCTGAAGGGCTTTGATTAATGCCTCTTCATTGTCCTTGATGCTATTGTAGATTAGTCTTGTGGCATATACTTGATATACACTTATACGCGCCATGAAAGGTGAAAACTCATATCAAAAGATCAAGCCATGCAAATCCTTCCACGCCGAGGAGTGGGACCGTGATAAATTGACAGACAATGAAGAGCAGAAACAGAAAATCAACAATGAAACCATCAATAGCCACATGCAAACACAAAACATACTCGACACCACTCTCTCTGTAAACCAAATATATAGAGCACGAATCCCCATATCTCGAAAAGAGGATATCACAAATAACCGCAAATAACGAAAACACATATACTCACCCCCAGTACAGCTTTCGCAGCTGCACAAGCCTATACTCAATCGACTTGGTCTTGTGGGTATTGAAGAATGCCCTCTTCTCACTCGCGATGCGGGGAATGTTCTCGGCTGGGGTATATACCAGATCCTCTGCAGAATCCATTGCTCAATACTGAGACGCGGTGCTTCCAACAGGATCGTGTCGTCGCGGAAAACCACCACAAGAACGTTAAGGTGAACCTGACTAAGATACTTGAATAACAAAAATCGAAGTCCGCAATTGTATTTAATTCAATGATCACAAGATCAGCAAAACATGATGACCGGCTACTTGCGTTGACAGAAGCAGAGAACTCCGTAAACTGCGAGGCCCACTACGGTAAGCTCGCTCACGAACCAATCGAACCGAGGTCCGCAGGCCCCTAAAGCTCGGTTTCATGCAGAAGCGGCTGCTGGAAGGTAAAGACCCCGCTGTGTCCTCGTCCGTTTTTTAAGCGAAGCAGCTCCCCGGAGCTTGTTTATCTGCCTCAACCTCTCGTAAAAAGCGTGAACAAACCGGTGACGTTAACTCAAAAACACAAAATGTACAATTGGTACACGGCCAGATACTCTGTTTCATGAAAAGTAAAAGATTGTCTCAAAGACAGAGTATAGAAAATGGTGCCTAAGATAAGATCAAGAACGAGCGCGTAAATTCACCATAAATTAATGTGGCATGGGACCCCTCAATTATAAATGATCGAATTCGGAATTGAGTGAGGCAACTGCAGAGAATGCCGAATGAAAATACTACTACCTGGTAATTCCCAGGACTGGAGCTTGCTAATCCTGCAAGAAGCAAAGCAATGAGCTGACATGACTGGAATAGAAGAAGTTATGTATGTACAGGATGCGTTTTGTGCAGTTGGGAAAGGGTGCATTCGGCTGTGTTGGCGCTTCGAGAGAGACACTTTGTCTCTAAGCAGCCACTTTCACTGCAGACATGCAGCCAAGGACGCCACACCAGCACATCATAGGAGGTGACCCTACTCAATCAATTTGTGCGGGTTTGGCTCAAGAGATGACAAAGAAAGAATTACGGAACGTCCCCTTGCGCCAGGACTCCTGCATGGGTCTAGATGATCGAAATGACAAAAAGGTAATGAAAAGGCGCATATGAGACACCTATAATAGAATACAAAGTCGCTCAAGCTCGTCACAAATAAAGGAGATTGCTTGATATAATAACTCGCGTGAACATGGACAAGCCTGGGAAATGCAGGGCGCGATGGTTCCGGAAAGAAATTATGCAGATGCCGCCGAAGTTGCATGTCGTGTAAAAAGAATTCAATTCGCTAGGTATGAATGTCGTGATTCTCATGGCTTTTTTTGGAGGCAGTGATCGATGTGCTCCGCAATCACGTAAACTTAGTGTGAATGATGTCAGGATTCTCGTGCCAGTCATCGATACTAACCCACATCTACAAGAAACGTCAGCATACAAGCTCAATTCACGATGAAGATCGGGAAACCTAGCTGGGTTGCATACCTTTCTAAATGTGCTCAATCCTGCTAGAATGCTTCCACCGATCCATGTGCTATACTTTCTCTCTGGCGGTGCAAAAATCTTGATACGCATATCTTTCACCGCCAAACGTTGAATTTCGTGGAGCAATCTATCGCCAAAACCCTTGGTTAAAGTCGAACCGCCGGACAACACAATATTTCCATACAGGGCCTTTCGGAGGTCCATGTCTGTCCGATTGATTGAGTCGACTACGATTTGGTGGATGCCAGGATATTCAAGGCCAATCAGTTCCGGATCAAACAGGATTTCCGGTGCGCGGAACCTTTCAGCTCCAATCTGCATTCATAGTCAGTGCCATGTGACCCGCAAAAAATCAAACGCGTGGTCGGAGAACGCACCTTTAATTTGTTTCCATCCGGCAGGCTGTATTCAACCGTTTTATTCTCAGCTCTTGAACTGCTGCCCAGCCATTCTTTCTCCTCCTTCTTTGGATCCAAAGCCACATATCCGGTCTTCTCCTTTATCATGCGAACAACTTCTTTTTCAGCGCTTGTGTGAAAGACGTAGCCACTCTTGCGCAACAATGTCTGTAGATGTTCAGTGACATCCCTTCCAGCGATGTCAATGCGTCTAATGGCGCTTGGTACAGCAAAACCCTCGTACACCGGTACTGCATGTGACACTCCGTCTCCAGAGTCGAGAACAATCCCAGTTGTTCGGCCAGATGCATAGAGGGAGAGAATGGCTTGAATCGAAGTAAAGAGTGCAGGAACGTTGAACGTTTCAAAGAGGATCTGCGCAGCAGTATCACGATTCGTGCGAGGATTCAATGGAGGTTCGGTAAGCAAAACAGGGTGCTAAATGGAGCGCCAAAGATTCTCGTCAGCATTTTTTGATGGTCTCTCTGAGCGTTCAGCATCGTAAAGGCCTTGAACAATCTCCATGTCACCGCACTGCCCATACCTCTTCACTCAACGTCTTTAACTCTTCTGAATAGACGTATTGCCATATCCGTTCCATATCGTCCCAGTCTGTCACGATTCCGTGCTCCAAAGGGTATCTGATCTTCAGCAGACCTCGGAGCTCCTGAGCTCTTTGCCCGATGAAAACATCACCCTCCAGAGCTCCCGCCAACACTCTTGGATGCTTAGGTCGGCCAACAAACGATGGGAAATAGCATTTCGGAAGGTCATCTCCAGCAAAACCTGCGCGAATTGTTCCACTGCCATTGTCTAGCACTATCGGTGCATTGTGAAGATTATCAGCCATGATTGTGTTGTGGGTACGACGGATTCGCTGACGCAGGGATTCTAGTGCGACCAGGGTCGCGACTCAGGAGGACTTGCAGGTCGCAGGTTCGAAAGTTAGCCGGTGTCCTTTTTCTATCGATTATTTCCAATGGTAATGTTTTCCCGCGCCCAGAGCTTAATCGTTTATAACACTTGTTTCTTTATTCTGAGACGCGGTTTCCGGGAGACGCGCCGCTAAGCGCAAGGGTCCATTGGTTAGTCAGCGAAGCTCCTTCACTTAATTTAGATAAACCCGATGACTTCAACAGGGCAGAATGTAAACAAGCAAGTATACTGCAGCAAATATCGCTGCGTAGTATTTTAGTGACTTATCATGTATTAATTTACAAATAAACTGTGGATGGTGTGGTATGAAATGCTAAGAACGTAATATGGAAAAGAGCATACATGGAATGCCAGGACTCCACCTTGTCAAAATCTCAACCAATTTGAGATTCCCTAAAACGCCCATCTAAATGCAACCAGTCCTACAAGAGGAGACCTACAACTCATCAACAACGAGTTTCGACACCTTGTTTGCTGACAGTCAAATATTTCACACCCTTGTAAGGCTTTACGCCCTCTCCAAGCCCTTTGCTCGTTCTCGTATTTATAACAAGACTGTCCACTCTGATACCGCTTGGCAACCAGCCTTTGACGGTAAATGAGACAGCAGCGGAAGAAGGCATAAGTGTCTTGTTCAGCTGTATTCGCCTCAGATCGCGCTGCTCATTTTGCTTGGAAGACGCAGCATTATCTGTTGCGTTGGCCAGAGAAGAAGTCTGATAAGTATCCTCATTGTAATCAACCGTATCTGCGGTTAAACGGAAGCCGCTATCTAGATCATTGTCGTCGTCCTCGCTGAGTGGCCCGACAACGGTGCAACGAAGTGTGGCACCGCCTGTTCCGTTTGGCAGGACGGCTTCTTTGGCGGAGACTCGCCATTCAACCGCCTTGTCTCCAGGCGAATAATGTGCCTCGCCACGGCTTGCGCGGAGATCAGTAAGGTTGCGAACACTAGAAGGTATTGGGATGGTCACAACGATGGCTTCTAAAAGGGGTTGATTAGAAGAACCGCCAAATGCCGGAGAGGAATTTCCTAGGCGTGAGCTGATACCGCCGCCTCTAGCTCCAGCGCCGAGCGAGCCCGCAGTTGCGGAGCTGGGGAAGTTTGTAGACAGGAGCAGTCGCGCTTCGAAATCAGCCCCATTCAGACCTAAAGATGTCTTCATCTCAACCGAGGCGGGTAAATGTAGACTGGAAGCACTGTTCATTCCTTTGCCAGTTGTATTTGGCAGAAGATCGACCTCGTATCCAGCAAGCATGAAACGGCCATCGGGCGGTACGAAGCTCAGTACACCTGGTTGTTCTCTCCACCTGGCTAATCTAACGCAGGGATGAAAGACGGGAAGTTCAAGGGTCTTGTCCAACCCTGCCTTTCCACCAGGTGCTGTCAGAGTGAGTAACAGGTCAGGCACGCCAGATACCTTTGCTGTGCAAGCAATACTGCCGTTGGCGAAGGCTGAGAGGGGCCGCCCGGAAGGGGCGAGAATCACGGAAAGGGTCTCAACGATATCGACATATATTTCATTGGATGTATGTCGCACATTTGAACGGCGCCAAGGGAGCGCCGGAGTTGACGTCGAAGAGGGAGCAAGACCGTGCTGCCTTTGCAGCGACAAGCTCCCTGATGAGGACCCAAGCGCGGGGGAGGAACTGAGGATAACAATAACTGTCAATAGTTGAACAGCATAACACACGAAGGTCCAAGACATACACAGGAAGGCCGACACCCCCTAAAAGCTTTCCCACCCAGCCAGGCACATCCACAAAGTCTCTCAGGGCATTTGGTTCAGTATTGCAGACCGTACCCGCGTCACACATCTCCAGAAACAACTGCGCGACAACATCATAAGCCCCTTCAATCTTAGAGGCTAGTAATGGCGCACCAAGAAATTCCTCAAGGACATCAACAACCCTATGAAGGAATTCCAGTACTAAAAGCGGCTCGGTATCAACGGAAGCGGGCGAGATGAAGAGAAGCTGATCATGAATTAAGGAGAAGACCAGTGTGGGCGGGTTGGTGTTTGGAAGGTATATTAAAGGCGGGCGAGGCTCGGGATGAGCAAGATACAAAGGAAGAATATCTCGAGCTGCCAATGGCCTGGAGTAGTAGACATGCTCGAGGATTGGGTTACTTGAATCAGTCAGTTTCATCTGCAAGCGCCAGGGAACAACACGACTGAGATGGCTTGGGTAAATTACTTATGCTGGTCAAAGATGTATACGGCCTCAATTCCGCCGCTCATTCTTTATGCTGACTAGGGACTCGAGAGTTTATCTCGAGCATTCCTGCATAGAATTGCTGACAATAGCGTAAGTTGCTTGGGGTTTGTCGGTGTGCCCCGCGGAAGCTGCGCGAGTTGGTAAACGTTGGTTGGTTTGTAGTGTCATGATCCGCAACGCAGCGAAGCGCTGCCGATAGCGTCCACTCAAGAGCATCGGAGTTCTTGCTCCGACTTTTGTCGGGGTCCTAAACATCAACAGCTCCACCTACGAACAATACCGTCATCCTTCACCATTTAGGGTGTACTCCGCTGATTCACATCTCCTTTGATTCGAATATTCTAGTCCTTCCGACACTTGTGCGAAATGGGCCGTGACCCTTCCATCCCCACGCTGTACCAACTGGAGCAGCCAGAGAAACTGGAAAAAGTGCTTGAGCAAGACAAGCCAGAAGACTGTCTTCCCTGCAAAGTTATAGGTATCTACACTCTCTTGTTTGTTTAAAATTATCAACTCATTGCTCACTCATTATTTTTTCAGGTTCCGGTGCATTTATCGGTCTTGGAGCCTACAGTTACTTTTCGGGTCAAAGTCAACTGCGCAAACAGCAGGCAGCGATAGTAAAGAGTGGATCAATGTTTGGCATGCGCTCCCGCCAAGCGGGCATCACTACAATAGCCACCGTCCTAGTAGGCATGGGAGTTTGGCGGCTGACTCACTAAAATTTCTGGGCATATAGCCGCGCAAAAGCATATACATTAGAGGGAGGATCGTTTTGAACCGCCATGTACAGTATATCTAATAAACATCTGGGGCGTCACGGAGTTCAAGAGATTGGAAATTCAGAAAGGCTCCCACTTCACTCATCTTATATCGCAATTAGTCGATTATCTCCAATAGTCAAAATTTCATTTCGGCATACGAAAGGTATCAAGCTATATCTAATGTTAAGGTGTTGGTAGAAGCGAAATGTGCCGCTCTCCAAAAAGTAGAGCAGATGACTAAATATACGGATCTCGGAAGGAAAAGGAAATGCTTCAGACGATTCCCATAAAGATACAGTCAGCGAAGACTAGACCCTCTCATCGTTATAAAGCTGTCCGCCTCCTCTAATATGGTGGGTTATGATATGATCCATAATGCAATGAGAACAGATGATATAGGAAAAGAAAAGCAGCTATACCAGACCCTGAAATGCTGAAAGACTCCGTAAATGCTCAGTGGCCCTCGTCGAGCATCTAAACAATCCGAAAAAGAAATGTACAAAGAAATGCAATGATGCCGTATTATATGAATCGACCTCTCTTACTGCTCCCGATTCCCTCCTTTCCGCTTGTGACGCTGCTAATGTCGAAGAATTCACCGAAGGGAAGTCTCCGTTTGGAGCCGGCACCGCTTCCTAGACCGGTCGATGAACCCGGGGGCCTCGTTGCGCTGCGGGAACCATGTGCCCCAAATCTCGTCACCGGCCGATTGTGGCGTGGAAGGACTTCGAGCGTAAATGAAGGTGCCGAGGTCTGCTGAGCAGTAGCCTCATCGGTTTTGTCCTCAGAAGTCTCAGTAGAGTCCTGCGAGCCATCCATAATGATCTCTTCGGGGTAAGGATGACCCGATCGAAATGTAAACATTTCGAAGTTTCTTTGCGCTTCGGACTGAGTTTCATGGGTTGCATTGGTAGTAGATGGCGGTGCTGACTCCGTCCGCAGCGGAGGTTCTGAAGTCGTCTGTTCTTGGTTCGAAACATTCCGACCCGACATGCGTTGTACTGCCGGAGAGGATGTCCTCACTGGCTTGTCGGTCTCTCGCTCGTCATCACTGTCCACCCCGGCTTGCGGCCGACTGCCATCCAGCCGTTCAGTGGCCCACTGTCGAACTCTCCAACCTTCACCATCACCGAGTCCCAGATTCTCCTTATCCAGAAATGACAATAGATCATCTAGTGCATCTTGATAACCTTCTTGACGAGCATGGGCTTGGTCTCCGGCAGCGGTTTTGTAGAGATTGGTGACCGAAAGGGCAGCCGATTTAAAAGCTTGCAGTAGATCCTCGGTCGGGTGTAGAGCCTGTGGACGAGGTGACGAAGGCTGAGGGAGGGATGTGTTTAGGCTCCTCATGGAATCCATGATGGAGATTTTGCTGCTGAATTGACCGTAGCTTTATGAGAAAAGATTAGCAAAGCAGACAAAGAGTAGGTATCGAGGGAAAAGCTTACCTAAAGGCGCTTTTGTAACCCTTTGATACGATTTAATAGGTATCTTCTTGCCCTGATCTCGAGGAAGCGTGTATCCCAAGTAGGTAGAGAAAATGGCTGGCAGCAAGATCCGCTAGATGGAAAAGCTATCGTCAAGTGCAACCAAAAGTCAGTTGAAGTGGCAGAAGTCATCAAAGTGGATCCCCACCATCAACGGTTCGCTTTAGTGGCGTAGAACGTTCGAAGTTCGCTTTGGCCCCATACTGCACTGTACTTGAATCCCAGTAGGTGACTGTACGGAGTTTAGTGACTACGGCAATACTAGAATGCTACGGGGTGTTAGATAGACCCGTCACGCTGCGCCTTCACGTCCTGCAGTGACAGAAAGCGCGCTAAACCCCATCAGAAGCGCTCTCTTCGCTTCAGGCACAATCGACTACCCTTTCGCTTGTTGCACAAATAAGCGCGCGTGGATTGACTCTCTATCTTAGCGTTCCCTGGTTACTCGCAAACTGTAAGTTCAATACGCGACTTGTCTACTTGAACGCCTCTGCTCTTTCATACAACCCCCGACGATTTACCACAGATTTAAGCCTTCGCCCGTCGCACGCACTTGCAGGAGATTTCATAGTTGCCCGAACGGAAAGAACTCAGGATCTGTGAATTTGAGTCTTAGCTCTTTCGAAGTTGAGGAGTTCTATGGGCAGCAGCTTCTAGCCAAGGCGGTCTAATTTCAAACGCGCGACTGTGACCCTTGTTGAGGTCAACGCATAATGGCGCCTTCTTTGGATGAACGGACAGAGTCACAGGATGTCTCTGACGTGGATACCCAAATGGCGGATGCGCAAGACGTTGCGATAGATGATTCTCATATTCAAGGCAGAGACGGTAGCATGATTGTAAGAACTTCATCCACTTCTCCCTGAAAATGCGTAGCGGACAATCGACTTGGGTTATGTAACGGGAAGTTTTATGAGCGCTAACTCATCAATTAGGATACTCCGGACTATACTGTAAGTCGTCAGGCTAGAAGAAAGGCGATAGGTCGCGCAACTTCCCACGAGGGCATACTGATATCAGACTTATCAGGACTCCGATACCAATCCCAATACCACAGCGAGCAGTGTTGCCGGGGACATTCCTGAAGATGGACGCAGACGTCGTTCTGAAGCGACGGAGCTGAGAAAGAGTGTGTTTGGCAAGAAACATAACCGCCTAGACGAAAACAAGGTAAGACTCAAATTCTCTGCGTTGATTGTTCGGAGCTCCAATATCTAACACGAAACCGTAGGAGGATGACTCGGTTCGTCGATTTCGATATCTGCTTGGCCTTACCGATCTTTTCCGCCACTTCATAGAAACCAATCCGAACCCACGTGTAAAGGAAATAATGGCCCAGATTGATCGTACGGCCGAGGAAGCACACAAAAGGGATAAGCGAGGCCATGCTCGGAGCGGTGGAGCGGGCGGAGAAAGACGACGGAGAACGGAACAGGAAGAAGATGCGGAGCTTCTTAAGGATGAGCGACAGGGAGGTTCGGCAGAGACGGTCTTCCGAGATTCGCCTGGTTTTGTCAAAGGTGAAATGCGAGACTACCAAATAGCTGGCCTGAATTGGCTTATCTCTCTCCACGAAAATGGCATCTCTGGAATCCTTGCGGACGAAATGGGTTTGGGAAAGACTTTACAGACCATCTCCTTCCTGGGTTACCTGCGACATATCTGCGGCATAACCGGACCCCACCTGATTGCCGTTCCCAAGTCAACGCTGGATAACTGGAACAGGGAGTTTGCCAGGTGGACCCCAGAGGTCAACGTCTTGGTTTTGCAAGGCGCAAAGGAGGAAAGACATCAACTCATTAACGAACGGCTGATTGACGAAAAGTTCGACGTTTGTATAACGAGTTATGAGATGATTCTTCGAGAAAAGTCGCATCTTAAGAAGTTTGCATGGGAATACATCATTATTGACGAGGTGAGTACTCCATGTTCCTCTCCGCCTTGGCCGCAAACCGAGTTCTAATCCTTTCAATAGGCGCACCGCATCAAGAACGAAGAATCGTCGCTCGCGCAGATCATCCGAGTCTTCCATTCCCGAAATCGTCTCCTGATTACCGGAACCCCTCTTCAGAACAACTTGCACGAACTCTGGGCGCTGCTCAATTTCTTACTTCCCGATGTCTTTGGAGATTCTGAGGCGTTTGATCAGTGGTTCTCTGGCCAGGATTCTGATCAGGATACCGTCGTACAGCAACTTCATCGGGTTCTTAGGCCCTTCCTTCTCAGACGAGTTAAGAGTGACGTCGAGAAGAGTTTACTACCAAAGAAAGGTAAGCCATTTCTTATCCTGCATGTACCCTTCCCTAGCTCTAATGTTTGCGCACAGAGATCAACCTGTATATTGGAATGTCGGAGATGCAAGTCAGATGGTATCAGAAGATCCTCGAAAAGGACATTGATGCTGTTAACGGTGCTGCTGGTAAACGGGAATCGAAGACGCGACTTCTCAACATCGTCATGCAGCTCCGCAAATGTTGCAACCACCCCTACCTATTTGAAGGAGCGGAACCAGGACCACCTTATACGACGGATGAGCACTTGGTCTTCAATGCTGCGAAAATGGTCATGTTGGACAAGCTACTTATACGTATGAAGAAGCAAGGCAGCCGAGTCCTGATTTTCTCGCAAATGAGTCGACTGCTTGATATTCTTGAGGATTATTGCGTCTTCAGGTCGTTCAACTATTGCCGTATTGATGGGTCTACCGCTCATGAAGATCGAATCATGGCCATTGATGAGTACAACAAGCCCGATTCTGAAAAGTTCGTCTTCCTGCTCACAACGCGCGCTGGAGGCCTTGGTATCAATTTGACGAGTGCCGACATCGTTGTTCTCTTCGACAGTGACTGGAATCCTCAGGCCGATCTACAAGCGATGGACAGAGCTCACCGTATTGGTCAAACCAAGCAGGTGGTGGTTTACCGATTTGTTACCGAAAACGCCATTGAAGAAAAGGTCTTGGAACGGGCTGCTCAGAAGCTCCGCTTGGACCAGCTTGTTATCCAGCAAGGTCGCGCCCAACAGCAGGCCAAGGCTGCTGCATCCAAGGATGAATTGCTTGGTATGATCCAACACGGTGCTGAGAAGGTCTTCCAATCAAAGAGTGGAACCGGCGCCAGTGGAGAAAATAATGAGATTACCGATGAAGATTTCGATACAGTTATGCAGCGCGGAGAGCAAAGAACTGCCGAACTCAACGCTCGATATGAAAAGCTTGGCATTGATGACCTTCAGAAATTTACTTCAGATTCCGCGTACGAATGGAATGGTGAAAACTTCACTAACCGAAGAAAGGAGATCGGTATCAACTGGATCAATCCTGCCAAGCGTGAACGCAAGGAACAGTCTTATTCGATGGATCAATATTACCGTCAAGCGCTTTCGACCGGAGGCCGCACTGCCGATACGAAACCCAAGGCTCCGAGGGCGCCAAAGCAAATTGCTATTCACGACTATCAGTTCTTCCCTGCCCAGCTCGTAGAGCTACAGGAGCGCGAGACTGCCTACTTCCGCAAAGAGATTGGATACAAGGTGCCACTGAATGATGATGAAGAAGTTGAACTGGAGGAACGTGAGGCAGAACGCGATTTGGAGCAAAAGGAGATTGACGAGGCTGTTCCACTCACGGAGAAAGAGCAGGAGTTGAAGGCATCCTTGGCCGAAGAGGGTTTCGCACACTGGTCCCGAAGAGACTTCCAGCAGTTCATCAACGCGTCAGCCAAGCATGGCCGGAAGTTCTACGGTGATATTGCCGATGAAATGGGCGGCAAAACTGAAGAAGAAGTGAGAGACTACGCACAGGTCTTTTGGGAGCGATACACGGAGATTCAGGACTATCCCAAGTACCTTGCCACGATCGAAACAGGCGAGGAAAAGGCCCGGAAGATGAATCACCAAAGGAAGATGCTCCGGAGGAAGATGGAGATGTACCGGGTCCCTCTTCACCAACTGAAGATCAACTATTCGGTTTCAACTACCAACAAGAAGGTCTATACTGAAGAGGAAGATCGTTTCCTCCTTGTCATGTTGGACAAGTATGGCGTCGATGGCGAAGGTATCTATGACAAGATCCGCGACGAGATTCGCGACTCGCCCATGTTCCGCTTCGATTGGTTCTTTTTGAGCAGGACGCCTGTCGAGATCAGTAGACGGTGTACCACTCTCTTGACCACCATTGCCCGGGAATTCGAGGCTGGTGACTCCAAGGTAAACGGCACGACCAAGGGACGAGGCCGCGACCGAGAGGAAGAAGATGAGGTTGAAGAAGAAGAAGCCGCTCCACCAAAGAAGAGGGCCAAGAACGGCGTCAAGGTAAGGCATTTGACTTCTCAATAATGAGGATACATGTTTACAAATGGTGGCAAATACAGAACAAGCAGCTTGACAATGTCAAATCAAACACCCCAAGTAAGGCCACTTCAGCTTCCAACTCTCGTGCGGGAAGCGTTACCTCCACTGCTTCCAGCACCCCTGCAAAGGGCAAGTCCAAGGGTAAGAAGAAATAAGTTCAGCCTTCAACCTATGAGCATGGCTGCCTCGAGCCAACTTCGTTCTCACAGTGAAACTTGAATTAGTCATTGCGCATCATTATGTCATTAATATCATGTTTGAGTTGAGCGTTTCGATAGGGAGCTTTTCGGTAAAGTTTTTTGGGAGCGTTTTGAATTTCCTTAATCTTTCTCTTTTTACATGCAGGTAGTGGAACAGGTCGAGCTTAAATACCGCTAAATTGGTATTGCGCGCGGGCGTTAGCTAAATACGAGCTTTTAAAACTAAAATACGACATATACCATTACGTCTATATGCTTTCTAGAAGGCGAAGCAATACATGTCAAGAAATACACGTGTCGAGATTGAGTTCCTCATAACGTGATCATTTAGCTCTGTACTGGTCCAGTGGCAGATCATAACATATAAACAGCTGCGTTCACTTTCTATCCTGTACACCACTATATCACTTCAACATCTTGGGCAGCCGCCTTTCTCCGCCCTCTCTTTTCATACTTAAGTGTCAAATAGGCAAAACTAAAGTCATCTATATCTCTCCTGTAGACTCTTCATTTTATTTTCGCTCCAATGCACTTTCCGCCTGCGAGCGCGTATCAGGATTCTCTTCGCCCTGATCAATCTCTCCTACAAATCCATCTTCCAGAATCGGAATCAGTTCGTCTAGTCTGTTACGCCGTCATGCGATTTGTCAGTTGGACCGCCAACACAACATTTACATAAGTGAATACATGACTGCAGGGTATAGAGAACTAAGACCGAGGACTGTGTGGGGAAGGAAGGGGGGGGGGGGGGGGGGGGGGGGGAGGTGGGAAGAAGGAGTAAAGAGTTATGGGGGATGGAAAAACATAAATAAGTCGCACCTGGTAATACATAAATCTGTATGCTCATGTTTTGCCAAATGCGCATTGACTTCGTTGACCAGCAACACAGTGGCAGCCCCTGCGCGGTATCCCGCCGTCATGTCGTCCATGCTGTCGCCTACCATGATCAGGCCGGTGCCGCCGTCGGATAATGCCCAGCTCTGCGCAATGTGCAAGATACCAGCAGGGTCGGGCTTCGGGGGACGAAATTCGCGAGTGATAATGGGATGGAAGACGTGCCCATTAAGAAATTTGGTGATGAGGTGGCTCACGGGTTTACTATGTTGCGTTTGATGAGAATGTTTAGTGGGGCAAGATATATGGGGTAAGGAATTAATACAGAGAAGGAGATGTAGATGAAATGAAATGAAAAAGAAGAGGCATACTCAAAATTCCGCGTGCAGATCCCCTTTTGCACTCCGCGTGAGTCAAGGTACTGCATTAATTCAACGAGTCCGGCCTGCGGCTTCTGCGCGAGCATTGCTCGTCCTTCAATCTCCTGGATTGCTTTCATGGCGTTGTTTTGCTGCTCCAGCGTGGGGAGAGAGTATATGTGTTCGAGAATGTCGACGCTCTTGGGAATGCCGAGTGCTCCTCTGTTTTGTGAGGTCTCAATTGTAAGTTCTTTTTGCTTTCTGGGTAGGAGCTCTGAGGAGGTGATGTTGGTAAACTTTTGCATACCTCATTTCTTTGAACATGTATGTCTGTGGTTCACTATACAAAACGAGAGAACTTAGCTGGAGCGCAGGAAGAAAAAAGGGTATATCTCGTAGCACAGTAAAAGCATGAGAGATCAAAGATGTGCATAAATAGACCTCCGTAATGGCGGGTTGTATCTTGAAGCATGAAGTATGACCTGGAGCATTTTTTTCTACCCCTTTTTCCTTTCCTTTTTCCTTTCCTTTTTGCTTCCTTGGAACATTCCATATAACTCGCTAACAAATGAAAGCATTCCAAATTTTAGAGGTTCGAATTAAAGAGTTTCGAAAACGAAAATATAGAGAGGCGAGCGGGTCCATGAATACCAATCAATGCTGTGTAACATGAGACGATAGACGAAATGTACAAATACGACATCTTCAACATAACTCGAACTTGAATTTCCCAATAAAAAGAAATTGACAAGATAACAAGCAAAACTCACCATAATGTACCATCAACATCAAATACAATCCCCTGGAGCTTCGGAGCGTCCGATGCTCTCCCCTTCTCGGGTTGCAGGGGAGCAAACCGCCGAGGTCGCCCGGGCTTTTCGAATGGCATAGAGGGATATACGCGGAAATATTTGAAAATAGGTACTTGTAATGATAACAGTCTAGACGTCATGGAAAGCCTTCAGCTGGCTCATGTCTTTCGAGTTCTATATGAGGTTTATTTCTATCATAGTGGGGCAGTTGTCATGTTATGATAGATGCGGAGTACGGTAGCGGCTTCTATGCGCAGCCGTATTTATCAGTATATCTTCACGATTAGACTTTCTGCTGCCCGTAGCGTGCATCGAGAGCCATAAGGGTTATCCTTGCATGGCGAACCACGTGGTAGGTATGGACAGGGCTGCTTACCACCACTGCCTACTGATGGATCCTTTAGGCTTCAACATGCAGGTGCTTGGGTGATAATCAAGTGGCAATTCTTGGTGGGAATTATAGTTATTATGTGAATCCTTACTTTTCCGGTGTATCGAGTATTTTGTGGACGAGCTCAAATAAAGACCATCATACGAAAAAAAAAAGATAAAATAAAAAACAAACAGAGTATAAATAAAATACCCATGTTTATGCCTCAAGTCACATAGAAATCTCCACCGAGGATTATGAACCAAAAATTCCATAACAAGAGCGTTATAAAAAATAAAAATGGAACAGAAACTTGTAAAGGTAACGCGCTGTAAAAGTTCAAACGCAAAAAAGAAGCAAAAAGAATTGGCGTTGCCCGGAATCGAACCGGGATTGGAACGGCGCTGTGAATCCACAACGTTACGTGCTACCATTACACCACAACACCTATTGGATGATTGGTTGTTTGAAGGACGTTTAAAACTTCATATATTCCATTGAAATCAAATAACAAACCTTACTATTCACCGTCGCTGGAGCTAACATTACACATATTGTCAACCCTGAAGGGTAAAGACCGCATTCATGTGTAGAGATTATAATAAGTATTTATCTTTTTATCATGCATATGCTTCATATTGTAAATATACTTTACTTGACCTCGCCATCTGTCTCAACAACATAGACCTCAACGTCTTGCTCATCTTGGTCACCATAATCCTCATCGTCGTCGTCGGTTTGGGCTTCCTCCGGAGGGACTCCAAACCTCTCACAGTCGAAAAAGGTGCCTTCAACATCATCCCACTCACCGGCTGCTTCATCATCTGGGAAGAAAAGGGGCTCCGTGATATCGTCCTGTGCTCCCCTAGATATCGGTATCGGCAAAGAATATGGGATAGACTTCCCTATTCGCGGCTTTACCGCTAGATCTAGACGGGACTACGGATTGCATAAGTATTGACGCTCTTCTAGTGCAATGTGAAATAGAGCAACTCACGTTCGAGCCAATTCTCTTATTGAACCATAAGCCAGAGGCAAAGACAACTTTTAACTCATCCCCCTGGAATGAGTGGACACGTTAACAATGAACCCGTTGAGTTGGGCCAACCTATGTCACTCACCTTGCCTTCAAAATGGTTCCATCCTGAATCGCTCCTTCCCTCATACCAGCCTGCATGTGGCCCCAGCTCGCCGATGCCCGTCATACCAATGTCGAAACCTAGAAAGACTTCATTTGACGGGTTTTGCCAAGCGGTCAGGGAACATCTAGCCGTGGCATAAGTCTGCGTGACGACAAATATGCCGTGTGACTTGATTTCCTCTGCAAGTGGACCATGCAGCAGGGCCCGGCCATTTTCCTTAACCCAATTGCGAAAAGGCGATTCATAGTAAAATGCTTCGTGAATTATCGGGGCTGCGGTGACCAGAACTGCGCCGAAATCAGATGTCATTTTATACTTTAACTGTACACTTGCTTGGGCCGGCAAAAGTGTCAAAGCTCCACTGCAGTATCATCCGTTGTGAGCATTCTGGATGCCGTTGAAATTTGCAGCTTGAACTCAAGGTGCCTTACTCGACGCCACCGGAGAAATCACCAGTGTAAGAATTTACTTTTGTGGAGACCTTCGGTCCCCATCCCTTGATCTCTTCTCGTGGTGCCCGGGAGAGTTCACCGGGCTCTTTGAGGTTGCGACGCTTTAGAGCATCCTTGTTGGTCAAGTCGGTGATTGGATTCCAGAATCCTGAACCGTCAAAATACCCCACGGAGCCAGGTTTCAAGATCGTATTTGAGGTTGGTTTGTACAATGCAAATCCAAAAGGGTGATTTTTCATGCGCTCAGCGTATGTCAAATGAAGAGGCCCCATATTGGACAATCCTGGTTAAGTGACAGGGAGCAAGTGGTGAGGCGTCCCTGAATATTATACGGAGTAAGCTCTAGGCAACCTCACAGTTGTCTTGGAAGTTGGGAGCGGTGATAGCCAAGTGACCAATCAAACTCCCCGGCAAGTGTCCAGCTGAGGCTGCAAGCGCCCCGTCCCCGCACAGGAATCAATCGATCGACCGGAAAGACAACCCATAATAAGTTACTGGAACGGCTGAAAATTCAGAGAAACCTTGAACGCTTTGCAAAAATAACAATAAAGAGCCTTTTTTTTTCTGTCTTTCGCAATAGCCTATTATTATTCCGGTTTACAACTTTATGCTAGAGATCTCACCACAGTTCTGCTCGTGCAGTGCGATTTGACTGACGAAGTTGCGCTTCTTTCGGATTGTCGATCACGACTCTTCCCTGTTGTCAACCCCCAGTTTCAAGGTTGCTAGGGGATCTAAAAAGCGGGTACAGTACTGCGCTGTGATGCAATCGTTCCATGGGAGCTGGGAGCAACTAACGAGCTGCCAACAGGTATCAATTGGTTACTATTGGCTCCGCAGTAGTCTCGCCAACCGGCGCGTTTAATACGAGTATCATGTCGAATCGGGAGAGGTTGGATCTCCGGATCAAATTTTTGGCCAAGATCTTGAAAGATGAAGCACAGAGGTTGTTGGCAGGGTTGGAGACACCTCCGGCCTTTAGGCTGGTCGATCGGATGATCCTTGGTCAAGCCGTCTTCCTTCGCTACCGGACGGGCACCGACAATGACTTTGGCGACTCGAACATAGCTATCGATGCCTTAAAGTCTGCTCTCACGTGCATTCCTATTCCAAACTCCAACAAAAACGATTCCCTTGCAGCATTTGTGCACTTTAAACTTGGTAATGTATATCTCGAGCGGTTACTACGAACAGGTAGACGCCGTGATGCAGACGATGCCGAAACACATTTTAAACAAGCAGTGGGGCATAAGCGCAGCCATTTCAGGGTCATTGCGAACCTGGCATGGATTTGTCGATATAGGTATGAAATGACAGGTACAAAAAGATTTCTGGAAGATGGGTTGCAGCTAGTGGAAAATGCCATTGTTCAGGCTCCGTCGGACCATTCAGCCCTGCCTTTTCTACTCGAAGCGTGCGGGTTGATTTTACTGTCAAGATCCGAGCTAGATGGCGCAACTCAAGATCTGGATCTGGCTATTGAGCTACTTCGCACCTCGGCCAACCTCTCAAGCAAAAAGAGGAATGACCTCGTGAGATTTCATTTGAATCTCAGTCAAGCTTTGTGTAAACGTTTTACCATATCCGAACAAAAGCCTGATTTCGACCAAGCTGTCTCGGAGCTCGAGACAGTCATCGCGGTCCCTGACAAGCTTCCTCGGGATATTGCTCTTTGTTATGCTTTTCGAGGATCATTACTTTTGATCCAATTTTCCTACTGGAAGGACAAGAAGGATCTCGAAGAAGGCTTGCGATCTGGTGTTGAACTTGTTCGCGCTCTCATGAAGCACGGCCACGTTCCTACCATAAATGACATGTTTGTGACGATCGGGGAGGTCATGAGGATCCGATATTTTAAGCTTGGCCATAGTGACAACCTTTCTGAAGCGTATGCTTGCATTAAAAAAGGTTGCAACAATACACAGCTGCGCTCTTCAGACTGGCGAAGCCGACGTGTTGAAACATATGCATTGTATTTACTTGGGATGGTACAGCGGAATCGATATAACAAGTTTGGGAGCCCGGCTTTTCTTGAAGAATCCATTTCAGCCTTTCGCCTATCAGCTGCAATCACCAACCCACATCATGCGAGCTTTGCAGTGCGGGCTTCTGAATTATGTGATGTTCTTCGAAAGAGATACGAGGCGACCCACGCAAGCCCAGCACAAAGGAAAGCCGATCTCGAAGAGGCGTCAGCATGGCTTGTTCGAGCTCTGCGAGCGCCCATGCCCCCGTCACCCAGGGACCGGGCCAGGTTCGCCATTGAGATTGGACACTATATTTGGGAGGCACAGAAAGCAGGGCGAAACATTTCTGCCGTCGACAACGCGCTCCACAACTATGAGAAAGCAGTTGAATTTGCTACGACGGAGTTCGACACTCAGATCGATGCCTGGCACAATCTAGCAAAGGCATATATTATGAAGGGAGATCTCTTACACGATATGAAAGCCTACGAAGCGGCCTCCGACCAGGTGAAACTGATTGAGGAAAGCATGGACAAGATGAAGGAAAAAGCTACTGGCATCATGCCAACACAGGCTCGACTTTATACTGCGCAGTATAAGCTTTCAGGCGAAAAGCGTCATGGAGAACAAGCTATCGAAGTGAACTACAAAATCTTCAATAATTCAAGATATGACCTGCGCGTCAAGGTACAAGCTGCCTTGGAGAACGGTAATTTAGAGCGCCAAGTGAATTCAGACACGAAGGCTTGCGCAGAGGCAATAGCAACTGCAATGGATTTGATGCTTAGGTATACTTCAGAAGGCTACAGCCGCTCAGATCAGCTGAGCGTCATCCGAGAGTATTCAAAACTTCCCAACCTTGCTGCGCTCGCAGCTGTCCTCGCGGGAGGCGACGTTCTCCAAATAGTACAGATTTTTGAGAAAGGCAGAAGTATTATCTGGGATAGATTGCTCTCCTGGAGAAGCCCAGTTAATGAGCTTCGTGAAAAGCAACAAGATCTCGCGGACCGACTTGTCGAAATTCGGAACAAGCTCTTGCGCAAAGAAGAACGCCATCGAATCTTCAATGATGTCGAGTTAGATCGATTCCAACTCGCCACTGAGTACGACGAAATTATGATAAAAATTCGATCGCAGGAAGAATTCAAGGACTTTTTACTGCCGCCGAAGACTGTTGAAAAGCTCAATGCGCACGCAGTCGACGGACCAGTTGTTATTATTGTTCCCGGTGCTGTAGCTGTGGCGTTGATCATAACTTCCGCCAAATCTTTTACTCTAAATCTGCCCAAATTCGGCGACGACCAGTGCAACAAAGCTTTTGAATCTATACAGAAAGCTCTCTCAACTAGTGATTCTGGAATGATGCATGATTTATTGAGATGGCTCTGGATTTCTGCCGCTCTGCCCGTTCTTGAAAGCCTGGGCTTCCATGGGCGTCGAACCCCGGACGAGCAGCTACCGCGGCTTTGGTGGATCACTAGCGGCTTCGTCAACCTCCTTCCACTACACGCAGCGGGCGATCACGAAAAGGCAGCAGAGATAGGAGAGCCATGTACTCTTCTCGACCGAGCCATCTGTTCTTACAGCCCAACGCTCAAAGCATTGTCTTATGCGAAAACTCGAATGCGAGATCTCGTATCCAGGAGCAGGAAAAATAATGCCAATCGATCGGTATTACTAGCAGCAATGGAAACAACGATGGAGAGGAAACCCTTGCCGAACACTCCAAAGGAAGTGGATGCTGTTGCTTCTATTCTGGGAGCCCAATTCTCAATCAGGAAATACATCAAGCCGCTTCCCACCAAGAGAGACGTTGTCCTTGGGCTGAGACAGTGTACGATAGCTCATCTGGCTTGCCATGGCGAAGTGAACAACCAAGATCCCCTCAAAAGCAGAATATTACTTGCTGATTGGGGTCGCTGCTCTCTGAATGTAAATTCTCTTATGAGAATGACCATCTCAAACTGCCAACTTGCATATCTATCCGCGTGCGAAACTGCGGTCAACAGGGATCCCGCATTGAGAGACGAGGGTCTGCACCTGTCAGGTGCATTTCAAATGGCCGGCGTTCCGAACACCATTGCTACTTCGTGGGAAATCATGGATATCGAATCCGTTCAGGTTGCAATTGACTTTTATAATGGACTGAAGGGCCCAAACGGAGAAATTGACGTAAGCAAATCCGCTGCTTCTCTCAATTCTGCGGTGCTGCGTATGAGAAACGCAAAACTGAGTCCTCTTGTCTGGGCCGCCTATATACACTTTGGCGTTTAGATATTGTCACCGTTGTGTCCATCTATATCTGTTTTGCTAAGAGGGGTGTAATGAGCATTCCTTGACATTGAACGATACTCTTGAAGGATAATGCTTTTTGCAGTTCCAAATAAACGGCTCGACCAATGCTTTTAGTTCAAGGTTGAACTCTCTTGCTTCTCGGGGGTTAGGTCTCTGAACTTTCTGTATAACAATACAGTGAGTGGATCGCTTTTGCAAAGATTTTGAGACTGCTCCTGGCCCTCGTACTTGAATCCGCAGCGCTCCAAAACCCGGCCGCTCGCGATATTATGTTCGAAAACCTTGGCCACCACGCTTTGAAGCTCAGTATGGCGGGCAAAAAACCAGTTCAAAAATCCTTTGAGGGCTTCTGTAGCGTATCCGCGGCCCCAAGTCGCCGGGTGAAATCTGTACGCGACTTTTGCATGCTCGAAGGCTCCAACAATTCCAATCACTGTATCAGAAGAAGGCACCAGTGACTTAGTCGATGTCGACGTTGCTACAATGTCGGTTTCGAGAATGGATTGCAGGTGCTCATCGACGCCTTTCAGGGCTTCGGGACGCAAGAACACTACATGGATACTCCTTGCTTGACCAATTGGATTGTTTTCCAGAAGACCAGAGGAAACGAGATTCTCAGTTTCCGCAAAGGTCAGTCCTCTGCCCATTTTTCTGTAACAGAAAGAAGAATTAATTTCATGCTCCATCAGAAGGCTATGGGGAATCTTACGTCCATCTTCCTACTTCTTCCAGCTTGCATATATTATGGATGGCCTCTATATCGGAAAGCTTGACAGGTCGTAGACATAGCCTGGGCGTGATGACCCATTGGGGTGCTGTGTGATTTGCTTCAATTGAGCTTTGCATGGCTTATATGATATTTTTGCGGGCTATCCCGAAGTATCATGAACAAGGAATAGACTAGTATTTCTAAGAGATTCTCAAGCGGGATGTATGTTATAATAAATAGAATTTAAAGTTTCTTCACAAAACATGAAGAAGAGACTCATGACCAAAAAGCTCAGAGTCTAAGCCCCAAAGGAGGAGTCCAGAAATTCTTTCTCCGTAATGTCATGTCGGTGATAGCAGGAAATGACTCAGATATTTAGATAACGAAAGTCGGCGACCGAATATTACGCCCGAACAAATAGTGTATAGTATAATATCATCTTACCTACAGATACGGCAAGAACTGGGACAGAACAGGACCACTAGCGTGAACACCGCATAGTAAAGGCGGCAGAGATGATCTGATAACCTTAAACTTCTATCGAACCTCCATCTCTTTGAGGTAATTTCAGCACCGACTTTCCCAGAAAGAGACAGTAACTTAGTCTTAAGGAGGGCGGTCAGTGTCCATGTGATAAGCGCTCGGTCTCGGCAGCTTTTACCGCCTTGACCGACGACGAGCTCCAGACCAAAGGGGACGAGCCTATCAGTGATGATATGCGATAAGCAAGCTTCTGTCATCTTGAGGTTGCGGTGATTTGAGCCTATTCGTGATTGAGCTGCTTTCCAGATACGAGGCCATGAGTTCGAGGATGTCAAAATGAATTTCTTGTTCCCGAATTTTGTTTGACGTCGCTCTTTCACCCCGGTGTTTAGCTCGGAATTGCCCCGCAAGGGTAAGGCCGCTGCTCCCGATAACCTTCTCGATAGCGTGGAACTTGGGACGAGGGTCTGAGAACATCGAAAATGAGAAAGCCATCTGACCGGAATGATCCTGATGAGCGCGATCATTTGCTACGGCATATTTCAGAAACGTGTCAGACAAAGAAGACGGTGCCAAAATGCGGAAGGTTGTCGCCGAAATTTTTGACTTTTATGGTTCTGCTTTTTGTTGTCCTTGTCGAATTCCCTGGAAACCTTGCGCAAGCCCCACGAATGCGTATTATAGAATCTATCATCTGTAGAAATTTTTATGGCGAGCATAATCCCAGGCTGATTGGAACCGGGCCACGAGGCGAAGTGGATGAAAAGTTCTGCAAAATCGACGAGATTCAGAAGCAGTTTGCCTTGCTCAAAGGCATGCAGGACTTCTTTGATGCTTTGCCCGGTATGTACTGCTACCGAGCAACCTGAACTGCTGGCTAATGTACTTGCTCTCAGGCGCCTTTTTAAGTCTACCACTCGGCATGATAGCTGACAAGCACGGAAGAAAATGGCTTCTAGTTGCGGCTTACAGCTCATTATGGTGTGCATTTGTTTGGGTTTATATTGTCTGTATGTTGAGCTCAGAACCCTTTTTTTTCGGTATGGCCATTTATAATAAATTCCCGAAAATAGGCGCATTTCCATCTTATATACCGATCCATTGGATCTGGTTCTCTGGCGCATTTAGCATTCTCGGCGGAGGCAGCGCATTTGCGTCTGCACTACTATTTGTCGTGATAGCAGATTTTACCTCCGATGCGCAGAGGTATCTTCACGCCTAAAGCACCTGCATCTTTGACCAATTATTGACTAGTGCTAGAGCAAACAGGTTCTTCTGCGTTTCAGCGGCCCTCCTGGCCACTGATGTAATTGCTTCTCCTCTTAGCTCAGTGTTAATGCGACATAATCCGTGGATTCCGATTAGTATTGCTGTGGTAATTTTCGCCTTTGCAATTCCAGCATCTTTTATCATGCCGGAGACACTAGGATACCAAAGGGAGCCAGAACATGAGCAACCTGGAACGGAGCAAGAAGATCAGCCATTCTTTCCTTCGGATAACACTTCCGATAGCAAGAGTTCAATGAAGCAGCATATCCTGGATGCGTTCGTCTCGGCTCGAGCAACTCTTCGGGACTGGCGAGTAATATTGCTAGTAACATCGTTTATATTCTTCATGCAGGCCATCGAATCCGTTAGACTCTTGCTTTTATATGTTTCCAAGAGATACGGCTGGCCGCTAGCGAAGGTAAAGCCCGTACCTTTGCAAAGCCCTTTGACGCTAACAATATTACGCAGACGGCTTTTATTAATTCAGCCCGCTCTATTACCTGCCTCATTGTTTTGTTGGTTGCCCTTCCCTCCATCAGCGAGTATCTGGTCGAGCGGAGAGGCTTTAGTCCTCAGGAAAAAGACCTGTGGCTCGCCCGTACAAGTGTCATGATCCAAGCCACCGGCCTATTCGTAGAAGGCTTGGCTCCTAGGGCCGATCTTATGCTAGCAGGTACGCAACCACCCTCAACTGTTCTAAGCTCTGTGTCTTTCCTCAATAGCTTACTTCTAGAGGATAGGTACAATATTTGCTACCACTGCCGTCGGTGCCCCGCATCTTATTCGTAGCCTGGCGACTTCTTTGGTTGAGCCTCATCAAGTGGGCCGTCTTTATGCCATTACGTCGGTTGTATCAACTGTTAGTATGATGACCGCCGGACCCATTTTGGCGGGGCTCTTTAATCTAGGCATCGACGCTGGCAGCGGCTGGCTTGGCTTGCCTTACTTTTACTGTGCCGTGCTAGGTTCTGTTTTCGCAATTGGACTCTGGCTGGTAACCGTGAAGAAAGCAGATGAAGACAGAGACACAGAGGATAGCGGCTCGGAGAATTTACCAGAAGCACCAACCTCTACAACTCTTGGAAGTCTCTCACAGTAAGCCAGATTATGAAGAAACGAAACAACAGGAGATTTACGGCGCAGGGCGGGCAAGCATTGCACAATTGCTATGTTTGGAAAATATGATCGGTTCGATATCCCTCTTACCTTTGTTTACTCTCGTAGAGCGGGCTAACCATAGCGCAGCTCTGACGAGGTAAGCTATTCGGAGATTTCAACACATAGCTAGAGGTGTTCATAAGGGCATGTATAAATCTGGCCTTTCATTATTTTTTCTAAGTGAGGTCAAGGTCATATGGATGACTGCCTTTCACTCCGACGAACTGATGACCTCGGCGATACATTGCAACGCTACACGGAACAAGCAGCGGCGCGAACGGAAGATAGTGCCCAGAATGGTTTTTCTACTAGTCTTTGGGTTCATATTGCCCAGCACAGCTTGGGCAAAGGATTGTTGTGAGATTGAATCAACTACGTTCTCTGTTTGAGAGAAGGATTTCACCCTCATACTGTACTTCTGGTTGATGCCGGCAGTCTTAACGCCGAGAACGCCATGTGAAGTGGGAAGGTTGAAAGTAATTTAAATGGATATAAATGGAATTTCATACCGCAAAACGGGTCTTGGATCAAGGCCACTACTAGACCAGTTTTTCTCGTCGCAGCGAATTCATTAGAGAACTCTGAGCAAGAACGGCTGCTACTACGATGTTTCAATTGTAAATACCACTGCTTTTCACGTTCGAACATAGTCCAAGAAATGGCAAAAATAATTTGAACGCCTGCCTCCAAGGATTATTTTTTACCGAAGAACGTTAAAAACATATCTGAGAAACAAAGACGATATATAAAAAAAAGAAAAAAAGATGTTGCGAGCTGTGAGGTTCGAACTCACGCGGGTCTCCCCAGCAGAGAATTGTCGAGAAAACGAAAAGATCGTTACCAACTTAAATCTGCCGCCTTAGACCACTCGGCCAAACTCGCTACAATTAATTTCCCGGTCGCTTAAAGAACATATACCCTGAAGACGTGAAGAGGATAAATTTGAAAAGGAGCTGACGAAGCCCAATGTGGCTAATTTGCGCTATCGCACTCTTAGCGCCGGAAAGTTACCTAGGCAATGGAGCCTTAATCAAGTTATCATCGACATACTAAAGACACTTGATCTAGTTGAGAATAACACCAAGTCAATCTTGGCGGTGAGGATTCAAGTAAAAAAGCCTCCAGAACCATACGCAATTGATGACCCAAAAGAAGCTTGGATATTGGGATCCACATTGCAAGCTAGAAATCGGTCAGTACACTGGTCATAGCCATATGCATACTTTCTGTCTTAGCTGCCCAGGTGTGAGATCAGTCAAGTGATGCAATTGCTTGTCTATAATAGGCTTCTCGCATTTCAGCCTCACTGGAAAGGGATAAGCGCGAGTGCATCTTTGAATAGGCGGAGTGTCCGTAACAGATGATTTAACGCCCGAGGCGGAGCAGATAGTCAACAAAGCCCAGCGCGAGGTACAATCCTCCGCTCCGCTCGATTCCATGGTACGGTGCCAGGAAATTGTTCCAATTATATTCCTGGCGCACTGCCTCCTTCTCAGGGTATTCATGTGCTTTTCTATTATAATTTGAGACTGTTGGCGCCACAAAACTTTTGCCCAGGCATCCAATTCAAAGTCAAACAACGTATCGCATCGCTACGAAGCGTTACTCCGCATTCTCTATCTACTACATACGTCTGTGCTTAAGCTGAGCCGGAAGTGTCGCCTCAGGTGGTCAGGCCAAGAGTCGATTGCTGCCTTCGAGAGCCATAGAAAGGTGTGGTATTAAACCTCGCGATCAGAGCCCGGGATCTCTCATTCCTGAAAGAGGCCTGAGCTCCTCCTGAAGAAACTCATAGAGCGCCATCTTCTTCTCTCGCTACTGCGACCATGTCGTATCACCGAGTTCCTGATCCCAATGATCCTCGAAATCATGGCTACCCTTCGCCGTCAGTAGATCCTCGCTCTCCGTCGCCGCATCTTCAAGACCCTTACTATGCTGCCGGTCACCCAGGCTATCAGCAGCATAGTTCAGGAGACCTTGCGCTCTCTCCAGAGGAGCATCATGACGCTTTCTTCAATCAGCCTTATACGCCATCTCCGCACGACGAATATCCGTTGACGCAATATCCTACGGAATACCAGCATGGCGACTTTGCGCAACAACCGTATTACGCGGAAAATGATCAGGTACCGATTTTGCAATCAGGAAATGCATACGGACCTGATCCTCACGAGCCTGAGGAATATTTGGCCGGTTATGACGAGGCGTCTGCGCCCATGGCCCCTAGCCCTGCGCCCATTCGCAGATGGAAGACTGTCAAAGAAGTACAGCTCTTCCAGGGCAATTTGGTGCTTGACTGCCCTGTTCCACCTAGGCTACTCAACCAGATCCACCACGCGCAACCGCCAGACCGTGACGAGTTCACGCATATGAGATACTCTGCGGCAACCTGCGATCCTTCTGAATTCTACCAGGAGCGTTTCACATTGCGACAGAGGCTGTTCGCTAAGCCTCGACATACCGAGTTGTTCATCGTGGTCACTATGTACAATGAGGATGATGTTTTGTTTGCGCGGACAATGACCGGTGTCTTTAAAAACATTGAGTACATGTGTAATCGGTCAAGCAGCCAGACCTGGGGCAAAGAAGCGTGGAAGAAAATTGTCGTCTGCGTGGTGAGCGATGGTCGTGCCAAAATCAATCCACGTACCCGGGCTGTGTTGGCCGGTCTAGGTGTCTACCAAGACGGCATCGCCAAGCAGCAGGTCAATGGCAAGGACGTGACAGCCCATCTTTACGAGGTATGTAATGAAATGAGGGAAAAGAGAACGCGGATTGATCACTAACTGTTTCGTAGTATACTACGCAAATGGGCCTGGAGCTCAAGAATGGCATTGTCAGCGTGAAGAAGGGTACCACTCCAGTACAGATGCTCTTTTGTCTCAAGGAGAAGAACCAAAAGAAGATCAACTCCCATCGGTGGTTCTTCCAGGCCTTTGGCACAGTTCTCCAACCCAACGTCTGCGTTCTGTTAGACGCTGGAACACGGCCAGGCAAAGATTCAATCTACCAACTCTGGAAAGCCTTTGACATCGAGCCCATGTGTGCGGGCGCCTGCGGTGAGATCAAGGCTCTTTTGGCCCACGGAAAGAAGCTCGTCAATCCTCTCGTGGCCACCCAAAATTTTGAGTACAAAATGAGCAATATCCTCGATAAGCCTCTCGAGTCGGCTTTTGGATTCATCTCTGTCCTTCCCGGTGCTTTCTCGGCCTACCGGTTCGTCGCTCTACAGAATGATGCCAATGGCGAAGGTCCGCTAGAGAAGTACTTTGCGGGCGAGAAGATGCATGGCGCTAATGCCGGCATTTTCACTGCCAATATGTATCTCGCCGAAGATCGTATCCTTTGCTTTGAGCTTGTCTCGAAGCGGAAGTGTCACTGGATTTTGCAATACGTCAAGTCTTCGACTGGTGAAACGGATGTGCCAACTGAGATGGCAGATTTTATTCTCCAGCGTCGACGATGGCTGAACGGCAGTTTCTTCGCTGCGGTTTACGCTCTGGCTCATTCGTATCAGATCTTCCGGAGCAATCATAGCGCCATCAGAAAGTTTATGTTTCTGCTTGAGTTCTCCTACCAGACTATCAACATGCTTTTCGCGTGGTTTGCCATCGTAAGCCTTTCCTTACTTCCCCACGATTAACGTTTGGTACTTACCTAGGCTTTCTTACAGGGTAACTTTTTCTTGGTTTTCCGCATTTTGACCACTTCTTTGGGAGACAAAGACCTTCTTGGTGAAGTCGGAAAGATCCTTGGCCTTGTATTTGAATGGCTTTATCTTGCGACGCTACTTACCTGTTTCGTACTTGCTCTGGGCAACCGGCCACAAGGATCGAACAAGTTTTACATGTCGCAAGTATACTTCTGGGGTTGCATCATGATGTGAGTTTACTCGAATGGCAACGCCGTCCTTTTTCATCAATGTACTGACCTGCGTACAGTTATTTGATCTTTGCATCAGTCTTCATTACCGTGAAATCAATCCAAGAAGAGCTGAAGGAGCACCATTTTAGCGTGGGCCAGTTATTTGCCAACAAGATCTTCTTCAACTTGATGGTTTCCATGTTGTCGACCTACGTCCTTTGGTTCGTTTCTTCGCTGCTGTTTTTCGATCCCTGGCACATGTTCACCTCGGTAAGTTATCCTTCTGTTATATTACTCTATGCGGCCGAAACCTAACAATGTGATAGTTCATCCAATACCTTCTCATGACCCCCACATACATCAATATTCTTAACGTATACGCATTCTGTAATACGCACGACATCACTTGGGGAACTAAGGGCGATGACAAACCCGCCAAACTGCCCTCGGCAGTCACCAAGCCAGGAGGAAAAGTCGACGTCGACATGCCCCAGGATGACACCGATCTCAATGCTTCATACGAGAATGAATTACGCGCATTTGCAGCCAAGGCTCCGAAGGAGGTTCGAGAAGTCTCCCCGGCAGAAAAGCAGGAAGATTATTACAAGGGATTCCGAAGTGCAGTCGTCTTGGTTTGGATGTTCTGCAATCTTGCGCTCGCCGCAGTGGTCCTCAATGTCGCTGGTGTGCAGAATCTCTCCAAGCAAGATGACGACAATCAAAGAGTGACAATCTACATGGCGGTTGTCCTGTGGAGTGTTGCCGGCTTGTCCGCATTCAGATTTACAGGCGCCATGTGGTTTTTGATAGTTCGCATGGTAAGTCATACCATCATCGAGGCTATGCCCTTCTTCGTGAGCATTCGAGGGACTAACACTTTATTCCACTACAGTTCCGCGGCGTCTAAATGCTGATTAGCATCTCCGCTGTCAATGTTGATATGTGTCCGAGTCATATCCCAGCACGAAGATACGATTGATATACCACATTGTTTTGTCTATCTTGTTGCCATGTCTACAGCGATAGCATTTTCTCGCGTTATATCATAAATTCTTTTGTTTCTTTTGATTAGCTTTCTCTTACAATGTATTTCAAACTTTCATATTCTTCTAGACCAGCCAATGTTTAAAGATAAGGTAGTTACAAGTCTCATTCATTTCAGACATAAGCCCGTGAACCAACCAATCATACATGGGTCTCCACAGAAGCCGTCCACATACAGTAACTCGACTATGCCAATTGCTAAAAGATGTCCATTTACCAAAATGTTTCTATAAATTCCCTCGGGTTGGATAATCCCTGCTCACCAACAAGTGGCAATCATGGGGAAAACGTCACTGCTGAGGCGTCATTCATTGATGAGTTGCCTTCTGAAAACTGTGGCGGTGCTAATACGGATAAAGATAATCAGTGGCAGTGCATCCGATCAAGTGGCGCGTCTTCGGCCAAATTGACGGAGCGACTAAAACCAACCTTGGAGGGGCGACAAGGGGGTCCTACACGTTAGTTTTCCGTCGGGGGTCTTTTGGCGGGGCCTTATGGTGTCATAGTGCAGGCCAATCTTCTCTGTCTACTCTCACCACCTTTGTACACATTTTCTCTCAAGGTTATTTGTTATCGCGAGTTTACGGCTGCACTGCATTAAACCATCACATTCTGTTTCTAGATTTGTGCATTACATTGCAAATCGCTGCATAAGGCACACTCGCTGGGTCCGGTATCTATAGTTTCGTCCTGCAGAAAAAGATATAACAATATGGCGCAAGACGACAAGAAGGTTTCTGTTCTTTTTGTGTGTCTTGGAAACATTTGTACGTTCTGATCCTATCTAATCCAAATACGCGTTCTTTGTCACCTTTCCTCCATGATCATGTAATTCCTGAACTACACGAATCAACACACCCCGGGCCCCCTCGCCCGCCACTCAAAGCCTTCGAGCGCGCATTGAACCGCAACCGCCCTCATTTCGCTGCTGTATTAAGTTCTGGCTTCTAACTTTGAATTTCTTGTCATCGACATAGGCCGGTCGCCCATGGCCGAAGGTGTCTTCCGCCACTTGACGCGATCACACCCGCGCATCGGGCGCATCGACTCCGCCGGCACGGCAGCCTATCACTCCGGCGAGCCGCCGGACTCGCGCACCATGTCGACGCTCGAGGACAATGGGATTACCGACTACGTGCATGAGGCGCGCAAGGTGCAGCCCGAAGACTTTGAGGAGTTCGACTACGTGCTTGCCATGGACAAGGACAATTTCCGGAACTTGAAGCGCATGAAGAAGATGGCGCTCGGCTCGGGCAGCAGCAGCTCTGCGGCTCGCAGACGGGCCAAGATTGCTGATGATGACGAGGATGACGGCGTTGGTGCGCGGGTCATGATGTTTGGCGATTTTGGCGGAAAGAAGAAGAATGAGGAAATTGACGACCCCTATTATGGTGGCAGATGGGGCTTTGATGAGGCGTATGAGCAGGCGGTGCGATTCACGAATGGCTTTTTGAAGGCGCTGGAGAATGAGCAGTAAATTGGGGGAGGGGATTTTTTTTGGCGCGGGAAGGATAGAGAAAGCTCTGTAAATACGGCGGAAATTTGAAGGGGATTTTGGCGATCGTGGGAACCCAAGTAGCGAAAGACCTGGGTTGCTTACCCGTTCCCGCGATGCTTAGATGAAAGATGGCTCGGATGACATAGCCTTTTTTTTTTATTTCTTAGTTGATAGATATCCTGCTTTCTTTTAAAAAGAGGTATTTTAGATACTGTACTGTCACTGTATCGCTGTTCATACAATTCATGAATTGTTTGCAAGATACGTGAGGATTAAGTTGAGACATGGCGTGGTTGGATTTAATTAGACCGCCGCATCGTCATCTTCCCACGGTAACCGCTCCGGAAACACTTCGACTCCTGAACTTCCACCAGTCCATCTCAGCAAGTGCATGACACTCGCCTCCAGGGCCTTCTCATGGGTATCACCTTGTACGTCTGATAAGTCTCCACATATATACTGCACCACACCATATGCATCTGCAGCTTTCCATGCGCGCTTGACTCTCTTCTCATGCAGTATTTTACCCGTGCCATACAAGTCGCTCTTCCACAGGCCGAACCCGCTCTTTGCTTCGGCCGCAACAAGAGTATCAGGGGGCGTTACTTCCGGGGGAGGATTGATGCCAATATACTCCACCCGTTCAAGTGGCCACTTGATAGCTCGGCAGTGTAGGTCGGTGAATCGTGCCCGCTTGAATTCATGGGATACAATTACCAGGCGGGTAGGGTAGAAGCCTCTCAGCCGCCGGAAAAGGAGAAGAGAGAAGAGGACATTTTGGTAAGAGTCTGTGGCGAGATTCTCGGCAGTGACTGCGGACTGATCTATAGTCGTTGTCGTAGTCTTTGGGAAGTATTCATTTGCTTGTGCGAGATTCTTTTAAGAGGGTTAGTGGAAGGATGTTACAGTGAAGCAACAGATGAGGCTGGAGCCTTCAAGGTATAACATTGAGGCATACCAAATAGGATTGTCCCTCCGCTAGAGCACCTGCAGCGGCTTTTGTAGGGCCACTGTGATTATCGCGTCAGCTTGCTGCTGTGGCGGAAAAAGGGCCCCGCAGGCACGGCGATTGAAAGAAGGCCAAGCATTCGAGACTTACCCTGAAAATACGAGCAGACTCCCTGCAGGAGCCTGACTTAGTGCCTTTATGCCGGCTTTGATGTGCTCAATGTATATTGGTGTTTCGCCTTTTTGAAACGGCTCAATCAGCCTACGTAAAAATGTGGTTGGTTAATGGTTTAATGTCAAATGTGCATAGTGATGGAACGTTCTATTGAGGAGGGGTGACTTTGAAAAACATGCAGAGACCAAGGTCATTATTAGTGGAGCAGATACCATTCTGATTCATCCCAGCCATTTGACGGCCCTCCAAGCCATATGGCATGGCAGCAGACTATAATGAGCTCAGCAGCATTGCCTTGAGGATTAGATTCCATTGGATGTGTTGAGTATGGTCCTAATCACAGCGAGTTATGTTGTGAATGAAGTTCACTGGAAAGCAACCGAAAAGCATGAAAAGGCAGTGAGTGACCTGGAGGGGCATAAGATTGACAAATCGATTCCAAAATATTCTTCTACTGAGAAAACCGGCTTAAGTTCTATTTAATTGAGAATATCACCAGACTTGTTATAATTCTGGTTCTCTTTTGCAGAGATGACTATACACTCAGATTGAAGGTTGAGGAAGTCCGCGCCAGGGCTACAAAACTGACTACCCGAATAGGAAACTTATACATAACGGTTATATCGTGGACAGCTGCAACGACCGTTTTTAAACCAACCAGGAAAAGGATTGAAAACACCACCCAAGATCTCCTCTTCAGGACAGTTTTGGCGCATAATTAAACTCGAGACGTCGAACGAGAAACGATTGATTTCCGAGAGCAGTAATTTTCCAGACGCTTGTGCCTGAATGGAAAGTTTCCGAAGCCCAGCGACCTGTCATGACATCACCCCACGCAGAACTCAAATGTGAAATATCATAGCGACATCATACCTACGTTGCCGCGCCCCATGGGCCCCACGACAAGTCCCTTGACGGCACCAAAGCCCCACGATTCTGACCTCACTTGATCCACAGCTGTTTAGCGGAGTAAGAAATCACTCTATAATCTGTTCACAAGAGAAGCATAAATTCCAGCTTATTCCCTCTAGCCTAGCTCTCTTTTCTTTCTGCAGAAAACCAAATCCAGGAACCATTTCTCTCTAGGCTACTATCTCTTTCGGCTTAGCCTTATAGCCTCCTCACTCTCCACGAAAAGAATTTTTTTTCAATTCTCAATTACATATTATCATAATGTCTGCCGAATACCAGGGAGAGGACCCCCTCGTCATTGCTCAGAAGGCTGAGCGCGACCTCAACTCCTACCAGGCCAAGACTGGTAAAGGCCAGCAGGGCAGCTCTGGTATGGGCACATTTTATATATATCGCCACTTGGAGTGAGATGGGAAAGCTAATGAGTTGAATTGTTACAGTCACCGAGTCTGGTGTTGATGAGGTCAAGGCCTCCAAGTTCCCTGGCGCCGACGTTACCTATGGCTCTGCTGCTTCCGGCTCCGGCGACAACCGTGAGATTCCCGTCGAAGAGGGCGGTGAACTGAAGGGTGGCAGCACTGGTATGCCTACCAAGGCACGCGACTTTGAGGGCCCTGGTGGTCCCGAGACCAAGCAGGCCCAGTACGAGGAGACGAACCCTGGCAACGACGAAGTCCGCGCCAATGTCAGCAACCAGCTGTAAGCTCTGACTTTGAGGAATCGAATCGAATCGATGATATCCGATGCGGGTCGCCGCGTCTCTTGCATATCCTAAAAAAAGTGACATCCTGGAAAACGGATGTCGACTTTTTAAAAATTTGCATTGAAATACTTTGCGGCGGGAACGAATTCACCCGTCGAAAATTATCTGCCTGTATTTTATGGCTTAGTCACGGCACTTTTTCTCAGCCGTTGTATTATTAGCTCAGGAAGCAAAAATCACGATTAGCTAGTTTAATGATACGAGGTTACGACTCTCGAAAGATTATACTTGCTTTTATGGAAACGGTTGTGAGGATCAACAAAAGCAAATATTTCATTTGAATAGAAGTTAGGAGTGATGTTTATGGATATACGCATCTATTCGTAAAACTAGGTAATGTCTATAAACAAATGACCGCCCATCAAAGCAATTAGCAGAGCTCAAAAGAAGCCAAGCGGCAAAACTATCCCATATGTACAATCAATCTTGAACAGTTTCAAAGTCTATATAAATCATATGCCGATTTTCGCACCCAATCTATATCGTAGGTCCCTTACTCGAGGCCGGAGGACTTGCACGGCCAACGGTTCCACTCATGACCTGCTCAACGAACCTAGTAGCCATCCGGACCATGTTTGCGACCGTCAAGTGAGGGACGCCCTCAACTATGTTGTCTTCCAAGAAAACAGTGTTCTTGTCACCAAAGACTGCACCGTCGGCCACAAAGGGAGGTGGTACCTCCCCATTCGGCACATTCAAGGTCCGCGAAACAACAGGCTTCTGACTCTTCAGCCAGGTGAGGAAGGGTTCAGCGCAGGAGTAAGGGACCAATTTGTCCGCGCCACCAGCCAGGTTAAGAATTGCCTTGCCTCCGAGGTGCTTGAGCAAGCGCTCAGAAGAAACAGCAGGATCGTCAGCCACGAGCTGGACTTTGTCGAATTCCTCCTGACCCGCGCCCGCGCCCGTGCCAGTCACGGCTTTCCGCCCGACCAAGAAGCCCGCGGGATCCCGCTCGACCACTGCGTCGATCAGGCTGTTAGGGAAATCAACGGAGCCAAGGAACTTTCCTCCCGGAGGCAAGCCGGATTCACATGTCTTCAGGCCTGATCGATCTGCCCGGTCGGTCATGAGGCGGATGTAGTCGCAACAGCCGACAATCACGCAGCCGGCAGACACACGTGGGTCGTGCAGCAGCATGTGCCAGGTGGCGTGGCCTCCGAGAGAAATACCCATGGCGAGATTGTTGGTAATCTGAATCTGAGAGCCATCTTCTGAGGGGGGGAAGATGTAAGAGGGCAGATGAGTGAGGAGTTGAGAGGCGTCAATTGAGGTACCATCTGATTAGAGGTCAGTTTGAAGATGTTCTCAATCTTTTTAGATTTTTCCAGGGTTTTGCATGAGAGTGGCCAAACAGCGAAACAGAAGATATGAATGTGACAATGATGTGCATAGGTAGGTTGGGAAGAAAAATAACGCAAGTGGGTACGTCGTCATGGGACCGTAGCAAGCAATATTCAGAACGCAGTGATTCAATGCAAAACGAAAAGAGGGAAGGAAAAAAAAAATTAAATTGAAAGGAAAGTAGATAAAACTTACGGTAGATGGAAAACATGTTTTGTGCATGGCGCGTATCTCCTCCTCTCCAGGACTCATTGGCAAGTTCATCTTCCAATCGGGTGCCGTGATTCCGTTGATCGAAGGCAGCCGCGATGAGGCCTCGCCGGGGTGTGCCATCTGCTAATTCAATGCCGGCAGCGAGCTTTTCGTTCCAGTTACCGATGGCTTCTGCGGCGAGGGGGCGCATGTATTCCCAGGTCAACATGCGCGGGTTCAGCAGCCACAGACAGGCGACTTCGGTCACTTGTGGCGGCAGTTCGTCAAGACCAAAGACGGCGGTGCGCAGTCCCGAGATGGTGAACATCTTCTCGGAGACGACCTTGTTGGTCCCTTCAATGGCTGGAATAGTCATTGTGATGTGCAATTGATGATGGTCCCGTATGCGTATGGCTCTTTGGTGGTGCAAAACTTCAACTGTGTCTTCCAAGGCCGCGATGAATTGAACTCTGGAGGAAGCAGGATTCTGTGGCGTTGACTTTGCGGAAAGGATTTATCAGTATGGAAAATATATATACTGTATGTATGTATGTGTGCTTTTTTATCCCGCAAGGTGACCACACGCGCTATTATTTTCTTTTTGGCTTCGACTGATAAGCCAAAATGGTATGCTTAACGTAGACCCAGAGCGTCGCCTCGCTAAGTTTATTAATAAGGAGGATAGGTGCGGTCGGAGATGAGTTCGTGGCGAGGCTGAATGAATTGATGCTATATGGCAGGGAGAAGTGATGGAGTTATAAGGCAGAGAAGCGATATATCACGATCAAAAGCTGATTCTAATAGAGTGTTCGATTGTTGGATTTCTGATATGCTATAGAAATTATGGACACCTGAGGAGACAATTGGGTTCTATTTTATATACATATGCTCCTTCTGCTCTCGCCATCTTGGCGTTTAGGATTTCTAACGCTCTCCTCTTCTCGGCCTTTGTCAATGTCCACTTCTCCGTCAACGGCGTCAACGGCGTCACCATCCCGGAGTCATTGACTGAGAAGAGCCTTACCGCCGAGGCGCATCATCAGTTTCTTTGGGTAGTCCGGTTAGTGATTCCGAGTGCCTTCAGATTTGTGGGGATATCCCGGCATGAACACTGTGACGTGTGTCTATTTGTTTGTGGTTCAGGTAGTTTTTTCAAAACCCATCATTTGGGCCATCCAACACGGCTGTCACGGAATAATGTTTCTGGGCATGACAGTAGCCATGACGTACAGGGTCCAAGTTGCAAGGGTCAAGGTCGGCAAAGAATCTTTTGGACGGGACAAGGGGCAACGGGGGATATTGATTGCATAAGCGGTCGCTGGGGCTCTCTCTAGTTAACCTACAGGTAAAGCCTGCGAGGTATAATCCCCTACCGTAGTTAGCCTGTTAGGTACCTTAGTTACAGGGAAGTGGCCTTAACCCAGTTGAATTATAGGGGTTTTCCCTTTCACTACCTTACCTTAAAGGTAGGTACTTACGGTATTCCCACCGCCGAGCCCTGTTTAACGTCTTAGTTCATCACCGCCTTCCGAGACAGCGAGTTGCTGCCGAACACCGCCCGACCAAAGTCAACACCCCCCCTTGGGTCTGGAGTGGTTTTTCCGAATTTCGAGACGTTCGTCACTGCAGTACTCACTGTTTGGCCCATTGCTTGAAGTTCAGGCAATCCCCGCCAAACAGTGATGTTTGGAACCGACAGTGCCGACGTGTCACCGAGGACGACAAGTCCCCTGACGCGTTCTCACGAGTCGTTGCATGCCGTCCATGCACAGCACCAATCTCCTTCGGCCACGAACCCCAAACTCGCTCCGTCACCGCTGAGCTCGGAATACCAACCCAACGGGTCCCTGAACGGTGATGCTTCCCTGCGTCAACCTCCGTCCGACTCGGCCAAGCTTGCTCCGCCGCAAGATCCGACTCTCGCGGCAGTCTCGGAGCGTTTGAGAAAACATCAGGCATCGAACCCTCCGAACGGCAGGCTTCCTAATGGAGGACTTTCGGCAGGTCCGTCATCACAGCAACTGTCAAATGAAGCTCGCAAGGGAAAAGAGCAGGAGTCCATAAGGCAGGCAACAGATCGCGCAAGCAATCTCGATCATCTTTCAGCAGAGGATGCAACTTCCCCAGGCCGGCGAAGTGTCCAGTTCGCTCGCCGCCCCGTAACTCCAAGACAGTCGACGGAGCGGCCACGAACAAGGCCCTCGAGTCGAGACGCGGATTATGCCATTGCGGAATCGCCAGAGTCTTCTCCAAAAGAAAGGAAAGGCTCGGCCTCCTTGTTTTCAAGAATCAAGGCGTTTTCGCCGCCATCTCTTCTACAATCACATGGAAGGAGCCCAAGTGGATTTACCATCGGTGATGGTCTCATTGACGAAAATCCGACGCCAGCCCTCTCCCCAGCTTCTGAACGATATCCGAGTCGACCAATGAGCCCCGTGACGGACGAAGGAAGTGATGCGGATGCCGAGGAGAGCGCCACAGAAGGCGCCTCTGGAACTGCGACGCCGCGAAGAAATGGGCGAAGTCGAAGCCGTCGTGTTTCCTTTGACGGTCCGCATACCGCCCCGACGACTCCCAAAGGACCATCGCGTGACGGCACTCCCGCGGCCTCGCCCGTCGACTACTTCCGGCCAAGCTTCCTCCGAAGACGAGCTACCATGACAGATGTGCCAGAATCAGAACGGCAGGGTGTATCTGAAGATGAGGGCCGCGATCGACTCGGTAAAGGTGGCGCATGGCGAAGGGGCAGCGCCTGGGTCCATATGGGTCGTGGCTTGAGTTACGCTGGTAACCGAAAACAAGATGGCGATGGCACAGAAGGCGGCGAGCCACGACGCCCAAGCAACTTTAGGCGTATCACTGGCTTTGGCGGTGGTCATTCCGACGCTCAGGATGGCTCGCCTGCGGGCTGGCGAGGTCGCGCCGAGAGAGCCCCAAGCCTCAGTGCGCAAAAATGGCGGCAACTGAAGGCCGGCTTGAAGATGATTGGACAAAAGAAGAAGGAAGAGAGCAAGATTGATTCAGCCAAATCGGCTGAACTCCTCGCCGAATTAACCGCCGGTATCCCTGCCGCCCTCATTTTTGCGAGCATGTTCCAGAGGGACGAACACGGGCACAAGAGGATCCCCATCCTGTTGGAACAGCTCAAAGTTCGCATCACGGACAGCAAGAAGATGGAGACGAGCGGTGATCGTCATGTGGTCTTCAGGATCGAGCTCGAGTACGGTAGTGGCCTGACGCGGATGAAGTGGATCATTCATCGAGCCTTGAGAGATTTTGCCAACCTTCACGTTCGATACAAGCTGCAAAACAGCACAGAAAAGTATATCCAGTTCAAAGAGGATTCGACTCGCGCAAAACTTCCTCACTTTCCTCGAAGTGCATTTCCGTACCTTCGCGGTGTCCGAGGGCTGGGCAGCGATGAAGAGGAGGATGACGAAGCAGACGAACAAAGCGCTCCTGAAGGTGCTCCCGCAAGACCAGGGAAGAAAAGGCAACAGCGGCGACCTTCGTTTGCGAAGCGGCGAAGATCTAGCATGCCTGGTGGGGAAACTGGGGCAGGCACCACAGGTGTTGATGGCCGAGCAGGCAGTGCAGTTGGCATTGGTGGTATGAGGAAAGATACTTACCATGAGCGCCAGCGAAGAAAGCTTGAACTTTATCTGCAGCAAATGATTCGTTATCTCATCTTCCGAGCAGAAAGCAATCGTCTGTGCAAATTCCTCGAGCTATCCGCCCTCGGCGTGCGCTTAGCTGCCGAGTCCAGCTATCACGGCAAGGAAGGGTTCCTTATAATCCAGTCTGGCAAAGGCATTGACTTCAGGAAAGCCTGGAAACCAGGGATGGTGACCAGGAGGCACTCGCCCAAATGGTTCTTGGTCCGACACAGTTACGTGGTCTGCGTCGACTCGCCCGAAGAAATGAACATTTACGATGTCTTCCTCGTGGACTCGGACTTTACGGTCAACACCAAGAGGAAAAGACTACGAGACCAGAATGCCAAAGATCTCGCCAAGACCGCAAAGGATTCGGCCACTCCGCAACATCATCTACTGCGGCTCCAGAATTCAGAGCGCAAAATGAAGCTGCTGGCAAAGAATGAGAGACAATTGCACCAATTCGAAGAATCCATTCGATTCATGGCCTCAAACACCATCTGGTCGAAGAAGAACCGTTTCGACAGCTTTGCCCCTGTCCGTAGCAACGTCTTTGCCCAATGGCTGGTTGATGGCCGTGATTACATGTGGAATGTGTCTCGAGCAATAAGCATGGCCAGGGACGTAATTTACATTCACGATTGGTGGCTCAGTCCAGAATTATACATGCGACGACCAGCCGCAATCAGCCAGAAATGGCGATTGGATCGCCTTCTCCAGCGCAAGGCGCAGGAAGGTGTCAAGGTATTCGTCATCATGTACCGAAACATCAACTCTGCAATCCCTATCGATTCCGAATACACAAAATTCTCATTGCTTGACTTGCATCCCAATGTGTTTGTCCAGAGATCGCCCAACCAGTTCCGGCAGAACACTTTCTTCTGGGCTCACCACGAGAAGATTTGCATCATTGACCACGCGGTAGCATTTATGGGTGGAATAGACCTTTGCTTTGGCCGATGGGATACGCCTCAACACCCCGTAGTGGACGACAAGTTGACCGGGTTTGAGCCGTCTGACATGCCAAAGGATGCTGACCACTGCCAGTTGTGGCCCGGCAAAGACTATTCGAACCCTCGTGTCCAGGACTTTTACGCCCTGGACAGACCTTATGAGGAAATGTACGACCGAGCCCGGATCCCTCGAATGCCCTGGCATGATATTGCCATGCAGCTTGTTGGGCAGCCGGCGCGTGACCTGACGCGGCACTTTGTCCAGCGGTGGAATTACATTCTGCGCCAGCGAAGACCCACACGTCCCACACCGTTCTTGCTTCCGCCGCCGGATTTCAACGCGGCTGATTTGGAGGCCTTGGGTCTCCAAGGGACCTGCGAAACCCAGATTCTTCGCTCAGCATCCTGGTGGTCATTGGGAACACCTGACAGGACGGAGCACAGCATTATGAATGCTTATATCAAGATGATTGAGCAGTCGGACCATTTTGTCTACATTGAGAACCAGTTCTTTGTTACCAGCTGTGAAGTCGAAGGCACAAGAATTGAAAATCTCATTGGTGACGCGCTCGTCGAGCGTATCGTCCGTGCAGACAAGAATGGAGAGCCCTGGCGCGCAGTTATTATCATCCCGCTCATGCCGGGTTTCCAGAACACGGTTGACAGCCAAGATGGCACAAGTGTTCGACTGATTATGCAGTGTCAGTACCGCAGCATCTGCCGCGGTGAAGCATCAATCTTTGCCCGGCTTCGAGCGGCTGGAATTGAGCCGGAGGACTACATCCAGTTCTACAGTTTACGAAACTGGGGCAAGATTGGACCGGCCAAGCAGCTTGTCACTGAACAGCTTTACATTCATGCCAAGTGTATGATTGTAGACGACCGCATCGCGATAATTGGGTCTGCCAACATCAACGAGCGGTCAATGCTGGGTTCGCGGGACTCTGAAGTTGCGTGCGTTATTCGAGACACGGATATGCTTTGGTCTCGGATGGCCGGAGAACCGTACATGGTTGGACGTTTCCCGCATACCCTTCGCATGAGATTAATGAGAGAGCACCTGGGACTCGACGTCGACGAGATTATGGAAGAGGACCGGCTAGCTGAAACGGAGGACCGCAAGTCTCAATGGGAGCGTGAAATGGATCGATTCCATGATGGGACGGCGGATTCTATTGCGTCAAATTCTACGCGCGAGAACAAAGAGACTATGGATAAGCTAGTAGACTCGCGGCACAAGGCTCAAGATGACATGCTGGCCAAGAACGAGAAGATGTTTAGCTTCAATCATGACGTTGACTGGGAACAGGAGAACAATCCCAATCTTCGGTCGAGCAAGAGGCTCACCGAAGATCCTCGGGTCCAGGGTAATCCAGCCCATGCAAAGGATGTCCGTGGCGACGGATTCGACCATATGAATGAGTGCAGCAAGGAAGCAATAAGCACGGCGCGCGACTCGATCCACGCTGGTGATAATCGAGAGGTCTTGGTGACGAATGTGGCGGACGAAGGCAAGAGCCGTCGCCCTTCACCACCCAAGCCTCAGACACATCGTGAACCATCAAAGACCTCTACAAACAAGGGCTCCGAGAGTTCCACAGGCAATGCAAGACTCCCACCTCCACTTCTAGTCAGGAGCACGACGGCAGAATTGGGTCTGCCCTTGCTCTCTCAACTCCCGCCTCTACCTGTAACAGACGACACCGACATTGGCGGACCTCCTATCCAGATATTCTCCGGCCGTGCTCCAGAGTTGGTCAACCCCTTGGTCGCCGATATGCGGCGGCCTCTTGTTGAGCGTGACTGCATGCGGGACCCACTGAACGATTCGTTCTTTCTCGATACATGGCATGCCGTTGCCGAAAACAATACTCGTCTCTACCGCACAGTCTTTCGCTGCATGCCAGACAATGAAGTCAAGTCTTGGAAGGAGTATAAGGAGTATGCGGCCTACTCGGAGCGCTTTGCTCACGCACAGGGCTTAGGTCGGAGCAAGTCACGACTCGAGCGGGAAAATGCCATTAGAGCAAGCGGACCTCCCGGTGCAGGCCACACAGCAGAAAAGATTGCGTCGCTTGGCCCTATCGGCGAAAAGGTGCACGACGCAAGCGCGACATTCCTCGACAAGGTGCCAGGGAAGAAGAACAACCACAACAACGGAGCCTTTATGTCGGACGTTCGCGATCTCGCTGCTGCAGGAGACCGAGCACAGGCTGAGCGCGAAGCCCACGGAGCCAGCAAGTCGAGCCTGGTTCCGTCACACTTGGGTGACGGGGAAGTTGCAGACGAAAAGTCGGCTACCTCGAGACCGTCTCAAGACAACCGCGGCGGTGAACCTCCCCATCGGACAATTACAATCAGCGAGAAGCAAGACTTTGAGAAGCCGCGCAAGGCAGCTACAGCGCCATTGCTCGGGGGCCCGCATGAACCGAGCGAGGCTAAGCTGAGCCACCATGCCAGCACCACCAGCGGGACTACTCGACGAAGGCGCCGAGCGACGACACGGAGTTCCAGACGCGAGTTCCAAGCCAGCGATGACTTGATTGATCTGAAGGATGCCGAGGAGCTCATGAAGATGGTCCAAGGCCATCTCGTCGTGTGGCCATACGAGTGGTAGGTGACAAATGAAACGAGACTGAGCTGTATTTACTAACGATTGTTTTTAGGCTGGCCCGAGAGGAACAAGGTGGCAATTGGCTGTACAGTATTGATCAACTGGCACCTCTTGAAATCTAGTAAGACTTTTGCATTCCTCCTTGAATTCAATTGAAGTGATGAGACAAAGACTGACGATTCTCTAGTAATTAATGCCGTCATACATTTGCGCATAGGATATTCTCCGATCTCCGTATACACGGCACATGAACCTTGTACTATACAACTATACGTACTCTTTTCCTTGCCGTCCACCTTTGTTCACGCCGCTGCTTTCCCTCGTGGCAGTTTACAGTTTCAGAAAGGGCGTCAGACACATTGTCTTGGATGTCTATAGGATTGGGTGGCTCTTGGCTCTCTTTTTGCTGTACACGATATCACCACCGATTCAGCATCAGTCTTCGTCTTTTTATCACCTCAATATCTTTTGGGTCCGCTACATATTCATGGTCTGCATTTCGTTCGGCGCTTCGGAATGGCACAGCACATGCTCGGCTGGTCTCATATCTCGTTACCCTCGCTGTTCTCTGACTCCTTTTACTATTTTTTCTATTGCTATCAATCTTTAAGATATTAATACCATTAGTTCTTGATGTTTCGTTTAGTACTAGGGGCTCAGGCAGCCATTATACACTTATTTGAAGTCGTTTGCAAATTGAATATACATAGTAATCTATATTCACTATATCATTCACAGTGTTTATTGTTTGATGCATTCGTGGAGTATTCATTGTATGATTTATTGTATGAGTTATTGCATACTTTATATTAACAGCGTAGTATTCATAGCCTTTAGCAGTTTGTCACGCACGAGTGACAACCCAAGATTGGTGAATCTGCGTAGGATTTCGGGGTATTTAAACACCCCTGGACCGTGGATCCTATACCCCAGGGATATTTTGATATTTTCTATCTTCCGGAACGCCTGAGGGTTGACGGTTGACGGTACACGCCAAATGTGTTTACCCTGCGATTGCCCTGGTAGAGCATGCTGCATGGGCTCACAGCACTTTAGCCGTTGTCCTGTTGTCCTGTGGTTCTGTGGTCCTGTGGTCATGTAGTCCTGTGGATTAGGACAGGAGACAGGAGAAAAGAGACACTTTGCAATGAAAAACTCCAATGGACTCATAGTGGCCTGGTCTATCATTTCAAAACGGTTCCAAAACGGTTTCAAGGCGTTTCAGAATGGCGGATAAATTCCTCAAGACTCTCCCAGGTATCTAGGTATCCAGGTATCTAGGTATCCAGGTATCTAGGTATCCAGGTATCCAGGTATCCAGGATATCAGGACTCAGCTCTCAGAAATTCAGAATTGTTTCTTTCTTATTTCACATTTCACATTTCACATTTCAGCACGTTTCCGGATTTCCATTTAAATCTGGCACGGCATGTTCAGGCATCGCACTTCAGAACTCTAGAAAAAATACTCCTCCCACTGCTAAATGCGAGTCAAAAGTCATAAGAGTGCAGTGAGTCTGACAAAGAACCGGCCACATGGAGTCTGGCGTAGCGGGGAGTCGGGGACTCGGGCACCTTTGGACCTGGGTATAATGTGCTGCGGTGCATCTTACTTTGCTCCATCATCTTACGGTTTACCGTCATCTAGGCTCTAGAGGATCAGCAATGTTGTCTCTATTACCCTCTCTTACAGGCAGGAATGTTGAAGTTTGTGGTAGACTTCCTCCAAAAGTTTACAAAAAAATAAATAAATAACAAAAGCAAGTGTAAAGAAGTCGGTGGACCGTGGGCCGTTCATGGAAAATTCAAAAAGGAGAATATTCTGGCAGAACAAAGAACCTAGGACCCCAAGGAACCAAAACAAGAGGACAAGGAAAGGCTAGATAAGGAAGGTCCGAAGGAGCAAGACAGAAAGGGACATTCAGCCTGGCTCCTCGAGTCTACACAGGCTTCAGCAATTTGCAAGTTGCAACAGCTCATTACCTCAAACGACATATGAGAATGAAACCGTCCTGGAGACTGCGAGACTGCGAGTCTGCGAGTCTGCGAGAGAATCATCAAAATGGCATCTATTGTCCGGACTCTGGGGGTGAAGGCACACGTGGCCTTCTGCATTCAAGATGGCTACGTTGCTCTTTCCTTTTACTATAGCCAACTTCATTAAGCGACGAGTCGACGATCCCTATAAAGGTTGTTCATGGCGCGAGGAGCTTCAATAACAACTCAAGTTTTGTTTACATTCTACAATTCTACATTCAATCGACGTGTCGTAACGATAGAACAGTTCACAACAGAATTTCCAAGATGAGTGGACTGTGTGGATTACAAAAAGGACAATAACAACGGAGCCAGAGATGGCTGGGTCAAGATGAATCAAACACCAGCAACCCTCAAGATCGCGGTAGACCTAACTCCGAGGGAAGGCTTGGATGAGTCACGTATGGAACCAAAAGCATATCTGGCATCAGAAAGCTTTTCCAACCACTTGAAGCGAAAGACAGGAGACGAGGTCTCTGACCGGGCTGTAAAGACAGCTCGTTTGGATCACCCGCCCCATGATACTGACCAGATAATGTCCAAGTATCAGGGTCGTGTGCTTTCCATCCACCCACTGGATCATGTCGAGGACAAGGTAGAAGTAGAAGCACACGGCCTAGGGGCTGGGGATCAACCAGAGAAGCAGGAAGCAGAAGCAATCTCGTTGCAGGATTTGGCACGAGAAATTGCCAATATCAAAGCGAATGCAATCTCCCAGGAAAGGAGGATTGAACAACTTGAGCAAACACATGCTCAGCTTCGAAGGCTGAACGCCAAGCAAGATGGCCAACTTGTGGAACAGCAGCAAGAACTGTCTCGACTGAAGGAGAGAGTTTCTGACCTTGAAAAAAAAAGTCGCCAAGACGCAAAAAAAGCCAATTCAATCGCTACAACGTATGTGTAGCAAACCTAATAACAGAGGCTGTCAAGAAAGTCCGCAAGAGCGGGAAACGTGGCCATGCAACCGTTCAGTTCTGAGCATCACCAAAGACAGATTTTCTGGACTTACGTCTCGGAAGTGATTGACAAATATGTCAAGGAAGATCCAGGTCCAAGGAGGAAGAAGTCTGCTTTTGTCGCTGAATATATCTAGGGAAGCTCCTGGGTCGACGCCGTTATACCACTCTTCGATACAGTATTCGTTTGTACGTGGTATTTATAAACCATGGGAAACGAGTTGGTTGCGAACAAGAATTTCGTAAGGAGATCTCGGACAAGAAAGAAGGAACGGAAATTCATGTATCTTCAGTGGCATTCGAATAAGTTATGCACCAGCTCGCTCCAATCATTTCATCTTATTGACGCATTGGAATTTTTCTGAAAAATTCATCGACCGTATCCGAACAGTATGATTTGTACTTGGAAAAATAAAAGCGCAATAAGGACTCGTTTTTATGAATGTCTTCATTCAGATGTGATCATACTACGAAAACTATGGAGAGTAGACACACAGTTCTAAGCCGTTTGAATAAGGGATCGTCAGATTGGTAAAACCGCTGTCTTTGCTGCGCAAATATCCAAGCAAGTCCTTGTACCGAGTTGCAGAGCTAATGGTATTATCAATAATGACCACCGCGCCCTGGCGGAGATGTGGCTGAATGAGTTTCAGAGTGGGGAGAGCCATCGGCGTCCAGACTAAGCTTTGGTTAAAAGAATACTACTTTTATTTCTCTTCATAAATAATCAGGTGACTTACTATCCAGGAGAAGCATGTCAATGGTAGGAACATTCTCCTTTAATGTTTGCAGCAAATCGCCTACGCGTAGATCGATATGTCTTGACACGCCCTCTCCGGCCTCAGTCCAGTGCTTGCGAGCCACCCCTGCTTTGGAAGCTTCATGCTCCGTTGCGATCACTGTGCCTTGTCCACCGGAGGCTTGCACGTTCGCACTCACTGCCAGTCCGAGGTAGATGGTGCTGACGCCGAAACTGGTGCCCGCCTCGACGATGTTTTTGGCGTTGATTGCACGTGCGAGCTGGTAGACGAATTGAGACTTGTCTTGGTCTAATGCAACAAAGGCGTCTCGAGTAGCAGCATGTATTTCACCGGATGTCAAGGAGGAGATGTTTAGACCTTTTTCTTGTTCGACAGAGGCAGCGTGCAAGCGATCCAAGAGCGAGAGGACATGCTCTGGAACTCCTGCGTCCCGGAGAGGGTTCGGTGGAGATGCCATTTTTTTTTCTTTTTCTCTTGATGGTGGTGATTGAAACGGTGGAGATTATGTCGGTTGGAGTTGAGATTTTAGGAACGGTTAATAGTCTAGATCGGAATGATGCACTGTAGTCTGTAGAATTCTTTGTCGTTGCGGGAAAGAGTGGTATTAATATTGAGAAGCCTTGAGGCATGCAAGGGGCTCGGAGGTGTTGACAGGTTCGAAATGGAGAACCTTATTTTTTTTTTCTTATAATCAGCCTGATCTAGTATAGAAGAAATGAATTGGACCCGTGTAACTGGGGTTATATGAAATCCAAATAAGTATTGGATATTAGCTAGACAGCTTCGTTTGGTCCGACTGCATGTTGTTACATGTGGTAGAGTTGCTTAGCCTCCAGATATAAGTCGGAATTTGAGTGAACTAATTGGTCAAACGTTGGGGTCTTTTTACTGAGAATCGAACTGTAAGCTCAACTATATTTTTAATGAACAGTGACGAATTTAGCGAGCCATATGGTGACCGAGGGTGATGAGTTTAACTGCACAGAATTTACTTTTGCGTATGAACTGTCAGTAAATGATGATACAAGGGTACTGCCTCGGTAATGTCTCCAGCGGGGTTTACTGCCCCCCACCTCTCATGGGGCGAGGGGTCCAGTCATGTATCTTGATTGCTCTTGTACCAGATTGTCTTGGATATCAATGTACGTCAACTCTAGCTGGAGACAACGTACTGCCAATATCAGTACTCTATTACCCTCAAGCCCATCATTAACTCTCTGAGCAGATGCAATTAAATTAGTCCATGACTATGCGGGTCACGGGTAGATCTCAAAGTTTGCAAGTTGTACTGTGTTGACTAACTTTCCACACTGATACATTGCCGCTCCGTGGCCCACTCTGAGTCACTCGTCGAATTAGAACTGCGGAGACGATGGGTCCTAAATTGTTCCCAGAATTCTACAGCTCAATTGGCTTCAATGCCAACGAACAACCCTGTTTCAATGAAGCACTGTCATAGAGATCTTTGTGATATTTTATTTGATCCAATTGCTGCCATTGACAATGGCACTGACAAGTGCATCTGATGATTCTTTGCCCGATGGCGAAATTGGTCGGTCAGGGACAACGGTGGATATCGCAATGGACCGGCCACAAAGCATAACTGAAGCTATTTCTCTGGCCCAGTTTCCTTCTCGTGCTGAGAAATCGAAAGGGTAAGCCTGCACAATTTCAAAGCTATTTTGGATTGATATGTTCCTAGTTCAATAATTTCAATATTTCTTATTCTCGGCTCTCTGGGCACCAGGGCTGACAAACTCCACCAGACAATCCGTTGCTATTGTTGCTGCCTCTTTCACGATAATATTTACTTGCTGCGGTCTCAATTTTGCATTCGGTGTCTATCAGGCTTTATATGAGACTCTGGCCAGACAGCCAGGAACGCCATTTACTGGTGCCAGCCCGGCAGAAATCGACCTAATCGGCACGCTTTGTATATCTTTAATGACAATTGGTGCCCCATTCGTCGTCGCTTGGGCCAAGCGGTTCTCACCTCGACATGTTTCGTTTGCCGGTGGTCTTATCTTTGGAGTTTCCCTTGTCTTGGCAAGCTTTGGGAAAGCGTTATGGCATTTCGAGCTAACTCAGGGACTTCTTTGCGGCATTGGCACCTGTTTGTCCTACATGGTGGCCGTCACTACCGCTCCAACTTGGTTTACTAGCCACCGCGGCCTAGCTATGGGAGTCATATTATCTGGGACTGGAGTGGGCGGCCTTGTCTGGGCCCCGGCTCTGAATGCTTGTATTAACAGCCTTGGCTTCAGAAATACTCTGCGTCTAACCGGCGCTGTCTCCTTTGCACTTGTTTCCATTGCCAGTGCTGCTATAACCTGGGAGCCGACCAGCAAGGCACGATTCTGGACGGAAAACAATGCGAGGACTAGCCGCGCCGACGGGATTCTGAAAGTGCCTCTTGTGGATATTCGTGTCGCTCGAACACGCAAGTTTGCCGCTCAGGCCCTAGGGGCCATCTTTCAATCCGCAGCGTACTACACGCCGGTATTTTTCTTTGCTTCGTATGCGAGAAGTCTTGGATACGGCGATACGGCAGGCGCCAATTTCATCGCTCTCAGCAACGCATGCAATGCCGTTGGCAAGATTGTCATTGGCTACGCCGCTGACCGCATTGGTCGATTAAATACGCTATTTATTACAACTCTCTTTAGCGCTATTGCCGCTATCGGCTTCTGGCTGCCTTCGACAATGGGGGACGCAACAACAAGAACACAAGGTCTCTTTGTCACATTTGTTATTTTCTACGGCATTTTTGCCAGTGCCTATGTCGCTCTTTTCCCGACGAGTCTCATTGAGATATTTGGCGCCCAGAATTTCGCCTCTGTGAATGGCGTCTTATACATGGTACGTGGCATGGCGACCATGGTGGGCACGCCTGTCGGCGGTGTGTTGACTCGAAATACGGCATCGGCTTTGAGCCCTAAAACTTTTGAGGGTATGTCCATACTGGTCAGCGTTCTTCTCTTTGCAGCCTCTGCTGCTGTCCTTTGGGTACGAATGGAGGCAATGGTTGGCCCCAGTGGAATTGTAAGCTGGAAGTGGAGGCAATGATACAGGTAAAAGTGTAAATGATTTCCGTCGTCCCGTGTATATAAAGTATAGACCCATTTCCGGTCGGAGAAGGAAAATTGTTTATAATAAAATTCTTTGCCATTACTCTGGGACCAAAAGCTCCAACGAGTTCAGAAGAGCCTCACTGGACCACGAAGACTAACCAAACCTTACATGATCATGAGATGCGAAGGAGGTTTCAACAAAGAAGGGTGAAGCTTGATTGCCGTATAAAGAAGGAATTCGTGCTAGGGAAACTTGTTCTCGAGCTAACCATGCGCATTAGCTGAATTTGAACCGTCTGATGAAGCCTTAGAACTGCGTCTTTGTTAACCTTGTACCAGTAAAAGTAGGTTGATTATGCACCCTCGGAGGAATAGGGACCGGCGTAGGGCGGACGGATGTGACTGGCCCCAGCTTCGCAGTTTGGAGACGAGCCGCCCGAACCCCGCGTGGTGCCTAATGCAATCCACCTCAAGGCACCAAGTAGCTGATGGACATGAGGATGAAGAACGTGATCGAATAAATTCTTAGAATTGTAAAATGTCTTATCAGGAATCAAAGATAGATGCATTGTCAATCATCGCAATTATAGCATCTCCTATTCTATTTCTCGCTGCTGCTTTTCGTCTACATTCGTGGCTTCATTGAAGATTGTATAACCTTCTCATAGACGGGTTGGGACTCTGTGATTGACCCCACTTGGACTGCCATGGCGTTGGGGTCAGACCGCCATGAAAGGGTCCTCTTTCTCCTTCTTCCCGTCCGTCCTGTTTTGCTCTGATCCACTCAGGCTTCTTCTATGCTGAATCGAGGTTGGGATTGGCTTGCACAGGTGGAACTTTGGGTCAGATTGTGATGATAGAGTGGTTCGGCCCCTCTACCCCTCTAAACAGTTCGGCCTCCCGCGTGTGAGAATTAGGCGCCGGGAAACAGACCAAGAGTCTCCACAGAACCTCCAAGCTTCCTCCGTCGTCACATCCATCATCACATCCACGCGTCGTGCTACCAACTCGCCTGATTATATACCGTAGTTTCTTTCTTCACCGTCCTTTTTTTTTTTTTTTTCTTTCCGCACTTTTGACAATTTGCATCCGTCGCATAAGGATCCGTCGTGTTTTCTCTGTTACTTTGTCGCAGGAAATCCGTTGCGACAACGAGTATCACCTTTGCAGGCATTGCGGTGTAGATTCGTAGCTCTTCTCCGCCAAGAGCTGCGGGAATTCGTTCAGCGATTCGCCCTTTCGAAAGAAGCGTCCCAGCCTTTCTGCAATACCCTCTCCCCATATTTTTCGCCTTGAAAGATTTCCGTCGACTCGGTCGGTCGCTACGTTCCAATTGCTATCACCGCTGTATCTCTTCGCTTCTCCGACTGTCGCTACAACCCCCGTCGATTCTATTACCCCTCATTGATCGTTTGACTGCCGGTCTGTCAACGATATTGTCGCCCGTGTAATAATCGCATCGTTCTTCCCCGCACCTTCTCTTGTCCAGCTCGTTCGACTTTGCAACAATGGCCGATCTCCAGGGACGCAAGCTCTTCAAGGTCTTCAACCAGGACTTTATCGTTGATGAGCGGTACAATGTGACAAAGGAATTAGGACAGGGCGCATACGGTATCGTATGGTACGTCAATGAGCGTCCTCTCTCTCTCTCTCTCTCTCTCTCTCCATACCCATGGCTCTCGAGGAACATCGACTAGAGCAACGCAGAATGTGCCCATCGCTCTGAAGAAGAGGCATAATTCAATCCTTTTAACGGAAAATTGGGACTGACGATGACTCCGGGGCAAACAGTGCCGCAACTAACACTCAAACCGGCGAAGGCGTTGCGATCAAGAAGGTCACCAATGTGTTCAGCAAGAAAATTCTGGCCAAGCGTGCATTGCGTGAGATAAAGCTGTTGCAGCATTTCAGAGGCAAGTTCATCACCCAGCAGATTCATGCCTCGCCATATCATTCATCGCTAACGCGCTCTTATAGGACATAGAAATGTAAGTTTCCGTCCACGGCAATGAGGCCGATGAACCATATCATTCCTCCGCGATTGGAATCCCCTTCTAAACACAAGGACGATACGTAGATTACGTGTCTGTACGACATGGATATTCCTCGACCAGAGAATTTCAACGAGACCTATCTCTATGAAGGCAAGGCACTCGTTCCGGCACTACAAACAATAGACCTCGAACATAACTGACAATAATGCCGCTACAGAGCTCATGGAATGTGACTTGGCCGCCATTATCCGCTCCGGACAACCCCTCACGGACGCCCACTTCCAATCCTTCATCTACCAGATCCTCTGCGGTCTCAAATACATACACTCAGCCAACGTGCTGCACCGTGACCTCAAGCCCGGCAACCTCCTCGTCAACGCCGACTGCGAACTGAAGATTTGCGATTTTGGACTTGCCCGAGGGTTTTCAATCGACCCCGAGGAAAACGCAGGCTACATGACCGAATACGTGGCAACGAGATGGTACCGTGCGCCGGAAATCATGCTCAGCTTCCAGAGCTACACCAAAGCTAGTATGCTTGTCCCCTTCTCCATCCCCCCACCTCTTCTCTTCCTTCCACATTCTAATCCCCCTCTGCCTCGCTCTCTTCTCATACTTCGCGCCCTCTGTACTAACTTGTATCCACCACAGTCGACGTCTGGTCGGTTGGCTGCATTCTCGCCGAGTTACTCGGCGGCCGCCCATTCTTCAAAGGCCGGGACTACGTCGACCAGCTCAACCAAATCCTGCACTACCTGGGCACGCCCAACGAAGAAACGCTCTCACGAATCGGATCTCCACGAGCACAAGAATACGTTCGGAATCTACCGTATATGCCCAAGATTCCATTCACGCGACTATTCCCCAACGCGAACCCCGACGCACTCGACCTGCTGGACCGCATGCTAGCATTTGACCCTTCGTCGAGAATATCCGTCGAAGACGCGCTCGAGCACCGCTACCTGCACATCTGGCACGACGCCAGCGACGAGCCGTCCTGCCCGACCACGTTCGACTTTGCCTTTGAAGTCGTCGAGGACGTGGGCGACATGCGCCGCATGATTCTCGACGAGGTCATGCGTTTCCGCCAGCTCGTCCGTGTCCAGCCTCACGCGCAGGGCAATGGAAACATTGCCCAGGCTCAGACCAGTGTGCCCATCCCAGACCACACTGGCCAGTGGGGCCACGAGGATCCTCGTCCCCAGGAAGCCTCGGCGCATGGCCCGGCCGGTGGCCCGGCCGGTGGCCTAGAGCAGGAGTTGCAAGGCGGCTTGGATGCCATGCATTAGATGCAATCTATGCTGGGGCAGCTTTAAAAAGTAGCGGGGGAAGTTTGTGGTGGTGGACATGGACGTCTTTATTCAAGCCCTGTGAGAATTGTAGACTGACGAGGTAGCGGGGTGAGACGTTGAAGGGTTGAAGCGTTGAGAAAGCTTAGTTTTCCCTGAGACAGCGAAGAACCAGTAGGATGGCAGTCGAATGAAGCATTAGATTTTTATTTTATTTTACTTTTTCCCTTGATGGACGCAATGCGTTTCTTTATTCATCACAGATGTCATACTTTCCTTTTTATTCTCATTTTATTTTATTTTTATTCTTTTCCTTTGCTCAGTACTCTCCTAATAAGTTTTACTAGCATTTTTTTTTACACTTATTTCCTCCCCCAAAAAATGGCAATGATATGTACGGTATGCTCGTATCAATTACTTTTTAATCTCTGGCTCATTTGTCTTGCATTCACAAGACTACAAAATGATGAGAATGGGCGTGGAGGAAGGCGCAACCCATCCCCTTTCCATCCACCAACAACTAGACCAATCATCCTGGCAGAGAGAAATTACCTGTATAATTTCCCGACTGGGTTGTGAAATCGCTGGTTTGGCTCAGATCATCAATTCTGCCCAGCATAAACTCCAGCAATCTGTATGCAGCACTGGGTGCAAACTGGGGAATCATGTGGCCGGAAAGCGAGACCTCCGCAAAAGTGAGGCCTCTTTCGGTTCTATATCTACCAAACACACCTGCGCCTGCAAGGGTGCTGAGGCTAGGATCATCATGATAGGGAACGTAGAATTCGTCCTGAGGTTCCTCGGAGAATCCCTGGGCACCGTTCCAGGTCATGTTCTGGATAGCAAGGAGGGTACCGTTTGAAAGGAGGACATAATCGATCGCGCCGTGACCGATGATGGTCTTGTTTGTGCGTTCAATGACAGAGGCCAAGACGCCGTTGAGCGCGGGAGGATCAGACAAGTCTGTTCCATTGACGAAGACGTTAATGGAGGAGCATTCTTCGTATTCGCCAATGGGGGCATTGATGGCTTTCTGCACGTCGGTGCGGTTGAAGTAAATAAAAGCGCCATCGGGTACGTAGCCAAAGGACCCAGGGAAACCCATGACGTCCCAGAGCAAAGGACAGGTGGTGGCGATTTGATACACGTTGAAGCAAGGGTTGATTTCGGACGCGGCGTAGTAGATGTCATCCCACAGATCGCATGAGGCTGTGACGGTGTTGTTGGGCGGACTGGGCAAGGGTCCCTTGGGCGGATACACGAGATATTCGTTCAAAAAGGACGTGTAGCCGCATGCATCGGCGCGGTCGTGAATGTCGTCCATAAAAGTAGAGTTGAGGGAGAAGAGACCTGGCCAGTTGTCCACAAAGGCGACGGCGGGGACTATAGAAAAGTAAAAAGCATTAGCAGAGTTGTTTCCTCTGGTAGAATCAAAAGAAGCCTGTACGGGATGACGGAGATCACCTACTCTCTTCAGTGACGACATCGGAGCTAATGCTCGGGTCATATATCATGATGCTCTCGAGATTGTAATACTTGGTGTCATTCTTGTTGAGCATTGCATCGGCAATATAAGGCACGTACATGCCGGCATATGACTCGCCGGTAATGTACACCTTGCGCTTCTCGAGGTCAAACGTTTTGACGAAATGCTTCCAGAATCCCAAAAACTGCTCCGCCACATCTGCTTCAGACGTCGCCGTGGGGGTACCCTGTGAGAATCCGGTACCCACGGGCTGATCAATCCACACGACGTTGGTCAGGTTGACCCAGGTCCAAGGGTTAGGAACAGGTTTGAACGTGCCCCATTGCCAGAGGAATGGGCCGTTCTCTTGCAAAAGACCTTCGAGCGAGCTGCAGCCTGGACCGCCATTGAGCCAGATGAGAATCTCGTCTCCCGCAAGCTCATTCTCGGACGGAAAGAACCAGAACCAGAGCTTGGAGGTTTCATTGGCGTGGTCCGAAATGGGAAGCAATCCGGCATATGACTCGCCAACGTCAAAGTCTACTTCGGGGATGGCAGAGCCATTGACAACAAATTCTGGAATTCACCTGTTAGCAATTGATTTGTCTTACCAAGAATTGCGAGTAGTTGCAAAATAACTGGGGTGATTAGAGTAGGAATGTTCGTCCCATGAAACAAATACAAAAGGCACCGGACAGAAGAGGACGAAAAGTAGGCAGACATACTCGACGACTTGCTGTTCAGATAGCTCTGTTTCTTCTTATGCTCCGCTGAGCGCTTCACAGGCTGCTGCTGCGAACGCTCGGCGAAGATGTTATCTCTGGGAGCTGGTCTTTCAAGTTTCTTTCCCACATGCTGTGAGCTTCGTGCGCTGGTAAGCACAGCAAGCGCTAGCACCAGCAGAAATGAGAGAGCGCGCATCTCGCAGCGAATATCTCAAAGGCTATTTCCCAAGTCTATTCTCTCACTTCACTGCAAACCCACGTCTTCTCAGTCCGAAAACGACAAGTAGCCTTAGAACTGAAGACAGACCTATTTAGCACAGCTGATCAATTACTTCCGCTATGGCGTCCAGTGCAAGGACGTTCTGAGAGAGCCTTCCCACACGCGAGTGGAGGGAGCTCTGATAGCTTTATCTCAGATCGCCAGGCTTGCGCTGGAGCTTTGGAGCTGAAGAACCTGCCCATCTTACGTAGCTTTGCATTCTGCGCCCTGGGATGACAGGGTATTTCGCCAGCCTATGCTCAATGAGGTAGTCCGTCTGCGCCAAAAAGTGCGCTGAGCGGAGCAGTCCACTCCGAGAACATCAGCCCAAAAGGCTGGCGACATGGTCCTGTGAGAAGTGCGGTAATCAGGGCTGATCGAAGAAGCCCACAACTTCCCGATTGGGCTGGGTGATAGATTATGTGCATAGTCTATTTCGTAAGTGCTCTAGACTGCCGTGATAAAGAACAGTCAGGCAGGCAACCCAAACGACACGAATTGAAGCGATTGGGTACGTACTAGTGACTCATCCAGTACTGCATTATTACGCAGTAGAAGTAATTCAGCTGGACCTAGAGAATGAAGTGATTGAAAGTCAGTCCCTTGTACTTTACGGTAATCTCCTGCTGAGTGATGAGATGTGGTGTGGGTGTACCACGCTGTGGGAGTTGCCTGTCGTAGGCAAGTAGATGCGTAGTGGCGTCCTACAACCATGCACATACAAGTATAGTAGGCATGCCGAGGATGGAGATGCCAGGAACACCAGCTAGTCGAGCCTAAAGTCTGGTCCAAGCAAGGAAGCGAATACTGATAAGAAAAAGGTCAGGGTCTTGCCCCATTTGGAGAGAGCCGGTGGATACCGTCATCGTATCAATATTCGTATTGTAGTATCGTTTGTTCATGGCCATTGCCGATTGCCGGGACTGCCTACGTACTGCGTAGTAAGAGGGCAAAAGGACTTGTCATCAGGAATCGAGAAGAGAAGGGGCCTTTGCCATCATTTCACGACAGATGAAGACAAGATTGTCTCACGGTGGTAATATAAGAGCTGCCTGTGCCTGAACTAAGCAGGACCTCCTTCCCGATATCATCATCGTTCCCCTTTCGCACCTTCCTCTTTTTGACTTGGTCCGTCCAGAGTGCGGGCACTGGCGACAACTAATTCATCGGGGCGAGGAGGGCCGGGACGGGGCCCGTTTACCACCGGCCCAGTTATCACCGAACCTTGTCCCTTATCTTTCGCACTAGCCTTCTCAATCACTTCGTATCTCTACGCTACGTACGGTAGTTGTATTTCTCGAGGAACAAGACGATAATGCGAGCAAGCTAAGCTAAGTTAATTATCGCTGTCTCCTGCAATGTCAACAAGAATTTCCAGATACAATCTGCAGCTAGATTCTTCGAGAATTTATTGACTGTACAATAAAAAGTGTATTCTCGATCAGTCAAATATCATTCATAGACACCCGTTATGTACAGCAAATGCGAGTTTGCAAATGTAGACGCTCACAAGAGCATTTAGCATCGCCATGATAATTCCATGCACATGCAAAGTAAATAGACAAATAACGTCTCTTCTCGCCTACTCTCGGTCATACAAATCGAGTAAAGTTAAAGGTCAAAAAGTCGAGCTCAAAGGGCGAGGACAATGCCAGCAGCTTGGTAAACACTGGTGTTCCCCATCCAGTTACAGGGTCCCAGCCCTCGGTGGCGTTCCACGAGGCATAAGGGACATAGGGAGTCGCAAGGCCACTATAAATGTCCTTGCCGGTGCAGCCTGTAGAGCCACCGTGGGTAATGTCGGTGAGACCATATCGTCCAAAGGCATAGATCCAGGGGTTCAGGAAACCGAGCGGAGGAAGATTGGCGGAGACACGCGCGCTATTGAGCAGAGAGACGACAGCAGCAAACGTAGGCGCGGCGGCACTGTAACACCAGCGAGTCAACATAGAACGCTCACCAACCGGCAGAAGATGTCTACTCACCTAGTACCTCCAACCAGAATCTCTTTGCCTTGGTCAATGACGTGAAAGTGTGAGCCCTGCGCAGACACATCGGGAATGCCGCGGCCATTGGGATTGTAGAGACCTTTCCATTGATCGCCCAGAATGTTCAAGTATCGGTCCACGGCATGCTTCTGCCATCCTGGAGTCGGGAAGCGGTCCGAAAATCCACCCGACGAAAAGCTGATGCCAGCTTCAGGAGCCACATAGTGCGTAGCGCCAACGGAGGTTACCCAGGGACAGCTGGCGGGGAATGTGGGTAGGAAGCGGGTAGTCTTGTTCCCATCATTGGTCTGGCAGGCGCTTCCGACACCAGTGTCACCGCTGGAGAAAATGACAGAGACACCCCGGGCGCCGAGCTGACCAAACATGGAGCATACGGTGCGCGAGTAAGGCTCAGGCACACTCTGCTCATCCTCGCCGTAAGAGGTCGACAAGGTCTGCGGCAGTTCATCCTCCGGCAACGAAAGAATGTAGTTCAAGAAGTCGAGGTAGGGTTCATTTTCGTCATCACTCGCATCGGGCTGATCCAAATCCGGCACGAGCAGTCCACGGCCACCGGTGATATAATACTCGTTGGGGGTGGGGTAGGAAAGCGAGAGGCCATATTGGATATCAAGATTTGCCTCGACGTCGTCATCGACTGTGTCATTTTGTTTCCACTGGCCGCCTAAGATATCGTCAGAAAGTCTGCGAAGCCCATGGATATGAACTACGTACCGTGCACTTGCTGGTACTTGAAGCTAGCACCGGCAGCATAAGGAGCATATTCCTTCAAGAATTGTCCAAGATCTGCAAATTTGGCATACTCTTCAAGGTAGCCAGCAATACCGAGCTTGTTACCGTTGTTGGGATCGGCCTTGAAGTCCTTGATCTTGTACAATTCTTTAAGACAGGCGGGTGTAATGGTCTGGTTGCACCCTGTCACATTCAGACCTTTGCCAGCCTGGCCAAGGATTTGCTTGTCAATGACCCAACTGCGCTGCGGGCGAATTTGGCCGAACCGAGTGGTCGGCTGGATCATGTCAATGTACTGATGCAGATATTGAGGGAGTGAGTATTGGAGAGTCCGGATACGCTCCGCGCCGTCGACATTGCTGCGATAGTATTTAAATTTGGTGTCCAACATCTTCTCGGCTTGGCCGACCGTGGCATTGAAATTGATCCATTCGCCATCGTCATGAATAGCGTTGGGCGGCACACCATGCTCGAGGAGCCATGAAGTGATTGCATTGGTTGCCTCGGCAGTTGGGCGAATCAATGCTTTGAGCTCTTCCAGCTTCAGATGTTTTCCATATTTGGGGTGATTTGGTGTTGAAATGTCTAACACAGTCTGCTCAAAAAAGCCAGGGTTTGGCTGCGTGACAGCGATGCGGAAGTTCACCCGCTTGGACGTGTCAGGGACACCAACTGCCTTCCAGCCTTCAGGGACAGAGTTCAGCTGCTCAAAGATCTCAGGAAAAGAGGCGGGTCCTGAAGCTGCGGCATTCACACTCGCGAAGCCGGCCAGCGCGGAGCAGATACCGGCCAGGAGGGAAAGGGAACGCATGCTGGCCCTAATTTTGTAGCTCATTAGCTTCAATCACTCATACGAAGACTATCAGATGAAAGGCATGTTTTGTGCATACCCTTATCTGGAGAAGTGAAGAATGGAAAAGAAAAGGTGAAGCTTGGCAAGTCTTTTCCGCCCAGACTCTTGAATTGGTTGAGCTGAGATCCTACACGGTCAAGAGGAGGGTCCAGTGAAGCAAAGTGATCATCTCCCCAAGATATATGCAGCTACAATCACCCATCGTGCGTGGGGCAAACGGGAGCTAGACACTAAGTAAGTGAATGTGCAGGGCTCTGTCACCACCACTCCTGAACAGTGCAAAGCCCCGAGTGGGCCAAGAGCATGGACAGTGCACTGTCCCCTCATCAGGGACAGCTTTTGAATGACACCATCAAATCCAATAATTCCGTCTGCCTGCATATCTAGGACGAGTCAACAGAAGAGTAGGGGCAGTCAGGGCCAGGGCATAGTTGATGGTGGCCGGGGGTCGTCTGCCAAGATGGGGTGGGGATCTTGATACAACAAGCAAATCACGCACCCCCGGCATAGATACACCCAAACCATTCATTATCAGCTCCAGTTATGATGCGACAGCAGGCGAGTTGTAAACTTTACTGACGCGCATAAAGAAAGTAAGTATAGAATGAGATGGTTTTCCGTTTAAAATATGTCATCTTCTGGATTTTGCGACAATACTCTAAGCATCAATCAAGTAAACAAGCGGAAATGACTTGGATGTGTGAAGCTATCACATCACAGCATTTCCGGCTTTTTCCGTTGTAAAAGATGGACAGAGTTTGAGCGTGATACAAGTTCAACAAGTAAGGGACCCCCAATGACAATGGGGACAAAGGAGACTTAACCCGTCGGAGCAGGTCAGTCAAGGGGCAGACGGTGAGGTGCATCACGATCCTTGAAACCAGCTTCCTAAAAGGAGATAAGCTGAACTGGTACCTGGTCTAAGTCTAAACTGAGCTGTTTCTTTCGGATCGCCGTTCATTAATTACTGTGGTCGACAGTATAGCCATTCTTGGTCTCGTAGTCATGTGACTAAACAGGTGTAATGCTTACAAGGAATTGGATAAGGCTTAACAATAGAATTATAGATGCCTTAATTTCCAGAAAGGTTTACGAGTTAGAAAAAAAATATAGGCGACCAATTAGCCAGTATATCTCTTGGCTTCAATGTTGTATGGCACGACAATAACCTTAACTCTATCAGCGCTGGTTCCGTCGGTGTTGTCGCCAAGCATATTCTTGAACACCTCAATAATGGCGCCCCAATATTCAGGCTCAAAGTATGTAGGCAGTATGTCCTCAATATGAGCATCATGCACAATTGACTCGACAATGGTTGCCATGTCGTGGAAGGCCTGTTCTATCTGAGCCTGGAATAGGCTGCGCCCAAACCCTTAAAAGCCCAACCCTACCCTGTACCCTACCCACTTTTCCTACAGGTTTAGGGTCGATATTTCTTCTCCAAAACCCAGAGGGTTAGGGTCTAGGGTATATGGCTCTGGCCCAACCCTACCCTAGCATAAAGGGGCCGCCCTAAAGCCCTAAAGGTCTATAGGGCCGGAGAAAATATATGGACTATACATGTTTAATGAGGTCTCAAGGTGTTGAACGTGGGGCATATCACGGAATATAAATACATATGGTAATTATTGATATGCTGAAATGGTACCATCAAAACACTGTATACAATTAATTATATATAACTGGATTATTATAGAAGGTCATTAACTTTGTGATCTTCAGTCAAACTAATAAACTGGTGAACCCAGATGTTTTAGATTCTTGCTCGATATGGGTTGCGTCGATAGGTGCCGCAT